TTTGCAAGAGTGAATTGCCCCTCGAACAAAAGCACAGATCACTTACAGGAAACTCTACTAGCTTATTCCTGAAGTTAAAGAAAAGGTCTTCATAGGGGTCGTACATCAAAGGAATTTAAGAAACTGCAATTCTTCCTAGACACTCCATTTTTGAGAACTTTGAAAATGTTGTAAAATCTTAGAAAAAAGAATTTTATTAATGAAATCGTTGTTCTCAGCTGTTTTAAAATAATGTTATCCAGGCTTTAATTTTGATATTTGTATTCCAATGAATATAAGTTTATACATTTCATATTATTTCATACTATTTCCAATTTTCATGAAGACTATTTATAGACTTATTTATAAACCCCCTTTCCTTTTCCTATCTGAGTATGACATCCTATCAAACAAATGAGGATTATTATCTTAGATTGTTCAACTTTATGATAAGCCACTGATGAGTGACTTTTTTGCACTAATTCTAAGGGGACTTTTGGCACCCAACGTAGCATGTCAAAAGACGAGTTGCTTATAATTAATATGTATTACATTAAAATGGCCAACTGCAAAAATGGCTTTTTATCTTCACTTCTTGATGGCTTTAATTTCATTCTCCAATACATACAGTTCTCGTAATTTAAAGGTTATACAGCCGGCGCTTCCGAGAAGTTATGCGAGAAACATTTGCCAGAATAACTGAACCAAACAATAAACTAAACAGGTTTTAGAACAACAGGCACCGCGGAGCTGGGGGGCTGGGGGGCATTTAGCCCCCCACTTTTTGCAAAAAATGCCAAATATTAAATATCGAACTACCAGAAAAGCCTCTTTTTATAAGGTTTTAGCCCCCCCTAACTTTTTTAGACCCCCTACTTTTCTCAACGCTCCGCGGTGCCTGAACAAAGTTGAAAACTGAATGCAAAGAATGGCCGTAAATCGCGAGAATGACGTGCACATCTATCCTGATCCAATCCATTATCTTTTGCGGGACTTAACTTGGATTAGCCTTAAAACGCTAGAGATTTTGAAAGGTCTTACAAAGAGATATCAGTTGGCGGCAGAGAATAAGAGTTGAAATAAGAAGAGACATAAACACATTTGTCCTTATAATATTAAGTTATATAAAAAAAGTGGGGCTTAAAATTGGTGAAAATTGACAAACAGTGGAGTTAATAGAAGATTGTGTCGAACTGAAGATTGAGATGCGGCCATCAAGATTGTATTGTGCATGTTTCATTTTCTAAAGTGCTTTCGTGATGAAGAAAGACAACAGGAAAAAATTTGAACTTTTCTAGCGATTCTTTAGCTTCTCCGCAAATTTACACGTTGTATCGCGTTGTATCATAACTTGACTGAAAACTAAAAAGTTTAATGGTGGATCAGACAAGGCAAACAGGCCAGTCGCTAATTTTCACAGGACGTGGTTAAGCCCAATTTTAAATCCTCCGCCAGTAAACAGCTTGTGCCAAAACTTTCAATCCAAGCAACGCCTCTTTTTGAAATTAATCTTGAATTTGAGTCTTTAGTGATTAAGAAAAGCAGGCACGTACGTCCGAGGTCAGAAGTCATCCTTGCTTCGTGAGGGGGCAGAGATTCAAAATTCTCTCCAGGCTCTGGCAGGATAAAACAAAAGCTTTTAGGCCATGCCCTTTTTATTGTCGGATAACGCCCCTATGCCAACAAGGAACGCCAATTTTACTGATAGGGAATGCCATGGAAAAACTTTTGGTTGCGTAAAGGCAGGTTGAAAATCATTGGATTTGGTCACAAAAAATACATTGCCAAAATATTACCCCCCCCTAACATTTTCTCGTCGAATTACTTAAAGAGTCAACGTTAACAGACCATAATTCAATTTTAAGCATTTATGCGCAAGAAATATGCCTAAATAACTTTAAGACTTTAACTTTTCTCCATTTAAACTGTTTTTTCATTGATTATTTTCATATACGCAAAAACGAGACTTCAACAATGAAAAAGAGGCTGATGGCCCCCAAAATCTTCGTATAACATCGATTTTTGAAATCAGCACCCTCGAATTGACCAAAACCACTTGGTCCCATAAATTTCGCCCTCGAGTGACCATTCCCCTATTCTCCGCCTGGTCTAAATCTTCCGTGATTAAGTTTTCGTACGCTAGGTTATTTAATCGGGGTGTGAGAGAAACAAAATAAATCATGTGGTGGTATTTTGAGTAGCCTGCAAATTGTTGGTCATGTCACGAGAGATTGCGGCTGGAACAGGATAGGCTGAGTTATTTTTCTGATTACTCGATAGTTTCTCCATGGAGTGAGTGAAAAAATGTGAGAGTGGGGAGCTGTGAGAGTGATCCCATACAGAAAGATTTGATGCCATCGCTAGCTTTGCGCTCAAAGAGGGTTACCCTGGTTCCAAAACTGAAAATTTGCATTGGGTGGGCCCTCCTTTATTGATCGACAAGATTGAAAATTTGCAGAACAAGCATTTTCAGAAAGCAGAAACTCTTCGTTTTTGCAACGGAACTTTTTCCGAGAGCCCCCTCCCCCCCATGCAACAATCCATGGAGTGTCCATAGAAAAAGTACCATTGGGGGCACAGCTTTTTGAAAACAATATGAGCCAAAGGGATTGTTCATTGGAAGCCAAGAATTTTCATAATTTTTTTGGGGGGGGGGGTGGTCATGCTCCCACGAGAAAGAAGTAGTTTCGGCCCAGCATAAATATATAATGTACCCATTGCATGATCATTAAACCTGCTAAGTCACTTCATCGGAGACTGGCTTGATCTACCCCCTGAGTGTTATAAGATACGAGCTTGTCGAAACGACATTGGATACAACTTTGGTTGTTTTTCAGTTCCTAGTTAGGCTGCAGATCAACTCTACCTTGCAAACAGTAAATTACGTGCTCTGAGGATTAATCTCCGGCCCAAACGTGCAGGTCAGGCTAAACGTTCCATCTAAATTGGATCTTTAAGTACACTCTTCAAAGCATCTGTCATTCCACTGCAAGGCCCTGGTCATATCAACAAACATAACACCCTCTAGAGATCATGGGTGCTGGGAGCCCAAAGCAGCCCAGGGTGCAATCCATGTCAACTGTACGCCGAAGGTCCACCGGGGCATTTGCTTAGGTACGCCGAAAATATAAAAGCAGTTAGTAAAACAATAAACATTGTTGCGCCAGACAAAGAAAACTAATTATTAGAGAAAACTGTGTTGTTTAAGTCTATATTTTACGTTAACTATGACATGGCTTCATGTTTAGCATGCCAACTAACGAAAAATTTCAAGTACGCCAAAAAATTGTTTTATTGGTTTGCACGCCGAACGCCGAAAAAACCTGGGTGTACGCCGAAAATCTTCGGGCCTAAGTACATGGAATGCACGAATCTTTAGTGAACAGGGCTGTAATTATCATTATTGTCCTTATATGACCCTCCAAAATCATGGAAATTCCATTGTTTTCTATGAAAGATTCAATTTATTCCTATTTTTTTCAAACAAAGATGCCCTCCAATAAGATCCTAGTATCCTAGGCAGTTTGGTGTTCGTTTACAGTGGAGGCTTCATCTAACGGACACTGTCCGGACCAGTGTAGATGTCTTTTGCATAGAGGTATCCGCTGTAAACGGGTGTCCGTTAATGGAGGTTCCACTGTAGTATTTTAGTTGTTAAAGCTGAAACAGTAATGACTTAAAAAATGACAGTAATGACAGTAATGACTAAAATTTCGATTTCTATTTACTACTTGCAACAATAAAATGTTGCTCGTAAAAAATGTGTTTGTACGATCATTATTCATGTGTGAAGGACATGGCATCGAGGAATCCAAATAAGCGCAAATCACCTAAGCAAATTGTCATAGACTTGTGCGATAAAAATCAGGGACGCCGGAGAGGGGGGCGCGGGGGACAACCGCCCCTGTTTCGTTTGATGGGAAGGGGAAGGGGGCCAAAGTGTCTTTTTCATAGAAGTGTCCTCTACAACGGACGTTTGTTATTATCAAAAGATTCATATGAAACTCTGACTGTACTGTCTTATTCATTGGGAAATTATTTTTCAAATTCCCTTTTACTCAAGCCTGCCCCCTTGTCCCTTAGTCGTTTCGGCGTCCCTGATCAAAATATGGAAATGAGAAAATAAAAAAGAAGAATGTCCCGAGTATTTTAGAGACTTTTCCTTTTTTTACAGGGTAGGATCCGTTTGTACAACTAACTCTAGGAACAGGGCAGCAAGTTCATTATCAAGAGACAGTTGCTTTTAGGATAGAAAAGAAACATTTTCCGTGACCTCGAGGAATGGAATGGATTTGACTACCAACTATGTGTTTGCACTCTTTTTTATTTTCATACCCCTCCCCTTTTCTCTTCCCAAATTGTATACGGAAAAATGTAGCAAGTTTTCACATGCTAAACAGTCTTCACTTGACACCTCAATGGTGGGAACATCTTCAGGAAGATCGCATTCAAAAAGTCATCTCTTCGAACAGGCTCCACCAATCAAAACGTGATAACTACCAACTTCCATTATACCAAATCAAAGGCGTTGAATGGAGGACTACTCGTATGTGTATGCTCATCCAGCTTCTGATTCTCTTCTAGGGCACAAAGAATTGTTTGGCAGATAACTGCAAGCATTCAGAGGGGCATTCGCTGTGATTCCCTGCCTTGTGTATACTTAAAGACAGAAGTTATTTCTTTCTCACTTTTTCATTCCCCTTAATCTATATAAATATATATATTTGGAATTTGAACAATTTTTTTGTGATACAGGATTTGAAAATGGCTTTGAAAAAAGCAAACATTTTACAACATACTCAGTATGTTGTAAAATGTTTGCTTTTTTTCAAAGTCATATTTGGAATTGTAGGATATTAATTTCTGTTGTTCGATACGCAATCTTATTCTAAGTCTTGGTTTCAGCACCGTTCCTGACTAGTGGCAAGTGACAGTGAATTTAAAGTGTTGGGTCAGCATCGTTTTCTAATGACAAATTGAGAATGGATTAAAATTTAAGTGGGAAAACTAGAAGAACACACCTGAGTGTAAAGCTCAAGCTCCTGTACAATTTGATCTTCATAGAAAGGATCATCATCAACTCCGTCTTCGGTTACTCCAAATCCAAAGTTTGCAATGCCAATGCCAAAAGACTTTGTGATTGCGAATCTCTCCATGCACGGTGCCAACATCCTTACGCGACGGGAAACACAAATATCTATGAGCCTCCTTAACGGTCCTGAGTGGAGTACTTGTCGCAGTCAAAACCCTCTTTGTAACTTGAGACTCCAGAACAAACGACAGATCAATTTTGCCGCCCAGTTAACGAAAAGGGTCCATCTCAGTAACTTTTCGGGCAGAGCTTTATCAATGAAGATGACCCAAGGTCTTCGAACTACAGGCCAACCTGAAATGCTCGTTTGCTTCCAGGGCCGTAAGAAGCCTGCGGAACCAAATGTATCCTATTTCTAATCGATCCAGCATTGTGTTCCCTCGCCTCAAGAATTTCTTGCATCGTGATTGAATGATTTAGATCACGATTTGTGGTTGGGTGAACTCAACAGCTATCTCCTTCCGGATATAACGAAAAAGGGCATACAAACGCAACTGTAGCCAATGCTGTTAGTTGATAGTTCGGCATTGAATTGGTCCCATTCCACAAATTTGTCAAAAAATGACAATTCTGACGATCTACCTAATAAAAAAGTGCCAAGTTAGAGGGTTCATATCCTCCCATCTCTTCACGGTTTGATAGGCCCTGTTTTGTAAAGAAACGAAGTTTTAGCCTTAAAGGTTACGAGATTTTATTTCTAGTAGTTCAAAATGCTAGAGGGTTTACTTTGCATCCAAGTGAAAAAACAATAGACCCATTGATAATTGATTATTAAAATAACATTGAGAAGAAAACTATGGCAGCCAGTGACTGGTTTTCGAAGCGAATTAGTATGGCTTTAAACAGATAATTTGCTGAATATTTCATGGGAGCGAAGGATCTTGGGGAGCATAGGGGCCGTTCGGAGCGGCAATTTGTTCAGCCATCCAACGATGTCGAGCTGTGTTCTATTTCCTGATACTAGGGTACTTGAATGGGAATCAACACAATAGGCAGCCTCATCCAAATATTAATTTTTTTTTCGACAAAACTGTTTCTAAAATTCAGGTGCCTAGTCAACTTGTTGGACTTTCTTAAAACTACGTCAGTTTTTACCGAAACCACAATCGGAACAATGAAAATTTTTATGTTTTGATCATCACTTGAAAATGATGCAATTCACAATATGCTACAAAACTGCTTTTTAATTCCCCTAAAGTTTCTTCTTCTGATGGTAGTAAAGAACAAATCATTCTACTACCTTGGCGTACTGGAACTTTAAATCTTCGAGAAAGACTCCGGTCCCCCGTCCTTTTCTATCTTCTTACCTACTGCGTAAATACAGATCGATACAGATATTTAAAAAAATGCAGTAAGCGAGACTTGCATAGCAAACAGCATGCCACGAGGCGAAGATTGAAAGAGCCTAGGATGGATCCTTGTCGCACCTTAGCGGTAATTCCTTTTCTTTAAGTCTATCGATTTAGTCGGCATATAGTAATCAGTGGGAAATGATTTAGACGACTTAAAGTTGTGGATTGATTAAATTAGCAAGCTACATATTCAATGCGGCTTCAGAAAGGAAATAATTTACATTGTCAGATTTCCCTTGTAACTTGGAGCTGAAATTTCATGAATGAAAACATTTACTTGATAACAGCAAAATTTGAAAGGGATCCTTGGAGGCTCAAGCCCTAAAGGATTGCACACCAGAAAATACAAAATTCTGGGTTTCCAAAAACAGCTATGTTTTCCAAGCAAGCAGCTACATTGACAAAAAAGCCCAAATGGCCAACATCGACAGTCCAAGGTATGATGAATCAAGAAACAGTTACCATTCTTTACCAATCAATAAATGGTCTGAGGCCACGGGAAACTCGATTCGGGAGATTAACTGGCAGGAAACCTCCACTAATGATGCGAAAAAGATATGTGGGGAAAAAGCAGTCTAATTTCGTGGACCAGAAGTTTGCAATAAACTATAACATGAGGTCAAGCTAGACCCTTCTCTGACTACTTAAAAAAGTAGATAATTACATATGAAATAACTTTATTGTTGAATTTTACTTCCTTTTGTTCCCATTCATCGCTTGAAAATATTCCTTTTTAAGACTGTAATGGGGCTTTCATGTATCAAGAATTTGAAATGAAAAAGGAGGAAATGAAATGAAATAATGAAAGGAGATATGGAGGCTCTACTAGCTGGAAAAGGTCGCGTTATGGATTTCGACTAAAATAACAATAGTATACGAAATTAATCTTCGATGGAATTCAGTGTGCTTTACATGAAGTCTTTACCGTTGTTTATTTATCATAAGTGAATAGCGAAGCCTAGGCTTAGTGTTTTTGTAGCCAGGATAAAGATCAAAACCTATGATAAAGACAAAGCCTGTGATACAGACCGAACAAAATAGTCCGACTTTCGGAAAGACCAAAATTTGACATTTAGAAACATATAAGCATCAAAAAGCAAAATGATAATGCTAATGGTTGAATTATGAATAGAATATATATATATCATTACGTGAGCAGCGTTAATATATCATTGACGCATGTAAAGTATCTAGAAAAAGTGACAGATGTGTTTCTCAAGAGGATCATTAAGATGAAATATGTGACAAAACTTGCTTTTGTTGCAAAGGTCCGTCTTCTGTAAAGCTATTACCATAATTCACAAGGGACTTTCCAAATTATAAGATCTGACTGAAGTTGTGAAAATTGGTAGCTTTGATACCAAATGGACTGACACTATGCACTTTGTCTGGGTTGTGATTGTGAAAAATTCGACTTATGTGACTCCGACTTATGCGAGATTTAATTTTGGTCGTATTTTTAATCGACCCAGCGTGAAGTATTAGCTGTCCTTATGAAAATGTAACGGGAATTCAGTTCAAGATGATGGCAAGGGAACAGGGCCCGCGCCACGTGGAGGGGGGCGGTTGGGGGGGGCGATATGTCCCTTATGCGAAGAAAGTGATTCGAAGCCTTGGCCCCCAACTTTTTCAGCCTTGGCCACCCCCACTTTGAAATTCGTGGCGCGGGCCCTGGGGAATACCACAAACAAAAGAAAATAAAATTTCTCCTTTCCATAGAGATTAGGGCAGCAAATCAAAGGAATGATAAAAGTTGAAAACAGCAAAAAGAAAAAAGTAATTGCAGAGTCGAGGCCGCGATCAGCAGTAGTAAAAGCTGAGGCGTACGCTCGAGTTGTTTGACTACTATGTAAGCCTTCATATCTTAAAAATATCTCTGTAGAAACAATATACTGATACATAGGCTTGTTTTAGACCTAGATCTTCTACAATTGGCAAGTTGTTTATCATAGCCAATGCAATTTAGTTTGTATTTGCTGACACTGAAATTAAACAAATCCTAAAAATCATAGCATTTGATATGGTATAGCATTGCCAGTAAAAGGCTGTGGTTTTCCTAATCGGTTACTTTAATTGGTTACTGTTGTTTTGACCTCGTTTGTTGTTTTGATCTCGTTGATAAATGCTACAACCAAGACAAAGTAACAGGGATTGGTTGGGGGAACTACCCTTGCTCATTAACTCATACCACAATTCCTCGAATTAGCCCTCTAGAAATTTCTTTATGAACATTTAATCAATTATTACCAAAAGTATGAATTTTTTTGGTAATTCAATAAAACGCCAAAGAAAACATCAGATGAAAAAAAACCAAATCAAGGGGGCCTATTCGAGGAGTTACGGTAGCAGTTGGAGCTTATTCGAGGGGGGCTTATTGAAAATTTGTAGTTCTATGGTGGGGTCCCACGCGAGAAGGGTGAGGGTTTTTCGAGGAGGGGGGGGGGGGAATTCGAGAATTTACGGTATCCAGTCAATCTATGAAAGATTTAACTTATTGGCACATTTAGAGGAAGGTTAGGTCATCAAAGTTGAAAAAATTCTTTAAGTGTGTTTGCGACGTCATCAATCTCCCACTTTATAATCGTTTTTTCCTGCTGTGCTATGCGTTGGTATATTCATGTTTGAATCTCCTTTTCTAACTCTCACTATACGTCTTTAAATCCTGTTTATCTCAATAGCATTGGTTTTTCTACCACATTGTTGCAGTGATGAAGACTATATAGGCGACCTGACAATTCCTTCCGTAACCCGCCCAGCTTTCTTACGCTGTATATGATTATAGGTTCAAGGACGACCTCTCTTATTACACAACAGCTATTTATCACAAAGATCAAGGGTTGGAAAAAATTATAATATCGACGTGTTTCCTTGACAGATAACTAGCCCAAAAACAAATATGTGACCGACCAACTTAAGAAGGCCTATCGCGTTGCAATTGCTGCATGTCACGACTATTTCGTGCAGGGGGAGCCCGAAAGGAAAAACAATCATAGGAACTGGAGGGGCTTTTTCACAGCTACAAATATTCTTGAATAAATCGACAAGGTCTTTCGCAAAGTCTAGGCAGTGTTTTGTTTTGATTAATAATTACCCATGCATTAGCATAATTAGTAGATGCCAACGTTAGAGAGAGCCATGCTTTAGATATAGGCTTTGCTGAATGTTCTGTTACGTTCTTACCACACGTGAATTATTCTATGTATTACCTGCAACATAGAACATAATACGACGAGTGTGGCATTAAACAAATTTTCCAGGCATGACCATGGCTACTACTTGTGCTTCATCACAGCGTCAATTTATGGGAAATAGCTTTCGAAGAAAAAGTCTTGATTATCAAAAAGAAAAAATTCAAAATCTTGCCTGTTCCACATTTAGAAACCAGTCATTACCAAGATATTAACATAGGATAAAAATGAGCCAAGCATTATCCTTCATAAGAATCTTAACAAACGGTAAAGCAATGAGTTTGGCAATATCTGGCTATAGCAATATATCACAAACACTAACAAGAAACAGAGGTTTAATCTGTTCTGTTAAAGAATGTAGGCCACTCTAATGTTCGATCTATTCAAACGTTTTTCCGTATTACCTTTCGGAAAAGGCAAAGGTGCTTTCCAGAATGGAGAACCTGCTTTACAGTTACGCCCTCGATGTCAAAATGAGGCTTATAAATGTACTTGTCACTACATTACCATGCTTCTTTGAGACCGTCACGTAGTTACAGGCAGCCATCAGTTAGAAGAATAGATCCTCCAAATAATCTTCAAGCTCTTCTTCCCTAAAGCAGAAATAAATTATATCATTAGTACTTCTTGTTCTTGCGATTGCAAACTTTCCCCTAAGATTTACTATGGCAGAAAAATTGAAGCATAAACCGCAGGTAGTGAAGAACAGTTCCCAGTTCCGTCAATTTCAACGCAAACATACTAATTGCAAAGCCATGACAAACCCTTGGACTTGATGTTTGGTTCCTTGACTAACTGCCCGCGAAATGAAACTATTGCCGGTACCATTGGAATCCAGCATAAGCTTCTATGTTACAAACTCCATTTAGCAAAAGCTGACGAGAAAGGCAGCTTAAAGTTTTCTCAGCATACAAAAAGGCAGTTTTCTTTATAATGCTAATAGTTTGCATTTCATTCCTGTTGCCAACACTGATTGTAGGCATCTCTGTTCGTTTCCAATCTTGTGGGCATAAATGTCGGGCTTCAGCGCAGCAGTTGAATCGATTGGTTTTCATCTCACAAAATTCCGATTTAAAACTTATACTAAAAAGCAATGTGTTCTCAAGCTTTCAATTCTCATAAAAGGGACCTTTCACGCCGACATTGGTAATCTTGTGAACATAGACTGAAATATGATTCGGAGTCTCTGACAGTGTTTTTAATACTGCAAGCCATTTGGATTTTCATTCCGTTAAATCGTACAGCTAAAAACGTAAGACCCCAGTTAGCCTTGTTTTTCATACGAACAGTCCATACAGAATCATATAACTATTAAGCTTTGACGTATTTATACCTCTTAAGAAGTTTCAAGAGGATTTTGAAAGACTTCATAAACAAGATATCAAAAAATGTTCCGTCAGAAGCCTTTCGGTGAAAGATTTGTTCTCGGTTTTCGGCAAGCTTAGATTGGATCAAAACAGAGAGTTTATCTTTCAAGTTCGTCAATGCATGGGCGCCGACGCAGGTTGGAAAGTGGGGGAGGGGCCAAAGGAGATTTTAACAATCATAACAAAAGATGTTAAAAAAGCTATATTGTTTTGCAAAAATTTGGGGAGCCATGGCCCCCCGCCCCTCCCCCTTCCATCGGAGGCCCTGCAATGGAAACGCCCCAATGGGCTTTGCAGCGTTGTAAACATAGATGGTATGGGGATAAATTATATACTAGAGCGCCTTTGGACCAGAAAATTTGAATGAGGATAGTTGAAAATATTTTCAGGACGCATAAAGCAGATTTGACACCGATGCATGTTGATAGATTTCATAAAGAACTTAGGATGGCAGTCCTACCCTCGAAAACCACAAAGGCAGAAAAGTGGATATGAGAAAGGATCGATGGTAATCAAATATGGACATCTGAGGTTTCATCACCGAAATGAAATCTTCTAGAATTTCAAGAAACAGTTTCTCAAGACTTGAAATATGTAAGATATTCCTTTATAAACTAAAATGTTGCGTTTAGGGCCGGATGACCTAAGTAAGGTTATTCTTAGTACAATTAGAAGAGCACAAGTAGAAAAGAGCTTCTAAAAAGTAAAGAAGTAAACGCAGAGAGCAATTTAGAGTAAAATGTGGGAGTTTTTACTCTACTTCGTAGTGGCTTTTGTGCCCAGGGTAAGATTAGGCTGTAGATTCCTTGAGGCATAAAGAAACAAAGGTGATCTTCCATTGTTTCAGGCCTATGTGTGACGGCCATTTCTGGTGCGGCTTCGATTTGTAGATGGAGGCCTAACTCTCTTGCAACAATGTTTTGTTCTCCCGAATACTGTCTTCATGCTTCGAGCTTATCAAAACATAACGACCATAAAATTGTTGCTACCTAAAGAGAATATACGATTTGGGCTTAATTAGAACTGAATGAAATTAACATAATATCAACTATCATTTAACATGAAATTCTTTTCTAGAACATGAATCAGATATTTTATTTGCCAATACTGAGTGCTAACGTGATGTAATCTAGTGGCCGACAAGTTATCAAACCTGCTAACATATTGATCATTTCTGCAATCTGCAATCTTCTATTTCCGAAGGAATCTATTTAGGCCCTTGAGCTTAAAAAGATAAAAGAAGGACAGCTATATCACTTTAGTGCTTTGAAAATCCAGCTTCATTGTTCATGTTGCAGTTTAGACAATTGTATTTTCCTCTCCTTGACTATCATTACGATGTTTATCTCCTAGCAACAAATGGCTTGTTGTCACGTACAGCGACCATGCTAGCACCTGTCAGTAATCAAACGAGCAACTGGTGACATGGCCTAAATTTGACCTGATAAACGATGCAGAGATTTCCTTTTTTATTTTGGTTGATTCTTGTTGGATTTCTATTGATTATTGCTGCTTATCGCTCATATATCGTGCAGTTTCAAGCCCTCCTTGCACCGAAATTTGGCAGCAGCCGAAATTCGAAGATAATAGCAGCCTTTGGTGACAGCTTAACAGAAGGCCTCTATGACTGGCCTAATTCTCGACAATTTCATCCGTATACCGGTGAGCTGCAAAGACTTATAAACGAGCGAATTCTAGGTGTACGGTCAACCATGAAAATTGCGGTACAAAATCATGGAGTGAGTGGAGAAAGGTTGAGAAAGACGATGAAAAAACGATTGAAGGAAATTATTTCAACACATAGACCAGATTATGTTATAATCCTTGCCGGAACAAACGATTTGCTAGATCTTGATAAAAATGCTGCAGATGGTTTGCAAATTGAGGCCGAGGCCTTTGGAATCTTAAATGATTTGCAGACGCTCCACTTGTATTGTCACTACAAAGGAATTCAATCAGCGGTATTGAGTATACCAGAAACTGCTATCGACGAACGAGGCGCAAATGGAAGCGTTTCGCTATTGCGACGCTCTGTTAACAAAGAAATGTACGATTTCGTCAAACAAAACAAAACAAAATCGATATTTGTAGACATTGCAACAAGAATTCCTAGGAGAAAGAATAGAGCCTTGTGGGATGACGGTGTTCATTTGAGCCCAAAAGGTTATGATCTAATTGGGCAGATCATATACAAGGAAATGCAGGCAGTTATTGACCAGTGGCTTGGTGCAAGTCATTAACTAGCACAAATGTTGCAAGCAATTTCTCGAAAATATTTTCAGCTTTCTCGTATGCATGACTATAATATTTTTAAATGCAAACCGTATAATAGTCAAGTTATTTTTTAAAAGGAATAAAACTTTATCAAGCGGTATTTGGAGAACGCTGAAAAGCAGACCTGAAGGCAAGGTAAGATTTTAACGGCTCTTTGGATACATTTAAACGTACGGGTGGAATCAGATATTCAAAGACAGATGGACATCACAGGGGAAAAATTACTTCACAGGTAGCAGAGAGTTTCCATCTACAAGCAACCAAATTTTCTGGCCTTAGTTTCGGTTATTTATCGAAATTATCATTGATACTTGAAGCCTTGCTGAACATTTCAAGCCAGAAAATCAAAGTCATACGGGATTATTTACTTCTCAGGACAAAATTCGTCAACAGAACCCGAATTTGAGCCCTTTTTATCCACAAACCTTATACTTCAGTTAGTTTCAAGAAAGGGCAAGAAATGTTCCTGTTGTGGCAAGACTTGAACAGTGGCAGAATACACGGACTAGTTGCAATTATCATAAATTAAACGTTTATTTGATAAACCTTGGTTCTGTTTGTATCTTCCTTAACGTTGGCGACATACTTGTTGCTATACAAATATCAACCAAACTGTGGCGAGAGACCTGTTTACATACTGGGGTCCAATGTCAGAGGTTTCGAATTCCGGTTTGCCTACAGTCCTTGTAAAACAACCGAGTCACTGTAGCTAAAGCATTTCTCCGGGACATTACCTGATTCCGATGCCGGGCCCTTTCTCTCGCATGCGAAGAATTCCCTATCATAAGTATCAACCAGGAATCAATTTGAAAACTCATGTAAAACAACGTTGGAAGAGGACAGAACTGTTGCCCCTCACCAGAGTTGGTACACACGTACCGGTCTGAGCCCCCGGTTCGGATCAGGCAGCAAAAGAAAAAATAATCAGGTTAGAGACCAGATAGGCCTAAGTACCTCGAAACAAAAGAGAGATAAGGGCCTAGAAGCATGTTCCACTCAAAAGATGATTGATAATTCATGATTTCTTGCAAGAGGATGAAAATTTTCATCTCACTTCCGTTTTTACTTTTGACAAAAACATGAGCCATTTTCAAGTATTTTCGATTTTTGGACACAAAGATATGTGACACCATCTTCAACTGACTTCAAATATAATCCACTAAGCCTCACTTTTCAGAAGCAACACACCACAAATTTTGATCACGAATACCCGATAGCTCAATTTTTGATCCACTGCTCTTAAAAGTAAACAACAAGAAAATTTGAAAAATTTTCCAGATAAAGATATGGATTTTGTTGCTTCCATACCAATGATCACACAGACCTGTAGATGCAGAGAACACGCGGTACCCAACAGCTAATGGCGATTAAAGTTTGGCCAGTGACGAGCTTTACAAACCAAAGATTGCTACATAACTCTTAGGCTATTTCAGCAACAAAACCACATGTCAGAAAAATCAAACTACCTCGATTTTTCAACTGATTGCTCAGCAGGCTGACTCCAAATTGCTGTTGTCTGTTCTTCTTCAACTGATTTACTTGATGTCACTTCTGAAACAGAAAACCAATGTGATCACAAAATTTTATTATAAATTTTATGATGTTGGATTGGACATTCCTGTATTAAATTCCAAAATGACATGAAAACAATGGTTTCAATAATCTTTTACTGCTATCCGAAGTAACTGTCGATAAAAATGTGCTACTTAAGATAATCTAAAGTTCTTTTAATCTAATATTCAGTAGTACGGGGCAATCTTTTTTTCTCGAATGTGTATACACAAATAGTAGCCCTTCAGAGAGTTATGAGCCAATGCCAAAGCATGATGGCTTTAGCAATAGTGAGAGAAAGACAGATATAAAAAACCCATATGGCTTGAAAATAAGAAGAAAACAAGCCTATTTTCTTAGTTTTTCATTTTCATTACTATACCTTGATGAATTTTCCAATATTTTCCACCCAAACAGTAATCTTGAAACATTTATTTAACTTGCTATAGGTATTTGAATTTCGGTTAGCTCAAAAAATTTGGCGGCAGTGCTGCCATTTTGTGGCGAGTGGTGCAATACTTTTCGAACGTTGCATCTTAATGTAAGTATCAGGTGGCTAGTGGTTGAAAGAACTTTATCCACATATACTACGTAATAATGTAATGATTGACCAGGTATCCCCCATTCTTGTCTAAACCAGGTCCATATAGGGATCACTTAAGTTCTTAAAAACAACAAACAAAATATCTTGCCACTTTGGCATCCTTCAATGATGGTTCCTTGACTACGCTTTGACCGTACAAAAAAGATGAAATCTATTGCTTTATTTAATTCTGTTATGGGGCAAAGTTCTGCGAAAGCTGTAGACCTTCTGTTCAAAATTTCTAGATGTGTAAAGGTGCCCTTTTGGCGTTTAAGCTTCCTTTTCTCCCCGTGATCTTGGCACAGCTTCAGTGTCCCCTTTTCAGGCAAGTTTGCAAATGATGATATGTAGCCTTGTATCTCTCCATGTATGTAAAAGGCCTATGCCAATGGATTATCAAAACAATTCCCTACGATATGGTGACAAAATGTTTGCCAATCAATTCAGCACAAAAAGTAACTGAAAAAAACCAGTCGACAGCCAAGTACGAAACAATCGAGCCTCTCGGGCACCATAATGCACCTATTTCTTTTCAAAAAACGCTCTAACAATCTCACTCAGTACTCTAACACTATCTTATCAAAATGAAAAAACCAAAGCAAATACAAAATTCTAGACCCTTATCATCCTCTTTTTCTTCTCCGCTTGCTTCGTCAGAAGAGCTGGAACTTTTCCTTCGTCTTTTGGCTTTTTTAGTTTTACTCTTCTTTTTCTTCTTTTCTCTTTTCCTTTGTTTTTCAGGTTCGGTTTTCTGTCTTTTTCTCTCTGCGATCTTACGTCTAAAAAAATCACAATTATTATTTTCAATTTTTTATAAGCAATTTGTTATAAGGAACGCGTACTAGACCATTAAAAAAGTAAGAAACTTGAGTACTCGAAGCAAAAGAAAATAACAAACAACTGAATTTTGAAAAAGTCCAGAATTCAGTAATTTTATAAGAATTCATCAATATGATTGGCTGGCTGGCAGATAAAAATACCTTTCTTTCATCTAAGTACAGCATTAGAACGGAAGCGAATTTATTGACAAAAATGTCACAAGCATTTGAAAACAATATGACGAGTTTCACTGTTTGCAGCACCAAACCCCTTCTTATTAAGCTTCTGTTTGGAAATTTTTTAATATGCAAAATTAAAAGTAGAACCCATGATTTTTGCATAATAGCAAGAAACTAACAAGAAACTACGAGTATTAAAACTTCCCAAAGCCTTATGGAGCTGGAGTACACAACGTTGACTTTTGTTTCTTATAGAAAAAAACGAGTGGACGATAATCTTTTTCGCCATCCATGTGGCCTATCTTGCTGGAAGATGGAGACTGAGAATCCAGGTGCAAATGAGAAATACCTGAAAATCTAACTGGTTCAGAGAAGGTCTTGTCTTGATAACTTAGATTATCCACCGCAATTCTTGCCCCAGTTCTTTAAGTTGGGCAAACGGTGTGATTGTTTCACAGGTATATAACTGCAGAAATGGCTAAGCAAAAAGTGTAAGAACTATACATTAGGCAGAAAATTTTTCGCATTCTAAGCAAATGCACATATGTGTTCATAGTTTCATCATAAGATTCCCTTCACAAAAAGTAAAGGAACTGAGCAAAATATTCTGAGAAAATCACACCTAGAAGGATTTGTTTCTTTGCAACGCATGAAATTTAAAATACAAGGTAACTTTTGGTGTAGAATACAGGTCATGTGCCAACAGAATTAGACATAACGATATCTCTTTGTGGTTACCCTGTGCGGGTTCAAGTTTCCTGCACGTTTTTCAATTTTTGTTAAATACTGGCCATCAAGTTCCTGAAAGAGCTTGGTAAACAGCTACATATAATTGCATCACATTCGCTGCTACAAATTGCTATACTGGAATACAAATGGATCAAGTAAAAAAATCTCAAAACGCAAAATCATTGTCACTCACTTGTCACAACCTTGACTAGATTTTTACTTAATCTACTGCTCGAGCGATAAAACAAACTTTTTGTCTACATTAAGTGCAAACATTTTTAGGGGATCAAATTTCGGACAATAAACATCGGTGAAAATATTTCAGGACATATTTCTAAAATTTCGGACAAGTAAATTTTTTCAACCAATTAATAAATAAGTCTTTTGGATGTTTAAAGCAAAACCAAATCATGTTATTGGTTCACACATAAGTTTTCAAATGGATATTGAACTCTCAAGGAACTGGAAAGAATCTCTGACTTCTGAAAGGTGACAATGTTAAGAAACTTTCAGTACAAAAGTGGAAAAACTTGCCCTAAAGCTTGTCACGCCATTTTGTCAAAACAATTTTTTTACTCAATGTAAGCATAAAAGAAACAGGCAAACATGCTGCATATGTTAGATAAATTAAACTTACTTTTGGTGGAAGTTTAATTTTGCAGAACAGCTGGAGCACAGCCCTAAAGAAAAGGAAGTTTCGTGTAAGTAGCATTCGTTGCAAATACATATCAGGCAAGGAAGGCTTGCATTATACATTCAGGTTTTTATGAATAAGCAAAATAATAAAAACCGTATAATTGTGTACTGAAAGACGTTAAAGACAACACCGGAGATTTTGACTGGGTGTATTGTATCAAAATTTCACCAACGGAAAACTTCATCCTTTAACGGATACCGGAACACCTGCAACCAACAGTTCCTAACAACGGACATTTCCCTAAAACGGACGTCTCCATACAAAGGACACTTACCTTAAGGGTACATCTCTCTACAACGGACATTTCTTTACAATAAATATGTCCCTTGATAGACATATCCCTGCAACAAATTCCTCCCAAAAACGGACAGTTCCCTAACCGGACACCTTCTTTCAACTGACATCTCTCAACAATGGACACCTCTTTATACCAAATACGTCCCTTACTAGACATATCCCTGCAACAAATTCCTCCCAAAACGGACAGTTCCTTAACCGGACACCTTCTTTCAACTGATATCTCTCTACAACGGACACCTCTTTATACCAAATACGTCCTTCAATAGACATATCCCTGCAACGAATTCCTCCCAAAAACCGACATCTCCCAATTACGGACACCTCGACTTACCACAGACAGCTTCCTACAAGGTAATCAATTAACCGACACCCCTTATAGAGAGCATCTTCAAACAATAGACAATGCTGTTCCAAAAATTAATCTTTTTGGAAAATGCTACCTGTTGAAAATGGATACCTCCTTGCAACAACTGTCATTTGCACTCACAGATATAAGTTAGATGCTCTCCCACTGAATTTCATTATTGTACACAAAGCTTATTATATTAAAGCCTTGCTCCATAAATTTGCTCACGAATAGCTTAGTTGATTCATCCTTGGTCAAACCTTAGCCATAAAAAAACTTTAATAGCTAAGACTAAGGTGACGACATATCAATGATTTTTTCCAAGTCAAGGGACATTGTTTATTAGAGATTTCATGCATCAAACTTTAAAATTACTTGAAAACAACTTTAAGCATACAAAGCATTCTCCGTGCCTTTTCAAGAAACCATTTTAATATAAGTGCAACTTGTTTGATTAAAGCAAGGATGTTTTAGTATTTACAGCAGCTGCGAACTTCTTCTCAAAAGAGATTTCGGTATTCTTTCTTCATCTCCAAACTAAATTCAGTTCGCACCTGTTTATACTGTTTCAGTCAGGTGCAAAGGACAACTACTTTGAAGTTTTGAAGATTTAAACAACGATAAAAAGTATTTATATTCCGCCAGGAAGAAAATTAAATGTTACGAAACAGTAATGAAATGATCTGAAAGGTTAGGAAGATTGAAGGGATAACAAAAAACTAGAATAACGTTCGAAAGGCGCTTGAAACAGAGCCTAAATAGGTGAATCACTAAAGTTTTGCGAATAAGAAGATTGAAAGTTGATGATACTTTATTTTCTAGTAAAAACAGAATTTTCTGAACAAATAATAAAACCATATTGTCTTTAGAGCAGATAATTTGTAGTTATTCCGTTTAAGGTAAAAAAAGGTTAGAAAACAAATAGCTAGATCCACTTAGAAATTAATAAGAGTCAAAAAAGGTTTGCTCGTGAAAAACGATCTTTGCATAACAAGCAAATTCACAACCCGTGTACCTCCATAAAAAGTCTCCAGATCTTGTGAAAACCATTAATGGCGGAGAAAACATCAAGATAACCTTAACTAAAATTTATTATTTTGCTACAGAGCAGCACATGATGACATTTCCAATTAAAAGGATAAATACCCTTAGTAAAAACTGGACAAACGATCGATTTAGTCTATCGAAGAAAACAGATTTAAATTAAAAGGCCAGCTCTGCCTCACCTCCTACTTTTGCCTCATTTGCATTAATAAAATTAAATTAAAAAATCTAAACATTAAAATCAAATGTTTAATAATATCCTTCAATTAAACATTTTACTCCGCACATAAAAGGATTGCCCGAGATAAATCTTTAATACATTAACCAGCTATAGATTGATTTTTTTGTTTAAACTATCATTCTTAAAAGGATTAATAAAAATCAAACAAGCTTGATTTCTTCAGGCAGAGTCAATAAAAACCGAAGGTTTCAATGATTGATTTATAGAAATGTCTTCAAACTCCCATTCTTCTTTTTGTCTACGATGCATCAACAAAGAACGCACGGATACTTAGTAATATCAAGCAGTTTTTGTAAACACATTTATCCCTTGACACAGCTTAGCAAATAAAACATCAAGGATTCATTGTACGACAAGAAACATTTACAATCTGCTAGGATTTCCTTACTTAATTTCACTAGGGCGTTTTTCTTCATGTCATGCTCAACGTATCCAAAATTGACCTGAAACCAAAAACGAAAACGTTCAGTACACATTAAAGCATCTCTTGATTGGCTGTCATGACGTAACATAACCTAGTTGCAGCAAAACACCTTTCTCGATGATGCAAGAAAACCCTGAAAACCTCCCAGAAATGAAAAGCCCTAACTACTGCCAGGCCTACATAGATTGAGAATGGTCATCCAAATTACTACATATTCTATACTTCAAAGTAACGTACAGGCCATAACTTAGTTTTAAACCCATTTCAAAAAAGAAAATATTTCTGTCAAATGTTTATGTGATCTTAATTGATGCAAGGCTTTAACATATTAACACCCCATTAATCTCGTTAAAATGATAAAGAAAAGTCGCAAATGACATCGAAAACATGTTTGTAATAATTTGGGTTAATTACTTAACACGAATAAGCTCTCTCCTGGAATAAAAAAATTTATTAGCCAAAAATCGCCAGTTAAATACGACTTAACCTAAAGACTTAATTATTGAAACAATGAAAGACATACGATTTAGTCAAATAAATTGATTGCTTCCAACGTGTTTGGAGCAGAAAGATAATGGGCAAAAATAAGCGGAGATTCTTTAAAGATAATAATAAAAAGATCCCTGTGATTCATGAAAAGGTAATGAAAAAATGTCTCACCTCCCAGCTTTGAAGCTCCTCCTGTGTGTCACATTTTCTACCCCCGCAAATGAATTGTCCTAATCACGAACAGGAGAAAGCAAATAATACAAGCTTTCTAACTATACAAAATATTAAATCGTTTCACTTACATTTTATTAACTAGGAGTAAATCTGCTTTTTCATACTCTGTTGACAAAGTATGACTTAGTATTGACAAATGGTAGAAAAGGTGACAACGTAAAAATCTTATCTTTTCATAACGTTACAAATAGTGCGCAGAACATAAACGGTGCTTGCAACTTACGTTACCATATGACAAACAGTCGAGAAAAACGCGCTCAGAGAATGCTTATAACAAAGTTCTTATGCTGAGTTTTGCTATATAGATTACAGTTGTCAGATGCGTTCTCGTGAATTCTGGTTGGGAATTCTCCTAATTATTTTCGTAATCATACGTGATTTCCCAGGAGCTATGAATTTGGTTTTAGTCGGAATTTCTCCTTACCTTCTACATGCTTTAAGCCCCCCCCCCCCGCCCCCTCCAAAAAACCTATGTTCAGTTTGGTATTGGTGATATGAAAAAGCTATTACAACGATTCAGAAACAAAAGGCATCATTACATCTCATTAGCCACTTAATTGTAACTAGTGCATCAAAGCTCAACTGAGCTGAATTAAGAAATAGGATAAAGATTAAAAAAGAAAAACCCAAGCCAAACCTTTCCCATCCATAACCTCTTTTTCTGTCCTCCATCTCATTGCAAACTAAAAGACAAATACGACAACGCTCGAAAGTTTGGGGTCAATTTAAAAAAATAATTAACAATGATTTTTTGCTTGTCTTGAGATACCGCTAAATATAGGGAATACGTTAAGCTGTTCTTAATCAAGTCAGGTATAGCCAATAAACGATTGGAAGTTTTGAGCATATAGCTATGAACAGAGACCAAATTACAAGGAAGTCGATGTTTTTGTGAGGAAATCTCAGCAAATATCTAAAACACATTTGTTATCCAAATATAATAGGTTGTAAAAAGATTTACTTTATAACAATACTTTGGCAGTGTGTTTTAAATAGAGAAGTTTTATATAAACGAATCAACTTAGAGGGAATCAAAATGTTTTGGTTAGCAACAATATTTGATAAAATACCTTATTCTCTTTGTACCTGCTCAAATCTGATATGCAATACTCTTTAAATAATTTGTCATAATATTTTTTTGCTAAAGATTTTCCCCTGCAATGAAAAACGGATCAATAATTCTAATCACGAGAAATATAAAGGCTCTAAACATAAAAGTTAACATTATCAAAGATACAAGGGCTTAAACTTTTTTTGGTGTTGCTTAATGATGCAAATATAGATAACATACTAAGGTTACTACAATTTTGTGACTGATAGTGTTATTTATTGAAAATATCTCAAAAAGTTGTTGGCATTGTTAAACATCTGATAAAGTATAAAATATATGACAAGAAATACATAAAAACATAATAAATAAAGATTGAAGCTTCCATTTCATGATGAATTCTTGTCTCTGGTAGCCCGTTGCAAGTAGTCACATAAAATAATGCACTGGAAAAACATGCCTATGTTAACAAAAAGAAATGTGTACCAAGAATTATCTTCTTCATCCTCATCTTCCCAAACAAATCTAAAGAATAAAACAAACTCGATGAGAGTAAGAAAGGAAATGTTTGTTAATAGACGTTTAACAAAATATGATAAATTTCTTGAAGTTGAATACCGTTCTATTGTTGAAAAAAAACTGAACTTGAATTTGGGCTAAACTTAAACCCACTACCAAAACTGAGCTTTTCTGGCAATTGAAAAATTTTTGCACAAGGAGCCAAAATCAGAAATAAACGTATGTTGGTGTGCAGGAGTGCTGAACAACTGAACTACATCAGACCACCCAAAGTCACCTAGACCCATATTTTCAAGGGTTCAGCTTTGCAGTAATCAGCACATTCATTATCACTCAGTATAGTGCTGTTGAATGACATTCATTGCAACTTTTTCATTCTCCAATGAAGTCAGCATTTAAAGAATTATAGTTTCTTCAATGTTCTTTTAATCCAGTGATCATTTTTTAATTTAGAGTATTTAGATTAGGGAAAAAAGATCTAAATGCATTTGTATTTCAGTAAAAGTCCTTTCTGCCAAAAATTTATTTCAGATATTTGATACCAAAAAGAAGCTTATTGCAGATATTCAAAGAAAAAATAAACAAGGATTAGTGACTAGTGCAGTTCTTGGTTGTTATCAATCCTTACTGTAGAAGGATATACTTATTTTTAAGGGTAAATTGATGACAATAGGAACAAATTGTTCATTGTAAAAAATTGAATTTTATAATCTTTGGAGGGGCGCAAAGCCCTTGTGTAGTTACAGCTCCTTTTTTAGCTAACAGGTCCAGTGCATTGAATCATATGATATGAGTCATAAGTAGGCTAGAAGACACTGGACAGTAGAGGATCCCTTTGTTAAACCCAAAGGTTGGTTAATTACTACTCCTTGCTTTTTTGTTTTAAGAAGAAAACACATTGACCTAGAGCTAACTAGAAAAGCATGACATTTAAAAGAGGTCAATTTTCCAATTGATCAATTGACAGCATAAACAAATGAGAATAGTACTCTAAACAATCCCTTTATTTCACATTTCAATCATCACCACCCTGATCTTGTTCCATAAATATCACTGTCAACTTTATTCTTAATTTGGATAGCTAGCCAGTTATCCTCTTTAAGGGTATAATGAGCAAAATGTTGCTCTAGTGTCTAAGATTTCTCCTCCTTTTGAGCTCAGATTGGTCAAAAATATATGTGTTGAAGCTGGATTAAAAGATAAGCATTAGTCTAAAGAAAATATCAGATCATTATGCAAAGTTGGAGGGTAACATAACATCTCTTTGAAATCAGTACCTGTGGTTCTCTTTAATGACATCATGATCTGTTTTATAGTTTTCCCTAAAAAATAAAATCATGTTTAAAAATTTTGGATCTCGCAATACTGGAGTATATGGTTAAGTTGCATACAATCATAACTAGATAGATCGTGGCTGTGTGCATGCCCACAATAGAGAGCTAGAAAAGTAACCATCCAGGATCATCTGACTCAACACAGTTTAATGTCAAAGCAGAGCATTACAGCAAATTCGTAGGACTTCTCTTGGATGAACACCTTCATTGAAAATATCATCTTGCTGAACTCTCGAAAAGACTGGCAAGAACCTGTGGCATTCTTTTCAGGATTAGGAACCTCCTTCCAACAGTTACATTAATATCAATTTATAATGCTTTGTTTATGTCCTTCGTACAATATGGTATTATTGTTTGGGGACAAACTCACAACGGACAAGATAATAGATTCACATGTTGAGCCATTATTCAAATTACAAAAAAGAGCTGTTAGAGCTGTATCACATCAAGTATTCCTTGCTCATTCTCTTCCTATTTTTGAAAACTTAAAATTACTTAGAATCTCAGATATTTTTAAACTGAAACTATTATCTTTTGTTTATTAATTAATCAACAAGCTAACTCCAATGTATTTCCATAACTTCTTTTTTCCTAATACATCTATTCATTGTCACGCCACAAGGCAATCAACATGTGGTGATCTCTTCCTGACTATGACAAATACTTCACAGTACAGCTTGAAATCAACTCGATATATGGGGGCAAAATTATTGAACAATCTACCTGTAGAAATGAGAACTACCTCTTCTAAATCTGATGTCTCAGCCTGCTTTTATTTACAACTGTTCTATCAACAAATCTCCTAATTTATTAAACTTTCAATTTCCTTTTTCCAGACTAACGTATTACTTCTTTTGCAAATAAAAATTTATGTTGTCAGTTATGAATGGAAAGACTGAAACCCAATAACTCTAGCCAGGAAAAACAAAGCATAATTTTGACATTTTAATCCTTTTCCACAAAATGCCGTCTTTCCTGCAATGGTTGTTAGGCAATTCTTTATATTGCAATGGATTCACAGCTAGTAGAAAAAGTTAGCTACATTACCAGTCTTTTAGTTTGTGGTACGTTTATTAAGTTCAAGAGAATGATACCATGACCAAAGCAAAACTTTTTTTGGAGGTTTAACCAATTCAGAAATGTCAACTGGTCATTGAAACACAAAATGAATTACCTTGATCTCTGAAAATCTGACATGCTTCCACCATAGTATCTTAAATAATCGTTGATCAGTTTCTTGTGCTTTGCAAACTAGCAATAGGTTAAGGATTCTGCATACGCCAAATAAGAAAACACTGTCCAGAATATGTAATAAATACTACATGAAAAATAACCCAAAAGCCCAAGAGGTTCAACTATCAATCATGATTGGTTTAAGATCAATACGAGTGATCAGTACATATGCCTTCAGATTTCTTGAAAAAATCTAATTTCAAGGAAAAAGTAGTAATACCTACTGACAAAAACTGCAAAAAAATTAAACTTGCCACTTATTAGTACATTGTACTTACCACATTGTACAAGCCTTTTCAAATTGTGTTGGAAAATTTATCAAAATGTTTATCATGTTTATTAAAATTTATCATGTTTATTAAAAACAATGTTGCAAATAGAAAGACTTGAATATGGCAAATGCAATCAGATATAAGGCATAAATCAAGAGATGTTTCAGTAGCTACTTTATGGCTTTTGTCTCATCTATAAAATATAACAGACTTAATGGCTTGTTGATATCTCTTCAGCATATAAGACACCACAATAAAAGGATACAGCATCCATTGCAATGAAAGGTTGGAAGTGGTAGTTTCTTTTCTCCCTAAAGAAACAAATAATTTTTTGCTTTAAGTGAAATTGAGAATCTAACAAAATGTAAATTAATAAAGAAAGTAGGCCTCTCCATAAAGAATTTCACCAGGTGCTTGGCTGAGCACATGTCTCAAAGCAATACCTTTTATTGAGGCACCCGAATCATAATTTCAAGTCACATAGAAAAACGCTAATATCTCTATCAGTACTTTTCGTTTGATTTTAACCGATGAATTAAATAACTCTTGACTTTTATGTGTTATTAACACCCCCAAAAGAGACATGAATCAATAATAACATAAATGTACTGAACAAGCGAATCTAGACTTTTTATATGCTTTTAATCTAAAAATTACTTCCTGTAATGATAACAGTGATGACCCCAATTCAGAGTGGTTCTTTCATCACACTCTACTGGCACAAATAGTTTTCTGTTGTTTAACATGCATATTGTGTCAAGCAATTCCCTACTATAAAGAATGCCATGCTTTATAAATGATTCCTGGAGCAACAAGACAATGTTTCTGATAAAAAGTAATCTTAAATACATATGGATGAGGTGCATAATATCCCTAATTTTTTAGAATGAGGTATGTCACAAAATGCACACCTTGTCTCACCTGGGTGCATGCCAAGGCCCGGACAAGAAATCAAATACCTAAAACTGAGAGGCCTGAGAAAGCCATCAATATTCAATTATTATCCATTTTAACTTGATACAAAGTTTTGTATGTTGGCATGGATGCAAAAAAGAGGGGTTCTAAGGGTGTCACATCCCTAATATTAACAAGTCTCCCACAGACAATACTATGACTGTGAAAACCAGTTTGCAGTGTATGGCTAGCAGGGACAAGATTCTGGTTGCACAAACAGCCCTGCACCATGGTTGCACAGAAAGCATCCATATATGCCAGGTGCACCATCACTTATCAATTTTTCACATTTAAATCCAATTTTTTAGGTCACGCATCTTAGGCATGCCATCACCATGTCCTTAGACCAGATTAGAGTGCTTTAGGCAAAGGACAGGCCATGGATGAACTAAAAAACCTGCAAAAGAGGTACAGCACACAAGTGAACAGCTGGCCTCAACCAATATGTAGAGGCTCTGTTTTTATTGCTGTGAGTCAGTGCAAAACAACTACCCACAAAGTTATTATAATCTGGAACCAGTGGGCACACCAAAAACAGATTTTGATTTGCCTTGCTATTTCACAGAAGCAAGTAATTTGATTCTCGTTTTGGAAGAGAATGTTCATTTTGACAAAATTTAAAATTTAGATAAAGATGTATTGAAATAAGTAATGTTGAAAAACATCTCAAATAAATAAGCCCAAGGGTTTTCTTTAAGAGTATACAGGAACATTCATCGTCATTTATAGCTTGTGGTCTTAGATTTCCTTCTTAGATTTCTCTTAAATCTGTGCTTAGATTTCCTACCAAAGAATGGAGTTTTCATTTAACCACAGCATGAAGACCTACTGTCATTTCTTTCAACACGTTATTTACATTTTGCTTCTCTTGATCTGCTCAGATTGGTTTGTGTCAGTCCATTTTGGACTTCTCACCCCTCCCTTAAAAATACAATTCAATTTCCCCCGAATTTGCAAAAAACGGCTCCTACGGTACTGTTATATTAACCTTAAGTTTATTAACAAAAGTCGGCTTGGGGACCTCCAAAGACTCTCCTATGGTAAAAGAGTAGCCAGTCTGAGAAAATGTGTCAGGTTTGACTAAAGCCATTCAAATAAGATGAAAGTGAAGTAACTTACATTTTGTCTTAGGGCAAGTGTAAAACAGTGAATAATAACCACTTTAATGGTGTATTGCAATCTTTATTAAATACAATTCTGTCTTGTTTATATTTTCCTTATATAAAAAACGCAAATTGTTCTGGTTGAAACCGAGGTTGCAGAAGAACAATCTTGAAGGTGTTTCGTCGACCTTAAGGTGAAACAATATTCTAAAGGGGAGGGGAGAACAACGGCAACAAGTAAACATTCGTAAAGTTAGATATGGATAAACTCAAAAGCATTTCCCTCACGAAAAAGGCAATCATTGCGACATCTGGTATTGCAGCAATATCAATTGGTGCTTACTTTTTGTACCGGAGGCTTAGGAGAGGAGAGAATGGTGCGCAATTCTTGGTTCTATTCTATTCAGTTTGATCCTAACAAAATCCTTTTAGCAACTGTTTGTTTGAAACAGTGTGCAGGTTTTAAATTTGGGTATCAATAATGTTGATATCCTTTATTGAAATTTAATACCACAACCGTGCAAATTGTATAAATAATATTTAGAATCTACGTTTTTGTGAAAAATTAGTGTAGGTTGTTTCAGAATACATAACTTTATTTGTGTCATTTCTACACTTCTACATCGATACTGGGCAGGACCGAGTATCGGTATAATGCTCAGAGTGCAATAAGAAATAATGAAATTAGAGTTTAATGGATAAAAAGTGCTAGAAGATGCCACTGATCAATGATTAGATTGAACATTTACATGTCAAATGAGAAGCTGTATTTTTGTTTTTCGGCAAGACTGAATCAAAAAGGGACTGAAAATTAAAGAGAACATTGTGGTAATGGATTGGTCAGTGACATCTATGAATTAATGCAGGTGAAAATTAATGATAAAAGTTACATGTTAGAATAGAAAGGAAAGTAAATCTAAAATACAGTTAAAGGCAATCCTTTGACCTGTCTATGAACACTGTGCGTCCTTGGATTAACAACGTTTATGTTCTTCAGTTCAATTTCTTTCTGAACCTTCCTCTTAAATGTCTCTTCTTTAGGTTGCCTGTATTCAATTGGTAACATGTTCCAACATCTGATAGTTCTTGGGAAAAATGAATACAAATATGTGTTGGTATTAGGTGTCGATCCCAATGGTGATTGGGGGTGTGGCTGTATCTCAGATTTCCCAATATTTGTGAAAATTTTGAATCTATAATTCTTCCTTAACGATTTAAGAACAATCAGTGGAATCAGGTAACTGATCATAACATAAAAGGTTCCTTGAAAGGCTTTTTATCATGTGATCTACTAGTCTAATTTTTATTTGAATTTTATGTAAAATTATTTTCAATTAGCCAGCCAAGAAAGGGTTATGATAAGTCCATGCACGGAATCAGTTTACAAGAAAATAAGAAAACAAACTGACTGCTAAGCAATGCATTGCAAAAATTCAATGTAAATATAATGTGTAATCAATTGAAGAATAATTCATAAAGTAGATAAACTTTTAGCAATGTATGTTGTACATTTATAAAAAAGAATGCCAAGAATAAAAAATGTAGATTCCACAACACAGATATCTCTTGGGATCATCATTTAAAAAATAATTCGGCAAGCAAGAGCTGAGAGCTAATTTTTATCAGTTATAGCTGTTATATCAATAGTTGCAGTTTTGTGTTGATTAAAATGTTGACGTTGGGATAATGTTTTTTTTTAAAATTAAAAAAATTAGTTGAATGTCCTAGCTATACGCAAACATAAATTAATGTTGCACCTCCAATATGAGGCTCAGAAAATCAAGACTTGTGGCATGAATAGAACTTATCTTTTTAAATTCACCAGTTGTGAACAAATTCACCAGTTTTCAGCTTGACTGCATCACAAAAGCGAAATAAGCATGCATCTCAACAACATGCACCAGCAAGCTGATAGCCATATGTAGTGTGTCACCTGGATAGCACTTGTATCCTCAGTTGCTTTGTTCATATTTCACACAAAAGAGTTTATCAGAAATAAAATGAATTCACTTCCTATAATAATTGCAAAGCTTATTTCTAAATAGGCCTAAATTACTCTTAGGATAGATGTACACTGCCAATAGGCTGTCCCCTGATTATTATGGGTAAAAAGAAAAACAAAGTTCAGGTCAATTAATAGTGCAGATTTCAAGGGTATTGATAAATTTATTTAATGCTTCTTCCAGATTTGGCAGAAAAAAGGCCAAAAAAGCAAATTGTTACTGACCACCAGCCAAGTGAAAATTTTGATGAATATGAAGCTGCAAGTGGCAAAAAAGTTCTTGTTCTTGGATTAGAAAAGTCAGGCAAATCCTGTCTCTTGGCTGCCATGTTAAATGAACAAGCACAAAAGGAATACCAACCAACCCTTGGTTTCAATGTTATCTGCATAACAAACATCAATAAAAGACTTGATATTATGGAAAGTATGTATACTTTTTGTGTATTATCTTTTTATTAACTTTTTTATCAGCATATGGTTTATTCTAGTAGTTTTTGTTTCTTTGATGTTAGTACTAAGGTGAAAATGTATTGTTAATTTTAATGTATTCAAAAATTCTGTATTTTCATATACTCAAGTAATTTCCTTAAAGCCTAAATTAGTTGAAGATATTTGTAGATATAAATTTATTTAAACTTTAATTTGTTTTCTAGTTGGTGGGTCAGCAAGGTACAAGGAGTATTGGGACAGATTTGTCAATGGTACAGATTTGCTTGTATATGTTATTGACTCTTCAAATACCAGCTCACTTTCAGACACCTTGGTTGCCTTAGAAGATACATTAAAACTAGAAGCCTTATTGGACATTCCTGTTATCATAGTGTTTAGTAAAAGAGATAAAGACACTTCCGTTCCCATCAGTGATTTGATTAGCCAAATAAAACAAAAAGAGTTTGAAAATGAAAGATTTCAGTATGCAACAGTGCAAGTTCAATGTGGAGGAGCGCCATCAACCGAAGGTGTTGAGAATTTGCAGGAACAGATGACACAGTTATGCTGAATTCATAGTTCTTCTTAGCACTCGCATAATTACACTGCATTCGTCTTTTTATGTATATTTTAAGCATATTTGAGGCACATTTTACAAATTTTGCAACATTGTGTTAGGAAACTCTGTAATGATTTTTTTGGGCATAAACTAACACTGAAAAGTGTATATGTAGAAATTTTCTTCAATATTCTCAATATTCTGAATAAAGCTTTCTACCAAATTGGATAGTTTATTCATGTGTTTCAGAATTATAACAAGCTATGCATTAATTTTTTGAAAAAACACAAGGTAACTCACCAAGGAAGTTTTATTATAATAATTTTGACAAACCTAAGAGCCCCTGCTACAAGTTCAAGAGTAAATTTTTCAAATTTTCTTAAAGGTTTTGTTTGTGATTTGATTTAAATTGATTTAAGATATCTTGACAACTTAAGTTTATTTATTTTCTAATAATAGGGATTTCAAGCCAAAATGCAATGGTCAGTTTCTCTTGGAAGGTGCTTTATCTACCTCCTTTATTTCTAGGTATAAAAGTGGATGATTTCAGATGCAAATTTTATTCAGAATTAAACCTTCAATTAAAACAATTTGTTTGCATATGTTCCAAAAAGTTTGGCACTACCATAGAAAAATCCGTTGTTTTGCTCAATACAACACATAGGGATGGAACCAAAAACAACCAAGAATCTTTTATCTAATTTTAAATGAATATTTTTCAATTAGATGAAATATTGAAGGGTTTTTTTGAAGTGGATGGTAGTGTCATATTACTTAAACTATGCTGTAGTTTTTATTGGGAGTTTTGTTGGGAAAAAGGTGTTCCAAAATACGAATTTCGGTACGTGAGGTAGACTTGTACTTGGGAGAAGGAAGAAGTTTCTTAAGAGATTTTAAATTTTTTGCTTAATTTGTAGAACACTACTGTAATGTTTCACAAAAAGTGAGTAGAAATGTCTTACCAGATTTGTCTTTCTGTTCTTTTTCTTTTCTTTGTTTTTTCTTCAAAGGAATGACACACATGACAATGAAAATTAGAAAATAAACGATGCTAAAAATGGTTACAGGAAAATAGGAAAGTTGGGCATACTGACGTATAATTGCAAGAGCACTAAAACAGGTATTGATAATGCAAAGCGAATGTTATTATTGAATATTATTGTTATTATTAATATTATTGAAAACGTTTTATTACCTTAACACTTAGAAAACGATTTTTGGTCATTGAAAGATTCTCCACACACGACTTGCATCCACTGATCTATGCTTGCATCAGGAAACCTCCATTAACGAACGCCCGCAAACAACGGACACCGCCAAACAACGGACACCTCCATGCAACGGACAAACCATTTTGTCTCCAGAATTCCTTCCAGCTGCCTATACGTTGTGCTTTATCATGGGGAAACCTTAGGAAAAGTGATATCTTCCTTCAATGGACCCAGGGGCGAAAATACCGGGGGGGTGTGGGGGGGTGTGACACCCCCCAATCTTAAAAACAGTCGATTTCGCAGGGCAATCGAAGATTTCGCAGGGCGCCAAGAAGAGCTTTGTTCCCACGCAGATATGTCACCTCTGAAGTTCGTAAAGGGCCGTTTAGGAATTTTGAAATGGAAATATCATATTTGTTATGAACCTACCTTCCTGATATTGCATTTTAGAGAACGGAACAGGTATGTAAGGAAAAGCTCCGTTATTCGCAAAGCGAAATCATGTCTTACCGAAAGTCATATCGAATGGATGCAATAATTGATGCATATGTTTATGAGGACAAGGTTGAGTCCATATAAATTGATTTAAGTTGTAAATTATTTTCATGACAGGCACGGCGTCACTGGGGGGAATAGGGGGCTGAAGGCCCTCACTTTGGTCAAGATAAGAATTTTTTATCATTTTTTCTATTAATTTTTAACAGTGCATGAAATAAAAAGAGAGTAAACTGTCAAGATGCCGATTTTGTTCGATCTAATTACTAACTTTTTTACGTATATTTTTATTATTTTTCTTTTATTTGCATTAATTCAGTAAATCACTTTCTGTATCATTGCAATGTTTTAATTTTGGATGGCCTTCTCGATACAAGAAACTGCACATTTCTGTTCAGGAAATAAAATTCTCCCAATCAAAACAACATCTTCCTCTGTCATTCACAACTATGTGCAGTCTGAAACGAAAGGTTGACGTTTCTTTTCTTCCCCAACGCCTATCACTAGAGTTTTAGCATGACATGCCCCTTCCTATTTTTCCCAATAAACAATAATCAGTTTTTTAGCACAATAGTATTTTGCTAAATTTTAGTCTGAAAGATGCTTTTTAGCCCTATTACAAGGTATAATTTCAAAAATTTTCTTCACGTCGGACCCAACCATGGTGGGTCCTCCTATAACACTAAACTTGATTCTTAGTCCCCCTGGGCTCAATTTCGTTGCTTCGCCCATATACTGCACCAAAAAATCATATGCCACGAGATAGAAGCTTTATTATCAAAGAAAATCAAATTTGACATATAATTTACGCTCACGTAGAGAAATAGATATTTCATAGGCAATGAAGTTTTAAGTTTGTTTTTATTGCTTAGAAGTTTTTCCTTGGTAAAGACCAGTGTACACTGGCGAAGCTTTCACTAGTAACCTATAGAGTATAGACAAACCTTTGCTACGAGGTCTGCAGGGCACCACTCAGTCTTGCAGGGCAGAAACCCTTTTCACCCCCCCAAACCTACTGGCCAAGTTACGCCCCTGAATGGACCGTGACTCTAGTCTCGCTGTATGACTCTTTTGTGGTTCACCCATTCGTTTAAAAGCATCAGTTCAAGAAGGGTGATCGATATTATCAATGATACTAGTTTCAACATAAGCTATGGGAGTTGCTCCTGAAAAATTAAAACTTATTTGTACCGGCATGTGCCGGAAAATATTTCAAGTGAAGTCACAGTAGTGGTGTAAACTCCAATATTTGTGAAGGCTGCTCCTTAACTTCCTCTCCCACCATTCTAGAAATCATAAACGCAGTTGAAACGAAGCAAAATTTAGTATAGGAAAACAAAGAACCTTGCCTAGAGTGAAATCAAACAAACCCTGATGTTTGTGAGAAAGTGCTCTATATATCTGAAGTAAGTTCCTTTATTTGCAGCGAGAAGCATTTCAAAGGAGCACTGGAAAGAAGCGTTTATTCAACACGTTTTTTGCTATAAAAAGTCGTGTTATGAAGAAAAAGAAATGCTAAGCCGAAAATAAGGACGCATATCTGCTATTCACTAGCTATTATACACAAGAGAGATGTATCCAGGTCCCATTTGCTGACAAAGTGGTGCACCATCCTTTATTTGCCTACAATTCACCTATAAAAACTCCTGAATGGCAACAGACTCCTTGGTTTGAAACGAAATCTTTTAAGGGGATCGTCACACCTCCTCTTCCCTACACCTCCTTAGCTTCTTCCCCGACGATACCCCGCAGTTTCAGTTGCCATATGTTTAAACCGACGAAGAATAAGGATATACTTTAAGTAAGGGAAAACAGATCACTCAAGTTCACTTTGGCATAACAAGACAGCTCGATTTTGAGATTGATGATGAGTGTATTAGCAGTTTGCCTTTTTTTAACAGGAAAGACAAGCACTGATTTGCGCAAGCAAAGCATAACAAAGAATCAAGAACTGGTTATAAGAATGATAATTTGACATATGCCAAATCTCATACCGTAAATCCTCTAACATGCATGTGTTAGGGCAGCCATTAGCGAACTAAACACATTGCAAACAAAGTGCTAAGAAAGTAAGGAGCGCTTATAAAATTGGTTTATTTGCATGTGAAGATCCATTTGAGCTTCGTGTAAATATGAAATCTGTCAAGAAGGGTGTTTTCGTGAGATACTAATATGCGGCGATTTACAGCCATACAGAGTTATGTTTTTCTCACACAATTTTATATGTTTGTTCTGAAATTGATAACTTCCCAAAAACAAGCTAAATTGAATTAAATTATAGGTAGGCGAGGCAAACCAATGATACTGAAAAAATATTTTGACTTATATGTAGGTAGAAGTTTGAAGGTAGCTATGACGATATGACGACAGCCATAGCCTTCACAGCAGTGGCAACTGCAAAAGAAATGACCTGAAAATGCCTCTAACAAACTTGTCAAATACATTTCAAAAACTGCTTTAGTATCTAAATAAATTTCAAAAATCGAACCAAACAGCTTTAGGACAATTAAAGTTTCGGACAGAATTGTGGTTGAACGTTTGATCATCTGCAAGACTCTTATCATAATGAAGGAAACAAAAATATTTAGAAAAAAGCTCTTTTCAAATAATCAAGAAGCCTTTCTATTATTGTAGAAAGATATAATCTTATGTTATGGGATACTAAGGCTCAATTGGCCCTGAAACAATTAGCCACGTTGCATCCAAAGACATTAGAAGTCACAGTAGAATGTCAGAAGCAGTTAAATGCTGGGGAGGGGGAGATATTGGGGGATGATATCAGAAAGTAAAAGAATTAGCATCGAGATCGTTTCTAATGAGCATCGAGATCCATGATTCCCCCATTTTTGGTACTCGCGTCACAAGAAACCTGGTCTACACCTCGCCTTTTTCTCAGGTTTATCCACCTTTATTATCAAACCCGCCATTCGATAATTGGCTTTGCATTGAATCTAAGAATCAATCACAGGTAAATCGTTAACGCGCATACGAACACATCTATTCTCAAACATTCACACAGGGATGATTACAGCGTTATCAAAACACATGCCTGCAGGTGTGTGTTTTAATTTTTCTTTGATTTAAGAAACTCTAGCTTCACCTGTTTTCCTACCTTGAATGTATGTATCTTAGAATTATACCTTACGCCAATTCGAAGCAGATTTACCACTGCTCGTTCAAATAAATATTGACTATGTGCTGAAACAGGGTTCCTCTGTATGGGCGGATGCAAAGTGCCAGAAAGCGCCCTGGTTGTGAATTAACTGTAGCAGTATGAGAGAAGAATATCACAAAAGCATATAGTCACTTGAGTTAGCTCAAATCAAGATGGCGGATAAATTTCTATCCCAAACACATCCCGTCGACGAACTTACTACAGTCGACCTACAAATGTTCATTAATACAAGTTTTTTTTAATGCTAAATTTAAAGGAGTTGCTAAAGGAAGCAAAGACATAACCTCTTCATCTTCATCAATTTAAAATGTCCATAGTTTCGATATGTTTTAGAGTATTTCTTCTTAAGCTCGTTCAATTTTCTACTTTAACATTGCATGATGTCGATGCTATTTCTCTAATAGCAAGATCATGCATCATCATCATCATCATCAATTAAATTAACTACAGTACAATTTAATACTTAAATAAGCTCTTTACGTCTAAATGACAAATTAGAGCTTTTTACGGAAAAAAAGAAAAGTCTTAGATCAATGAAGTTTTATCAGATACTTTGATAACGAGTTATTCAGCCCAAATGTTATGTAAGAGGAGCTAGATATCGATTTAAACAATTCAAGCTGTTAAGGCGGTGTTATTTGTTTGCGTGTTCTAGAGAATCTATTCCAGCATTGCAAAAACAAGAAGAAAGTTGCGGATTCGAGCTACCAAGGAGCAACTGGCATACAAAGGATAATCATTCTAAATAATTATCATACAGAGCAGTTTAAAAAGTATTCTGCAAAAATTTATGTCTTCTTGCATTAGCCTTTACAAAGTCATGGTCTGTTAAACAGCTGTATCAGGGTACTGTGGCGAAAGGACGCTACAGTTTTAAGGCGGGTAATGGAGGCGCTAAGTAGGAAATCTGAAAAGAAGTTAAATATTAATCAACTACCGTACCTACCGTACGGTATCGTATCAAGATTCAGTTACATCTCAGCGATTTGGCTCATTAAGAAACTCTTTCAAAGTTTCTTTTCTTTAGTTAAGTAAGCGATGGCGATTTTTGCAAACCTGATCTTAGATTGGGCAAAATAGATACAAAAACTATTTGTAAACTGTGAGAAGACATTTTGCCAAGTATCCTTTCCAAGTACACTTTTAAAATACACATGCCTCCGGTTACGGAAAGTGAACTTCGACATTGTAATGACGCTTTCCATGACGCAACCTCCGTCTTTATATAACAGGCAATCGATAAGCAATTCTAAAGCACTTGCAAACAAGGGGTATACGCTAGGCCGTGATTTGTTTTGTTTTCATAGACGCGGGTTTCGTATTGTCAGCTAAAGCCAATTGTCTGTCGAAAAAAATCTAAGAAATCGAGTTGCTAATTGTTGCTATCGTTTTCTGCCGTGTCATAGAAGAAAAGGAGGTGCGCAATTGTGGAAACATTTCAGGCGTTTTAAACGATGTTCACAAAAGGAATCGGATGTGTGTACAGACTGGTAAAATTTTACAATTAGAACTGGTAGCCGCCATAAAGTCGGGCATCATCTTCTGTTACATTCAGTACATTGTTGGTTAAACAAATTTACAAACCAATAATCATTATTTCTTCAGCTGAGTGCAATGAACTGATTAAAGGTGCTTAAACGCATCAAATGTCAACTTGTAGCGCAATCTGAATCGCTGCAGCTCAGAGGAGGGTCGACACAGCAAACCTCTTTCGCGCGTGATCAAAACTGCTAGGGGTAAAGAGAGATTAGCGGAAGTGGGGCCAAGATCTACTTCGTATTTGGTGAAGAAAAGACATTAAGAAGAAGAGCCGTTCTAAAGTAGAGAAGTAGAGAGAAATCTAAAGGTTTACCAAAGATTGCTGTTGGCTTTTCTAAGAAAAAGAACTGAGGTGAAAGAAGCTGAGCACTGACCTAAAGGAGAGCCAAAGCAAAACCTAATCTCACATCTTATAACAGTACATGATATATTCAATAGGAATTTATAAAGGAAATATTTAATGACAGCGACGCTTGAAAACTTGAAGCACAATGTCTGAAAAGTATTGCATTGACAAGATACTAGAAAAGCCTGGAACGATAACACCGGAAAGAAGATTTGAAAGACACGAAGTTCGGCCGTCTGGACAGGAGAGCAGAGCATTGGAAGATGCAAGTGACAGCAAGAGACATTTCGAAGAGGGTTTTATGCTGCATGTTCCAAGGGAATACCAAAGACCTGTAGCATACAGGCCAGTAGAGTCTGTGTGTCGAGTAAAAGGAACAAGATGTTACTGTCAGGAGCCTCCACGACATGCACTGCCCGCATGGGTTGGAGACGCACCATGCTCTCACTACGAGAATGCATACGAATATCGTACCTACATAAGACAACCATACTACACAACAGGTGAGTTTAGCTGTAAAAACGACATTGATACTTAACACTATGTGGATGATAACTTAATTGGCGCAAAGAACCAAATTACGTTGACGACTATTTACGAAGCGTTGCAATCCCAAGTCACTTGTCATGTAAGATTGCACCCCTTGAGATGAAATCTAGAAGGCTGATTTCGGCTCGCAATATAAGAAAGTAATTGTATTAACAAATGCTCTTTTGAAAAAGTCGCATAATCTTTTATAAAGACGGGACAGTTTCTTCAAATCAAATACAAAGATGAAAACTAACCACGAATATAAGCAAAACAAAATCAACAGCTTATATTTTTCTTTTTTTTCAAAGTAACATATCAGATAAAAAATAGCGGTAAATATCTATATGAAAATCTGAGCCTTGTCAAAACTACTCCTAGGAAGGTTGATGTTATCAAACCCTTAAACTACCAGAAATGGACTATAACGTAATGCAGATAAAGAAGACGGAAAAACAGATGAAGTTTCCGATTTAGTGATTGTATAAACATAAGGATTCAATGTAAAGAGAAACTAGCAATTCTATTGGAGGATACTGATGACGCAATGCTGATACGAAACTCTAATAGGTTCTTGATCCTTCTTGTCGAAACCTTGGCATTTAAGAAACAATTAAATATCACAGAAACCAAAGAGCAATGTTTGTGGGCGATGTAGTGCAGATACCCTCTCAATCACAAAGTGCATTTAGAAAATAATAACCTCCCCCCCCCCCCCATTAACAGAATCTTCGCATTAAATTCTTCGACGGCATTGGATTTAGAACTCTATAATCAATACGGAAAAGTTCCTTTTGTGTGAAAACCGAGAGAATATATTCGTGCGGCGAATAATTATGGATACTTTTACCCCACGAAAACCGTGTACGTGCGATAGCGTTGAAAGAATGCGAATGGTTGTGTTTTGATTGATACGTACAAACAAACGAACCTTGAAAGAACTGAAAGAGAAAGACCGATTGACAAAATAAACCAAAGGCTATGAATCAATAAAAAATGTAGGGATAATTTATAGGAAAATATACAACTTAACTTATCTGAAGATAAGATTATAGGTTAACTTTTCAGCAATTAGATGTTAGTAATAGGAAAGTACAAAAATGTGTTTCCATTTCAACGGAGGAAATTCCAAGAAAGGTGTTATCATTTTTAATTAGCCTGGAAATATTGTCTCCAGTGCGTTCCACTACGCACCGCGTGTTCTTTCCGCGTGCGGGAAATAGTTTAGGCGAATAGACTTGGGCAGGCATCCAACCGTTTTTATTGAGAAGATTCAGACAATGGCCTGCGGCAGAACAAATCAGCTCATAGCAAACACCACACGCAGCCTAGCCGCCTTTTGCTAATCTTTTAAGCACCGGTATTCAATGACTTTTAGTGTTTTAACTTATGAGCTTTTAAGAAAATAGAAAGACAATTGGGTTGCTACGATTTACTAATCGCATCCTTGAATATGAGGAACGAATGTATCGCACGTGTCTTAAAAAAACATTTCTCTTCTGCTTTTGTTCATCAGATGATCGAGAACATACAGCATTTGGCAACAGTTCCTTGGCAACGAGAATCAAGCAGCAACAATCTGTTAGCTCCACAGGGGGATCAAGAAAAAGGAAACGTCATCGAACGGCCTTCACGCCCACTCAACTTTTGGGTCTCGAGAATGCGTTTGAGCAAAGCCACTACTCTGTTGGGGAGGAGCGCAAACAACTTGCCTCTTTCCTTGGCCTGAGCGAGACACAAATCAAAGTTTGGTTCCAAAATAGAAGGACAAAGTGGAAAAGAATCAGGAAAGAGGCTGAAGAAATGAGCTTAACTGATGACGAGGCTGATTCTGACCACAAGTACGAGATTCACATTCCTAGGTGCGAGCCATATTGTCAGCGGTCTGAAGGCGTGCACCTATCACATGAGCAGGAGCACAGATGCGACAAAAGATGGCCGCCAGTGCATCATGCTTGGAACCAAGATCGAGGACGGTTTTGATCCTTTGAAGACATTAGCGTCGCACCAAAACATCCACGACAATTCATTATCATAAACATATCTTTTATAACTATCTGAAATATTCGTAGAACTAGTACCAAAAGTTTAGAAAATGATTTGCCGGAGCTAAATGACCAACTTTGAAAAACCAAAAACCAAATTTACGTAGTCCGGTGCCGTTTTTCGAACTCATTTCCCTGTTTTAAGACACGAATCTGATTCTCCTGGATCTCAAAAGTATCTTATATTCGTTAGTATTTTAGGAAAAGAAGTTACCTTTACAAAGCTTCATTAAACTGTTGAACACTGTGATTTTAAAAATGTGATCAATGTATATGTACATAACTAATAATGTAGCATAGACGACACAGGATTGTAGCATGTGGAGGTGCCTTAGTGTGGAGGTAACCGTTGTGTGGAATTTTCCGTTGTAATTACGTCCGTTGGAAAACTTTTGGAATAATGGCGTCTTAGGGATGGCAAGAAACTATATCTCAAATGGATTTTGACTGAAGGAAAATCCGAGGCAATATACCTAAGCTTTGTTTTATTAACATGTCCCATAGTCTAGTCTGTTGTAATGTTGACTTGAAATAAGAAAGGTCTTGCAAAGTTTTTAGAATAGCCGTAATAATATAGCTCGTAATGAAACTTTTTTTAGATTTTGAAATTACCCAAAATAGGATGGGGAGAAAAAAAAACAAAACGCGGTTTAATAAAAAACATCAACATTGAAATATCAAAAGTAGAACTATCAAATTAAAATCAAGCATTGCTGTAAAGATGGGAAATTATTTTGTAACATCTGATCAAAACGAGTTTTAATAGACCTTACAATTGCATCTATCTTTTTTCTTTCTTAGTAAGAATGGATTATCCAAACGATCAAACTTTGAAGTTTTCTTGATGATACGTTTTAATAACAAATTTGCCCGTTCCTTATTTCTCATATCCTCAAAATTTTCTTTCAGCTCTTTCTTTTCCTTCAACAGCTGATTTCTCTCTTTTTGTAATGTTTCTGAGGAAGTTTTCGTTAACAAACAGACCTTGTTTGCCAAGTTTAGGCCATAAAAAACGAAACTCCGTCAATTTGTGCTGGCACCAAGTTATTCTGGATCAAGTTTCTTGATCTATTTCCTAAGCCAAGCTGTTACTTGTTGTACAACTTGGACAACGATCGATTTCTTCAGTCAAATTCCAATATTCAATTTTATATATGTCTTCTGTGGTAAAGACATAGCAACCAAGCAAAAGCTAAAGGCATGTGTAAGGGATTACCAAGCACAGTTACTTAGAGAATGATAAAGTAGATTTCTGTCCACTTTTGCCTCAAAAAATTTCTTTTACTCTGCAGAAGGGGGGGGGAGGGAATGGCCCCGCCGGTTTCGCCGGCCCTGAGTATCCGTGAATGGCCTACGGGCCTACAGTCAACCAGTTGAAGAGTGCCAGGGGTATGAAAAAGTCCGAGAGGAGCAGAAAGATAAAGAGGGATATTGAGGTTTACTCGTAGTAATATCGCTCCACTTTCTGTTTTTCTCACTGATCTCTACGACTTGCATAAAGTCATTTTGCAATGATGAGACGACATTAAGTTTAAAAAAGCAACGAAACGTGCTCTTGATAAAAGTATTCTCACCTTGTGGGCCTACTAACCAGAATTTGATATTATTATATTCAGAGTTAAAAACCGAGAACAGAACATAGATGTATAAACAAACACGAAGAGGCAAGTCACTGGGTTCATTATCAGATTTGTGTCATTGTTTTCTCTTCCCTTTAAAAGTTGTAGCTATTTGGTTTCATTCCATTCAATTGCAATAGGCATCGATCATTGCCCTATCAAAAGCAATAATGAGAGCAGAAGATTGGAGGAAAATATTGGATTTCAATGCAACAAAAAACCAAACAGTATCAGTGACGATAGAAAAGGCTGCTGAAAGATTCACGTCCCCTTCTTCATGAAAGATAGTGACTGCCTCGATCCAATGCATGGAGCAATTGTAAAGCTACTCGGTCCAGGCCAGTACTGGCCAGCTTCAGCCATAGATGATGCAGACCGCAAAACAGAAATAAGAGTGCAATGTGTCAAGAAATATCTTTCCACCACCCTAGCAGGTTCAATAAAACAGTGACAACTCTTTATGGGAAAAAGACACCGGGAGGGTTCATGTCAATTGTAGTAATAAAGACATTTAGTGGTTGTTTTGTTACAAGTGTTATGATTTATAACAGAGAAACAAATGAGCAAATATACAGCAAAGAATTATCTTCAATAAAAAGCAACTTTTGGCATAACCAATCGTTTTCATTTCTAAAATAATATTATATTTTCCGGCACGGGGGAACTCAGAGCCGTTATCAACATACCACCCCCTTCCTTGATCAATGTATGGCATTACCCCCATTCATTGATCAAATTGCATTTGCTACTAAAAGAATAGGCCTATCAACCTTTTCACTAGTGGACACGATAAAAGCCTCCAGTCGATGCCCCTTCAGAAGAGCTCCTACGGGCACAAAAAGCGCCAACGTTTTCAGGAGTGGAAAGATGTTATCCTACCTTGAAGGCTATTGGTTATAAAGCTGAATATACCAGCAAGAAAATGTGATGATATCGAGTGACTAGAAATCTTTTCGTTTACTCCATTTACAAGTGAGTGGAGTAACAAGTCGAAGTTGATTTATAACTGCTTACACATTCATCAAACTGTGACAGAAAAATCAAGGACTCGTTTTCACTTTATGTGAATATGAAACAAAAAACCTAAATGAAAAATTCTTGAAGCAATCTAAAAATCTAAAATGACCTTGCTTTACCAAGAAAAAAGGCGCAAAGTTAAATAATAGTTAGTTTGTGTTCATGGCTTCGAATAACAGAAAGTGTAAGCTTCGCAGCAAAGAAACACATTTGTTCCTAGAAGTTGCTGCAAAAACGTGGATTAATTCGAAATCTAAACTTTAAATGAAAAACCTGTGTAATGGACAAAAACAGACAACCATACAGCAATTAATTCACAATTTTCATAGAAGCTAGGATGGCAATCATAACAGAAAAAATTAATTTCACGGAGCGGTAGTTTCCGGATCGCTGTTGCATACACAGTCAGACTGATAGCCGTTGCGGCCTTTTGAAACTACAATGTCGTCTGCTGAACTACTTTCCGCTTGCGCTGCTTGACTTTCACCGCGCGGCTCATCTTCCGCTGGCGATTCACTTAACTGAAGGGTTTCAAAGTTCTGTTGAGTGCTTGCAACGGATTGTTCGCTTTCACTCTGATCTGATTGTTTTGTTTTGACCCCGCTATCAGGTAAATCATTTTGAAGTTCGGGTGAAATAAACGAGAAAAATAATTCACGACAAAACAGCTCTCTAAAATCGCGCTTTTCTGCCTCTTTTTCTGTCTCCGACTTCTGTTTGGTTTCAGTGTAGTATCTGTGAATGGACAAAATACATGTGATACGAACCCGCTACAAACAAACGATGGAGAGCTAATTGTAAGCAAACACGCAAATATTCGCGGTCTAATCGCAGGAATGCAATTTTCAAGTCTGATAAACATTCGAATGAATGGACTTGTTTCTCTGCTGGATACCACAAAAATTCAGGCAAGTAATATATGTATTACTTCAGGCCTATTTCGTGATAGCCAATTTATTGAATTTTTTTCATACAACAACTAATCCATAAATCAAATGATTAATTTCAAGAGTCGGTTTTTAAAAACTTTGGCTAGGTAATAAGTACACCAGAAAAGGGGGTCTTGCAGGCCTTTGTGTTATTTTGGACCTAACCTTCAATGCAGCAACTTAAAACATATGTACATGTTAAAATAACACAGTTTTATGCAGTAATAGTAATACGTTTTATAGTAATAGTAACACTTTAGAAGTACACCTCTTTCGCCTATTTTTAGGAAAACGACGTGAAGCAATTAATTTCCTTTGAAGTTGGCCGGGTATTTCAATTTTAGATACTTAACAAAGGCATCTCCTTTTTGATCTAAGTAATCTCCTCTACTTTTGTGGAGTAGAGATTGATTTAAAGCCGGTTCCAAAGATACGGTTCCAAAAATTGTTTTGCTTTCCCTACATACGCAGAACCTAAGTACTACAGGAAACCAAATCACCATGCTCACAAAAACTCCGCAGAATGGTGGTAAAATCCAAAATCTACTGAGCGTTTAAAGGATTGGAGAAAAATTGTAAAATAAAAACTAACAATAAAGTTTTATACAAACTTCATTAATATGAATAAAGTGAGATAGCCATATGTCGTCTCCTTCTCCGTCATTCGAGGAACTGTAAAACATGTTTTAGCCCCCCCCCCCCCACCTCAACTTTTTACATCAATTGCAAAACATTAAGAATTAAATCACCAGCAAAGTCTCTTTGTAATTGGTTTCAGCCCTCCTCACTTTTGATAGATCCCCCCCCCCCTCACTTTCATCGACTCTCCGCAGTGCCCGTAAAACTGTAACAAAAAGGAAGCCTATTTAAAAACATTGAAATGTAGAGGGAAATGTGAATAGTAATCATGTTATGAAACTCACGTCGGGAGCAAAAATTGCTCCTTTGCGTTGCCAGATTGCGTCTCCTTCGGGACGGCAGTTGTTGTTCCATTTGAAGCAGTAGCTTGTTTTCGAACCGGAAGTCGCTCTAGTCTATCGCGAGCTTGCTGGACCTGGGAAGGGTACATGGAATTTTCAAATGGAAAACGAATAAGGAAAAAATAAATCAGAGCTGAAATGAAAGGTTAGTTTGAGAAAAAATATAAACCATGTTCAATATTTGACGATTTTTGATATTTGATTAAAAACATATCTTACAACCTTATTTCATTACTTCATCTTTATGTGAATTTTAATATATATATATATATATATGTATCAGTTCTAAACTATGTATATCGCAGTGTGTGAAAATCTTTAGCAACGTCCGAAAAGGAAAGGGTACGAAAAAGGTGGCCTTGTATCTTACACACGCCATACACACTTGTACCCTATGCAGTGCTTCTTGAATTATAAACATTACTCAGGAAATAAGGGGGCATTAATTTACGAGATCCAGAAAAATGCAAATTTCAAATCCCTTGCTCCAAAAAGACAACAGATTTGCTACCAGGACAACAGAATCATCTTTTTATAAATGAGATCATAAATATGTTTTCCGGGTAGATCACGGGAATTTCTCAGGGGTTTCTAGCAATACAACTACGGTTTCTAGATCTAAAGGATCAATCGTGAATCTTACAATGACATTTCTGTAGATTGCCTTACCTGCTGTCTTTCAAATTGCAACTGCTGTTGTAATAGCTGTAGCTGAGAAGCTGTGGCAGCGGCACTTTGCTGCTGTGCAGCGCGTCGAACGCCCGAGAGTTGCGACAACAGCTCTGCGATCGGGTCAATGTTTTCCCTAGCTGACGAAAATGTGGCAGAGGAGCACGTTCTGCTAGTAACAGCACTTGAAAACGGGTTTCCTCTTCGTATCCTTGGTGGTCCACCGCCTCTAGCCGGGTGAAAAATGCTTCTAATGTTTCTGCTTAGTCGCTCATCCTGCATACAGAGCAAAATACCATCATGCAACAAGCATTGCAGCACAGTTGATTAAGATAAACAAAATAGTTATAAAAGCTGAAATAAAAGGCACCAGAGCAAGACTGCAATGATTAATAAAGGTTTTAAGAGCACCTCTTGTGCACAATGATAAACTGGCCATTGTCAACGTTTAATACTTAAACTCTCAAGGTGCGTACTGGCAAAGGAAACATTACACGTTGTCCATAAAACATCTTGTACACATGGTTTTAACTAATAATGGAAAAGAAGAACACTTGGCAAGATATTTGTATTGAAAAAAGGAAGTCTGTCAACCAGTATAGATTTGTAAGCCAGTTTTAAAGTCTAATGAACTAAAGCTGCACTAGTATAAAAACAACTTCCTTATTCACTGCAAGCTTCCTTATTCGTTCTTACTCATGTCTCTTACATGAAGTATCTATTTAGATTAAGCACTACAACTTACATGTTCACGTGAATTTCTATGCTCCATATTGAGATGCCCGCCAAGGTCATCTGTGACACGGTTAGGATCACCCCCTGGTACTGCTGCGCAGACAGGACATATCTACAAAAGATAATGTTAGGTATGTTAAACTGCAAAGGATAGTGGGCTGATTTCATTGGTGCCTTGAGAAACTGTAAATATCAATCCTGGAAAACTATAAAGATGGAAGCATTGGGAAGCAAAAACCCTCAACAGTTTTGTCCCTTTCTCAGGGTTAAACACCAATCAATCTACTGCAAACTATAACTGGAAAAAAAACTCAAAATTTAAAAACTTTTCCTGATCTGGTCTCGTGTATAGGCCCGTGTAATCGAACTCCAGAAAGACCTATAGAAAGTCCCATAGGCCCAAGGAATAAACATAGATTTAAAGAAAGTTACCTTTGACAGGGGGCAGAAAGCCAAGCAATACTTTATGTTTAAGGGACTTGGCCAATTATTTAACTCAAATTATCTAAATATTCTACATTTTCAATTCGAATCTTTCCAAAGAATTTTATTTCTGAGTGGCAGCTATCTGCTGCATCTACTCATAAAACAAGGAAAAAAATTTATAATCCACTAATCGAATACTTAAAACTGTCGTGAAAACCCCATCATCAACAAATTTTATTTTTTGCATTACACTATGCTTGGTTTTCGTAATCCTAGAAATGCAAAGAAATCACATCATTACACTGTCATATCTCTTTATAAAATATACATTTTGCAACAGACCCACAAGATATGGAGGTTCAATGTGAAAGTAAAAATCCTTACCACTTCAGCGGAAGAAGATAAGTGCTCCCCAGTAACATGCTCATGCAACTGGTTCTCTGTCAAACCCAATTTGCCACAGTACGGGCATGTAAAAGACTGTGGCTGATCAAACTGCACAGCTTCGCCAGAATAAAATAAATCTGCAACACCAAAAAGCAAAAATAAATATTCTGTAGAATCTTGTTAGCATCTTTATCAACTAAAGTTATTTTGCACTGCACAGTCTGAATTTCAAGTTGTGTTATAGAGATTCCAAAATTATGGCCATATGTAGATTCATTTCAGTGCCTTCACTGCATTACTTTTAACAACAAAATATAAATTATATAATAAATTATCACAAAGAATGATAAAATATGTAACATATGGTGGAAATAAGTGGAGCATCACTACCAAATACATGGCGGAAAAAAGTGGTATTAGGGTGGGGGGGGCTCAGGAGGGCTATTAATGGCAAGAAGGAGGCAAGTTCTACTTGACTTTTGATCTTTGCATCATTTTGCATAAAAACTGCCTGGTTTTTTACTAAGACACATATCACAGGTAACCCAAGTTTGCATAGGCATACACATAAATATTTTCCAATTATGATTTTAAAGATGATTATGATTTTTAATTTTGAGACTTTTTCTGACATCAATATTTAAATATTGATAGTATAAGATCTACTTAAGAGGTCCTGCTTCTTAACTAAGTGGCCAATTATCAGTAGAGCTCTCAAAATTCATTTCCTGGTAGAAAAAGCTATAATTATTTATTTTGATCCAAGGAATATTGATTGGACATGCATAAGATAATGCAAGAAACAATAAACCTGTGCAACTGTTAAAGAAAAGCTTCTATTTTGTGAAATATATTCTCTAGGGTTTCTCATATAATGAAGCCCTGGTCTTTAGGACAGTCACAACAAATCTAAAAATTATTGTTACTAACATATAAAATCAGGGGTATTTATTTTAAAAGCTCACTCTTACCAAAATCGCTTCTTGTTAAGATGCATTGCATTGGATGGTCAGCAGAATGCCGTGAACTCCTTGCTCCATTTTCATAGCACGAGGCACAAAGATCATAATCAAAACAAACTAAACACTTGTATCGCTTCCCTCTGAAGTTTCCCTTGCTGCATGAGTCACAACTTACACCTAATCAAAATGAAACAAATTGTTGTTAGATACAATCAAACAATACCTGTGGCTGATAAGATAATGATGGTCATGATTTTTGTTCATGAACTTTGACGGTTATGCTAATTAGGGATAAGAGGACTGATTGTTCGATATAATGGAAAATATTATAGATAATTAGGTTGATCATGATGAGAACAGAAAAAGCTGCTCACCGATCACAACTAAAAAACCAAATTACAAATAAGTGATAAATTCATAGTAACTTATAAATAAATCAGAATAAGAAACCAATTTTATATAAGCGAATGAAAAGGTAGAGTTCACTGTCCTTTTAACCAAAATGATTTCTAAATTAACTAAGCACTGAAAATTGTAAAAGATTTGCATCTTTGAAGTTCAGCTCATAATGCCGATGTTGCCAAAATGTCTTGAAAGGTTGTTGAAATTCTATTCATTTCAGTTTATACTTTTCAACTTCATTACAAGCAACTCATAAATATTAACAATGTGTACAATCTGAAAGTTTGAAGCTGGTGCCAAAGTGTTTTGGGAAGTCAGACAGTTGAATATAATTATCTTTCTTGTTTAGTACACAGCATGGAATCAAGGGTGAATTTCTTCGTTCTAGTAAAAATTCAAGAAGAAATGAAAAGTTAAGAAACAATTGAATTCCACTCCAAACGCTTTTGTTTTATCAGCCAACTGTTAATGCAACATATGCTCTTTAAATCAGGAAATGTTAAGAACCAAAGGCTGACCAGTATCCAAAGCAAGTCAGTTTTGGTAAAAAACTTGCAAATGGAATGAACATATCTCTGAAACTGATAAGATTCTAAAAAAACTAACTGAACAAGAATGTTTTTTCTTAACTGGCTTGACACAACCTGTAGTTAAGCTAGATAAAGAATAAATGAGCAGTACAAGCACATTCTTAGACTTGCAAAACAAACTCAGAGTGCCCTCAGTCACACACGAAAAGTGACCTATCATCTCTAAATTCTAAAACTAACTGCAACTGTGGGTTGGCATCGTCATTTTAAGCAAACAGTATTTGGCATCATGTAAATGTTGTATTCATTCTTGGTAAATTAACTTGTTACTAACTTGTTTCAATAAGTTCCATGTTCCACTCTCAGTGCAGAAATTTTTGATTAAATCACAAATAAACAGGTGGGTACCACAAAGATAAATGTTAAGTCTGACAATTTTTACACTTGAGGTGTTCAGTCAACAACAAAATTAATTCCCAGACTTCGTAAATGTCTCTGCAAAATCATGTGTTCCTTACTAAATGACATAAACATAAAGTTAAGGAAGATTCTTGAGCCGCCTAGATGAGTCTAAGGGTACTAAGTTACAGGGAAAAGGATATTTCTGCTATTTCAAACCACAACAAAGCCCTTATCCTGCAAATATACTCTCTAGGAAGGCAAAGAAAATAAAATAACTAAAACTCTCACCTATCTTCACAAAATTAAGATATTATTTGACATGGCTTGAAGATTTTGTTCTCTGACTAAATTAATTATTCATAAAAAACAACTAATTTCTGATATTTTTTATTAGGAAATAGCTTTTAAAAATTAGTAACTGACGAACTTAGTGTAGCTAAAAAAGTGTAACTGCTTTTACTCCTTCAAACACACATTCAAGTCTTTTTCTATGGAAGTATTGTATTCAGCATAGATTCAATTTCTTTGGAGGTTTTCTTTAATTTTTTCTTTGTAAAGCTTGAGAAAGTTAAACCTTGCTTTCCTCAAGTTGCTAAAAGTGTCATTGAGGGACATTATTTTTGACACATAAACAAGCATCCTTTGTCACCCAGAATAAACAATATATCATTAATTCTATTTATTGCAGTGGAAGGTTTAAGCAAAAACCCTGGCAAAGAAATTTCAAGCAAAAATTCAACATCTGCTTATTTTAAACAGTCCTACGTTTGTTTTTGCTTGTCAAACTTTTCCTTAATCTGCATTCTTTAAAGGAAACAAAAAACTTCTTGTGCATTAAATAATATGCCTGTGGTTTGAATAATTTAGTTTTGTAAAAGCAATTCACAAATCTTTGTATATTAATGCATTTTTAAATCTGCTGTATTCTTAAACATCAAAAGTGTTTTTGGCATGGAATTGTAATGGAGATGTATATAGTACAAAAAGAGTAACAACTAATCCATTATTTACTTTCTCTTAATTCTCTTAAGAGCTTGACCTTAAAAAGCTATCACAAAAATTACATTCTGATGAAAGTATGATAGCAGGATCAATTACCCAACAAAATGTATACTTATGAATGAAGAATGCATCATAAGGTAATTTAGAGTGAAAAATTTGGCTTTGGCTCTAAGAATTCCCCACTGAACATACAAAAGCGAGACATAATTAAAATTGTACCTCTCCTAGGCCATTAGAAAACATGTATGACTATTTATATTGGTACCATACTGTAAAGTATTCTTTCTGTGCAGGGAACGCCAGAACAATGATTTTGAAATTTGCAGATATTGAATGTTTTCTGTCAAATTGTGCAAAGAATTTGGAAGCAAAGGCTTTCGTAGAGCCTTGTATTCTTGCTATCAGAAGTCAAAAGTATAAACGGTGGAATATTCACAGGGAACATTACCAGATGAACACAGACCAAAATTTTCAGTGTAGGTGAAAGGATATTATCAGCTGTGATGCAAGCAAAGGCATTTTAGCTGCAAGCAAGAACACTCATATACACAAGCATAGTGAAGTAAAATGAATCTATTGAAATTGTGGGTTGTGTGCAATGTAAGAAAACCAGCAGGTTGCAAGAGCATGCAAGTTTTCAAGCCTAGGACAAAATTATGCACAAAGCTTGTTTTTTTAAAACGGGAAAAGGATTAATATATTTATATAAGAAGGCATCTATGACACAGATAGCAATAGATGCATTCAATTCAATTTATGTGAAATATTTTAATATTAAATCAAACTCTATCAAAATAAAGTTAGTCTGGATCCCTATAAATTTTGCTGTAGTTAAATACAGCTAAGAAAATTTTCTAAAAATTCTTGTGTAAAAAAACCTGGGGAAACTGTGAACAACTTCCCATTATTAGTGCATTTTATTTTCAACAAATTTGAAGATGAAATGGCGAGGTGTCAATTTTGATGCCCAGATAATTCTATCATTAAGTTTAGTGACACTGTCCCATAGCCAAGGAACGTACACATTCTTTAACGCTGTTCCGTGCTTGTTTAAAAAACAAACAATTTGGACATGGATTACCATAAAAACATTACCTTCATGCTGCGACATAACTTTTCCTTATTGCACCTCCTTGTCTTCTGCTTCAAGGAATATGCTAGTGAATACTCGGCCCCCTGGTTCCCAGAAGCTCGTCATGGGCCTCAGATGACACCGGCCTAAGCAGGATTTATGCAATTCATGCGACTTTCGCTAGTATTCAAGAGCGTTTATGATAAAAGCATAGTATGTGAATTTGTCAAGGAACAGTATGATTTTGTTTCAGCGACGTAAATCCCCAAATTATTCAACAATTTCCTCTTTCCCACTTTCAATTTTGTTCGATAACTCCTCACTACTCCCTAAAGTGGATAAGCTTCCCATCATTCATTGTGCGCTGAAACTTTTTTGATACGCAAGCCTCTTCTGCGGTGGAGCTTTCAAAATTTGATACTTTGTTTCCAAAAATGACCTCCTTCATATAGCATTTTTGTAAATTTGAAATTGAAGGGAAACTTCATTTGAGCGAGGGAAAAGTTGATTTTATAAAAATATAAGGAAAACACTAAACACTACAAATCTATACATGAGTAAAGTATCTGTGAAATCATAGGACAGCAAGAGCTAAACCCGATAAAGAAAATAAATCATTAAAATACTTCTGTAAGTTTTTTTGCTGCTTTTTATTTATTCCTTTAACTAAATTGAAGCTCCATAGACGAAAGAGAACAAAACTGTTGAAAAAATCGGAGGAGGAAACTGTACTCGTGTAGTAATATAATGCTGCACATTTAGAGGTCTTTTATGGGGGTGCGGTGCTGGGAATAGAACAAGGGGGGCTCGCAAAAAATTTCTTCAAAAGCAACAGCCCAGCAAAGCTCAGCTCCCTAGCTCTATACACCCATTTAGCAGCCCATTTCTGTTCTTTTTGGTGTTTCGCTGTGCTTGAAACATTTCTTCTAGATATTTTCTAAAATGATCTTTTATAATTGGCTAACAGTTATCAAGCTTTCAGGCAGCAAACATGAAAGCAAAATCAATTTTGATCAAAATATTGCCGATTTGTGTAAGCAAGCTGCCAAAAACTGGATGTGCTATAAAGACTTTGGGTTTCGATTTATTGGATTTTTAGAAAGGAAAACACGTATTTCACGTCTCAATTATTCAAATTTTAAACATGTTTTGTTGTCTTACATTTTGAATCTGCAAAAAATCGAAAGCAGTCTGCAATTGATATTTACCCAAGACTATGCAACTTTTATTGTCAATAAAACGATAGCCAAAAAACGTTTATACAATCTAAAGGATTCGTGCAAATGGCATGTTGCGTTCATTCGTGTTCACTTCACATGATTGACCTCTGCCTTAAAAACCTGATAATTCATCCAATGTTGATAAACGAGGCCCAACCGCAACTTGTTCGATTCTCTAATATCAAATGGAAGATACTTCCTAAATTCAAGAAGGAAAAACAAACAAAGCCTGTCTGAGCTTTGATCTTTATTCATATTTATATATTAAAATAACATTACAAAACAGTTTACATGGTTTCTAGATACAGTCATTATATTGTTAGGAATATTTTAGGTATTTACAGCAATTGAAACATGCTAAAAGCTTCTTTTACATTTGAATATCAAATCTAAGGCGAAGTGTCATTAATTAGCTCATCAATGTTCGGAATTGGTGAAAGATTGTCAATATCTCGATGCATCTTGCTGGAAGTTGTTTCTCTTGGTGGCTGAAAAGATAAAATATACAGAGTTATTCATCCCTTTTTATGTATGGAGATCGGGAACCTTAAGGGAGAATGGCGAGGAATGCAACAAGGCTATTAACTTGGTACTCTGCTTGTTAAAGGAGAAATTGCTTTCGTGAATAACGAAGGACCTTTGAGAAAAATTGAAAAAGAGTAAGAAATTTGCGAGAGAACAAATTTTCGCACATCATTGCTTTGCAATTCATACAAAACAAAACAATGTAGCGGCGATTATAAAAAACAGTCCTAATTTGCAGGAAAGCAAATTCAATCAATCTTTCACTATCCTACCAAAACTACATTATCACAGCTTCAATTCAGTAAGCCTAACTGAGGCGATTCTTATGAGGTTATCGTAAATGAATTTGCACATGAAACTAGGAACAACGTCACATTAATCAAACAAATTAAAAGAAGTTATGCATTCTTTATTTTTAAAAGTTTACGGTATGTGTTTTCAAAAATTTGAGAGCAAAGTCAACCTTAGTGCGATTCAGGGATGCAAAAAGCATTCGAACCTGGAAAACACTTACGTTGATGTTTTCTAGCAAATAAAATATAAAACTGCAAAATCTTTGCCTAGTGAGTAGACATATCAAGAAAACATTCTTCTGACAATTATTCTAAAATCTGTACAGTAGGGGTCTTCCTCCAATAAGATCAGGAATTTACAGAAATTTCATACAGGTTACGTTGTAGCATATACTTGTGCAAGAATTTTCAAAGCTCCGTTACCAAGCAGGGCTATGTCAAAATATTAGATAAGGTAAATTATTTCTTCTTAAAATAGTAAACCAAATTTAAAATTCATGATAAGTACTTTGCGGAACTACTGAATACAATAATCTAATCAGGTAGAAGATTTTTCCCTCGATTAATAGTTCAAGAAACAAAACATTTTTTTGCAGTCATGATGCTTATCGAATAAACAGATGTATTTTTCAAGCAAAGCTAGCATAGAGCTCTAGATGACCTGTTTTTTCCCAAATAATCTGTTAATCTGGTATGCATATACGTTCAGAAATTACACCCTGTTTCAATGAAAATAGCACGTGATAAGCATTAGAGGCGACTTACTTCAAATGACATTGTCAGCAACTGGTTTTGCTGAAAAGGGCCTGGGGTGGGCTCTTGGATACTGGCTGAACTTGCGTGTAGTAGATGTGTGAACTGAGTCTGTCTTTTGCGCAACTGCAACATAAATCATTTTACAGGACAACAACAACAACCATATTGAAAAAACATATGGTGCCTGGTAATAAGTACGCGAGGTCCTTATTGCAAAAAGGAGAAGCTAAAAAGACTGTTTTTCTTGTAAATAGCATATCTGCATCACTTCTTGTTGCGTTGATTAGTCACGTCTTTGCAGAAAATATCTAGACTTAAAGATTATTCTAGTGAAACTATTGCCTTACAAGCAATGTGTACTGTCTTTGATCAAATAACTACTAAGGTTTGCGCGCCGTCAACCATCAACCAAAAAAATATAAGATTAATCAATCACTGCGAAATATGCTAGATCTTCTAGACTGAGATCAGCTTGGTCGAGGCCTTGGCAATGTGACAAAAACAAACTGGGAGTATATTGTCCCCCTCTTACATCATATTAGAATTTTATTGCAAGACTGTTCAACTACCCCGCTAGCGCTACAAATAATTTTTAAAAATTATTTTCGCCAACATATTAAATTTTGCGCCTTTATTGCGCATGGCACCAGCGAAAATAAAAGGAATTTCATGGAAGTTTGAAGAGACTGAGATGGGATTTTGATCCGATAAACTTAGCCAGCTCAGTCACTATCGATAAATTTCTCGCGTCTACTTGGACAACTTTACATCAACCAAAAAGGCAGATCAGGCAAAATTTATTACATAGTTCCGGTTTATAAAATAAAGTTGAGATTTAGGTATATTTTCAAAATAACTATCAAAACCTGAGAGATTAGCGTCGAGGTCCTAAGAAGATATGGTAAACAACTGGCTTATAAACCAAAAGGCGATTACATATTAATATACTTCAGAATCATTATATTTTTGTTGCGAACTATGGTTTGATGTACTATAAAGAATAGATGACTTGGTAGGTCACGGCAGGGCATGAAAACATACCCAACCATGTGACCGGGTGGTCGCAGGACATATTTCAAGAAAGTTTTGCAGGAAATTTTTTGGGGAAGAAAAGAATGATTTTCAGTCACAAAAGCAGAAAACGATTTTGAAGTGGTAGTCAACTTGCTAAACCTTTATAAATGAAGCTTATACTTGTATGAAACTGGTTACACATCATTATGGTTTTCGGAACGTGAACTTTTCTTCTTTTATCTTCCCTTTCTCGCAATAAATTTATTCACGATTTTTGTCCGGTCGCAGGCAAGAAATATTTGTTGCATGCCCTGGGTGATGGGTCACGGAGCCAAAACGTTGATCACATGATATACTTGCAATAGAAAGAGGCGTTGTTCTGATCTTTATAGCAAGCTAGTTTAAATTGCAGACTAAACGGACAAAGTGCGACAGTTGTACGTCAAAAAAACATGGAACCAGAGTTCCATTGCGTCTAAGAGAGGATCCATTCTCTGGAAGTTGTTTTGAACAAAATTATTGGTCTGTTTTGTAGGTATTTGTTACTAGGATGTTAGTTAGAGAGAGCTGGACAGTTTTACGTCATCTTTACACATCCGTAGCAAGTTTTATAGTTTAGTCTATATATTATAGTTTTATAGTAGTTAGTTTTATAGTTTCGTTATAGTTTTGCTAGTATAAGACAATATTTTTGCTGCAATCTCTGTCAGTCACAATTTTGATCTTTCACACTTGTCAATCAGTGGCGGACACTTGGGAGGGGGCGAGGGGGGGCGACCGCCCCCCCAATACTTTGGAGGACAATGGTCTTTTGTTCTAAAACAATGGGAAATGTGACGTCATCTTATTAAAACAATAGGCTTGCCCCCCCCCAATATTTGATCAAGTGTCCGCCTCTGTTGTCAATTATTCTTCAACTACTAAAACTCTGTGTCATTCGTTTTTCAACTACTAGAGCCTTTTTGTGATTTATTTATCAACTACTAAAGCCCTTATCATAGACTTGTGCTTCTATGAAACATGACAGTTAATACTTTCGCAATTGAAGTGGACAGTGAAAATTTTCTTTTATCTTCATGTCTTCATAATGACGTATCTCAGTGAGGAAAGCCAGATTGGCTGCAAAACATAGCACACAAAAAGTGTGCTTGAAAGGAAATTTTTAAAATTAACTCGTTCAGCTGCAACTGCAACTATCAAAATAAAGGCCTAAAGTGAACTCACTCGTTCAAATGCACGTTTCGTTCTTTCGTGTTCAAGATTGAGGCTTCTCCTAAGAGAACAAAAAAAGAAAACAAGAAAATTAGAAAGATGTTTGATCGTGATGAATTAGGGAAAAGAGTACATCTTAGATGAAAAGGTAAAAAGCAACGTTCATGAAATATTACAACACAACTTCTCGAAAATATCACGAAAATATTCCTTACAAATTGGATTTTTCGAATATTCAAAATTTGTGTTTGTAAAAAGACGATATTGGAAAAATCTTCTAACAAGAATAAAAATGGTTTGAATGACATACACTAGCGTTTTCTTTTCTGCGTCTGTTTTTTCCTTTTCTACCCTCTGGGATTCAATCTTTGACATCAAATCTTCAATCACTTTTTTCTGTTTTTTGTTTTTCTAAAAACAAAGCAATCACAATTAAAAGCAAACTATGTTTTTATTGTTTTTATTAAGATTTAGATTCTGAGTTTGGATATTTTCTGCTTATCTCAACCACAGAGCCCGGAAAACATGGTTACACGGACAAAAAACCACGTGAATAGGCCAAAAACAAAATTAATTAACTACAAAACCAACACAAGCTTCGTTTCCTTCGTTTGTAGAGGAAGGATGAGCAGTTTTTGGAACCCTGTTCAACTAACTAATGTCTAAAGAACGGCTATATTTATTTGTTGGTACACTTTTTGTCTTGAGTTTGGGGATGAAGAAAACACACTAGCAGCCATCATCTAGCAAGTGATGTTATCAAAACATTAAAAAACAATAAATTGACACAAACAACAATTCTCCTGTGCCCCATTTCCCATAAATTTCCCTTTTAATTTTGTCCTTTGAAAAACTCACTGTTGCCTTTATTCCCCAAGAGATATGTAACATCGTGAAAGCCAAATGCTTCGAAAAACGTATTCTTAACAAATTATCCCCTGTGTCCTCTTCCAATATACCTCAAACCTCAGTATGGTTCCAATTACCACTTGAATTTCCATTTTCGTAAATTTCAAAAGTTGTCCAAGCGTAAGTTGGACAAAAGTATAGCAAAGTATCTACAACATCCAAAAATTACATGAAATGCTGAATGACATACTCAAGTTTTGCTCTGATGAGAGAGGGCAAGAGAGATTGTACTCAGACCCGGCACCTACGATTTACACTCTCTGCTTTGTTTGCAGGCTGAATTGGGGGGTTACACAGTACTTAATTTCTACTCTTGGCAGGCCAGCCCTGGATGTGCCCTGCGGGACTGACCCGGGTGTGACCCGCGGGACTGACCGGGATGTGACCTGCGGGCCTTGAGCCTGACACACCAGAGCAATGCCAATCAACATTAAGCCAAACAATATGGCTTTGATTTCTTAGAAGCATGCCATTCTACCTTTTTCGCAAATGACACAATCTTCTCTATCTTCTTTTTCGCATCCTGCAGTTGCTTTTTCAATTCGTTTAATTCTTTCTCGTTTCCTTTCTTCTCGGTTTCCATTTTCTTTCTATTAGAGAAAAGAAGCTTTTTTGAAACGCTGTTTACTTCAAGAAAGATTAGCATGGCAAAAATATTTTGTTTCATTGCGTCAAACACTCGAAGACCGATTTGTTAAAAACGTTGGATTACCCATCATGGCCACTATACATAATTGGCATTACATAAAATTTCCTCTAATAAATTGTTGCAATTAGAATGGTTGGCCTAAATTTTAGCTACATGTTTTGTATACTCAAATGACAGTTCGTTTACAACTGTTTCAATACATATAACACCTAGACCAGAACAATCATGTATTCTTGCTTGTGTCTCATACTATTTCGTTGGAAATAATCGATATTTAACAGCAGAGTTTTTGTGATGAAATATCTCTCAAAGCTTGCGGTGTCTGTCTACCTCAGCCTAAAAATCATACCGCAGAAAATAACATACTTTGTATCCTTTATGCTCCTTTCAAAATTCTCTTGTTGCTTCTCCATATCCTCATTTGACAATTCTAGATTGGAAAAGGATGACCAAATACTAGTTAGCAAAAAAGTTAATGAAAGAAAAAAGAATTTTCCGCAAGGAAACATAAGAAATACGTAGACTAATAAAATTTTGAATATATGTAGGTAGAAAATTATAAGCAAAGAATGTATGAGAAAGTAAAGAATGTATAGGGCAATAAGTAGAAAGGTTGGTAAATGAAAGGTGGCAAAAAATAGTGCTTATATTGAAACAGAATGTGTTCGCTTTTATGATACCTTCAAAACAGTTATATAAAAAGGCCATCCCGAAAAGGATGTTATGTTTGGAGCGTTGCTGTTTAAAAAAAAAATTCATTACCTTACACTTACTATAATTGTACTAAGATAAATCTTTTATTCAAATGAAAAACCATAACCAGTAAAAGTAGTCTTTTATCAATATTTATATTCAATTTTTCTTATTGTATAATAATTCATAACAAAGTTATCATTTGAAATAGCTGAGTGCACAATAAAATAAAAGACTCCATACTCAATTCCTTCTTCAACAAACTAAATCTATCTTTCAGCTTCTCGTTTTCTGCCTTCACTTCCTCGCCTATGGTTACCAAGCTATGAGAGGCAAATAACGATAGTTATTGCGCAAGGTAAGCATTCTTAAAAACACATGATTATGGACCATACTCTAAAATATGGCAAGAAAATTAGGTATCAATTGAGTCACTCGCTGTTAATGAAGTCTTTTTGAGGGGTATTAATTCGTTATCAAAGAGAAAATGCATCTTTATTTCATAAAAGTAATATTAGGCCTGGGCCTCATTATCAGAACCTTCTCCTAAAGACTGAGCCTCGTGGCATCTAGGAGGAAAAATGAAAGTAGTCTTTGGCTTTGCCAACAAAGATCGATTAAAAATCGTAGAATGTAAGAACTTGCATTTCAGAACTCATTTTTATAGAGGTGCAGACTAAAAATTATATTTTAGACCACTTTACGAAGTACATTGTTTACCCTGATTTTCAGAAAACGATCTTGCTTTCATGATTGCGAAAACGCTCCTATTCTATTTTCAGTGTAGATACCAACAGCGCATCACAATCAACACAAACAAGGTTAGTAAAATAACAAGGCTTGAAGTTCCAAAATGACGACATAAAGGTGGTTTATGACGCATAACCCTAAATCAATTAAACCCTAAGTTTTTAAAAGGCATCTATTTGTAAAGACCAAGGACAAACTGAAAAATGTTTGTTCATTCATGCGGGTTTTGGCTTTTATATGCGGGTTTCTCCCAATGCAAACGTTTCTCAATTCCCCTACTGATCCAATTAAAATGAATTCAGATATTGCTTTAGTAGGATTAAAACTTTCAAAGAATAGGTTGGTAGGTTTGCAAAGCAATACACACTACGTTAAAAGTTTTGGCTTACATTATTCTTAATGATCGTTTTGTTTTGATTCGAAGGGTGGATTTGGTCAAAAAGATTAATTGCAGCAATGGTATACATTCATGGAAGAAAAACTTTGATCAACGCCAACCTTTCGTAGTCATTTTGAAGTTTTTGGTGTTTGGCTTTATGTTCTTGGTTTTGTCTTTTTGCCTGCAAGGATAAAACAACTCAAGTACAAACTTAAGATTGATGAGAACTACCAGAAGCAAGTTCTCTGTACCACAATCATACAACATCCATATTTATACGATTTGAACATCATTTGTGCACAGCGTGAAGCAATGGAATACGCAAGGTTTTATTTAGAAGTAAGAGTAAGGGAAATTGACTGTGTACGACTGTATGTGAAAGTTACACCTAGATGAAATCAAAAGCACATGCAATTATGCAAATATCTCCGTAATTTCGAAATCCATTTTCTTGGTCTGACTGTTTTGCCACCTTAAATCTAGTTTGAGCATTGAAAATCATTAGGCAATTTCCCATGAAAAATACAAACCAAAAAGTTTATGCCTATATCCTAGAATCCAAAATCTTTATCTACAAGCTCCCTATCCCCCTTTCTTTTGTGTCTCTCAAAAACTTCTTCCTACTCTCGTTCCGACTCAATGCATTCCCTTCATATCTTTCCTGCACGTTCTCTCCTCTACCATATCTCCACCTGCTTGTTGAAAGTTTCCAAGCAAAGGTAAAAGATTGACGGAACTTAAGAATCCATGCATAAAAATGTACCGCACATCAAACAATTCTTTACTGATTGGCAAAAAATCATTTAGAAGCCAAAAAAAGATAAATTTGATAAATATCTAGCAAGATACCTCTTCCAGTTGGTCAGCTATCTGAACCTGTTGAGATAATTTCATTTTCACAGAGTTCAGTTCCTTCTCCAGTTGATCCTGCAAGAAAGAAAGTCAATTTCAAAGTTGGGTGAGCAACAGAAAGAACAAAGTAATTAACCTTGACATTAATGCTTTAAGTTTAAATAAAATACAAAGATGCTAAATACCTTTATATCAGAAACCTCCCCAAGTCTTTCTCTTAGTTTCTCTATTTGTTGTCTTTGCATAGATTCAAGGTCGTTCCTTTCCCTGCAGAAACTGATTTGATTAAAACATGGCCGCTCTTAAATTTGTACAATTGATTCTTACCCCTTGTTGGCCTATATATGTTTCACAAGAGCAAAAGAAACATGGAATGAAAAATGGTTCTTTGAATTTATCATTGTAAAAACTGTTGAAGGCAGCCCATGTGAATACCAAGGTCCAGAGAAACAAGTTGGCTTATTCGATATATAAATTACTATAGTGAACAGTCAAAACTAATAGACATTAAAGTTAGGTATGAGGTGTAAAAGAATACAACTGTTTCGAGACAGTTTACTTGCCTTTCAATTTCTGCTAGCTGAGATTCCGCCTAGAAATAGTAATTACAACAATCAAACATGATACCATGAAAAACAATCATTGCAAATCTCTAAGCTTAATAGATAATTTTAAAAAGAGGTTGCCCTCTAAAATAGTGCTTACGAGATTTAGATGTTTTTCAGAATTTTATACAGCCCAGCAATCCTGACACTTCCATTGAACCATTGTAAAATTTACTAGGTGCAGTCAGAGATTCACTGTCTCACAAAATCACAAATCTCAAATAAGCAAGAAGTATTTTCACACCATCTGTCTTCTCCTTCCCTGCTTGATAGTGATTGGTTGATATAAAAGATACTTCAATATGATAGTGTTTGCGCTTAAGTAGAAACTCATTAGAATAAAAAGCAGAAGGCGAATGTTCTTGAATCCTTTTTTCTAGCTTCCTGTACTATCTATCACCAATCGAGCTACTTTAAGTCATACCAGAATTTTTAAAACAATAGCCAAGGAAAAGAATGAAAGATCATAAGAAGGTGAAAGATATGGGATATAATGAGCAAAACAAGAAATTGATATCTTAATACCAAACTTCCATTCAGTCAAGGCAGACAAACATGAAAAAGAATCAACATGGTATTTGATTTGAATAACATCAATGTAATAGTTGGCTAGGGGAAGTGAGAAGCTTTCGATTATCTGAAAATTTATTTATTTGAAGCAAACAAAAAGGCAATATGAAAGATAATTAATTTAATATATGCAGATAGAACCTATTCTTTGCTACTTAATACTAAATTCAGATGACACACATTTCAGATGATTGACATTTCAGATGATTGACATTTTAGATGATTGACATTTCAGATGATTGACATTTCAGATGATTGACATTTCAGATGATTGACACATACCGTGATTAAAATCTGACCATCTTTCAGTCAATTTGTCACAGATTTAGCTGATGTTGTACATCTTAAAGTATTACAACGTGCTCTTTTTGCTTAGATGGTCAAAATATATAAATTTATTGATTGACGTATAGTATGATTGACAGTGTACCTGCAATTTGTGGCTTTCTAATTTCGAGATTTTTTCCCACTCTGTTTCTTTAACTTCTTGCACTCTGCGGACAAGTTCTTCTTCCTTGGGACATAGAAAGAAAAATTAAATCAAATTGGCCCCTCTTCCTTGTTTAAGATTCCCCTCTCGAAAAGGCTCCTACCCTGGAAGAAAAAGAGTTAAAAAGATTCCATTTGAATAAGACCCTATTGCAAAATGCCAACTTTTGCGTTCTAAAAAGCTCCAATGGGACTTAATTGAGATACAGCAGGAAGATGCACCATTTTAGTCTATGGTTGAAAACACATGCAGCGGCTAATAACAAAACTTAAAATACACGAGAAATTGACGATGAGACCACAAAAAAAACGAACATATCGATATCTTGGACAAAAATATCTCTTTGTGCTTTGATTTATAATTCCCCTTTATGTTTAAAAAGTTATTGAGTGAAATCACAAATGAAATGAACTTGAAAATCGAAAGAAAAATACCAATCCCCTCATTTTTCATGTAAACTTGGAGAAGGTTTCTAAAAGCACCCATCTCGAATAAGCCTTCCTCGAATAAACCTCCCTCGAATAACCAGAAAGTAGCAAAATCACAAGGCAGCTGGATTACTGATTCCAATTAATAGCGAGTAAAACATTAGTGCGTCGCCACTGGGAATTCATACCTTGCAAGGTATTGGACAATCTCTTTAAAAAACGACATAAACCACGAAACATGTTTTCGAGCCCTTGATCATGCAAAAGGAATAGCCACAGTGGCATTTTAAAATCTTAAAACTAGTCAATCATACTTACGACCTTGCCTGAAAAAGAAAGTTTTTCATAAACACTCCCATTCCATTATACCCTTTTTCTAAAATGCCTTTTGAAAGAAAAAATTTTAACCAGGAAAAATATGCTTGCCTTGTGGACAAATACAAACGAGAACTGAAAAAAATTGTCGTTTAGTAGAATTGCTATAGAGCTTGTGGAATTACATCGTGCTTGTCAAAGCTACAGAAATTCGATAGTGAGTAACCACAAACTGGATAACTTTAAGGCTCTTGCGCAACCGGCATGCATTGCAATTATATTTTCAAAACCGGCCTAATATCATACCGCATGAAAATACAAAACACAATAAATTTCTCAAAAAGCTGCCGCTAAGCATGCCGGTTGCACAAGAGCCTTAAAAAAGTATTCTGGAACATCTGATATCAAAGGTGAAAAATAAGAAACAGCAGTAGGGAAAACCGCAAATAGTCAATCTAGGCAGGTCACAGGGTTTATCCTTCAATCCTAGAAAATCGAAATAAGATCCAAACTGAGCCCAAACAAGATCTTTTGGTAAATCAGCATATTCCTACATTGATATTGATGTAAACACCTAACTTACATTAGGTGATCAATTTACTTTCAAAACAGAATAGTTCTTTTCCAGACAGAAGTAGCAGTTCAATGAGATTAGAATTTTAAGCCCCACCTTTTTAGACAACGCCTCCTTTAGAGCTTCGATGTTTTGCGTCAAGACAGAAATTTTGTTATTGCTTGTTTGCAGCTGACTTTCAAAAGAATCGCGTTCTCTTTCCAAGTCGCCTTTATCCTTGGTTAAGCTACAAAAATAGAAAATACATTCTATAACATATGGAAACGACTTTATTGTGAAACTACAAAGATTAAAAAAAAAATTTCCAACGAATGTTTGAATGAAAACTCGGCCCACTGATAACGTTTTAAAGCCACATTTTTAAATTGGGATTTTTTTAAAATTGTTTTTTAAGATATAATTGCTACGAAGTGAGTCTTCGATGATTATGATAAGTTCAGGAATACTTGCAAAAATTTTAAATTATACTAGAGCTAGAATCATACTGGCACGTAAACACATAAATTCCGGCTATGTAGGACGAGCATCACAAAGACTGGGGGAAAGAATAAAACAGCATGTCCCTTCCAACAGTAAAAAAACTCTCCCCCTATTAGAACAGTCTCTTCGGTTTCGCAGGTCAAAAACAAACTAAAACATGTGTTTCGGCCATCAGACGTTCTTCTTCACTCTTGAACACCAGTGTCAGTATTTCCTATAGGCAAATATTTTTCAAAAATTGCCCGTTAAAATATGGTTAAAGGCGAACACAAATATTAGAGAATGGCAGGATTAAGGGCAATGTTAATAAAATCGTTCTTATGGCATGTCTGTACGAATAAAAATGAAATTTTACATAGAGATCCTATAAACATACCACAGCCTGACATTATTAATCTCAACTTTATGGTTGTGGATAAGTTCTTCCATTTCACTGCAAAGAAAAACATGCAAATAGTTTTAATCTTAAATCAAGATTGGTGATCTAAGACAAAGTATTGTATTGTGGGTATAGGCCAACACGACTGTGGGCGAGTCGAGAGTCAAGTAGTGAATTTAAGCATAGAGCCGCAAGTTGTGCTCAGGCATACTTCTAAGGGAGATAACTTGATACAACACAACAGTTTGCTTCTATAATACTATAGAACTGCGAAAAACATTTAGGATTTCAAAACTCAGTCATAAAGTTTTCTTGTTCATAACTTTAAAATTTTATTGTTTATAAGATTTTATTCATAAACAGGATTCAATGTATCCAGATAGGAAGATAACCTTCGAATTTGCAAATTTTCCCTTTCAAATTTCATGGCAGAGTGGCTTGAAATTTCCTGCAATCAAGCAAATAGAATTGTTAGTAAGTTGAATCTAAATAGAGGTCTTTGCTGAGAATGAAAGCGAAGTTCTACATTATGCGAAAATATATTCCAGAAACGCCGATGCAATGATTCAGAAGAAATATCTAATAAAATAAACAATTTTCAAGAACTCCGTTTTTTTATAACAAAATATCCATACTTTTTCTTTCGGTGACAAAAAAATAGGTCTTGGTATCGGTGTCAAGCCAGGAGTTGCAGCTTAAAACCGTTTGGCTCTACAAACCAAAGCGTTATTCGAATTCAATATTTATAGGATCTTTGAAAAGAAATATTTTCAAAAATACTCTATAATGCATCCTAGGAACCTGGCGGGTGAGTATCTGATTGAAATTTACTGCAAGAATACGTATTTTTATGCAAGCGTTAGGCATTCTCAACCTGTTGCTTAACTGCACGATCGAGCTCGGCTTGAACTCTTTCCAGCTGCATTTTCAGTGCATCTTTTTCAGCCTGTGTAAGATTAAACGTGACATTAGATAAGACATATTATTCACCTTAAATAGGAAAGTAGCCATATGGATACCTTCGGGAGGAAAGTAGCCAGATCTGAAGGAGAAGTGGTTTTCAAAAAGGCAGATATGATATATACATAGAAAGCAGAAGATGATTTAAAAACCGATCAATGTCTATAATCAGAGAGATGAAATTAAAGGCTTATAGAGAGAAATGAAACCCATTCTTAGTGTTGTTAATATACTTTAAAAGTGACTTCATCCTTTTAGTTATTCCCAAAGTATCTCTTTTTTCGAAATTTAAGTCCACTTTTCCCGCAGGAGCTGTCTCAGATGAAAGCAAGGCCGAGCGTCGAACAGCTCGCATCCAAATCTAGCACTTAACCAATTGAGCTACGGCTTCCTTCTAGTTCAATGATTTGCATTCAAAGGAAGAAAATAAATGATTACCTCGAGTGACTTGCAATGAGCTGACAATTCAGTAAGCTGTCTCGCCTGGAGCCGTGTTACCTAGAAATACCATTTTGTAAGGTACATTTTAGAATGTGAGGTATGAGCTTAAATACATTTTTTGTATCAAAAATTAACTACGCAGTAATATAAGGTTGTTACACGATTACTTGCGTAGAAAAGTAAAACATACCGATTTTAGGATAAAGTAATCTTCTCCGCATATTACTGCATAACAATATTCTTAGCTTCAACTGTTCTTTTGGGAAGCTCTAGGTTATACAGAAATGCTTAAGCTCTTAGATTTGCTTGTGGCTGGCTGGAGATTTTATCAAAGCTTCGCAGGAAATCTTGAATTTTTTATTTTGCTGCCAGGAAGAAAAATCTTTCTTCAAGACCTGCTCAGTGCTGCTCCACAAGCTCTCCTCTCTATCTTTGCTGCCTACTCTTTTAATCAAGAAACACTTATACCTGCTTGGCACTTTTCTCTTGGCTTATTTGGAATTAATCATAAAATGCCGGATAAGAACACGATCAAATAAGAAAATAACTTGTTTAGCAACATATTGGCTTTCTTATCACAGGTAAATGCTCAGATAGACATCCCTGTAGTTTGATTTGCCTTGGAGGGTGGAGAATAAGAATGATCTACAAGCCCAGCCTGGAGAACGGTCATTACATGGGCACACCGCATACGTCAGACTTGCTGCCCTCAAAAAAACGTGGATAAGCGGTAGGGTTATCATACACTGATCGACAAAGCCCCCTTAACTTTACCATTTCAGAAGTTTTAAGGATTTCGACAGAGCAGCTTAAAAGGCCATTGTATAGTAGGGTCTGACTCCAAACAAAGTATTATATAAAGGGCTTTGCATCGAGAATACCCGATGCAACTGTGTGATTGAATAAGTTATCTTCGCTGTGGAAGCAATTCGTACAGGTTTAGTCTTACTGAAACATACGTGGTCAGACTGGAGGCCAGAGGCTTCGCGTTTTTCTCTAATGTCATCCAATTCGTCTAACAGACTTTTCACTTTCATATTCAGCTGAAAAAAAAATTTGAATTTATTTGGCTTTGTTATTGTCGTAACTTGAACAGGGGGGGAAATATTGAGGTTTCAACTAAATATACTTTGAAATGCCCTCAATATGGATTGCCTGTTTTCCAATATGTTCTACAATTGCTTAAAATGAAACAACTCCTTGAAATTCAGTCAAATCCGCAATGTAGAAAGCAAAATACAGAAATTGAAAGAGCCACCAAAAGCACATGGGAACTCTTTCGTGATTCAATTCTACTTAGGATCAGAAACACTACTAAGGAGAGATTCTTTAGGATTAAGGGGCATGTGCTACTATAAGGTAATTCAATGTCCCAAGAATAGAGAACTTTTCTCTAGAGAAATCTTCAAATCTATTGCGAGAAATATTTCGGTGATGAAGACACAGAAATAAGGGCCTCATGAATAGATATGGTTGCTGCAATAACAATGATAATTTTATTAGACGAAGAAGAATTTATGGTTTAACAATGGGTCGCTTACCCTGTCGAGTTTCAAAATTGCGTTGCACTATCTAATGTAATAGGCTATTTGCAAATAAACACTGGGCAATGAAAAATCTGGGCAAATTTTGCGGGAAGGTATATCAGTGGAAAGTACTACAGCATCTAGAAGACATTAAGCTAAGTTTCTAAGGGCATCATCTGATCACATTTAGAGATGCATGGTTTTCACCTGTGCATTTTCTTTCTGCAAGGTTCGTAGCCGTTGCGCGTCGCTGTGCTCCTCGTGACGACGAAGTTGCTCGGTAAGATCTTCTTTGTCTTTATTCAAAATATCAACCTGCAAGGAGATGCAAAGGAGCTAGATCAGAACAAGTTTGCTATACAAAAACGAAATGCAGACATCCCCTACACCCTGGACTCAAACAAAGATACTTAAAATTGCAACAAAATGGCTTGGGGAACAAATGCATATTCTGCTCATTCCTGGTTTTGAAAGTTACTCTGGTATGAAATTCATTCTTGTTTGATAATTTTACAATATACAAACTGAAAACGGGGGGAGTACTATTGTGGGAGTTTGAATTTGATCGTAGCAGTTATGTCAACAAAACTTAAAAAATAAATAAGCTATTAATTCATTAACAGAAGTTTCATACTGTTCAAATTAAACTTAGCATTTAGTAGGAAATTCAAAAGCATTCCAATTGGTCACTCTTAGAGTTTACTTTCTGAGAAGTATTCCAATTGGTCACGCTGTGTACTTATTGCAGCTTTTCTGTTTCAGAAAAAAGTAGAGTTGCCTTCGTAACACAATGCAGACAAGTATTTGTTAAAAAATTCATAGTTTATAGCAAGCGAAAACAAAACTAAAAAGGTCGCAAATGATGCTGATCAATAGAGGGCATTTAGCTAGGAATTTCGATGCTAATCTTACCTCGATTCTATGCTGTGTGGTCAGCTCCTCCAGCATGGTTCTCGCTCTTGTCTAAAAGAGAAATGGTTGTGTCTGTCAGAGTTCTGTTTTCTTGATCACTAGTTTTTAAATTTAAGGCCTGCTTAGAGACAAATGACAGCTATTTGTTGCAAGTAATGATTAATGACCTGTTTAAAAGCTTGGATTAATTGACTGAGGATATGTTTAGGCCATTATTTGAAATTCAAAATTTCAATATGTTTTGTTTATATAAAATAAGCAACTTCTAATTGCATAAACTGCGCAGGAAGATGGATAATTTATTTGGTCTGTCAACGATTACATTTCTTTAATTCTCCAACGACAAATAGGGGCCTTAGGGTCGTTTAGGCAGCAAAAGGCTTGTAAAATCAATTGCTTTTTATTGACTTTAAGATTGACAATAAAATGTCCTAAAATCAGAAGGCCACAGTATGCCAGGATTTCGGCTTCACCTCATCTTAAACATTCATATTTCTGAAAATCCAAGTCAATCGAGGATGGATAAAAAGGAAACGCGACTTAGGCCATAGGGGACAAGCAGGGGCGCTAATCTAAGGATGTTTTGATCGATCACAAGAATCTCGGATAGAAAATAGCACCAGATACCAAAATTCTAGAAATCGCTTATACATGCACGTCTTGCAACACATGAAAACGTAGCTAAATACTAAACTATGGAATGATCATAAGCAATGAAGACAAGATAATCTACATACCTGTTCGTGCTCGTATTCAGATTTCAAGAATGAATATTCGTATCTAAGTTTGTTGAAGTCGCTTCTGTATTTGTCAAGTTCGAGATCAGCAGTCTCAAGTTTCTGAAGAAATAGTTTTGAATCTAAATTCAATAAGAATGCAACTTTGCAAGAAAGGAAAAAGACTGAGAACTTCATGGAAAAAGCTGCATTTAAGGGACTTTTGGACGTAAAAAGAGTGACTTTATCTGCTCACAAATTCGCTCCTTTTTGCAAAGATATAAACAGCTGCACCAACAAAGATGGGGATATATCAGTGAATTTTATGAGCAGACTTGTATCAAGCTGTTTCTAACAAATTCTAAATTTGCATGCATACCCAGTACTATTGTAATCTTGTGTCAGCCTCTTTTGGAATAGCAAAAAGGAAAATAATGGTGAGCATTGAAACTAGTTTCATAACTTTAAGGAAAAAGAAAGTGAGAATGATTATAGCTAAAATTAAAGATGACCATAAAATATGGAATAAAATGCATTTCCTACTAATTTTAAAACATAAAAATCATAGCATTAACCTGTTTGTAAGCTGCCTCCACTTCTTCTTGCAATTTCACTCTAAGAACCTCCATCTTTTGCGGTGTCATAACCTAATGGAAAAATATCAAAACACAGGAAATATAAGCAAGCTGACTAAACTACATCTCAACAAAAAATGCATTAGAATTTGAACTACAAAAGCACTTAGGACATTTTCTGGGCACCCAGACCGTAAAGTATTCTTTTGTGGCATTTGAAGCAAAGGCTTTCGAAGAAACCTTGTATTCTTTGTTTTTTCTTGTTATCAAAAGTCAGAAGTTTAAATGGTGGAATATTCGCGGGGAACATGACCAGAGAAACAAATACCTTGCGCGGAATCCACGGCAGATTCTTAACAACATTTTGCGATCATCCGGCAATAACGTCTATATGACCTTCATGATATACAAAAAGTTTATAAATGAAGCACAGTTGTTTTGAGTATTTATTCTTTCTTGGGTATTTATTTATTTTTTTAATCTTTCTGCACAAGAGAAATCACGCGATCGATCGGCTACTCGCGTGGGTTATTTCTTACGAAGACCTGAAAACGACTTGAAAAGTTTAGATAATTCCAAGGTTGTCTTCAAACACCAGCAGCCAGCATTTTGGACTAAAATTCAAACTCAAGGAGATATTTTTAATAATTGTAGAAATGATAAAACTTTAGATGATAAAACAGACCATAAATTATCAAACCAATTAAAAAACCACGACAGTGACTAAAATGGGCAAAGTTCTTTAATCAAAACAAATCTTGACTTACATGGATTTTCAGTTCCTCACATTCTTGGATCTTCTGGTCACTTTCAAGCCTGGCCTGGTTAATTAATTCCTGAAATCTCTGCTGCATCAGATGCAGCTCTTCCTTTGAGGCTTTCATCGCATTATCTTGCTTTGTCTTCTCCTGGAATTTGATATTACCAGAAAAAAGTTAGTAGCAGAAAGGAATATGTGGTGTAGATTTGACATTTCTACACTTTATTAATACTATATATAAAGATATGTTCTTGAACAATCTTTATAGCATTAATAAAGTACAAAAATGCTTTTAAAGCAGAGAAGGAAGTCATTAAAACTGACTATTAAACATGGGACATTTTATGTTGAATTCAGAAAACAGTAAAAGAGAGAAGAAGTTAAATTCCTCAAGCCAGTGAGTGGAAACTTGCAAAATGACTGTTCTTAAATTTCATTTCCTTCACAAAAACATTACTGCTCTTAGACATTCTTTGCTACTTGATTAATGCAATTCTTACAGAAAAATGCATTTTGCTTTGTAAAGCCTGGTTTAACTTGCTTTTAATTTCGAAATTTGATTCCAGTTGACTTACTTCTTCAAGCTGGACATGTTCTGTTTTAATAGTTTCATACATCGTCCTGTACTTTTCTATTCTAATTCTTTGTTCTGCGACCATGGTTTCCAGCTGTGTTAGCCTCTCTAGCTTTTGTAGAGTCTCAGCTTGTGTATATGCATCAGCCATCATGGTTTGCAGTTTTAGAAGCAATCAAAAAGAAGCTTCTTCCAAGGGAATGAGCCTTTGCGTATACTGTCACAAACAGGTAAACTTCATTTCGCTTGAAAAATTTCTCTTCCTAGAAAGTAAGTTGATAGTAGCTATATGTCAGATAGAATGTGTTAGAATGTAGAAATCAAGCAACTAAAAGAGTGACAAAAGGATGACATGAAACAAATCATTTAAAGTTTTTTGTAATTCTGAGCATGTGAGCAAAAGAGCAGGGCAAAATACCTAAAAATCTAAATGTGCAAAATCAGTCAATTCTCTCATATACTTCCTGTGATTTGCTCAGTTTTGGTCTGGCTTAAATAAGTTTGGAACCAAGGCCAATTGATCAGTATAAAAGAGCCGGTGCTCACGTGGCCACATTTCAGGCAATCTGTAACAGATCTAGCTGGCCACATTTTCAAATCTAAAAGTCTCATTTGGAGACATTTCATTCACCAGAAGGGAGGAAAAAACTTTAACAATCAGTAAGCCTATGTTTTTATTTTTACTCTCATTAACATGTATTTGGGAAGACTGCTAACACCTGGGAAAAAGATGTCCAAAGAAATAAATGAGTGGACAACTGCGGGCTGGAAACACTTTGGGCAGTACAGTACCTTCCTAAAAGGCCCTAAGATGCCATTGTGCTTGAAAAGGAAGATCATGGACACAGTCATTACACTAGATATGACATATGGTGCAGAAACTCACCAGCTATGGTCCCTAACAAAACGTGAGGAAGAAAAATTGGCAATGGTCCTAAGGAGCATGGAAAGAGCAATGCTCAATATAACAAGGAAAGACAAGATCTGGAATGAAGTGATAAGATCGTAAACAAAAGTGAAAGATGTAGTCAAAAGAGCAGAGTTAGCAAAAGGCTGGTAGGTAGGACATCTTCTAAGGATGAATGGGAGAAGTTAGGCCTGAAGAACAACCGAATGGACACCAAGAGTGGGAAAAAGCGTCAGAGGAAGACCAAAAAAGAGATGGCAAGACAAGATTGAAGGAAAAGCCTGCTGTATGCGGATACAAGTGGCACAAGATTGCCAAATGTGGAGAAGTTTGTGGAGGCCACCCACCAGCAGTGGTGTGACCAGCTGAGAAAAAGAAGAAGAAGAAGAGGAAGATGAAGAATAAGAAGAAGAACAACAACAACAACATGTTATAGAACCTCATTTTCAGTTAATTTTTAGAGGAAACTTCTAATATACTTCCAGCATTTACCAAAGCCCTTGCCTTTTGCAAGGAAGCACTGCATCTTCAATTTCATCATGAAATAAATGGGTATTTTCACTTATCTTTTATTTTCATTAATAAAAGTGTCCTGTTTGGTTATCATTCAGCTTAGATTGTGTGCAAATCTAAATAATCTATGTTCAGTTCTTTTTGAAAAGATGGTTAAGTCTCAAGTTATATTCAAGCCACACAAGATTTGTGCTAATGGCAACTGAGACTGCTTGCCAGCAACCTCGTTTAGACAAAAACGAGATAAACTCAGTTCCTTTGACATCATACTTCAGGCCTGGCCGTTTGTATTTTTATAGGTGAGCTGTGAATCGCTCCCCTCATTTGCTGAGGCGAGCTAAATCAGTAACACATAGAATGTACTTTAAAGAAAATCGACAGATGACTTAATAAGCCCCTTTAGTATCTGTCGGTTGCCTTAATGTAATAGCCTCAGTCAGAAGTGTGCTGTTTTACTTCTTTCAATTTGTATTTGCTTTAACCGTGACTTAGGCACCCCCTTTAATTGAAGTATTTAAAAGAACAGACTCTTTCAGTTTCATGTAAAGCTGGCACAACACAAAAACAACAATTATCTTGCAAAACAATCTTTTTGTTGTACAGAATTTGAAAATGGCTTTGAAAAAAAAAATTTAAAACAAGCTGAAGTTATACGTCTAGCACTCTTCAGAGAATAAAACGTCAGAACAAAGGTGGAAAACTTTACGCTAAAATACCCAGTTTTAGATCGAAATAGGCCAATCAGAAAGCCCGAGCACATGACTGTTGAGGTTGTCCAATCAGTGCCGCTTTCCTATTGAAAATGTTACCAACGGAGTCCTAAGTTGAAAACGAACTCACTTATGTCTAAACAAAAGCGGTTGGTCATGTTTATATAGTAGATAGATTCACAAACTGCTAGATGGAACGATGATCAGGCTTTGCCAATTATGCCAAACATGTTGCCGTTATAGTTTTTACCCAATTATGGGTTTTTCAGTAAATGCCGCTGGATAGTTGAATTCCATGTTTTGGTTGTCGTTTTTGATCTGCAAGACAGAGTACCTTGTTCTCTTTGAGGGATAGTTTTGTTTCTATTGCTGGAAGGGACCTGCTGTCTTAATATATCCCCAATCTACAATTCCTGCCAATTTCTTCGACTTTCCTTCCAAAAATATTCCTGTTTTATTAAGATTGAAAGGTTCTAACCGCTACAAACGTACTTTCCCGTTAACTATCCTTTTCAGAATAGATTGAAGTTTATGCCTATCATAAAAAACCGCCCAACAAGCAAAAAGTTAATTGCAATAAATGCAATGACAGGAGAAATCGCTGTTACAAAAATAAACCAATTAACCCTCATGCGTTTTCATAATTCTCTGAATAGGAAATTTTAGGGGAGCGATTCTTCCTTCATGTTCTGTTTAGGAGAGCAATTCATAGCTCGCCTCAGGTTGCGAGGGGAGCGTGGAGGCGAGCGCGAGCTATCGCTCGCCTCAAACGGCCAGGCCTGATACTTACAAAATGGCTATTCTGAGTACATGTATAATCATGAACCTTTTAGGGTTATCAAAATGATAGTGAAATTCCTATCAATCTTTCCTTAGCTTGAATTCATATTGTAGAGATTTAAGCAACCACAGTGCATTTCATGTCAGCAAATCTGAAGATCTTTTGACTGCAGCCTGTTAAGTATTTTTTGTGTGGAAAATGATAGAACAACAAAATTCAAATAAGGAATGTTTAGTGGGAAATCCTGCTCAAAAATTGTAGCAAAGTATTTTGAGGAGATCTTGTATTCTTGGTTCTTTCTAGTAACCAGAAGTCAAGTTTAAATGATGGAATATGCAGGGAACCTGACCAGATAAACCAAAATTATACATGGACACTATGGCAGACTCTTAACAATGCAAGAGCAGAATGAAGGATGAGATTATTATGCAGGGAACGCATTCTTTGCAAATACAGGCAAACATTCAATAGCGGCCACTCTGAGATCCAAGGCCTAGTGGCTGTAATTTGGAGGTTTACTAAAACATTCACAAGCCTTTATGACTCAAGGTCTGTGGCCGCTATTGGCAGGTGGCTGCTAATCGGAGATGGTGGCTATTAGAAGTTCGAGTATACCAGATATAAAGTCTCCGAGACAAGAAAACCAGACATCATCCTTTTGCTGTTGATGTATATATGTAAATAACACAACAAGTATCACATTATAACAGTTGCAAAGCAAACAGTCTCAGTCAGTCTCTGCAGTCCCTCCTTCTGCCTTCCTCCTCCTCTTCCAACAACAACAACCCAAAAATGGCGGACACAACACCACTTCCCCTTTTTTAGTAACGGACGTAGTCTTTGAACCTAGCAGGTAAACGAGTTTCCCTCCGAGGTCTTGTAGCCCTGTCCTCATTTGGATGTTGCGCAGTAACGCCAGCTGGGGCAATTACTGGCTCTTCTGTCATGTCTGGAACCGGATCTTGGTTGTTCGCGTTTTCTGTTTGATGGGCTTGGTTCTCTATCCAAATAGTATGGTCCTCGATTTTTCCTTGGCTAACTGCAGGCTTTACGTCATCACAGTGCCTTCTGAAACTTTTATTATCAGCCAAACTTTCTAGTAACAGGCCGCTACCTTCTGTGCACAGGACTTTATACAGCTCTGGCCCAAAGATGGGATCAAACTTGCACCGCTGCATGTTCCGCATGTACACAAGATCCCCTGGAGTGTAGATGGACTTCTTTCTATGGGTCGACCTGTTCATTTGGTCCTCTCGAGACATACGTTGTGCTCTGTCTTGCATCTGAGCCTCGCGTATCTGTTGCTCAGTCAGTTGCCGTCGCGGAAAATCTTTTCGATACCCACTACGAAGCAAGAGATCTCCCGGTGGTACTCCCGTTGCAGGATGAGGCGTCGCCCGATATGTTGCTAGGACTTCCTTAATAGCTGTATGTTTATCCTTTTTATTGAAATGGGCCGCCTTTAACGCTTTCCCGAGAGGACGCATAAATGTTTCTGCAGGGTTTGCTTGTGGGTGATACGGGAAGGTTTTAACATGATCAATACCGCTGCCTTGGGAAAATTCAGCAAATGCTTTTGAATCAAATGGTGGTCCATTGTCTGTGCGATGCATTTCAGGATAACCGAAATCTGTATAAATGTCATCCAATGCTTTAATGACAGGCTTAGCTGCGGTGTTTGGGACAAGCTTTGCTGCAGGAAATCGACTCATTTTATCCAGAACTACCAACACATGCTTACTGTCGGGCATAGGACCAAACAGATCAATGCTTACATCTTGCCATGCATGTTCCGGCGTTCTGTGAGATTGAATGGGTTCGTGCATTGTCTTGTTTGTAAATAGTTGACACTCTTTACAGGATGCCACTTTCTCTTCCACTTTTTGGTTCATTTTTGGGAACCAGAAATGACTGCGTAGGCGGCGTTTAAGGCTGTTCATTCCAGGGTGACCTCCCTGGTGGGCTTTTACAAGGGCAATGTCCCACAAACTCTCAGGAAGAATAATGCGTTCTCCTTTCATTATCAGTTCCTCATCTGAGATGGTAAGTTCCGCAAAGATCTTTTTGAATGGAGCGAGATTACCCTTTGTCTTTGGTACATATCCCTTTCTAATGTATTTCTTCAACTCATGAAGTGTTTTGTCTTTATCTGTCTCATCGATGATTCGACTCATAGAAATGGACTCGGTGTATGGAGCATATTGAAGAAGCCAGACCGTTTTTTCTAGTTCACTGGTTTCTTTTTGTTGATCCCTGCTGATGCTACTAAATGGTGTTGCATGTCGGGAAAGGTAATCAGCTGGGTTAACTTTCCCTTCCTTCCAGATTATTTTATATTTCATGTCTTGATGACGCAGCTTTATCCGGTCTGTTCTGACCGACCCTTTTCTAGCATTAGAAAAAATGCTTACCAGGGGCTTATGATCTGTAACGACTTTGATCTCAGGACCTCCTGCAATAAAGTAGCGAAACCGACGCAATCCAAAGTCAATGGCTAGTGCTTCTAAGTCTAGCTGTGGGTATCTCTGCTCTACTGGGGTTGTGGCACGGCTGGCAAATGCTACTGGCTTTGCACTATCACTTGTCTCTCCTTGCATCAGAATTGCAGATAGTCCTGAAAGATGCGCATCCACAAAAATAAATGTATCCTCTTCAGGATTGAAATGGCGGAGAAGAGTGTCTTCTCTGAATGCAACTTTCAACCTGTCAAATTCTCTTTGGCACTCCTTATCCCAAGTGAAGCGACTGTGTTTCTTTGTTCGCATCCGAAGGTTCATTGTTTTGCTTGCTAAGTCTGGTATGAAGTCTTTATTTGACTGGATCATACAGAGGAAAGATTGTAGTTCATCCTTTGAACGTGGGCGTGAGGCATGTTGCAATGCCTTGACCTTTTCTGGGTCCGGTTTAATACCATCTTTGCAGACACGTAGTCCCCAGAATGGAATTTCCTCCTTATCAAACATGCATTTATCAGGATTCAAAGTCATTCCTGATTTTGCAATTACTTGAAGGACGCGATTTAATGCATGATCATGTTGTTTCTTTGTTTTGGCTGCTATGATGAGGTCATCATGGATAACATGTGCTTCTTGAATGGGCTGAAATAGCGGAAGAAGCGCCTTTGTCAACTCGCCAGAGGCTGGTTTCGTGCCCATAGTAAGTTTTCGATACCGCATCAGTCGGTCACCTGCATGAAACACTGTGACCTTCTTAGACTCTTCATCAAGCTCCAGTTGATGGAATGCAGACTTAAAATAAAGTTTAGAAAAATGTTGACACCTTGCAAGTTGTGTTTTAATGTCCTCTACTCTGGGAATTGGAATGTTTGTTGATTCAATTGCCCGGTTTGCTTGACGCATGTCAACAGTGACTCGAATACTACCATCATCTTTTGGGGCGAGCACTACATTTGAAATCCATGGTGCTGGTCCTATATGTTCTTCTATTATATTGTTCTCTTCCATGGTCTGTATCTCTTTCTCAAATCTCTTCCGTAAATGAAATGGAACAGGTCTGGCCGGTGCAGCTACTGGGGGAATATTTTCATTTATGTGAAACTTCACAAAATGGTCTTTTAATGTACCAATACCTGTAAATACCTCTGGATATTGCGAAATAATGCTTGCTTTAACGTCATCTCTGATTTCTGTGTTGCGCCGAATACTTGGCTGTTGGTTATCTGGAGTTGGGTTAAATGTTATGATTCCTAGCTCTTCTGAAACTCTTCCACTGAGCAAAGTTTCAAGATCCTGTTTGACCACGTATATGCATGCATTGGCAACTGATTCTCCATGCATGATTGTGCCTATATAGTAACCACAACATTTTACTGATTTTGATCCATATGGGCGTATTTTCATCTTCGTTTTTCCAAGGGGCAAAGCCAAAGCTTGAGCTTGTTTCCTAGACATTACGCAAATATCCGCCCCTGTGTCAGCAAATGCACTTACTCTTCGCTCTTTAATTATCACCTCAACTTGATAGCGTGATTTTTCTGATATTTTGCGCATTTGCTGGCGAATACGCATGCGTCGTATTTTTGTAACATTCTTCATGAACCGTACACGGTTAATATTCTGGCTAGAACTTGAGTCACTTTCAGATGTGCATGTTTCAGTATCAGAGCTTTCATCCTTACTGCTACTGCTCTCTACCCGCCGAGTGCGAGGTTTAATCTTCTCTCTCTTCTTTTTACATATTGCCGAGCCTTTAAAATGTCCTGTTTTACCACAGTCAAAGCACTCACGATTTGCTGCTGGGCACTGCTTTCCTCCTTTACATACTCTCGATGAACAATTTGGGCAGTTGGAATATTTCTCTCGCAATTTTCCTTCATATTTTGATTTTGACCCTTTTCTGGAGTATTTTCCTGGTCTCTTTATTCTGGAGACAGGTGCTTCACTATTTTCATGGATTCTCTGTGCCCCTCTTGCTGCTGCCTCCAGTTGTCTCCCACCTTTAATCAGATTATCAAGGTCCCACTGGTTCTTTAGGGCATTTTTGCGAATTTCATTATTCGATGTTCCAATGATGATTTGGTCTCTGGTGAGGATATTCTTGACTGTACAAGTTTCACTGGTGCAAGAAAATTCACATGTTTTGGCTTCGTGCTTTACTCTTACTGTAAAAGAATCAAAACTTTCACTTTCCTTCTGAAACAACTTGTGAAACTCAAAATTGGCAAGTGTTTTGTTCCTACTGATATCATATCTTCCCTTTAGTGCTGCTGTCATCTCCATAAAAGTGATTTTACCCCTATCCTTTTCAGGAACAACTTCCTCAAAATCCCTTTGAAGGTTTCTTGAGGCAAACCTTCCTAAAAAAATTTTCCGTTTATCTTGCTCTACCCATGCTGCTTTCTCTGTGTTACTACCTTCCTTCGGTGGCTCTTTGGCTATTGCATCATATTCATAATGAAAAGAATCAATAAAGTCACAAAATGCTTCATAAACATTCCCTTGGTGATCTTCCGGGTCAAACTTGGTCATTGCATGCAATCCATAACTCGCCGCCATTTTGAATCGGCCTAGTTTTTCTACCTTTTACGCTGATTCCTGAATTGGCCTAGTTTTTTTTTTACCTCAGCTTTATCCTCGTCGCCATTATAAAGTCTCCGAGACAAGAAAACCAGACATCATCCTTTTGCTGTTGATGTATATATGTAAATAACACAACAAGTATCACATTATAACAGTTGCAAAGCAAACAGTCTCAGTCAGTCTCTGCAGTCCCTCCTTCTGCCTTCCTCCTCCTCTTCCAACAACAACAACCCAAAAATGGCGGACACAACACCAGACTTTAAATTAATATTATTTGGCATTGGGTTTGCATGAGAGAAGTATCTGCTGGTGTGTGTGATGTACACTGAAATATTGGTGAAATGGCATAGCAGCACGAAGCAAAGCTGATATTGTAACTGATATTAAATCAATTATTCTTTACTTTGTTGTTTTTTTCTTCGATTCTTTGTCAGACACCATTACTTGGTTTTACGTGTACTTCTGCATCATTCCCACTATTATATACTTGAGAGAATTATGGGAAAGGTGGGGCCAACGTAATTATTTTTTGCGGTTTAATTGCTTATGAGCCTTGGTGTACTCCTAACCTAGCTTTTGGTGTACCTTTGGCGTGAGGTATACATAGAAAGCTACAATGGCATTAAGAAAACCGGATTTTGTCAATCAAATGAGCACAAAAAAGTAATTATACTTACAAACTAATTAAAACACTATAGTCCAACTTTTGTAGTTATATCATATTGAATCAAATTCTCTGTTCCGGGCAATTTTTTATCTTTGTATCTGCTAAAAATGGATCACAGAATTGGAATCTTTATGTTCAAATTAGTATGTGCCAAAAATTTCACGTTGTTTTGGCTGCCAGGCAGCGAATAACCCCATTTTCAAAATTTAGCTTCTCCTATACATTTCAATGGAATTTGTAGCTGTAGTGAAATTTTTTCCGGTCAAATCTAAAGAAATATCTAAATATTCAAAACAAAGTAACTCGCGACCGAACCGTCCAAACAACATTCGGGGCTATTGCAGTTTCGCACCTCTCAGCGTGTGGTTCCATACATAAGGATAGGGTTTGGGTAAGGATCAATGTCCAAGAAGTGCAAAACTACATTAGCGCCGCTAGTCCTTCCAAACATGATACAACAGCATCGGTTTATGATTGTGGGCCTAATTGACCTGCTATGGAGGAAGGCAAGCGTTCATTGAGAAATAACACCGATGTTCCTGCTTTAAAAGAGATTACATGCATCATATGTATGGAAATATTTAAATATAATTATGCAATATCAATACTAGAGAAAAACAGGGCTTTACCTTGGAAAATCTATGCTTTTGTGCAGGCAGCTTTGATTTCAAACAGCTTTGATTTTGGCGGTTGTTGTCGTTTCTGCGTGTCCTGCGGTTTCGAAATCATGGCAACCAGTAAGTGGCTCCTCCGCACTTTCCTTATCGAAAAAATCATACTCCCTTTCTAGAAATCATACACTTGACGGTTTATTAATTTGTAGGCAGTAGTCTTGAAGCGAAAGACCTGAGCTAAAAAGCACGCATTTACGCTGTATGATTCATCTTCTGAAACATCTTACAACTAGAAAGGACATCTTTAATACAATAGCAAAAAGTTTCTGAATATCACAAGAGCTTTAAAAGGTCTCAAAATTAGAGATCTTAAAAGTTTTAAGAATGCAACAGGGCCTCAACATTCCACTCCCAAAAACACGTTTAAACATGTTAAATAAATTGACCTAAACCTCAACCTGAAAAAATACTTGTAAAATAAACTGTCATTCTACTAAGGGAAGCAGGAAGACCACAGGCTTCTTTGCAAAGTGCGTTGGACCATTAGATCATAAAGAGTGTATCTTTCAAAATTTGAAAATCTTGATACTGTTAAATAACAAGAACAGCGAAGAAAACACAATTCTAAAATTTCGGGCCAAATTTCAATTTACCTTCTGATTATTCCAGTTACTAAACCAGTTACAATTTTCCCGGCACAAATTATATAATCATTTCCAAAATCAAGGTATTTTAAAAACAAATAGCAAGATACAAGCAAGACGACCCTGAGGGGTGAATAAAAGGGAAAAATTTTAGGATCTCGACGAGTAAAAAGGTCTGCATCTTTGGGGCGGGTATTCAAAACTCCATTATTGGTAATTCTTAAAAGGGTTTTGAACAAAATCTGTTCATGCTGCTTTCAAGGAGTAAAATTTTAAAAATAACAGTACTACAAGACCAAATAAAGGCTCAGGGCCTATCTTTCCGAAATACAGTATTCAGGAACAGAAATTTTACTTAGATAGAACGTAAGGAGCTAGAAAAGCAAGCAGTAGTGGGAACGTAAGTGTGCAAGACGAATGTAGAATACCAAATAAAAAGTACTGGAAGATGAAGACTGTATACAACATTGGCGGGCAATCAATTTTCTCAAACAGCCATAATAGAGATTCTATTGTCAAATAGCTATTGTGATAGGACCTGCTTGATAAGAAAAACTCTATTCTTTGAAAAGTTATCACTTCACATGGCTTAAGACTTTCTACATATATAGAATGAAAAATGGAAAAATTTGAAAACGATTCTTTCGCTTTCATTAAATTGATTGTACGGAATGCATTATTTATGTTTCATATCTAATTTCCCAGCACGAGCCTATCAGGGCCGAAGGTTCATGCTGGAAGTGGCCTAGGGTCCTTTCCATGTCCACCTCTGGTATAGACGAAAAATGAGATCCACGCGTGGATTTGCTCAAATTTGCAGGCATCAAACAAAAAGCAACCCTTTGGTATTCAACTGAAACGGTAATAAGATATAGGTTTGTTTGCATCTTACGTTGTATTTGCTAACTTACATGAACATTTTAAGGGCAAAAGCTCTTAAAAGTCGTTAAAAACATCGAGGCAATTTACATGAACTCTAGAAACAATCACAAGAAGATTGATAAATCGTGACTCTGGATCGCCTACTGTTCTATGGTTCTACAGTAGCTACACTTGTGCATTTAGAAAGCAAATCAGTTCCAATCATAAAGTATAGGCAAATGATAGACGATTAGCGAAAGGCCACGCAACGTTAAAATTCATATGTACACATTAAAAGCATTTTTCGTCAAAAACCAAGCAGAGTATTAAATGCTGGATGGTGAACATAAATATGGGAATATTTATAGATTTTGTGTTTACGTTTTTCAATGAGAATTTCAACCCTATTAGAAGTATCTGACATTTCTTGATTCCCATTGAAGTCGTGCGTTCTATGATTTTAGGATATTTACAAGAGTTTTGTTAAGACGTGAATCGCGAGGAGTTGAAAATATCAATTCAAGAAATTAGTATTAAAGGAGTTGAGATTATTTGATAAAATAATTAGAAGCTAATTGTTTTAAGCATGTCTCGGCGGTATCAGGGGTTCCTTGACATCATATGCTTCGACAATATCCTGGAAAATAATCAGTAATTGAAAAAAATATAATTATTTTGAAACTAAACTGCATCTTTTAGATAAATATAGGTAAGGCAGATTTTGCAAGCATAAGAACTTTGTGTTCACAATACGATTTCTGGAATGGACAAGAAAAGTGAAAGATAACTGGGTAAAATGGTTAGAGCTTAAAGAAAAAGTAAAGATTGTGAATAAAAATTAAGAGTTTTGAAAATATCCATATGGAGATAAATACTGTCAGCAAACAGCAAGGTCTTTAGATAAAGAAGATAAAAAAGTTCAGCAAAGAATTTTAGACTGAAGCAATACATTGGACAGAACATCAAGCATGATGATTCTTATGAATAAAGTTTTAAGTGTTCTAATAATTTTTCTTAGACAAAAACCACAAGATATCATGGACGACTCTTTTACAAAACTATAGTGTCCCTTACCCTCCAATCACTCATTGTCATCGACATAATAATTTGCTTTTGAAGAATAACATCCTGGTGATCTTGCTCTCTGTATGGGTTGCTTTTACCTGATATAGAACTATGTCTTAGCGTATAAAACTTGGCATATGAGTAGAAAAAATAACACTCTTACTAGTTACATCAAAAATGTATAATCAGAGATCTCTCGATCATATATATCTTCCTAAAACATTGATGTTTTGCATCAGAAAACAGAAAATTGGCTAGCAGAATACAAAACAATATCAAAATAGGGCTTCAATCTTATTTGTTTGGCAGCACTTAAAGGTGCATTTCTCCATTCTCTCACAAGATATCTTGCTGAAGAATTGTGTCTAATGGGAACTAAAGTCAAATTCAAGTAATGGATACAAATGGATGACATACAAACTGTTGGCTGTCCCTCTTCGTCCATTTTCACTTCTGCTTTGCCATCCTGTCAAGAAGGTGTTAATCATAAATATATTTTATCCAATACTTTGATTCACTGATATATTTGTTAATGCAATTGTCTTTATGATCTGGCCTTATTCGTTTAATTTATTAAAGAAATCGATAGAAAGTTCTGACTGGGTCTAAGTTGCAATTCTACTAGATTGCATTTAGGATTACACTTCTAAAAATTGCTAGTATTTATGTAAAATAATATCACCTTTTCGTGAGACAAGTAAAGACCTTTCACTAATGAGGACATACCTTCACAAGAAAGGAGAGATGAAACAGGTTTTCGATTGTTTGTGCAAACGAATTTGGATTTGTTATGAACTCAAAGAACCCAACTGGTCTTGTGCCTAGAACAAAGAATGAATTGCAACAATCATCAAAATGCTCTCTAAAGAGCAAATGGTATATTCTAGATTAAGAAACAAGAAAATAGCATGTCATAGAAAAACGCTTTTGAAATAATGGATGAACAGCTTTTCAAAGACTTTAAAAAATGCCAAGGCCTCTCCAGCCCCAGTGATCTTCCATTGTTTAAAAAAACAGGCTATTGTCCTCCTCTTTGTAAAAAATGGTCTGCCCCCTCCCCCCTCCCAACAGATCTGAATAGACTATTAAACAATTACCAGAAATCTGCATGTGAACATTGAAAAATCAAATCAAACAGTTTCAATAAGTCTCAAAAACACACCATCTTTTGTCAGACGTTTTAAAACTCTATAAATTCTTTCAACTTCCTTTGTTGTTGCTTCTTCGTGCTCCTCGACTTTTGACAGCTGAATTGACAACAAATATATTACAATCCATTTGCACCTATATATAATATTTAATCATCAGTTTTCCTTATATCAATATAGCAAACAAAAGATTTGCCAAACAACAAAACTTAAAAGAAAAGTCAGTCCAATACATTAATTAAAAAATTTATTATAACACTATGAATTCCAAAGTGAGTCAAATTAATTAACATATTATATTCACATATATGTGTAGTAAGGTGGTAAAAGTCAAGGATTGATGATTTAGGTCTTTAATTTCACTGTGGCTAAGTGTTTTTATAATTGTGTATATTTAGCATATTTTAGCATTCATGTGTACATTCACAACGGGTTGATAAAGAACATCAAACTGCTGCAGGATACTATTAAACTTAGTATTAACAAACTATTTGATACTTTATTTATTTCTTATTAATATAACAGAATATGTGTTTTGGTACAAGACAATGATAAAGTAAAGTGACATACCTCTTGTGGTGCTTGTTTTTGACTTGAATCAAATTGTTCTTTTCTTCTTACATTTGATTTCTTTGTTTTCCTTTCAGGCACTTCAATAACTAGAGGCCCAAGCCTTAAATGAATAGCAAAACATAAAACCCTTTCAGAGGACCTTCAAGGCAGTATATTTAAAGAAAATGGGAGAATAGTGAGGTGCAACTGTACCAAGTTGATTTGAGATTGGTTATAACGATTCAACAGGACTGATCTGCTTATGTAATTGAATGTCAAATACAAATGCTTCTTGGAATGCCAGTGACCCATTAGACAAATGTCATCAACCTAACAGAAATGTCCAGACAGAATGCGTTTTAACTTACATGAAATCAACAGTTGGGGCCCTTTTGAAACAGCCTGCACACCTCTTTCCTAATTTCATCCAATCCAAGGAATCTAGGAATTTTTCTTTTGTATCTTCATCATCGTCATTCACTATGTTCCTGCTATGTGACAGTTGTGCCTCAAATCTATTGTGCACCATAAAATGGACCTAAAGATTATGATTAAAAAATATTTTACTCAAGACTTCTTTCATTCTTTGCCATAAAGTTCCCTCAATCTTGATGACCTTTTTAATCAATGATTCTGATTTTGTTCAATTCCTTGTGACACATCTTCAGTAATTATTAGAGCAATAATGCTTGAAATATATGGATAAAATTACAAAAACATACAATAAATGATTTGGAATAAAAAAGAGAGTTGCCTAGATCTGATTACATCTTTAGTGAACTCATTTAGTTTAATGATTTTTCAACCTAGGGGCTAGTCACTCTAGAGAAATTTTGTACAAGGTTTGTGAAAATCCTATTCAATTACTATTCAAAATAAAAGAAAATTTTTGTTCCTAACAGGTGGTTCCTAAATTTTTAAGTCTCCATTGAATAACCTTAACCGCTTCTTGCTGTAGAAATATGTAGAAACCCTTGTCTTGGTGGAAGCCTTGCATGTTTATTGCAAGATTAAATTGCTTGTTGACTTTATCGATTCTGTCCCCTGGATCAAAAAGCTTTACCTTACATAAACCTACCAGTTTATCTGCAAAATCTTTTGGATCAAAGATGACAAAATCTGTCTGCAACTGCTTTGCTTGTTCTGACCCATGATTAGTGACTGACAAAAGAAGACTTGAATCCAAAACTGCTTCTCGTGGATGTCGCACTTAAATAAAAATGGAAAGTTCAATGAGGTCAAAATAGATCACAACAGAAAGAAAAGCTGTGTGGCTTCTATTTCATAAACAGGGTTATTTTCCTAAAATTATCTGTTTATAAGGCAAGATGTTTTGAATACTCCGTTAGTTTTTTAAACTGACCTTTAAACATTGAAGTATTTTGCCAAACAAAGCCTTCAAAAACTCCACATATTAGGAAATTGATAATGAAATTAAGGTAAAAGCATTAAAACAATATATTCTAAACGAACTGAATGCACATATTTATGACAACCTTACTTCAATAAAAATTTAAGCCAAGATTAAAATAATTTTGAATCTTAAATCTGTGTCCACATAAGAGACAGCATACTGAGAAATACTATATTTCTGCTAAAAAGCACCCTGGACCCTGGAAAGGAATGTTTTTTTAAGATGGCAATTTTTCAAGGATGGGTGTGTTTGGAAGGAAATACAATATTGGTGTTATGTTGAAATGAAAATTTTAATTATAAGTCTTTACATCATCAATAGATTGTTTCTTTCATGTATCTTTCTGTAGCTTAACCTTTTCTCCAAATAAAAACATTTACTTCTGTGCATGACAGTCTTGCAGAACATCATAAAGGGCATAAAAAAGATCAAATTTGCACAATGATATACAATTTGAAAAATAATATTTTCTCAAACCTTTATCAAAAAGTTCTTCCTGTCGAGTCAAAACTTCAATGAGTCCTTTGGATTGTGGTTGTATCAAGTCTTCTTTCTTTTCTGTTAGAAGTAAAAAGATCAAAATTATGTCACAATGCTCTCTGAAATATTTGAAATAATCAGCTTGTTTTCTTGGTACAAAAATAAATCTATTCAACTTTGGCATTGAAATTTTGCAAATATTTTCCTTCTGAGGGCCTATGTCACCAAAGACCCTTGGCCCTGACTTTCTGTTTTAGAAACTTGTCAGCTTAGACCCTTGGTTTGGGTGAGCTGCCATCTTTGGCATCGTTTCTATAATTTTGCAACCCTAGTGTTCAAAAAAGTATTGCAAAGCATTCAAAAGAAACAAGAAAAACAAATGAAAGAAATCTGAAAGAAAAACTGGTAGTTGCATACCACATCCCTTCCCCTTAAAGGAAGGCCTTTCTAGCTCTATATAATTTTTTTACTGACAAAATGGCAATACTGCCTCCCACCCTGGTCTGCAGAGTATGGCACTTTTCAACGAGATCTCTGGTGTGCACCAGCAAAAAGCCTGGTGTGCCGGTGTGCACCACCAAAAATGTCTGGTGTGCTGTGTGCACCGACTATTTTCCCTATTGTGGTTAAAATTTGTGAATTTGCCTTTCACCGTAAAAATGCGTGTGAAGTATAGTGTTGAAGATAGCGCAAGTTTTTATTTGTATATTTGTCAAGTAAGATTCATGATATCTCAAATTGTTCATACACAACTGTGTTTGTTTTTATCAGCTGACATTTTCTATGGGACCACACCAAGCCACATCCTCCTTAGTTGCCACACCAAAAAATACCCGGTGTGCAACAGGTTTTGCACAAAAAATATCTTCGGTGTGCACATGCCATACTCTGCAGACTGGCTCCCACCTAACTCCGACAGACTGAGAAGAACCGGAAAATCCATCTCTTCCAAACTCTGGTAAAAGAACTACAAAAAAGGGCACAATTTATTCGTTTTCACCTGTACTGTGACTAAATTTCCGCAATAAGATAAGCATAGTATGCTTTACCTCACTGATCCCAGGAGCGTGGTTTCTTTACAATTTTTGGCCTAGCCTGAATGAATCTTACCTTTAGTTTCGTTCATAAGATCACGATACAGCGAACGAATCTCCCGCCGTTTCTGGGGCTCATCGTATTCACTGTACTCATCAAGAGGAGGAATGGCTTCTCGCCCGGATCTCTTTTCCTTGCTCATTTTAACCTTTACTTGTATTCGCGGCAAATTTTTCCGAGTTTCCTATCCTTGCGATGAAATATTTCAGAGCCTCCTTATGGAATTGGCGGGAAGATACATTACATAAATGAGGCTGACGAAAAACTCTCGCGGCAAAAGTTCCTTTCTCAGGGCAACACTTTCTAGAGCTCGAGAGAAACGCCGGGCCCAGAGCCAGGCCCAGTTCGTGGGCCCCTCCCTATCAGAGACCGCGGAAGCAGGGTGGGGGGGGGGGCTGAGAGGGCTTTAGCATTGAATGACATAAAATCATACAGAAAAATTGCTTTTCTATTGGTTTTTAGCATTTTTTGCCTCCCCCAAAACGTTATAGATACGATTTTCTTTTCGTAAAGTTAATTGTAATAGGGAGCCATTTTTAAGTGGAAACAGGCTGATGACCATTGAACCCTCTGTGTACGGGCCTAGAGCAATTACCGTCTTTGCCTCCTTTTCAGATTTCGGTTGGCCTGCATACATCTAATGAGTAATTTACTCAATTCGAGTGTATCAAGCTATCGATAACTAATTACCTTTTTTACATTCCCATAGACTGTTCATTTCTAGGCTTTAGAGGTAGAGCTTAAAGGAGAGGGTTCGTTAAGAATTTTAAAAGAGGCACAATATATTTGCTGCAAGGAAATACCACAGGGGACCTCTTGACTAAATTTTGGGTAGGGATCTGCCACGAGCATACTCAAAGTGGTACCGGCAGCTGTACAAATTTTAACAATTATGGTACCCTTAGCTAGATCAATTTCTACAAGAAAATTATATTTGGCTAGATTCATTTCCAAGCCATTCGAGCTTGAAGATGTCTCAAAATTATTGGTTTGAACTCGAAAATGGCAAAGATCGATTTGTTTAATTTTCTAGTGTATTAGGATGAAATTATTACTAAGGACCGTATCCTAGACAATTATTGGCAAATATTATAATTCTCTTGGCTAGACCTATATCCTTGGCTAGAAATATGAAAAGGGGGTGCTCTCTCCTCGATTAGTTTGACTACTGAGAGAACTCCTTCTTTTGAAGTTCCGTCCAAATAATTTATCTGGTTTTCTTTGTTTCCTTTAATGTATGTTGTAATAACTTTACATACCGATGCATAATTTTCTGCAACACTGTCTTATTTTCTTGTAGTTTAGCTGATTTGTTTGTTTAATTATTTTGACAAATTTTATGTAGTGGAATTGAAAAAATTAAAATCTGAACAGAACTGAAACTTGGCTGGACTATAATTGCAAGTAAGTATGCCCTTTGCTAGCTAAACAAGAAGCCCAAAAAGTATACCCTGATTTGATACCCTGGTAAAAAAGGTATCAGAGCACATTCCCTTTTTTACGGGAGAACTCCCTGTGGGAAAAATCCCAAGGTATTCACGACTGCTACAAACAATCATTATCTCACTTGCTAATAGAATCACCATCATTATTTTGAAGATCAGTCCCTGGCAAGGACCCTGGAGTTGATCACGGACAGGGGGTAGGACACAAAAGAGTTTTCGAGAAACGTATCGCAGTTTTTACTAACTATTTTGCAACTGGTTGTTTCATTTTTATTTGCTGCAGGCATTGTGAAAGTGGCCATGGAATCACCGTAGTTCTGGCACATTAATTTTTTTACGCATTTTAAGTAGTATCGTTATCAAAAGAATAGAAAAAATTATTGAAAAAACCGTAAAAATAAAAGCTGTATAAATTTTGTAGATGATTACAAACGCTGATGCAAGGGAACAGTCATGAAAGGAGTAATTTTGGCCACTTTTCCCCTTCTATCAAAGTGAAAGTAGACTTGTTGCAACTACCGTTTCATCGAATTTTTCGATAACATAATAGATCGGCTTTTGAAGACGCAATACATACATCTTTATAAGAAACTGACCCCTAAGTTGAGAAATCTCAAGACAATTATCGTACTGATTACCCTCAGCTTTAAGAAACTGCTCTAAAATCATTTTTTTAAGATGGAACAGATTTCTTGCTTTATTGACATAGGTGATAGAAACATGGCACCCTTGTGACTGATTCATATGTTTCCTTTTTTTGCTTTGTTGGACTTTTGCTACCCTACATTTTTCCCATCAGTTTTATATCAGAAAAGTGACTCTTTGGCATTAGTGGTAATCGATAAATCATTTAAGTATCGTTTAGAACTAAGTTCAAAAAATAATTTACAAAACTTGGTTTGATACTAATCCTGATCTTGATTTATAAAAAATATTTTCAATGAAATTAGCAACTTCCAAATTATATTTTGGCAATCAATTAGACGAAAGAAGAGATAGCTAGTGCCCCCCCCCCCCACGTGACGCTGTTACTGTCTGCTAGGCAAAATCTTAGTTTTGCCACTTTCATTGAAAACAGATCACTGTTGTCTAGATCACATTGCACGTTTGCATTTGTTAGCATATCTGATTATTTATTTGAATCTTAGCATAAAACAACATAAAACATCACTTTTCACTATTTCTGTTTCAATTTTATCGTAAGCATCAAAATTAGAATCAAATGATATGTTGTACGACTATGTACTTTAGCCAATTTTCTAAACTTCTTCAGATGTTAACTATGAAAAAAGTGTAATGAGTTTTATGTTAAAACTAAAGGCATATCAAGTTTGAAAGTATGGAAAATGCGCATCAGTGTTACTGGTTCTATCTTTTGTAGCAAAACAATAATTCTGTTTGGACAAAATAGTATTACTTGGCAGTTTCCGCATTACCCAGGTAGCACTTTTCAGAGTTTCTAGCGAACGTCTCTACACAAAGGTATTCAATTCAACTTTTTATAATCCTTGTATACATATGGTGTTTTACAGATATTTGCTCATATTTGAAGGACCTTTATTGCAGATCAAAGTGTATTTTTCATGTTTGCCACTGATTTTTCAAACAAATCCCATTATTAACCATCCCCTCTTTTATACACCCCTATGTCAGTCAATAAAGATTTTCAGGAGAGCTTTCGTTGAGAGGTATAGGATTTATTCCTTCACACAAGAGCTGTGGAACAACATAATTATCCTAATCAAGTCAAGTTATTCTAAAAATTTCCAATCATTTCCTCGTATTTCCACGGAATAGCAAATAACGGAATCTTGTCTGATAAATACCAGTTCATGAATAAAAGGGCTGCCTAAGTTCAAAAATATATAACGACCTTCTTTAAAAAGCCTCTTTTTACTTTATGTCTCCCCTTTGGGAAACAAGATTTTAATTTGGCCTCTAATTCAAAAATTCAACAATAGGAAGAAATACTATTCGTGCAATGAGGAAGTGAAAAGAAAGTCCTTGGTTAAGCAGTAATATGACGTAATAAGGAGAAGAACAGCAAACAGGACTTGGCCAAACAAACAGAGTCCAGATTTTTTCTCCTTCCTGCCCAAGAAAAACAGTAGAGACATGGCGGGGCAAGGTGTGACAATTAAGTTGTTTTTGTTTTCACTATCTTTTTCTCATTGCCGTTGACTGTGTGAACGCCATGTTTTCTAGACTTGCAAACAAGTTGACAAAGTCAAAAATACATCGCACGAAGACAGTGAACGTAAGAAATGCAGAAACAACATAGGTGCAAGTCACCCAAAGTTCAGTTTTACTTGAAAGATTGCTTTCACCAAGATGAAATAAAAAAACTATTATTTATCTTGCTTTCAAGGAAAGGACATGAAGTTAAATTTGTTCGAGATCAGGTAGATGCAGGCTTTCAGGAAGGATGTGGTACATGCGAACCAAAGAATAACACAGTATCAGACTGTTAGTTGAATAGCATATTTAACATCATCAATACACCCGCTAGAAATTTATAGATTTCAAAATGGCAGAATATGGGCTTTTGCAAGATGCCCCATGGTTTACAATGTTCAAATGTAGATATTATCAGTCCAAAAACTGTGGATACATGAGTTGTTTTATGAGCACGCAAAACAGTCTTTATTGGCAGAGGATTCAGTAGCTGTCTTCATTTATCTGCTTGGGTCAGACAAGGCTGTGTGTTATCTCTGATGCTTTTTAACATTTTCCTTGAGCAGAAATTGAAAGAAGCAAAAGAAACATTCTCAGCTGGTGTAATATAGGACTAGTGTAGCGATTAAACAATTGTGAACTTGCTCAGTGAAATAGACCTTTTATGATTTGAGAAGCTCAAAAGATTTGAAGAATTTAACTGTCCAACTAGTTGAAACAGCAATGGCATATGAAATGGAAATCAGTACAGTGAACAACAAAGAATGATTAAGGGAAAACAAGAGGAAAAAAATTCATAAAGAACTGCAACAATTGGCGGGACGACGTCAGAGTAAATACAATCATTCAAGTACCTTCAAATATATGATTAGACATTGATGTAAAGCATCAGAAAATGAGTAACAGGCAGGCAAAGAATATCTGAGAAAAAGAACATAGTTGGCTGAAAAAAGTTTCAGTGGGAGGAGCAATACAAAAGGCAAAAGACAGAGTTGTTTGGAGAGGCATACTGGAAAAACCAGACCCTATGACCCTATGACCCCTATGACCCCTAGGACAATTAATTACGAGGCTTCCCCAGAGCCATGCTTTTTTAATGCTATTATATTTACAGCTTTGGAAGCATTCCGACTTTGGCTCAAAGTCAAATTCATTTAACAATCTAACAGAACTCTTTTCGAAGTCAAAAATAATCCCTGCGAAATTTGGCTGCGAAATTCGCTGTGAAATTCACCCTTGCAGTGTGTGCTGTATGAACGGGGGAAGTTAAAGAAGTGCGGAATTTTTTAATGGAAGACTTTTGATTTGGGGTTGAGTAAACGTCTTTTCAAATTTTGGCTATTGTTTTGCCCTGAATTCTAGTGCTCTGCTCTGCTTCCTGCTCTGCCCACATTGTTCATTTCGGTGTGTGCGTCATGTGTTAAAAGGCATCCTAGGGGTCACAGGGGTCCTAGGGTCTGGTTTTTCCAGTATGCCGTTTGCAGAGAAAGAGTAATCGTACGATCTGCCCTCCTCCTGTGGCCACCATAGGCTTTGGATAAAGAAAAAAAAATTTATTGATCTGATTACGTCAGTCTCTTAATGAAAACGGCATGTGCGCATAAGATCTAGCTGCGCACAATTAGTGCGATGCACTGATCAGTGGTGTGATGTCGTGCAGTCAGTCTGGGCTGAGCTAAGAAACAAAAAACAATTTGGGCGGAATAGAATCCCTGTTCTGTGATAAAATTTTCTGACATGAATCAATTTTAGGCCCTGTTTACGTTGTTACAGATCACTTGTTGTTACACTGTTATGGCCTTTCCCTGGGTGCCAGAGTCTAGTCACAGAAACTCAGTGCGCCCACTTGGGAGGATTTATCCTTTTTTTGGGAATTTGGGCCGATTGGAAGGGAAATGGAGGATTTTTAAGTTAGAAGAAATTTTGAAGGTTTTCCAAGATATTGAGAGGGAAAAAATTGCGTTTTTTAGTCAGTTAGAGGGTTAATTGCTCAAGAAGAGCTTCAAGGTTTATGCAAACTTTGGCCCGTAAACTTATTTGACAAGTTCAAATAGTGTTGTGTTTTGTTTGAGTTTTGTTGGTTGGTTTTAATTAGACTTTTGTAGATATTTTATACGCTCGCCATCTTAAAATAAAGAGCTGACAAAATGAAAATGGATTCTCCTCCGCATAATTAATCGTAGAGTCGTTTTTGATATTACACAAAGCTGTTTTCAAATTTTTGAATTTGGATCACATAACCTGATAGATCACTAAATGTGCAAAATCGAATAATGTGTTAAAAATTAGCTGTGATATGACAACACAAGCACAAGCTTTGCCCCTGTCAGACCACTGTAATTTTGTCTCTGCACTAAACTTAATGAGCAATATTGAAACAGCAGAAATCTTTAGCAAATTTCCAGAACTTAATATCATCATTGGTCATATCTCACCCAATTTTTAAAACATTGAACTGATTTTGTATATTTAGAGGTAATTTGTGGTGTTTTATAAGGATAAGTTGTCCAGAGATAAAAATTGCAAAAATAAATCTCAAGAGGACAAATTTAAGAACTACTCTGTCCTACCTGACAATCCTGAATGTTTTGAAAGTTTCAAAAGGTACCCCCCTTCCTCCTAAAGGCTGCCCATTAATTAACAGAAGCAACACAAAAAAAGCTCTTGTGTATGGCATTAATTTATTGAATTTGATTAGCAAAGCATTTTCATTAAGCATTCATTCATACTATTTACATGTGTGATGCATCCATGAACCTTTCAAACCCATTGTCAAAAGGGCTCTGCCACCAATTGAAACATTGGGCCAACAAGGGGCAGAATTATTCTCTGTACTTCCTAGCCCTATTTCTACCAAAATTTTAGCTGAAAATGTTTTCTTTTGTTGATTTTGGCTCAATGTATTTGTTGTAGTCATAGGCTATTTTAGTGAAACAATTTCATGAATTTTTCATACTTTAACGGGTATTTTCATGAAATTCAAATCTCAAATTGTGAGCAGTTCCACAATGGATATTTGGTTGGAAAGGTTACTGAACTCTGTAACAAAAGAATCACAATTTCATGTACTCTTTACTCTAAACTTACTTTCATTAGGCCAAGGTAAAAGAACTTTAAATATCTTTACATACTCACAAAATGATGATAATAAAGCTGCTTAAACTTTGAATGTGTTGAATACGTGTGAAACAAGTTAATCTGTATATTTCTTATGCTCTTCTATTTTCAGAAGCTTGCGATTAAAATTATAGCAAAACTAAACAAAAACTCACAAACCACTTGTCATATCCTGAAATATATGTACAAATTCTTAGAAAAGCCTGATCTAGCTGTACTGTGAATCTTACAGTATGCAGAAGATTAAAATTGAAAAAAAGTCAAAGAAACTCTTTTATCTGAAACCAAGAAACAAAACTAAGGTGAGAGGTAACAAAAAATAGCTGGCATTCTTATCATATAAATTTGTAGAAAATTAGCTATTTACAGCAAAACAAAACTTTCCCTTACATTAAAATTTGAAGTTTAATAATATCTATCTGTGACAATGCTTTATCAATTAGTGGTCAAGAGACCTGCATTTGCACCAGGTATTTAGATTCTCTGCAAATTTAAAGAATTAGTTTCTTAAAGTATCCTAATTGCATTGTAAAAGTAATATGGTGGGTCTGGAAATACTTTTGTTCTTGGCAAAAGTGTGTATGAAAAACATTGTCTCTCATTATTCCTAGCAGATATCGGAAAGCAGCCGAGTGGCTGGTTTTAGACAAAGCAAAATGGGCGTCTAGGGGGAAGGCTAGACGGAGACAAACCAGTTGTATTAGAGTGCCGTCAACGCCCACTAAATACGGCAACCTTTTACCTGTTTTCAAGCACGAAAACAGTAAAGTACTCTAATTATTGGAGTAATTGTTAAGCATTCAAATATACAGCGTTCAGCATTGAAATCTATTGAAAACTACCCAAAATCCGACCCTTTCAAACGGAAAGCATTGGTTTGCAGACAAAACACATTTTGTTTATTGGCTTACATCATACCAGCAAGACGTGCAGCAATTCACGCAAACGAATACGGATTTGTCTCGACTAGGAATTCAGTCCAGCGAATTGATTGTCCTTCGCGAGCAAACTAAATCCTTCCAGGTTGTCCTGTATGCTTTGACTGGTTTTGTTCGGGTAGAAAAGAATCTTGTAATTTTGTTGCTTATTATTATCCCAATAAGTACCCGAGGGAGTCTCGTAACATACGCAAAATTCAACGTTGACAGTGTCTCCTTTATCGTCTCCAGAAACTGGAATCTCAAACGAAAAGGAGTCAGTTTTCCCAGTACTTGTTCCACTCACAAAGGTGCCTTTGGCATCATGGCAACTTCGCCACTTATCAAATGTGTAACGTACAGAAACATTCTTCTGGAAATCGATATTAGAAACAGAAATCGTTCCAAAAATACTGTACTCTCGAATCACAACATTCTCCAGACAAACTCGATTCTCTATCACCTTTTCTTGAAAGTTCGTTAAGGTAATTGGTTGAACAAAATTTAAAAGCTTACTCTTCTTTTCTTCTGTCGTTCCTTTTTTCTTACCTCCGATTGACGGGAATGAATTTCGCACAACAAGGCCTTTACTTCTACTAAAATTTTTAAAGGCAAATAGTTCGTCTTCATTATCGAACAGGTATGAAACAGAGGTGAGAGCTAGGCCACAACTGTCCGCGAAGTGAACTGACTTTGCCTTCCGAACTTCTATTTTTTCGCTCGAACCTTCTTCCTTCGGCACCAGTAGACATGGTTTTACAGGATGTTCTCCTGGCTGACAGTCTAAAGGCCTTTTCCAGACAATTTCGTTGGTATCTTTGCTGCCCTTCAAATGAGGACGCGGAATCTTCCCATCAAAATCGTCGATAAATTTACCCTTCTGTAGCTGTAAGCCATCAATCAGCTCGCGACTGCCTAAACTACCATACTGTCTGAACGAAAATAAGGCCAAATGCTTTTCACTGAAGTCGATCGACATTTTCCTAGCTTTGTAAGATAGCCGTGCTGTCCACGAACATTACACCATTTTCTTCTACATCACAACTTTTAAAAATACTGAGGACAAAGCCGCTGTTGAGTCTAGGTGATTCCTATAACAACTTAACTTTCACCAATCGGCGTAAAGAGATTCCCTCTACTGCCCTCGTGATTATTTCTGTAAACCAATTAAAACCAAGTAAGCAACTAATTGGCAAATGCCTTGTAATAGTAGCCAATCACATAACAGCATTCGACCTATGACGAACATCCGACGAACATCTGATCAAAAAGGTCTAGCAAAAAACAAACGTGAAACAAAACAAAGAGGGCACAGCCCTACCGTTCGACCGTTTAGTCGGCCATTAGAAATCGGCCAAAGCAAAATGAGAAGCTTTCACTGGTTAGCTGCAACTAGTCTACCTCTACTAAAATAAAATGACTGCAAGCAACGCAAGGGAATTTTTTGGAATGGTATCCCCTTTTCTCTATTTTGTGCCATGGGTCCATGTTCCGGCCCATTGTCTCGGGAAAAAATGTGGAAAAGTCTTCTGAATTTGGAAAAGATAAGTGAATAGGCTATACCAGGGGTGTATAGTACTGCTTGTTAATGCCAAAAGTTGGCAAATTTCTACTTTTGCTATTGTTTTTCTCAACATTTTATGCAAGAGCCCCTCTTGTTATTTTGATAGCACTACAACACTGGGCTATACGTAAAAATTGTTTCATGTGTTTAAGGTATGTGAAAAGTTTTATAATTTGGCCCAACGAGACAAAATTACTGAATATTTTGCACTACAGAGCTTTTTATTTCTCCTTTGTTAATGCTTTGGAATTTTGTGTGTAATAGACGAAGCAAAAAGCTACAAATTGAGATTTCGAAAAATTGAAAGATACTTTCAAAGTAGTTGCAAATGCAATGACTGATGCAATACCACCGTACGTCCTACAAGAAATGGTTTGATTCCTTTTTAGACCATGCAATGTCTGGGCACAGAATGGGTCGATGGCGTAAGAAGAGAAAAGGGGGAGTTGTCCCCACGTGTCATCGTATTTCACGTGAACATAATCGTGTTACAAGTTCTCGTCTTGTCCACATGGCTCTAAAATTAAGGGAATCCTCTTGAAAGCTGATCAACCATGCTTAGACCAACACACAAATGCCTATAAAGGCTATAATTTGAATAACACCACCATGAAAGCGCGGCCTTATTGTGCGGTCGGATTGATTTGGAAAATCGAACGATTCTTGCGAAATCAAGGGGAATTATTACGTCATGATGGCACTCGCTTTTTCATGATTTGTTCAAGCGAGCACCAATATTTGCCAACAAATTGACGTTTACCTTGCATGTAGAAGATACCTGCGGGCGGACTGTAGCCTTCAAAAATCTTCTCTATTTGTAAAATCTCCATGCTAATGCTGAAGTAGATGCGGTTCTGAAAAAAGTGCTAAAAGAAAAAGCCAAAGCTTTTGTTCTAGTTATTTTGCATTTATTTCATACAAAGATGCAATCAACCGGCATGCTTCGTGACTATATTTTCAAAACCGGCCTAATATCATACTGCATGAAAATACAAAACAGTCAATTTCTCAAGACAGCTGCCGCTGAGCAGGCCGATTGCCCAAGAGCCTTTAATGATTATGCTTTAGCACAACGCTAGCACAGCAAAGTATCTATGCGTTCCCTTCGACCCACACCACACAGTGTACTCATACTTCGTACACAAAAAGTGAGATTGACATAATACCTGTGATTTTTAATGAAAATGTGTTTAAAATTCAACACTTTATTCGAGGAAACTTGTTGTAAATCTTTCTCTACCTAGCATAAAGCATCATGTTGGGTATGCCCGTTTAGCTTTTACATAAAATTGTTTTCCACCTCACACAATAATATTGCTAGGGCACCTTGCCGAAAGCATTCTCTTGAGGTGTTTGATAGATACAGAAACATTATCAATATTAGTGTTAAGTAAAGAAAGCCACTGACACCTCAAACAGTCGGCTGTAGACCGGTCTCGCCCCATATCGCCCCATATCGCTCCATATCGCCCCATATAAGTCTCATGCGTACTTCTTCTCAATATTAGCAGCATTAAAGCAGTAGTAATAGAGATTAAATTCAAAATAAACTAACAATAAACCTATTCCTCAATTAAATTATCAGGAGTAATGCAATTGTAATACGTGGGTGTGCCATAAAAATGTTTAACACTTTATCATTCTCATGGGTGTTCTCAAATACCGCGATTGCTCAACAAGTTTCTTGGAGAGTTTCAAGAGGTTGTAGGATGATGGTCGTTCCACAATACCGTAAACCCTTGAATAAGCGCCGTAAATCCTTGAATAAGCGAAAAAGTTTCAGGTGCTTCGGAATAAACCTGCCGCTATGGCTGTCTGTCACATCAGAAATTTTGTTTCTGTCGTGAAACGCCTTTTCTTATTATTGGCAGGTGTAGGAGAAGAAATATGCCCTTCACCAATCTTTTCAGTTCAGTTGACAATATATACTATCCTGGTCCAACTACCAGGGACGAAAACAAGTTGCTAATTTTGGGGGGGCGTGGAAGGATGAAAATTCCAATCTAAGTAAGAAATTTTTCATTTGACCAGTAAATCTACTGTACCTACTAAATTGATATTTGTAAATAGCCCGAACACCATAGTTCTATTTTCTTTATAATTACCAAAACTTTACTCAATAATTAGCCTAAAGCATAAAAGCCTAAATCTCTAAATTTTGATCAACATGAAACAGACATTTTAACTTACAGTAAGAAGTAAAGCAACATTTAAGCAAAACCAGTATTAGATATACTTAATGATTAGTAGTATTCTTTCAGATCAATTAATCAATTGGCGCAGATCAATCTTATCTAAAATACATTTTTTCACGATATAGAAGCACCAAGAACTTGAGCCTTTAATTTTTGTTCTTGATCGAATAAAACTACTAACAATTTTCAGAGGGCCAAATTCCTTTTCATTCTTTACAATTGAAATGATGATTTGAGAACAAACTTGTGCATATGCCTGATCCGAAAGATAAAACACTCTTCTTTGATCAAATACTTCTACTGCAGTTTTTGCAATGTGTTCTTGCTTTACAGCAGTTTTGTCCTAGGAATTTATGATAAGGAGTCAAGGGCGTTAACAAATAACAGGGGGAGTTTAGCATAAACTCGTTTTTATAAGAAGCGTTGAGAATTTTTAGTACTGAAAGATTATTAATCTTTTATTGAATTAACTACTCGTAGTTTCTTAAAAAACTCCCACTCTAATACTTTCTGATCAATACGGGAATTATTATTCCAAACTGTAAAGTTTCAAGTTTCTTATCCGGAAATTCACCTTGCCTGCTCGTAATTTGATTCAACTCCCGTCAGAAAGAAAGCAAACAGGGCAATTGTGCAATTTGGATCCAGTGGAGACGGGTCAGCTTCAGCCTGTGAATTTTAATGTTTAGAATTTTTACATTTAAAATAAAACTAGAAATAGCTCTTGCTAGTACTGCCCGCAAACAATTAGTTCCTTGATAATGATTGTTTTGAAAATGTAGGTCAGGATATTCGAAGAAGACACCATCTTGGGTTTTCACAATTCTATAAAAACAGCTGCTCTAGTTGAAGCTAAACTATTCTTTTTATCAAGAATTTTTGGTTTTCAGTTTGCCTTTGATTTAAGTCCAACGCCCTTTTGAAAATCATGAAGTTTTTCGAGGGTTTGACATTTATTTTTCGATAATCACGACAATCATAAATTTTGCTCGTACGGTCTCGAGTTTTTGGGAGAAAAGTGTGGCATTCGACTGGTTTTGATTCCCAAAACTTCGAATCAAAACTTCCATCCATTGCGGAGAACCGAGCTGTGATGCAGCACCGTTTTCGTGCCAAAAAACTGAAGGCCTTCAACAGAGTCTTGGCAGAGCAACGCTCCGAAGATAATTCCCTTCCGCACAAAGAGGTGGCGGTTAACGACCTCCTCGACAAAGCCGATTGATTGACAATGAAATTGATTGACAGTTGTCATGGCAGCAGAAAAGTGACAAAATCTGCTGAAAAAGTGCTGACAACATGAACTGAAGCTTCCATATGCTACTTATACGCGGGGCAGACTATAAGCCCTTCACTCGCGCGCTATCGCGCGCGAGTTGCGGGCAAAAACTTCTTAAAATATAAAATTCACAAGTTTGGTCCTAAGATAAAATTCCAAGTCAACCGTTATGTTTTCCAACTGTAACTGGATTTTCCAAACTTTGGGGGGGGCGTCACGCCCCCACGCCCCCCTATTATTTACGTGCCTGCCAACTACACTTTTTTGCGATAAAATTAGAGAATAATCAGTACTGAAGGTTTCTCAAGTTTTCATGGAATTGAGTAATAACATTTTCTTAATTTCATTTGGACTGCAGAAAAACAAAAGAACAGGAAATTTCCTTTAAAGGCATTTGACATGCATAGAGCACGCGCACAAGAAAGGTATTGAAAACCGCTCACGTGAAACCACTGCGCGCTGCTCTGGGATTTCACCGATTTGCAGAAAGACGGAAACTGTTCACGTGTTTTTCTCTCTGTGCAATTTGATTGGTCAACCGCTCATGGTCGAGTGGCTGTTAGCCACTTTTACCTGTGTCAAATGCCTTTAAAGAAAGGCTATTTCTATGGCATTGAACTTTTAATCGATAAAATAGTATTCTAGCAATAATGTTGACATACCAAACCTGGTGGTCAATTGTAAAATTCAAGTTTGTTGAAATTTCTCAGCCAGAAGCATTCTTTCTTAGGGTATTCAGGAACAGAAAGATAATGGAGGCATAATAAGCGTGAAAGCAGAAAGATTAATTGGACAAAAAGATATTCACAGATTCAATAAGGCTCACTGCTGATCCAGCACCTCGTCTTATACGTCATCAATCAGCTTAACGTCTTATACACTTTACAAACCTAGATGAAAAGAGAAGAGATTTCGTTTTTGCTATAAAAATTACTTCGAACAAATGAAAGCTAAACCCTTTGTTAAGCAGACAAATCCAGTGGCAAGGGATCTTTCTCGTGGGCCTTACCCAAAGAACGGTCCTTGAGTGGGATCCAGGCTAAACAAAACTGTAGGAAGAATAAACTTATTGGTGTCCGGGGGCACCATCGTTTGAAAACGGACGGGAGAAATGGATTGTTAAGTGTGGCTCGTTGGAAACCAAGAGGTTACTAAAATATTACGATTAAAAATGTTTAAAAAAAGGTGGTTGATCAGCTACAACTTCTATAACAATAGTAGAAATTGAGCTGGTACAGGGGGCGTGAGAGGTGTATCATCCCCCATGAAAAAACTCTGTTGCAAATACTCCGTTTTTGCCATCTAGGGATGCTTAGTCGCAAAATTTTCAAACTTTTAGCAAATAAAGGATAGTGCACCAACTTTCCCGGCAAATGGGACCAGAAACCACCCCCACCTCCCCCTGGAGCACAGTAGCTAGCGACGGCCCTGTGAGTTACGTTAGCTTCAGACCCAACCCAGGGCCCAACCCAACCATGTGGACTTTACGTGGCCATAATAGTAACCCATGCGACGTGTGAAGCGCAATGTTGTGATCACTATGGGCATTGTTGAAGCGTGAAAATGCAAGCTACTACCGGCAACTACAAGTGGCCTATGACACAGTTTGACACCCTAAACATAATTTCTGTTGAGAAATTGTCGATAGGGAAATGTGCCCACATTCCTTTGCGAGCCCACTGATTGAAGGAGCAAAGTACATATACGAATTTCATTTCAAAATAAAATTGTTGATTGAATCTTTCAGTCAATCAAATTTTAACCGATATCATGCTTTTATCTTGATGCTGTGAAGCAATAATGGTAATAACAAACAAATCATGGTAGTGGGCCAAATGCCAACTGTAAGAAACCGTAATTGGAAAGACTCAAGACGCTCCAATAGTTATGAATTGGTAGCATTCAAAACTTTCATTGGGAAACATGACTTGATAAATTTGTCAGAAAAAACGGAAAAAAGATTATACAGTGTCAGGGGCTAATTTTGTGTTAGAGTAGGATACGGAATAAAATACAAGATTGTGAGCATAAAAGGGAAACAAGATTGACCATTGAACATAGATCGAAAACAGTGCGCAGATTTTTCGATTTATGTTCTGACATTTTATACTCAGAAGAGTGTCGGATAAAAAGCTTTAGAAACATGTTTAAAAATGTTTTTTCAAAGCGACCTTCAAATTCCGTACTACGAAAAGATTGAGAGCAATAACTTAATTGATCGGATCACTGAAAAAATTACGGTGTTTATTTCTTTTCAAGAAAAGTTCATTTTCTCGAGAAGAAAGCCTTCTGGCCAAAGATTGTTTGTTGTTTTTAATGTTTTTCTATGCAACAGCAAGGATACTCCCAACCCACTGACGTCAGAGCTTAGCAGAAATCGTAGATAAGGTGGTCACGCAATCGTTAATTACTGAAAATACAAAAGCTATGCACAGCTTTTGAACCGATCCATGTGTCTTAAATCGGTCACGCAATCATAGTTCGGACCCTTTTATCTCAGGCAAATGCTGCTCAAAATTCCATTAAATTGGCATAAATAAAGAATTAACCTAACGACAGAATTTCTTCCCAAAGGATTTTCTATTTTTGCAATTTTGAAGTATCACAAACAAATTCCAGCCTAACCTGTTGCGAAATACAGGAAGAAAGGCTCACGAACCCAAGTATATAAGCCCCTCGAAGTGTCGCACTTCTACCCCTTGTGAATCTGTCAAGAAGCCGCGTTTACTATAACAGGAAACAGCAAGAAACAACAAGAAACGAATACAAACGAGAAGAAACGATAAGGAAACAACATGAAAGGATTTGTGACTTTGCAGAAACGACTAGATCTCCAAAACGAGGCAAGCTTATGTAAAACCACTTAAAAAGGGGGTTTTACAAACGTGAGTTCGTATGTCGTTCGCAGAAACGTACACGATAAATACGGCAAAAACTGTTATCCAATTCGCTAATTTCTTACACTTCTTCTAATTCATCATTCAGTTCACGGCAAACGACTAAAGAAATCTTAAACGGCTAACGACGACAATGTAACGGCAAACACAATTCTTCAAGCTAGCGACAAGGTACACTGAGTTCGACAAAGCTTACGGCAAGACTCTTCCTAACTATAAAGCCACCCCTTATATACCCTAAGAATAATACAATTAACAGAAGCTGATGCAATTGCAGCGCAATGATGCAATTGTCATGTGATGTCCTGCAATGAATGGGAACCCTGTGTTCTAACACTTATCCATCCACGTGGGCATTGTCATCTTCGTAACAGTGGCCTAAGTGTTCGGTCATGTCGTTCTCCACCGCAAAAGCTGTTGTCTTGGATGAGGTTACGGAAACCCAGTGATGATGCTTACTTATGTCTCTACTACGCTAATTTTAGCAAAAGCAACAGAAACTAAAAGAACAAACTCCAATATACTAGAGGAACAAGTTGTATAGGTTGACAATCTATTTCTTGAACAATGTTTTGTTTGGGAGCCTAACCCTAAAGCAGGGCATTTTTTAAGAATTTTCCACTGGTGGGGCATTTGAGAAAAAGGGCATATAGATAAAGGTAGAATTTACAGATAAACAGGCTTTCAAAAATATTCTAGGGGAATCGCCTATAGAAGCAGCAGTTCCGGGGAAAAATGAATTGAGATTTGAAAAATGTTCAATGAAGATTTCATCCACAAATATCTCAAATAAAGTAAAAAGTAAAAAAGTCACCGAATCATAAGGGCACTTATGTGGTGGGGCAAACATGTTCTACTGGTGGGGCAATGAAAGGGGCTGGTGGGAAATTTCCCCACTACTTTATATGTTAAAAAATGCCCTGCCCTAAAGCCTCTATAAAGTTTCAGTGTGTTCCTAAAGCAGTTGAATTCAGGGTGGGGGGGGGGAGGCTTGATTATTAGCCGAGAATTTAAATTGCTTTATTTCGACCTTCCCGGTAGTTGTTTCATGTTAATCCCAATGCCAGTAAGATTTGCTCTCACAATGCTGGCACTTCATATCAGGCTTTCATAGTTTAATTCCTCTTACAAAAATACCATATCAACATCTACTATCATAGCTATTAATGCAGGATATCCACTAAATAAATAAGATTGTGCCGCAGTTAAAATTTTTCCAAGTCGTTTCTACTTGTTTCTACTTGTTTCCTACTTGTTTCCTAGTTGTTTCTACTTGTTTCTTCTTGTTTCCTAGTCGTTTCTATTCATTTCCCATTATAGTAACCACGACTAAAAAACAAATTCAAATATTTTTATTTAAGTTTGCCATATACATATAGAAGATTCTATCCAAACGGGTCTGGACTCGTAACGAAACTTCGCAGCGTGTTTTGAATTTAGTCTTAATTAGTACACAGATCATGTATTCGACACGACAAACATTATTTATCAAAATCGCAAATGTAGTAAGTAAAACACGACGAGGTGAAGTTAAAATTTTTGTCATAGAGGCTAAACTAGTGAATCGCGTACACCTCTTCGCTTTTTCGATCCTTAATGCTATTCCATGTCCGTATTATTATGGCTCTCCTATCCAGGGTAGATCCCTCTAGGAAGATTCATTTTAAAGACCGTATCGAAAACTGCAAGTAAATTTCACTTACTAGAAATTAAGGAAAGCTTCTGCTGGAAATTCTGCTGGAAAGGAGACTAAAGTAGATTAGCTTATCCCAGGGGTGCAGTGCTATGGAAAGAGCAATTAGGGCCCTCGCAATAACATTTTATTGCTAAAAAGTTGCTGAAGCCCAGATTATTTAGAAATAAATTGGTTGATGAGCGGTTTTTTTCGCACATTCGCAAAATAAGGACAACTTTAGATAACATTATTAACTTAGAAACTTTCGAGAGATTGCTAAAATGCTGCATCTTGGCTCTTCTAGATTGTTTGTTTTAGATCCGAAAGCCGGGTGCAAAAACGGCGTGTTCCGGTGAAGAAGGGTTCATAATCCAGCAGCGAGATCCCTCACGAACATATTCGTGAGACGAGGCTTGGTCAAGTTCCTTACACCTGTTCAAGCAAGATCAGCCGATAATAACACAAAATAAACAGAGATACCATTCACGAGATGAGGGTTTTCCTGGGTCAAAATGATGTCAATGAAATACTACCAAACGCCGAGACAAATGCAACCTTGAGGCTTGTAAAAACTTTTGAAACGGCAGATTGAAGTCACAAACCTCTACAAAACTATTGCGAGCAGAAATTTTTCTAATCGAGCAATGCGAATATAGATGACATCAATAATATCAAATGGTTTTAATAGGTTATTCCAGTGTCCGTTTCACATATTCAACAAAGGTTGAATTAGATCAAACATACATTGCAACAAATTTCTGTTACCTCCGTATCAAAATTAACACTTTTTTTTACTACAAAACCCGTCAACCACTCTATTTGCTATTGAAGGAATCGAGTCAGTTGTCGTTCTAAATTCACTGGTTTCAAAATCCTGATCAATTAATTTAATTGTTTAATGCTTTGTTAGTTTTGTTTATATTTGTTCATAAAAATAGGCAGCGCCTCGCCTGGCCAAAATCTATCTACAAATCGCCGAGCTTGGTCTTTCGATCAATTCAAGTTATTGGCTCCAATCTGCTATGATGCAACTGGTCACGTGAAGCGTATATTTGTTTTGGAAACAAACGCATGTGTAATAGTGCTAGTTTGGATTTCGTTTGTTTTGCATCCTGTAACCTTAGTAATTTTATCACCGTTCGCACATTCGATTGTTTATAATTCCTTTTGTTTTCTAATTGCACCTTTAGATTCATTAACTATTTCTTTTGGGATTTTTAGTATCATTATTCAGTTTATGTAATTAATCTTGGGACTAATATATTTTGTATTCACTATTATTATGTAAATTTTCGTAGCTATGTAGCATTACAATAAGTTCTTGTTTAGTTATATTTTGGGCGTGTTACATATAGAGTTAGTTTTTGAGTTGGAGTTGGAGTTGAAGTTGGAAATGGAATTCGGTTAAGAGCGATTAGGTTAAGTTTAGATATTTTGTATATTTAGGTTCTCGACGCTTTATAAATGTGGCAAGATGCTTGTGAAAGATCTTGTCGACATGAAGTATGGATTTATAGAATACGTATTTGGATTTATGGAATCACGCGTGATGATTTATTGATTGCATGAAAAGCACATGCAAATTCGGTAGTCCAAGCGATGTTGCTCCTCTTATATTAACCAATTGCCTTCAAAGATATCGTCATTCGCTCTACGAATAAATACAGTTCTTCTTTTGATTATCAAGCTGTTATTTACAAACAGGTTCAATAAACGTATGCTAGTCAGGTGTTGATGCAGTCCCTCTACATCAAATGAGTTTTACAGCACTTGAGTTGACCAGCGGTGCCACTGGGCCATATCGCATTATATGCTGGGTTCCCTCTTCAAGATCAAATGGCTCCTCCCTGAAAGATTAACGAATACCTTTAAAATAATGTCAATAAGACTACTTGCTGCCAATTGATACACTGAGTACACGCCTATATCTCCGAGTCAGTACTGAGTAGGATAAAGAGAAACGTTCATAAATCTTTAAACACAGGGAGACAGAAATGGAAAATGATCAAACAAACGTTCAATTGGACACAAAGTAGCTAAAAATTATATTTGAAGCTTGACAGAAATAAGATACCCTAATGACAATGGTATTTAATTCCAGAAAATGATGTACGATTAAATGATGTAGGAGGTGACCGCCGCCTTTCAGATCGTACCTCTGTATTTTTGCAAAACGCGACTCATTAACGCCAGGCAATGTCAGCAATCATCAAGAGTATTCCCCCCTATTCCCAGTATTCCCCCCTAAAACAACAACAAAATGAGAGCTTCCCATATGACTCTATTAAGCACAACATTCAGGATACTAAAAACGCATATAGTGTCAGTTTTTGTATGGAAAATGAATACGGTTTCAGTATTTTGGCTTCAACCTTGTTGGAAAACTATGTGAAAAATCAAAATTTATCAACGCAGCTCAAATATAGAGGTCACTTAAAGTCACGTTTTCATAGATCATTATCATAGCTGTATTGCTTCTGTTTCTTTTAACTACACCAAAAGCAGCATTGATCAGGATGATGCCTCTCATTATTACATGTGCGAGCAATTAAATATCCTGTGCGGCATGACATGAATATTACTAACGAGGCCTTAATATATCCAGATAGCATTTTGAATTTCAGGAAAGGTAAAAATCTAAACAATAATGTGGAAAATTGAAGGAAATAGCACATATAATTTTTTTCTTTTATATGGTATGTAAAGGTTTGCCTATTAATATATCAGAAAAGAGCCCTGCACAACTTCTTGCAGAATAACGATGCAGAATAAAGTTACGACACTGACAACAAACAGATTCAAATAAAAAAGAAGGACAAAGTACCCCCTCTTCTCCAAAACAGTGTTGACTGTAAAATCAACTACCAGAACTAGAATTAGACCGCAATGAATTAGAAAATACCAAAGCCCTCGATGTACTACAAAACAATTTAAAACAAATTTTGTGCCGACTACCAAGACAGTTTGCAGAGATTATAGCAAAATACTAGAGTAGAGAAATCTTTCAAAGGTTTACATTTCTCCCTAAATACGTCCTTTATGCATAAAAGTATCACGGCATCAACCAGCTCCAAAACAACCACTGAGCAGGCACCCCGCCCCCTTTGTAAATAACATGATTAGATTCGGAAAAGCATGTTTTATCAGTCTCGATCTCAAAAAAATGCGCGGATGCACCCCCACTGAAGCTATGTAATTGCATAGAGATATGTAATTGACAACACAACCCCCACTCCAAAATCGCGGTATCCTAGCCTCGCATTTGATTTTGGTATTTCTATATTGCCTCGCCTCTGTACTGAGGCTATACCAATGGGCTATACTCCCTGTTCTAGAAGTTCCTAACCTTATTCCTTTATAACTTGTTCGAACAATTTTTCGAATAATTAAAAGACCTTCTCAAGAGAAACAATGACGGTGAAATACACAGAATATATTTGTATAAGGGTTATTTAATCAGGATTTCAATCTAAACTGGTGTTATATTTAAACTTAGCATATAAGGGCTACATTGAATTAGTTGCGTTTTCAATTCCATATCAAAATAGAGTCATGAAAATTCTTGGATAAGATCTACAACAGTAAGACTGTTCATTAACATTTAAACTGTACAAAAACAACTGAATAATTCAGTGTTTTTGGTTTCTGAAGCCGATATGAGATTTAAAACAAGATTAAGACTTTAAAAATATGAGATTAACTTCCTAATGTCAAGTCCAGACTGAATGCCCAGTGACGGAGATATGAAGCGATTCTGATAAGACTGGTCAGAACGAATCTAAGCCAAACATTACTTCTTGTAGCACAGCAAAACATAATAAGGTCACTTTACTTTGTTGTAAAGTTCTCGAAGTCGACATCCCCTGGTATCTACTCGAAGCATGTCACGGCAAAACCAGCAAAGGTTGCTTTAACAGTTGTCAATTTACGCAGATGAAGAAAAATAACACTTTTGAAAACAAAAGGTTTTTATTAGTAGTAAATCTAAAAGTTTTACGTACTCTGGATCGACAAGCACTTGATCTTGGTTTTCCGTTACTGTCAGGAAAACATGGCTGTTGAGGTTCGGCCGTGCAACTGAAACAAAATATGACATTGCAAGCATACAAAATTTCAAAGTTTTAATCAATATAATAATTTGATAATAATTTATACTATACAAACACATGATATAGATATATATATATATTTATATATATATATATCAATATATATAAAAGCTAGAGAAATATTTAGAAGTTAAGGCTTGTTGATCCGGGATTACAATTATTTTTCCAAGAGAAAGAGAGAGAGGTCGCATTAAGCCTGAAATTCGGAGTTGCGACTTAGAAGGTTCTTGTTCTATACACAAAAGTGTGATACCTTGAATAAAAAATCTTAGCTGTCTCTAGAAATTCATCACGAAAAAGCATTTCCATTCTTTATTATCGGTGCAAAGGTTATCACTATTATTTGCAGAAAAAAAGTTGAAGATAAGCGGCGGGACTGGATAATGATTCGAATGCAAAAAGGCTCGTGGAAAATAAGAGGAGAAAAAATCTGAGGAAGAAAGGAGCAAAATAAGTCAAAGAATCTAAAAAAACACATTAGAATGTGCTTGCCTGTCTCTGTTCGCCTACAGAAGAAATTTCTAATTTTGGACTTACGACAGACAACTGAAAGGATTTTTTAAAGATTTTAGGGTATCAGCTTGTGATTGCTTGAAACAAGTTTAACAGATCGCTGTAAGAACATCCAAGCCTGGATAAGAGATGTCAAAGCCGAAATCACTGTCTGCGCAAATTAGAAAGACTTCTTGTTCTGGCTAGTTCTTTTCAACAACTTTTCAACTTGCTGAGAAGGGTTATTTACACTGAAAAAAGGTGGAGCAATATTTTGTATCATTGGGGGCTGTGGAGAAGCACTGAGACTTCTATGCAAATTAGGCATACTTGCTGCATGTGGAAGGTGTGTGCTGTGGTGTTGATCCATCAATACTGGTGGTGTCATGGAACCACTCATTGGCATTTGGCTGTGTCCGCCATATGTATTGGGAATTTGGGGATGACTGATTTGATTGGCTGGTAGTGACTGAGATGATCATATCGATCTGTCCGATATGATGCTATATTCAAAGTGAAGACTTGGTGGTATACAAAATCATACAAGTGCCTCAGACATTTGTTTTCTACTTTCGCTGAATGCAACACCAAAGTATCAAGTACAATTGGCTAAGGCAGACATAAATGTCATTTGACATTAAAATGGACGTTGATACTTTTTACATTTGAAGAGAATTAACAGAAGAACGATAATTCCTTTTGCTAAAATACTGAAACCAAAGCCGCTGCATGGAGGCTCAACTAGAGCAAAATCGGACAAACTTTGAGCCTCTTAGTAGAGATAACACTAAAGAAAAATCCCTTTTACATCTGGTAAGCAGGATAAAGAAACACAGGATTTTAGTCTTAAAAAAGGAATGTTTGATCCTTTCATCTCTATATCTCAGTTATTTTGATAACAGTTTCCAGGTAGAAGCCATTTTTTACTTCAGCCTGAGGATTTAAAAGCTAGCAGGCCTTTTAAACTACACTGCAAAATGAAGGTATCTTTTGGAACAGTTTTCAGCGTTGTTTAGAGAACCTATATCTCGCTATCTTCATTAAAAAACTTTTTCATACAGCAACAAATTTTTAAATACTGGTCAGATCTATTGAATAGCTTATAAGTTATTAATGCTTTCGTAAGATTGTTATGACAGAATTTATTGATTATTCATGATCGTATTACTATTTATGACGTCTGGTTTAAAAGGCCATGAATATGGAAATGGATTTAGGCCAGTTTCGAACATTCTTAAAAGATATTTCGAATAGTAAGCTCATAGGGTTTACATTTAGCTGAGAAAAAGCTTCACCGTAATTGATCGAAATAGGGCTGAAAATGACAGGCTTTTAAGCTTATATAAGACTTTCGGCGTCTAGGGATATACTTGACAAACACAAAGTACAGAATGGAATGACGCGTTAATGTAAAGGCGGTTCAGGCCATATTAACAACAGCTTCAACTTGAGCGCTACAATTGTTGGAGAGACGAGCGAGTGAAAATCTGCAAATGAGTGAAGCAACCCTCTGTCCTGGAGTCAGAGAGAGCATGCGTAATAATGACGTCATTCCATGCGCATGCTCTTTGACTCCAGGACGGAGGGTTATCCCACTCATCAACATACTTTCTCTTGTTCCTCACCCCAACAAGCAACCAGTAGAACAAATGCAGTCTCCCCCCGGTGAGTCAAGGGGAAAATTGCTAGAATACAGGGACGTAGCGTGCGGGGGAGGGGGGTGTGGGGGTGTACACCTCTTAAACTTTCAGAGAACTCGTCGGTAGAATTAAATTTATAGCAAAATATTAATGAGCATAGAATTTCTGTCGGTAAAATATGGTTTTGCATCTCTTACAGCCCTGTGTGTGTAATTATTCTATCAAAGTCTTCAATTGAAATGTATTGAATGGCAAAAACAGTTTGGAAGTAGAATTATCCTGGAAGTGCTGTCAAAATCTATCTTTTGTAGACTTCGATCGGATCATATCAACAACTGTACACAAAACCAAAAACATACATCAGCTGTTATCAAAGAGATAAACAAAAAGTTTTGGCCAAATAAAGACGAACAAATGGTATAAGGTACAAGGGACCGAGGAAGGCTGAAACGTTGCCGGATAGATGACGTCAAGACCTGGGTTCTGTTACCCTTAGGACTCTATGAATAATGGAACGTTCATGACCAAAACGAGAACCAAAATTTACAATATCTGCTTTGTACGAATCGCAAGATTTCTATGTTTAGTTCTCATGATTGGTTCCTTTTTTGACAGATTGAAAATCAAGATTATATAAAACTTCGCATTGAGACGTATCATAAATTGTTAGGAAAAACTGATATGAAGAAGACCATATCAGTGGCGTAGTTAAATGGCGGTCAGAGAGGGGGTCAGAGAGTGGGGTGAGAGAGGGGGTGAGAGAGGGGCGAAAGACCCACCTGTAAAGCTAAATTGCTATTTTGTCGTAAAACTTCTGATCTTATCGGAAACATGACTATCTTTTATCTAAGTAAGTGTTACATTTTGAGAGTAGAGACTTTAAATCTGAATATAGCGATTTCTTCAGTTGTTCTGAATCAGATTGGCTATCCCTTACAATAAGGAATGGTACTTTAAATGCTTTTTTTAGAGATGACCACAAAATCTTCAAGTAGTAAGACTTCTGACACTTGATTTTGAATAAATGATAAAATGTTATCTTTTGTTGGGCTCTGTTCTAATGTAGTTATGTTATGTCCAAATTTGTGTAAAAAAATCTACGTTTCTCGCCCCTCCTATGAATTTTTTTATCTACGCCACTGCTATTGCTACCTTTTTTGCGGTCAATGCTTTGCATGTTGGCAGGCATATGTCGCAAGGCCAGTGAACTGAACAACGATTCCATATTGTCTGCAAATCTATGATAAAGGTTAATAAAAAAATTAATTTCCGTATATCATTGACACAAAGAGAAAAAAAATAATCCAAAAGATCAATTTAAAACGTTGTAAGTAGAATGAGATCTGCATTAACAAGGGACAGATAGCTAAAAGGATGAAAAAGTTAGTCGGATTTGTTCACTACCAAGCAAATTATAGTTACCACTAATTCCAGCAGGACAAAAGAACACAAAATGTCACCGCCTTTGTTATATCTGTTGAGGTTCTTGCTTTTAAGGAATGCAAGCAAACGTCTTTATAAGCAAATTTTAACCGCATGTCTAATCTGCTCGGTAGTGGTAAACTATGCCCAACTTTAAGATAATCCAACTCTGCCCAGTTTCGACATTGACCATAAAGTGTACCCAGTCTGGAAAATGACCGACCATTTTGATTTTTCTCATAGTTTTTACGCAAAAGAGCACCTTTTAACCAAACTTCCAAGGATTTGGTAGTGGCTGAAGTATGGAACTTAAGAAAACCTATGATTTGTGTAAATTGACAATTTATGATCAATCTTTGTTTATCTGTAAGCTGTTCCAATCAACCCTTACTCCTGTGTATAGAACAAGTGAAATGAATAAAGGTATGTGTTGAAACTCGGCAATGGTGTTCGTACCATGGATGGCTGCAAGGAAGGTCACTCTGTTACCACATGCAGACCATACCCTGGTGTCACTGTTTTTAACATGTTTTTCAAAGTATTGGCACAGTGGCCAGAGAATTAAAAAAAATTTGACTCTGAAATAGTCACTCTTCGGGGAACTTCCACATGGACTATTTCAAAAATGGATGTGATTTACCTTAAACCATCTCGATTTAACATTGGTGATTTACGATGTTAAAATGACATTGTCAAAAGGACTGCCAGTTAATGCTAAAAAGCTCTAGGTGTTGAAAAATCTCTGAAAAAATGTCTTTGATGGACGGAAACAACCATGAAAACCTCCTGAGCAGGTAAATCCAACCCGCTTTGCCTTTGAATATTTTATCGAAATATTAGAAAAATAGGTACAGAAAATAGTTTTAATTTAGCTTCAAATTTGGATCTAACTGCAAGATAATTTTCTTTGTGACCATGAGCCTTCTATGTAAGACAGCTTTACATTTTCACTTATTGACTAAAGATATTGCATTGGATTATTAGAAAAGAATATTTATGGGTGGCAAAATGAACAGGATTTTGGGCGACCATTAGGCGAAGCTTTGATTTGTGATTGTTCTTAATTGCTAAAACTTCGTGTCATCCTAGGACAAGTAGATCTCTTTACGCACGGAAGGTTAATTTTCATAAGCATTTTGCAACCAAAAAAATCATATTCGTGAAACAAATGAACCAAAAACCATCACAGGTATGAGTTATGAAAAATTCTCGTAAATTGTAATATCAGAGAAAAGTCATAATGTCTCTGATTATGATTCAAATGAAAAAATGTATCATAGTTGTTTATGCTTAATAATATCAGGATTTTTCGTGACCCAGTCCACAAAATTATCCAATGTACTTCCTCGAGTGAGAGGTCCCTGAGCATTCGCGATTGAGATCTTCCTATCTGATTACATTAAACGATCTGATGTTCCTGAAGTTATCTTTTACGATTTCTAATCTCAAATTTTGAAGACACAAAGATTTTAATTTCGTTGTGTACCAGAGGAAAACTTTTCAATTTCTGTTTATTTAGACTAAAATCCCGGACAAAAGTGGGTGAGACTTTCAAGAAAAGCTTATGATAACTCTTTCCTTTGAAAAAAAATTTTCCCCTTCCTTCAGTGCAATGTTGAATGTATGTTTTTAAAAATGATAGAGCAACAAATCCAAAATTGATTCCTGGGGAAGGTGGGATTCGCATTGACAGGGGCAACGTAGAAAATCGCAAGAATTGTATTTGTCTCAGCAATGTTATCCGAGATCAGCTACAATCGATCCTCCTCTCCCTTCTTACAGACATGCTGTATGACAAAGGGCTTTATAAGGAATCACATATAACAACTGGACATGATACATTTCTGCGAAAGGAGATGTTAGGAATTTCATTATATTAGAAATATTTCATAAGAACACAAACTCTTTTGCATATCTGAGTTCTTCAGGTGACAGCTTGCTTGGCTGACCCTCGCTTCTTCCAGCTTCTTCTTCTAGGATATGTACAGTGAATTCTTCTATCTAAGAATAAAAGGACGATAATTACATTCCGGTTTAATATCAGTAGCGTACACAAATACTTGGGGGGAGCAAGCCTATTGTTTTAAAAAGAAGACGTCATATTACCCCCATTGCTTCAGAACAAAAGACCATTGTCTTCCAAAATTTTGGGGGGCGGCTATTCCATCCCCCTCTCTCGCCCCTTGCCACCCAGGTGTCCGCCACTGTTTAATATAAAAAAATATAAATCCTTGCTTTCTAAAAAAGGAATTTTCGTTCTATAATGAAATGTACAATAAATGTTCTAGAGATGTTTGACCTAAACGGATAAGGAGATGCAACTGCTAATTTGGATTATCATACTCCAGAGGTGCAGGGTACACTTACATGCACCTCTATTACCAAAGCACAGTAAAGAAATGCTGGAAAAATTTGCAAAATGTCTAATCGAAAACCTTGCAACTTTCTTGCGTTTGACCGATAAAACACACAAAAATTAGAAACAATAACGTTTCAACATGTTTTTTAAAATCACAATAAAAAGCTCTTGACATAAAAAACTTAAGAAAGCTGAGTAAAAGTATAAAATTTCAAAGATTCTGATACCATTGATAAAGAAAGCGAACCTTTTCGATCCTTCTCCTCATGTAACTACTCATAATAAATTTCACACGTTCAAGCTGCAAATGAATTATAAAAAATACATTAATACCTTGTATAATACGTGAAAAACGTTCTGAGCTGACTCAGTTCAGAAGAAAATACTGTGAACACTGGTAAGAAGGAGCCTGCCTTTCTTTCTCCTGCGTGCTCATTGAGCTTCTATGACGTCACTAACGAAGACACACGATAACACTTTTCATCTATTGATGTTTTAACGATGAATATGTGTATTGATGTTGAACAGCATGACGGGAGAGGAAAAATCAGCTAGGTATTTCTTGCTTTTTAATATTTCAAGTCTCAAAAAATTTAACAAAGACTGGGCCCATTCCACCTAAACTTCGTGGGATGACATCTGATGGCAGCCAACTATTGAAATACAATAAAGATTTTGATGTCAGGAAACGAAAAGAGTGGGTTTAACTTCTGTTTCATCTAAATGAAACAAAATAGCTCTTGATAAGATAAATACATATTTCTTGCGAAGTAGAGTCGTAAATAAGCTGTAATGAGACTTCATAGAATAGATAGTTACTTTGCTTAGATAGAGTTTATAGTTGTCTATGAGGCTAGGTGAAAGTGCTAAGTGATACAGAATTGAAAGAGCATGCGCTGTGTGGAAAGTGAGCGAGACAGAACATTGTTCATCCTTCTTCAAACCAAACTTAAACAACCCTTCATAACAACAAAGGGACCAGAGCGTTGCCTGGGTGTTTTAACTGAAATTCTTTTGTTTTCGAAGACTTTCCTCGGTGCTGTCCAGTGTGTCCACTAGTGTGGCCACCAGTTTGTGATTTGATGACGTAGTATCTATGTAATTGCTTGAGGAATCTAATGTAAGTGCACAGATGTGCCAATTTCAAAGACTCTTCAAAGCAAAGAGAGATAAGAGTATGTTCATCTCCTCTGCATGAAGGCTCGTTACGTAGAGCACAGCTTAGTGTGTTCTGATTAGAGATGAACTCCTGTTGATTTGCCTAATCTCCTCTAATAAGGATCGATATTCACTACCCTCAAACAACTTTCCTTGCTGACTTGCCATGTCCCATATGCACTAAGACACCAGTGCATCTTAAGTTTGAAGGAACTCAAGGATACGATAAAAACCTTGAATATTTACCTCCATGATTTGTAATGATGCTGCAATGTCACCTTTGGGTGCTGCTTTTAGTTTTTCGTCCTTGTCAAAATAAAGAAATATAAAATTAACCGCAATTGTCTCGAATGCAGTGAGGTATTTCATGAGAAAAATTTCACAAATTCGAGTTGAATTTGAGTAAAAAACAAATCTAATAGGTAATTCCGCTACATGATAAATGTTTCAAATAAAAAATAATAATAAAAATAGTTTCAAAAATATAACATGGGCAAAATACCATCTCCTGGATCTGTTCCAAAAGACACTCCACTAGCTCCACTTTGGAATGAAGAAGTTCTGGTGCAAATTTTTCGTTCAACCATGCCTGCAAACGTAGAAACACAGCAATATAATTATTGACAACTTGACTTCAGTTTAGCAAAAAGAAATGCGTCAGAAACAACAAAAAACCAAAATGTGAAAGAAACAAACTTTACGGGCTGAATCTCATCACGCTTAATGCTAATAATGGTAATGCCAAGAGGTGATATAAGGTGTCATTACCCTTGTTTTGCCGAATATATAATCGAGGTACGCTGCACAAAAAATAGGTGTGGAAATCTGTTTGGCAATTTGCATGAAAGTTTTTGGAAGTTTATCATCTTTACTGCCAATGAGAAAGACACCAGAGATGTTTAGGCCCTGTACTGGGACTGACTTTTATCTCACAGCTGTTGCGGATCTAGAGTGCATTTCATGTCAACTGCACGCCGAAGATCCACCGTTTTTGTTTAGGTGCGCCGAAGTTATGAGAAGTTAGTAAAACTGTAAATATTGTACACCAGACAAAGAAGATTGATAAATTGAGAAAACTGTGGTGTATGTGTGTCTTTATTTTATTCTTTTTCATGTCAACTGTGTACCATGGCTTCTTGTTTTACATCAAGTTTTCTAATTCAAAATAGATAAAGATTTTACAGATTTCTGTAGATTTTTGTTCAATAATGGACTAGAAATATTTTCATGCAGCAAATTATATTGCTAAAAGTTTTTCCCTCGATATATTTTCTTCCTAGTGCTTTTCCAGTTAAATTTGCAAATATATTTCTTGCAAAGAGAAATGTTTAAAAAGGAAGTTTATCTTCATTTTTAGAAAAAAATTAGTCTTCTTTTAAACAGTCTAGACAAAAGCAAATTTCTATTTCCGCAGATCCAAAACAGCTATCGTACACAACAAAATATGAACAATCAAAATTTTAGAAAGTACTAATAGAATTTCTCTCTCGCTTTGATGAAATAATATTTGATATAGGTAATATCAAATATAAGAAAACAACATATATTTTTAACAAAACAAAACAGTCAAAGAAAAAAAAAATGCCAAAAATGGACAACGTCCAAGCTCTTAAACAACTCTGTCGATAACTTTTGAAACATCACAATTTTCTGCTCGACTGGAGAAAATAGCACTCCTCTTGTGAAATGGCATGTTACTGGCGCCGGTCAGAACCAGTTTAATTTATTGCGTCTTGTCAGTGTTTCATTCTTTTGACCCCCAGATTGTTGCTGATTTCGCAAAGAATTGTAGAAACTCTCTGCAATGGCTTCTGGACCTCCTTTCGCTACTGCAATATCAAGAAGTGAACAAGACTGAGGTTTGACCATCTCATAAAAATCCTTCTGCTATTAGAACGACTGGTAAATGCTTTGCTCATCTAATTGCGCTTTCTTTTTTCTGCATTTAGCAAATACCACCTGACAAATCAAATCCAAAGAATCACTGATTCTTCTTCAAAGAATTCAACCATGTTAGCTTCCTGATCACATTTTTCTGACTTCTTTTTGCTATCCTGAACAAACCACTCTGGGCACACACCGCTCCATACAGCTTTCATTCTTGATTTCTTGATTCCTGACATCTTTTCATATGCCATTCGTGCATCAAAATTCATTCCCGATGATATGATATGAGGCATTTTTTAAACAACTTTCAACATTTTATTACATTCATTGATACCACATTCCTATATCTCCTCATCATCCATAACAAAATCTAGCGTGCCATCATTATTCATTGTTCCACAACTCAATTTAACAAGATTGGCAGCATCGAAATTTTGAAGAGCATTTTCATTTACAAAAGAGCCAATCCACTTTTGCAATGCTTCACAAAGTCTCTTTGCAAACTCTTCTCTATCCACTTTTATGTCAGAACTTTCCCGCATTTTCCAGGCATATCTATCTGCACTGGCATCCTTTCATCTTTCATCATCAGCCAACTCTGAAGTAGTCTTACATATTTGAATTTCCCTCCTTGCTTTAAATTATGTCTCACCTTCTCTAACTTTGGAAACGCTTCAGGATCATCTCTAGCAGCTTTCTCAAGCTTTCCTTAATTTTTTGGCCACCATAATTTTAATTTCCATATGGGAACATCAAGTGATTCAGATCGTGCCATCAACTGAACAACAGGCTCCATTATGCCCAAGAAAATCTAGAACATAATCTGATCCTGTTATCATTTACTGCCATTCTTCCTCTTTGTCTCGCTTGGGATGCAACAGAGCAAATGCCTTTAGGTATGAGCTAAAGCTATCTTCTATTTTGACCCATTGCTCAAAAGAAGAACTAGCAAAACGTTGAGATGAGTACAACACTGGTCTTTTTGAACTTTTATCCACCATATTGAGAAACGCAAGTCCCTCACTTCAGTGATCGCTAAATTCAAGACATAGCACTGTCCCAAGTTATTGGTAAAGCTAATTCAGTATTAGCTTCAATACCCAGACTTTCTCGCAAGTATTGGAAAAACATGGTAAAGGCCATCTGCTGCCACATCACGCATTTGTGAAACAATGCCATTAAAACAATTTTAGCCAATGCTTGAAACACTAGTTTGGCAAGTTTGTTGTATGATGCCTCTCAAAATTCTCTATACATATTTGATGCATCAACTGGGACTGGACAAGGGATGCCACGGCAATCTTTAGCTACAATAAGCTGTTCCTGATTTGTTAGTTGTGATGGTCTGCCTGATGGTGTGACCCAAAAATGTGGTGGATAGTTGGGGCGCCTTTAGCTGATTAGTAACTCTCTCATTGATAACTGTTTCTAGGAAATAAAAAATATCCTTAAAGTTATTCCGACTGTGCCCAATCTCTTCCACATAAATACCGAAAATGAAGAAGTTAGAAAAATGTGCCTTGCTGTTGTTGTTTTCTTCAATCCTGAGGCACCTGTTGTACTTTTTATTGCTGTTTGATGATCTCAACACCATTATAAATATAATGTTACGAAATTATAAATAGTTATTTTTTTGAACTAGGAAAATCTTGCAAAAAACGTTTGATTCTGTACCTGTATCAGTACATTTGAAACAAGAGATTTGCTGTACATATCCTTTGCTGTATTTAATTTTTCACAGAACAAATGAACAGATCGTTTGCATTGACTGCATTTCTGTGCGTCCCCGATCAGGCCTTTTGTGAAGAAATTTTCGAATCAGCTTACGAGGGCGATCGCCCGTCCAAAACTTTTTGTTAAATGAAGTCCTGCAGGACCTGAGGAAAAATTAGGGTAATGTCTATCCATGGCTGCCTAACTTTTGATTCGCAATTAGATTCCGACTCGGTTGGAAAATTTACGTTTGATATTAACAATTGAAAAATGTAATTTACATTCACTCCCTCTTCCTCTCGGATTGCATTATCTATGTTTTCAGATTCTTTTAGAGCTTCAAGACAAAGTCTTTTACTCAGAGGTTCCTCTATAACAGTCTTATGTTTTCTAGAGGCACCGGGAGCTTCATGGTGCGGCGGGGGCAGGACTGGCAGAAAGGACTCCTTGGAGTTTCAAAGTTTGCTGGTGAAACAGGTCGGGAATCGTCGTTTAGCCAATGACGAAGCCTTGTTGTAAGTGAAAGCGCTGTTAAGGGAGAGAGGGTCGGCCTTCTGGGGGTGTAGCCCCTAGGGAAATTTTGCGTTGCTACACCCTATACACTCTCGAAAATGAAGGCAACACCTATAATGATACGTTTGAATCAAGACTACTACAGTCAAACTTCATTCTCGAAATTTCTTTCCCCACAACATCACCCATCAAGGGAGGCTGGACCCAATTTAGCCTTACATTAAAACAATATTTTGTTCTCATGACCATCTGCATGGCTTGATATAACTTTTAGATATAACTCCTCTGAACTTGCTGTTTTTTTCTTTCTTTATTTAAAGTTGGTACAATCTGCAGCTATATTCAAGCTAAATAAAGCCAACTAATTCAAATTACCAACGCTGAAATTTGAATCAAATACAACTGATGTTGCTTTCTTGTAAAGATCACAAGTACTGGACAATGAAAATTCTGAGGCTTTTTCTTAATTTTTGGTAAAGTTGGGATTACTTATTTCGTTTGGAACTGAGTTCCATATTTGGCTCAATCTGTTTGACAAAGATCTTGAGAGCAGAAGGAAGCATATCATTCTATTATTGTTAAAAAGGCTGTTACATTGGCTACAATTACATAGATAGTATTTTCTGGCTTAGTTTGTGTGTAGAGTCGCCGAGATGTTTCGGATGCCTTGCGGTAGAACTAAAAGAGGTGGCCCTTTGCAAGCGAAGCCAGCAGAAAAATTTTGGCAACCGCGTCCTTTAGATTACCTAAAAATTCGTTTCAGAATATTTTTTGCAGTCACCTTCGTAAAATTGTTTAAAAAGTTGCACAAATTTGTTTTGTCTTACTAATTGCGTTCACAAACTGGAAACCTTGAGAGCGCCCTAAACGATAGTTGTAACCTAGATTTTACTAGCATACAAAATATTTAAATGAATTAATATTGTTCGGAAATCAATTTCTTGAAAGGGCACTTTGTTACCCCCGTGCTGCCCCCATGGCTCCGGCGCCCTGAATGTTTTCTACAAATAAATATCAACAGCTTTTCTTATTATAGCATTTCTTTCCATTACTGTCCAGTTCTTATCACTGAGGCGACTATTTGTTGCTCCCGTTTAAAAGTAAACGACGTTTGATGTAGGGATCAGCAAGGTCTACGGAACATAGGTTTTGAAGAAAATTTGTCATAGATAACGGAAATCTGGCAATTTCTGGATGGAACGATGGAATTCTAAACATTTGCCGGACGCGGATTTTCTCAAAAATGATGCATGGGATACGGGATTTTTCGAAAAGTTTTAAGGATCTGTTGAATTCTTCACCAGTTGTCTTGTAGAAACATCTTTGAATATAGGTCCTACCAACAGTTTTGAGGCACGGAATTGTGGCAAAAATGACAGGAACGACGGATTTCTACCCCTTTGATGGCCCGCGCTTTGAGGGCATTCGCATACTAAAAAACGTTCAGCTAAAAGGCCTCGAGGGAAATCCTTGATGACGCCGCGAGAATACGTGATAATAGCGACAATAACAATAATGACATTTGTTGCTAACTTTTCCCTAAGTGCTCAATCTTTCCCTTGCGGCCAATACATGTTTTTGCGAGCTCAGCTGATAGCCGACATCAAAAATTTGGCGAATGTGAGACTGAAGGCGATAGCCCGCACGAAACGAAAAGGCCTGGTCCTCAACCCATTTAGCGTATATAGACAGGGAATTATTCCCAACAAAGTGGTGAAGAGGGTAACCAGAGGTTTTTCACTTGCTTCCACTTCTAAAGGCTAATACCTTTAAAGTTTGAAGGGTGTCCGGTTACCTTCTCCGCCAGTTTGTTGGGAAAAATTCCCTGTCTAATATATGACATAAAAATTAGCTTTCTATTCAAAAATTTACGAAAAAGATTTAATAAAGCAGTTCCTTTGTGAGGCAATGGCACAGCATTTTTTTACTGAACTGAAAAGTAGACTAGAGTAGCCTTTGAAAATATTACAATTGATTGCAGCAAATTTACATACTCTTGAACCATCCTAACAAAATTAATTGAAGAGGATGGAACAGGGGGGTCGTGCTTCATGAATCACAAGAGCAGGATAGCAAACATCATGCTTCACATAAAGCAGAATAGTAGTGACAAGAAGAGAAAAGAAAATATTTGCAGAAGAAAATATTAATCAAGAAAATCCAAAAATAATGTTTCAGTAAAATAAAATAGGCCTACGCCATTGCTATGCCAAATTGATCAGTGGTAAGCAATAGTTATGCCCAATTGCTCTGTGCTAGGCCATTGCTATGCCAAATTGATCAGTGGTAAGCAATTGTTACGCCCAACTGCTCTGTGCTAGGCCATCGCTATGCCAAATTGATCAGTGGTAAGCAATAGTTACGCCCAATTGCTCTGTGCTAGGCCATCGCTATGCCAAATTGATCAGTGGTAAGCAATAGTTACGCCCAATTGCTCTGTGCTAGGCCATCGCTATGCCAAATTGATCAGTGGTAAGCAATAGTTACGCCCAATTGCTCTGTGCTAGGCCATTGCTATGCCAAATTGATCAGTGGTAAGCAATAGTTACGCCCAATTGCTCTGTGCTAGGCCATTGCTATGCCAAATTGATCAGTGGTAAGCAATTGTTACGCCCAACTGCTCTGTGCTAGGCCATCGCTATGCCAAATTGATCAGTGGTAAGCAATAGTTACGCCCAATTGCTCTGTGCTAGGCCATCGCTATGCCAAATTGATCAGTGGTAAGCAACAGTTACGCCCAATTGCTCTGTGCTAGGCCATTGCTATGCCAAATTGATCAGTGGTAAGCAATAGTTACGCCCAATTGCTCTGTGCTAGGCCATTGCTATGCCAAATTGATCAGTGGTAAGCAATAGTTACGCCCAATTGCTCTGTGCTAGGCCATTGCTATGCCAAATTGATCAGTGGTAAGCAATAGTTACGCCCAATTGCTCTGTGCTAGGCCATCGCTATGCCAAATATACACCACTGCTCACAGCTGTTAGGTTATGTTATTGTTTACATGGAAGTGGATTCTTCCAAATTTAAAACAGACTGAAAATCTGCATTTGAGAAAAATCAATATTTTTGCAAAAAATTCTAGGAATGAGCAACTTTGATAAAGTTACAAAAAATCACATTTTAAAACTTTGTCATGTAAGCATGTAAGGAAGATCCAAGACTCTTCTCTATGGCCACTGGTCTTGTAGCAGTGGGTTCTTAAATTAGAATTGCCACGAATGGAGCTAGCCAATCAACTCTTTTCTCACCGGTGCTCGGATCCAGCATTATCCAATCATTTGCTTTTTCACTGGTGCTCAACATCATCTGAGCACCAGTCAAGACAAAATAGCCAATAAAAATTCAAGGAAATTGATGGATAGGGAACTGGCATAGGCTTTTGGGATTTGCAGCAACTCTCGTTGGTATCAAGGGGTGCATGGACAGAAACATTGCTTTAATATTTATGGCCAAAAAAAGCCTGGTCAAAGAAATGATAGAGAAGGGGCGTTGCAGATGTCTTAGAGTTTTATTGAGACAACAATAGCGCTGACTTGTTCACTGAATCACAACTCTTTTCCGGAAGTGTAGCAAAGCTACGGCCTAAGATACCTATCTGTCAGGTAAGTGGTAACATACCATCTTTGTGAAAAATTACATCAGAAAATATTATATGCAACTGGTTAAGGAATAGGGTGACATGCCAGGTTGCATTTTATTAGCCATGTTATTAGTTGATTTGAGTTTCGCAAACGTGAATCAATGTTTTTTGCTTTGAGGTAATTGTGATACTACGACAAAGCGTTAATTGAAGTGTTGAGATATTCGCGAGTAATGGCATCGCAGCCCCCCTTTGTGATTTTTCTAAAGGAAGAATAGTTCAAAGAGGCGTGTAAATGCCTGTCAAAGTTCTTGGAACATCAACAGAAATTTTAACATTATATATAAAATGAAAGAGAAGTAAAATTCATTTTATAAGAACACAATTCCAAGCTGCAAAAGATAGCTTTCAACCAGTGTAATGAATTTCGTAAAACATTTTCTAAATTTTCATGAAATACATTGCCTGATTTTGTACGATACTTTCCTTGCTTCCATAGCCACTCTCGTTTACCGTATTCTATCATATTTTTGGCCCCATTAGCGAGTGGGGCTTATTGAGAAAAAGATAAAAATCCACCAATAAAAATTGAGCTTTGGAATTTAAACAATGATTGTTTTTAGAAAAATCAATTACACCTGTTATGGGCATAATAATCACAAGATTTCAATTTCATCCGAGTCGAACTCCTAGTAGATTTGCATAAAAAGTGGTGTGGCATCTTGAATATTTGAATTGTCAATACCTTCAACTGTATTTTTATGTAATTCTGTCAGTAGTTGCAGAAGATTTTCCACATTGAAACAGTATAGGCTTTATTCAATATATTTAAACTGATTACTATTGTAAAGATTTGCTGGTCTCTATACGTTTTCATAATATTTGGGGGGCGCTCATTGGAGAGTGGGTGCTGATTAGAGAAAGGGGGCGTGCATTAGAGAGGGACGCTCATTGGAAAAAATATGTTACTTAACATCGCCACCGAAAATGGTTGTGGTCAATTTGTTGGGTGTAGTCACTTAAACTGAGCACCGGTCAAAAGATTTCTGAGCAGACAGGACTTCTGTCAGACAGGACTTATGAAAATAAAACTGCTAGAAATAAACTTTTTAATAGTGTCTATAGTGTACTCTGGTAGCTGTATAATTCCTTAAGTTAATATTGTAATTCTAAGTATTTCAAAATCCTCAATAAATTTCAAAGAATTCAATTCCTGGTTTAACATCATTAAATTAATTTTTGAGGGGAATGTTTCAGCCCAAATGTATATAAGTTTTCAAAACTTCCATGTTTTTGGATGCCATTTTGATATGGGTGTTGCAATATATTTGTCATGGTAGAGTAACACTAGATAAAAACAACTTTTTACGAATGTTACCTCTTCAAGTTTCTCAATCACCTCGGCTGCAGTCACTTCAATTTCTTCACTATCACTGTCGTCCTCCATTTCGCAACAATTTTCCCGCTAAACTTTGATCCTTCATGTAAAATTTTTCCAGCATTCTGGAAGCGAGGCAATAACCCAGGGTGCATCTGTGCATGAATAGAAAAACAAAAACATAAATCGAAGAGCACCGTCACAAGCCAGCAACAAAGTGCTCAGTATTTTAACCAGTTTTTTGTAACATAATCAAGAATGGGAGGAGATGGAGGATCAATCCCAAAGCGGGCAGAACTTGTTAAAACCAGCAAGAAAAAAGAGCAGGCAGATAAAGATATGGAAAGGGATGCAAAATGGTCACACTGTGCCATAACGCAACGAGAGCTAGTTAGGCCCATAGTTGCCTGTGAACTGGGGAAGCTGTACAATAAGGAGTCTGTACTGGAATTTCTACTCGACAAATCACTTTGTGATTCAATCACACATATCAGGAGCCTTAAGGATGTTAAAGAGCTCAATTTGACAGTTAATTCTGGTTACGATACGAAGTGCAGGGAAGCTGCTGGGCATTTTGATACAATGGCTGCCAAGTACATTTGCCCCGTTGCTGGTCTTGAAATGAATGGGAAGTATAGGTTCTGTTTCATGTGGAGTTGTGGTTGTGTTATTTCTGAAAGAGCTATGAAGGAGGTTCCAAGTGAGGTGTGTCATAAATGTGGAAAAGCTTTTGATCTAGAAAATGTAATCACTTTGAATGGAGATGAAAGTGATTTTGAACGTCAAAAGATTGCAATGGAAGCTAGGAGACTGAAGGCAAAGCTAGAGAAAAAATCTAAAAAGTCTGAAAAAATAGCTGGAGATTTAGAAAACAAAAAGAAAAATGGTGGAGATAAGGTAGATGGTGGGAAGAAAAGGGCAGGTGCAGATCTGCCAGGAGAGAAAATGACATCAAAGAAACTGAAAAGTGGGCAAGAATCATCAATGGCAAAAAATAATTCAAAAGTTCAACAACAGACTGATTCTGTAAAAGACACATCTCACCTTGATCCTAAAGGAACAAAAGTCTACAAAAACCTCTTTACCTCAAGTGAATCACACAAAAACCGTTCAAAAGACAAAACTTCTAACTGGGTTACATACAACCCATATCATTTATAAACTTGTTATCTACATAGCTTGTTATGTTTTCTTCAACATTATTTTTGGTTTATAACAATATTATAGGGTTGAATTCAAAGTAATATTAAATTGCTTTTATATGTAATAAAGATAAGATGCATTTGCTAAAATGTGATCGTTTTTCAAAATGCACCAGCTGTTTTCTTTCTTTCCTTTGCAACCTCTTTTGTCTTTTTTCTTTGCATGGCATATGGCTCTTTACATTATTTAATTTAATTTCAACTTTGGAAAGTGCTTTGCACAGACGCAAAATATATCAGGTGCCTCCAGAAGACCTGGAAGGCCTCAGTTGTGGACATTTTGTATCACATCAAAGGGAGGTGTTTTATTACATATGATTGGTAGGTATCAAAAAGTGACAGTCCTTGTGTCACACAAAAGGAGACTTGCCCCTTGCATTTTTCATCCAGGGATGGATCTAGACCAGTTGCACAGGTTTCAAAAAACCGGTCAAATTCTAAGCTAAATTTCAATTGCAACAATTGCTGCATTTCTCTCTGACTGACTACAGTCCTGATGTTTACATGATGAATTGAAGCCCCACAAGATTTTGACAAAGTTCCCAGCTTCCTAATTCTTCTTTTATCCTAAAGTATCAGAGGAATTCAAAATCGAGGAAATCTGTAGCCACTTGAAGTGACAGTTTAGAGTATGATATCTTTGTGCCAATATTGAAACCGGTGGCTGTCATTTCTGAAAACCTGTGAAAACCAGTGCCCATATTAGTGCGGTCGTTGAGGTGATGAACCAGGAAAAAATTTGTAGATACGCCAAACGCACATCATTTAACGTAGAATTATTTTTTTTTATAAGATATCCAAAATCGCCTAAAATCCTATTTTGGGGAAAAAAGTTATGGAAATTTTAAAAACATGAGCTTTTAGACCATGACCATATGCACAATATTGTGCGAGCAGATGGACATTACCAACTGCCGAGGGATTCTGCAAAATATGAATAGCTTGCAAGAATTCAAGGCGTGGATTCTGAATTTGGAAGCTAAACATGTATTTGAGTGGACAATTGAGAAATAAAATTTAGCATAGGTTGAACAGTAGCAAAGTAAGTCTCGTTGCTAACCCGCCAAAACTATTGAAATTTTTGATTATAAATGAAAGTAATCATTTTTGAACAGTTTCACAGATATATAAATTCTCTGGTATTTGCAATTATTTGCCTAGCACGACACGTGAAAAGCAGTTTTCATGATGTATGGTTTCTGCTGCTACAAGATCAATGCATCCTTGAAGGCAAGGTTATATATTTGCAGTCAAAGAATCTGCTTTAATGGTGCATCCTTCCAAGCTTATTTTTGCATTGGTATCTTTGTGACACAGTTTCTCTATCGCCGCTGCTAGGTGGGACGGGCCCCGGGGCAAAATGTATCAGGGGTCCCCAATAAGCAGCGAAGGCCAAAACCCTTTTTTGACCACGCAATGTTTTCGTTCCTGGAAATGCCCTTGCCCTAAAATTGAAGGCTAAAATGACCTGTATAAGTGGCATTCTAGTGTGGTTAAAATGTTCATCTTTTCCAAAACCTTCTTGAGAACCTCTGACCTGGGGTTCTTTCTGTATAAAATAGGTATGAATGCTGTGCTACAAACTCAGACAGAATATTAGCTACGTGGCAATAAAAAGTGAGTCTCTGCGACATATTTTATTCAAACGGTTGCCTATTAATTTTTCAAAGCCTTTACAGTACCAGCTTTCTAAAGTTACTAAAATCATTATTTTTAGCTACATCATTTTCAATACCTCAACACAGCTAAGTCATTCAGCTAGCCATCTTTTGTTGTCACTTTGCTAGCCTGAGTTCAAGACTATCGGAAAGACGCTTTCACAATAAACAAAACAGGATTAATTTCAAATACTTTAATGTTTAATTTCAGATATTTTGGGGTCCTTCAGGAGAAAGACATACCTGGAATGATGCATTATCGTCATATAGTCATTTGTAGCAGCATTAGCACAAAGAAAACAATATTTTCTTCACCTGAACGCAGAAAACTTCCATAGCAGTCGTTTAAAACAAGGTGTTGCGCTAACATTTTAATTTTTTTTAAGTTTCTGTCTTGGGTTAGTAAAATCTTCACGACAGTTTTTATCAGCTAAAGCGTTGCCAATTGGAATTTTCTAACTCTCTCTGTTAAATAATTGCTTAAACCAAGTCTTCCGTGTCTGTCATGGTACTTTGTGAGGCTTGGGACACTTTTTTCATAATGTTTACTGCCTTTTTATTCTTCAAATATAGCTTACATATCGTACAGTTTTAATGCACCACATTGCTAAGCAAATCTGCCATCTTGCACCCAAAGAATTCTTTTTATACCTTATTGCAACAACTTTTAAAGGGCCGGCGAAACAGAGGGGCCAGGGCCAGGGGGGGGGTCATGGCCATTTTTTCGTTTTTTCAAGACGAAAACTTGGCTCACAAGGTCTTTTTTAACGAAGAATTTCTCAGAAACATTACAAAAAACTGCTGGATAGAAAGCGTTTTGAGGACGTGAGGAATAAAGATTTGCTCTTTAAAAGTATCATCAAAGTTTAATTCTATCGATAATCCATTTCTACAAAGCAAAAGAAAATCTAGACGCAATTGTGAATTCTATTAAAACTCGTTTTGTCCAGCGCAGTTTGAAAGTTTTTCAAACCCTGAGTTATTTTTATCAAAAGTACTTTATTCCCGAAAAATTTAATATCACGTGTTACAAAATGATATCCTTTGAAAAAAGCAAACATTTTACAACATATTAAATTCTATACCGTAAAAAAATTGTTCAAAATGATATCCCAACGGTACAAATTTGCTTAATCGTTTATTTTTAGTTGATAGTTCTTCTGTTGATATTTCAATGTTAATATTTTTTATCAAACCTTGTTTGATTTACTTTTCTCCTCTATTTTTTGGGTAATTTTAGATTCTAAAAGAGATTTTTTTAAAGACTTTTAAAGACCTATGTTTTAAAGGTTATTTTAAAACTTTGCAAGACCTTTCCTATTTAAAGACAACATTAAAATAGACGAGACGAGACTTTACATATATATACATATGCAGACAATGTAAAAAAGGATATTGTAAGGAGTAGGGTAAGGAGTATTGATTAAACAAAGCTTAAACATATTTCCTTGGATTTTCCTTCAATCCAATTTATCCATTTTAGATACATTCTCTGGCTATCCCCGAGTTAACATAATCCTAAACTTTTTCTTTCCGGTGGTGGCAGCCTTTCCTGACCCCTTTCAAGAATTTGATATTTTGGCCCATTCACTTTCAAATACGTTTCGCCGCCCTGTTTTACTGGGTGCTCTAGACAGAATTGTTTTTTTGAGCAACAATTATGATTATGCACATTAATTTGCATATAATAAAGGCCATAGCTAGCTCCTTTTTGTGACGTATGAAATTTCTCATGAACATCAACCATGGTTATGTTTAGCGCATACCCTAGGTGTTAGTTAAATTGTTAATTCTCTTAATGTACCTTCAAATATCGATAAATGTCCCTCGCTTGTGGTGGGTCATTAAACTTTTTATTTTGGCATTAAAAAACTGCCTGTCGTTTATAAAATTCTCGCCCATGTTTTTAGGGAAATCAGAAACAAAACTGACTTCTTCCTTTATCAGCCCTCTTATTTATTTTTCGGGCCTAGAATAGGAGAATTTTTCCTTACGTAAATCTACAATTTTAAAAGGAAAACGGATTTCTTGTTTTTCTGAACAGATGCCCTTAGTTGTGCTACAAGTACTTGATTATCGAATGTGGCCTCGTATATCATATAAACCTCAATAAAAATGTTTCCCCACGGTCGATTTTGGGCGATTTAGAGTATGTTATAGAGGAAAAAAGTATGCACCGAGTGGTGGCTTCTCTACCATTTTTGTCCCGGTTGACCTTGATTTAAAGTCTCCACGAGCTCACTATACGTTTCCCTTTTGCGAGAAAAACCGGTGACTAAAAAGCATATTCGATATTGATATCTTTAGCTTCAAAGTGTGGACGCTTTAAAAAATGATACAAGATGAAATACGGATGCAAATAGGAATCTGAGGTTTTGTATTGAAGGACTAGACTTTCTTTCTCGGAAAAATTCATGAAAATTAGAATCGAAGTTGCAAGAAGAGGATCAAAGGCCATGCTGAAACGGAGTAAAATTGTGACGTTTTAGATTAAGTGTGGGCAGATTAATCTACTTTACCAACCTCATTAGCAACTTTTATCAATATCAATGGACCAATAACACACAGGGCTGTAACGGGGTCAAGCACCCCAAACCGGTCAAAATTTTGGCTAGATCCGCGCCTGTCATCTATTTGAATTCAACAGCCATACACAAACTGTCTTTTTCTGAACAATGGCAAGTATATATTATGGGACAGGCAGGGGCGGATACAGGATAAAAATTGACGGTCGCACATTGACACTACCCAGCTGGCGGTCTAGGGGGCCTCCCTCGTGGGGAAGGGCGGAGCCATGATTGGGGCCTGTTCGGTCCTGTGTTTATTGTGTAAAGAGAGGTAAATGTATTATCTGTAAGGAGGAAAATAAAAGAGTGTGGTAAACATGATTGCCTAATTTCAATGACTGAAGAGGAAATCTAAATTCTGAAAATCTGACGGTCTTCCGTGCGACCAGTGCGACCAGTGCGACACCCTGAATCCGCCCCTGCGGGAAAGGATAGCACTATGGTGTGTTTTGGGGGTGAGCTAAAAATCCCTTCATGAAATGTGTCTTTTGGAATTTCAAACTGATAGGAACATGCATTTCTCAATATGAAAAAACTTTTATTTTGAAAGGTCAGCTAGACAAAGTTAAACATGTAATACGGAAGAGCATACTGCGAGACTCCACAAATCACCATAAACTCTTTTAGAGAGGGTGACTTGACTTGATAAATGAAAGAAGTAATGCTTGTTCAAAACTGACATCAAATGTAAATTTGCAACTCTTCAGTTTAGGAATGCCAACAATGATGGTATCAGAAATTCTCAAATTAAAATGCTTTCTAACTCGTGCTAAGATGATTTTGTATCATCCAGCATGCCCTCACGGAGGCGTATAGCCCCTAGACATCCGTTAGTGCAAGGGATGGCACCAACACCAATTTGCTCACAAAAGAGGAATATTTAACAAATTTTGGGCGTCGTCGTCGTGATAAACATTCAGAATAGGGAATGTCATCAGTGGCGGATTTAAAGTGGGAAACATGGGCTAGTTGCTAGCTCTCTCACCGAGTAGAAGCAGCTATTGGTCCAGGGCAATGGCAGACACCTGGGGCGAGGGTGCTATTGCTCCCACCAATACTTATAAAGCAATGGTCTTTTGTTCTTAAACAATAAGAAAATGTGACATCGTCTTAACAAAACGATTGGCTTGCCTCCCTCAAATTTTTGACCAAGTGTCAGCCACTACTCTGGGGTTTTTTTTATATCAGGCGTCTTATTCTCTGCTCAGCCCAAATGCTTGCAATCGTTTCTCAGCTCTACTTTTTGAAAATTTCCCGACAAGAATTTTCTCGGAGAGGGGGGGGGTGACGCATTATACAGTGTGCTATTATGCAAAAAACATTGCGAAGAAGTTAGCTGTATTTTTAAAAATCTATTAGATATAATTAGGGGCTATTTCGAGAAGGGGGCTTATTCTAATAATCACGGTAATTTATTTGTTTGAAGACTTAGAAGCATGTCATTCAAAATTGTCATGAGCAGGCACGCATGCGTATTAGACCTCTTAATAAAAACAACAGGAAGAGATTCGCACGGGCTGGAAAAGGCGATCTGGTTTAGCGAAAATGAAATCATAAAATTAGTCGTGTTTTACTTCATTAGGAAGAAAAAAAACTGCCAACACTAACAGCGAAATGAGAGCCGTACATTTTGCCATTTTTATCATTGTTTCGTTGTTTGTTCTTGAATATGCTGAAGGGAATATCCACAGAGCTGTTCATACCCGTAGGCGGCCTAAGCAGGAGAGTGGATTTCTCACAAGGTTTTACACAAAATTGCAGAAGTCCTGGCTCGCTATCCCTGCTTCATTCCTCGTTGGATGCACAGGGATTTTTCCACTTCTTGTGATTCCAGTACAATCGGGGAAATCATTAAAGGAAGGAGGTAAGTTAAGTAGAATTAGAATTCGATCGTTACCAGAAGTTTCCCGTAACTCAAAATGGCCCCGTTTCATAATTTTCCGCATTACAATGTCACCGTGTGTGCGGATTTTAAAATTTCTATGACGGGGAAATTAATTGCTCCTTCTTAAAGTTTTGTGGGTTTATCTTAAGAGCATGCCCAAGTTTTAATATTATTCGTGTAATTAAATCAAAGTCTACTTACAGAGGCAGCTGGCCAAATACCAGTTATGGTTATGGCCATAACCCGCTACTCGTATTGATAAACGTCAACCTGTTCAACTTGGTGACCTAAACTTAATTGGTATGCCAGCCAATTTAGAGTTTACATCTTCCCAAGTATCCCCATCCCGTAAAGGCCCTCGTGATCAAGTCATGTGGTCAAAATGTTTGCTTCGCGTGCCAAAATTACATTTAAAACAACTGGTTTGAGACGAGCTTTTATAGTTTTCGTTTCATATTCTGATTGCTACTACGTCTGTTCTCTCTTCCATGTAACAGTTTTGAAAGTTCAGACAAAAGTCATATATGTAAAAAACAAATATACCGGGAAAAGATGCATCTGTCTTCAACAATATTTTAAAGTAAACAAAAATTTCTTTAAGGTTGAGCATCTACTTTACAATTTTTGTAATTTCTTTCAAATATACCGTAAATTGTGTCATTTTAAGGTACTTGATGCTAGTTGAACCTTGTTTTTGAATAATTTACTTTATTTTTATTTGGCTGGGTCTGACCTTGAAATTTGATGTTAATGTTCAAACAATTTTGGCAACAATTGTAGTAAAGTACAAAGTACTTCTTTTTTAATTTGTAATTTAATTTCCTAAAGTTATTTGTAATCATAAATATCATATAAAAAGCTTTTAAAGAAGGAATTCTAATAGATGGGGCTCCCCCAGTTGGTGGCCAGATTTCGTCCCCCAGTAGACCAGTAACATTTTCAGTGAAAGAAGTTCAGAAGCAATAAATGTTTTAGACAATTTCTTAACATCGCCTTAAAGACAGCCAACCCTTGCAAACATGATTACCCTCATCAAATAGGGCTGACAGCTAGAAACAAGAAACAAGTTGAAACCCCACAAAATAATAGTTTTGCCATTCTGTTTTCCTCAGCAAAGCTAGATTTGATATTGCTAGAAATTTGATTTCCTAAAACCCATGTAAAAAGCATCCACCTTACCAAAGAACTACTTTACTTGTATTTGATAATCCATCCATTTTTATGTTTACCTTTATGTTGCTTTTGCTTAACAAATTATTTCCTTATGCATTAAAAAATTTTAAAATGTTTAGTAGCCAAAGAGACAAAGCTTTCTGTAGGACCTGTAGAAAGTCATTTAAATTCACATTCCTCTAAATTCACTATCGGATCTTTTTTCCATAGTAACTTCTCAGAGGCTGCAGATTCTCCTAAGTTTTGCAGTTGGAGGTCTACTTGGGGATGTTTTTCTACACTTGCTACCGGAAGCTTGGATGTACCTTGGCAAAGGTTTGAATATTAGATTAAACACAACCCATTTCAAGTACAAGGACCATAATGAACCTTTGTATTGTAAGACAACCGTAAATAGTTTCTGGCTAAAAGGTCAACCTCTAGATGTTATCTCTAATATAGGAAAATAAATTTTCAGAATTTAGCTGAACTCTGAGAGCAAGTCATCAGACAATAATGATTCATTTTCCAAAATTTGAAAAGTTCTTTAGATTTTCATGTGTTTCTTTTCTTATCTACATGTTTAATCAATGTTTTGTTTATCAAAAAATAAATTTGGTTGCTAGTTTTATTCAAAGCTAGCTATCTAACCAAAAAATATTGTACTCCAGCTGTAGCCTGTCATTTATATATGATGCTATATTTGATGCACTTTACCATTTTCCTTCTGGTGTATATATTCATTAACAAGAATAGTTTTTTAAGCCAAAAAATGTTTATGTATTATATATATATAGTTACTTGAAGACTCTTTTTTCTAGATGGACATAATCATTATGGCCACATGAAAGTTGGACTTTGGTGCCTGGCAGGTCTTCTAGGATTTCTTTTGTTAGAAAAAGGCTTTGCAGAAGAAAACAAAGAAGAAGAAGAAGAACAGCATGCCAAAGATGCAGTCCAAGAACAGATTCAAGAGGTTTCATTTAATTTTCGTAATGTAAAGATTATATATATTTGAATATAAATTATAACTTGTTGGGAGTATCCAGTCTAATGAGCAAGGTTACCTCTTGATGTTGTTTTTGCCCCTCCAAATGTATACTCTAAGTATTTGATTATTTTTTAGAGTGCCTTTATCCAAGTGCTCATTAGGATTGAAGATAAAATATATAAAGATCAAAGTTATTATAACTACCCAATGGAATTAATACATATACTGTAATGACTTCAAGATTTCAGTTTGTGTGTTTTTCCTTTTTGCAGCCTTCTCTTAGCTCTGACTGTAGTCTTGCAAAAGTTAGTGGACTCACACAACTTGTACATGAAAAGGGTATTTCAATGTGTCTTAGCACTGGTGGTGTTGAAAAAAGAAATATCAAGATCACAGAAGTTATAGACAATGGTAGGAGAAGTTTTAATACCCATTTCATTGGATAACTCATCCTGAAATGGAAAACAATGTGTATTTCCACATCCTTCTTACTTTGTTGACAAATAAGCCATGCCACTTTTCCTACCTCAACCCAAATTCGCTATTAATACATGTACTTCTATTTGTTTTGCTTGACTGGATGACTTTGAATCTAAGCCCCTCAGGTAGCCATCCACCCTCAGAATACCATAATCCTTCCTGTTAAAAAATTCCCCAGTATGTGTTTTAAAACATCTAGGCTAAGAATTGAAATTTTGAGTAATGACTAGCGTTATTAAGGAAAAATTTAGTGATTCAGCAGAAAAACATTTCTTTTGCCAAGGAAATTGATTATAATTGTAGAATGATTTTTGTGCTCTTTTAGATCCTAAGCCTGAACCAAAAAACGAAAATGATGATGGTAAACCAAAAGAGAAAATTGCGGTATGTTCATGTAGAAATTCTAAAAACAATTTTTGAAGATCAAGCGTGGTATTTGATATTTATCCTGGATTTTAATTGCAGTTTATGCTTTATTTTTGATGTGTTTGTTGTTGAAGGTTTCACTAATTCTGAGTTTACCTGTACAAGGTTTAACTGTGTGGAGGAATAATGTTGACAAAATCATTTGGTATTGTTTCTTTGCTGGGAGATTTCTTGGTAATTGAGGTTTCTCAATAAGTGTTGTTTGCATTTTCTAATGGCACATCTAAAATTGAAATACTGATGGAAGGTTAAGCACAGATGTCATGAATGTGATAATACCATTCATTTTTCACCCAATCTTTAATTAAAAATTTAACACATGTGACAATGAAAGACTTGCCTTGACACATAAAAGTATTTTTTTATCTAACACAGGTGTGACATTTATGCCTTGACACATTATAAATCTCTCTTTTGGATGTTAATGATTATATTGCTAAGATATTTGACCAACCAGTAAGCCAGTTGATCACATTAAAGGGCATGTGTTGTGAACATGATTGGTTAATGCGATACAATTATCATGGAATCGAGGGTGAATTTTTACGGCAGTAAAAATTGATTTAGAAGAAATGAAAATCACAAAACAATGGTATTCCACTCGAAAGCTTTTGTTTTATTAGCCAATTGCTAATGTGACATATGCCCTCTAATCTTTGAGTAGGAACTTAGAACCATCTTGTTCTATACACAAAAACATTTTTATATGTATGTATATCAATATCTTCCATGGATATATTGGTATTAGTAGAATCCGAATCCATTTGACCATGATCTCTTTTGATGCTGGCTCGATTGTTTAGGTTGTCATATTTTGCTGAAAATATTGTAGGTGTTTGGTTATTTGAATCTGTTGGCCAACTGCATTGATAATTTCACTCATGGACTTGCCGTTGCTGGTAGCTTTGTTGTCAGCAATCAGGTGTGTTGTCAGCAATTTCTTCCACTTTTTCCCCCCAATTTAATAATCATCAATGCTTTAGAAATCAATTGAATTTATAGTTCAGTATGACACCTATCGATAACTATCATGTATATGCCGGATATTTTTTCAAAACAAATTTGGACTTACTATAAGTACATATATAGAATAATTAAACCCAATTCGCTTATTTTGCAAATAACTTTTCGAAGACAATTGTGTAAATTTTTGAATGGATTTTCAAGGCATTATGCCAGAGTGCAAGTGAAAGGAGCCATGCTCATAAAACTCTTATGAAGCAAGGGTATTTAATTCATTTTTGAAAGTTAAACATTGTAATAATGTCTTTAATATTTATATGTCTATATATATATCATTAATTTGAAGGGAATATTCTATGTATTACAAACTTATATATTTTTAAACATATTAGGTTGGCATGTGTACAACATTGGCCATTTTGCTTCATGAAATACCCCATGAGGTAAGGGAGTATTATTTTATCCTTTCAGCTATAGGCAATCATAGATGGAGAGCCTATTAGGTGAAAGACTTGTTTTAACAGCTGCATTTTCTGTTAAACTGAATGACAGGTTGCCAAGGATACAATTGCACTAATTCTATGAAAAGAAGAGCAGCTTTTTCTTTTTGTTTGTCTAGAAAACTTTTTCTCGTAACTTGTTTGCGCTGCTTTCAATTTATGCAATTAAGCAGTTGTTGTAGGTTCTTTTGCACAACGTATAAATATTTTATTAAGATCAAATTCGTATTCGAATAATTTCACCATCATGTTAGTTTATTGGCAGAAATAGAGAAACGTGGGTTTATTCTAAGGACATTAACCAAACACTTTTGTTCCCAGATTCCTTGATCTCAAGCTCATCATCTTTACTAACACTAGAATGATAAGAAATCCATAAAATTAGCTAGCAGTTTTTGAATATTCTTTTCTATTCAGCGCGATAAAATTTTAGTGTGGTTAATAATCGAATCGCTACTAACTTTGGCAAATTTTCTGTTTTTTGTTTTTATCTTTGAGTGACACAAATCCAGAATTCCGTGAAAGAAATCTAATAACCCTTCGTTATATTGTAACCAAACAGCTTTGCTTTTTCTTTTTACTTTTCATCATTCAGTTATTAGTAAGTTTGTGTATGTTTTTGTCAACATTGTTGTATTTATTTTTAGATTGGAGACTTTGCAATCCTTCTCAAGTCAGGCTTTAAACGATGGGATGCTGCTGTTGGCCAGGCTAGTCTTTTTTAAAACCTATGTTACAAAATATAAACATAAGTCAATCATACGGACACAGATTTTAATGGGATTTATATAGACTTAGATTTGAACCGGCTTTATATAGGCACCTCATAGCAACAGCTTTTCCTATGCTTTAGGTCTGGGTGGCTATGTGAGAGTGTTGCGGTTTTTTGTGGAAATTGAAGAAGAAGGAGAAAAGAAATAGAAATTCGAGTTTTATCATTGTGTAAACCCTCACCGCGCCACAGCTATGAGAGTTCAAGAGCATTTTGCTGTCAACTCCTCCCCCGTTTATCGGCCCACTTTCATTCTCGTTTAGTTGTAAATATTTCCTAAGAAACTTTTCCTATACAGGTCTTGATCAACGGAACATTCTCGTAGGCTTACCTGGTATGATGTAGAAGAAAACGGGTCTCCGTTTCTGGATCATTGTAAGAAGGGCAACTTGAAAGGCACAACCAGCACTTATTATTGCAAACACGGGCTGTAGTTATGACGAGAACAACTGCAGTAGAATGCCCCTGGTTATAATTTATCGTTTTTTATTGCTCATAAAATTCTAAATTTACTCGAAAATTATTTTCGCAGATGATTACAGCTTCTGGAGGACTTTTGGGTGCTGTTTTTGGTATTTTAGCTGAAGGGGCGGGTGAGTTAATTTATGATATAAATTTGAGACTAATCTAATTGTTCATTAATAAATGCAACATATAAATTATCCAATGAATGTAGCCTATCACCATGAAGGTACTACGAAAGATTTTTTATTTTGACCTGGCTGAATCAACGAGACCCCCCTTTCCTCGCACTGTAAATATTTCTATGTTAAATCTTTGTTGCTTTTTCCATTGGGAGGGTTATTGTGCTCTCAAATATATAAATGCTTATTTTTTGTATTGATATAATGTTTTGCATGAAAAAGGCAGTAGATTGCTGTTGTGGTCTCAACCTCTTTCCATGTGTGCATGGTCACGGGTTAAGCCCTCCTCCAACCTATCGACGATTTCATTTGAAATTGCACTGTTTATTTCATTTAGTGGGCGCTAGAAAAATGACCTTTCTTGAATTCGGATGGTGTTTCTTTCAGAGAGATTATTTTGAATAAAACTACATTTTTTTAACTTGGGGGAAAAATAAAAATACTTTTTTTTGGATTGGGGGAAATGTATTTAGATACTTCTTTTTCGACCCTTTGAGTCTGACTCTGAATTATACTAACCTCATCAAATGTTCGATGGTTTTAAGAAGTCTTCATAGTTAAGAGTTCTTTGAGAAGAAGGCAGAATATTTTGCAATTTTGCCGTGTAACATTGCTTAAATTTACCGTGTAACATTGTTTTGTTTCAGGGGATACCACTGCTTGGGTGTTACCTTTTACGTCTGGGGGATTCATTTATATTGCTATGGGAACAATTGTGCCGGATCTTCTTAAGGAAGAAAACCCAAGGTTAGGACCGTTTTATTTTGCAGAAAGCGTAAGGAAACATTGCCGTAAATTTTCTTTCAACTGGCTGCTGGAAATAATGCAATTCAAAATCAAAGGGCATTTTGATTTTGGCGTGCTGATCTTACTTTGCCACTGTGTAATGCTTTCCAGCATTGTGTAATGATGAGTTGAAGAGCACCAAATTCTTAAAGCAATGACTGTTTTGTTTCATGTTATCTTCATGTTTACTTTTCCTCTTTGACATTTTACGGTAAAGCCAAACAAGTGTACTTTAAACTAGTATAACTGCACATACCTACACAATCTGTTAAATTGTCTGTATGAATCAAACTTAAACGTCATTTCTATGTTTCTATATGATTCCTGTTGAATTGATTTTGCATTTTATACAAATCAACATTTTGATTTTCCAGAGAATCGGTCAAGCAAGTGCTGGCACTCATTGCAGGCATCGGTACAATGTGGATGGTGTCCGCTCTGCATCATTGAACCAACGCTTTTTGTACAAATCAATCCATTCATTTCTATGATATATAATCTATCTGGGTTTCCATCGTGTGTTTCTTTGTGTTGCACTTTCTATTATTAAGTAGCCTGGTGTTATTCAGTAAATAATGATAGAAAAAGAAATCTTGTGAAACAGCGAAAAGTTTGGCGGAATGAGACTTTAGCAGCCCTAGCATTTGCACCAGTTTGAATATCATAGTTACTTATTTATTAATTCAGTTTAAAAATTTAATATTTAATACTAGGTGCATTTTTGTTTACATTTGTTCATCTGATTTGCGTGCAGTCATTCATAGCTTTTCTCCAGTAGCCATACTTCATGGTCTCATAAACCCATGGCATAACTGGATTTTGCCCCTGTTAATTTTCTCCAGGAAGCGCTGGTTAGCCAATCCGATTGCATAAAAACTAGATCAAAACAGTGGCGTAATGGACTAAAGTTCCCTTTACTTCAAAAACTAAGGACCCCTGACCTGTGCACCCTAGCAAAATTAACTTTTTTGTTACTTTGCTTGGAAGGGGGTGTTCGAGAGGCTCGAGCCTACATGATATGTCAGTCTAAATGAAAGGAAAGTTGATTAAAGCTTAGCCTTTATTGCTACACTAAAATGTCAGCTGCTTTCCAACTGGCTGCAAATATGTGTTAAAAAGAACCAATTCATGCATATTTTTTGTGAGTTTAGAGGCTGCTCTTATTATATATGTTGCTATATAGGATAGAGATAAATAATGAGGTCTGATAGAATCAGATCGTTTTTAGTTTATCAGGTCACTGTTAGACCTTTAATCCAGTTGAGGAAAACCGAGCTACTGACTCAGAGATACCTAAGCTTTAATCAGGTAGGGTCTGGGGGGAGGGGGAAAATGGCCTGGTACATGAAGTGGCCTAAATGTAAATATGTCTTTCTTGTTAGCTACCCAAGCAACTTATGGAAATCTTTGCCTGCTCGATTCCTTCGCCAGGCCCATGGATGATTGTCATGTTTACAGTGATGCATCAATTTCCAACTCGTTCCCAAACCTCGGTAAATTATCAAGTGGCTAGAGATGGTTTGGAACAAATGATGGCAACATGAGCTTCAAATTCGAATAAACTTTGCTGATTGTAAATTGCAAAATTTGCTTAGTAAAGTGCATACAGCTTGATTAAATGAAATTTAATCACGTTTAATATGTGACAGGGTACACCGTTTAGGTGCCCCTTGGGCTTTTGTTTCGGACACAGATTGCACAATTGTGGAGTTTGTGTTTATTGTAGCAGTGCTCGAGTAAGCATTACATTGTGTTTTTTATACGGCTAAAGCAACAAGCGTGCAAGTGTGCATTGGCCTTGGGTATATAAACTTTGTCTTGGTATAGTTTTACTCTCACACGCTACAAGATAACCTGAAGTTAGACGTAGGGAGGAAAGGGTTTCATTTGCGACCCTGCCCACCCTACCCATATATAGGTATGTTCAGGTGTTTATAATAATAATTGAAGCTAAGTCTCCATTTCAGAGCAGTTTCCCAACAACTGGGTATCGCAAGCTGGTGCAATAACTTTGGCTAGTCTTTTTATATCTATTTCATCCCTTGGAAAGAAATTTTTGAAGGGTGTTGTTGATACTTTTCAGAATTTTTGAATTATTTGTAACTAAACAAGTCTTTTCCATCTTGGGTTTTTGATAAAAACTTGGGCAATCCTATAAGTGTTCAATATATTCCTCATGGGCCCCACATCTTCTGCAAAGAGAATCAGAGTACTTTCCTTTGCAGTTCGCTCTTAAGTCAACCATGTTTAGTTTTAATTTCAGCAGGGATGACGCGTCTTCGCACCCCAGATACTCTTTCATTTCAAACGTTTTCATTTCACTACCCTTGATAAATCTAAGTTTAGTCTTACTATTATTTTTAATATTATTCTCTATGATTATGATAATTTTTTCTCTAACAATTTTTTCCACTGTTCTTTGCTTAAGTTTTTTTATCTGATATTCTTTGAGTTTAATATCAATCATTTTTATGTCACTAATCACTTCTTTATACCAACAACACTTTACACCAAAAGGTCACAAACATTTCAAACCATCATTCATGACATCATAATTAAGAAACTCTTAAGAAACAGTGAGTATTGAAATTTCCAGAACATTAATAAACTGGAGTACTCAACATCGACTTTTGTTTCTTATAAAAAAATGAGTGTATCCGAACTTGCAGCTACCTGGATCAGTAAAAAGCCTAAAGCCAAAAGCCTCTGGGGGCTGGGGGCAAAGCCCGTAGGAATTTTTAAGCCACGCCCTGTATAATCTGCAGGAGACGCATCTTTGCTAATAGGAAACAACCGTTTTCTCCAAAGAAATGTTCGCATTTAATGTTATTGTTTATAACTTAACATCAGAGTTTTAAAGTTAGAAATTTTACATGTGCAAAGCCACGATTAAAACAAATAGCCAATACCACTTTGAACAAGTGTGCGCTCATAAAAAGTCACTTTCAAAACAATCTTTGTCTAGTCCATAATCTACTCTAGTGAGTCTGGTACCCAGGGTATCCATAATCGTGCCAGCCACGTAGCTGCAGGGGATGGTGGGCTGTGTCTCTCTAAATTAAAACTTTGACCACAGCTTGTTCCCTTTGACTACAGTTACTTCAAATTATTTTTGGCATGATTATAGTTTGTAAGATTTTTGAAAGGGACCCTACGTCTTTGAAAAGTAAGAAACTCCATTATTGGCTTCTTAGATTTATACTCTTGACTATTTGCAAAATTTTCAATGTTTCAAAATACTTAATATTAAATTTGTGACGATTACAGTAGGGGTTCGAAAGAATAGAGAGAAGTGGCTTAGCTTTTTGTTAGCATAGTCACTTGAAAAGAACAATGCCAGAAACAGGGTAGCTCTAGCCCCCCCCTTTTGGTAATGCCAAAAAAGTAGCCAATTTGTACTTTTGCTATTGTTTTTTCGCAACATTTTCAGCAAAGGGCCCCCTTGAAGGCACCAAGGAGGCATGTGCAATCAAACCTCAGAAAGTTACCCGATTGACAAAGGGAATTGCAGTTGTAATTCTCAGCCAGTGTAGGAGCAAGCAATCGGGAGCGTGTGCGAGTTTTTGCTGGAAAATTATGAAGTAGCTTCTCGAATTATAGTGTACAGAATCCACAGAATCGCACTGGTGTGCATTTAGGTGCCTAACTCCTGAGATATTTTTCGAGGAATTTTCAGAGTTAGAAACCTCAACATTTGTTTTAAATTTTTGTATTGATGTATTCTGTTCTTAACTCATAGCTCTGTGTAAGCTTGATATTTTCCAAACAAGCGCGTCACTCGCTGTTATGAATTTCTTTCTTGTTTCGAAGCCTGCCCATCGACGTACGACTCTATTCTTGCTCAAGTTTGCCCACACCAGCCCAGTGGCGGAAATTCAGGCTTTCATTTGGGGGGGGGGCCAGGCCTACGATTTTCCGACAAGATAACATCACGGACCATGTATAATTTCAAAGAAACTGCACATTTTGATAAAAATAGTTGTTTTTTTTGACGGGACTCTTTAGAAATCTTTGCTGACCACGCCATAATTAAGTAGCAAGAAGAACAATCCATTTATGATTTTTGATATCAAGATTGATATCTCTTTTAAGACAATTGATGATACAAGAGGTAGACCGATAACACGTTTGACAAGTCGTACGTTCATTTTATGCATTTTATCTTGTTTTCATCAGTGAGAAATACGTTTGAAAATAACTTTTGCTCAGATCAATCCGACAGAAATTTTGGCTGATCTTTACGGAATTGAAATCAAATACACAATTCACAAGCAGTTTTGATTTTGGTCATATATTGTTTGATTAATTATTTGGTAATGGCTAATATTTTATCAGCAATGTTATGTTCAAATTTTGCAAAAAGGGCACAGAGAGGTTATAAATGCCCCTGGGGTAAAAAAGGAAACGTGGATCACCTGCGAGCGAAGCGATCAGAAAATTTGGCAATTACGCCCCTTAGATTAGCTTAAAATTCCTTTTCAGAACGATTTCTTGGAGTAATTTCGACACGTTAAACGGTTGTCAATTATCCGAGGAAAGCCCGAATTTTCCGACGACGTCGCTGATTGGGGGGGGGCCGAGCCAAACCCCCATAATTTCCGCCACTGCACCAGCCGATATCCACAGCTACGTGGCTGAATAGTGCTCACTGCTATGTTTCTCGTGAAAGTTCTCCACTTGCCTCTTTTGTTAGCTCAAAAACAATATTCCTGCATTAAAATTCGTTTGATTTCCACACGTTTGTTTGCAATTCTGATCAGCTCGTAATACGTAAATATTATATCTTACATCACACCTGATTTTAACTGTATTAAGTTGTTTAGATATTTCTTGAGAATTATAACTCACCATGGCATTCGAAAGTAATCAAATGGAAAGAAATAAACACCAAAAACGAGTAGACTGTTCGCTTACTTTTATTGCACTTCATTTTCCTAAGTTCTAGTTCCTCGTGAAAGTTCTCCGCTTGCCTAATTTGTTTGCTTATAGTAATCATCTACCACACGCAGGGGCGTACCTACCAAGGGGGGTGTTGGTGCACCCACCTCCCCATTTTTCGGAAAGTTGGTCGGTAAATTTTAAGGATAGTCGGTAAATGTTATGGATTGTCAGTAGATGCGTATCTTGACTTTTTAAAGCATATTGTCGTGTATCGAAAACTGTCCAACCTAAATCAAAGAAATAAAGAGCAATAAGAAGGACGACTCTACGCCCAAGGAACCGATATTTTCACTGATGTGATATGTGTGGTGGCCTTTAACTGCCACGCACTAAAACTAAACTAATTCGCATACAAATGAAACTGATTCACATTTAAACAAAGCGGTTCGTGGGTTTTTGGATCTTGAATTTTGGTCGGTAGATTCACCCATTTCATTTAAACCCCCCCCCCCCTTACTCGAAATTGTATGTCCCTGAGCACAGGCGCACTGTGGCTCCTAGAAAAGGGCCGGGAGAAAGTGATTATAAGGCGGCTTGTTCTTTTGTCTGACATCTTCAATCGCAAACCAAAGGTCTCCAATAATGGCACGTAGTTACTTCAGGAAACAATGCACCCAAAATGTTTAAAAATCTTGCAATTTTTATCGCTTTTAAAGGGTATATAATATTTTTGATTAGGATGTATCTCTTCTCTCTAACCAAATTCTGTTTAAGGTTGCACAAAATGTGGAGCAAATCAATCGCTGTAGTGCACATTGAATACAAACACAAGCGTCACATAATGATTAAGTGCACTTGGAGTTCTGCAGCACACACTACATGCTTTATTTTGATTAAATCCACTGAACATTGTGCTTTAGGTCTCTAAAATACGCTTTTTTCCATTTCGACTGTTTATTATTTTCCATTTCGACAACCCTTTCCTCTCTTTTTGGCAGTAGTGTTTTAGATGAAGCTGCTTTGTCATTCTTTAATGAAAAAAAGAATTTCACTTGAAAGAAGAAAACCAGAGCAAACACACTTAAAAATTCAACTTGAAGGGAGTGAAAAAGTGAAAAATTAATGTCCCCCCCCCCAGTTTTCGGAAGAATCAATTTCGTATTTCGTCTAAATTCGATGAGGAAAAGTTGGGGGAGAGGTAATATTTTGGCAAAGTACCTTTTGCGATGTAATCCTAAGTACTGCCTATAACGTAACCAAAAGTTAGTCATGGGCGTTCACTTCAGGTAAAATTGGCGTTCCTTATTGGTAAAAGGGCTTCTTCAGATGACTTTTTCAAGTACTAAAAAGAGAAATTTTTGTTTTGCCACACACTTCTTTCACGGGGCCCTATTTGTATGTGTTGACCTCCAAGTCTCTAATTCTAAACTACGAATTTAAGTCTACATGATGTAAGTGAGTGAGTTTTTCACCAATGGTTGAATTCACATGAAATATTTTCATAGGTTTCACAAGTCACTTGAGCCATCCCGAAACTCGCCTAGGCACAACGCCCTGTGACCTTGCATTAACGTTCGTTTGATTTGAACAGGTTTGTTTGCTGATCAGCTCATTGTCAGTAAATATTACATTTCATCTTACATCAGAGTTTAACTGTGTCAAGTTGATTAGATATTTCTAGAGAAGCATGACTCACCATGACATTCGAAAGTAATTAAATGGACTCTTGGCTCATTTTATTTTCATTAGAAAGCTGCGAAGAAAGAAGAACGAGATACTTTAAGATGCATGTGCTATTTCTACTAGCCATCGCCATTGGTATTGCATCAGGTAAGCTTTTTGCATCAACTCGAACGTCTTGCTTTACCAGGGAACGTATCCAACAATTGGCTTTTGGAAAGAAATTGTATGAAAGAGAATTTGGGGGCACTTAGGACGACTTCCTTTGGAAAGTCGTTGTTGCCACTCCCTGGAAAGTTCTTAATTGTCATACTTTTTAAATTCTTGAGGGATGTGGGAACTCTCTTTTTGTAAGCTGTAAAAATCACCAAACTACATCAATTTGCATATCTTTTACTTTCTGCACAGACATTTTAACACAGCTGGCATACCTTGGAAGTGAAAACTTGCAGACTTTCGTCGAAAAGCCCAATGACATTGAACAAACGCCCCAAGGCCCATGCCCCCTTGGACACGTTACTATGCCTCCCTCTCCTTGATGTGTTCATGTATATGGACGTAACGCTTTGTAGTGAGATTTTGCTCCTCTTCTACTCTTAGCATGATATATCAGAGAGTTCAATACACAACTGCTTGTTTTCTACCAGTGATGGGAAATTAGGCTCGAAGTTTATTAACGTTTTGTTGATTTGTGCCTCAGCTGTTTTTTAAATGTTTCTTAAGAAGGAACATTTAGAGAAAGTCTGTAACCGCAGCTTGCGGATTAAATTTCTGTGCCTGTTTACGCTCTTAGCATACAATAAAGAAGCTACAATGCATGTCATACTGCAACAGATTCTATTTGCTCTACTTGAGATTTATTCTGTTCTTCTATAGATTTTATTCGATGACATTGGACCTATTTTTTCTTCCCTATCCTTCTATCTGAGCCTTGGAGTTTTTCTTATATGTTTCTTTTCCATTTTTCTGAAATAAACGTGCAATCAATTTATTCATTGCTTTTTCCTTCCCCTATGCTGTCCTTAGGAAGAGAACTTCAGATCGAGGGCTTAGCTCGTGGCAAAATACGTTCTTGTAGTTTTTGCAGATATTGTTTTTATTGTTTTTGCAGAAGTCCGGACATTAGAGGCTAAAGCAAAAGGTCCCAAATTGGCCTTTTGCAATTGTTTTTGCCATATTTCTAGGTAACCCCTTAGTTTTTTCCATCCCACTTCACCCCTTGCGATACCCCTTTTGATGTTTACATAAAAGTGTGTAATCTTCCGCGCACTGCATTTGTAGCTCAGAAGGCTCATAACACTTGCCAAAGAAAATACAAGAAAGTCAATTGTTACAATGAGAATTTTGCTTTCGTGCATCTCTTTTCCGACCGCTCACTGTCGGCTCATGGCAACAAAGGTCATCTCATTGATTGGGATCACTGGGAAACGTACATTCACAGGTAAGAGTGAGATACTTCTTCTGTTTCCATGGCGGCGCCAGCCACTAGGCTCTGTGAAAGACAATAAAAATTTCTAGGCTACGCCCTTTTTAGCACCAGAAGACGCTCTTTTACCAACAAGGAACACCAGTTTTACCCATAAGGAACGCCTATGACTAACTTTTGGTTACGTAAAGGCAGTTTGAGAATCATAGGTGCTTGAGTCAAAGGACCTCTTAAATAAATTTTATATACCAAACCTTTTGCCCAGGTGTGTTTTAAGAACAGTTAGGAAGCAACGAAAATGACTTCATCTTGCTTAAACTTTCTATGTCTTTCCATTTCTCATTATGATTATTCATGGGATGATTTTTCAATAAAAATATTGATTCATCTGAAAATATTTTAAAATTTTCCTTGATTGCATCGTCCGAAGGTAGATTATTTAATTGAAGGCCTTGTTATTAAACAGTGGCCTGGTCGTTTCACTCTCTGTGCCTGCATCTCATGATTTATACACCTGAAATCACAGAGAGTTGCTTACCTAATCCATTTTTTTATTACAGGCTCCTACGCGCGTTAGAAAGTGGGGGGGAGGGGCAATGGTGAATTTAAGGACTTTTGATTTTGTAATAGAAAATGAAGAGCATTCTACTTTCTTCTTGCAAAAAAGTGGTGGACACATAGGCGTAAACTTAGGGGGGGCTCTGGGGCTTCAGCCCCTCCTGAGGAAAACCGAGGGGGGCTGAGCCCCCTCTGGAAAATAAGGAAGTGCTTCACCAATTTTTAGATTAGTTTGTTATATTATTGGTTCCACGTATAAACATTTTGGGTGCCTAAATAGAACTGATGATCTCAACCTAAAGAAACTGGTTATGATTTAAAAATACCCTTTCATCATCTCATGTGTGTTTCTTCTTCCTCGATAATGAAAAATGCACGAAAAAATCACCATAAGCCCTTAGCGAATCCATTTTCTATCTTGTGACTCCAGCAGCTGCCATTAGGAATTGTCATTAATTTTTTGAGCCCCCCCCCCCCCCCCCCCAAGTCTACGCCTATGGGTGGACATCTACCCCTCTGGCATCCAAGCTTTCTGATTCCCCGTCTTTGTCTTGCCTGAGCAATGACGCAATTTTATGATCGGTGTTTGATTCCAGGGAAAAAACTGCCTTAGCTTCTTACCCCAAAAATCAGGCTGATACACCTGTCATACAATCGAATGACTGTGTGACAGGGCATTTTTTAACATATAAAGTGGTGGGGAAATTCCCCACTAGCCCCTTTCATTGCCCCACCAGTGGAATATGTTTGCCCCACCACTTAAGTGCCCTTATGATTCGGTGACTTTTTTACTTTTTACTTTATTTGAGATATTTGTGGATGAAATCTTCATTGAACAGGTTTCAAATCTCAATTCATTTTTCCCTGGAACTGCTGCTTCTATATGTGATTCCTTTTCTAATTCACAAAGTCTATTTTTGAAAGCCTGTTTATCTGTAAATTGTTAAAGGTGTCATTTGTCAGTGGAAAATTCTTAAAAAATGCCCTGCTGTGTGAGAAGAAGTGAGACAGGAGAAGGCAGGAGGAAGTATGTTACGGGATATAGGCAGGAGGAGAAACGAGTACCAGGGGACAGAGATGGGAGGGGAAAACGCATAGAATATCGCGTGACTCGTGCTGCAAAATATGACGTGACTCGAACTGCATCACTGTGCTTAAACAAATATGCTAGGGCAAGGCCTCGTAGAAAATACCACAAGGCAATTTGCAAGTAGCTAAGGTAACTTGATATTCACAGCCTACTAAGGATATACGTATGGGACCACCCGATTCTAGAAAAGGGGGATCTGCGCACTTTCCCCGCGGCTATTAACTCGAATTAAGCGATTTATTCCCATTTAAATCCTTAAGATCGATTTAGGTTTCAGCAGTCAAGACTTTTGTGATTATATTTCAAAAACCGGCTTAATATCGTACTGCATGGAATAAAAAAACACAGTCAATTTCTCACGACAGCTACCGCTAAGCATGCTGGTTGCGCAAGAACCTTTAACTACTTCCATAGATTAGCAGAAAATATTCAGTCCAAATTGAATTATAGGTTAATCGAGAATTCTTAGGTACGGCAAACTGAGAGAATATTCAACTTCAATGTTTAGAAATCTTTAGTTATTTTCTTACATTCCCTCATAGCCTGGCATGCAGATGCAATGATGAAGCTTTGAAAAATGGTTACGAATATTTTACATTGCGATTCTATGGTCTCTGTCTTGGTGCAACGAGGAGCGCATCTTCCGCGTCTTCAATACAGACAGATTGTCTTGGTCCTGGGTACCAACCATGCGTCAATGAAGCGAGCACGGAGTGTGTCGGGGTTTCTGGATCAGATTACCTTTATGAAACTGGTATGTGATGCTATTATGTATTATTATAGGCCCATTTCTGAACTGAAATAATTTGAATAAAAGTGAAAGGGTTTAAGCTTCCAAAACTTTAAAAACTCCAGGTAACACCTGACGTGTTTTTCCTGCGTTAGAATGAAGAAGTTCTTGTCAAGTCATTCTTATGAATGCATTGCAAATGAAATCCATCCTAAAAGCCAAAGAGTCCCAGATGTAATTTTTACTCGATATTTCTTAGATAAACTGCCTGTTTACCATCTTAGACGCAGTCATCTTGAAATGCGTTAATCCTTGAACATTAACCGTTAATATTTCCTTTTATATCCTTGCTCATAATAACTTGCAAAAAACATAGTATACAAAACGATACCACAGAGAGCATGGAAGTTCATAATAATTCTGTGACCAATAATAACAATTAACTCAAATTTACATTAATTCTGAGGGAAGTCTGGGGTTTGAAGAATACTTAACACTGTATGCTGACATGTCAGTTATGTTATGCATTACTCAATCACTCTTTTGGTACAAAACATCAATTAGAAATATATCATAAAGCTATCAAAATTACAAAACAACAGAATAAATCAAGAAAGGGTAAGAAGGTCGTCAAAAACGATGCGATGCATGGCTATTTTTAAACGTAGCCTTCAAAATTTCAGTATTCATGTCACTTTTTAGAAGTTTAACACAATACAAAATAACTTTAAGAGAGCTATACCTTAGCTGTACCTGAAGCAAATCTTGCGCAGCGTGATGAGACGAGAGCCATTATTTCCAACCCTCAAGTTCCTGGTTTTCGTTTTCTAGGAAGGGATGGCAACTACACTAGCTGGAAAGAATCATCTTGCTCTAAGACGTGTGGTGTAGGGGTGATAACAAAAGAAAGAACATGCACTAACCCGAGCCCCTCTGGATACGGCAACGATTGCTCAACACTTGGACCAAATAAAGAAACAGTCTCTTGCAATATAAAGCCCTGCTCAGGTAAACTTTTGGAGGTTATACGAATTTTAAGCCTCTCTGCGAGGTAAACTTTTAAGCAGGGGCGTAGCGTGCGGGGCATAACGGGAGGGTGTCACACCCCCCAACTTTCAGAGAAATTATCGGTAGATTTGCATTCTTAACAAAAGAATCCTATGCAAAATGTAACAAAAAAATTTCTGATGGTAGAATATGGTTTTGAATCTCTCACAACCCTCCCCCTTCCCCCAGGGAGAAAGGTCACGCTAAGCCAATGCTTTAAAAAATGGAATCCCTGTTGTGTTTTGCCGAAGTCAAAGATGAAGAGAAGAGGTAGTTCTTAGGTCGCTGAGAGGGTATCAAATTCTGGCATCTAAAATCAAACTTTGTGAGTGAGAGCTTTGAAAATAATATTGAGTTTCCAAGAGGTTACTATTTTCACGCAAAAACTTGATTCTTGGTAGTCAGAACTGAACTTAAGCGCTATCAAAATAACGATAATAACATGATAAAGTTGTGTTCACCCTTACAAAGCAATTTTCTAATTTCGCATTTCTTTGTTTTACTTGCTTCGAATATTTTGCGCAATACATTATTTTACAGCAACACAGTCTTAAGATGGAGCGCTTCTTTGTTGATGTTGTGAGGAAAATGCTGGCCTAAGTCACTCTGACTTGCCAATTATTATGCTCAAGATGTTCGTGTAATTAAACGGCTTGAAAGGCCACAATTTCAAACATAATCTGGATGTTCTACCTGTGTTGCAGAGCCCGTTTCCAACTATATCGATTTAAAAACGATGGCCGAAGCTTAACTCGAATCCTTTTTTTTCAAAACGCGTGCGACTCTCAAAACTCTTACTCCCTACCTCCCCTTGATCACTTGATCTTACGTCAACAGTAACAAAACGCTATTTTCTACAGATGTCTTGTTTAATGCGTCTGTTCGCACCGTGCCAGTAAATAGTTTTTACAGAATAACAACTTTCACGATTCAACGTAAATGATGACAAAGTTTTGAAATTGTTTTAGTTGATGGTGGTTGGTCCGCCTGGTCAGATTTTACTTCATGCAGCCACTCTTGTGGAGGAGGGAACAAAACAAGGACAAGAAGTTGCGATAATCCAGCACCGGTTGGCGGAGGCAAGGAATGCGAAGGAGCGCCAGTTGATACAAGATCGTGCAACCCTGAGCTTTGCCCTGGTGAGTGTTGTCCAGATAGAAAAGTGCTTACGAATTAAGATTTTATTTTCAAAGATGGCTTGAATACCATGAAATTTTAATGTGTATGTAATCATGCCTTTCTAGAAAAGTGACGATTAATTTTGACGATTCAACGGAAATGATGACAAAGTTTTGAAATTGTTTCAGTTGATGGTGGTTGGTCCGCCTGGTCAGACTTTACTTCATGCAGCCACTCTTGTGGAGGAGGAAACAAAACAAGGACAAGAAGTTGCGATAATCCAGCACCGGTTGGCGGAGGCAAGGAATGCGAAGGAGCGCCAGTTGATACAAGATCGTGCAACTCTGAGCTTTGCCCTGGTGAGTGTTGTCCAGATAGAAAAGTGCTTACGAATTAAGATTTTATTTTCAAAGATGGCTTGAATATCATGAAATCTTAATATGTATATCATCATGCTTTTCTAGAAAAGTGATTCTTCCACTAAAGCTTTACAAAAGTACATGTTGCTACTCTATTTCAAAATTTGGATAAATTAAAGTTACTGAGATGAATTTCTTTATCTGCAGGTCCAGCTGGTGTTGCGAAGGCACAAGAAATGGTTAAAAATTTTCTAACGAATTTTTTTAACACGACTTTCCCCACAAAAACTCCATCAGGTGAGCTTAATCGAAATATCACGAAACCAGAGAAAATGCGCAACCAACTATGCCTTGTTTATTTCTTTGAAGTTCATTCAATTGTGTGAGCAAAAACACCTGCGCCACACTGCTCTTCTCTCCTCTTGATACCCAGTAATTTTTTTCAATTTGCGATCGCTCTAAGTTCAACCTTCTTCTTGGTACTTCAGCCCTTTCCTATCTTGACAAAAGGTGTCATGGGACGTACCTGGTCTGACATAGAAATATGTGAATTCATTTCTGGCGAGTAATTTTTTCTGGTAAAAATCTGTTGCTGATGCCTCAGAACTGTATGCTTTGTTGATCCTAACCAGCATTAATTGATTATCAGGAAAATCAGCTGTTACTAACTTGAACTGCAATTCAAATTTACATAATTGTTGCTCATACATTCTGGATGTCGCTTTAACCTTTTTTCAAGAAAAGATGGATGCTTCTCGAATGGGAAAGTCTGTTCTCTAAGTGATGGAAGTATGTCGGGTCAATTAAGGCTAAGTTCGCAAGAAAACAGCCTTTCTAGTACAATTAAAATTGGCTGTAAAAAATTCCTACAAAATTATTTTCCCAGGAAAGTTTCACAAAGCTGTTTTTGAGATTCAAAAAGTTGTAGCCAATGAATTTGCAACTGGAACTACGAATGAAAACTTGGAGCAAAGGCTGAAGGATTTGGAAGCGTTTCTGAAGGTGGCAACAAGAGGAGGCAGCATCGATTTTGCTAGAGCCACTTTGGCAAAGGGTCTGTTTGTTGTCATGCAGGTATGTGGTAAGGAGTTTCACCCTGAAGCAATATACATATGACCTTCAGTAGATATTTTCACATGACTAAGAGTTTTATTGCACATGAAACTGTTACTGATAAGATCATGAAACATTCGGGGATGTGGTCTTAGGAAAGACCAGCTCTTGACACAAAATTTACTGATTTTAGCAAGGAATGGAATAGTAGCAAGAAGAGAAAATAGACCATTAGTTATGACCGTGATTGACTCTCCTTCATCATAACATCGTTTTGGGCTGATTTACACTGCTGTCTATTCCATTTCAACATCAAATTGACAATATAGTTTTACAAAGTACAAATATATCGGCATGGGTATGTTAAAACGAGCATTGCTCTGCGATATGAATTTTCACCTGTCTTGCGTTGAATATGTAGGTAGTGATAATACATAAAGGTTACACGTAACATTTTTTCCATGAATCAAGGACATGGATATCGTCTTTCTCCGTGATAAACGTACAGTCATTAATTCCATATAAACAGCTGAAAAAATAAATTTTCTGCGTTGAAATATTCAGAATAATTTAGCAACCTGATAGTAACATGGTATAAGATTTTTTCCGATGCCGTCGGAGCACGGACCCTGGATTTTTTCCCTCAACCCCCCTCTCGAGGCTCCTGAATGAAGTACAAATATCCCTGCAAAAGCTATGTTAACATGACCTTGGTTTTTGGGGTGAATTTTCACTTGTCCTCAGTAAAATATGTAGCAATTGTAATCTATCTGGTTTAACAAGTAACTGTACAGACAAGCATACTGTTATCATTAGGGTTCTGTGCTTAATACTAATAATAAGAGAAATTCTTAAACAGGGTAAACCTTGTCAGTGTTACAAGTACTGTTATCATTAAAGGTCCTGTTTAAATTAAAACTTAAATTAAAAAAGATAAGTAAAATTATACAGGGTGAGAAGCCTAAAATGTCGTGACGATGGCAACAAAGGAGAATAAATAAATGAAAGTCAGTGATATAAAGGCGGTAGTAGAAAGTGACTGTAACAAGCGATACTTTTTAAGACCATAACTTCATAGCCAAATGTTTGAAATATTTTTTAAAAGCTGGTTTTAAGCCCATATCTTGTCGTCTGCAATTTTGAAAAACCAGCTTAGTTCTCTGTAAAAAGAAGAAATATCATACTTCTCTTTACAGTGGTGTGCAAGGAATTGCCGAGATTTAAAGACCTTTTACTTACCTTTTAAATAATTCAACTGGCAAATCCTTCTCTACGAAAGCTGCAAAACCTGGCCTAACAGCCAAACAAATGTCCGTTATACCCCCTCTTCCAGTCTCTGCTTGTACAATGTTGGACATTCTTGTCTTTACAGAAAAAGATTGAAGAAGGCTTACCGTATGACCAGATCACAATAGCAACCAGCGACTTCTTGAACTCAGTTAAAAAACAGATTGGTGACACGAAATTCGCAGAGCTGATGTTGCTAAATGATGACGCATCCCTTATCTTCGCCTTTGACACAACGGGCAGCATGAAGGATGAGATTCAGGCTGCCAAAGGGATTGCAAATGCAGTCATACAAATGGTCAGAAAATTCCCTGTAGACTATATTCTGTCACCTTTTAACGACCCAGGTGAGGCAAAATATTTCGTTGATTCCACTGAGACGATGTCTCTCTTTTAAAAATGAAGTAAAACCAATAAGAAATAAGCTGACAATGATTTCTGTTTGTTTTTGTTGGACTCTGGTGGATTTCTACTATCCCTAAAGATTTAAAAGCCCTTTTGTCTAAAGGACAGGGCAGCAGCAGACGGACAGTTGTCCCTTGCACTAATTTCTTAAATATGCTTATGAATTAGCATTTGAATTAACTTTTCTCCCAGCTCCAGAAGATTTGGAATTTACATTTATTGGAAAAATAACTCTATATCTCGCTATGATATAAGATTGAAAATCTTCGATTCAATTATCCTTCCCTTCAATGTTTCAATCTCTTCTCTTTTTCATATTATTCAGTTATACTTGAAGTAATGTCTCGATATTCAGATAAATCACAAATACCCATCCTTATTTCAATTCTATTCGCTAATATATAAATACATCTTGACGGATTTTGGGGTATTTGGATAAAAAGCATCTCTTCCCGGGACAATTAGAGTTTAGACCACAAACAAGAGTTTAGACCTATTTTATCTTCATAGTGGGGTTTTGACTTGCAACCATAGAATGTTGTGTAGACATTCATTTCTCCATTGCAGAGTTTGGTCCAGTCACGTACAAGAATGACTCAAACAAAGCAGAGTTTTTAACAGCAATTTCCTCACTGGTGGTTAGAGGTGGCAGAGACTGCCCAGAGATGGCCTTTTCCGGAATGCTGTCGGCCTTCGATAAAGATCCGAAGCTAGGCTCGCCCATGTTTGTCTTCACTGATGCAAGTGCTAAAGATGATACACCCGAAAATATGAATAAGCTTAAAACATTTGTTGATCAATATGCAACTCCAATCAGCTTTTTCACCAATCAATTTGGCTGCGGAGACGCTAAAGGTACGTTGGCACAAAATATATTTTGAACCAACGGGTCTAGTACTTGGCCATAGGTGAGAGGGTCATCTGTCCCGGGTCATAAGTCGTGGGTCATAAGCATCCGGTCATATGTACATCCGGTGAAGCAAAACATTGTTTACCGACTCTTCCATTAGATTCGACTTTTCTAGACTTTTCTGTAATTTTAAGCTACAACACAGTAACTTTTCTTATTTGATTATTTACAAAAAATAATAATTAACAATGTTTTTAATTGCTATTTTAATTACAAATTTACAATAAAATAATTCAATTTTGCATACGTTGCATGTACAGGTCAGTTTTTGAATTAATCTTTTGAATTGGATCGGGTTTTGTTCAGATTTTTATTCCTGTGGTGAGCTATTCCAAATTTATTGTTCGAAGGACCTAAAACCGTTTGAGCCGTTGTTTGATTGGGCCTGTAGTGCTACAGGTCTTGTGGACGACGTGAAGGTCGATCAGAGGTTCTTAGTTCTTAATTTCTTAGTTAGATCAGAAATTCGAAAATATGTTTGCATGAATTCAGGATTGAACCTTTTTACAGCCTTAAAAATTTTCATACAGAGACACCTTAGCCGACTTACATACATTGTGCATTCTTGTGATTTGCAAAGCAAAGCTCCATCAGATGAATTATGGTCATTGTGAAGAAAACATGGGGCTTTTTCCTGTGTTTTTTTTATCTTCTCCACCCGAAGAGAAAAACTACACTAAAGGGTAATAGTTAAGGCAGTGGTGGCGCCAGGGGTGGAGGGCTAGGGGGGGCTACAGCCCGTCCGTCGGAAGCATCTAGCCCCCCCATCGGAGAAAATTTTAGGTTATTATCGGAGCAAATTTGACAAAAAAACGTACGAAAAATGCTTATTTTAGTCATTTTAGCCCCCCTGTCGGAAGCTCCAGCCCCTCTGTCGGAAGATTTCTGGTGCCACCACTGAGTTAAGGTAAGAAAAGACAAAGCTTTGGACCAGTAACTTTTTCTCCTCCAAACCAATGAAAGATTTGTGACTGTCAAAATTTAATTTGTGATCTATAGTTACACCAAGTAACTCCACTGAAGCTTCAGAATATAGAGTGTAACTTCACTGAAGCTTCGGAATATAGAGTTTTCCCTTTCTTGTGGTTCAACAAAATCACGCGGCACATGTGACAAAGAATACCTAAGTCTCTATTATTTAGTCTCAGGAATATAGTTTGAAACTAGTCACAGAAAAATTCCTTCCCTTCATCTGCATCCACTTATTCTTTGCCATCGCAGCTGCCTACAATACTTTACTCTTGAATTCATGAGGCTCTGATTATCAAGGGTAAGAATTCCACGGAATTATGTCATTAGGGCCATTGCTAACTATTATCTTCAACAGGATTTTCCGCTTCTCAATTGACGATATAGTGGGTATAACAATTTAATCCCGCTTTGCTTCTTATTAATCTCTAAGAAGAACGCAATGAGGACAACCGAACTCAATTCATAAAACACAAAAACAAAACATAACATGTGGTTATAAGTCATACGTTAAAAGTATATGGGGGCGTGGTAAGCAGTCTTGAATATAACAGTGGGTGAGCCATCAAAAATTTGCAGAAAAGATAGAGGAATTGCCAATGAAATAACCCTGAATGGCAAGATATTTATTTTTTATGAAGAATTATTGTTTCTCAATATAGTAACGAAGTATAACGCCATCAAATTGCAGTTAAAAATTTCATGATTTGACCTCATGGTCAGAAAGAAGGGCATAAAATATCTCTCTGATAATAAGATATCAAAATCAGTAAGATATACTCAAAATTTGGTGAGATATGGGCAATGAAAGATAACAAATTTGCTAACGGATAACTGTTATTCTGGCCTGGTTCTTATAATTACGAACCAAGACCAAATTACAGAGATTTGATGGGGAAAAAGCCTGTGCTTATGTGGCCATATCTTAACCAATATGTAACACGGTTTAGCCGATTCGACACATTTAGTGCCATTTCATACTGCTTGCTCGAGCTATATAGTCAAACACGAACAATTCTAAAAATAGATTTTTGTGACGCTATTACTTCGGTACTCTATTTGGGTGCATAACGACGGCTCTGTTGCCAGCCAATCCTACGCTAATGTCTCTTTCCCTAGCAGATAATCTTCCTTAAAAACTTAAAGCTCTCTGCTGATGTAATGTGGTTGTTGTTTCAGGTATCAACAGCTACAAAGAGATTGCGTCATATTCATCAGGCCAAATTTTCCCGCTTAACAGCCACTCAGAGATCTCAAGTTTGACAAACTACGTGAAAACAAGTTTGCGATCCGGCGTGATCATTGCCAAAGGAGCATTTACACCTACGTATGGTCGCAAAAGGCGTTCCACCAATGAGCACGTCTTCCATGTTGAGTCCCATATCGATACTCTTCTGGTTTCCTTAGATGTTTTGGTACCGAACTCAGCACGGCATGCCAAGTTGAGAGATCCACGTGGGGTACTGCACAGTGCTGAATCTACAACCCTATTCACACGTGTTTTCAACATCGATAAGCCGGTCCCTGGACCATGGTCGTTATCAATTCCATTGCACGCTGGCTCACATGAGTTTACTGCAAAGCTTTTCTCTGACAAAGCTATCGATTTTGACGTATACTATCTGCACCAAGAGAAAGATACCTGGCCTGTTGTAGCTGTCTCAAATCCGCTTGCAGGTAGCGCTAAATATTGATGTAGTATTTGAAATTAAAAACAATTATTGTTATTGTTATCCTAGCGCTACAGAAGCAAGGTGTTCTCCACTGCAGTTATTAGCTCTAAGTTTAAAGGTTCTACCAAAGTTCAAACCGGAACTTTTGAAATCTTTTCTGTTGCATAATTCTGATATTCTAGAAATATAGGATTCTCTTTAATTTTTAAATCACAGTAAACAAGGTTAATGCTGTAAATGACTGGGTAGGACAAACTAATTTCCCGTAGTTTGACAATCAAAGCCATGTTTCCTAACAAAATGCTCAATCATGCGAAATTTCTCATCTTTAGATAAAGATTCAAATGCATTTTACACTATCTCACATTTTCGATTTGAATGATATGGGAAAATGCAAGCAAAATGTTTGTGGATTTTCCAATGAAGCATGTTTGAAAATATTTTAACAATGAAGAGCAGCCTATATTTGTACCTGTTTTTTAAGCAAAAACTTATTCATTCCCTTTATTTTTCGGAAAATTCAGCTCCAAAGTCATCTATGGTGCTACAGGTATCTGGTCTGGATCAGGTAAATCGTGACTCACTGCGTGTTTCCATCGTTAACGAAGAGGGGAAGACAATCAAAGGGAACATCGGGTTATCCTCGATTGTTGGGACAATGTCTGGGTTACTGGCAAAGTTCGACACACCAGAAGGGAAGTTCAAAGTTCTATTTTCAGGCATAACAAATGATGGAGAGAACTTCCAAAGACTGTCGCGTGTTTCCTATGAAAAAACAGTCGCTGCTCTCTTGTTGCTTAAAGCTGGAAAAGACGGTACGACATCAGCAAGCCATAGATCCTCCTCTATCGATGTCTACGTGTACAACCAAGGAAGTTCCCAACAGTACAGCTTTTCAGCAAAAGCTAATAAGGGGAATGTTACCCCTAATGCTGGCAATCACTTTTTGCAGCAAGGCAAAAACAGTACAGTGAGCTTCACCTACCTCCCTCCTGCGCAGGCAGCATCAATGATCGGCAAACTGGTAACAGTCACCGTCATAGCAACGGGATCTGTCAACAATAAGCAGGTCCAGCTTGAAGTTCCAATGCTAGTTGTACCTTAGATAAATTAGCGGACACTTCTTGTATGATTGATAAAGTCAAACGACTGTATTAATGACGAAATTTAGTGCTCTTGTCACTCATAATTACGCATCGTCGTAAAAACAAGTTGTATTGAGTACTAAGAGAAATATCTTCTAAAGTAGCATCTTAAATATATTATTTCTAGCATTCTCGTTATGAACTTCCATCATGAGTTTTGTCTTCTGTACGGGATATTTCCACTTAAATCGTCACTAGACTGTCATAAGGAGAAAGAAAATTCGAAAGGGAGAAATGAAGGATGGAAATGTTGTTGCAGAAAATCTTTGGCTTTTCCCGTCCTAGATCTGCTCTTAACGATACCAACAGAATGTGTAAGATGATAAAGCATGTATTTTGCTGACTATCTTTTGGCTTCTGCACAGCCTTGTACGATGACGATTCTAGCTGAAACCAATCGCTTGTTTGTCACCCGGCAGCAAATCACTGATTGCTCGACCCGATAAAGAAGTGCAACAATAGCCATCTTAATAGCATAAAAGTAATATATACATGCTACTTCAATTTGGGGGGGGGGGCAAAGGCCCCCGGCTTTCCTGTATTTCGTTCCTTGGTACAGACAACCAATAGGAAACACAGCTGACCAATGACATTGTTTGCAGTGGACGTATGCAATTGTTTGTTTTAACCAATGAAATGAAATTTCCCGATTGCTCCCGGAAAAACTCTGATTGGCCTATTTCGATCCACAACTGGGTGTATATATTTTTCATCGTGTTCTTTCGGACCCTTATTCTGACGTTTTATGCTCTGAGGAATGTCAGACGAAAAAGCTTTTAGCCAATATCTTATAAATGTTTGATTTTGTCTTAGTTTAACCCACAAGTATCAAAAAGTTATATTATTATCCCTTGTATTAGTATGAATGCCTTACATATATAACAAAAAAATAGACTCTGGGAATATCTAGTGTATCATTAAATCAAGTGCTCAAAAGTATTGAATCACAAGAAAAATTCTCACCCATAATTATCGGATGGACCCCTTTGTGTAGAATATTCATAAAGTGGCCTCCCTGCAGTGGCGTACCCAAGGGGGGAATGGGGGGAGGGGGGGTCCGGACCCCCCCATTTTTCTAAAATATGGTCCTCGAGATTTTTCCAAAAACGATGTAAAACTCATTGGGGGGAGGGGGTGTAGTATACTGTTTGCTTGTGTCAATATTAATTGTAAAATGCTTTGCTATTTACCGTAGCTAAGATGAATCAAATAATGGGAGAAAATTTTGCAAAAAGGGCGTTTCCTCGCATTTGCAGCTGCTTGAAGGGCGTGGTCCCAAAAAGATTTCTGGGGGTTGGGCCCCAGACCCCCCCCCTCACTACTGCAGCCCTGGGTACGCCACTGCCTCCCTGGGAAATATAGCGCCATACCATGTGATTGTAAAAGGGATAGGATCCAAACTAAAAGAAGTACTTGACTTGTGTAGGTTAAGGAGGCTTTTTTGAGAAAATCATAGTACGAAATTGAAATAATGCAGCAAGTTCATTCTAATACGATTTTACTGTAATGTTGTCGTTGACACCGACAATTCCATACAACCTTCCAGCTTCATCCCACCTTTCAGCGTTTACTTGGAAAAAAATTCATCCCAACCCGGTGAGATCCCATCTCTCAAGCAGTGGAATCTCACTTTACCAGGCTGGCACGTTTGCCATATAAACGCAAGAAGAAAAATTCAAAGGATTCTAAAGGAGGGTGGGTCTATCAATTCACAGGCTGGAAGGAGGGATGATTTTCTCAATATAAACAGGCCCTATGTGCCATAAGTTTGAGCATCAACTGTTTGGCATTACCAGTGTTGTGTTTCTTTTACGTAGGCCAAGCAGATAAGCAAAATAAAACAGTGATGGATGTATTGTCACAGTCATTGTCTCACTGAAGCATTTTTATCATGGCGGTAAGATGGCCAAAGAAATAGCCTAGGGTTTCATGCCGGTGTCAAATCATTCTGACATGGTACCTAAGGTCCGCGTGTAATAATGTTCTCTTCTAGTTGCTATGCACTGAAAAATTCATTATAGCAAAAAATACCCTAAGAAATTATTGAGTCAACAAAACACTTTGTTGAAGTCTCTGTCTTCTTTTTGGAAGCTGCTGCGAATTATTTTGATGGCAATAGCAGATTGCTTTGGTAATTTCCCGCTCATTATTAGAATGGGAAACGAGGCTGAAATTCCCTTCAATCTTTTCACCAATGATCAAGAAAATTCTTTTTATTAAGTTTCGAGTTCTTTAGCAACAAAAATGTTTTCTCATTTTGCAAACATTACTGGCTTTGTTAGCACCGCTCACTTGGATAAATTGATTATAGCATGATTGGATAACCGCACATGGCTGGTAATCCAGCTTTTAATACCTGCAAGCATTAATTATCTTGCAAGATAAATACTTGCACTAAGATTTAGTCACACTCAAGAGTCGATTAGGTTCTGAACGTGTTTCTTGAATTGTAATTCAAACGAGAATTTGTTTATTTCTCTTAGATCTGCACTTGGAATCGAGGGGCAAATCACTCCAGGAAAATCTCGTACACTTTTTGTGAAAATCCTATTGTTTTTAATGAAAATCCCCATAAATCCTTTTGTTTTAGGGGAAATCCCGTACGCTATTTGCAAGAGTGAAGTGCCCCTCGCTTTGAATCATCCCTTTTTGGGTGCACCTGTTTGGTTAAAGTACTTCTCCATGCGAATGTTAAAGCTTTTCTTAATTTCATTCAACACATTTTACATCATCGTTCTGTCAACAGTTTTTTAAAAGCCAAATTAAACAAGTAGTTACTTGCTAGGCCTTCACCAAGAGTCCGTCTTAGGCTTTTTGAAAATCGCTATTCATTTTCATGGATGGAATCTTCTATGCAGGGGAGGTTCGCAATTCTTTGCTTTGAATCTTATGATATCAAATTAACGTTGGCGAAAATAAAGGAAGGGCAGTACAATAATTCAAATCCAAAAAAGGTTTAGGCGATGTTGCCTGGTCTTAAAAACCACCAAACTTCTTTGAAAATGAAGGACCAATAACAAGCTGCAAAGATATCGTGCCACCTGGTGACACGAAACAAGTTATAGCTTAATGTTCAGAGTCCAGTCTAAAATTGAGCCCATTTGCTAGAGTTGCAAACTATCTAGATCTTCAAAAGCGAAGCTATTGCACCAAAGCGGAGATTTAACAATTGGAGTAGAGGCAAGTCTACCCTGGGTACCAGCCTCACTATGTATAAAATAAAATAGAGTCTGGTACTCTCTATTATTTTATATAGTGAGTCTGGTACCCAGGGTAAGGCAAGTCCAACTGCAAGATAGTGCTTGAATCTATTTACAATTTATTCTTTTGTCTTTTTTTGCACATTTTTTTGCTCTGCTAAGCTAGAAACTTTACCAACTTAGAATGAATCAAATTTCATTGTTAAAGTAACATTAAACTTGTTGAAACAATTTGCTTTCAATTTCCCAGCACTAGAAAGACTTGGTCAAGCAAAATTAAAAGAAGATTTGAATTTAGGAGCAAATAACTTGGGGTGGGGGTCTTAACTACGCCAAGTTTCAGTAAAAATCTGGCTCGCCATACCCATTATAAGGCTCTCTATTTTTCAAATTTGATAGCTGATCAGAGATTGCAATAATGAGGGCCAAAGATGTGCTCAAAAGTATCAGCAACTCTCTCTAAAACGGGTCTTTTGATAACTCAACATAATTATTTTTTTGTTGCTCAGAAGCTGCTTTATTATTTTTAAAAAATGAATATCTAAACTGGATTAAAAATATTTCAATAAAGTGTGTACCACCAGGTAAATAATTTTTGTTAGCACATTCAATCCCAATTCCTGGCAATCAAATCATCTTGTTTTGCATGCCTGTTCGATGTGAGGACAAAGTATCCTTTGGTAGGATCCGCGAGCTCTCCATCAATTGGCTCTGATCAGAACCACCAAGAAGTTTAGAGAGAAGAGGCTATTACCACGTAGCAAAGCTAATACAGTACTCACATTAAGGAATCCTGAGAGCATTTTTTAGCATTTTTAGCAGAGCTAAGGCTGTTTTATATATATCGAGCATCTTTCAATTTTTAATTATTTTGTGTTTGTGGTTTTAATTATCTAGCTTAATATCTTGTTCCTTTTCACCCAAATTCATCAGGCTTTATCTTACAAACTGGCTTTTAAATGTGAGTGATCAAACAGCAGGATGAAGTGATCTGTAACCATTCTCATTCAAACCAACAATCGTCAGAAAAGCTTTGATAAAATTCGGCAAAATATAAATGCTGATGAAATTTGTTCTTGAGTAATACAAAGTGTTTCAAGCAAGCTTTGGCATTCAGTGCTTATAAGTCAGATTACATAGAAAATATATACACCAATGTACTTCATACAAAAATTGGCTTTTAGGAGGAGCGATTATTGAAGAGAGGCGTTTTATAAGAGAGGAGTATTTATTGATAAAGATTTTTTGCAAGATAAAACCATTCTTTTCGAATTAAACCATGTTAAATCTGAAAATTTCAAAGCCTATTCAAATGTAAAAAATTCATCCTCTTCTATCTAAATCGATTTCACTTGATAGATTCTCCCCCACTTTGGAATCTCCTACTTCAAAATAATCCTTCTTCTCGTTGTCATCGAAAATTGTGACTCTTTCAATTGTTCATAACGTGCACGGCACGGCCTATTTTCCTCTTTGATACGTGATGTTTCTTTATCAGCCTGATCATTAGTCCATAGGAACAATGTGCAACATTAAAATGATTTTATGATGATGCCTTTTCCAACATTACTTATTAAAACGAAATAAGACACACCATTTTTCTAATAGTAATCCTGGGCGTTTCTTGGTGGTAAGGCGATTATTCAACAAAATTGGATTTATGGTTAGTGCTTATTGGGGAGGAGCGTTTAAGAGATGGTATACACTAAGTCAACTTATACAAGGAGTAATTTTATACAAGAAGTCTTCTTATATACACCAAGTGTTAAGGTGCTTTAAATAAAGATTGTCATTCAGAAAGTGCGGGAAAAATTAAAATAGCCTTGGGTTTCAGAAGGGACACTTATTCAAAAAGTCGACTTATATAAAAAGTCATCTTATATTGTAAACCGAGTCAAACTGTGTACCAATGTTTTCTATTCATTAGTATAGGGAATAGAATGTGAGTGATTTGTTGTACCACGCGAGCGAACGAAGAGACACATGAATGGCATCGTTTAAAGCACAGTATGGACTTAGATTGGCAACCCAACAATAAGTCTTTGAACTTTTGATTTGAATGGCCTTCACAGGCTGGGTCTCTAGGTAACTGAAAAATGTTTTCCTGAATGCACTTGCAGCAAATATGAAAATTTTTGCTTTAATATCAAAATTTCAAGTACAAAATGTTTGCTTGCAATTCTATTATCAAATAAGGAAATATTGAATCTGATCTTGGCTTGATTATAACATGTCTTTATCATCACATGAATTCATGCTGTTAATTGAATGAGAAGTTTGTTAAGAAGAAAAGCAAACAAATAATCTTGACGCTCCTATAAATTGCAATGCATTGGCTTTTCTTGCACATTCTTGGAGCTGCTTCAATAAGAAGGTTTTGTACAGCCCAAAGGTGAGAGAAAATCTGAGATTCTTTTAGATTGTGTTCTCTTTTTGATTGAACTGTAACACTTTTAAACTTATTAGGAATATTCACTGCCATGATGGTTATTCTATTAGTAAATCATATTTTATAGAGTATCTTTATCATATGTAATTCATGATATTATTACTATAAACATTATAATTCGGTATTTTAACATATCTAAATGAGTTTTTAAATATGATTGAAGCCTAATTTCCAAGATTACAAGCCGATAAATAAAAGTTGACATTTAGAAAATGTGGCAAAAATAAAAAATGGTGTGGTTATCAGAAGAGACACTATTTGCCAAAAAACGCAATATTTTTTTTAATCAAATGTTTGGTGCTAATGAATATGACTAATATTTGACGCTGCTGAAAATTCTTCGAAGAGTTCTAATCAATCTTATCTGGAATTTCAAGCTGACTATCTATCAACTTTTTCGTCCGCGTGCGAGCTGCGCCTAAATAGGTCGCCATTGGCTTGAACAATCTAGTTAGCGCGCGTGAAGCGTCTCGGAAGAAAGCTATTGCCGAACTGAACAAAATTAATTTACCGTCGAAACGGATCTGAAGAAAATCACGCGCGTAAGATTAGCTTCACCGCCCCTTGCGGACGTCACCAGTAGAAGGTTCTCTTCTAGATAACTCCTCTGATGAAAGTAGTAAGATACACCTAATTTTTTTAAATATATGCATGGTGCAATGGTAATTGATATCGTCGCACGTTGCTAAAATCAATTCAAGTTCGCAGAAAATCTCTCAAAATGACCCAGTTCGTCGAAATTAGAAAACAGAGCTTGTACGAGTTTTCAATTATCAAGACTTCAGCAGTTACACAGGCAACGCAGAGCGTCGAGAAAAGAGGGGGTTCTAAAAAAGTAAAGGGGTCTAACAAAGTAGAGGGGCCAAAACCCCAATAAAAAGAGGTTTTACTGGTAGTTTATTACTTGATATTTGGCATTTTTTGCTAAAAGTGGAGGGGCTAAAGCCCCCCAGCCCCCTGCTTTGCGGTGCCAGTTATAGTTATTTGATTAGGATTATTTTTGAAACCAAGTCCGTATCTGTAACTAAAACTAATAGGAGCGCAAAAATGGGGAACTGGGAAAATGGGTATCTACTCCCTAGCCAAATGTATGGAAACCGTCTGATGGAAAGATGATATATCCTATAATATAATGAAAAGGTCCTGTTTCCTCTGCAACAATATCTGATTTGTTCGAAGAACTTCAATATTGAAATATCATTCAACATAGAAAACACATTAAAAAAACATTGGCTGATGGAATGCATTAAGTACAGAAAGTGCTCTTGAAATCATTAGAATCATGAATGCAGCAGAGGTGCAATGAATTATGAAATAATCAATGATAATCAAACCAATCCAAGTAAAAATCGTGAAGTATATCAATTTTATATACCACCGTGATTACATTTAGGAACGTTGAATAAACAAACTTATTCAGTGATTATGGAGTGTATTTACAAAATTCCTTGTGATCATATAAGTAGTAACTATGGTGAGTATCTGAATTGAAAAGGCCGTGTGTGAATTTTTAGAGTTGCAGTAGATATGATGCTTCGCAGCGACTCACAAACCAATACACAAACTAGAAGTTGATTAGTGTCAATAGGAATCCAAATAGGTATTCGTTTCAATATCTGTGGTAATCAATAGAAAGTTTGTTTGAATCAAGTATACATCCAACAGCATGGCCGTATCTACTATTGCTTTTGAAGAGCTCGTGCCCTGAAAATCTTTTAAATTAAACAGTTTTGTTTCCAATCCTTTGAGTTCTTTCTTTTTCTCCAAAAATTGTGCTCCTCCAATATTTCAATTTTTCTCTACGGTACTTCAAATGAGCATCGAGGTTCACGGAAACAGCCAATATGAAGAGTAGAAAATACTGCAAAATAAAAGAATGTTATTGACTCTATACAGTACTTTGGCAATATAAAAGTAACTCGACAAAGAGGTGTGGTCCCCCCCAATTCAATGCGCGGTGAATACTTCGCAGCGTAGACATGACGTCAAAGCGCTAGACGTCGACTGCATCAAGTTGACAACTGTCCGACAACTCTACTTACATTCACAAGAGAAACGACTAGATTCTAATAGTTTCCTCTACTTCTTGTTCATAAGCCATAACCTTCAGGATTCAAATTCTCTCGCTTTTGTGCAAATATGGTGCTAATACCTTTGTGGTGGCAGGGAGTGGACAAGAAAATCCTAGGCTGATGCACTTGGCATACCTTAGACCCCCCTCACATGAACAATTTCAGGCCGGTCTGAAACTCAGATCAGCTTGAAATTTGATGGAGCGTGCTAATTTGACTCCCGCTCACATGAACATTTTCCAACCGGCTTGAAATTCAACAGGCTTTCGCACATCCGCATTTATTGCAAATTCAGTTCAAAACAAACATGGCGCAAAATAATTAATTTTATATCAGTATTGAACTCGATTTTGGTTGTTTTAGTCTCTGCTTTGCAACTTCTTTTTGTTTTGCTTCCTCAACTTATATCTCAAATAAGCCATCTTAACCAAAAAATCGTTTTTGCTAAAGAAGAGAAAGTCGTGTTTTGTGCAGATACTGAGAGTGTTAGAATCAATTCAATGGTCAAATGGCACCAAAATCATTAAGCATGCATCCCAGAGAGCAGTTTATTTTTCTCCACGAGTTTCATTTCGCCCCGATTTGAAATTCTTTTCTGCACACATGCGGATTTCAAGTCGACCTGAAATTTCAGACCGACCTGAACAACCGAAATGAACTCAGGTCGACCTGATTTTCATTTCGTCCTCTCTCATGTGAGCACCTCAAGGGCTCAGACCGCAGACTGAAATGAACTTCAGGTCGATCTGAGTTCAGACCGACCTGGAATTTCTCATGTGAAGGGGGTCTTATGGAAAAACACAATCCAGATGTATCTAAATAAGGAAATGAGAAAACGTAGACCAGCCGAAGAAAGGATAGCCTAGAAAGACTAGGGCAGTTTCCTTATCTCTTAAATAGATGATTGTTTCTAGGAAACCTGAATCCCTTCACAAAGAATTTTTGATACCTGGGTTTAATTTTGCACTGATATGTCGGCCACTTAAAGACACATTTTATTTAGCTGCCAAATTTGTCTTTCCAAAGTTCTTTACCATGGAAACACTCCCATTCCTGTTTCATTTTAATTGATCTGCATTAGTTTCAGAGCAGTTTGTTTAAGATTGCTAGCTTGCTTCTCAAAAATTTACACGACGACTATATTGCACAACTTTATTTTGTATAGCATCGAGAACTATGCAACAAATCGGCTTAAAGTTATTTTCCTTGCAACTTACATATATAAAAATATCTAATTACATCTTATTTACATATTATTTCATTCATGTCAGAAAACTAACGGTAATAGAAGTTGAAATGCTTTCTTGAGAGTTTTCTTCAAACGTATACTGTTTAAGTGAAATATAATGTGAATGTGCCGCGGTAGCCGAGTGGTTAAGGCGCTCGACTGCCATGCCAGCACTCCGGGTCCGATCCCTGCTCGCGGACGGCCCTCGGTTCACTCAGCTAAAAATGAGTACTAGTTGAAACATACTAGGGAGGTAAAAGCGGCGTGGAAAGGAACTGGCTACCCTACCACACAATGCCGTGGCCCAGGACGATGCGCCCCCAACAGTGCATCCCCCAACGTTCGATATCGAATACGGGACCCAAAAAAAAATTGAATATGAAATGTGAATGTGTAAAATCAATTATAATGCTCATGTCTGAAGGATAATCCCATATATATACGATGGCAAAAACCAAAATATGAGTGATAACGTAAGATTAAAAGCACTGCCGCTTTTTCCCAATCCTTTAGGGTTGATTTCTTCCACTATATTGCAAAGAATGTTTCTATCCAAATAAAATACATCATCATGTGCGCATCATCATCATCATCATATTTTCATCCTTTGCTTGTTTTTCATATGTAGAACAGCAGTGTCTAATACTGTCAGATTTTATAAATGTATATAACGAAAAAATATCACGGAACATGAAAGATTCTTCACAATCTTACAAAAATTTCATAGTTATTGTGCTTTAATTGTGTATGATTACATCCACAGTTGTTTTCCAGATTTTTAGATTCACAGCGCAATGCAAACTGGGTAATGTTTTCAAAAAATAAAATTATTTTTTTCCTTTGCAGAAAATGGAGACACCATTTCTTTTACTCGTCGCAGCTTTCTGCGCAACTGTCACTGTGACATCAGGTAAGTTCATTGCTGAAAAACGAGAACTTTTTGTTTAATTATTTTCTTGCATATTCTACCAAGCATTTTGTGTATAGTTTCTTTCTTTGATCAGCTGTTGGGTTTGAAAGCTTGCAGGATTATAAAGAGGGTTCTCTTTGCATATATAATTAAAATGCACAAGGAAGGGAAGTTTTAATAAGAGAAATTTCATTAATTTTGTTGATCTCCTTCATTTATGTTACCCAGGGTACCAGTTCAACATAACTTTAAATGCAGAGGTATGAAGATATGAAGAAGCGTTTTTAAGTGAAGTGAGAACACCATTTCAATATTCAGTCTCGTTTCGGAAATTACTACAATCATAAGACGTTTATACTCTGAAAAATGGCGGATAAAAGTGCTTTAGTATGCTACATTTCCGGTATTTCGTGAAACTTTCGAGTTTTGCGGTACCAAAGAATACAAGTGCCATTAATTCCCTGGTTGTTATCTTTAAATGTAAAAAAACTAAAAAACATGAAATTTTAGGTTTCATTTACCATGTTATCAAAAAGTAATGCTTACACCCCCCCCCCCAAAAAAATCTCAAATCTGTATAAGGGACTGTACATCGCTAAAGTAAAATGAAGTTTTAAGCTTCAATGCCTTTTTTGCGTCGTAATTCCCAGGTGTGTGCTCTTGATATCATATTTCAAAATTTTCCTATATTCCTCTTCAATTTCAGCATCGGATTTAGTCAAATGCGAGAAGACATACCAGAATATTGGATGCTTTGAAGAATACAATCCACAGAACCTCCTATTGAATGAGAGGTTCAACGTTCGTTGGGGAAACATTGAAGCCTTTATACAACAGTAAGAGCTTTACCATTAGTTTTTTTGGAAAAAAATTTTAACATATGACACATCAACCATTGAATTTTTTCCTTACTACATGTTTTCAATGTAAGCTTCGTATAGAAAGCACAAAAAATATAAAGCTACTTTTAAAAGAATTGCACACAAACTAAGTGCATGCATTTTGGAGGGGAATGGAAATAATGAAGAAGTCTTGTTGCTGCTGTATCTTTCCTTTAAGATAATCTCCTGGTTTCTTTTTACTTTTGACTCTGAAACAGGGTTTACAAAATTCAAACAGACGGTACAAAAAATGTTGCCCAAGTAGAACAATCTTTATATTGCGATGATTCTCTTCCATGATGATTCTCCAGAGTTTAATATGTAGATAACATGTTGATAATAATAATAATAATAATAATATAGATAATAATATGTAGTTTAATATGTTTAATATGACGTGTGGGATAACTACTGGGACGCTGGAGAGGGGGCCGCGGGGGAAGCAACTTCACTTCTTGCCCGTTGATAGGAGGGGCAAGGAGAACCCTCTTCGTAAAATGTGTTATGACGTGTGGGATAACTACTGGGACGTTGGAGAGGGGGCCGCGGGGGAAGCAACTTCACTTCTTGCCCGTTGATAGGAGGGGCAAGGAGAACACTCTTCGTAAAATGTGTTATGACGTGTGGGATAACTACTGGGACGCTGGAGAGGGGGCCGCGGGGGAAGCAACTTCACTTCTTGCCCGTTGATAGGAGGGGCAAGGAGAACCCTCTTCGTAAAATGTGTTATGACGTGTGGGATAACTACTGGGACGTTGGAGAGGGGGCCGCGGGGGAAGCAACTTCACTTCTTGCCCGTTGATAGGAGGGGCAAGGAGAACCCTCTTCGTAAAATGTGTTATGACGTGTGGGATAACTACTGGGACGCTGGAGAGGGGGCCGCGGGGGAAGCAACTTCACTTCTTGCCCGTTAATAGGAGGGGTAAGGAGAACCCTCTTCATAAAAGTGTCCATGACGTGTGGGATAACTACTGGGACGCTGGAGAGGGGGCCGCGGGGGAAGCAACCTCACTTCTTGCCCGTTGAAAGGAGGGGCAAGGAGAACCCTCTTCAAAAAAGTGCCCTTGACATCAGACTTTTGTAATCATCAAAGAGATTCATATGAAGTCCTGACGGTAGTGCCTTATTCACGACGGAAGTTCTCAACACATCTCTTACGACAAAAAAATTGTAAAAAAGTTAGCCCATTTACAGGAGATTCTACGGAATTAATAAAATGACAGCTATATGAAAGCTGGACAATATTTTCAAATGCCCTTTTTCTAAAATGTGTCCACTTGCCCCTTGTCCGTTTCGGTGTCCCAGGATAAGTGAATTTATTTAGGTATTTGATGAATTGAACAATAGCTGTTTTTGCAATGGCATGAAAATACTAGCAAAAATATCTGAAGTATTATTTAAACAGTGCTGGGCTTTTCTTAACTACTCGAGTTTCGTATAAAAAGTTTCAGTGAATGTTCTCGTACCTAAGTGATATGTCAATAACCTTAGAAGATCTATTAGATACAGTTAGGCTTAACAAGGGAGGGCCTATTCGAGATAACATGTTCATTCTGCTATCCATCTATTAGAAATGGCTAATACTAACAGCTTCTAAGTCTAAGGAAAAGGTTATATTTTTTGATGGGGATTAAAATAACAAAATATGAAAAATGCTCAATTTTTTTCACAATGTTCAACATTCTATTCGCAAATAAAGGTTTTTGCTCAACTATTTTTCTCTATCCTTAGTTTGGCATGCCTTTGTGGTGCAAAAGCCAGGGAAGAAAACAAACGCAGAAGTGCGGACAACGTTTTCAAGGGTTTTGCTTTGCATTACTGGGGTGTGTGTTATGGAAAGACGAAAGCTGACCTTGACGGCTTAAAATTCAAGTCAGAATCGCATAAATGCACTGGCAGCCAGGAATACAATGGATGTAAAAAGGAGCACAGCCACTGTGTTGGACATGGATATGCTGATTACGTCTACCAGCTAGTAGAGAACTCTACTGAAGCAAGTATGTGACTCTGTAGCATCTAACATTTTCGATATCCTTGCGTAGAGTAGAGTTTACATTATTATCCTGTCCTGGAAACTATCATGCATATTAACTCCGTTTCATGATTGCTAATTTCAAGTCTATTTCACTCTCTCCCTTACTTACTTTCATTGTCACTTACCTTAATTAATCGCCTCTCGTTTTATTTCCATCCTCAATCTTTCACCGTTAAAGCTGTCAATTACTGTTTCATATGCCAAATAATTGCAATTCTATCAAATCCAAGCAGGTTTATAGTTGATCAATTGACCACTTTTGATGATTCTTCTTCTGAGACAGTCTTAATGTCTAAACATAACGAATTCAGTGAAGCAACCATCTGGAGACTAAATAATTCAGATCTGAATTTATTCTAAGAATAGCTAGATTCAAAGACTTAAACTCAAGCCTATAGAATTTTTTTGCAGTGACTATTTGCAGGAACTGTAGTCGCAATGATTTTTGTACCAGTTTTAAATCAGACTGTTTATTTTGCGTTGATTAGACGTAAATGGAGGCTATTCTGATTGGGAGGCTTGGACACCCTGCAAGGGAGAGTGTGGAACAGGAATAAAGCTGAGAGAGAGAACTTGCACCAAACCAGAACCAAAAGGAAAGGGAAAAGACTGCTCTGAACTTGGACCAAACACCGAGAGGGAAGCCTGTGAGACTGGTATCCCATGTCCAGGTATGCAAATATAAAGGTATCTACAAACAAAATGACGTTATTATTTTAAACGTTGGCACTTTTTAAACGTTGTAAACTTAAAAGGAGTGTTCTATTGAATCAGAATTTGAAAAGAAATAACAATTTGCTAAAAGTGTAATGCCAAAAACACGAATTTAGGTTTAAATTCGAATTTGTTTATTCTATACACCTGTCGTAGTACCTTTCAATGCTCTTATATTTGTTTAAAGTCACTTGTCTTTTTTCATTTCACCAGTCGATGGTGGTTTCTCTGCATGGGCAGCTTTTGGGGCTTGCAGTCAATCCTGTGGAGGAGGTAATCAAACGAGAAGTCGTCGATGCGATAACCCTGAACCAGCGCACGGAGGAAAGAACTGCGAAGGAGCATTGAGTGAAGTCAAGCCTTGCAAGAACGACTTATGTCCTGGTAAGTAATCTATTTAGGCTTTCACTTGCAAGCAGTCTTTCATATCTTCAAACTCTGTTGACACATTTTGTAAAAGAAAATATCAACTTTAGCAAGAAATTGTTGATCGTTTATAAACATACAGAATTCTTAAACTCTTCACCACTGCTGGAATGCACTATTAATCACTGTTTATCTTGAAGGTTCTGACGGTATTTCAAAGGCACAGGATCTCGTAAGAGACTTCTTGATTGGTTTCCACAACACAAGCTACCCAGACAAGAAACCTTCCGGTATGACGTCACCATAGAATTTCTCCTTTAAAAGGAAGTTGCCGAATTAGTATCATCTTAATTACAGAATAAGCCAAAAATTGTTTTACGGCTTTTTTTAATTTTACTTCTCTAAATTTGTCTTAAAATTATTTGTTTGTTGAATGCATAAATGTTGAAGCCAAGACTCAGCATGATATTTGACGCTTGACTAAGCATCAATGTTATCGCTTTTAGCGTTTTTACTTTCATGTGTTTGTTTGTCAACATCTCCCAAAGTGGAAATTAAAAAGTTTTGTTTAGAATGATTTTCAGGAATGTACATAACTGTAATTTTAATTTTCAGGAAAATTCCACCAGGCTATTTTGGCAATCCAGAGAGCTGTAGCCAATGAATTCGCACTCGGAACAACAGGCAAGAATCTTCAAGAGAGACTTGATGACTTGAAAGACTTTCTCAAAGTAGCAACAGCTGGAGGAAGCATTGACTTTGCAAGAGTTACTCTCGGAAAAGGACTCTATGTGTTCATGAAGGTATGAGAGATTAAAATTACAGGTTCTGCCAAGAGAGAATAATTATGAATCAATCAATGAATCAATTATGAATCAAGTGTAAATACAAATAAATAGACTACATATAACGTATTAAAATGTTGTGATGAATCAGAAAGTAAAAAGACCTATTCAGACAAAGCTAAATGTTAAGTTAAGTTCTAGCGCAAATGTTCAGTTTTCAAGCACAACCATTGGTGAAGCAGACAAATTTGTGATAAATTGGACACTGCAATGATTGTTTCGGCTGTCGTGGAAAGAGTGCAAAGACAAATTTCAGTTAGGCCTTGCATTATTTAGGGTCACCATATACAAATCACCTACTTCGCATATACAAACAGACATGACATTATAGGGTAATTTCTTGCATATTCTTGAATGCTTGCGCATTATCACCAACCACCAGTGCATTCTTTTAAGATAAAGCACATTATCATCGCCAATAAGAACCTCAAAAGCCAACTTTGTTGTCAAATGCTGCCTTTCTTGTTCAGCAGTAAACCAATGTTTCTTTTTAATGTAAGAACCCAATTTATTAGAAACCAGTTATTGTTTCAAATACTCAAATCGGTTACTACTTGCTAATTAGATATCTGTAGCAATTCAATCACGCTCTCGGCACCGCTGTGACAAGAAAGTCCCTATTTCCATCTAGACCAGAAATGGTCCTGTTTAGAAGGCGCAGAAATTTCGTTAAAATGCTTAACTCTTTTTAGTTGCAAATTCAGCTCGTGTGTCAATAATATCTAAAATGTATTTCTATAAATATCCTCTCTTCACTTATTACAGAAAAAGATAGAAGAAGGTCTGCCAATAGACAAACTTAATGAAGCTTCCAGTGGCTACTTGGACTCTATCAAACGAGAAATTGGTGAGGATAAATTTGGCCAGCTGATGCTTGTAGATGGTGATGCCTCTCTGATTTTTACAGTTGACACAACTGGCAGTATGAGAGACGAGATCAACGCGGCCAAAGGGATCGCTAACTCTATCATCAACATGGAGAGAAAGTTCCCAGTCGATTACGTCCTCTCGCCATTTAATGATCCAGGTAAGCCTAATTGAGCTAAATGTAACTGGCTGTTGATAGATATCATGCTCTAGTGAATATGAGAAATAGCAACGTTGCCTGATGATTCCATTAATGAAACTCTGAGTTGCAACTTAGAACTGTCCTGTTTTTTACAGTAAATCATGCACAGCTCCGTTATAAGGAATCGAGCACTCTATTTATGTGACAGGCACATAATAAGCGATACATAGAGCAATGTAGAATTATTTGAAAAAATTTTAAGGGGTAAGAGATGCGTCAGGTTTATGTCAGATAACTTGAGCAAAAAGCACATTGGCTCTTCTCGATGCTCTAGTGATTGCATTTTTACATAAAGTACTTTTCGGGTCACATCACGATGAAAGTACCGTATACCTCTGCTTATCAACTAACAAGTTTTCTTTTATAGCCTTGCTTGGGCGAGAAATAATGTCCATCTTGCCTATTTTTACAATAATGTCTTTACCAAGCTAATATTTTATCTTCTGCTATATGACAATGACCTAAGGTTTTTTTTCTTTGGTGGATGCTTTGCAATCTAGAAGTGTTTTTTCTGTTTCTTACTGTTTGGAATGTGACGGGTTTAGGTTTCTGATTTGTGTCTTCTGAGTACTAACATGTTCTTGATGCATGGCGGGTATTCTTCCCCCCTAAACTGTTTATTGGACAATAAAACTTCAAACACTTTTTGTGCTACTCGTTAAAAAACATAACACAGTGCACTTTTATTTCCAAAAATGTCCTATCATGAAGTTCATAACATCGCATAAAAGCATAACATATTCTTAAATGGTTTGCTCCATAGCTGTTGGACCAGTAACTCACAAAAACGAATCAAACAAGCAAGAATTTATCAGTGCCATCCAAGGCCTGCGTGTCACTGGCGGAGGCGACTGCCCTGAAATGGCATTCGGAGGTATGATTGAGGCATATGTTGCAAACCCAAAGCTTGGCTCGCCTATGTTTGTCTTCACTGATGCTGGGGCTAAAGATGATACTTTTGAAAAGATAGAGGGACTCAAGACCTTGGCTGACCAATATTCTACAACCATCAACTTTTTCACAAACTACAGGGGCTGCGGTGATGCTAAGGGTAAGTGAAATACAAGTCAAAAAGCAAGTACAATAAATCATAATGGAGCTAGGAATGTGGTTTTGAAACGGCTGGCTTAGAATCATTTGTGTTCTTTGTTGAATTTCAGGACAATTTGTTCATTTATTTCTAAGCAAGGTGTCAAATAAACACGATGTTTCAGGCAGAATACCAATAGGCTAGTTTCACCATAGATATCCCAAGATTAAATTCTTGAGCCTCTCATGTTCAAAATTTTTATTAATGATCCTCACTCCGTACTTAAATATGAAAGCACTTGTGTATTCAGACGACACTTTGGTTTTTCTTCGGCAAAACGGCCAGTATTGTTTAAAAGTCTTAAAGCAAAAGAAAAACTTTCTTGGTAACTTGTTCGCAAGCAATAATCTAATACCGAATTTCAATGACGACAAAAAAAGATAGCTGGGACTAGAATTCTGTAATTTCTGCTCGAATTATATTTAACTCTTACTTGACCCTTATTAATATCAGTATCTGACCTATAACATACGTTTATAATAAAAAGACTGATGCTTTGTATTCATGTTTATGCCAAGATCTCCATTGATAGAACTACGACAACAAACTATTTTGCTTGTAATTTTGCTCTGCAGCAATAAAGAGCTACCAAGAGATTGCAGCATATACATCTGGCCAGATATTCCCACTGCAGAGCCACTCAGAGATCTCCAAGTTTACAAGCTTTGTAAAGAGCAGTTTGGAGGGTGGGACGACAATTGCCAAGAGCACTTACACAACATCGAGAAGGCGATCAGCTGCAGCAGAAGGCTACTTCTTCGTCGATGATGACATTCAAACTTTGCTCATTTCCCTCAACGTGAAAAATGCAAACACTGCTCAAAATGTCAAGTTGTTTGATTCTACTGGCAAGGCCTACAGTGCCCAATCAACAACAGCATACAGTCAAATATACAGCGTGGACAATCCACTCCCAGGAAAATGGCATCTTCAGTTCCCATCTGGTGCTGGAGAGCGATCATTCATTGCGAAGGCAATTGCCAAGGAGACTGTTGACTTTGTTCCTTACTTCGTTCACCAAGAGAATGAAGGCAGCCCAGCTTTGTCTGTTTCTCACCCACTCCAAGGTAGGACTTTGGTTTAAACCCTTCCAAATTAAAGCTTTAGCTCTCTGAAGAAAAGCTTAAATATGTTTTCAAAACATTTGTTTTTTTCAAAGCCATTTTTAAATTCCACTTTTTGCTTCTCTGTAACTCAACATTTTACTTGAACAAATAAAAAAGTACTATTGCAACAAGAGTGTAGCTTATGTGACTGATTTTGAAAGAATACTAAAAAATGCATACGAAAATGTGCGATTTAAATCTATGCATACTTTTCAATGTAGGAGGCGAAGTAACTTTGATGGTTCAGCTCTCGGGCAATGGCCTAGTTGATCATAAATCACTTGTTGCTGCAATCACAAACGAAAACGGACAGGTTCTTAGTGCAGACATTGCATTGAAAAGCATTGGAGGAAGTGCAGGCATATTCCAAGCAAAAATAAACCCACCAGGCGGAAAATTCAAGTTTCTATTGAAGGGAGAAACAAAGAAAGGAAGCAACTTCCAGCGAATGTCACAAGCCAGCTTCGAAGCAACCGATACTGTGTTGGCGACCATCAGCGCCGGTAACGAGTTCACAGCATCAGCAAGCAAGGGAAGCATCAAGGTGAATTTGTACCTTTACAACAAGGGCAGCTCACAGAACTACAGATTTGTAGCTACTTCAAGCCACGGTAGCATCTCTGCTGACAGCAGTTTATTGATGGTTTCAGGTGGAAAGAACAGTACCGCAAGCTTCACATTCAATCTCCCAAGCAACGCCCGTTCTTTGGTTGGCAAGACAACCAATGTCGCCATCACTGCCACAGGGCAAAGTTCCAGCAAGAAAGTCCAAGCGGCATTCGCTCTGTTGTTTGTGCCATGAGTCTCTTGAAGCTCATCTTTAAACCAAAACACATATAAGTAGATGGATCTCCTATAGAATACATTATGATTACTGCTTAACAAAGAGTTTAATTGAAATAAATAGTTTTATTTATCTTGGGCAACAGATAATCTTGGAATTCTGTTGTGTATTCTCTTTAGTATTGCTACAGTACGGTACATGCTGTCTATTGAAATAAAAAACCTATGCACCAAATTGGATGACCTATATTGTGAAAAGAAAAGATTTAGCATCATTTTTCCAGCAACAGGAAAGAAGCGTAAGAGGCTGAATCTTGGGGGCCTCCTGCAACAATAATAAAGTCTTTGCTTGTTTCCAATTTTTCGACTTGGTAAACATCCTTAAGATTTAACAGAAAATGTAATTCGTCTCCAGCATGAAACAATTTCGATTAAAAATTGCATTTGCATCTAGTAGATATTCAATATCTGTCAGAATATGAAAAGAACTAAAGAAGAACCGGCACAAATAGGAGGGCGTATTGAGTTAGCTGAAACGGACGAATGGTGTTAAAAAACGCGACAGTTATTTCAATGAAACTTCATAACAAATGTTCTAAATGATGGTCATTACGAAGACTGTTTCAATTTGGACCTTTCAATCTTTGCATTATTCATAGTGGTCCACCATGTGTGTAAGACCCTACCCTGGGTACCAAAGCCCCATGAATCTGGGGATAAAGTATTGTAGACGGCTGCGCTCGCTCAAAAGAATATTTAAGTGACTAGTTTCGAACTACAGGACTAAGTATTTTTTAGACTAAATAATTGAGGCACCCAGGGTAATAACATCTTAGAAGCTTGTTTATGGACAGGCAGTTAATTGTCATCCATGATGGGACAAGCATTTCTTATAAAAACATGTGTCAAATTGACCAAACGAGCAAAATTCATTTTTGAAAGTTTCTTAAACGAAATTTGCTCTGGGGTTGTTTGGCTGCATAGCTCTATGCACAGACATTCAGACTAGTTTTGATAACATTCAGGAAAACTATTTTCTTATCCACAAACGCAACAAAGTGGTAGTTGCAAGTGTAACATCATCGTGGAGAGAATTTTTAATATCGAAGTAGACTTGTAATTTTTCTAGGGAATTGTTCAATATAGAAATAAAAGTCATATCATTGGTTGAGCCTTAATGAAAAATTTCGAATTAAGCTAATAACAAACAAACGTATGAAAGAAGTCCCTTTGATAGATGAAAAGATAATCTCCAGTGCGCTTGAAATGTATCTTTGTGATTTACCGTTGCTTAAATCGAAAAAAAACACACAGACGTAGCCCTTTTCAAAGGCACTAAAAGCTGAAAATTTCTAGCCTTAGAATGACGTTCTAAATCCTATGTCGCTAAGAAAAAAGATAGTACTTCTGTAAAGCTAATTAGCATTTAAAACTGTTAGTAGGGTGGACCGGGGCCATATTTTCCACTTTAAGTACGTGGTGGGGGCTGAAATTTTAACACAGTGGAACATGCAAAATTTCTTGGGGACGGCAAATGGCATCAACTGTGAACGTGGAAGCTTCTTGCGAACGACAACTCAAAACGCATGTCTTTAGGGTTGATGCAAGCCCCTGCCGGATCTTCCAAGCAAAACGCTGTGCGATAAAAATTGCCCGATTAGAGCATTGAAAACAAAACTAAGAAAAACAATATGTCTTGATATGAACCGCTTATAGTTAATTTTTTCTAGTTTTGGGAAAGACTTATTTATAAAGCTGTTTGTTTGGACCCACTGTTTAGATCGATTATGCAAAGTTTTTGCGAATGAATGTTTTTATATCATGATTGGATTTCATACATTTTTCATTGACTGTACTAGATGCTTGTGTCAACGATTACAACTACAACTAGACATGTGCACATGATGCCCGAACAATCCTTCGAACAAATGCTGGTTTGTCTCCCCAACAGCTACTGCGTTAGATCCCTATGTCACATGCGTTTCTGCACGGGCATGCGTTTCTGGTTAGGGGTGCCTTTTTGCATGGGAATTTTCTTCTGCATGGGTTGCGTTTCCGCATAGGTTTCATTTCTGCATGGGCATCGGGCATGCGTGTCTGCATTGATACGTTATTTTGCATGGATTACGTTTCTGCGCGGACATGAAGTTCTGCACGAGCTGAGTTAATCTAAAGGTAATGGCGGACAAGCAAGGCCTAGCTGTGGGTGACTTGAATTCAGTAAATCAAAACGAGTAGTTTCACCTCTATCAAAAAGCTCTTTGTGATAAACACATAAGATAAAAGCTCATGCTCTCAATAAGATTGAAGAATTACCTACAAGCTATTAAAAGCAGAAGCACATAGCGAATTAGTGTTATGCGTTTCTGCATGGTGTATTTAAATTCCAAACATGCCTGCATTTCAGAAAAAACCTGCTGTTATTTTGGTTTCATCTGTACAAAAATTATGACCATCGTGAATTAGGATTATAGAAAATTCAAGAGCTAGTACTAGAATTGGAAGATGGGATGGGTTCCATGCAAAATTTTAAGATTTCATTTTTGCAGAGAGGCAGCAAGCTCGTACTATCTGGTTTCTGAACTCAGTTAAAGGTGTAATTTTGGATAACATTTGTTTATGTTTCAGATACAGCTATCTCTCATTTTTGCACCATGCAAAATTATAGCCTTTGGGTTCCATACATGAAAAAGAAAAACTTACATTAATATGCCTAACTTAGCATGGGCCTAAGTATTAGCAAACTAAAATAACTTCAGTGCACATTTGATTTACATTCTTGTAAATTGACATCGGTTCCTGCTCCTCTCTAACACCTGGCAATCCTCTCGATGTGTAGCATAAAGCTTGTAAATAAATGATCTTGTTGACATGAAATTACACGCCCCACGAAAATAACGGCCCTGCGAGCCCCCTCTTATAAAAACTCGAGAACTTCCTTTGCAACTTATAATTCAAAATTCCTTGATAATCGAGCACCTTAAGAAGGACCGCCGACAGGGAGGGGGGGGAGGTGGCCGGGGCAAGTGTTCTGGGACCAAAGGATCCTTTATTTATGTAATATAGGTACTTATTTCATTTTAGGTCAGTCTTGCGTTTATGCTTATATTTGTTCATGCTTCTATTTGATTAGGATATATTAGCGTGTCGCGCTTTAGTTTTTCATGTTTTCCGGTATAGTAATATTTTACATGCCCTTTTGCTCTACAAAGTTCCCCCGCGTATCCTAATATATCTAACACCTCCTACTAGTTCATTTACGTATTGCACGATAGATACCGACAATAACACCGGCAATTATTGATATTAGTTTGCTATATTGTAATGCTGTTATATAAAGTAGAGTACGGAGAAACAGAGTTAGTTAGTTAGAGAGAGAAGCGTGGTGCTTGCGAAAGGCCACTGCTATCAAACATGTAGACACTAACTCACACACACACACAGAACGGTCATGGATGGAAAGGCTAAGAGAGGGCTGATGGCATTCAACCCGAGTGGCTTGTGAAAGCACTCGAGGTTTCGTTTCATATATATATAATTTAATGGCGTAACAGTGCTTGTGAAAGGCTGTTTAGTACCTAAGTTTCGATATTGTGTAAAAGTACGTCTTAGCTTTGGATGGAACAAAAGGAATTGATTTTGTGTGTCAAAACGTGTCGTTTATTCGCTCGGTCAATCGCTCAAACAACGAATGGTGTCAGAAGTTTTACAAATGTATATACCAGCAGCAAATTTTACATTTATTTTAATATTCTGGAATCTACTGTATATCAGCCACGTAGCTTCAGGGGGCACGGGGGGCTGTGCCCTCCTAAATGAAAATTTTGGCAAGTTTTTCCAAATGCTACAGTTTTTTCAAATGATACTTTGAAAAGTTGGCACAATTATAATTCCACGAGCTTGATTCAGCCCAAAGCTATCTGTTTGTTATATATCTGTTTTCTTGTTTTAAAGCCTGCCAAACCCCCCCCCCCCTCAGCTATAGCTCTTGCTCGAGTTTGCCCACCATAGCCGACATCTATAGCTACGTGGTTTATCTATATTCATTATCAAGCAAGGGGCCCTACAGGATTTCGTTGCCCCTGGGTCCAGTGGCCCTGTCGCAAGGGGGTGAGATGGAGAAAATAGGAAAGAAAATGTAACATTGAATAACCGATATCGATTCTCGAAGTGATTAGAGTCCCAAGTAATGCGGTCATAAAAGTCAACTGTAATGAGTTAGGGCCACATTGGAAGATTTTTAATGACGTCACATTCTAGAATTCTATCAAAATGCTTTTGTTCACGAAATGTTGCTACGTGCATTGAGTGTTGTTTTGCTCTGATTTTAACATAGAGAAACGATCACATGACTGATAAGTGACACCTAGTGCGGAGGAGTTGAGTGGAAGAGATAGTTGAGAAATGGCGTTGAACAAGTTGCTTCGTTATATTTCCTTGTCGGTGTTTGCCTTCTTTGTTCAAAATGGTGCAGGGAACTATGTTCAAGAACCAAAGCAAATACCGGAAGATGTATGGAAAGCTTATCATCGTAAAAGCTGGGAAGAAAAAATTCGTGAGGGCGCGTTTGGATTGCCAGAGCACCAGGATAGGATAAAACATTTTCCTACTGGAGATAATTTGGACTGCAATGTACGCTACCTTGCATATAACTATTCTAAAAAGCTGCTTTCACCTTCTGCTAACTTGAAAGCTGTTTTAGATGGCCTTGAGTTATCAAAACTTTGTGGTATAACACCAAATGTTCCAAAGAGGCAAGTTTATCGAGAGCACGAAAAGAAGGTTCTTGAGATCAAATTGAAAGAAAAGTATGTCGAGTATTTTGTCGACCCAAAAGCTGCTGTAAGTCTTAATACAGTGGAGATGCTTGGTACAAAATATTCTCCTTTCAGGGACGTTAATTCTGCTTTAAGGGCTTGTGAATCAGGAAGATCGAGCATCAATGTCCATTGTATAATTAGACTGAGGGAAGGCACGCACTTTTTAGAAAGCGCAGTACAGCTTACACCCAAGCATAGCAACGTCGTGCTGACAGGGTACGTTTTTAATTGTTTTCATTCGTTTTTTGAAATATGTTTCCACAGTTCACTTCGGGTCGGGTGCAGAATGATTTCATGAATTGTTTATTGTCTGTTTCGTAGCAACATTTTCAAATTTTCATTTTGCTTCAATATTTTTTCTACTCATTATTAGAAGGAGGGATGATAATTTCAGAGGGATTCCTTTTAAAGTATCTCCCGTGTTTAGTGGGGTGCTTCTTGGAGCAGGGGTTTAACACATGTCTGTAGCTTAAGCCGTCACATGCAAGTTTAAGAGCACAAAGGGAAGTTGAAAAAAGTCATGAGCATGCATAGGCACAACATGCATCATGTGTTTTATCATACTTATACTGCCCCTTCATGTGAGCCCCTTCAACTGAGCTTGCCTTTTTTATCTTTGACTGTACCCTGTCACAACTTATTTTGAAAGCTATTACTGTGTCAAGATAGGTTACTTGGCTAAATAGTTCTGAAATCAAACATTGGTTTTTGTTTGAAAAAAATAAACAAGATTTGATATGGTATCTCTATATCTTGCTGCCAAAATCAGTTGGAATCCCTTTAAAACCCAAGTTGTTGGCCTAAAATTTTCTTTTATATAATTACAATCTCTGCCAAAACTCCTTGGAACACCTACATATTTTGCTAATTTTTTGTTTTTTTCCTATATTTCCAGTGTTTCTAATAGACAAACCCCCCTCCCCCCTAAAACAATGTTGCCTACAATGCAGTTTATCACAGCGATCAGTAGAAAAAAGGTTGCCACAAAAGTATGTCTTAACTTTGCTGTGAGACAACATTGTTTGAAGGGGGGGAGGGGTGCGTGTGGAAGGGATGCATGAAAACGTTGAAAATATCACAAGTGTTCCAAGAGTTTTGGCAGTGATTGTAGATGAAAAAACTATCTAGTAAATTTTCTAGAAGATTGTAACATTTAATAAGAATAGACAAAAAAGCAGGTAAACTCTGTTATGAATAAAATCTGAATGAAGTAAATCATGATGAAGAGTTTTAATCTATTTTCTTTTGCTTGGTTCAAAGGTATAGGAGTGAAAATGCTGTTATCAGTGGAGGTCTGGAAGTAAGCACAACTTGGGAGCTATTTGATGATAGAACTGAACTATTTTCAGATGCCAATAACATGTTTGAAGGCATCAAACCTCGTCAGAGCACAGCCAGTGTGACTTTCATGGGTGTATTCAATACATCAGCTACTTGTAAACTTCTCTGTGATCACCAGACAACATGCACCTCTTTCACTTATTTTGGAAAAGATGGTGGTGAATTTGCAAATATGTGCTATGCTCGACTGGATGGTCGATGGAACCCAACTGCAGTAAAAGGAGCAGTGAGTGGTAGAAAGGTGTGGTACTACAACAAATTCTATCATTGTCTTTTCAATTAAGAATTATTAAATCTAGTGTCCTTTTTGAGAGTTTTTGTATGAGGAATTTACCAAAGGGTGGTCATCCCTTTTACCCAAATCGTTTCAGAAAATCATAATTCTTCTCTCAAGTGAAATGTTGAAGGAATTTGTGGCTTTTATGATTTTGTTTCAAGTGTTATGTGTTATAGGAGATGCTTAAAAATTAAGTTTGCTGGGTTTTCTTTATTATATATAACTGAGAATTTCATAATATGTATAATTATATATATATATGTAAGTATCAATATTGCAATCTGCTAGTGCATTTTATGTTGAAAGCCTTTTATTTTCCCACTGAACAGAGGGAAAGAATAAAGATTAAAATGTTGATGCTCTTGGTAATTTGTTGAATGCTGATTTTTTCTCATTGCAGGTCAAAATATATGTTGTAGACCTGGCCGGAAGAGGCTTGAAACCATTTAGGCAAATGTTTGTTGATGGAAAGAGAGAAGTAAGAGCCCGTTTTCCAAATGGAAACGCAGAAAATACTGGTCTGCATACAGTCCCTACTGGATACATAAAAAGTGCTGTAAAATGGCTCCCTCCTAAGGCAGCTGAGCCAGCAAAAGAAATTCATATTGATTATCCACATCGAGAGAGGACACCATTTTCTACCTTCTATCTTGGAATTGGTGGTCCTGTTTCACAGTTTGACCCCCCTGTCTCTTACTGGGGGACAAAGTCACCAGCAGGTGGTGGTGGATCAACATATAGAGTGCCATCAGGACTGCAGTTTGATGAAGATCTTGAATTTGTCAGTAGAAAGTGGAAAAATGCATCAACTGGTATTGTGCATGCATTTCAGCATTACCATTGGGAGAACTGGAATTTTCAGATTGATTCTAGAAACGATGTAAGGAGAATTCGTCAGAGACTAACCTGCTGTTTTTATCTTTGAAAAGCTTTATATGTTATCTCTGCCATTTTTCTAAGTCATCATAGGAAATGCTGATGTTTATTTCTAAACTGAACATGCTTTACAGTACTCAAAATAAACAAAGCTATCATAAAAATAATTGAATCCCATGAAAATTTGATACAGTCCTCTTGAGCAACAATAGCAACATTTTTTATTCTTAAATTTTTCCTTTCAAAGCAAAGTTTTGAAGCTTATGCAATATGCATGCTCATTTTAGCAAATCATTTTTTGCTTAGACTGATCACACATTGAGGTGGTCATTTGGTGGATTTCAAGGTGCCAGAGGGGCTGATGATGGTGTAGAGTGGTATGTGGAAAATATTTTTGAAGAGCTGGATGTTCCAGGTGAATGGTTTTTAGATGAACAAACAATGAAACTGTATTACTTTCCAAGTGGTAGGCTTCCTGACAAGGTATGCCATTTTCATTCTTTGTATAAGATTATTTGCTTATAGTCATTAGAATGCTTTTCATAATGGTCAGTCAAGATAGTCCAAATTAACAGGTTAGAGAGGCAAAAATGTATTTTTACTGCATGTTCTATTGGTAATGTACAGTACTGTAGAAAGGATAGAATTGTTGGATGCATTATTTTTGGTAACAATAGAAGCAAAATTATTGATCATTGGAAACAAAAGATTTTCATTATCATCAGGCAGAAGCCCCCCACCCCACCCCCCTACAAAGAACTTAGTTGTCCTGGTGGTGGCTACACCTTGGCAGTTCTGGTAATATTATGGGTGCCATCACACATGCATGCCTCATGACATGCCAAGGATTCCCTAGGGTTGCTTTTTTTGCACATGCAGTGCCAGATTTTGACGGTGTTTGTTATCCTGATAGCATTTCAGAGAGCATAATCGCTCTTTAGAAAACTTGTAAATACTATTTTGTGTTCGAAAAACTTCATCAAGAATTCCTTAAAAATTCTCTGGGTTATAAATACCTCATATGCTTTTTCAAACAGCAAAACACCCAGCATATTCCCAAGACTATATCTTGTATTAAAATTCAACCAGGTCTTCAAAAAATTGTAAGGTCTACATTTTGTGGATTATACACCATCATACACCTTAACTCCTCATGGTGTGTGATTACCAGCATAGCAACAAATTTCATATTGCCAGGACTGCCTTGGTAGTATATGTAGCTAATTTATACTGGAACCAACTTGATGACAAGTTATACAAACTAAGAACATTTGGTTTAAATTTAAGTAAAATTTTTAGCCATCAGTATTAAGGGAAAAAATAAATAAGAGCTGATATGTAAAAATGCAAAAATGTGAATTATAAGTTGTCTTTTCTTTCCAGTTGGTCTTTACAAAGCAAGATATTTTATGATGTTTTTTATTAAAATATAATAGTTTGTCGCTTGTCCAGTTCAGGCTGTTTAACAAGGAAACAGCTATTTCATACCCTAATTTCCAAATGACCTCAACTTCCTGAATGCATGATAAGATGAACGCAATATTTTCATGCAATAACATGTCTCAGTACATGTCTAAACACAAATGGGATGTGCCATTCCAGTGGCAGAAATATGCATACAAAAATTTATTAGTAATTTGAAGACTAACAAAACACATTTTTCTTCTTAAAAATGTTGTTTTTTAAATTTTTTTAGTGAGATTTTCTCAAAAGACATATTTTCTCAAACTTTTTTGTGAGATTTTCGGAATAATTATACATTGCTGTTTACATTTTGATATAATTTATCAATTAGATTCAATAAAATACGGAGATAATTTTTTTCCTGACAGATAATAGTGCCTCAAATAGAGTCCCTTGTGAATGTTGTTGGAACGCAGGAGGAGGCTGTCAAGGGCTTCAAATTAATGGGCCTTTCATTTGCCCACACTGAATCTACATTTATGAAAGGCTATGCAGTTCCCAGTGGCGGCGATTGGTCAGTGCATCACAATGCAATGTTGTTTGTCCAAGGGACAGAAGATCTTATAATCAGTGGATGCAATTTTATGTCACCAGGGGGCAATGGCATATTTGTAAGGTATATAACTATATTTTAGAGACATTTCAATATGTAGCCAAAACATTTTCCTAGACTGCATATTCTAAGCATCTGACATATTGATGATATAGATTTGTTGATTAGAATCAATGGGCATAAGCAAATCAGTACCAAACAGGCCTGGACATGAATTTTGATTATGGCATGAAAATTTTATAGACATACAAAATCTCCTGTTATAGATGCATTGATATGAATTTAGGCAGGGAAATTAGAAAGTTGTTGCTACTAGACACAAAATGCTATGTCACTAAAAATGTTTTTATTATAAATATTCTCTCTTTTTACATTTTAAAGGCACTACAACAGAAACACCACAATTGCCGATAATTACATCTCTTTTGCCGGTGACAATGGAATTGCAGTAGTGGGCCATTCTAATTTGATAAATGGAACCAACGGAGATCAACCTCGTGGCACAAAGGTTCTACGTAATATCATTCATGATACTGGCATTTGGGGCAAAGGGGTGAGTCATAATTTTAATTATGGCCATCTTTGATTTTGTCACAGATAGGCCCAGAAACAGCTGCTACTGCACAGAGCAGTGCTGATAACTGAGATACCACTAATGATTTTGACATCAATGTCACCAGGGCTGTCATAAATGAAAATTTTCCTATTTATTCTGATAATATTTGTTAAGACTGAGACAATATTTGCCAGGTAACTTATTTCAAGCAAAGCATAAACTTTGTAAAGGGCTCTGGTCAGCCAAAGGCAAGGCAATCTGCCTTTTCTTGGTGGGACTGATCACAATGAACAAGTCACCATTTCTTCAGCGATTTAACTTATGCTTGCCTTCAAGGTATCAATGGATACTAGTAATATTGACTAATACTTCATTTTTTTAATGCAGTCATTATATTGTCATCAGTTTGTATAATGAATATCATAAACCGAAACTTTTATAGATATAAATTCACTAGCATGCTCAATTTCTCATTTCTAGACGTATTCGTTCTCACAGTCAGTTTCTTGCCTTTCACATTTCGAAGGCAATGTTTTCTTTAATGGACCCCGTGGCTCTATCAACATTAATGATGGTTTTGGTGGAGGGAACGTTCTCACCAGAAATGTGTTATTCAACTTCGTCCGAGGTAAGGAACTGTCTTTAGTTGTAGCTTTTGAACCTCTATTTCTAGAAACTGAATATATCTTTATTGTGCAATTGTCGTTTATGCTGGCAGGTCAGATTGGTGTTTTGTACCCCCAGTCCTCTGTTCAGTATCAATAAAACTTCATCTTATATGCGTCTTACCAGAATCTGTATGGATTAAAGACAGCAAGTTTGTATGGTACATATGAATTAGACGTTAGACCATACAGTCGGGCATTTGTTTTTACAGCTGTGTAACTGATTTCGGTCTAATAGCCCTGCAATTTATGCTCTGGAAAGGCAGTTACCACAAACGTTTTCGCTATAGAGCAACCCAAAATGGTTGAGCAAAAATAGCGAGGATTATTTAGGCTGAAAGTGTACCCCAAGCAAGTTATTTTTCTTGAAATGTTTTTTCAATATTTGAGATGTTTGTTTGAAAACTTTTACCTTCAAAACGATATTGCATTGTTAACTTTCTTTTTTAAAATCCTTTTGCAGAAACCTATGATCATGGCCCTATTAATACTTGGGATCGTGTACCTTACCTAACAAAAGTCCTCGATCCAAACAAAGAGATGCTACTTCCAAGGGAAAATTTCGTACGACAGTGCCTTGTTTTGAGCAACTACTATTCTCTTTGGCCAATCGACCACGACGATGGCTCCAGCTATTGGGTAGATTCTTACAATGTCCTTGCCTATGGAGGCTACAAAAACTATCTTGGGCATTCAAAAAAGGCGCTCAAGAACATTTACGTCTACCCAGATAAATATGCATCTGATCATTTTTGTATGGATTCTCGTGGCCAGTCACTTGCATCAGGTACGATTGCTATGAATATTTTGATTTATTTTCTTCTCTTTTGCTTTAACTTCCCTACTAACGTCTAAAAGCTTCCAAGACCTGAACTAAACTTACCAATGTATTTGCCACAATTTTATAGTGGCTTCAGGCTCTAAAAACAGAGTCGCCAGATTTTTCTACAGAAGTAAGCATTTTTCAATAGCTATTGCTAGGGAAAGGCTCAGGTTTCTATAGCTTAGCCCTAACAAGGGAAAGGGAGGAAGGATTAGGAAGAGAGAGAGAGAGGAAATATCAGGCTTGTTTATTTTTGTTTTGAATAAAGACAGGTTGTAAGAGTCTGGGAAACAGGAAGGGTGATAAAGGCATGTGACAAATTCAATTTATGAGAAGTAATGAAAGATAAAAAATAAGATAAATCAAAGCATATTTTTTGTGTCTGTTTTACAGGAGCTTCTGGCTGGGATGAGGCATACGTTTCAAACACTTGTATTACTAGCAGTGATTCAGTATATCGCATTGGCACGTGCATTGAAGAGGGCCTTGAAGATCTTATTCCGTATACTGGCAATAACGATTTCTACACTTCAAGCGGATCCGTTAAGATAGAATGTGGCAGCTTCACATGGACTCTTGAACAGTTCCAACAACATGGCTTTGACGTCACGTCAACCCAAAATAAGCTTGTAAGCGATGCCGAAGTGATGGAATGGAGTAAGAAGGCACTCGACCTGTGAACAGAATTCGTATGGACATGACTTTGTGCGTACTGTTTTCTTGTTTTAGAGTACTTTTTGTAATTTTAAAATCCTTTGCCGGCAAGTAAGGTTAAATAAAAGGAATATGATTTGTAAATAAAGTGGCATTAACCAAAGTGGAATATTCATGTTTTATAATATACTGAATATTTGCAACAGATTTGTAATAATCGCCGAATGACTTAATGTTTTCAGCTGCCAAAGCAGTTGCCTTGCCTAACTTACAAGCACTAACAAGCATAGATAGCCGTTCTCTGTTTTAGGGAAGGATGAAGGCCTTGATTTGTATCTTGCAGTGATATGGTAAAGCGAAGAAATGATTGACTGTTTCATGCCTAAGTGGCTGTTAAAAATTCAGTGCATTTTGTCTTGGATAGTAGGCTTTGGAAGGTTCAAGATTCAGTTTCTTTATCGTACCATACCATCTACGTAGGCAGATAATCATGCATAGCTTACTGGAAGGGAAGGTAGCTTTGGGGCCAAGCCTTTTTTATATGAAGAAAAGAACCAAAGTCTATTGTTTAAAACAATGGAAAATCACTGGGTTTTGAGGAGCAATTACCCCCCTTCTAGTTAGCTAGTTAGTATGTTAAAAAGGCCCTAGATCGATGTTTCCAGAACCTCTCTATCTTGCAAGCTCCCTATCTTCTTGCGAATTTCTCAGGAAATGGCAACAGACCCTTCTGATAAAAAAATTTGTTAATAGATAGCACTGAAAATATGTGCATAACGCTATTGAAATGAATTTTTAGTGTGATATTAAGTAAGCCATCTGATGTAAAAGTTTTTTGTGTTAATTTTTTATTTGTACGATATGATTACACTGCAGTTCTTAATGATATATTCTAATGTTGTGTGATGTATGTTATATAAAAATTGAGACCATGTAGACGGAAAGCCCTCATGCTATAACACTTTTATTAATTTGATTTTCGGTGTTGGCTATAAATTGCTATATAAATATTATAATGTCAATAATTTCATCGAATAACCAAGTTGGTAATAAATAATTTTGCTATATTGAATAAAAGTTTCCATCTTCACAGAAGTTTTTTATTCGAAATATTTCTTTTTTGAACAATTTTTTGCGGTACAGAATTCGAACTTTTAGACAGAAGGAGTTCGTTTTTGTGTACGAAGAATGAGTACACTATGTGGTGGGTCGAGGGGATCGCATACATGTATGTATGTATGTTCTCTCTTGGACTCCAGTGGTAATTTTTCTTTAGGCTCGCGGCAGTGATTGGTCAACTATACCGGTCTTGTGCTTGCGTTTTTCTGATTGGCCTATTTCGATCCACAACTGGGTGTCATCGTGTTCTTTCGGACTCTGATGCTGACGTTTTATGCTCTGAGGAGTGTCAGAGGAAAAAGCTATTAGTATGTTGTAAAATGTTTGCTTTTTTCAAAGCCATTTTCAAATATTTCTTTGTTGTCCTCAACCTTGTAACCTGTGTTGTATGATCTCCTGCACTTGTTTAAAATACACGGTTAGCATTTAAAAAACTGTGATTTTTCAGTTGATCAAGATACCTGTATAGGCTTTCTCTATTGCTTGTGAAAAACTACTCGTCCTTACAATATTTATCAACAGATTACCTGTGCTTGCCCTTGATTTGGCCTTCCTTCGATCTTACTCATAAACATGAGACGGTAAAGTAATATGCATTATAAATCAGGGCCTACACCACGAATTTGAAAGTGGGGGCAAGGCTAGCAAAGGTAGGGGACCGAGGCTAGCAAAAGTAGGGGGCCAAGGCTTTTTCCCCTTATACTGCAGCTTTCAAACTATTTACTTCGCAAAATAGGAACGTGGCCTCTGCTATTGCAAAAATTGCAAAAATATAGCTCTATTTACACAAAACTATCGATGAATCATTTTAATCCTAAGACGCCAATACCATTTTCATTACAGTTGTAGTTCAAATATATTTGTATTCATTTCTAAATTCTCGATCTAGTTGGTTTTTTCTTTGGTGAAATTTTCACATTTTGCGTACTTGAAAGGAACATCTACAATCCAGTGAAAGCTTTGTTCAAAAAGGATTTGTGAAAGAATTGTCTTCTTTCACAAAGGTAAGGCCGTGTAAGTCCGAAAAATAACACAACAAGCTTTAAGATGGTGACAAAAATAGGCTCGTACGAATTAGAAATATGAATAAATTTATGACAGGATATAAGTGAGTTGATCAATTTCGTTTTGAAAGAAATAATTAAACTAAGAAGATCTTTAATTAAAAAATTCCACAGATGGATTCCTTTTTTAGGATAATGGTCATCCCATTTCTGTACATCTTAAACATTTTTTAATTTAATTGGATTTCTTTCAAAATCCCACTGCTTTCATATGCAACTGAGTAACCATTTAACCTTTAGGTGAATCATTTTCATTATATTTGGCACAATGACCCCCAAGATTTTTCTAGGCAAATAGGTTAACCAGTTTAACGTGGTTTGCATCACTTTATAGCTTTGAAATGGAGCTTTAAAGTAGTAACTTGAACACTTACGAACATCAATGTTACGTCATAGTTTGCTATAAAGCCGAATTAACAGAGTATGGATTCTCAGTAACCATCGTGAAAACTTTTCAAAGTATTTATAAACTCTGTCAAATATCATACAAACCTGACAATGCCAGTGACCTCAAACAAGCTCAATTATGCCTCAGCGTTAGACTGACAAAAAGAAAGGTACATAAAATTCTGATATCCATTTAATTTGTTACAGAATTCCTTGGTACATTTTTCAAGCTTTTGCAGGGCACAATTATTAATAATTGGTACAAGAGAAAGACGAGAAGAGGAAGACGATTAAGGTGCACAAGCTGTGAATATGGTTACCGGCCAAAAAGAAGAAGCTCCTGGTTGTTGTGTAGGGAAAACTGCAAACAGATTGTTTCAATTTATTCTGCTTATCGCACATTGCTGAATACATCACAGTTTGTTATTCAAGCCATGTTCACCCAGGCTGGTTCTCCATAAACCAATTCTTACTTCGACTGCATAGACGCAATAGTATTCCCTGTTACAGAAAGGGAACAGAAAAGAAGAGTGAAAGAGCCAAAAAATTTCAAATTCAGGAGGTATTCTTCTTTTGATGAATAATCATTTTCTTGGTATAACATTTCATTAGCCATTGGGCTTTCAAAATCTTCCAACAGCGAACAGTTTGGATTTTTAGATCAAATAGCATTAGATTAATATCCTTTATATCCTCATCGAACAAATTCTTTGCTATAATTAAAGTTTCGTTGAGTTTTTGACACCCTATATAATTGTATCACAATCGACCCATGGTTTATGTTATTAATTGTGGTAGCATTTTTGACGTCTACTATGTGCTGGCTCCAGACAAAACTGACCTGAGATATATCATCTTTGCACTCATGACTACTTGATTTTGAATTCAAAAACTGAAAAACTAATTTTTTCAGTGACTTACAAGCTTTATTGTGAATTTAGATTGCTTTTTATCAGACAGAGGATTCAAACCAAAATGTTTTTCAAGAAAAGTGTCTTTACTGTCGTACTATGGCTCAGCATTCTCTGTATCAAAGGCAAGCCTATACACAATTCAGGTATGACCAAGTTATTTATATTCTTAAAACCAAATGATTTTTAGCTTATCATCATATACTTTCTAAACAGAAGGTCGGGGTTTGGGGAGTGATGGGGGCATGGGTGTCTTCAATTTCTGTAGTCATTTTCAAGATTTGAAATAATCTGCGTTTGGGGATGTGATAAGAAAATTAATTTAGAGACGACTGCAAAATATTAGCAAATAGCAAGTCACATTGTCTAGAATACGTGTAAATTGGATCACACATTTATAGAGTTCGGTGGGGGACTTGAATTCAGTCCTTAAAAGCCCAATGTGTTTTTTGGCACTTTTATATTAGTTTTATGCTTATCGGCCCTTAGATAGCATTTTTAATGTAAATGAAACTTAGTGCTTGTCCGTCCTCAAAAACGACTAAATGCGAATTGCGTTATTATGGAAGTTCTTAATCACGATATGATGTCTTGATAGAGTAGTTTTGTTTTGCGCATAGAACATCAACTGGGAAGTTACTTAATTGTTTAAGAGACATGATATGTTCCAAATACATAAATCGATAGTAATGGGTGATCCCCAGAGTCGCGAGCATAAAAAACAGAGAAGCTTGAGTTTAGCAAACTAGCTCCGATGCTAAACTTGAGCCCATGGCCAAAGCATGTTTCTGTTGTTACCCTCTTTCCTTGATAGCAGCCCTTAAATGATAGTCGCCCTTAAATATAACCTTTCTTGAATAGAAACTTCAGGGGAACTTGGGCAATTACAGTGTTCTGTAAGAGTTCAGACATTGTAAAATCTATCCTTCGAAAATAGCCAAAATAGACACACAAGATTGGTATATCATAGCCACGTAAAATTTCATATCAATCTACTTTCTTAAAATTTTCGAATATGCGTGAGCAATTTTGATGTTCCAATTTTTGTCAGTTAAATATTCTCAGAAGAATGTAATCCATCCTTAATAGTTTAAAAGAAACTTCCCAGAAATAGAAGCCGAATTTTTCTGAGAAAATGAATTTATAGCTGCGGCCTCAAGTAGAAAATACAGTATCTTTGCAATATGGTGTAAATTGGCATCATTTTTTCCGCCTTTAATAGAATTTGTATTTTAGGCGCTAATGTTTCTGATGAGGCTGCATCAGGTTCAGGAGAGTCCATGCAGTCCGAAAAGCCTTTAGCAACAACTCCAAATGCATCACTGCCAGAAGTAAGTCCCAGTGCTGCCTTTGGAGACATAGCATACTCGGGTATCGGTGCTAACCCCCTTTTAGAACCAGGCAAAGGGCCAGTGGCAATCTCTAACACTGAACCAACTCAAAACAAAATAAAAGAAACTGCCGAAGCTTCGGGGGAAACAGCTGTTCGCACAACTGAAACAAATTTACAGAGTAAACCAAATTCAGACATTTCATCTCAAAATCAGGAAGCTGTCGAAAGTGGACAAGAAGAGGCTTCAGCTGGTGGAAATCTTATCAGCCAAGAAGATGAGGCAGAAAGAAATCATGACAGCAATATAGTCATGTCTCCTACAAAAGATGGGGAAAAGGAAGGGTCAAAGGAAACACAAGGTTCCAAGGAAAGCGAGTTAGTTGGAGAAGTTGATGCAAACACAATTCCAAATTATTTCTTTGAGAAACGAGATTCAGTTATGCAAACTTCCAAGAATTACCCTGCTTTGGTCCAAGCTGATGCATTTGAGGATGAGGCAGGTCAAAGTGTTGATAGTAGAGCTGTTATCGTGGAAAAGCCAAACGCTGGATTGGAAAGAGAAGACGATAGTGAGGGGAGGCAGTCCAGATAATTAACAGGTAAGAATAAACCACTTCATGACTTATTAGGCTCTATCAAGCAAAATGCATTGAAACGTTAAAACTTTTATACCATTCAAAGAGGTACACTACCACTAGGTAGACTAGGAATGCTCGAGAATGAGTTTGCTAGCTAAAATTTCACAACAATTGGATTCACGTTATGCGATCTTTAAGGATACATTTCTTAACTTGCAACATTTCTAACTAAGTAAGACTTTTAATGTAGCTATTTCTTCATATTCAAAGCATTTTAGTATCAAACATTTTTTACTTGATATATGTTAAATCTGTACTCATGACGGAGGTAAAACTTAGAGAAAACTTATTGGATTATCGGTAAGATAACGCATTAAACATAAACAAATGTTAACATAACAATATCTGCCATCTTGCTAATCGAACTAACAAAAACGTGGTGCGCGGTCAGAGAACTAGGCACCACTGAAAGGATAATGTTTCATAATGGTAAATACAAGTCACATCTCAACAATATATCTTGGAATAACGAAAATATGAATAAGTAAATTAAGTACCAAAACGAAAAAGATTGTTAAAAAAATTCCACTTCGAGCAATTACTCCTTATCAAGTGTGATGTCTCGTTTGTTGTCTCGATAACGAGTAAATTATCGAAACGTATCGATTCATATGTATCGAAACGTTCCGAAACGTATCGAATTGATTGATTCATAGAATTATGAAACAAGACCAAATTAGAGAGGTTTGATCGGGGAAAAGCCTGTTCTTTTGTGGCCATACATCTGCCAGTTCGTAACACATTTGCAGTGCTCTTTTGGGATATATGGTCAAAAGTTGAAAAATTCTAGAAATAGATTTTTTGTGACGTCTGCATTTCGGTACTCTATTCTTATACTGATTACACTGTCGATATTTGGATAAATTTTAGCAGTTGTTGAAATATCTAATAAAGTACCGCATGAAACTAAGATATTTTTTTATATGTCTTGGCACATTTGTCTAAAGTCAAATATTTGATTTGTGAAGCTATAAAAGAGTCATTGCCTCCCGTACCCCACTCAAAAATCTCCATTTCTGTCACTCTTCAATCTGAATGACAAGAAAATCACATATAGAGAAAATCGAACTCTTTACCAAAATCAACACCATATCCATGTCAAACATTAACATGTTGATATCAACTATCGTATTCTATCAGTTTAAAATGTTTTCAAAATATTCTTACTTTAAGCGTCTTCAATTTCAGGATCTTGCAATATTGTGAACCGATGTACATCATAACGCAGAATAAGGAGTGAATCGTGTATCAACATGAACAAATAAAACCTCTTGGATTATCTTGGTTAAGCTTGAGTTTATATAAAATATCAAACTAAATGTTAGAAGCATATTGTCATTTGGTTTCACAGATGCTCTAAGCTTGTTGTTGAGATGCATTATTAAATGGCTGCCATACCAATTGAAATGTGATGACTTTTTCTTTCATTGTCGTATTTGTAGTAAAATCTATGTGTGATTGATCTATTTAGTAAAATCTAAATGCAGCGAAGCATTTCAGAACTAAAACTTAAAAGGGTTGTTCATAAAACAGAATTTCTATAGCAAAATGGCAAAATATTTTAAGGATGATTAAAATAATGTGTCAGGGCTAAATACAACAGTATTAAATAGATAAGTAATAGATGATATTGAGTTCATAGAGAATGCCATAGAAAACCAATTTATGAATTAATCAGGAGCATGAATTTGCACGACTTGTTAAACTTACTTGAAATTCAAGATATAATTGCAAATTGCCAGTTTTGGGAAGTTTTGGGGCACACATTGCAATGAATAAGTCAAAAAATGGCTTGTATCCAGAGGTGCCGTCATAAAAAAGGCTAGGAGGGGGCTGTGCTGTTGCCAACTTATAGAAACCACACCTACGACTACTTGCACTTTTGTTAAAGATCCTCCGTTGTGTATACGAGATCATTCAAACATATAACCGACACAAAACCGATAAGAAATTTATGGAAAATCTGCAGCATGATAAAGGGTTGCATGCACAAAATTCTTTGAACCAAACACGTGCTCACTTGTTGAAGGGGGTTGGGGCTGAGCACGTAAACCGAGAATCGTACGCAACTTCTTAAAGCTAGAGGAAGTTAGGCACAACCACGCCCTATATAGTTCAGGAGAAAAAAACGCCCACTTTGGAATTCATAGGAGTCAAATACCTTGCAAATATCACTGAGTAATTCAGGGGTGGCGCTAGAAACTAATCTAGAGAAAGCTAGATAATGTTAGAAAAATTCAAGTGCTGACGACTATGAAAATGGTTGCCGACATATTTAATGAGCTCCTCTTTACAGTTTCTTCAAATTTAAAAATGTTTTGAAAATGAATGAAAAAGTTCTTTAATCCGACAATCAAACGTGTATATTTTTTATCAAACTATAAACATTCTTCAAAGGATTTCTATAAAAATGTGCCAAAGCATTTTACATGACTCCGAGGCGTTGATTCCGTATAAGTAGCTGAAGCAATAGATTTTTTGTATTGTAAATAGATTGTAAATATTACGGTCCCCACCGGAGCACGGGTCCCAGACCTTTTGCTTCTCTTAACCCCCCTCTCTCGACGCCCCTGGTTAATACAAGCCCTCGGGCAAGACATAAGAAGAGATTTCCCTGCATGCAAAGCAAACAGAAAGATTTTTGCGACCACGCCCTCCATTTTAGCTTAGAATACATTCCAGAAATGTTTCACTTTCTTGGGTATACTTCTGTTATGTTTGATTCATTCCATTCTTGAAAAATAAAACTCATTACTTTTTAAGGCCCCTTTTGCCCCCTTTGCCCCTTTCTGCTGTCCTGGCTATTTGATGCCTCTCAGATTCCTAATAAATCATAGAGTTCGGCGACAGTTTTTAGAACCTTTTCTCACGAGAACAATTTTATAAAAACATGACCCTCTAAATTTGTTATTTTTAATTCATTCAAATTGGTAAAGATACGAGGTTAATAGCAGCGATGGCTGAGGTACTTTAAATGTAACTGTGAATAATGTTTTTCCCAATTAGAGTTGCTTTGACGCTGAATTTTTCAAACTTTGTTTGCAAATGGTGCCTGAACACTCCCCTTAAGCACAATATTTAGCAGCTGCACTGCTTACACCCTTATGATTTAAGACCAAGTTCTCATAGTCAAAAAGCCAGCCTGAACTTTAATTTAACGGTTCTTTTTAGAAAGGAAAATTCCTCATTTGATAGTTTCAAAGTGCCGACAGTTCTTTTTCTTTACTTATATTTGGCTGCCGACAGGGTGTCATTGGAAACATTTAGGGGGCAGTCCCCCCCATGACACCCCATAGCGCCATCCCTGAGTAGACCCATTTTTAGGGAATAGAATGACAGAATGTATATAACAGAATAGAATATAACAGAGTCAGCAAGTACTGTCTGGGACCGGGAGTGTAAAATTTGACCAGGGAAATCTGCTTCAAATAGAACGGTTACAGAGAAATTTTTAAGCAGGGGAATTTTCCAATGGGAATTTTAGTTTTACAGCGAAAAAACGCCCCAGCTTGCACTTGCAGGAGGCGTTGGGAAATGGCAAAATGCTCGAGTCATTTAATGAAAAGGGTTGAAGGAAAGGGTTTTCAATAATATTTTGTAAATAATAGATCTAAAGACCGGCACAAATAACGAAAAAAACTTTTAGAAGGCACACATTTAACAGAATGAGGAAAGCGATCTTAGTCACTAAAATCTGAAAGCATGTCTTGACAAAGTTTCAGCATAAAACGTGGAAGCAAAGAATTGGAATTTATGCCAATGTACAGATCATGACGATCTTGACCATGACCACAAGAGTGGACAAAAAACATACACGAACAATTCATGTGACAACCACAGGACACCATTTGGCTGCCATGTTGTCACGTGAAGTTGTTTATAGTAGGTAGTTGTGCTTGTTGTTTCCGGATTGTCTGTCTGGTCTGGACAAAATTTTGTCAGGATGTCCAAGATGTTCAGCAAAATCATATCTTCGAAGGTTCTTTTTACTACAGTATTGTTTTTAATATTGCGACTTGCTAGAGGTCTGCCTAAAGGTGGTAATTCTGATGACGGAACAATTCCTGACGAGAAATGGGGATATGTTACTGTGAGGGCTAGTGCACACATGTTTTGGTGGTTGTATGGAGGGCAAAGCAATGCCACTCCAAGGACAAGCCTTCCACTCATAATTTGGCTTCAAGGTGGCCCTGGTGGTTCTGGAACTGGGTTCGGAAATTTTAAAGAGATTGGCCCGATTGATGATAAATTGCAGAAACGAAACACGTCTTGGGTACAAGTCGCGAATTTGCTGTTTATTGACAACCCCGTTGGTACAGGGTTCAGTTACGTTGATGATATGAATGCCCTCACAACTAACATCTCACAAATTGCAGAAGACCTGTTAACCCTCATGAAAAGTTTTGTAGCAGCATTGCCTATATTTGAGAAATTGCCAATATATATCTTCTCTGAATCGTATGGGGGCAAGATGACTGCTGCTTTTGGAGCAAGACTTCATGATGCCATTGCGAGTGGTGAAATTAAATGCACGTTGGGGGGCGTTGCACTAGGGGACTCTTGGATATCTCCAGTTGATTCTGTGGTAACATGGGGACCCTATCTTTATCAATATAATCTTCTTGATCAAAAAGATTTGACCAGCGTCATGCAGGTAGCAGCAGAGACCATAAAGGCTGTAGAAGCTGGTGAATACCTAGAGGCCACAGCTCTATGGGCCAGAACAGAGGATGTTATTGATGCTGTTACAGACAGTGTCAACGTTTACAATGTCCTACAGCACCATGCTCCATCGCCAATGACTCTTATGAAAATTAAGGATGATACCCCATTAGGGAGGCTGTATGGAAAACATGTACAAGTTTATCAGTTGGAATCACTCTCAGATTTCATGAATACCTATATCAGGAAAAAGCTTGGAATTATCCCACAAAATGTAATATGGGGTGGACAATCAAGTCTTGTCTTTAAGTACCAGTCAAGAGAATTTATGAAGCCTGTTACAAAGGAGGTTAGTAAGCTTCTTTCTGCAGGTGTCACTGTTGTTGTTTTTCAGGGACAATTGGATATGATTTGTGACACGGCAGGAGCAGAACTTTGGCTGAAGAAATTGACTTGGTCAAAAATGCCCATGTATTTCAATGCAAACCGTAAACCAATATATTTACCAGGAGACACATCAAAGAACACTGCTGCATTTCTCAAACAGTATCAAAATTTGAAAATGTATTATATTATGAAAGCTGGACACATGGTCCCAGCTGATGCAGGAGATATGGCTTTGGAAATGGTAAAACAAGTTATCCATACCCAAGACTAGTAGCTAGAAAATAAATTCAGAAATTTAGCTTCCAGTTTAATGTTTTGATGTCAATTTATAATTTCTTAAAATTCATTACTGCTTAGAAAAATTGAAGATTTCAAAAACTTTTTGAGTTAACTGCTTATGAATTACCAAAGAGGCCTTAAGCACAGGGGCAATAAGGGCAACAAGTCCCTCTTCAGCAAAAAGTGGTGCAATATTCACAAGTTTGCCTCCTGCCCTTGTGTGCAGGCCTTGCTTTAAATGAAAGTTAAACTGAACATTTTCCATAAAACGAAACAAAAAGTTTCCTTTATTCCTCTTTCCATCAACACTAACATTGTGCAACTTTTCAGTGACAAGTTTTCTAATATTAATAAGACTATCAAAAAAGGGGCAAAAATACCTAGGTCTCAGAAAGGTTTGGGCATGTCTTATCAATTTTTTCACAGGCTTATTGCTATGGTGGGGCATAGGTTAGGGCACTCCCCTTGGAAAAAAATTCCTTGTAAAAATGTGAAGTTTTGCTCTGCAAGGGTGCTCATCTGTTAACTCTCAAACATCTCTTCAAAAAAGAATATTACACCCATTTTGTTGGCAACGCCCTTCTATGGTAGGCTTGAATTTTCAAAAAAACTTTCCGTATGTAGGCATCAGAAAAAACCAATAGATACAACATCAGACTGTGCTTATCGGTATTTGTGCTTGATTATGTTTGTATTCATACATATAAAAACAATGCAATTCATTGACATAAGGGATAAAGAGGAGATTATTTCCGCAGCTAGCCTTTGGCTAGACAGTAAAATATTTAAAAACCATATATAAAAACTTTCTACCATCTTAATTTGTGGACTAAATTCACCATATGGGGATATCTTTCTTGATTATTTATCAACACAACAGTTTTTATATTAGCTTCATGGTTTCAATGCTATTTTCTAGAAAACACAGAAAAACTGCCTTCTGCCTCCTGATTTAACATCACCACCCCCAATACACAAACTTCCTTGTATAAATAACTAGCGTTTATCCTCCTTAATCCATGATCTGGATAGAAAAATCCTTGTTTAATGAGCTCCTGTTAAAACAAAATATATTTATAGTTCCTGTCACAGTTTGTTATGGCTGCTTAACTTTTTAGCATCGGAACAATTTTTTGAGCTTGGACATATTGAAGGTCCATCTGGATCGGCTTGCTATAGTTTGATCATAATAGTAAAGAGGCTTTTTACTTCTTGGCCAACGAATACCATCTCCGTCGGGGAGGTGTCCAGATGGAAGAAGGACACACAAAAATGACCTGGGGACAAAAAGAAAAATGATTTTCTGGACTATTTCATTGAATCTATCAGGACACAACTTTAAAATTCAATCATGTTTTCTGGCAAGGATGTTCTTTAAAACGAAGCAAGTTAATAACTTCCATTAACATAGCAACATAATTTTTATTTCTTAATCTAAAGCCCCAGTCAAACGAACTGAACATTTCACAGAGCGACATTCAACATGCCTGCTAAGTGAGAAGTTAAGTTCGTTTGACCACTTCCTCAGCTTTGCTCAGCCCTGCTCAGAGATGTTTGACGGTGATCAGAAAATGTTGAGAGAGTCATTAAACTTTTGTCAGAGATGTTGTTGAGTGATGTTCAGTTTGTTTGACCACCCAACTGAACTTTGCTCAACTCGCACTTGCCTAATACATGCAGTGAATTCAAGCTTTGCACAAGAATACCTTGAGAGTTTTGTGCACACTAAAATGTTTAATTGCATCATGAAAGCCCGCCATTTTGACAACATTAAGAAGGCCTTTTGATTTGCAATAGTTTTGTGCAAAACTTTCATTTCTCATTGCGCAGGCATTCACATTAAATATTCTTTGTTCATCAAATTGTTGGGTGCAATGTTCAGTTTGTTGACCACTCTGTAATGAGCAGCATGCCGAGCAGAGCTGAGCAAGTTTGCAAATGTAGAGTGTTGCTCAGTGAAATGTTCAGTTTGTTTAAACGGGGCTTTAAAAGAAAATAGAGAAACTACATTGACCTACCTACTATGGTTGATTCCTAAAAGATACTTCCAGTTTTGTTTCCAATCATAATCATAAGGGTTATTGTATCCCTAAAAATTGAGATTAAAAAGGTACTTCAAAAACCACTTTTTTTCTTTTAAACAACAAAACATGATTAAAAATGTAACAAGGCAAAGATTCCTCTACTTCTTTTCATGTTCACTGGGTTGCAAGGAAAACTAAGTACTAAAATATTTTCTTAATGTGGCATCCAAATTTTGGAGTCTTAGTGGCAAAAGTTTCCTAGTTATCATTGTTTTGAAGTTGAGTATTTTTTGAAAGACTGTAAAAGCAGATTGTCACGAAAAACCAACAAATATCAAAACCTGAAGTACTCTATTTTTTTCCAAAAAAAATAACAAGAAAATATTTGGACTTGTTTTTTAAAAATGGAAATTTTACAGTTTCATAGTTTTTCTTGAGCCTAGTACTAAAGTTTCCTAAATTTTGGCCATCCTAGTAATAGTTTCTTAAAAACCAGAATCTTGTTAACAAAACAAAGTGTAGCTGCTTTTATATACTAATTTTTCCATTTTTTGCTATGGGAAACAATCTTATTATGAATACTGTTATAACTTTTGTGAATCAACATAACTTACAAAGTAGCATCTATCCGAATCTATCACAATCTTATCATTCTTTATTGCAAAATAAAAGTCAGGAAGCGATCGAAGCAATCAAAGTTAATCAGAAAATAGGAAAGCAAGTGTACCATTCCACGCTTTGCGGCCTTTTGCTTTTCCTTTGTATTTATGTGAGCTTCTATAGAAGTCTGTCCATGTGATATTAGCCACATATGCCACAAATTGAGTAATCCTAAGGCACAGGTCACAGCAGAACAAAGCAGAAACAGATAAATAATTGCAAGGTGCTCATAACTGTCAGAATGATCCCAGCCACCTGGATGATCCTGAAAATAGAAGGTATACAGTGAAATGAATTACACAATAAAAAATCTTCAGAAAAATGGGAATTTATGTTGCAGAAATGGGTTCTGTGACAAAATATTCTGTAATAAGTACTGTAAAGATACAGTTAACAAAAGTAAGTCGTAATCTAACATTTTTTCTTTCCTTGCTTGGTGTTACACCCATTTTTCAAGTTCAATCTGCTTCCTTGTTTTACATTTCAGGTTTCAAGCTTTGCTTGACATAGTAATTCATGGTTTATTAATCTTCCACAATTTTACGACATCGTAAAAGGGTTCAGACCGTTTTTATAAAAAACAAGTGTAAAATTTTCTCCTTCTGATAGAAATTTTTCATCAGTACTTCATATATTAAGATACTAGAAGATATGGGTGCAAGAGTTTTAAAAGTTATCTTCAAACAACACAAATTGCAGAAAATTTAATTCTCTTTGTGAATAGTTGTATCATAATTCATAAATCATTTGCTCAACATCCGTTCTCATAATCAACAGGGTTATTGGTATCTTTTCAAACAAATATTTACCCTATACTTAAAAATTGGTGCTGAGCTTTGCTCTACTGTTTTCACAGACTGTAGAAGCTGAAAGAAAAAATCAGTGAATATAATATAAAAAATGATTTCAATTATTTGTTTCTTAATGTTTTTACAAAAAGGCTTAAACTATGCGGTGTCAACCACCATCCATAAATTTAAAAATCCAGAATGACATTGGAACCACAAAGCTCTAAAACTAAACATTTGCCCACCAAAGTTTTCACATAATAATTTGCTTCTCCAAGCAAAGTTGTTATTTTGTTTATTCATTTCTTCTTTAAATATATTTTTTATACACATGATTTTGGGTGCCCCAAATTTGCCTAAACACACCCCAACCTAACTCTCTGCTCCAGGAAAACATTGTACACCAGATGTGCTTCATTAGATTTCCATCCGACCTCTTATTTGATCAAAAAATGCCTTTGTATTGCTTCAATTACGAATATCATTTAAAAAGATTCAAGTTCATAAAAACAATCATCAATGATACCTTTGTTTACTTACATCTTTAAAAAAAATTGCAGGACCAAATTTCAAGAAGATATTATTTGTTTCTCTTTTTTCTGTGTCAAAAATTGTCTGCAAAAATGAAAAAAAATTCCTGTCTTGACAAGTTTTAATTCTTTGAAAATCTGTTCATATTCATAGGGGTAGAAATTAAAGAAGGTCTTATTACATCAATATGACCCCATCATGGTTTTATCTGTTGGAAAAGTTTGTCCATGTTTAGTTGCAAAATTATACCTGTAAACTGATTGGATTTTCTTGAAGGTTTTGTTACTTTTGAATTGACAGCATCATTACAAAAAAACTGGAAAAGCTAGATGATTAAATATGATAAATAAAATCTTTTTCTACAGTAAAAGAGGACCCGCACTTAAAATTCTTCATATTGGGGCTTATACTTTACCTAAAGGTTATTCAAGCTCACAAAACATTTTATGAAAATATAATTAAATTTGAAAAAGAGATCCCACACTTATAATTGCTGATCTGGGAGCTTATCCTCTACCCAAAGCTGATTCATGACTCACAAAAAGATTTTATGAAAACATGATCAAATTTCATGGCTGAAATAGATTGATTATCTTCCTCTGAAGTAAGAACATTTCAAGGGGATAAAAATATCATCAGACTAAATACGTATACACACCGCTGGATGAAAAAAGTGATAAGTAAATAAATCAAATGTGGTAAAGCAGACATATAGAGTTCCAAGCCACATGAAAATGCAAAACAGTATGAAATATCTATGGTTGTAAAAGCCAATGCAGTTGTTCATCCAAGCTGAAATATTGGGTCAAGGAATAAAAAAGGGCAAAATTAATAAATATATAGTTATTTAGTAGCTAAGATTAATTTTACAATTTAAGTTTATTCTAATATCTACCAGGCCCATTTCAAAGCTGGTGCATATGTACTTGAAAGCGGATATACCGACTGGGAGAGGGATGCATAATGTCATGAGTAATGGTACTAGATTTAGTACAAAATTAGAGCTCGGATGGGTGAAAGGTGAAGGATACGACAATGGTGATCCATCTTCAGAAAACATCTGAAAAAGATAAAAGCACTCTCAAAGTTGTCATTATTAATGTGCCTCTGTCATTATGTATTGTTTTTAAAGCAAAGATAGTCCATTTGAAGTTATTGGACACCTAAGATCTAAAGTGTTACTGTATATATTGGAAAAGCTTGCAGACACGAGTATAAATAGAAACAGTGTTCAAGAAAGCATACAAAAACCATTAAGAGCTACAGAGGCTTACTTGTTACAAACAGAACAGTGATGTGCTCTTGGAGGCTTTGGCTGAATGCCTGGAGAAATGGTAGAATGCAAACAGTCAAAACAGCAATTGATTAGACACTCAAAGAATAAAAGGTCTTTGATCAAAAAATGAAATGGAGTTTAAACGATCTTATAAAATGATACAGAGCTTGTTAAAAACAATACTTCAACACAAAACAGATATAGATTAACATGAAACAGCACTGCTACCCACATTTTCTGCAAACAAGTGCACTTGTAATCTTCTCCATTGGTGTTCCCTAGAATAATAAACATGTAGGAGTGCCTGCTTTAGCTCAACTCTGTTAGCATTCAGAAAACCATATTCTGAAACACTAAATAAATTGAATTTTATGACTTCATTTAATGAAAAAAAATACAGATCTTGAATATTTACATGCAAAGGATGCTTTGAAACCAACTAGAGCAACGATGCTTGAAGATTGTTAAATGAATACCTATCTGCTTTGTATCAAGAGTTCAATGAATACCAGAAAAATAAAATGAGAACTGGACAAACAAGCTTTTACTTCATTAAGCATAAATTTAATGTTAAATGCAAGTATGTGACAACTTTCAAAATTAGCCTCAAAATTATCTCCTTTCCTTAGCCCTTACTTTTAAATGGGGTATAAGGAGTCTAAAAGATTGGGTAAGGACCTTCCATTATTTTCTTCTTTGAATATAAAGTTTACTGAGGACAGGAGCTTTCAAACAGCGACAAAATAGAGCTCTCAAGGTAAATCTAAAATGGAATATTTAGCTTTCATAAAAAAATGTAAATGGAATTCAGCAAAGGGGAAAATCACTCCAAGAAAATCTCGTACACTTTTTCTGAAAATCCTATTGTGTCATTCAAAAATACCTAGAAATCCTTTTGTTTTAGGAAAAATCTTGTACGCTATTTGCAAGAGTGAATTGCTCCTCGGAATTCAGACTGTGCTCAAGAATAAGTTTCTGTATAGTTTCAATACTGCAAACAATTGAAATGGCAGCATAATTTAGTTGAACTTTGCAATACTTATCTCTTTTTAGATTGAGGGCCTACTGTACTAGGGTATGACATATTTTCAATAACAATTACCTGAGGTGGAATACCAGGATCAGTGAACACAGCCTTGAAATAGTGGAACACTATATTGATAAGCAGCCAATGGGCAATGATTATGTGACCAAAAACCCACAAGCTGTTGAAAGTTCGAATCAATGGCAGCAAATAGAAATACCAAATAATGACAACTGAAGCTGTTAACAGTGTCACCAAGACAACAAAGATCTGCAACAAAAGAAAGTAGTTCTCATAAAATTACGACTTATGGATGAATGTCTGTGAATAATTATGGAAACTGTAACTACGCACCCTAAGTATGAGAGCGGCATGAAAAATAGTGTGAGAGAAAAGGAAGGGATGAAACTGATTTTAGCTGAGAGTTGCACAGCAATCCCTACTTAGTAGACACATATGATCACCCATGCTCCTCATCACACTCTTTCAGTTATACTTAAACTGTTTTTTCAGTACACACATTTGCCATCCATTTTTATTTTCTAAGTTAGAATATAGCTTCCTTAGAAGTTGTGTTTTCAAAACTTAGAGCAAAAGTTATGCAAAACTACATAGCTTTGAGGATGATGGAAAGATTGATGAAGCCAAAAAGTTCCATGATATTGTCTATAAATGGAATCAAGCTGAATGGGTGAGGGGATGAATAGACTATGGATTTCTGCAATGAGGCAAAAAAAGGAGAGATAAATGATTTCCATTTATTTGGGCAAAAGCTCTGCAATTTGATATATTTGTTCATTGAAGAAATCTTTTTAATAAAGGAGGAAGGACATAATTTATCTGTGATCAAAATTGTAAATACTAATCTGCATCCACAAGCTTCAATTTTTTCAACAATGCAAAAACAAAAATATTTGAAGTTTTTACCAGATACATTCTTTAATGGTATCAGATTATAGAACAAAAGCTTGGTCTTTACCAAATTTAAGAAACATACCATGGAAAACAATTTATAAAATTGCATTGCAATAGCATTGCTTCAAGCATGGCAGCCTGAGTAAAGTCCACACACCATGCAGCCATTGGGATAGCAGGGGCTATAGCTTCCTCCCCACTTTCTTGCAATAATGTTCTAGAAATTTTTTGGAAAGTTTACTAGAAATAGAAGGGATCCAACGGGTCCTTTACTCCAATGCATCCTATGCAGTAGCAGTTCTTATTGGCTTCGAACACTTTTTTGTTCATTTTCTTGGTGTTTTATCTTGTTTAATGATACGTTGTTTTTTAATTTGGTTAGCTTGGTCAAAATAAGCAAGTAATCTCTAAAAGAGGCGTTTTCCGGCATACTAAAGGGCGTGACCTTTTAAATTTTCTGGTCACACCCATCTCAGCCTCCCCCTCCCCTACTTTAGACAGGTGTGTGGTGCCTGCACTATAAACAAAGGGAATTTCCTCAAAATACAACAGGCACTGCACATGAGACATCTGAGAGCTTGATAGTTATTGACAAGACCTTCTGCGTGCAGTTGTGTATATATAGTTTGCAATCGGTGTTGCAGTCTTTTTTGCAAGTGTAGCTGCAATTCAAGTGCATGTCTGTTTATCAGCCTGTTTATCTGAGACGATTGTTTTAGGCAAGCCAAAATTTCACCCGGAGCTGAGATACAAGCGAGTCTGTCTTTTAAAGGACAGGAGGCGGCCACTATTTTTGGCATGGCGTCCACTGTTTTTTACAGTTTCTATTTGGCCTAACCACAATTAATAAACAATGAACGGACTCACCATCCCTATGTAACAAGCGACATTATCAACAAACCAATACACTGGCTCAAAAGCAGCGTCTACAATGAAGTATCTACTTCTACATGTATCATGTGCCAAAGATCTTAAAGTTAAAGCTAAAACACGATAATACTCATTTAACTTCCTGTACAACCCCATTTTGAAAGTTTTTGCTCAAGCAAGAAGTCTCGGTTTCACTCGCATTGAGAAGGCATGTACAGGTGTTGGCGGGAAAACTTAAATCATGTGCCAAAGATCTTAAAGATTTAAAAAAAATGCATAAACAACGTCAAAAGCCTTGGATTACTAAAGGAATTTTAAATCAACATCAATTAAAAATAAATATTATAACAAATTTATGAACACAAAAAAGTCGGATTACTATAAGGAAGATAAATATTACAGAGATCAAATTAATCATCTTATTAAAAAAAGTAAAAACGACTATTACATTACCTATTTTGACAAATTTAAAAAAAACTCTAAAAAACTTTGGTCTGCGGTAAAAGAAATCATAAACAAAAATATAAATACTAAAAATCCTGTCCTAAATATACAGGTAAATGGGAAACTCATCTCAGATAACAAAACAATTGCTAACTCTTTTAATAAGTACTTCACAACAATAGTACAAAAATTACAGGAAAAAATGAAGCCATCATCAGTTCTCTTTTCAAATTATATGCACAATAACAATCCTGAGAGTATATTCTTAGATCCAGTGACTCCCGAACAAGTAAATGACATCATTGCTAATCTAGATGAAAGTAAAGCAAATGACTCCTATGATGTTCCCCCAGAGTTAATTAAGCTTGTTCGTCATACTCTTTCAAAACCATTCTCAATTATTGCTGACTCATCGTTCACAGAGGGAGTATTCCTTGACAAATTAAAATTTGCTAAGGTTACACCAATTTACAAAAGCAAATCAAAACAAGAAGTTGGAAATTATCGTTCTATCTCAATCCTTCCTATATTTAGTAAAATACTCGAAAAACTAATGAACCATCGTTTGGTTAAGTTCTTAAACTAACACAATATCATCTTTGAATATCAATATGGATTTCAAATAAGTAAATCAACTACTTCAGCAATTCTGGAGCTTCAGTCACAATTAATTAACAACATTGAGAATAATCTTACTTCATGCTGCAGATTTCTTGATCTGTCCAAAGCATTTGATACAGTCAATCATAAAATTCTATTAGATAAGTTAAAGCACTATGGAATTGGGGGTGTAGTTCACACCTGGTTTAAATCATACCTGATAATAGAACTCAAATTGTTACTGTGAATGGCCAGAACTCTGCAGAATTGAAAATTAATTGTGGTGTCCCACATAGGAGCGTATTAGGCCCCCTCCTCTTCTTGCTTTATATTAATGACATATATAACTCCTCCAAAGTCCTTGAATTTCGTCTCTTTGCCGATGACACAAGTATTTTGTTTGCTGATAAAAGCCTAAACACAATTGAACAAACAGTGAAATAGGAAATGAAAAATGTTTCTGAATGGCTCTTAGCTAATAAGTTATCACTTAATGTGGCTAAATTTAACTTTCTTATAGTAAGACCTGATAATACTGATAGAACTATAAATCTAAAAATAAATGATGAAAATTTAAAACAAGAAACCTTCTCAAAGTACCTTACTGTCTTAATTGATGAGAAATTCAACTGGAGACAACACATAAATCAATTGAATACTAAAATATCTAAAAATATTGGTATCCTGTACCAAAAAGCACCCTCGTAACACTATACAACTCTTTTATTCAATCTCATGATCTTTATGGACTTCTTAACTGGGGTTGTGCTAATAAAACTACTCTTGAACCTTTAAAAATAATCTTACGTAAAGCTGTCAGAGTAATAGATTTTGCTTCTTACACAGCACACACAGAACCGATCTTCAAACGCTTCAATTTATTAAACTTAGAAAATCTATACAAGCTCGAAACAGCGAAATTTATGTTTCAAATCAACCAGGAAAATCATAGTAACTTTCTTCAAAAGGAATTTATAAAAACTAGTAAACTACATTGCTATAATACGAGACAATCATCCGATCTTTGCTTCTCTCTGCCCTCTATTTCTAAAAATTTCAAAAAAAACTTTCTAACATTTGATGGGGTCAAGCTCTGGAACTCCTTGCCAATTGAACTTAAGAATACTCGAAACAAAAATCCCTTGAAAATATACCTTCTACAGAACTCCTAAGCAACTATGAATTGCTCAACATTTCTCAAATATATCCCTAACCAGTAGAACTTACCAGCCTACTGCCTTTATATTGTTTTTCTATATCTTTTCTTTTTCGTCTTTATCCCCTTTACTTATAATTCATCTTATTTCCTTTATATTCTTTTCTTACTGTTAAATATAACTTCAAACTGAAATGGAAATCTTGTGTTTAAATCGTCATTAGGGCACATGACTCGATAGCTCTTCGCGAGTTTTTTCATGTTTCCTTCAGCATAACAAATCTAATGTATCTGTTGTACTTAATTAAATATATTTTAAAATTGTTAATTTTTGTTTTTTAACTTTGAATGTTTGGTATATTGTAATTAACATTTGTTCTTGCTGATAAAAGATTTTGAGTTTGAGTTCATATCTCACTACTTACGGAAATTTTCTTAACGAGGTTGTTTGTAGATTGATTAAAAATTCATTCATTCATTCATTCATTCATTCATTCATTCATTCATTCATTCATTCATTCATTCATTCATTCATTCATTCATTCATTCATTCATTCATTCATTCATTCATTCATTCATTCATTCATTCATTCATTCATTCATTCATTCATTCATTCATTCATTCATTCATTCATTCATTCATTCATTCGTTCGTTCATTCATTCGTTCGTTCATTCATTCATTCATTCGTTCGTTCATTCATTCGTTCGTTCATTCATTCATTCGTTCATTCATTCATTCGTTCATTCATTCATTCATTCAGCTTTTCGTGGTGCTAGAATCGCATTATTTGTATAAAATACAATTCTGAAATTAGAGCATTTGAGCCTTAGCTTATGCAAAAGAGAAAAGGAAATAGGAAATTTCAGGTAAAATCCGCCCAGTGGAAGAAACGCTTAAGGTATTTCAGCGACCTTCATGTATTAACATTGATAAAGGATCAAGCAAAGATAGTTGCTCCTTTGGCTAAATATGATATTTCTTGATATGAAGGAAGATAAAAAAACTAGCGACTTGAAGATTTGAAGATTTCTTGTTGGCACCAAATCTAAAAGTTCAGGCACTCTTTAGGTAAAATTGTGTCTTGTGTCCATTTCCCCTAAAAAGGCATGCTAAGTTGCAAAGAGGGATCTAAATTGGCAACCAGTGCTGCTTGTTACCTAGCCTTAGAAGTAACCGACAACATGGAATTTTTCAAGACCACGGCGAAATTGCACCAGTTGTTTTTATCTGCTGCTCAATTTGTTTGCAAAAATGGAAGAATTTTCGGTAGGATTAGGAGGATTGCTTTAGTAAAATGTACTTAAAAGAGAACATTTTCCAATGAACTGGAAGCATCAAAATTCGAAAATTTTCTGGTCCTTCGGAGGCAACCATGGTGCCGCCTCGGGTATTTTGCAAAACCATTAGGAAAGTCCGTTATAATCATTTTAAAATGAATGTTGTGAATTATATGCCACACAGTTAGATTGACAAAATGTATTGCAGAGGTTTGTGACAGCAACTTAAGAATTTCAGGTAATTGTTTCTAATCAGGTAAATTTGTAGTCCACCCCCCCCCCAACAAGGCTTGCCTCGCGACGACCCTGGGTTCTTTCTTTTCACACATTTTAAAACTTTGTCAGGTCTAAGCTACGCAGACTGTGGCGAAATAATGGAGGTAGAATCACAAGTAATTTAAGCGGAGCTACTCACTAAGAAAATAAAAATAAATATCTAAACAAAAGTTACCCTGATTACAAAAGAGTTAAATATAATCAAAATGTTAAAGGCATTGAGTCATGGTAAATAGGCCTTCTCTATAGGGGGTCATTTGGTTTCGGCGTGATCGCTGCTGTTTCATGTGATACTTGCATCCGTTGTTCAAACTCAAAATCTTTATCAGCGAAAACAAATGTTAATTACAATATACCAAGAATTAAAAATTAGAATACAAAAGTTAGCATTTTCAAAAATTTAATCAATTAATTACATCAGATAAAGTGGTTTTGTTATGCTGAAGGACACATGAGAAAAACTCGCGAGGAGCTATCGAGTCATTGTTGAAAAATTATTTGTGATACAGACCTTTTAACCCTTTCTGGTGCTGCTAGGAGGAGACATAATGAGTATTTCTTCCAGCTTGAAGCGGGAAAGAAATTCAGACAAAAGAGAGAACTGAATTAGACAGACATTATCAAAGCGACATTGACATTATCAATATACTTTTTTATCTTTTCCTTGGTTTAAATTACGCTGATCTTTCGGCTTGACAGTATGGTGTTCAAAGCAGCTTTCTTTATTGTTCTCTTGCGACAAAATAACCGTTCTGGTTTATAACTAAAATCTGATCAAAGTCACGATAGGATGAAAAGAGAGAGTATTTTTGCAAAAAAAAGAATCGTGACTAGTAACTTTGCTTGGTTTGGTCGAATTGCCCATACCCGAAATAGGTTTCTAAAAGTCTACCAGAGCAAAGTAACAGACTGGATATGTTACGGACTTTTCTTCACTAACTCTTATCTGTTTTATCTGTCTGTCAGCTCATGCACTTTGTATTAAATAAATGCTGTAAACATTTTACACTGGGAGGGAATTGAGTGAAAACAATAATCATTTATCACAAATGACACAATTTATCTTCAGTAATCTAATTCTCCTATGATTCTGCACGTTACAATTTCGCTTTCCGGGTACCTTTGTTTGCCCCCTCCTCACAGAACCCCTATATTATTAGGCATTCCTACAATTTTTGTCGTCAGAGTCTAATCTTTGATATCGCACAATCACATTAAGTTTAATTTGCTTCAAATTTATTCTTTTATATCGAAGAACAGAATAATATGATCTAGCATTTTCCTTTACTTGTGAAATTTTATTTTTAAAGCCAACAATCCTCTACCCTCCCCTTTAATTTTCTCTACCAGCTTCACAGATTTCGATTTGATACTATTTCTGATTGATGATCCTTCATCTTTTATCAGAGCTCGACTTGTTCTCGCACAGGTTGCCATTTTCCGAGTGTTTTTACAATAATTTTACGGGATATGTTACCTGTTGAAGATCATAGGTTTAAAATTTCTCCATTCATTATTCATGGAGCTATTTCCTCTGCACTTGCTTATGATTGGACGATACATTGCACTATATGACACGCTTTTCAAGAGTGCAAATGAAGATATTTCCTGTTTGTTTGAGCACCGACAAACTCTCCTTGAACCATGACATTGAAAAGCTTTGTTTAGTACTGTCTCGATCTCAAGCTGGTTTATTAGAGAAGTTTCGCGGACATTGCTGGTGTTGTTGGCGGCTGGGAGATCTTGTCAACTCAGGATTTGATCAAATTGTTGTTTAAAATGCTGACAAAGCTAGCAAAGCTTCGTTCCTGTACATATCTACACCGACAAACTCGTTTGTCGCCTGTTAAACTTTTCTCTCGACAACTTGTCCTCCCTGGAGGGCCTGGTCCTGCTGTCATACATGGCCTGCCTTCTCCTCAGAAAAAGTTACCGTTAAGTTATCGGAACCAGTTAAAAAATGCAAAGCGTGTTGTGGTGAAGCTTGGATCTGCTGTTGTGACAAGAGATGATGAGTGTGGACTAGCTCTAGGAAGGCTGGCTGCCATAGTAGAACAGGTTTGTGTCAACTGTTACAATTCTCGACATGATGTTACCCCTGGGGGTATTTCGAAAATTTTTGAAAGAGAAATGTCAAGATGACTGATCTAACTAAAGGTATTTGGGTAGCCTGATTTGTTGCCTCATTTTCATAGGTTTCAAAATTTTTCCTGTTTAATTGAAACCAACTCGGAATCTTCCTGTTTTAATTAATTGATGTCCATGGATGGCCCGCTTACAAAAACATAACGCTGATTGCATCACACGTCGTTTCCCTGTGAACTGCCCACGTGTGCAGTGAATACTTGAATGAATGTTGCATCAGAAGAAAGGAAGCCTAGCAACTTACTATAATGGCACCATCAAGCCAGGATAATTGACAATAGTTAACAGTTATGATAGTGATTTTGAATTAAATAACATGAGGCGAACTATTGTTTTATTTTCATGTAACTAGCGTGAAGTTTCTTCGTTGGCAACAAAGAGTTTTGGAAGAAACAGCAAAGAAAAAGAAAATTTTCAGATTGAACAAAAGCCATAACCATTATTTTCACTGTTAGTGAACCATTATTTACACTGTTAGTGAACCTTTTCCCGTCACGTGAACTGTGTCCCTCGTCATTCTCTTGTCCTGTATTCAATGATTTCCCACTAACAAATTGCTAAAAATAAAGTTCGACGTCAAATTTCATATCAAGCAAAAGAAAGATTTTGTATGAGTGCTGGCATTCAATTTGGTGATAGTTGGTTGAACCAAACTTTTTATTTCAAAATAAAACAAACATTATTCAGTAAGGTCAGTTGTAGGACTGCTAGGGGATCTTAAGGTCAGGGTGATCCAGAATCAATCCAGACTGTTACATGGACAAAAGTGGGGACTGAAAGGATGGGCATAAGAAATTTACACTTTACCATGCCCTGCAGTTTTTTGGATACTCCCTATTTTAGTACAAGCCTGTTACAGACTTCCTTTTTGCAAGATGCCATCATGATCAGTCAAATTATAAATTTCTGAATATTTTTTCATGCAGTGGGAGATTATATGATCCTTCTGTACATTTCATGACAATTAAATGGGCTCTCTAATAATTACAACATCTCTTAACCACATGGATTTGATGTTATAAAGTCATTATTTATTCTGTGGCTACTAGCTAGGCCTTGTCAGGCAGGGAGATTTTTTGGATTTGAAAAAAGCAAAATAATTTTAATGAACAAAGCACTTTATTAGAATGTCAAAAATACATATGTCCCATGCAAAATGAGTGAAACTCTGGCTATTACCCTGCAGGCCCCTGTTAATTTCTAGGTTAACAGTTTTTTACCAGTTTAAATTTTAGTTAACTTGATGTGCTAACTTAATAGTGTAGGTTCTTCTGATTTTCGTAGCTACAGTTCTGTCACCCACATAAGCAGAGTACTTCTTGGTTGGCATGGAGTTGGAGTTTATTCATGGAGTTTATTAGAATATAAAATATTATAATATGTGTGACAAGAATAGATTGAGTCCAAATAATCCTGAGCTTTCTGAATTTTTAATGAGACTAGGAAACCCAGAAACTCAATAGACAGGTTCTAGTATATGGGTAGCCCAGCCTTCATGCTAAATATATTTCTGATTATGACGCAGCTTATGATTGAGCAAGGCAAAGAGAAGTTTTGATAAATGCCTGGTCAAGGCATTCCAGATTTATCAAAGCTTGTTTATAACCTTATGAAAAGTCAGATTGCAAGAAGATCCCAAAGTAGATAATTTCTGCAAGAAATGTGTCTTTAGCGACATGTTGTTAAAAGAGCATCATCAAAGTCCCGTTTCTCTATATGCTCTGTCTGCTTATTGAGTGTGTAACATTATTTGTTTCTGTCAGTGGTTTCTTTTTTTGTAATAAGACTCTCTCTCAACAGGTTTCAGAACTCCAAAATGCAGGGAAGCAAATGATGGTAGTTACCAGTGGTGCTGTTGCATATGGCAAACAAAGATTGCGAGGAGAAATGTCAATGCAACAGACCTTGAGACAGTCATTGAATTACTCAAGAAATGGTCCCACTTCACATCCAGTGAGACAAACTTATTTTTTTGCAGTAGAGCTAAACCTTAACTAAAACCAAAGGCTATCTCCATTTGATTTTACCCTATTTGGTGTATAGAATGATAATTCTAGGTTGCTACTTCAAGTTTAATGCTTAAGGCACCACCAAGTTGCTACCTCGAGCTTCACTGCCATTGGAAAAAGAGGAAACATGAGAAGTTATCTTCTAACAAGATTTTTATTATGGCATATGAATCTGGAATTGAGATTTTATATTGAGCTTTTTATGGAATTCTCAAAATTGTGATTCCAAAATTTTGGGAAATTTTATGTTGAGAAGAAATTATTTTTTGTTTGTTTAAACAGTCAATTATTTAATAAATTTTGAGAGTAAACTTTAAGAATAACATATTTTTGGTTTTGAAAAGTTAAACAGTATCTACCACATCCCTTTGATTGAATACCTAGAGCAAATAATGGGTTTTTGTGATTAAAAATTGTGTTGTCAAAGCTTCAATATATCCTATCACATGCTAAGAGTAAGAAAAAGCTATTATTCATGAGACACCATTAGATTTCACTGTGATGGTATCCTGTTTTTTATACTAGAAAAGCAGCTATATTGAGCCAAGAGCATGTGCAGCTGTTGGCCAAGGAGGGCTTGTTTCTCTTTACGAAACAATGTTTAATCAATATGGAATATCTGTGGCTCAGGTGAAGATTTTTTTAGAAAATTTATTTGTAAACATAGGGTTATTGTATTGCAATGTGCTGCTGATATATATTGTGTCAACCTTGAGGCATTTTATAAGCCAGAGAGGTAGGTCACTTTTTCTCTGATGAAGCCCCTTAATGCAGGGAATGAAGCCCCTTTATGCTGGGGTAGTAGAAAAGTATTGGTATTAGCCTCTAAAATTAAGACATAGGAAGGCCCCCACTTGTGGTCGTAAAATTATTTAACAGGGATGGAGCTTATATTTTCTGATCTAGGGAGGGTGGAAAAATACATTTTCAGTATGATGATTTGGAATAGCTTTTGGCAATACCATATCTTGCAAAATCATTTGAAGAAACTGGCCTCTGCTGCCCCCTCCCTCCAGACACTGATTTGCCTGTGTTTTTTGTTCTCATCATGTTCTCACATTTTCTGACATGAATTTTAGCATAAATAGAATTCATCAGGAGTTTTGCTAGTTTTCTCAAGACAGTTGAGTTTTTGAGCAGACCATATTTTCTTTACAAAGCATGCTTTTGATAAGGGAAAATGAAAATGAGTTTTTAGATATTTGAATATTTTAAGAGCATTTGCAGGTAAAGCCGGTCTACTCCAGACTATAGCTGTAGGTATCTAGGGTATATTTATCAGCAAAAATAGTTGCCAAAGTACCCTAAGCTTCTCTGCTGTCATTAATGCACCATCATATAATTTTTGAACTTTTTATATTTGATTATGTTTATTTGCATAAACATGATAATGCTCAAACATCATCCTATGTTTTGAGTAGCAAAACATTGAAATTTATAGCTGAATTAGAAAAAATTTTAGAATATTCCAAACATTTTTTTGTAATAGGGTTTTTTGGATTCTAGCATTTGAAGATAAAGCAAATTGCTTTTTTTCTAAAATAACAAAGGTACTTGTCACAAAGCCTGACTTCCGAGATCAGTACAGTAGAGCAAATTTGAAAACCACCCTAGAAGAACTGCTGAAGATGCACTGTATTCCAATTGTAAATGCCAACGATGTTGTTGCTCCTCCACCAAGTCAAGACGTAGATCTTGCAGGGGTATGTAAAGACATTTGATTTATGACATCACTAACCAGGTTCTTTTGCTGATTCTCCTTCCTTTCTTCCCTGTTTCTTTTTTTTCTGTTTATGATTTTGTTTAATTGGACAAACATCTATTAATATTCAACGGGGTAATAAAATTTTATTAACCTGAAGAGTTTAATATGAGCTGGTTATAATTGTTAAAGTTAGGCAAATTCTTATATTTCTTTTATGTTTTTTATATGCTTAATTAAAACTATGCACATTTGTTCTTTCTTCTTTAAAACCTTTTATGAAGTAAGATGTTTTTTTCTTAAATTAATCTCTAATTTTAAAATAATTTGATATCAAAGCACTTACTGAATAATCTGCACATTTTGTTTTTGTAGTTAACGCCTCGACAACAGACGGTAAGTGCCAACAGTAGTCATTAAAGAAATAAAATGCATGATTAATTCATTTAAATTAAAAAATAGCTAAATTATTTATATGACTTAAAGTTTTATCTAAATTTGTAAACTGCACATTTATAAGTTTTAAAATATATATGATTTAAATTTTGAAAACTAAAAAGTATTTGAATCTATTTATATATAAACTTAAATTTTTTTAAGATAACAAAACATTTGAAAAAGCTAAAGTTCCAAGCTAACTACTATATATAGTTTTTTGCTTATATTTTCTACCTTCTTTTTCTGTTCTCTTTCTTGTCCTTTCTTTCTCATCTTCGTATTCACAATAAAATCGCATTACAGGAATAGATTTAAATCTAAGATAAAAGGACGCTTGAATTTTGATAAGACATGGACTTGCGACGTAGAACATTTTTCTGAAATGATTGTTTCTTGTTTTTTAGTATCTTTCTGCCAATAAAACGGTGAGTCCGCACAGAAATGTTAAGTTTAACATCGACTGTTATAATTTTGTATCAAATGGAAGCGTTAAGACCATGACATATCAAAATGCAAGTTATTCAATAATATTATTAAAAACATAGTAGGCCAGTTTAATATGAAACGTAAAAATGCGAAACATAAGAATGCGAAAGGTAACTTCCTTGACTTGAATAGGTATATGTTTTAAATCAGAGTGTGTGCAAAGTTCTTAAAATCCAGTTCGGTGTGGGGATGGCTCAATGGCTACGGTCGCGAACTACAGATCTAAAGTGTCTTGGGCTCGAGACCCTACCATGACCAGACATTCACTAAGTATGAAGGGAATCGCCAGCTTTCTGCAATTCCAGGCGTAAGAATCACGAGGTGTGGTCACATCGAGAGTTAGGACTACGACACTGCTAAACAAGCTCAGCTCCTCAGTATCTTTAAAAAACCTTCGGAAGCTAGATAGTCACAATTGCAAATTATACAAAGGAAATAAATACAAAAATGGTTCAAGATATATCCGGAGTCCACAAGACGTCCCATACAAAATGATCAGAAATAATAGCTATGACTATATCTACAATGCTGGAAAAAAGATATTGAGATTATGCACACCCTTCCCCCGGCTCCATGTTGATATCTCTGTTACTAAGGTACATAAGCCGCAACTTGCAACGGGGGAGGTAAGTGATGTTGGAGTTGGTTTGCATGCTACCCGGCATGTGTTTTGGCGTTGTTTAAGATTGTAGATTTTAAGGTGACTGACAATACAGTTAGCCGACGAGACATTTAGGGTTTAAGATCGATGGATAAACAGATTTTATTTCTAGATAGATAACATAAAGGTAGAACAAATAACAATTTATCTTAGGGTCAGTGAGGATAGCAAAACCAGAAGGAAATTGGTTTCGGTAACAGGAAAAACAACAGAATAACTTGATTGCCCTAAATGTATGCACCTAATGATATGCACATACAAACACACCCTCTCCTTTTCTCGAGAATGTTTACCTTTTTCACAAGGTAAGTAAAAATTAACTGGAAATTCATGCAGATGTTGCCTCGGAATATGGCTCATATGATAGTAAGCAGGTGACCTTTTGAGAGATTCTTGCACATAAAAGGTATCTGAGATGGCAGTGAATTATTTTCTATGGCATCGTTCATTTCTTTTTTATCTGTTTGAGCACATATTCGAAAGATGCAGTTACGGCTGTAGATGGATTAAAAGAAGTAATATGATTTGAAACGTACTAATAACCAATGTCTGCGTTGCCGGAGGAAGCTGCTGTGTGTGAATGAATTTTCTAGTTATCAAAAGCAATCGACGAGTAGAATCATTATTTACTAGGAGGAAGTGAGTATTTGAAATGATATGAATGAATATATGTATAGACATAATCAATTGAAATGGATTTCATTCTGAACTTTCCGTTTTTAGGTTATTAGCCTGAAGGACAATGATAGCCTGGCAGCACTTTTTGCAGTGGAAATGAATGCGGATTTGCTGATTCTGCTTTCTGATGTCGATGGCATATACACAGGCCCACCCGACCTAGAAACCTCACGATTCATTGATGTGTTTAGGCCAGGGGATATTGAAAATATTAAATTTGGTGGAAAATCTAGAGTTGGCCTTGGCGGAATGGAATCTAAGGTACGTGAAAGTGATCAGCGTCATTTGTAACCTTTGCACGTACTGTTTACCTCGTTTTATAGCTAGTTAGAATTTTGCCCCAATTGTTAACGATATTGACATGAAAGTGTCAACCCTTCAACCTCTTTAAATTGGCTAAATGGAAAAATTAGCTGCTTGGGAGAATCGTTTGATTTTTAGGTTAACAACCTTTATCATATTGGACTTAATTTTCCACAATATTTTCTGTTCTACTCTATTTTGTTTTCCTTTTATTCCCTATTCTGGTTTCGGTTCCTATTTCTCAAATCTTGTCTTCTCTTTGCTCGCCTCGATTCCGTTCGAGTCACTTGACAATGAGACAATGAGTACATGCTTGAAACGTCCTGTTTTTCACAGTTTTATTTCTTTTTTGGTGCTTAAATTGTTTATTTATTATATTGTCATCATTTTGAAGAATCAAAATTCTATAAAAATGTTATATCTTTCTAGCATTGACTTTCTTGTTGATTAAAAGTTTAATGGTTTACATTTAAGGTTCGTGCTGCCACTTGGGCTCTTGAAAACAACTGTGCTGTCGTTATTGCTAACGGTGAATTCAAAGATGCAAATATCATCAAGGATATTGTTAATGGAAGAAGAATCGGTACATTTTTTACACTAGCAGAGAAAATTGGAGCTTCGATCGAAGACCAAGCTGCAAAAGGTGCCCTTTCTTTATCAAACTTTCATCTTTTGCTCCTTTCATTGGCAAATATTTTATGATATTTGCCTCATGGTATTTTCTCAGTGATGTTGAAGCAGAATTGTTCCACACGTTCACATTTTCAGTTTCATGTCCTTCACTTGATATCATGGAAATATGAATTTAAAAGAACTTACTTGATGTAAAACTTTAGACGGTTACTAGATGGCAGTCAAAGCTATTCTTAAACTGTATACCCGTAGTTACGCTGATGCAGGAGCGAACTGACCAGTCGGTCACTCAGGACGTGAACCGAGCGGCCGGGTGCTACAGGGGGCCCGACTTTGTTTGTTTCCTGTCCTTTCTTATCCGCACGGGGGCTGTTCAGGGGCGAATGTCCCCAAGAACCCGCCCCTACACTAACAATAGAAATGTTGTGTTGGCTCAATCATGTGTTTATGTTTTTGGCTCGCAAAATTTGCAATTTCAAATATAAACAAGCTTGTGCTTAATAAGATAACTGATAGTATTTGATTGTTTGACGTTTCTGTCCATGTAGCACGCGAAGGAAGCCGAGCTTTGCAGTCGCTGTCTCCAAACCAGGTAAGTTTTCTTCACCCATGAGATCGGAGTTCATTCAAACTTAAACTGATGAAATTGACTGTTGATAGTTAAAAGCAATGAGCGATTGGCGAGAACAACGCAAAGCGACGAGGAGCCATCAAATGTTAGCTAGATGTAATTTGAATAATGAAAAACTTAAGAATAGAGAAAGAGAGGGGGGGGGCGGGGAGGTTGAGGTATTGGTTAAACTTCTTTCTTGATTTTTTTAATTTGAAATAACATTGGATTTCAACTCGTCGCTTTGTGTTGCTTCTATCTATCGTTTATTGTTATCACATTGCAAATTTCAAAGATTCTGGCTGATGGCCAATACGCAGCGCCCCTTCCTTCTGGGAAGATATATTAATGCCCAGGTCTTTGGCTGGAAAGATGAATCACCTAAACCTGTATGTACCAGAAGCCACACAGCTGTCTTTTTTGGGTATAAAACTGTATTTGCAGCAGTATATTGCATTGGCAGAGATTTCCTACAAATAAACACATTTTATCTTCTTTTAACAGAGGGCTGAAATCATTTACCGACTATCAGAGTTGCTTCTTGAAAGACAAGATGACATTTTAAGCGCAAATCAACGAGACTTGGATGCTGCAAGAATTGCCGGGAATCTTCCACCACCTCTTATGTCGCGCCTTGCATTGACAAATAACAAATTAAAAACCTTGTCGGATGGCCTGAGGAAGATTGCTGATGATTCTTTTAGCAATGTAGGCCGTGTGCTCAAGGCAACGCGGCTTGCTAGTGGCCTGGAACTAAATCAAATCACGGTCCCTATTGGTGTTCTCATGGTCATCTTCGAATCGCGTCCAGATGCACTGCCACAGGTTAGATCTCGACCATAATTACTTTGTATTATTGATGTTGGAGATTATTGAAGTTGGAAAATTTGTTGGAAGATGAACGCCTGCTTAAAATAGTGCAGTTGTTGTGAAAGATTTTGGTTAAGAAAGACGCAACAAAGATTGACACTTATTTAAACAAGTATTGAAGCTGAAAACCCATCTAATTGTTCAGTTAAAATTTTTTTCCAAAAAGACGAAGAGAAAATGACCTGCTTTGTGGCGCGGGCTTTTAATTTTAGTTTCAACCTGATAAGGAGGCTCATTCTAACAGTGAAAACATTTTATTTTCAAGGTTGCAGCATTAGCTATTGCATCAGCTAATGGCCTCTTACTGAAGGGTGGAAAAGAGGCTTATCACAGCAACCATTATTTATTCTCGCTTGTACAAGAAGCCTTGTCGTTGCATGGTGCACAAGGTTGTCCACATGCTTCTGCTTTGGTATGTTTCGTTTGCTTTCTTTAGTTGCTTCTAAAATGTTGGATGAAGAGTGCTGCAATAAACGAATGCGTTAGAAATGGTTACACAGCTAATTTGCTGTCTTTTCTAAGTAACTACACTCTGTTCGAAATGAGTCAAACGACGAGCAACTCCATCAACATTTTGTTAACAAAACTAGCCACCAAAGCTGAGTGGTCCTGGGATGAGTGCTGGACGAGTGGCATTTTATCTTTGGGCCTGCAAAGGGGTTGGTATCCCATAGACATTGTCCAAAGATATGGCATTGCTTACAACTATGCCAAAGTCCTCCGAGATTCACCATACCGAAGAAAGATCATTGTATACCGCCCTCTCCCTTCTCCATAATCAACCGGGCAGGCTACGCTTTTCAAAATTAAGTGGCAAGGCATGAACTGATGGCAAAATATTATACCTTTATTAGCTTCTCGCCATATGTGATTTCTATAAATGCTAACTGATACTTGTTAATAATTGATTGATGATTTTCACGAAAACAATGGGGTATTTATTTTTTACGATCTTTTGCAGATAAGTACACGCGACGAGGTGTCCGATTTGTTGCAGCTTGAGAACTGTATCGATTTGGTAATACCACGTGGTTCGAATGAACTGGTTCGCAAGATTCAGGCTGAAAGTAAACACATTCCAGTTTTGGGTCATTCTGAAGGCATTTGTCATGTTTATGTCGACAAAGATGCAGACATGGAAATGGCGTTGCAAATTGGTAATTTTTTAATATTGTCTTGAATATTGCATTTAGGTACAACAAATGGCCTGAAGTTTTATTTGTTTTATGTTCCAACATTGTTAAACGTAGACTGAATTATCGGTAAGTTGGAATTTGCTTTGCAAAAGCATGATTCATAAAAACAAGGAAAAACAGATTGACAGTAAAATCATTGACTGTCTTCATTCCTAGCCTAAATTTGTTTATAACAGTCGACTGGCTTTTCTTTTTAATGTTTTGACAAATGGTGATTTGCATCATAGGAGTAAGAGTATTATGGAAATATTAAAGATTAAAGTGGTTGTTCCACAAGACTCTTTTCTTAGGTTCTCTTTTTGCTTTAAAGAAAAATGCAAATATTCCACTACAAACACTGCAGAGACTCAGAAAATTTACTACTGTCTAGCAGCCTCTGCAGCGTTTCAAAATGTTTGTTTATTTGTCGAGTAAGATCAGTGGCGTAACTACCAAAGGTCGGCTTAAAACTTTTAACGAAAACTTAAGCGACACGCTGCCACCACCAAAGTGAAAATGATGGTTAAGCCACTGAATAATAACGCTTTTTCCGGCATCAGATAACTGCGATGTTGATGAAGGGAATTAGAGTGATATTTTGCTCTTGTTTGCAGTGATTGACTCCAAATGCGACTACCCAGCAGCTTGCAATGCCATGGAGACAATTTTAGTGCACCGAGAGCTTCTCAGGACTTCTGCATTCGATCAAGTATTGGATGAACTCAGAAATAATAATGTAAGTCGTGTTCGTGTCCAAAAGAATCCGAATTAGTGTTTAGTGTTGATCAATTGCATCCCAAACCGGTTTCATTCTTGTTTATTACGCAGCTTTCAATTATCTTCAACACAACTAATGCATTACTGTGCAACCTTTTCTAATATCCAAATGTTATATAGCATCAGCAATGTAAACATTGAAACAGAAACTTTTTCAGTGTTCAAAGATCCTGCTCTTCAATGCCTGAAAACGGTCTAATTTTTGTCACATATATCTCTATGCTTTTCTAAATTTATAGTCAATCGACATGTTTTCTTGTTGTGTATTTAACCATAGTTCGTGCACTTTATGTCTTCTGCCCTATCCCTCAGTACATCTTCCCCAACCCCGCAGCTTCCCCAGCCCTCCAATTTTCCCCAACCCCCAGCGTCTCCTGTTTTCCATCGTTCCTATCCCCCCAGCTCTTCTGCTTTTACATAGGCCTAGGTCTTTTTACCCCTCTGACAATGCCATCAAAAATTTCAACCATTCTCAGTAAAGTCTATGAATAAATTCTAAATGTATACCATTACAATTACAGGTGATTGTTCATGCTGGACCGAGGTTAGCCAAGGCCCTGCCATTTGGGCCTGTGCCTGCCAAATCACTAAAAGTGGAATACAGTTCGCTTGAGTGCGCCATGGAGATCGTTGATGATGTAGAGGATGCTATTAGACATATCAACGAACATGGCAGTGCTCATACAGATGCAATTGTAACTGATTGTGGTCAGTATTATTACGTCACTTTATGGCTTTATTCTGTTACAAACATATGTTTTGCTGAAAACCTTGTTTGGAAGGATTATTTCCTACGGAGAAATGCAGTTAAGGGTTAAGGGTTAGCAGCAGAATGTTGTGTTCGCAAGATACAATAAATGTAGTTTGCTTCAATGAAATCATGCATTTTACTCAAAGTAACAGAATGTAAAGATAATTCAATTTTTTCTGCTTCCTTTCTAATGAGAAAATTATGGTATTTTATTTTTGCATAACAGAGTGTCAAAGTTCCTCGACTTTCCAATAGTCTATATGTGAGACTATACAAACTGCGAAAGGAGAATCCTACTTTCAAAAGGGAATATGACTGCGTAGGACAAATAGCTCCTCCGCTGTAACTTTTCCTCTTCGCAACTCAAATTCTTTTTTACCTGCAGTATTTCCAGTTTGTATTTACCCTAATTATAAGACTTTGAAAAATTCTACAGATTTTCTGATTTGGCTGTTAAATAAATGTTATTTGTAATTGTTATTGATTTGTGATCCCACTAAAATAGGAGCCATTGTTGGTCTGCAAAGATATATTTGACCTACAATGACTGCCAAAAGTACTTGGAACACCCAGCAATTTACGCTGCATTTGATATCTTTCATTCCTTTCATGAAAAAAAATTGCTACTTCCGCCCCTTTCCCCCTAAAACAATGTTGATGATTTAGAGAAATATAACAAAAGAAGGACAAAAGAAGGTGCTTCCTAAAATCCTAACCCGTTTGATAGTAAACCAACATTGTTCTATAGGGGAGAGGGGGATGATTGATTTTGACCTTGAAAATTGATGTCAGTGTTCCAAGACTTTTGGCAGGCATTGTAGTTGCAATCAAGTTTCTTCTTTCGCCCTTCATTTTTTAAAACTCTTATCTTTTTCTCTGTGAAGATATTGGTTTTTATGATTCAATACTTTTTCAAATCAGATCGTATTGCGAAAAGATTCATTCAAGGAGTTGACAGTGCATGTGTTTTCCACAATGCCAGCACACGATTCGCCGATGGATATCGCTTTGGTTTAGGTAGATAATCACGTTTTCCTGAAACTAATTATGTTAATATATGCGCATATTCAACTTACAAGGACAGCATAGATACTTTTCTTTGAGTGATTATTAGATTTCTGAGGAAATTCAGCTGGGAAGTATAAGCATTAAGCAACTAGCTTAAAGCTCGATGCAAAGAAATCTAACATGCTTGTCCGATATTATTGCAAATTCAGCAACTGTATTCATTTAGAAATTGTATTCATTTTCTTTCAAATATACAAAAAACCCAATTCAGTATCAGATTTCCTAAATTATTTTTTGCTGTGTTATATTGAAAATTATGCATACAAATCTGCATATTTCAAGCCCCTTGACCCTATTTTCACACCGCCTTTTTTATTTGGTATTATATTGAAAAAATGAAAGACCCATGAATCTTTAGAGTATTGAGCCCATGCAGAATTACAAATAAAACCTTACTTTTTCATGAACAGGTGCAGAAGTTGGAATTAGCACGAGCAGGATTCACGCTCGCGGTCCTGTTGGTGTCGAAGGCTTGTTGACAACGAAATGGCTACTGAGGGGTGATGGCCATCTAGTATCACAGTTTGGAGAGGATGGCAAATGTAAATTTGTTCATGAACAATTAGAAGTTTATCCTGATTCCTACAATAAAAGAACAGCCAGTGAGTAGACTAGGGTAGGGACATCTTGGATAGGAAGAGATTTAAAAGTAGCTTATAAAACATATTCATATTTCTGACGTACTTAAGCCTTTGCTAGGTTCTTCCAGCCATCGTTGTATCACGTATATGTTTGACAGCGATCCCTTATCTTATTTGATTTTATTGCTGCTATGTTTTGATGACGAGGTATTAAGCCCCCGTTATACACCATCGTATTACTTTTTATCCAAGTAGATTAACTGGCTGACTTGTGAAAATGCTCAATCGGCCATGAAGAGACAAGGTGGCTTACTTATTCAAAAGCTGATATAAAAAGGGTTCCTTATTGGACCCCATTTTCTGCAAAAGATTGCAAGTTTCGCAATATTTTGAATTGGCCCAACCGGCCTACTGCTCCGGTCCGCCAATTAGTGGTTTGAGTTGGAAGTCCCTTGTTTGTCTGGTTTAAAGATAATTTTGGCTTATTTTGATGCGTTTTAGGCTATTTCTGCTTTGCTTGATCACATGCTTCGCATCGTTTGTTTTCGATCTTGTATATGTTTTTATGCTAGTAGTTATACAAGGAATTTTGACCTTAAGGGTCCTTGGACGAATGGTTGTCTATAAAATGGGGGAAATTTTGTATTTTTCTTATTTCTGTAGTGGGTTGTGGTGAAATAAATGATAGCTTTCAGGAAGGTGGAGTTGCATCTTTAATTAGAAGTATTTTTCTAATATTGTGTTTGGAATTCCATAATAATTTTGGTTTATCAGCTCTCAGAATACAGCTCTTGCCTTATTGCAGAGTAAAAATATTTAATATTCGATAAGACTGTAGTATGCATTTTTTAATTGAAACTTTGAGACGTAAACTTTTGTCGAGAAGTTACTTTCCGTTGTGTGGATTTGTTGATTTGGGGAGGGGGGCGTTTTATCAGGTAAATCTGTTATTTGAAGTCTAGGGGCAACTTGCATGTGTACGCTTCGACTTGTTTTAGGCAATACCTCTGTTGATTGTCTCTTCTTGGTATTACGCTATTACTTTTATTTTCATGGTTGCGCCCTCTTGTATGTAATGTAGGTTTCTTAATTATGTGTGTCTTGGTTATTTATTTATTTTCTGGTTTAAAACTTTGTATAATCGTGCTTTATTTTAAGGTACTTTAACTTTTTACTCATCAAAGATGTATTAGATTGTTGAAATCTAGCCATTTTTCTCTGTATTAAATTACTTGTCAGACTTCCTTGTTTTACTGATAGAAGCATCTGGTAATGGAAGCTAATCTTGTTTTGCTTTAGTTGCAGTTAGCATCAATGTTGTTACCTTTATCAAATTATTTTCTTAATTTTCGACCTTTAATGCAACGCAAAGCCAACGAGAAAAACATTGTGTTAGGGCTTAGGAAACTTGAAGGTCAGAAGTTCAGTCATGAGGCTACGTTCCCCCATCATCGAGAGCGAGTTGGCCGGTTGGTGCATCGGCGCAAATCGCTCAATCTAACACAAATCTCTATCAGGAAGGGGATACTAAGGGACGTTATACACTAATCCACAAATTTGATTGATAATTTGAAGGGAATGGACAAGAAAGGTCTCTTTTCCCCACTAAGAGCACCAGTCCTTTCTCCTCACTAATGGCCGATGCACCAGTCCTACCTAATAGCGCCATAAAACGCTAAACAGCATAAAAGATTGAGAGGTTTCAACGATGCCGTAAAAGAAACTCAAAGTGCAAAGTTATACGGAAAATGCATAGTACACAAAGAAACAAAATTAGGGAGGGAGGGCTGGGTAAATAAACAACACACTTGTATTGAGGCTTTACACAGCAAAACGAGACCCACGCTATGCCAAAATCTTTAATACTCTTTAGATTAACCAAGGGAATGAAAACTCAGCGAACCACACACCTTACACAAGTATTACAATCAAATCCTCAGGATGCCAAAAGAATCCCCCCATTGCCCATTAAGTGGATACATGGATAAGATACAATACAAACGCGGGGATTCGTAGCACAAAATGCCATGATAAATAGCAAAAAATAACAAATTCGAAAGAATTAGTTAAGGGTCAAAACAATGTAGAATAGAATGTTGTAAAAAACTAATGCAAGGAAATAAAATGATCAAAATAAGTTCAATTATTGTCCAATTGAGTCACAATTTTACTAGAAAATGGATATAAGAAACGATTCATTTGATGGAACCTGGATTCATAGTAGGTCACATGCAAAATTGTTTAATTTCCATAAGTATAACAATATAGCTTCTTTTATTCTATTTAAAAGAAATAAACGAGGCAAAACAATATTAAAAATACAGAAAAACATTATCAATAACTTTATATGTCGATCCGTACCTTGTTTAACAAACTTGTCTTAGATCTTAGTATTATATTACCTTGTTTGTGCTATCAATAGGTTAAATGATGTTAAAAAGTTTCTGCTTCTAAAAGATAGGAAATTAAAAAGCGTTTTAATTAAGCCAGAATGTAAAGAATGTTGCTGACGCTGCGTTGTAGTTGCACTTGTGATGTTTGCGCAGGTGAAGTCAACATTGATGATGTCACTATATTGCTCTTACATGAAGTAATTACGAAATATTTAGGCCTATGGTTCCATGAGCAGTCACTTTGTTGTTCAAGAATACCCAAACAAGTTCTCTCTTACATGTCGTTGCTTGATAACATTATTAACTAAATCTAGGCATAGCAATCAGTTTCGTGCATAGAAAGTTAAACAAAGAAGGGTGCCAGTTTACGCTGTGTCGATCAAAACGACAATCAATAAAAGGCAGCCAGAAGGATGAAGTTGTATGCAGTAATCGTGCTTCATAAAGGCACGAAAACTGCCATACTTAAAGGAGCACATGATTTACAATCATTTGGATACTTTCAACGATCCAGGTGTGTATACGTTAGGTCTTTCTTGGGAAGTCATGGTGTTGTAGGAATTTTTAAATAGGCCTAACTATTTTATCCCATCTCATGTTAAATGACTACCCACATGCATCACAAAATCAAATATTTTAATTCACAGCGTTATTATTATAATCAGGCCTGGCCATTTGAGGAGGGCCATGGCTTTTGCTCCCCTCCAGGCTCTCCTCAAACGCTGGAGGGGAGCTAGAGATTGCTCTCCTAAATTGTTCTAAAAACCAAATTTGCTCTCCTTGAAATCAATTTTTCCTTTGTTTCTATTCTTAAAGCTCGCCTGAATACTTCTAGGAGAGCTGTTTACTGCTCCCCTGTTAAAAGTCATACTGCCAGGCCTGAATAATGTTACGAAACTTAATTACAACGAGAACAACATAAATAAACACTTACACAAAGATTGGCAAATTTAGGGAATTAATCAAAAATAACGAGTAATTTAAAAAGATGCATGTTTTGACATATATATGGAGAAATTGTCTTTGATAAATTATCAATTTGCTTTTATTGTTGAAATAATTGGCAATGATTCTTGTGAACTTTTGTCTATTTTCATAAGTGTATAGAGTAGATTTGATGTTTTTGTAAAATATTATCAAGCAAATCAGTGTTCAATAAAAATACATATCAACATATTTTGGAATATGTCAAACATAAATTGACAAGCTTCAACTTTGTTAAAAGAGAAAGTTGATGTTTGTCTGTTAGCAAAGTAGATAATTCTAACTGCATGTCCTGATTTGTTCATTAGGTTCAAGAGTAGTTTGGTATGGACTGCCCCTGTTAAGATTATAGGGTTAAATAAATGTCAAACAAATTTTTCAGTGACTCCTATTATGGGGTGAGGGGGCACATTTTCTAGAGACTTCCCAAAGTTTTAAATACCTTAGTTGATATCATAGCTGACATGTTTTATTCTTTCCATGAGCAATCAGAATCAAAGATAGCATTTCAGTATTTGGTGCGGCTAGCTTCTTGTAGCTCTTTCTTTTACTAAGTTATACTACTTTGTATGTTTCTATATTTTTGGATTTTCTATCATAAAGAAAGATTTTGCAACATCTAACAAAAAGTTATTAATAAGAAGTCAGTCAGAAATTTAACTTGTCATTTACCACAGTTTCAAAGTGATAGCAAATATCCAAAATTTTTGGTCCAGATTTTTGGTCTGAAGTCATAAATATTACCCAGGCTTTGCTATTTTAATTTGTAGTTGCCTTTTTTATCCAGGATCCTTCATTTTACTACAATATTCTGACCATTGATTTTATGGGAAATCTAATCTTTTATAGCATTAATCTTTTATAGCTCAAGTAGCTTGTTCTTCACTTTCTCGAAATATTTGCACATTCCATGTCTTTTCTTCTAGTGTCCGTGAATTCATGGATTTTACTGCTAAATTATTGGTTGAAAGAACACAAGTTGGATTGAGGGCATCTGTGAAAGAGCAAGGTGAGACATTTTATCTTGATTGGAGTCTTGTTATATTGCAAAATATTGAAAAATGTAAGAGTTTTATTTTTATTTCTTCATTTTATCATCAAAACAAGAAAATTTCATAAATTTTTTGTAGTCAGTTTATAGAACTGAAGTTGGATAGCAGGCCCCTCAGCTTGGGGCATGTGATTGCATGCCCAAAGCTCGGCACAGGCCTTTGCCTTGGCACACATCTGGGTGAGGCAAGGTGTGCTTTTTCAGAAGCAATATATCAAAAATGGCTTAACACCTTGTCAGGATTGGGGATTAAATACAAGATTTTGAAATAACCATAGGAATAATCTACAGTGGAATCACGATAATATGAAACCCGGCTATAACTAATTTTCAGTATAACAAAAATATGTCTGGCCCCTTTGATTCTGCCGAATCCCGTACATATTCCCTTGGTAAAACGAATCCCGTATATAACGAACTCTCGTTATTATGAACCTAATTGTAGGTCTCTTCATCATGAATTTCCACGACATGACAAACTTTTCTATAAATTTTCACCGTTATTTTGGACTACTTTTTCCCTAATGTATATTTATCACTATTTCTTGGGGCAATAATTATTTTTTTTTGGCAAAACACACATTGGCAAACATGCACTTTTTCTGATGCAAAAAATGAAGAAGAGATTTGTGAAAAGTTTACACCTTTTCAAGGCTTTATGGAATTTCAGTGAACAAATCCAAAAACAAAAAACTAAAACAGACATTTTTGTCTCCGAATTTTATAAAGGATTCTCATTTTCGATCGCTAATTATGGAAAGAATGAAAAATGGCTCATTTTTCATGCATTATCTTTATGGATTAACGATAAGATGCCTACCTAAGGTCATTGTTGATAAAGCAAGACACAAAAGATGTTTCAAAAACGCTTTGAAGAGAACCAAACAATTTTGATTTCATTTTGCAGAGTATCTATGTCATGTCTTTGTGCGAAATGACTCACTATCTGGTGTTGTGATTGCAGACAAGGAGTACCCAAGTAGAGTGGCATTCACTTTAATAGGAAAGGTACCAGATGATTCTATCTCTCTTTTTAAAAAAAGGCTTTTGTGGGACATTTTGTGCTTTCTACTTTTGCATTTATTTGCATACATTTCAGATTCGCCTTTTTGGCATTTTAGATGATTTGTGACTCCCAAGTGATTTCTTAAAAAGCCTTACTTTGCCAGTGCCCACACAAAGTGTCTTTATTAAGTTCTTTAAATGACTGCCCTTGCAAAAAGGTGTTTTACTTCCTAGAGGGTCAAAGGGCAGAGGCAATGCATAGACATTCAATTTAATCTCAATGACTTTGTTTTCAAACTTGGGGTAATTGCACAACAAGAAACTCAAAGATTAAAAAATCATGGTCAGGCCCCATCCATGCTGCTACTTTTTATGTGAAATTGATAAAGTGAACTATGTTTTTTGGAGCTTAAGAACAGGTACTTTTGAAAAGGCTTTTTTAAGACAGACCAAATTGTCTAAACTTTTGCACACACAAAGCTGGCGGAACTGCATTATTTTTAATAAAACAATTTAGATACATTTTTTTAGCAGAATTTTGATGTATATAGTTTCTATAATCTGAAGTTGTTTTTGAATGTGATTGAAATATAAATACAGCTCAATTAGTAAGGTGCCAAGCCTTATCTGCCCCTTGTGACATGAGGGGTTCTCTTTATTCAGTTTTGGTAGTTGGAAGGGTTACCACCCTCCTAAGCTTAACATTAACCAAGTGGGCAGTCTCAATTTCCCTAATCTTTCCTGACAACTATTGTTTACCCTAATGAGTGCTTATCCCCTGCCATTTAAACAGCAAATATGCAAGGCATTAAACATTTAGCATATTTTTTGTAGCTTCTAGATGAATTTTCAGCTGTAGTGCCATCATCAACATGGAAATCAGGAAATAGGTGAATTTTTAGGATGACATTCAAAGGGTTGTAAAATGTTCTTTTTTCAATGTGTTTTGGAATTCTCCAGTGAATCTGAAGCTTTTCATAAAATCTAAGCCAATAGTTTAACAAATGCATATATTCATAATTCTTTTATGTCAGTTTCCAAATAATTTTTTCATACTTAAAGAATCTTGTTTAAAAAAATGTGACACTTTTTTCTTTAAAGGCACATGAATAAGACATTTTATGTAAAAAGTTTATATAACTAGAATAAAGACTGGATACAATTCAAATGAGAGATCTGGCTTTTATCTGACCTTATTAGTTTTCTGTTCTGAGGTCTTTTTTTAATTAAAATCATTTTCTTGAAACACCATGACTCAAATATTGTACTATTTTATGCTTGTAAAGAGAAAGGGAACATTTAAAATTATTTTGTTTTGCAGTAATTTTGATTTTCAAGACTGTGAGGAATACCTTCAAAGATTTCAGGTAATTATCTTATCAATCTTTATTTATATTTTGGTTTTATATATATACTGTTATCAATTATAAAGTGTGTGAATTGTTCTTCAAATACTAAAAACGGTTTAATGCCAATCAAAGTTGTCTGAAATACAATTAGCATCAAGCTCTCATCAAATGACAGCAGTAAATGTTTGAGGGTAAAGAACCTAGCTTCCATGCCAAAAAATTTAACATCACATTTTAATCCCCTATCAGTACACATTTAGATGCTTACAGAATCATTAAAGATGTGAAATAACTTATTTTTCAAAGAGTTAGGAAAGCTACAACACCTTCTAAAGAATTTTGACCTCTGTTGCCTTTAGAGTAATCCACAAAATCTATAAATTTTGGCTTCTAGTTAGCTTTTAGTAAAGCCTTCACCTTGGTGTGCCAAGGAAATTAATTAAAAAGGCCACAACATACATCTTAACCTTACTTGCTTTTAGTATAAGTTGACTGATCACGATGTTAGGTAGTGAATTAATCTTATTTTCTAGAACCCCAGAGAAGCAGATCCAATGATGCGAGTGCAATCAGAGCTTGATGAAACAAAAGTTATTGTTGTATGTATAATTTCATCAATTTGCAGACAGGTTATTCCATTTTAACAAAATTAACCAAAATGTAGACTTCATGCTGATACCTTTTATCCTATCATCTTTGTGTCTTCGAATCAACCTTTTTGCCTATTTCTTTGATTGGCTTGTAATTTTTGGCAATGCGATCATCCTTTATCATCATTGCTTATCTGCTTACTAGCCCATCTTGTCCTTCATTTATTTCTTATGCTGTTTTTCTATATAATCTATATAATCTTTCTTTATTCATTTCTACTTTTTTCTTACTTCTCTTTCCTTCTTCATTCTCTTCCTCATCAAGTTTTTTAATCGGTCAAGCTTCTGCAATCATTATAAATCCAATACAATTTTTGAAGTTTGTATTGAGTTCTCATATTCTGATACGATTCTTGTTATTGTTTTCTAGTATAACACAATAGAACAGGTTCTTCAAAGAGGGGAGAAGCTAGATGAACTTGTTACCAAATCTGAAGGACTAAGCACATCATCAAAAGCCTTTTATACAACAGTGAGTATATGTTGTCCAATGAATCGGTTTACTTCCTCCTCGAATTCTGAACAACTTTGATATCTATCTTTTGGCGACCTTATTTCTGATTGAGATGTTGCTATGAAATTAAGTTGATGACAATCTGGTGACAAATCTACAGTATGCATCTATGATTACATATCCAATTCAAGGCCTAATCCCTTTTGCTTTGTTTTGCAGGCGCGGAAAACAAATTCATGCTGTGGGTGGTAATCAAGATAGTTCTGGACATTTAGCCATTTTTTGGTTTATTATTAAACTAAGATGGTTAGTTGAAAACTCAAGGCTCAGCTACATTGCAATAAGTGTAAAATAAGAGGGACATGCCAAAAGTTTTAGAATTTGTAATTTTCGGCAATTGCTAAAATTAAGTTTGAATTTTTTAGATAAATTACCTAGCACATGTCATTAAATTTATTTTAAGATGAGCTAAGTCGTCGAAGTCATTGTTGCTTTCAACAAAATAGCACCAAGCGTCATCAGTGATTTTCAGATTGTTTTATTTATAGAAAGATCTCTGTTAATCATTTCATAATCAAATTTTCCTCTTATATTTTTTTCCAGTAGTAAACATAATTGAAATGCTATTATTTCTATCGATAAGATAAATTCTATGTTACCCATTTTTTATTGCTGTTGTCTATATTTCTGTCTGCTCGGAACCATTCCGGCCAAAGTCCATTTAATTGGATTGCAGCTTTGGGTAGGATTGTTGTTGAAAACAGAGAAATGTAACTGGAGCCCCTAGTGCATGGCTATCAGTACTTCTGTAACCAATAATTGAAGTATCACGTTCTAAGCACGTTGTGAGAAAATTAGTAATTTATAGGATAGGATTGGTGACGCTAAGGATCATGTCATGAAAAGTATGAAAAGTATGAAACGTCATGAAAGTATGAATGGCGTAAAACCAACTCTAGGTCATCATGCTTGGTGATGCTACGGAACTGTGGACTGCGTTGTTCTCTAACTTCTGTAACATCATCTTGATCTTATGCCAATTCTTGTTGCGTTGTTGTGAATGAGGGCTGTTTGGGTATTTAATGTATATTGTATAAATATGGGCCGTTTGGCTCAATTGAATGATCGTAACTTTGATGCAGGAAACTGGAGTTTGATTCCGACCAAGTGCAGTAACTCTACAATTGGGCAGCACGCTTGTGGAAATTATTTCCCATTGTCAGCTTTGGCCTACTGAATAAATATATATAAGCATATAGAAATTTGTCTTTTGATACTTCCGTAGCACAGTGCTCAATACGTTAGCACGTAGAGCGTGATATATCATAGAGTTGAAGAAAGTAAAATTACATGGTTTATCTCTACAGGCTTGTAGAGATAAACCATGTAGTTTTACTTTCTTCAACTCTATGATATATAAGCATATATATATGTAATTCATAAAAAGATTATGTTTCAGAATAAATATCGTCATTTGTTTGGTTGCATTTTATATGCAACGGTATGGTTTCTCCTTAATGATTTTTGATGGTATTGAGGCAAGCTTCGATACCCTCATCTTTAGGAATGTTTGTGTATAGTGAATTGCATCTAGTGTGACCAAACACGAGTTCATTTGGAGGCTAGTGTCCATATCGAAAAGCTGTGTCTTATTTATAGACCTAAGATAATTATCAAAGCATGATGCCTTGATGAGAGTTGTTTTGTAGTGATAACCACAACATGGCAGTGGCTATCAAACAGTGGCCGAAAGCAAAGATGCAACCTCTTGGAATAAAACATTAAATATCACGTACCATTTTACAACAATAGCGTAGATTCAAATTCTCAATAGTTTTCATGTTCCTGTCTGGCTTATTCAAATTGAGGCAGAGCGAATTGCATAAGCTAAAAGTGACCTTTTTGTAAATTTTAAAAGATTAATCACAACTGAAAAGCTTATCGAAAATATGTCGAGGTTTTATTATTTTATAAATAGTTTAAAAATATAAAACTGTGCAATTTCCTTGACATACTTTTTTCGTCACTTTTTAACAAAACGCCCAGGCAAATATAAAGAAGGTTCCATTACTTTTTCCAATTAAAATTGTTAGTGATCGCGATAATTTGAAATCTAAAAAGCGTTCAACGATTTCAATGGTTCAACGTATTGGTTGATAAGCTTTTCGTTAACCGAAGATTGTAGAACTTGAAACGGATTGATGGTGGTCTGTGACGCAGGCTAAACAGCTCATGCTGACTGAGTTTATTGGGGACTCCTTGATTTGCTTTGCTACTTTCAGCAGGGGCAAATTTAAGCAACAATAATTGGGGGAGACACTAACTTTGGTGCCACACGCTTCAGGTCACTGGTAAATGATAGGAACGCCCATTTCTAAAATTTGGTTTTCAACTCTAAGGTAAAGATGACAAAAAGTAGTGGCGTAGCCAGGGTTGGAAGATTAATGGGGCAGAGAGGAGAAAATTTTTGCCACACCCTTAAGAATTAAGGAAAACACCCATTTTGTAAATGCGTTTGGAAAAGATATGGCATTTTTACGTGGCAATTTCCTTTGCATATTTCCTTTGCGTGCGTTCAAGATTTGTCAAAACGAACAGGGGCATAGCCAAGGAAGTATACGAGGGGTGCGGTACCCCCCAACACTTTGTTTCTTGGCACATAAAGGATTTTTGCCGGGCAAAAAAAGAAATTTCCTACTCACCCTGTAACCTTTTTGCAACAATTTTAACGGATTAACATTTCTGTAGTAATTGAATTTTCAAGTATGGCACTAAGGTATGAATTGAGAAATAGAAATGCATAAAAGCAGCATATAGAATTATTTGGCTTTTGACCACACCCTTCAGAAGCGTGACACGCCCTTTTTTGTAGGCAAAAATCATTTCTGTACCTCACGAAAAATTGTTTTGGCATCGCCCCTTATAATGAAAATCAGTCCTTTCGACATGCCTCAATTTCTGTGCATTGCAATCCATTGAGTAACTTTAAAAATTGTCCTCTCCCCAGCCACCACATTTATTTCCGTCTTTGATGGACTTTTTCCGGCAGTGTGCTGTGATCAGTAAGGTCAGCTGACACGCGTGAGTGGTTGCTTGCCTTCCAAGATGGCGCCCGTTCAAGGAGATCTGATGATGGAGCTCGCTGCTGCAAAAGAACATACTGCAGCGGTTGTGAGAGATTATATTTCCCAACCAAGGCTGGGTAAGAATGAATCATACAAAATCATGAATATTTAACTGTAATATTTTCTTAGCAAATATTTACAATCTTAGCAAAGGTTTTATTTAAGTGGCCTAGATTTTAGCCTGCTAGTGATGATGCTAGGCCGCCACCTAATGTGAGGACGCCCATGGTAGTTCTAGAGACTCTGTGCAGTATTTTAAAATATTCATTTCCATTTTTGGAGGTTTAATCTATCCTTGGCTTGCAATCTAGAAAATCATTCGTAGTAAGATTAGAGAAAGATTCAGCATCAGGACATTTTTGTTTCCAAAAACATCGCCCTTGCTTTTTAGACACCTGCAACGATGCGAAATTTTTCGGTCCATCAGCTCATCTGTTTATTGGCATAAAAAATTCCAATACATGCTTCTAATGCATCTTCATAACAAGAGGCCTTTTCTCTAAGATTATATTTCAGGCAATTCTAATAAGGTACAAATAATTTGAAATTTTGTATCAAATTGAGGATACTGCAGATTATGTAAAGAGAGGCGTAGAATGTTATCAAAAAGTGTAGTTTACAATTTGCTGACAGAATCAAGCATGAGTCTGCTTTATTCTTTCATTGAAGCTGTAAGTTCTCCAAGCATTTCAATCCAACGTGTCAGTCTCTGGATGCCTACCATATGCAAAAGACCCTGTGTACTTCAAGTGCAATTTATTAGTTGAAATTGTTGATCATCCATGTTGACTTATTTTGTGTGTTGATGAAAGCAATCATGAAAGTATCATAGTGAAGAAAGCTTGATTAATTGTTTTTTGTTTACCAGACTGTTTATCTTATTTCTTTGTAGTTTACAAAACAGTCTCTGGTGTCAATGGTCCTTTGGTTATCCTTGACCAAGTTAAGGTAAATTTTTGCTTGTACTAGATTTTATAGTAATTTATTAAGCCTTGTTCATTCAAATTTATTTTTATGCAATAATTCATTCCCATTACAGGGGGCTGGCACCAGAAATAAACTGTTATTAGTTATGCCGAGCACTAGAAGAAATTACTGGGGCATGGAGGGCTCCACCCTCCCCCTGACCTTCGAGTGTTTTTGTTGGGAATTTTGAAAATTGAAATAGTGTGGACTTCAGGCATAGGTATAGTGGTAGTCTTGATAGCCAAAAAAGTAATTCAAAACTGCAATCTCTAATTCTTGAAAATGGTGGTACCAAAGGCTTAATCCCCAATCCATTTCAGGCCGACCTCGAAACGGTGTCTTGATTGCTAGCACAGCCACATTGTGGTTCTGAGACACAAAGTTAAATTTCATGGCTCTCTGGCCCGAGTATTTTCAGCCCTCTGTAATAGTGTTGATTTCTAATAACAGAGAAGGGCTGCTACAACAATGCAATCTAAGGGTGTTTATTGAGAAGACTTTTGATTCCTCAGGGTGTTTATCAATGCGGCCATGCAGCATTTTTAAGCTACTCTCTTATTAGAAAAAGGTCTCTCATAATGAGGCTATTGAACAAACATAGAAAAACAGACCATCCTGGATTAAAGTTATAATAAGGCTCTTAACAATACTTTTAAAAAGACTTTATGATTTTACCTTCTGAAAATCGCCCTTCACAAGACACAGCCAACAAAAATAAGTATTTTTTATTTCTTCCCCGCAAATCCATGGGATTGTCTTGGTAACAATGTAAGGATCTTTTAGAGAGGTCTTTGGGTACAGCCTTACATTGTTCACTATGCATAAATGTTGTTCATGTGTTGACTTTTACCAATTGAAAATGCTACCAATTGAATACAAAGCCTGTATCACAAATCCAAATTAGGGATTTGGGACCACTAGCCCTATAGCTCTGGGAAAAAATTGTTTTTAGACAAATAACACTAATAATGATATAAACTGCTCCTGCCATGTTGATGATGTTTTTTATCTAGATATCTAATTGTTTTGAATTGATTTCTAGTTTCCAAAATTTGCCGAAATTGTTACATTGACATTGCCAGATGGAACCAGAAGGAGTGGTCAGGTTCTTGAAGTTAGTGGTTCAAAAGCTGTTGTGCAGGTAAATTTTATATTCTAGTGTTTTTGTTTTCTTACTTTTAGAATATGAACCATTGAAAACAAACCGTAACATTGACTAATAATATTTCCAAAAATTCCTCTAATTTTCCTGTTGATTTACCTTTATGTAAGTTTTTCATCATCTAGCTAAGTATGTTTTGGTGATAATATCCCTGTGCTAAAAGATTAAATCAGCTCATTTGCTGTTTGCATTTTCAAACCTAAAAGTACAGAAAAAGTTTGTTTACAAGGGTATTCATTAAGTATATAAGATAGAATGGAATGTTTGTTGGTGCATCAGCCTAATCAATCAAATATGTGTTTGACATTTATCGACTTAGGTTCATTTATCGACTTAGGTTTAGACTTATGCAAGGTCTATAACCTGAAAAACCTCTTAGAATTGCTGACACTAACAGTCAAGAGGTTTAGTAACATGATAACAAATATATCAATTATAGTGCACCCTAATTTATCTGAATACCATTTTAAGTGTGATATTTTATACCCAAGCTAATATTCATTTGATAGACTAATTTAGGCTCATCTGTAATTAAATTGAAGTCCTAAGTTAAATCCAGGGAGTCATGAAAGCACCCAAATGCATTTTTCTAATAACGCTTTTTGTACAACAAATTTTTGAGAATTTGAGAATGAACAGAAACATGTTTCTGTTTTTCAGTGCTATTCTCATAAGGTGATTTCATCGTCTTGAGATCTCTATTAATAAATCTATCTGCAAGATCAATGGACATTAAGTTCAGTTATTGTCAGAAGGTATAAGGCAGGGTAGATTTTATCTATAGGTAAAGTACTTCAGTTCTATTAAATCAACTTTTGTACACACCTAGGCTACCTTGTGAACAATCACCAATTGATGTTTTTCAATTTATATTTCTTTAGGTTTTTGAAGGAACTAGTGGTATTGATGCAAAGCATACAACTTGCGAATTTACTGGTGATATCTTACGTACACCTGTTTCTGAAGACATGCTTGGTAATCTATTATCTTACATAATATAATTATATTACCCATAGTCATATGGGCTGGTGCTGATGAATTTCATTGCACATTGTGCTATGCACATTTTTTAAAAATATGTTTATGCTCGTAACAAGTGGTCTATTAGCTGCCCTTCTTTGAATCTTGCTCCTTGAAATGAGGGGTTGATGCCTAGGTCTCTGGGATGAACCTTTACCAAAGGGAATTTTGGTATTATGCAAAGTAGGTTTGCTATTGTTTTCAACGAAATGAACTTCTTTCATTCCTGATAAGATCTATTGCAATGTTCTCCAGCACTTATACCTCACTAGTATGCTGTGAGATCTTGTCTGGTGTGCCATATAAAGTTCTCCAACTTCACCTAATTGGGCCAAAAATTGCAAAAAAATGCCTTTTCCAATTCCTGCCTTTCAGTTTCAATTCTGAAACAGGATATCACAACAGGTCCATAAGGTTTCACACTGAGTGATTAAATTTGTTTTATCTTATTGTAAAGTACCTTTTCTTTGTGTTTATTTGATTGTTTTCTATAGTACTTGAATTGGTTATTTTCTGATACAATCAGAATGTCTTCTCTTGGTTAATTAACAAATGGCTTCAAACTGCAAGTAGTTTGTTTGCAAATAAAAATATAAATTGTATTACAAGATTGTTTCTTGCTTTGCTTGTGCAAACTTTAGTTAGGGCCTTTCCGCAATAATACATTTTCAAAAGAAAAAGCCAATTTGTTATGCCTGAAAGCATTTCAAATTCACCCTAGATACTCTTTTCTGAAACACAGTGATCTGAAACGAATCATGTCAGTGTATAGTGAAACTCTTTACTATTGTTTTATTCATATGAAAATGCATTCTTTTGAAAACCTACCCCTGAGATGTAACCTAAATTAAATAAAAACAAAACAATTATGATTAATGCAGTCCTTGTATTAGAGATGTTTGGTATGTAAGGGGTTGCTTATATGCCGGTTTTAAAAACTTTTCTGATCATGGTAACAGAATTTTAAATACATTTTCAGAGTTACTTATATAAACTTTCATATATTGCTTGCATTTCAGTGTGAACAATTTATAAATTATTTCTTGTTCAATGTTTATAATTTTAACAATTTTTTTAAATTTGAAATTTTGGCTTGCAGGTAGAGTTTTCAATGGATCTGGCAAGGCCATTGACAAAGGACCTCCAGTTTTAGCAGAAGATTTTCTAGATATTATGGGTAACTATACATATATCTTATATTTTTATATATATATATATCTTATATTGTTATATATATATATCTTATATTTTTATATATATCTTGCTAGAAAAAACTGGCTGGTTTGAAATATTTTTCATGCAATTTACTGAACATGTATGTACTTTTACGATATTTATAAATTTTGTTTATTAACCTTATTAGCAAAAATTACGCTGTCCATTAATTAACGCAAATTGAAAAATTCCACGTTAATTAAAACCCCGTTAGTTTCATGACCACGTAAATTTCTCATCCGTTATTAAATTTCTAGCTTTAAATAAACATCCATTTATTTCATCCCACTTAAGTCTTTTTGTAACTTACCAAATTACTGAAAATAGCCAGATTTTACGATTTCATCTTAAATATATTATTATTATATCTGAAAAAGAGGAAATAGAAAGCGATCAAAACGTAAGGACTGGCTAGTGCTGTTTTCACAAGTTCTATTAAAAATAAAACTTATTTTAATAGTTTTAAGTAAGGTACTTGAGAAACTTAAAATACTTTTTATTGCATTTGAATGTCCTAATTATTAACTGTTTCCTCTTGAAATTCCACATATTTGTCATCATCTTCATCCTGTCAATTTCCAGTACCTTTCGAATCATCAAAATACTCTCTGGTCAGGGGACTACTTGACCTCTTTCACTTTTGACAATTATTCAGGCTCAACCAACGTGATTGCTACCTTTATTGGAATCTCCAATCCACCTTGACCTGAAGCTTTTTTGTCGTTTTTTTGTTTTTTGTCTGTACTGAATTAGAATGTGTATTTTAAATTAAATACTATTGAATATTTGAATTTTGTTGATTCGCGTTAATTACCACACGTTTTGAAATCCAAGCTCACAATTCTCGTTAATTTGTGATTGCATTAATCTCGTGTAATACCGCCGTGTACCGCGTTATTTTCGTGTAATAAGTCAAGCCCGTTTTTGCAAAAGGTGGGCCGCCTGCCCCTGTCTTAGGGGCCTTGATGGTTGTTTTAATTCTTACCTTAAAGCAGGGCGGACACTTCGTCAAATATTGGGGGGCAACTCTATTGTTTTAATGAGATGATGTCACATTTTCCCATTGTTTTAGAACCATTGCCCTCCACAGTATTGGGGGCGACCACCCCCTCGCCTGCAGGTGCCCCCCACTGTCTTAAAGCTGTTGAATCGATGCTTAATCAATGCCATGAGTAACAAGTTATTTTTTTAAGGTCAACCAATTAATCCTTGGTCAAGGATTTATCCTGAAGAAATGATTCAAACTGGTATTTCTGCAATTGATACCATGAACAGGTAGAAAGTGATTCCTTCCCATATGCTGTCAATCATTAAAACTTTTATCTTATGCTTTCTTGTGCTTTATTCATATTGATGTATCGTGTTACTGCATGTATCATTTTTATTTGAATTGTTTACTGACTAGCTTCCGAAGGCAGTTTTTAGGACACTGCAAAGCTGTGCTTATCAAGCAATGCTCTGTTCATCCTCTCGAAACAAACACATCTGTTCATTCCTATGCTCGGAGTAGTATAGATCTAGTAAATCTCCTTAGATATAGTTAAATAAATGATTCAAACCACAGACCTTTGGATTTGTAGTCTGGAAGAAATCATATGCGTTCTTGTTATGAGAAATATATCAAAATTATACAGACTCTAGAAATTGAATTTCATTAGAAAGGAATTTACCAAATCCTACATTATGAGCTCTTTATCCAAACGTTTTAAGAAAGAATCTACCTCAGAAAAACCTGATTCAACGATTTATGGCACCTAAAATGCTCCTCCATTTGCGGTGTGGCAGCGCTGCTTGGTGTTTGGGGTAGTGCTATATTGTACAAACAAATAAAAAGGCCAAGTCAATGTGTTTTGTTATTTTGAACAATTTTTACCTCTAGCATTGCTCGTGGACAGAAAATTCCAATCTTCTCAGCAGCTGGTCTCCCACATAACGAGGTCAGTTTAAACTTTAGCTACCCACCTAATTAGAAATTTACCAGATACCTGTTACCATGAGTCACACCTCCTTTTTTACCTAGATAAGCAAAATCTCAGAAGTTTGTTTTTAGAGTTGAGTTTAAACGAGAGGGAAATGGAAATAGTGCAATTTAAAGATAAGATTATTTTCATAATCTTATAGGCCCCTTATTTGAAATCCAGGGAGATTTGGTATGAGTTTATAACATATAAACTTACTTCCTAGACTCATTTTGAGGACAGTAATTCTCCTCACTAATGAGGATTGATGTTCATACTAAGTTGGTTTTTTCTTGCATTAATCGCTTCTTATGATTGTAGCAAACATGCATTTTGATAAGATCCTTTTACTTATGTGTTTCAGATTGCTGCTCAAATTTGTCGTCAAGCTGGTTTGGTTAAGCACAAAAAAGGAGTCATGGATGACCATGATGACAATTTTGCCATTGTTTTCGCTGCAATGGGTGTAAGTGTTTTTATTTGTGTTTCTCTGCCCTCGTACGTGTTACCCTGGACCTTAAATCCACCGCTTTGTGCCCTTTAGAGAACATTTTTGCAACTTCTGTTACGCCAAAGCTTTGAAAAAATATGCTAATGTTTCCCTAAAAGTCTACAGATTATTAGCTTTCTTGCAAAATTTTAATAGGGATTCGTCAGTTATAATTTTGAAGAGAACCAGAGGTCATACTAAAAATCATACTGCATACATGTTTTTTTCATGGCTGTTGTTCTAATTTATTGTGAAACTTTGTTCTAATTTATCTTATATTCTATATTTTTGACAACCTTATATTTGACATATCTTATATTTATTATGATTCTTTTGTTTTGCTGATCAGGTCAACATGGAGATTGCTAGATTCTTTAAGCAGGATTTCGAAGAAAATGGCTCCATGGAAAACGTTTGCTTGTTCTTGAATCTTGCCAATGACCCAACGTATGTTTTATAAAGTTCTACCTTTTAACATAAGATGTCCATTTTGTATAAAAAGTTCATGAAAATTAGTTGATTAAGTAGATTCGTTTGAGCTGATGGGCCTTCTTGAGCAATTTGCAGGTTCGTCATGCCTTTTGGCAAACCAAATTTAATATCAAATATGATTGATATAAAAAACATACACTTCTTAAGATAAGTGAATTTCAACTTTCTTTTTCCCGAGAATAAGTTCTTAAACAATTCATCATAGCCAAATATTGTTAACATTTTTACTTGTGTTCCTTTTGAAAAAGATATTAAAATTTTTCTGACTTTACCTTCCGAGCATATATCCACTGTTTGCCTTATATTTGTATTGCACACATATCTAAATAGCAGCCCTTCAGTAATATTTTCTACTACAAATCCTTTTTAAATTCTTTTTTAGAATCGAAAGGATCATTACTCCAAGACTTGCCCTGACTGCCGCTGAATTCCTGGCATACCAATGCGAAAAGCACGTTCTTGTTATTCTCACTGATATGAGCTCCTACGCTGAAGCTCTTCGTGAGGTATTCCATCAATTTGCTTATTGCTTACATATCTTGCTACAATAAGCTACTACAGTCATTTGTACAACGCTCTTCTAGTTGGCGATGAAGAAGGTGTTCATTTGTATCGGCAGATCGAAGCCTTATTATTTGTATTCTGTGCATATAAAAACTCATCCTGCAGCTGTCTCAAGGCTTGAAGAGTATTTCCCAGGGGTTTAGAAATGTTTCCAAATCCTTCACAAAGGTAAACCAGAGTATTGAAGCGAAAAGTTTACACCCCTTACAAAATCCCTTTTGGATGTCCTCTGTTTTATATCCGCAGATTAAATGTGTGTTAATTTTTAATTTTGAGCTCGCTCCTTAGGATTTTTTCTTGTACGAAATATGTCATGAACTTTGCTGAAATCTTTAATAAACCCCAAAGTGGTCCTTTGGTGATTCAGATGCATTTCAATGGACCTTTTTATAATTTCAACTGGTCTTTATCTGAGCATAGGGTATAATCGTTATTATTATATGGTAACCCCTTCACAATGAACCGTAAATAATATATGTTTTTAATTATAATACACTTAAAGATGACCGAAAGGTGACAAAGCATTCTTTGAAGATGATTGAGATGAGATCGAAAGGAAAATGGTCGCTAACAATTCTTTTAGATAAAAACACATCAAACTTTGAACGTAAAAGGTCTTGTTTACATATATGAAACGTTTCATGAAGAAAGCCTATATGGATAATGGCTGTCTCGTTTCCAGGTTTCTGCTGCAAGAGAAGAAGTACCTGGCCGTCGTGGTTTCCCTGGTTACATGTACACAGATTTAGCCACCATCTATGAGGTATTGAACCCTTCAGATAACTCTTTTAGTTTTTACATTTCTTTTATTTTATTTTATTTCAATAGTCTCTTGTTTAACAGTTATTTTCGTTTGATTTTCTGTTATTAGTTCATGTGACACTGTTTTTTGTCGGAAAAGTCTGGTTCAAAAGACAAAGAAAGTAGAATGGGTGTCAAAAATAAAGAATGTAACAACTACAGCAAAGAGTTATAATGTCTTCATCCTGTTTACAAGTAGCAACAGAGAGAGCGTGTTTAACATTTCCGCATTAACTATTAGAGCTCTTTGAACCCCTAAGATAAACAGCCCTCCGTCAACCTACCAGGGATTTTTTAAATTTATGTTTCTCTTGGACACTAGCTATATAGTTGCTGTCTCGAGATATTTACTGAATTTGCTGTAAACACTGGATAACCATTTTTTAACTTTGCAGCGGGCTGGTCGAGTTGAAGGAAGAAATGGTTCGATCACACAAATTCCAATTTTGACTATGCCTAACGACGGTAATTCTCTTTGTTCATTTAGAGTTTTATGCCCTGTTAAAACGACCTAATATTTGGTCTAGCATCTATTTGATTTGGCATTTGTGTGGCATTTCAAGTGATTTGTGTCAGGTATGCAAACAAAGTCTTTCAAACGACACTTTCAAACTTTTAAACAGATAGTTTATAGCGATAAAACTTGGAACGCTGTTAAACAGATAGTTTATTGGATGCTGAAAAAGTGCGATATATTTCCTCGTTGCACAAGAGAAAACTTGCCCGGGAATTTATTCGTTCAGTTTGGCGTTGAGCTCCTAGGTACTGCTTCATGGCAAAGATAGTGCACTTTCCTTTTCCCATGTTTCCCTGAAATAAACCCTATATCGTCCTATTTTTTGTTATTTTATTCCAGATATTACCCATCCTATTCCTGATTTGACCGGATATATTACTGAAGGACAGGTTTATGTTGATAGGCAGCTTCATAACAGACAGGTAAAGCATTTCATAGTTGCCTTTTTAACAGTTTCTTTATGTCTTATTCCCATGAACTGCAGCCCATATCCGAACATTTCCTTGACTCTTATAACGAGGAATGTTGTTGTCTCCGGCACACACTATTATTTTTTTGTTGTCAACCAACTCATGTGTGAATAGTTGTAAAACGTTTTTTTGGTCTAAATTTTTAGAAAGTTATTTTTCAAAGTAAATTTAGTCGTTTCCTTAAGCCAATTTTGTAATGCTGATATTTTATTTGCGTGATACTTGATTGGAAGTAGAGAGAAAGTTTCAAAGAACAGAAAAGAACAAGCTTCTTATCTCATCATAAGGGGTTTTAGTAGTCATAATCATAATCATAAATATGTTTACAGTTGGTTTATTCCATTTGATACTAACTGACACACTATATACTGTATGCAAATTGCAATTAATTTAGAAAGACGAAGGAAACTAGATTAATCCATTTCGGTGGAAATTAAATACGTCCCAATGCATTTCGGTGGCCAGTTAAATTCCTATTGGTTGGAATAGACCTATAGTTGCGCATCCAGTCGGCAATGTAAGACTAATTCTCATCCATAAATGTGCCGCAGAGCCTATTGTTAACTCGGCCCGGTTGACTGATAGGTCCCAGTGCTTTTAAGTACAATTGTAGCACGTACAGTTTTTAGTATCCAAGCAACCACGTAGCTGCAATTGTCGGCTAGGGTGGGCAAACTCGAGCAAGAACCATACCTGAGGGGGGCAGGCTTTAAAACAAGAGAATAGATATTAAACAAACAGACATAGTTGGTTTAAATCAAGCTCATAGAATTATAATTAAACCAGCTTTCAAAATATCATTTGGAAAAACTGTAGCATAAGAGGGCAGGTTGTTGCCGAAATTTTATTTATTTCTATTGAAGGGGCACAGCCCCCACGTGCCCCCTGCAGCTACGTGGCTGCATCCAAGTAGCGTATTTACTTTTTGAATTTCATAAAGGGTTTTGTTATGATTGTTGTGCTACTAGTATAAAGATAACACCTCTGTTTTGATTAAATCACACAAATTATTGCTTTGCAGGTCTATCCTCCGATCAATGTGCTTCCATCATTGTCACGTTTGATGAAGTCAGCTATTGGTGAAGGAATGACTCGCAAGGACCATGCTGATGTCTCAAATCAATTGGTAATTTCACCTTAGACCTTTATTCACCACGTTTGATCAAGTTTGTATTTGAAGTAAATTTTTTGTTCTTTAAGGCCTTGTTTTCTTATAGAATTGAAAATCTTTCTATTGAGCTAAATCTTTTTTAAGCCAAGCATTCAATATTCCAAAGCACAGCTTTTAATTGAGACCGGGTTAAATGCACTCAACTTTTAACGGTTATATCTACGAAGATAGAATAATTTTCTAATTACACAATATTGGGCAGTAGAATTATTTGACCTCCTGTCAATTGTATGACAGAAAGTTGTCATGTCTTAGCAAACAGTTTGGGGGAATTTCAACTCTGGTGGCACAGAAATGGTAGAAAAATTTGATACCAGGTCGGGGAAAATGTTGACATTAAATCAATTTTTGTGTATTCACCCACAATCAGCCAATTTTAGCTTCTCGGTTTTACTCTTATTCGTGTCATGGTTGCCATAAAAATGCTCTTACTGCACATTGACCGTTTTTTAACAAATAGGTTTTTATGTATCATTTGTTAAACAATATTCCTTTTTCAGTATGCAAATTACGCCATTGGCAAAGACGTGCAAGCAATGAAAGCTGTTGTTGGTGAAGAAGCTTTAACTCCAGATGATTTACTTTACCTCGAGTTTTTGCAGAAGTTTGAAAAGAATTTCATCAGTCAAGGTTTGTTTTTTATTAAATTTGGTATAAAAAAACAAGGGGTTTGGAGGCTCGTATGATGATAATTCACCACGATACAGATGAGTTGAATTGGAAGCTTGAAAACAGGGATACAATGAAGATTTTTGTCGAAAATGAAGGATGAGCTCGTACAGGAGAGAGTGTAATGTAACAAGTTACCTATATATGTTGTTGGAAGATACATTGCTAGGAAAACGCAGCGGGGATTCATTTAAGTTTGCATTTTCATTATGAACGTGAAGAATGTAGTTCTTTTAAATTGTTTTTAGCGAGAAGATTGGTGCTTTTTGTTAATTGTTTTTCTAATTTTTTGTTTTGGCTCGTTGATTGAGGCTTTTTGTAGTAATTGCTGCACATTTATTGTTGCATGTTTGTCAAAGATCTAAACTGCAAGCAACAATCCTCTCGATATCTTCCATTTTATTACAAGCCTAAACAACTATGTTTCTCCACAGGCACTTACGAAAACAGAACCGTTTTTGAATCCTTGGATATCGGATGGTCTTTGCTGCGAATTTTCCCCAAGGAAATGTTGAAAAGAATTCCACAATCGATTCTTAATGAGTATTACCCAAGGGACGGAAGCAGAAGAAAACAAGAGGAACAATCATAATTGATGAAATTAAGAAGGGATTGCACAATTAAATGCGTCAATAATGGAACAGGGATCTACCATGTTTGTAAACTTTCTTTGATGATAGAAGAAATTGCTAAATATATTTATGTTACTAGAATTTTTCTTCCTTTGTGTACCCGTAAATTAGATGATTTATAATTTTTTATATTACTTGATCTTTTTTCTAGTAGCAGTGCTAGATTTAAAGAAAATACTGAATAAAATTTGAGAAATTATTATTACCATGACTTGTGATTCTCTGTAGCTCTCTCAAGGACATTCTAATGCCCAATTTTAGAGATTCTTGCTAGCTTTGATGCTTTTAAGTGGAGCGGTTGTTTAGTTTCTGAGACATTTTTAGCCTTGAAATTTGTCTGCTTTCTTACTACTTTCTCGTGCAATGAAATTAGATGCAAAGGTAGGAACGTTTCCATGGCTGATATCGAATTTCAATATTTTTCTTGTATATATACGATTAATAGATAAATTTCAGCACTGTTTATATACCGATAGGCTGCCGGTTTACAAAATGAAAAGACCGAAAGAAAGTACTAAAAACAATGTATTTACTAACAAGCATAATGTTTTTAATTAGCGATGCTAGATAAATTGTTTCTAGTGCCAAGGTCACCCATTTCACCAGTAGAGTCAACATGTTGACGGGACCTAGAACCTCTAACGCAAATTAATTACTGCAGTTCAAAATAAACAAAAACTTAGTTTTCTGCTGACCCACGCAGAGGTTTCACTGAAATTTTAGTGATGTTTTTTGCAATTAGTTCCGACACTCGTTGAAAAAATCTCCTTGTTTCGATGTTTCGAATTTTCATGTTTTTGGTTAAATTTACAAAATATCCAAATAAAGCCTTTTGAGTGCTTATCCTATAATATTTTGCCAGTGGCGGATCAATATTTCATTAGTAAAAACAGGGGACAAATTTCATCAAGCTTTGACGTAGTTCTTTCATTCGTCCAATTATTATTTCTAGTGTTGCATCATGGAACTTCCATGTATGAGTGCTGGGTAAATTTTTATGAAGGAGTTAATATCTATTGACAATTTTAGACTAGTTATCGAGTCCAAAGAGATTGGTCCATGTTCACTTGAAGGCATTGATACCACTGTCTAGACAAGTATGACAAAACATGCTTTTATTATTGGTTTGTTCTAACCATTCCTATCAAAGTTATAAACTGTTTTGAAAATTTAAGGGACACTGCGCTTTTTACCTATTCTAACCATAAATTTGATTAATCTTCTTGCTACATTTTATTTAAAAGTGCAATTGTTGATAACGAAATCGTGAGGTCTAATAAAGTTTTTCCCTGCGTAAACATAAATACTGTTCTTACCATAAGTTGAGGGAACACCTTAAGGATACCCATTGCTTATCATGAAATAGTTGACCATTCTATCAATCTGGGACGCTTTTAATTACCTAATCTTAGAAGATTATTTTCAGAGATTATTTTATGCTTCATTTCTATCAACAGTTATAAGCAGTGTTGTGGAGAGTCTGTTGAAAGCAGATAGAAGAGGTTCTTTTCGAAATGAAAATTGTACATTGGTGCTACTACCTTGAACAAAAATTTAACGCGCCTCCTTAAGTTGTTCATAAAAGATGGCGACCTAAGCAAGAACTTGTGTACCTTTTCGAGGCCAACGGGGGTAACAGAGTGCTCTTGATCTAACAAATTATTTAGCCTTATATGTTAATGATCTGATATGTAAGACCTAAATTTTAGCTGCTTCATCTGAAAGAAGACAAAACTGGAATCTGAGTGTTGGACGGCGGTGGATGCAGAATGATGTGATGATGCCAAGGGTGGAAAGATGAAAGGATGGTCAGTCCATTGACGACAGTCTTGTGCCTGTTTATTACTGGCATGGTTTTAGTCATGTGTTTTGGAATTTGCCTTCTGATAAAAAACTTATGCAGGTAATGCTTATATCGTATATGTATAAATGTAGAGTTCTAAAATGTCGGGGGAATTTGGAAATTTTGTTTTTTAAGATATTTTGTTTTTTGCCAACGCAACGCTAATCAGGCTTCAGTGGTAGGAAGATCGAGGTTTAAAAAACTACTATGATTCTGGCTACATTTCTTCAAGCGATAATGTTGTTGATATCTGAAATTTTTCTTCAAAATATTCCAGCAGAGATTAAAAGGATGCAAAATGCAGAAAAGGAAAAGAGGAGTAAAAGTACGAAATTGAAAATAAGGAATGTAAAAAGAGAGGATATGGAAGACACAAAGAAAGGACTCACAAATATTTTCAGAGTGAATGTTGATAGGTACCATGTTTAAATGTCATATCAGCAGACCCCAAAACAACTTGCTGCCCAGAAAGAGAATGAGATAAGTGCAAAAGACAGAGAATTTCTCTAATTCTGTTGGGGGAAACTATCATGAATCATTTCTATAGTTCAGTGGCGGATCTAGACAAAATTTGAGTGGGTTCCTATATGGGCGTGGTCCCATATATTTTCCTGGCAACGCCCTTGACTTTTGTCCAAAATTGGGTGACGCCCATTTTTGCTTTTTGATAAGATTCACAATTGCAAGATTTAATTTTAACAAGATATATTATTTCATCTTGATTCCAAGGCAAGTAAAGATAATAAATCTGTAAACCAAACCAGGAATTGTCATTATTCTAAAAGAATGGTTTCGATTTCTTGCCAAACAGAGGACCTTCATAAATTCTTCTAGCTGGTTACAGCGGGACATAAGCTTATTGAGTGTTGCAAGATTTGAGTGAAGTTCATGCTATAAATATTACCAAATAATAATAAAGACAAATTCATATTAACAAGACAAATTTACAAATAGGCCCAAATCGTCACCAAGATGATCAAAAATGAATAGCGATGGACGAAGCCTATCAATCATATATAGCAAACAAACCCAATTATTAAAAAAGTGCAAAATTATGACATATGAAATCATCTTATCCCTTCTCTAAAGTCTGTCATTTTATTTTGATAAAGTTCCCACTCTATAGATAAATATATCATGTTCTATAAACTTCAAGAGTTCTATAAACTTTTTCCTGCAAAGAACTCTCTCCTGCTTATTGCAAAATCTTGTGAATGCTACTTTACAACTATCTGAAATGGAATTTTTGCTTGATCCATCAGCAAAAAAGCGGTGATCTGTCTTCTCCGGGTTAGCTGGGCCAGTCGAGAAAAATGAGCAAATAGTTGGTGAAGCGTGTTTGAAAAGCTTTGTTGAAAATTCATAGCACTCTTCCATACTATTATTAAATTTCATTGATGTTCAGGTGCTGGTCTCTTCCTGTTCTCTTCCAGAACCCTTGGAACCCAGTCTGAATCTGCCACTGCTATAGACTGTCTGAATCCCCATGCATCTATGACCGTGATTATGGGCACTAACTTAAAGAAGCGCAAAAGATTATTTTTCTACAAGAAATGACAACATTTCTTAAAAATTGATTGGCACAAGGTGCTTATTAAAAGTATTTTAATGTATGCGATGGCAAATGGATTGAATCAGGGTTGACTGGCTTGGGTAGGTTATAGTAAAAAATAATGTATTTGAAACATTCACATTAAGAAACAGGTAAGTGAGACATTTCACACTCTTCAAAATTTGAACAAAGGACATCCATCTGGGAAGAGAAAATAGGATGGAGAGCTCAAAATAGTAAAAATTGCCTTAGAGAAAAAGGGAGAGACACAAGCTTCAAAATCTCAGATTCAGAAAATTTTCTAATTAGTGCTCAACTTTGGAAGACCACAGACAACAAGCTTGCCACGCCCATTTTTGTTGGCAATGTTTGGTATAGAAGATGGGCTATATAAGGAAAATCTTGTTAGAAGCAACAGCATGTATTTCATTTCCCCTGAAAATTTAGAAACATTTCTGCAACAGAATTTTATTGCATGCTGATGCTTGGCTTGTGATTGACGTGTCTTAGATTTTAGCACCAGTGTAAAAATATCTGACTGGCTAGCTCCCTGACAATTGAGATTAAAGTCTGCTTGCAAGCTACTTAATGTCAGCAATTTCATTATTGTTTTCCATTAGTTATGTTTTCCAACTAATAACCCCTCTTGATTTTCAATTTGGATTTCTAACAAAGGTGCATAGATATGGTAGTTGGTACTGCGGAGAAATATAACCAGGAAACTTTGTTTTTGTAGGTCTTCAAGTGAACCTGGAAAAATAAAGGTGATGCTCTTTGATTGATTCCTTCAGTTGCAATAAAGAATAACCAAATGCAACTATTTCCTGATAATTCAACAACCAATGAATGTTCTGTATAGCATGCTTTGAAAGCATCAAGGGCATTTAGATGCATCTGATTTATTGACAATTAAAGGCTAAATGAATATGCTATTATATACTAAGGCTAAATGATAGTCTCATTAGATAAAGAGTCATTAAGTGTGTTATATTTGTCATAGCTCTAGAAGGTCCATATTTTATAGCATTAAATATGAAGACTAGCAGAATAGGTTCAAGAAAGTAAATATGTGAAGACATCTTATGTATATATACTTTAAATAATTCAGACAGTCTGACATATAAAATCTAATAATATTTTCCCTTTATAGACAGCAAAATACAAAAGGAAAGGGTTTTTCAAGCAGGCCACATGCTCTAATGAGGTAATGATACCATATTTCAATATAAAAATGCCAAATATATGGCAAACAGGAAGACTGTGACTAGTTTGTAGTTTTGTTCTTCCCTCTACTAAACTTTATGCCGTAAAAGGGCTGTATCACAAGGGACATCTTGCGCAGCAACGCGCCAGTTAGTGAACGTTGTTTGGGCGAAACAACCATTGTGTTTTTGTATCCTTGCTCATCATGCAAAGCTTCTTCATTTTTGTATGTTTTATGAAAGGAAACAAATAATAAGGGCTCTTTCTTCAGTCTTATCATCATATATCTTTGGATAAAGGATGGTGATGCAAAAGAGGCTACTTTTACAGCCTTGTTACAGAAACACAAAGGGAGCAGTTAAAAGTAATGGGCCGAGATGACACCAAAAAACCTACCTTAATGGTGCAAATTATGAGCAAAAACATTTTTTAAAGTTTGCAGGGCAATCTTGGAGTGATCAATTTGTTATGCCATTAAATGAAGCTTCATTTCCTTGGCCAAGACCAATTGCTTTACACATTTTCTGTTGATAGTCTGTACAACTGTAGAAATATAATAATTATCTTTTCCATGTTTGTTCATCAATCATATGATGCTGACTTTTAGTTTTTTTGCCATTGATTCATGGGAATATGATTTGCTCTGAAATCTCAAGATGATTTCAAAATAGCATAGAAAGCAGAAACAAAATGTACCAGTAGCATTTTAATTTTTCATGCTAATTTAAAGTTTGGGTGTACAAGAAGCTTTTGTAATTACTGTATGAATTACCAAACTACCTTTGTTTAACTCATGGATTTGTTTATTTTAGATGTGTGCAGTCTGTCTGGAAGAATTTGAAGTCAGTGAAAATATAAATGTTTGTCCTTGCACACATGGATATCATGCTCAGTATGTTCAATCACTACCTTTTCTCCTAAAATCTTTAATTTTTAAACAACCACATACTGTCTTCTGAAATTCAAACAGACCGTTGACAAGTGTATTATACATGAAATAAGATTCATATGCTGTAATCTGTTGCAAGTTGTGGGATGAAATGCGCAGACCTCTCACTGAAATATACCCAATGAATTCTATCTTCCGTAATAATCACCTGAAAGGTTACTGAGGGAACAAAATATATACAAGGCCAATTCTACTTTTGTTGGGTAAAATCTGTTTGAAAACTAAAGAGTTTCCAGTTAATATGTAGTCTGTTGTTCTATATTATCCAAAAGCTATATCAAAGTTTGTTTTGGATTTCAGTAAGAATGCAGGACATGTTGCATCCCCTTTTTTAGTCAACACGAAGTCTGGCCCAAGAAAAACTTTGTTGCAAGCCCTCATAAACTGGAGGAACATTTCATTATTTGTTTCAGAATTGTCTTTAACAAATGCAATTGTCTATAGGCCCTGGAAAAGTTAAGAAATGAAATTCTTGCTGTCGAAATGTCTTAATGAAAGCTAAAATTTTAGGAGGTCAATCAAGACATTAGTTGCAGATTTTTGAAAGGCTTTTTCTGATCTAGGTATTATGTTCAGTGAGATGGTTTTATCTATATCAAAGGACTGCTTTACACTTTCAATGTTTTATTATTATAATAAAAAAATTTTGGGGGTCTAAAATGTCATGTAAACTCATTTTTGAGTTTGATTTTAAATGCAAAATATTCTTAAGAAAAATCTTGGCTAATGCTATTTCAATATTAAGAAGCCATCTTTACTCACTAACCCACTAATTTACTCACTAATTGGGAATGGATATTTCTACCAGATAAGATACATACACCTGTCATAATAATACTTGTCACATACTCTAGAATTGTCATAAGATATATAAAAAGTAACCAGATTAAACAACAAGAATGAATGATTTTATGGAAAAAATTATTTGGCGAAGTTGTTGAATAAAGAAAAACTGTATCAGCAAACCTAAAAAAAAAAATGAAAAAGAGCAACATAAAAAATTAAGACAAACTCAGTAAAAAGGTTTTTTATACATATTCATTCAGCATTTTTTATTCATAGCTAACCTCCTTTTATATCTTACCTGTATTGTAATCTTTTATTCATTCCAGGTGCCTGCATAACTGGCTTCAAGTAAAAAACATGTGTCCAATATGTCAAAGTGATCTTCTATTTGCTCAAGGGGAAAATATGCCTTTACTAAGGGTGTATACCATTGATGTATGAAGACCCACCAAAGACAGGTAAGTGAACATTGCTTTATTTATACTATTTTTCAATGCCAGGGTATGTTTGGAGTTTCAAATGAAGAATCTATGTGCTGTTTTTTTAATGGCAAAATCTTTTTGCAGTCTGAAGCTGTGCCTAAGTTTTATATGATGGGCTGTTGAGCAGGTTAAAATTACCTAAAAGTCCTTTCTCTGCTTGTGAGTCAATTATGGATAGACAACAAGCTTTTTGATGATGTGTGTATTTTGTTACCCTTGGCTCTTCATCTCAATTTTGACAACAATGGATTTTGCAGATGTATGTCACAAGAAAAGTCCTGTCTTGAGTAAATGTCGAAAAAATTTGTGTTCAATGATAAAGCAATGATTTATGGCTTCTTATCTTAACAACATTGGTCAGAACGTTATACAGGCAAAGAAAGTGTCACTTAAAATTTACATTTCATTCTAAAAATCATACAGCATATGTACATGAAACAAAAACTTTGCAAACACCAAATAGATATATCTAGTTACAATTATTCTATACAAAGTTGTATGCGTTCCTTATCAGCAAAATATTCATGCTGCTAGCTTCTGTGTTTGATTTAAATTAAACCCTCCGCCAGTGAAACGAGGCCCGTCTGTTCGCTGTGGTTGAAACTGAGGCTGAGAAGCCTGTTGAATGCTTCTTTCTCTCTCCCTGAAAACGAAAGTCAAACAAATTAAAAAATTAGAAATTAGAATGCTTTATTTAAGAACGCACGCTCTATAACTAAAACATCCCCGTATGAAACACCGTATTTTGAATAAAAAATGTATCTTTTGAAGAATCGTTTCATTTCTCTTGGATGTGTTATGTAAAAAATTTATATATTTAAGAACTGTTTTACGCCAAGAATTAAAACAGCATAACGGCAACGACAAAAGGGTTCTTCTGTTGAACACTGCTAAATATTTAGAAGAATTATATGTTACGTACTTTTGCTGCTGCTCTTTCTTTTTCTGCATGAAATATTTCTTCTTTGCCTCTTGCAATTCTCGAGCCAGCCTTTCAATTTCATATTTGTATTCCTGAACTTGTGCTTCGTACATGTTCAACTCTGATGCCATTGCCTATGGAAGAAAAACGTTTTCAACAACGTGTTTTCAAATTAAATCTGTCAGCGATTATATCCTGTTTGTTTATCATAAGGAATATACCTCCACGAGAAATTCTGATCCAGGCGTTATATCACCTGTTTCACAACTGTTGACTCCATCTGAGGCAGCTACAGCATAACGCCATCAGACAAACTTTATGTTTCCCGTCATAGTGGTCGCCGTTCATGCCTACTAACTTTAAATTAAACAACTTCCCTTGAAAGTTTAAGCTGTGAGACGTTTACTGTATCCTCGAGTGCACATTGAGATCGTCATGAGAACATACAGTACGCAAATCAAGTTATGGCAGCTCCAGTATGTGACGTCAAATCTAGATAAGTCTTACCTTCATCTGCTTCGTCTTTTCCTTAGAAGTTGCCTGGTACATGCTTAGTTGTTCGGCCACCTCGGGGCCTGGTTGTCTCGCCAAGATCTGTTTCAACTCCATGTACAGTTTCTCCTTCTCTTTGATTAGCAGCTCTTTTTCAACAACCTAGTGTAATTAATTACCATTATAATGAAATTTAATTATAAAGATGACGAATAAGCAGTTCTTTGTGTCTTTTGAACTTTTCTAATCCATGATGACTTCTTCGTAAAAACTTTAATATATTTTCTAATTTTTGTTACAGAAATTCCCAGTGCCTTAACCTGATTCGTATACCAACAAAGTCTTTGAAATGTTCGACTTTGCCATTTGAAAACAAAGAATTGCAAACACTGCATAACAATATTATTCCGGACGGATGTTGGATAGACATCAGCCATCATGAATGTTTAGGCCAAAAATACTCAATAATAAATTATTTCATATATAATTTTGTATGCATGGTAATGGATTACAGAGTATAATTTTCAGTTGGATGAGAATTTGGAAATTATTGTAGAATTGTATTTGGAATATGTAAATATTTACCTCTTCAGTTTTGGAAATTAGCCGCTTCTGTAATGTTTGGATCTTCTGTATCATTTCGTATGTACTTGGGTCGCTTCCCTAGGTATTATGAGAAATTTTTGTTAGCTGTGCGATGATTTTCCAATTCAGTTCGGACAAAGGATCTTTTTCATACAATACAGTAGGAGGGTGAAGAGATCGTTTTGTATCTGAGAGCATGTTATCGTAATAGTCTGAGAGAACCATCAACACGAGTTTTGAAATTTGGGTTTAATCAAACGTATTTATTTGGTTAAATTATGAGCGTTGCTATTGCATAATTAACTGTTAATTTAAGTTCGTTTCGAGTTCTATTCGTGTCAGATGTAAAGGGAAATGTGAATTAACTAATTAAACCTCTCACAAAAATTGGAGAAGGTTTTTTTTTTGGTCTGCTTATTTCAGACGCCGGAAAGATGTCGGGCAGCCGGGCAAGGCACCAAGAAAGTAGCCAAAAAATAGCAAAATAAAAAAATTGCTAAATTTCGCGAGAGCAATGGGCAACTACCTCTGCCGCCCATCGTGCTTCGGCATCCCTGTTTTTAAACGATTCGGAAAGATTTCTGCGAAAAAGGATTTTATCAAAATGCCATTCTAGTACAAACTTGATTTTAGGGAAGAACAAAGCAAGAAAGATCTTTTTGTGTCAGGGAATATAAATGCTGTGGCATAAAAATTTGTCTTCTTTCCCCCTTTGTTTCAATTAGACACTATATGCACACGATATTTATTTAGGATTTCGCCGCTAACGGAATTGGCTTGATAATACCTAACTCATAAGCTTCTGCTCATGTAATACCCTTCAAATAATAAGAGTTGTTCCCAATTTTCGTAATGTTGCCTTCCCATTTACCTTCAAGATTCATGTCGTAGTTATACAAGATTTCGTAGTTTTACCAGATATTTTACAAAATGCACAAACCTCCAGTTTTCTCCACCGGTGAATGTTCATTGGGTTCTCAAGTTCTTCTTCCAGCGCTTTGCATCTAGTCCTTTCTCTTAAAAGCTCTCTTTGCATGTTATACACTTCTCGTCTGTGATTATAAATTGTATAGACTCTTTAATATTCAAAATCATTAAAAATATTTTTGTCAACAGACCCTTATTTAAAAATCGCGGAACCATAGATTTCAAAATAACAAACTGAGTCAATACTTTCCTAGTGTCATTTTTCTAGTTTGAAAATTTAACGATTTCATTTTAAATTGACGAAGTGCTTAAAAAGTAGAATTTATAACGAGCCTAAGTTGCTTGCATAAAAAGATTGCGAATCAGTTTAACATAATTTTTTGAGCATACATGTTTCGCTATGCAAGAATAGTTTATCAAAAAGCCAGCAAACTGGATGTGATCGTGCTTTTCGAGAATTAAATTAATTACTTTAACTATGAACTTTGTGTTATTTATTTTCTAATAAAAGTGGTGAAATCTTTACCTAAGCTCTTCGACATTTGCAACACTTTTCGTCAAAATGTGTTTCTCGCGTCTTAGTTTCTTTATCTCGAGTTTGAGAAGCCTGATATCTTCCAGTCGTTGTCGATATTGTATTTCACCTATAAAGAAAAAAATCGCCACAAATTTAAATATGTTTTTACTTATTAATTTTCTGTTTTCGTAAACGTTTAGGATCGCCTTTTTGCAAGTTACTCCATCAACGTTAAAGAAAATGAAAACAGTCCTCGAGTTGAAATTATAAATGAAAATATTTGTAACAAAATGATCTGCAACTTCATTTGTCAAATTACAATGAAGCCTTTCAAACGACAAAGGTGAAAAGCGAAGAAGAAAATAGGATTAAAGAGCCATTTTCATTCCCAACACGGTTTTATTTTTCTTCTAGTCAAAACAGAAAAGTCTTGCGACTGAATTCTTCGGTTTGGTTGAAAAGGAACTTAATGTTTCTAGCATCAAAAAGTGTTTTATTGAACACAGCATCAAAATAATTTTTCAAAAAGTGAAAGCAATTTTACAAAACAACATTTTGCTCTAGCAGACTTGCCTAATTTAAACTCATCTCTGTATGTTCGCAGTCAAATTATAAAGGTAGGCATCGGGGATATACAAATTTGATTTTACCCCATCCTCCTGTTCTTTAAATATACACCTTCTAAACTGTTTAACACTTTATATCATTGAGTTACACGTATATTTAAACCACGAAGGCCCCAAAATCGATGTCTCACCTTTATCCAGAGTACTTTGTTGTATTTTTATCTTCTCATACAAAAGTGCCAGTTCATCGTTCCTTCTCACGAGCTGAGTGCCCAGAATGTCCCTCTCGCTGATGACTTGATCAAGTTCCTTCTTTTGCCTCAACCTTTCAGCGTCGGCTTCAGATATGATTTTCAGCAGCTTCCTCTCTTCTGCCTCTTGTTGCTCGATATAAGCTTTAGACTCCGCAGCCTCTTTCTTCATGGACTGCAGCTCTGCTTTCAATGCGTCTTTTTGTTTTTCAACTTTTTGGTGAATTTGATGCTCCTTCACAAGCGCTGCCTCTTTTGATGTGATCTCCTCCTTGAGCTGGTCGATCTGATGGTTCATTATTTTCAGCTTTCGTTTCATCTCTGTGATTTCATCCTACAATGAATACAGTTAATTTTTCGATGAATGCTCAAACCAAACGAGGTAGAGGACAAAAAACAAAAATTAATTTGATTGCAAATCAAGCAAATCAACTCGAGGACTGTTTTCATTTTGTTTAACGTTGATGGAGTAACTTGCAAAAAGGCGATCCTCAAAGTTTACGAGAAGACAATGTTGCTCGTCTCGCTTTAATTTATAACACAATTCTAAATGAATTTGGAAACTTGATCCATTCTATACCTATTTTATGAATGAAGACATAATACGACAAAAATTCATGCTAACCTAAAAGTATAAATACACATCAATTTAAGGTGTAAATATATGTCGTATAGACATTCGAATATGATCACGTGTATATGCCCTAATCATCATGTGGCTTGATTCTCTTTTACACTGCTTAACAAAATGGTTCCATTCAAATACCTACCTGGCATTCAATCAAGTTCTTGCTGTATAAATTCCTGTCACTCCTCACTGCTTCGTATAGGTTCTATAAATAAAAACAGTTATGCATGTTAACATGTTTCAAAAGTGAAGTTGCAATAAATGACAAAAGACGGCCTATTGTTTGTCATCTGTGAAACCCCTTTTTTCATTTGCAGTTGCATCCGTTCCTTTTCATAAAAATATTTTACCTTAATATTGATTACCCAAACTATAATAGATCTTCGCTAGTAAAGGAAGAAACAATTTACCGTGGCCCAATTTCAACGTCTCCATATGTTGCTCATTTTTCACCGAGTGTCACAAATCATTTCGAGTATGAAGGATCCGATTTTTCCCCTAAACCCAGTTTAAAATAAAAAACAACTAATAGTCTTGATCAAAAATTTTACATTTCTTCTAGAAGCGTTAACCCACATTATAATCAATGGATCGTCATAGGTACTTTATGATCGTCATAGGTGCTTTTTTATGTCAACTCGGCTACCTCAACATGCATCTGATTGAAAACTCCTTACCTGCTGCTGTTTAAGTTTTGTGTCTGCTTCAGCGATTTTCTTTTTGTAATCAAAAATCTGCATTTCTCGCACTTTAACATCTTCCATATGCTGTAGAACCTTTTGAGTCAAATCACTGGCCTCGTTGATGTATCTGTCTCTTTCTTTCTCCAACTGGTAAATGATCTTCCTCTGTTTCTGCGCTTCGTCTTTGTAGTTCTAAACAAGGAGAACCAATCAAGTGATGAAAGAGCTGCTTGACATTTTAATGCCTTTATCATGTTCTAATAAAACGATTTTGATGCTTTAAAACATGAATTGGAAAAAAGCTCTTACCTGAATTTCTTGCTCTAAATTCTTTTTTGCTTGTTCATGAAGTCGAACTAAACTTAACTGCTTTTGTGTGGCACCGGCAGCTTTGAGAAGATTCTGGAAAAGGAAAGCAAGTAAATATCAGTGTCAGTAAAGACATTTGTCAGTAAATATATGTGTCGGAACATTCTGCAGTTATCAGCTGCTCAAAATTTTAACAGGGAACTTGTATGAGTAGGGAACTTGTCTTCGTTTCTGTTTCATGTTGTTGACAGAAAGTGCAGAGGTAGGGCATCTTCAAGGCCGAGCTGGCCTATAAAAGGCGCCTGCAATCTATATTAAAAAACAAAATAAATAGAAGAGAAATGGCTCATTCGTCGCAAAAAGGCCTAGGCCAGTCAATGATAGTCTTTCTTTGGAGAACATAGCTTGTCTACAAGGCCACCAAGCTAAATTGCTGTGATAAAAAATGAACAACCATTTCAAAATGAAAAAGACAAAACTAACATTTTTGACAAATATAATACTTCGTGAAAGCAGTAGGTTACAATTTGGTATTTCAAGGAAATCTAGATAATAAGCACCTTGTTTAAGATGTCTCGCTCTCGAACCAAGTCATCTACAGCCTTCTTGTCTGTTTCAGTTTGTTTCTTGCTTGTCTCTAACTCTAAAGAAAGAAAAAGTAATCGGTAATTATATTTTATTTAATCCTGATGATATCACATTCATGATTTAAAATTAGTTTCTTGAATTTGTTCATATTATCAGCATCTGTCGAAAAGATAAATGCGGCAGGTAAAGAAAATAACATTAAGACAATTTGACAAAACGGTTGAATTCAGGGGCGGACTGGCTGGTCGGGCTATTCGGGCGATCGCCCGAAGGGCCGGTCTGTTTAAGGGCCGGTTGATAAAAGTGCAAAACAATAAATTAGCTTAAAAAGTGAATGCGAGGCAAAAAAGTTTTCAGTGACTTTGCGGGAAAGAATAAATATATACGTTAGTACTTCAAAACCATCAAAATTATGAATTCATTATTGTCACCGCAGCCCAAACACTTTTCTTCAGGAAATATGTTATTGACATCTTCTTATATTTTTTCTCTTGACGGTATTTCCTTTTTGGCAACATATTATACTGTAACACCCCAGTTTCAATGCGATACATAAGATTTTAACCTGCCCTGATGTCTTTTTACTTAGCTTTTGCTCGAAGCTGGTCATGTTTTTCCCTAAGCACAAGCTATTGCTAAATGTAATTTATTTAAAAGTCCAAAAATTGTGATCCTCGAGATTTGTTCAAAAACGATTTAAAACTCATTGAGGTAGGGGGGGGGGTGTAGTATACTGTATGCTTGTGTCAATAACAATTGTAAAATACTTTCCTATTTACTGTAGCGAACATGAATCAAATAGTGGCGGAAAATTTTGCAAAAAGGGCGTTTCTCTGCATTTGCGAGTGTTTGAAGGGCGTGGTCCAAAAAATTTCTGGGGGCTGCGCCCCAGACCCCCCCCCCCCACTTCTCCGGCCCTGGGTACGCCACTGCGTAGAACAAAGGTAGAGCGAGAAGACTTCAACCAAAGGTGATGCACAGAAATTTCGTTAGGAAAAGCTGCGAGACTTAAAAAAAGGTTCAGCTACGATACAAAGCTTTTTTTATCAGGCAAAAGCCACAAACGTCACAAAAACAGCAGGGTCTTGCTCTTGCTCCTTTCAATAAACTCATACAAGTTTTTGTAAGTTTATTATTAGGCCTATACTATCACAAGTCAAATGCACCCCCGCCCCACAGGGGTATGGTGCTACACGATAAAATTTCAACAGGGGTGCCCATTTTTGGGGGTCAGAAATTGAAAAAATCGATTTTTTTGGGCTGCTGAAAATCATTGTGGTTTTCCGGAGGATTAGAAAATTATTTGTCACAAGTGGAGTGTGATAGAAGCTTTTCAACTTTAAATATATAAAGAACAGATTACGTATTAATTTTTCGCAGCAAAACCTGGAGTCCTTCATGTAAATGTTCTTAGAAAAACACCTGTTAGATGACATCCTGAACGATCACATTATCAACATATAAGTTACTATATTTAGAAACAAAGTCAAACCAAAGAGTTAAGTTTTTTGTTTATTTACTGTTTAGTCAACAAATGACATATTTATCATGTTCTGTTAAGCATATTCTGTTATGCTTATTCACTTGTTATGTTATGGAAGCATTCAACCATGCACAAAATTACTGAATTTAAAACCTTGTTTTCCTTGCAGACTAACATTTATTTGTATTTTCCGAGGAGTTTTTTATTTGCTATTATTGTGGGCCGGTTTGATCAAAATTTGCCCGGGCCAAAAAAAGTAGCCAGTCCGCCCCTGGTTGAATTTTAGAGCTCCATCATTCTCTGGAAACTTGATGAGTCTCTCAATGATTCATTCCTTATCTCCTTACTAGTTTTAAAATATTGAAACTTTGGCTATTTAATTATATACCATAAATAGCGGCTGAGTTCTAACCTCGTTCCAAGGCACTTATCTGTCCTTTTAATGTTTCCTTCTGGTGTTCAACTTCAATTTTTTGATCCTCAACAGCTCTGAGTTTCCTTTGAATCGCTTCCCTTTGCCTTGTAAGACGAACACTATCTTGTTTCAAATTCCCAATGTCTTCTTCACGTACCTGCAAGTTGGTAGTTTACAATTTAAGGCAACTCAAGGGCAGAAATGAAGGGGGATGTGATCTTGAGAGACAACTTTATGGCATAAATATAAAAATGAAATGTGAAACTTCAAGAATCATTATGTAAAAAAACTCGATATCAGACAATTACCTTCAATTCTGCTGCCTTTTGGTTGTTTTCTTGAGCTAACTGTTCTGCTGCAGACAACTGGGCATCAAAATCTTGCTGTAACTTTGTGAGTCTACTGTTCAGCAGCTCAGTGTCCTTTACAGCCCTTTCATTAAGAATCTGTGAAGGAGAAAAATCATATGAGAATCTGTCATATTAAAAGAGGAAAATAACACAGACACTACAAAAGCAAAAATTAATGGGTTTAAAATGTTATGCACAAAATAAATACGCTGGATTCCAGAATAAATTGGGGGTCTGGAATGAACGAGCTTGGTGAAAAATTTCCAAAATAATTATAAACAAGGTGAATGGCTACTGGTCCCTTTAATTTGGAACAGAAGGAATATAAACAAGACACAAATTTCTTAAATAAGAAAAACATTCATTTCACAATATTATAATAGAAACATTCAGTTCTTGATAATTATGCACTTATTCTGTGCTCTAAATGTTTTCCTAGACAGGCTTTGCTGTATGCATTTTGCAGTTTTTTTAAAACATAAGGCTCAAAAATAATAAGCGGAGGGTTAGGAAAAAGGATGTCAGGTGGATTATTTTCAAAAAAACAAATTAGCAGGGGGTGACATATATTTGGACCTGACAGTAAGCACAAAAATTTCTCTCCATATCATGTTTTTTATGCAAGTCTTTGGATTATTATTTTTGAAAAAAATCAAATTAAATTGCCTGAAATATCAATAATTAAATGCTTCAAACAAGCCCAATAAATTACCCTATATTTTTTTCTTTTGGATACTTTAATATTTGTTAATCTGTTAATTGATGGAAGGGAAAAAGCTCATACTAAAATGTCCTACTAAATTCACCAGTAAGGGAATAATATATATCATTTTGAACATATACAGCCAAGAGTGTATTTGACCATTCAAATTTCATTATGTTGTTGAATTCAACTTCAATTTTTGTCTTCTTCTTAGTGAGAGTGGCAGGGAAAACATGATTAATCTCAGGTTGACTTAAAAAAAAACAAACCCTTTGCTCCTTGAGTTGCTGCTCAAGCCTTGAAGTTTCTTCCTGTGCTTTTTGCAACTGGTTTTGTTTCCCTTTCAGGTCAGATTGCTTTGATTCTAATTCAGCTTTGCTCTGCTTCAGCTCTTTTTCTAGCTTTTCTTTTCTTCTCATTTCTCTTTGTGATTCATTGCTTTTCAGCTGTATGTCTTCTTTTAGCTAGAATATGAAAATAATTACTAAAAAAGGAATTCAAAACTCTCTAGTTGGCTACATTGTGATAATACTACTAAAATTATAAATTAATATGGGGGTGTGGATCAAAAATAGGTTCATTTGAAAGCAAACAAGAGGTCTTGAAAGCATAAAATAAATGTTTTGTGGGGACCACTGTTTCTACAGGCTTATGTGTAAGCTGCATTCACGTGGATAGTAAATAAACATTTATTTACAATCCATGAAAGGTATTTTTTCTTATTTGCTTTTCAGGGTTTGTGACTACTATGTCATGCTATGATCACATGCACATATGCATAAATCAGTTTTCTACTCACTTCAGATATTTTCATTTCTGCCTCAGTCACATTTGTTTCAAGTGATTGTAGCTTCGAGGAAGAATGTTGAAGTTCCTCTCTTAGCTAGAAGTGAAAAAACCATTCAAAGATAACTTCAAATAAAAAATTAACTGATTTGCCATAGATGTCAATAAAGAATCATACATCCTAGAACATTTGTATCAAGGGTGATGCAATATCTAGACAATATATTTTAGCCCTAAGAATTTTAGGTCTTCTAAAATTTTCCTGCTTTTATTTCTAGTTTGTAAGTACTTAACCCAAATTTAGTAAACATCGCATTATTTTGTAATCTTAAGTGATATCAAGGTGACCCAATTTGAGCAACAGATGACAAGGTTTCCAATTCTATTGGCACTGCAAGCCCCAGTTGCAAATAACAAAGTTTGAGAAAAACTCTGTAACTCTAGTTTTGATAGTAGATAGGACAAAATATTTATATATAGCTATTTCATTTTAACTGGATATAATTGATATATCATAAAATTTAGCAACACAATTCCACATCACTGCTAGATATTAACTTGAAGTATACCTTGACAATCTCTGTCAGTTTTTCATCCCTCTCTTTGGTAAGTTCGTCTTTAATCTTCAAAAGTTCTTGAACACTATAAGGAATTTTGCCAAGAGCTGAATTACTACTAATTTTAAAGTTACAATTTATTATAGTGAATTGTACATAAAAAATCTATAAGGTTATAAGTATTCATTTTGGAGTATCTAAGAAGCTAGCATCAATAGACTGTTTACAAAAAAGCAAGGTCGTAAGACATCTTCAAGCAGCATATAATTGAAGGCATTTTCACTAACCTGTGGTCTTGTCCCATAGTAAGGCCAGCACCTTGCTCAACAAGCTTACTTAAGTTGGCAATTTCAAGTTTTAAGGATTGGATTGTTTCCCTTGCTCTTGTTTCCTTCTCGTGTGCTCCATCAACCATTTTCCATGCCTTCTCTATTTCCTGGAGAAGCAGATGTTAAACTTACCTACAAATATATCTAATTAAAAACTGAAAGCTTAATACAAATAAATTTGGTACTCGGTTAAGGAAAACTTGCAAAGGGTAACTTCTATATTTTCGTGATAGTCCTGTGAAAAAAGGATGCCTGACTAATATTCTCAAATTGTGTTGACTTTGGCTGGCTTCTTGTGTTAACTTCCTGTGCTGGCACATGTAACAAGGGCAGCACATGCAAGACTAGAATAATGTCAGGCTTGAATAAGTACACAAATAATTGTCAGACTTAAGCTAGATAACTTGTGCCAGACTAACATTGTTACATGTAATTTTTTGTTTAATTTTGGATTAGCAGAGAGTGACTTCATTTTCTTTTCAGTGATTTCAATCCCCAGATTATTTCATAGCATGAAATTTCAGGAAGGAAGAGAAGTCCTATCTAAGAAAATGAACTTTGTAAAGCTAAAATACATTTTCTTTACAATTCTGTAACAAAGTGAATTTAAAAATCGAAATTCATCTTAAAAAATTTTATTTACCTTTTTCAGTGCTACAATTGTATTTTGGTCTTCTTGAGATAATTTCAGTGCTGTAGAGACCTTTGCAGCATTTGCAACAATCTCCCCATTTAACTCCCTGCATTTTTGCATCAATCGTTTTTCACTTTCATGGGATTTCTTTAGTGCTCTGTGTAGCTTTTCATATTCAACTCTGAACTTTTCCAAGCTCTTATCTACAAGCAGCTCACCAAGAACCTTTTAAGAAAAGGATCAATTACTGCAAACTCATACAGCACACCCATATCATTAGCAAATGCATATGAATCAAACAAACTAAAAAGTTTTTTCAATCTAAGACAAGGTAATTTCTAAGACATCTTAAGAACCTTTCTTGTTTAGGTTACAAAATATTTTTGCTTTTAAGAAGTTTCTTTCTTCTACCTTCAATCAAATCTGTGTCAAATGCAATTGTTCTGTTTTGGATGATAAGAAATATTTCTTTATTCCAGGGTGGTGAGCTATGGGGCTGGGGGGCTTTAGCCTCTGCTTTTATTGTGCTCAATAGCTTGCTTAAACACTCATAGGCCTTTTCATAGACATACAAACCTCTTGGAAATCTCTCTCAAGTGCTTCAAAAGCATTTTCTTCAATTGCTGGTTTCTCTTTGAATTCACTTGTACTCTGAAAAAGAGTTGAATATATATATATATAAAGTGAACTTGTGTATGAAGATGTGTACACTATATTTATTTTGCATTTTTCAAATGACTCTTTAGGCTATGGGGCAAGTCTGAGCAGTATAAAAAGTTAGAATGCTGTGCTTCATTTCTTGAATTCTGTTTTTTGGGATTTGTTTGGTAGCTGAGCTACTATACCATACTCAGTCCTTTTCAAATATATTTAGATAAACTACATTTGCACTTCCAACTGCACCACAATAAAATCTAACCTATTATCCACACCAAACTTCCATTGAAGAGATTTTTGCATACCAAAGATCTGTCAAAATTGTCATAATTTTTAGTCTGATGTGCAAGATTATACCTTGATACATCATATAACCGTCTGCATTCATTTTGTTGATCTGCACTGCATAATCAAGATTATCTCCAATATTTTTAAGCATATCTAGTTGGGGACTATTTATAAGCAAATTATCCATAGGAAAAAACTCAAAAATAGATATCAAGGCCATCTCTCCAGTTATTATTGTGTTTTGAATCTTTCAAGCTTCTATGATTCGGTTTGAATACACTAAATAATATTTTTTGACAAAATTACTAATAAAAGTTAAGAGTAAAAGAAAAAACCAGATGAAATAAGACTAATACAGTAAGAAGGTAATTGATTAGCAACAAGGTACCACCGCTATGTATCTATTCAGAAAGAACACAAATATAAAATTATGATGATTGATTAAAGTACAGCTCGTGTAGGTCGAGTTCTGACTTTGATTTTTAACCAACAATTCCTCAATGAAGAGAAAAGTTTTCTCAAAGCTTAAGTAAATAAATGAACAAAGTCAATAACTTGGAAACATTAGTGATCACAAGCAGCAACTTCACAAATGCGGGCAATCAATCCGTGATGATAGGCCTAAACCTCTAGGAATCGAGCGGTAGGTAGTTAAGAATGTTCGTGTGTTACCTCAGCAGATCCAAGTTCTAGGAAACATCACTGACAAAATGGTATACACAAGACTTTATTTTCACTGAAAAGTATAAAATTACCTCGGTATTGCTAGTCATTTTCCACGGCAAGCTTTCCTTGCGCTCTTCTCACAAATACAATCTCTATTTGATCAGTTCAACTCTGTTTCGTTGTCATGGTTGCACTGTTTAGTACCCAGTCTGTTTGGATCGATAACAGTGAAATTTGAAAACAGCCATAACACCCTTATTGATTTTGCAAGATATCTTCGCTTCGAGGGAAAAATTGATTCGATTGTGCACTTAAATTTTTATATACAGGGTTAGGGGATGTCCATCCGATAGTTTTGGGTAAGAATTTTAATTGCGATCTGATACTTTTGGGTACCGGACCTATACCTTTTTAATACTTATGGGTTCACATAACAATATCAAAAACATGAATAAAAGAACAGATGTGTTTCAACTTATTATTTTAGGAAAAAGTCTAAATTACTTTCACTAGCGGTATCTTATGTGGTATCTTGTGTGACATTGTGTTTTTTGATACTTTTGGGTCCAGATTTTGGCTAATAATTTTGGGTCTGTAAATTTTTTTCGATACTTTTGGGTGAATTTTGATAATATCGGATGGTTTTCTCCGTATAAACCTATTCTGGTTGACTCCACTGCAACTTGTTCAACTCTTGGAAATTTACAAGATCAAATTTCAAAGTTAATTTTCAGAACATTGTAGTTTCCATGCTAGAAAATTCTTTGTTATGCTGATAAAGAAGTCTTGAATTATATCATTGAGACTGTAGAGCAAGGTAATTACGGGATAATTAAATGTCATTAAATTTAGGGGATAAGGGTAACATTTCAGTAAACTTTTGATTTCACAACATTTATGGTGGTATGGTAGCAGCATTCAATCGTGCAAACATTTTGTATTAATAAGGGCTAATAAGGACTGTTTCAGCGTTGAACGTTAAAAAGAAACACACGATTATCCTTTTGTGCTTTGGCTTGACATTTGTAAACATTTTTAAATTGTAAGGGCAACTTTTGGTTGTTAATTTTGTAATGCTGATTTTGCAACAAAGAAATTACAAGAAAGTCTTGACAGCTTCCAAAGAAAACTGCTACGCAGAATGTTTAACATCAAATTAATGGACAAAGTAAAGAATGAAGAAATATATAAAAGATCGCATCAAAAACCCATCACGACCGAATAAAGAGGCGACGTTTAAAGTGGCTTGGACACATGCTACGGTTGCCAGACATAACACCAGCAAAATAAACCTTCAAAAAACATCTGAAGAAAGCGAAAGGTAACAGAGGAAGACCAAAACATACATGGATTGAATAAATTAATAATGATTTACAGCCAATAGGCAGGACAATGGAACTGAATGAGAACGACTACGGGGAAACAAGTGGAAAAGAACAGGGGCAACTGGCAAGGCTAATGTCTTGAAAGGGGCGGTAAGATCCAATAAGAAGAGAAGAAAATTCTATGTTTTGAGGTACACAGTTTTTTACTCAAAAATTTTCGGCAATGGGCTCAGCTGATACCTATAAAACCCTATAGTTTTCTTTGCACAAGAGTTGCAAACTAGCAAGAAATATATAGATCCACAAGTGCCTTAAATTTAATTTTCTTGATAGGGTATGACTAAATTTTCCGCAATTTCCCATCCCGTAATTTTCCGATGAAATTTAAGTACAAGCTTCCAAGAAATTGATAAGTGTCGATGCAACGATGTTGCTTTGGAAACTTTCGGCACGAAAATGTAACTTATTCGAAAAAATTTCAGAACATGATGGGCCGGTGGCCTATTCCCCTTTGGCAATAACGACACTGCGGCGAGAACACCCCTCCGACAGGTGATTGTACTATGATATTCAGAAACTGTAGGTTGGTTATACTTGATACACAGTGGCATGAAAGCATTGTCATCTTGTGTTTAAATGCATATATTCGTTGTAAAAAGCAACGACAACTTTGACAACGAGAGAGCCCACAAGAAAAATTGACAACGATGACAACGAGAGCCTAGAACGAGAGAGCTCACTTCTCTCAACAGTTAAATAATAGAAGGCTGTACGAATAAAAAAACAACATGTACATATTCTGCATTGATACAAGCAATTAAGAAATTCTACACACTGAAAAATTGTTTTGAAAATACATCTAAACATCACAACGCAGACTTTATAAGTACATATAAGACGTATACAAATATCTAAAAATCAAACCATCAAAAGGTGACTTTCAGACTGTCCTGAGACTCTTGGTAATGGCAGAACGAAGCACCTTTCCGCATCATTTATGTAAAACTGTAAAGTTAATAATAAAATTGTGCAGTAATAGCACAGTTAACTTTTCGATGCACACTAACTACTTCGAAACAGGTATAAAACACTACATATATACGGGTAGTAAACTTGTATAAAATACACCATCACTGTTATTCTGCATCCAAAAATTCATTCTCTACATACAACTGGTGTAAAGATTATGCAAAACATGCTTGTTACATTGTAATTACATTACAGTAGTATAATCCCTAAAAAGTACTCAGTTTTCAGGAATCTATCAACAAATATTTGTTAAGTCACTGCATTGAGAAGTTAAAGATTACAACTAAGGTGTAAATGATAATATTTAAATATCAAACAATGTCCTAGTTCTTCGAAAATTGCTATAAAGAGCAAGCCTCGTTTTTTCACCTCACAGGTGCAAAAGGGAGGCATTAGCTCTGAGAATCCACGTGTCTTTTTCTGGAGTTAGGCTCAATCTGGAAGACTCCAGGAGGCAATTGATTCTTTGCCCTTAAAATAAAATATCCCTTGTGCGGCTAGTATTTTCTAAGTTTAATATAAATGAGACCACGTAATGCAAAATTACCACAAGCAACTGCTAATTCTGTTATTAAATTCTTATGCTTAAGAAACAACAGAAATCACGTCCTTAAACATGTAAAGGCGCTTGTGTAAATTATCTATCTAACGATATATTTTCAAGGTATCCAAGGTTTTTCTGAGAAAAGAAGAAGTCGGTTGTTGATTGCTCTTTAAAATATTTGAACCGATTCAATCATGGTCACTAAAGCACGCCCAGTATTTCCTTGGTTCTAAAAGTTCTTAATACGTTATTGGTCGAATACGAAGTCAGTTTAAATACGACAAACAACCATTGGAACTGAATACGTTTATTGGTGACAATGTTATGTTTCAAAACAATGATTAAGGAATGGTTTAGGAACAGGGCTGGACATGATTAGCAGAATTACCATGATAATCAACGACGTTGATAAGATCTATAATAGCAAGTCAACATTGTCACAGAACGTTTGGTACAAGCAATACCATATACGTTTCTCATTTCTAAAAACCTGGGAAGTTAAAAAAATCAACTTCTGATTGAAAATTGCACAGCGCGTGGCAATGTTCATGCACCAAGTTAATTGAGAAAATAAATCAGTAGCCTTGGACCAACAACGTAACTATTTCATCCGTTCACTTCTAAAACCTAATGAAGGTGACCATATCTAAACGAACTGAAGCGAGCAACATCTGCAACAACAGTAAGTGATCATCTTGAGGGAACGGTGACTGTGAGCTTTGTAGTGCCGCCCTTTTTGAGATCAATTGAATTTATCTTGAAATGGTTCACCAGCTGAATGACGCTGTCGAATTTCTACAGAGGGCAAAAAGACATTTAATGAATAGACGTGACGGAAAATGAAAACCAAACAACATCCAGCTAATGAATGCTGTTGTGTAGAGAGTTGGGTAATTGCTTCTCGCTTCACATACTGGTTCCGACCCCCCACCTCCCCGCAGCCCAAAAGCAAAATGCTTGTTCTTCTACGAGGGTCACTCCAAAATTATTGAGATATTCAAAAACCAAAAGTGGCATCGTGTTAAAATTTTCACAGTTCCTCAAAATACTCTCCACTGGCTTCCACACAAAGTCTCATACGATAAAACCACATATCAAAATAATGGGCCCATCGTTCCGCGGCCAGGTCAGAAACAGCCTCGTTGAAGGCACTAACTGCATCATCAGCGCTATCAAACTTGGTTCCGCGAATTTTTTCTTTCACCGCTGGAAAGAGAAAGAAGTCACAAGGTGCCAAATCAGGTGAATAAGGCGGGTGGGTCATCAACTGAACTGAATTTTCGGACAGAAAGTCGATGGTCAAAGCAGCTGTGTGAGCGGAAGCGTTGTCATGGTGCCAAAGTAGACCTCTTAAGCCGGTCCTTGGACGTTTATTTCGCCAAACTTCTAGAACATGTGGTATACAGTGGTTAACTTACCAATCCGCGTTCACTGTACGACGGTCTTCAACTTGAATGGTTGCGACATGACCCGTCTTTGAGAAAAATGACGCAACCATCCTTTTGCCGACGCTTCTGGATCGCCGAAATTTTTGCGGCGGGTTTTCACCTGGAAAGATCCAAATTGAGGATTGGCGCTTTGTCTCCGGGTCAAATTGGTAAACCCAACTTTCATCGCTTGTCACAATGTCATAAACCCGTTTGGACTTCCCTTCATTAAATTTTTGCAGCATAAACTGGCACCAATTGACGCGCTGCTCTTTTTGCTCATCTGACAAGCAATGTGGCACCCAGCGGGCAGCCACTTTCCGAACTTGCAGGTTTTCATGCAAAATTGTGTGCAATGCTGCTGATCCAATCTTTACGCTATCTTGCATCATAGAATAAGTCATCCGACCATCTTGCCTTAGCATCTTCTCCACAGCGGCAACTGTTTCTGGCACAACAGCAGTTGGGGGCCTCCCTGGGTGGGTCTCATCTTTAAGGCTCTCCCTCCCTCTCTTAAATTCGGCAAACCATCGAAAAACTATTGCCCTTGAAGGTGCATTATCTCCAAATGGCTGCAGAAGTTGAGCTAGGCATTCTTCTTGTTTCAGCCCCCTTTTAAAATCATAATAAATCATTGCGCGAAAATCACGTCTTTCAAGCTCCATTTTTAATAAATAAGAACATCTAAGGTGCTGAAATTCAAAACCCTTTTCTATTTTTTTCTCGCGCTTGAAATTAACAAAAATTACAAAACATGGGTGAAATAGATGGTAGAAGCCACCAAAAAAATTTCAAACTGATATCTCAAGCGGTTACTGAATATCTCAATAATTTTGGAGTGACCCTCGTACACCGAGAGTAGCAGGGGGCCGAGCCACACTTGCTAAATCTATCATTATTTACTTTCTTCTATTGTTTTTGAGGAATATACTATGAAGGTATTGCGCATTGAAGACACAAATCCAGATTGCAAATGTTCTCAACAGATGATCTTAAGGGGGTATACGATCAAATAAACTGTTAGAATTTCAGAAAAATCTTTTAAAATTCAGACAGCATTTAAAGAAAAGTTTTTACCTGATCTGAAGTACCAAGATGGTATTTATTTTGTTTTCGAAAAATGCTGAAAAAAGAAGAAGTAAATTTAGCTAGGTACTGATCAGAGAAAAGTTCCATCGGAGTTAAGAATAAGCTCAGGCTTCACTATTGATGATGGACGGAATTTGAAGATTTGGAAGCATTCTCTTAGAAAATCAAAACGTCTGTAGCATTAGCCATCGGTTATGTAAATAAATTTATCTAAATAATGCTTGACTGTTAAATGAAATAGGGAGATATCATAGAAAACTGGTGCTCAACCCTAGTACTTGATTCGATGGACGCAAGAATAAATATAAGTTAAGTTTAATCGAATTTGATCGAAAATAATGCCGAGCGGGGAAAAGTGCCTACAATGCAAGAGGAAGAGGGGTAGCAACGATAAGATAAAGTGGCTTTTCTCATGTCAAGTCATGTTAGGATCTGTAAGGATATGATCAAGTCATGTTATCTCTTGACAACGAAACGTGTTTTTAACAGTCTATATTACATTGAAGTACTAAATTTATTTTCTCATTATACTTCTGCTATTCGCATAAAGTACCACATGCAACTAATATATGTCATTTAAACCATTAGCTTATTCATACTAAGCTTATTTTCTTGCAATATATAATAATAAAAGCATCAGTTCATATTCATATGAACTGTTTTATTTAATGATAGAGGTATTGTTCGAAATCATAGTTGATCTACTACAACAAATAAGGTCGTGAAAAACTAAATAAAATTTTGATATTTACTTTTTTGGCTATTCATAGCGAGTGTATGTTTGAGATAATACGAGAGATTTGTGGAAATATGTTCAAGACTATATACAGGTATTATTGTCAATAAACATTTGCGTATACAATGAAAAATAAACTCACTGGATATGTCTGATTTCTCCTTGGTAACAAATTGATATGGTGTAGCCATCAACTTTATCCGTGTTACGCACGACAAAACAACCATCCTGTAAGATGAAAATTCTTCATTCAATGACGCTTAATTTCCTGTTACAGGTAGGAAGTAGCAAGAGCTTAGATGGACAAGCCGGGGATAAGCTATCAAAGCCTTGAAGAGCTTAATAACTTAAAGTGTACAAGTTTTCAAAAGCAGGGTGAAGTTTATTTGGTTTAGAAATGCACACGATGAAACCTGACAAAAAAACTGTTGAGACAAAACCATCAGAACAAAACTGTATTCAACTTTAAGTGTTTTCGTAGGCAACAGGCAATTAAGACACATCTGGTATTAAAACTTATGCTTGCATCCTTTGAAAATGCTCTGTCATCATCCAGACGACACCTTCTGTCTTATTCAGTGTGCAGCCTTCTTCTGTCTCATTCATAAATGGTTTCTTGATTCAAAAACCAGTAATTAAAGTTGAAAAGTTATCTTGCAAAGCATAGACGTAGAGAGGTAAGTGCTTTGTGAAAGAAGTTGAGCCATTGCCAGACAGATTGAAATGCACTTTCAGTGGCGTTTATTAACTATTCACCTTTCTCAAACTTTCGCAGAGTGCTTATGGCCTAAAAACATTACCTTAGAAAGCGATCTTAGCTTTGATTCTGCTTGTTGTCTTCCCAAGTTGCCGTGAAACCAAGGTTGTACTTCCAAGGATGTGTTGTTATTAGGCTGATGAAGTAGAAAATACATTTATATGTTACGCAAAATGAGTTTCAACTAAAAGGCAATCGATTGGTACTGAAGTGGCCTAAGCCATCTTTCAATCAAAACTTGCCAATCGTTAAGCCTGTAAGTTTAACCATGGTCAAAGGTTCGCCAGTTCTTGATTAACAGACGGCTGAAGCTAATTCAGTCTCTTACCATTAGCTTTAAAACCGTTCGGTCCAACACACACAAGCGTGAACAGTTCTATAAGGAATGGCGCACAAACCACAGACCACAGACCACGGACCACAGACCACGGACCACAGACCACAGACCACGGACCACAGACCACAGACCACGGACCACAGACCACAGAGCACAGACCAATAAACAATAATATTCGTTATTCGTTAAATGTTTTCAATATACTAAACATGTCATTTGAGTTACAGATTTAAATGATAATCCCATTATTCTGATCTGTTTTACAATGAAATGACTAGAAAAGTTCTTTCTTTTGTCAGTCTACTGTACAGTTCTAAGTGTTATATAAACAGGGCTGTGTCAGATCATGTTGTTTCATTCATAATGTCTTTATGGAGATCACAATTATAACGAAAACCATCATTGTTTTATAGCTCGTTACAAGATCTGTGAATAAACAAATAAAGCAACTAACCAATAATGAACATAATTCAATTCAAGAAAGTGTACTGTATTCACTAACCTCGTTTGCAGGCAGAGGCCTTCCCGGTCGTGACGGTTTTTGTGGCTTTACTGAGTTTTGTAGTTCATTCAAGTCTAGAACAGGGCTTTCGTCTGGTACACCTAAAAGATTTTCAGATTATCAACATGACATAATTGTGTAGCTTTGGCTCGCTAGTGACACTCCGGTAATATTTGCTGACCAATGCAAAGTAAGGCCGCAGTGCCAAGAAAAGTTGCCTTTTGGTACTTTGCTTATTACTTGACGCAAACACACCAATTTCATACAACGGTCTATGACATGCGACAAAATTCCCACGTAAAATAGAAGACAACAATGCCTACAGTTACCTAGCCTATCAGCGTTACGCAATATGGAATTATCCCCTGACGTAATGGAAATAGTTCCAAAATTTTAACTGCCTTTGACTAACATTACCATCAAACTAATATCATCAATTTGTAGGGGCTGTAAGGGAGCCGTTGGAAACGTGATCATCATCCTTAAATTTAATGGTCTTCTTACAATTTACTTAGATCTTACATACCCAGTGGCAAAATGAGAAGATGGTATTGCTACTTGGGGTGTATGGGTGTCACCTCATATACGGTGGAAATACAGTGGAAACTGACAAATTGATTCTTGTAGAATGGCATTTAGTGATGTAGGTGTAGACGAGTTATTAAGAAAATTGAAATAATCCAAAAGATGAAGTGGAAGTTGCATCTAACAACAATCAACAGAGCTATAGTCACGTGATCACAGACTCCTGTCCTGTTCCTTACAAATACATGCATCTAAGTGTGAGAACACAGTGCCTAGACTTCACCCGCTCCAATCAGACTATTCTCTAGTTTTTTGCCTGATTATATATAGCATAATAGCTATTAATCACTATCTTCCAGTTGCACCCATCTCCAAGTTTTGTAGCGAACTTTCTATCGTTGTTCCATTTGCAATTGTAACCCTTGTTACCAGCTTCGCTGTAATATCATTAACTATAGCAATAATAACTATTCGTTGTAGAAAAAGGACCATTTCAACCTGGATGTCAAATTTGCATAATTATAGCAGCCTAAGGACAGGAAGCTAGAATTTCATTCTGGTACCTTCTCTCTTAGAACCCTATATTTCCAAACGTTAAGACGAATTTCAAGTGAATGGCATTCTAGAGAATACTTCCTACCTGGCATAGGTCTTGGTGGCAGGCGTCTGTTACTCCTGTAAAAAGTTTATATAATTAGATATTGTAATTGCCATTTAGACTATACACACCGAAAAAACACCGAATGTGGTAATGGTAAGATTTCCTGGTCAAGAATTTGGTTAATGTGAATGAATCTGAAATTCGAGGAATACCGAAACATTACCACATAGAGATTGTGATAATTGTAAAAACCAAAGCTCTTTTAAACGCATTTTTAGATTTCTTCTGCCAGAATTCAGTATTCTTCAGGCTAAAGAAGCAAATCACTGGAGTGAAGCTTACGTACATAGAGTCTCTCTTTGCTTCTCTCGGTGGTGGCTCTTGTGGCGGTTCATCTTTTGGCGGACGGTCTCTTTGTAGAGGACCTCTTGGGGGTGGATCTTTGTGCATTGGCTCTCTTGCAGGTGGCTAAACAAAAAAGGGATGTGCATAAAATCAAGAAAGTCCAGGATGATGACAACTGCTTTTTCAGTATTACGACGGTCTAGCTAGGCCTGTGTCAAATTCTTAGGGTGGCCAAAGAGATTAGCTTTCCGACAAAGTTTCGTATAAGCGTAGGAGAAACAGTAAATTTTCGATGGAGACCCGATTTTCTGAAAAATCGAACCTGCTACAAGTACCAAGTCTTTTTTTAGGCAGCGATGTGTGTAGATGCTTACAGAGGCAGGTCGTGTAAAGGAAACTTGAAACTTTCAAAGGGATCATTCTTAAGTATAGGCTAAATATTTCCTGGTTAATAAAGCACCCTGTTTACTCTACTGATTAAACTGGGGACAGGGGTAAGGGCAGGTCTTCTTTATAACCATCTTGAAATCTCCTTTTAGTACCTACAAAAATTCATGTTCCAAAATGAAATTCTAACCTTGTTTCTTTGAGGATTTGTCAGTCCAGTCAATACTTGATTCAGCATCTGATTGGGAAGTAGACATAATTTTTACTATTCAAACATAGTAACATTATTCCAAGAATTGGTAAATAGGTTTTAAAACACTTAAAAAGATAAAAATTATCACCAACCAATTGAATTCCCATATAAGTAATTTATCTACCTTACGAAGAAAATGTCGACCTTAATCATCCTTACACACTCTGTTCCAAAAGCCAATTATTTATCATATCTAAACTTTTCAATCATATTCTCTTAACGCATGGACAAAAATGTTAAAACAACTACCTTCTCCTCTTCAGAAAAAGCTTTCTTTTTGTTAGAATTAGACAATTTTCTGTTCTCCTGGCCTTCTGGAGGACATCTTAAATGAAAATAAAAGGTGGTTTACAAAAGAATGAAAAATCGTTTAGCTTTCTAAGTACAATGGTCAGGGTCACACATTTGGCTAAAATCTTTTGAAACGGTCCAGTCATGTATAAAAAGTATGGAAGTTCTGTTATTATCGGATGTTTTTACGGTTGGTGAATGCAAGAAGAGGTTAGTGATAGGCAATATAAGAAGAAGGGCCTACAATGAGTCGAGCCCGTGATATTCTGGCATTTTGGTGACATAATTCTACTATTTCAAAGACTTACTTTCAAATATATTTTTAAGGCCTTCTTTTATTCACCACAATCACGCCTACTCAATTTCACGATTTTCTGTGTCAGAAACAAACAACTTGCGCAGTCGGGTGATTTTTCCAAAAATAAAGAACATAACTACTAGTGCTCTTAAAAAACTAGCTTTCTTTATCCAAATTGATTTCAAGCTCAAACTTTTTCAATGTTATAAACTGGCTATTTTAAAAACACCTGATGCCATGGAGCGAATGAAAGGTCCTCGCATTGCAATATGCTATCTACAAAGCAACGGCCTAACACCGACAGCTCCTAGGCTTGCAAATATCCCGTTCCGTGAAACTTCTTAATTTTTACCTTCTTGAAATTCTGCTTTATAAGGGACCACATATATGTAAGACCCCGGAGCCTTTGTATAATATCATTCAAAAGAACCGTTGAAAACTTTATTTTACCTTCGTCCAGATAACGGGTTCTGATCAACTAGAAAAATAAGAAAACAATCAATTTATCAGCCAAAACAGTAAAAAATATATTAGAAACAGCATAAAAACAGACCTCTGTCTACCAATTTAACTCCATTGCTGATCGTAGCCAGACATGTAAACCATGACCAACTTTGAATCGTTTGAAATTCGATCAAATAAGTAGAAATACAAGAAAGCTAGTAAGCTCAGGGTGAGAGCATCTCTCTTTGTTCCTATCTCGGGCATCAAACGTGATAAACAAATTTTTCTTGGCCACCTATCTTTTGTCTATCCCATAACAAAATACGTTTCGCCGTTATGCACTGTTTTTAAAACTTTTTTAGGCCCTGTGCAGCTCAAAAATTGCATTGTGGGATTCAACGGTGAGAAAGGGCTCAATTGGTAGCAAAGAGTGTGTAAAAAACCCTTGAGACAAACGACTAGAATGGCCTTCCGGGTGAGCATCGTGTTCACTGCTTATTTCTGGTGGGAAGATGGGATAAATCTTGGTAGAAAATGATAGAGATGTGCTGAAATGCCGTGCAATAGGGTCAAGGGCCTAGTCGAGACATAATTATAATATTTCTGCTGCAGCTTTGGGTCTTCTGATGCAGCTATGAACACCACTCTTCTAAGGAACCACAAATGGGTAAGGTACAGATTGTCATTACTGATGATGATTAAAATGAAAATAATAAACTGGACGTTGCTTGCTAAAAATTTACTTCGGTGACATACATTGAGTTAGTTGTTAAGGCATAAATGCGGGTTCAAGGAAACTCCTGCTAATAATGCAGCGAGCAAAGAGGCGTACAGGTTTTTCCTATTGGCTATCAAAAACCTTATAGGCCAGTTTCTGCATCGCTGATAGAATTCAACCGACAAAAATAAATAGTGCCAATGAAAAAATGTATCGACTCTAATGCTGCAATTTACCTAGGCTAGGTATTTCATATGCTTCTGTCATTACTGGTATGTTGTTTTGATCAATAACTTCATAATTTTCTTGACATTCTTCTGGGGGAGGGAGCGGTGGTACAGCGCCCCTATTTGATACTGGATTTCCCGACATATTTTGGTGTTTATCTATATTGAAGGGTGCTCTTGTCATTCCTCCATTTTGGGTTGTAAAAGCGGCACTACCTTCAACAACCTCATAATTTTCATCAGACTGAAGACCTGATACCTCTTCATTACTGGTAGCAGGTTGGGTGAATTGCTGTCTCCCTTTGGGTCTTGTGTCTTTACTCGGTCTTGGGGGCGCATGTGCCTTAAACGAGTCACGTTGTTTCGATCCAGGATAGGTATTGTTGCCCGACTGATGTGTAGATGGCTCGTGTCTAGATGGTCTTTTAGGAGTCTGGCTTTGGTCCGGAACTTCATAATTTATATCAGGTTCTGGAGGATTTCCTTCCCATTGCCCCATAGGTGGACTGCGTCGTGTTGCTTCACTGTTCACAAAATCATTAAATTTTCCACACACCTGGGACTTTGTAGGCGGGCAAATTATAATATCCGCGTAGCTCTGACGAATTGCTTGCCTGTTTCTCGGGGGGTCTGGAACTGGCTCGTGGCTCTGGCCCTGTTGCGTTTCATTTTTTAAAGTCGTGTCATCTGGGACTTCATAATTCAAAAAGCCATCGTTCCGAGAAGCTCCTTCTATTGGGACAACATATTGGTCTTCTGCCTCAGCAATAGGCTCAATATAGTCTTCTTCTTCGTCTTCTGGCCACGACACTTGTCGGGTCAGGCTGTTTTGTCTTGCCGGTTTAGGTTCAAACTTTACCTGATTATTTTTCTGAACTGGAGCATTGGGCGGGAGAGCATTCTTTTCCGGCCTAGCAGGAGAGTCAGTTGACTGCTTTCTTAGATTGGGTCGGGTGGAACGATCAATTCTAGGTGGGCCAGCAACAGGATTTGAATTTACTGATCTCTGTTCAACTGTAGGGTTATTTTGCGACAAACTGTTATTGTTACCGGCCATGCTTTCGCTCAAGTTCATTGTATTGCTGCCCTTTAGAAATTTTGAAAGTTTCGTGGCTATTGCTCGTTGTTTCTCGTTATGTACTGGTACCATGTCGTATGTACTAACAATATTGCTGTTTTCCTGGTCTTCTCGCGATGGCGGCCATCTACGGCTTATCGAGTTCGACCCTGTGGCGGCTTGTGGGTCATTGCTCCTTTCTGCTGCATTAGGCCTTGGTTGTAAAGGCTTAGGCGGTATCACCTTGGGTTTTGGGTCCACACTTGGTCGGGGCTTGCTTGCGACGGGCCGGTTTTTCGGCCGGTCGTATGTTTCAAAAGCAGCCTTTGAATTTGAAGAGAAGCCGTTCATTGACTGGCTGTTTCCAGAGCCAGCTGTTTCGAATCTCCGTTTGAGGTTTGCAATATCAATATTCCCGGATGTAGAAGGGCTTTGATCACTGTCTGGAAGCGTAGAATGGTGATCTAAATGAAAAGACATGAACGGATTAAAAAATTTCCTAAAAATGCTAGATTTTACGTGAAAACCAATTCCTTGCACAATTAGCACTTCCTTATGACCCCTTCGAAAAGCTCTGATTAAAGATCAGTCTTCTGCAAAAAGCTCCATATCGTTGACAATCCCTCATGCGTAGGCCTGTCATTATATGGGGCGTGTGGCGGTGTGACAAGAGAGTTTTTTGCCATCTGCGGATGCTTACAGGTACCACGGAGCGTTGAGGAAAGTGGGAAGTCTAAAAAAGTTGGGAGGGGGGCTAAAACCGTTAAAAAGAGGCTAAAGCCCCCCAGCCCCCCCCCCCTGCTCCGCAATGCCTGGCCTAGTCGCCAAATTTCGAAACTTATCGGCAAATAAACGATGGCTCGCCCATTTTATGGGCAAATGGGATTCGGAAACCTAATTAAGTACAATAGCTATGCTCTAACTTCATCTTGAAATGCACCCCCCCCCCCCATCAATAAGCCTACAAAAGGTGCTGTGTAATGTAGCATTTTTTGATTACAAAATCGCCTGTCTAAAACACTTAACGGCATGAATTTTCTTTTCTTAAAAGCATTGACAGATGGCTTAAGCCACTTAAAGGCATACTATATGAGAAGAAATAAAATGAAATACTTTTGTAAAATGAAATTCACCGAACACGGATGAACAATATTATACATAGCATCTATGAGCCTTAATCTAATAAAGCTACCAATAGGCTAGAAAATCAGAGTTACTTTGGGCAGTCTCTGGAAAAGTTAATCATGGCATATATAGAGAACCAATTTCTGAAACATATCAAGGAGAAAATATGCAGCTGTATATTGTAAGGAGGTTACCCCCGTTCTCACCCCCCCCCCGTACCTGCGGTTATATACTTGTTTGTTCCTACTAATCTTCATGCGGTTGTAGTAATGTAGGTACTTATATCAAGGACAAGCTGAGTTTAAGCTTTCTAATCATAACTATAACAGAATGAAGACGAGTAAGAACAAACAACCATATAACAGTGAGTACGGAGGTGAGAACGGGGGTAACCTTCTTACAATATGATGTTAATTTTTGTTGTCAATTTAGTTTTGAAATATATTGTCCATTTAGACCGTATTCATATTGTATGAAATTGCTATATTAATCATGGTTAACATGTTATGCCATCTTCAAATAAAAAACTCATTAGCATTACTATTATGCAAGCCAATTTCTACCTTTGCTATTGTTTCTTGCAGCATTTTGCGCAAGAACCCCCCTCCCCCTATTTCATTTTGATGGCACTGCACCTCTAGCCAATGGCCAGCCTGTTAGTAAAGGCCATAGAGATAGGATCCTAATTTTATGGAAAAGGCAGAGTCTTGCCACGATAAATATATCAGGTATTTGTACGTGTGGCTAAAAAATATTTGTTATTCAACTTATAACAGTAAATAAAAGGCTATAGCTTTGAACATACTTATTAAGGTGTTTCGAGTATAACCCTTCATCAGTAATAACGAAAAAGATTTCGATAAGGTGGTTGGCAAAGAAAAAAAATCGTTAATATAATAGCGAAAAGTGGAATGCGCAAAAGAATGCTGCGCAAGAAAGAGAGTGGAAGATTTGAAGGAATATGCTACTACAAAAGGAACAAACAGAGATGGATCATTTATCTTACCAGGGTCACTTTGTGAACCAAGGATCACTTTTGCATCATCGGGCAAATCATAAATCTCGTCGGACTAGAACAAATAAAAGAAATTTGCTGGGCTTAGGGGTGGTGAGAAACGTTACCCTACGTTGTTTTGACTACAATGCACTGGCGTCGATTGTGTTGCACTGGAAGCTACTCAGATTTAATTAAGCATTTGATTTGAAAAACTGCTAAACCAGTTGTTACATGAAATTATTAACAAAAAACTGTAGAAATTCATGCTTTCTAGGCAAATAGCCCTTAGACACTTCCTTGACCCGTTAGTTTATTATCATGAAAGTCAATTGAGTATTTTTCTATTACCAAGGAAAGTCGCCTCTTAAATAATTTTTCATTAATTCTTTCGACTTTTTCGAAAACCACTTTACCAAATAATAAGAGTTTCTTTTTTGTCTAGGAGGCGATGCTTGAACTATTTCCGGGTACAACCTAAAGTTTTGGATTAAAAAATAAAATAAAATGGTATAACGATTCGCTCCTTTATCAATAAATTCACATGTCGTTTCCAAGAAATTATGCACAAGAAATTATGCACTAAAAATTCTGCCAAATGTTTTGTTTATCGATACTCCAACGCTCGAAATTTACAGTTGGAAAACCTCTGGTCATTGTGGTGTTTCAGCGTACAAATACTGGCTATAATACCAAAATAATGGTCAATATCTAGAATAAAAAAAACAAAACTGTGCAAAGAACATTTATCAGTGTTACCTCGGTTCCTCCGCCGCTTGATGGCCTTTCGCCTAGAAGAATTAAAGTGGGAACGTTCAGCGCTGAATGAAGTCTTTCAACATGTGTCGATTGGCATTCACAGAAGAATATTTCCGTACCCATTAACCTAATGCCTTGATATCTAAGAACAGCCCAGTGCTCGTCTTCCACCAATTAAAGCAGGTTTCATTGTTCTCTTGTCTATTTTGAATTGCTTCGTATTGCTATGATATTACTTGATTTCTGACCACAAACTATATAATGCAGAAAAAAGGAAACTGGCGCATTCTTTTCAACAGAAATGCCTCCTGTGGCAATGACAGATGTCCTTTAGTTTCGATTATCTAAGAATGGCTAGCCCATTTAACAAATATTGAGTTAGCAATGAGAAATGGCGCATTAATTTGCAATATGATATTCGACTCTCGGAGTGGTAAACACAAGAAATATCAAATGACCTAGATTTACGGAAAGTTCGTCATGCAGTCGCTTGGGACGCTAACATCCAAGCTCTAAGGGCCAATGGAGCTGCCAGACGTGTTTTAACATTAACATACAGAAAGCAAAGACCAGTCTCTTCATTCCTGCTCCTTGAAAACTAAGAATTTCTTTTTCAGTGAAGTACAAAAAAATAATGAAATTTTAACCGTTTAAACAGTATCAATTATCTTCCATATCTTAATCGAACAGAAATTGTTCTACTTCCCAACAGACCAAGAAGGATAAAGAATAAAGTTGTTTATTAAAGAGCTGTAAAAACTAGGAGCACAATAAGATATTGCATTTTTTGCATTTCATTTAAAGACTCATTGCTAACAATGAGCCATTGCGCTATGCAAGCATCCCATAATGCATTTCTAGACAGTCTGAAATTAATTCTGGTTAATCCGTATCAGAAGTTCACTGCCATTGGTCAGGGGCGGATCCAGCAAAAAATCTGACTGAGTTCCAGGCCAAAGCTGGGGACTTTCAGATAATGCATTGATAATTGTGTCATTAATAAGACAACATTATGATTCATATTTATGCATGTTAGTACCATTGAGGGGGGGGGGGGGAGGTACTATCTACTCACTAAATCTAGATTCTAAATTTCTTCCCGACAAAAAACAATGCCTCTGTGAAAAAATTTTCAACCCCCTCCCTTTCTCAATACCCTTTGTTTGTTTTGGATGCCACAGCAAAGCTTTTCCCTTTTGTTTTGCTCGCAATTTGTTGTTTTGCCTCCGTAGACACCAGCCTATTCGTCAAAATATGGTGTTCCGTCTGAGCATAGGTTTTCCGTGCCATCAAAGACTGCAATTTAAAATCAAGGTAGTTAACACTCCTGGAAAATTAACGATATCTTCTGGTTTTATCTTAAACGCTTAATAATTTGCTAGAATGCTGCGATGGTCGTGAGTATAAGACATCTGCAGTCGCCATTTCGAATTCAATGCTTTGCAGTTCCACAATAGAACAGAAACTATAGGAAGCCAATCAACTATTGGCTATTGTACAGCTCTCTTACAAATATGGTATCATTTCCGAGTTCCAGATGCTGTTTTGACTGAGTTCCATCCGTGTTCCAAACAAAAATTTCATTGTTTCTATTCATTCACTTCCGAGGCACAAAACGTTTATTTCCGAGTTTTAAAAGTTTATTTCCGAGCTCTTGGATTGATTGCTGCTGCAGCTGACGTCTGGAAAATTGTTTCCAAATCACGACAGAGAAGAAACTGCCAATTTTAAGAATTTTAAGAGACTGTGATAAAACTTAGAATTTTTAGATATCAATTTTTTAATTAAAATATTTTTTGTTTCAGGCAACACTATTTTTAGCTGTTTGTTGGAAAACTGACTCACTCTGGATCCGCCTCTGATTGGTGGATCGCCGCCACGCTCGCAAAGGCCCATTGTTAGCATGAGTCTTTAAGCTCAAAGAAGAATGCAAAAACTATTGTAGGTTTCAGGACTGGAAATATCTTTCATTAAAAACTTGATTGCCAATTGCTTTGCAATCAAAGTCAACAATACCAAAAGGTAGCATTCGTCATTTTTATGGATTCAGGTACTTGTTGATACCAGCTGAGCAAATATTTAAATAGTAGGGCAATAGACATGTTTTGGGCAGAAAATACAAAATAAACAACAAGTATAAGTAAGATCACAAAGTGGAAGTTCTTCTGAGGATTGATTTTGATTACATTTGTTTTGCTTTGAATTAATAGATTTCTTTTTATATGTTTGTTTTTTATAATTAATCAATGAAGCATAAGAACTAAGGCTTGAATTTACCTTACAGACTACCCTTAAATATAAGAAATGGTGATGTTTTATCTCATGAATTGAATGTACTTACAATCTTTAGAGACTGATTTATTTGTGTGCTTAACACATATCATCATTTATTCTATAATGTGGAAATTATGCCATCATCATCATCAGCATCATCATCATCATCACCACAATCAACAGCTCCTTATGCAAGGTGGCCCCCATGGCCTGCAATTTATGCCCTGCTGCAATCTAATTATACTTTTATCACAATATGCTTCTAAACAAAATAAGCTGTAGCAGGGTCCTAAAGTAGCAAAAGTTTCATACCTTGACTTGGTTTTGCATCTTCTGGACAATCATAAATTTCATCATCTGACTCATCAAACTGCATTAAAGATTAAAAATATGGTAAAATATCATGCTAGCGAGGGGCTTCTGAGCTTGAGGATTAAAGTTGTGATTATAAAACATAAATATGAACCAATACCTATACCATAATTTTCTAATACTGGTGTGAATTTAACAAAGAAATACCTAACACATTTTTCCTATATTTATATTTTTAAGATATCTATCATGCAAGACTGGATTTTTGTCTTTGGAAAACATTTGTAAAACAAGCTACCAGAGGGCAAGATCAATCTTTAAACAAAGATATCATAAGAAGTATAGAGCCTTTTTAGAGTGACAGGTTTCAGTATGAGAGGGTACAACAAAAAAGGTATGGGTGAGACACAACCATTGCCGATAACAATAACAATAAAACATTTTTAATGTAGCTTAATAACACAGACACTAATATACACATTTATTGATTAAAAGCATTGCAGGCGCACTGACTTACAAGCACACTAAAAAACAATTTTTAAACAGCATTTTAAACTGATTTGCACATTTTGAAAACTTAATTTCATTCTATAATACTTTATCGGGCTATTTGACTCATGAAAATACTTTTCATATAAACAGTTTTCAGCAAATCGGGCCCATTAGCAAATTTGTTAATGGCCTTTGGACCTTTAGAATTGAATATTCTGAAGAACAAAAAAGGCCCATTAAAGTGAAGCTTGCTGACCTTTTCTATACTGTGAAACTCCTAGTATTGAAGTTCATTCCAAAAAGAATCCACACCTCAACAAACATTTGAATTTGAAAGCAGATTTTCTTGCAAATGAAGTTCACCTCATTTGTTCAGCTACAGTTCGGTTTGTAGATGCATGACATGCTCTTCCATGGTGCAAAATATTGTGAATTTTGGCCCCCAGGTTTAAAAGGTTGCCCCTTCCTCTTGTAGAACTTTCAATATTATCAAGAAAGAAATATTGTGTTATGTATACTCTACCTCATCTGCACTCCAGTCATCAGCTACACCTTCATCTTCTGGACAATCTTTGATCAAAGAATACACATAAATATAAAACCACATTTTGAAAAGCACCAAACATATGCATAAATCTATTGACATGGAGCTATTTCTCATCATTTTCTTCTCATTTGCAGGGAAAGGGAAACATTTAAGCTTGAGGAGATAAAATAAAACTGACAATTCACCAAAATTATTATTAAAAAAAAAATCTAGATAATCCAAATTTATGATTAGCAGCTTCAGTTTGTGGTTCTCCTTGAAGCTAATGGACCAACATAGCTTATAAATGTTTGAGTGAATATTTAAATCCAGTGCACTAAAGTAAGGAAAATTGCTAAATGCTTAATTTCTTTGCCTTAAAATATTACCTTAATGTTTTAGAGTTACTGATTCATATATCAGCTATTTCAGAAAGCAAGTGAAACTCCTAAGTTTAGTTGGAACAGAAAAGTTTTTTGGCTTCAACAGAATACAATTATGTTATATATTGGAACTGAAAGTATTTTGGCCTCAACATAATATAATTTTGTTATAACAATAAGATAATCAAAGAAAATAATATTTTAAGCTTGATTATTTTACCTCTTTGAAAGTAAGAATCGTGTGTTGCCATGGTCTGATGATTATGACTGCCAAAAATTTTAAAGCAAATATGCTACCAGATTCCCCTTACAATCTATGGAAGAAATAGTTGCAATGAAATTTCATCTCCTCAATAATTATATAATTAGTTCAAAATATTTTGATTACCAATGCCATCAGAAGCCAACACAAATATAAATCTCCATTTTAGATTCCTAAAAATTGAAATTGGTGGGCACTAAGCATAATTCTTGCTAGCTTTCATGTGCCTATGTTGAGAATTATGCAAGGAAATGCTAACTATATGTCCACACTTAAGCACAGCCCCATCTGCACCACTGCTGGCCAATCTTTCAAACTGTAACCCAAATTAATTTGAATTGCTACAAATAGATAAATACTTTTCTTTTTGTACAAACTGTCATATTATAAATCTTAATATACTTACATAATAATATAGTTCTCTAATTCTTATTTTTTTTCGATGATTCCCTACTTATACATTCCCCCTTTACCAGCGAAATTTGAGCAAGACATAATCTTATTTCCGCGAGCCTTGCTCATACTTCCGCTTTCGGAATTGATGATGCAATCAATATGATGTGGCATTTGCAGGTCGATGGAATTTTTCTAGCAAGCAATTATACTTTACTTAAGTTAAATTAAACATTTTGAAATGTTCTATATTTTCATTTGGAAGGGCTATGGTTGAATAAGTATTGGAAGGACATCTCTTATGTGAGATAATTCAATCTACTGCTGTACTGATCAGCGTAGTGTGATGGATGCACCGTTATGCAAATAGAACGACCGAAATTCATTCGGAAAATATCGATGAGATATCAAAATAACGAACATGGTAAATAAAATACATTAAAGGTCATAAAGGCTCAATCTGAGAGTGGACTCACCTCAAATATGACACCATCGATCCTACGTAAACACATTACAGATACGTGAACGACGCACGCATCGCTTTCGGTTTCTATCGAGTTCCTCGTTACCAGGTCCTTGTAACAATATACCGTAAAAACATCACTTCAAGAAAATCTTGTACACCTTTGTTTGTTGGAAACAGTATTGTTTTATTTGAAAATCCCGGGAAATCCTTTTGTTCCCGTGGAAACCTCTCGTGCGCTATTTGCAAGAATGAATTGCCCCTCGCACGAGTATTGGCCGTATTTAATACACAAGATCCTATCATCATCACACCCGTCAAGAGACCCACTAAATGCGCATGTTTTCCCCGGCGGGCTCTGTCAGTTCAGTGGCGGATTTAAGGGGGGCAACTATAATATAATAATAATAAATAATTTGTTTAAAGTTGGCGTACTAAATGAACGGTTGATAGCTATAAAGAAGCTAATTAAGGCCAACTATCTATAAAGAGTTAGTATGAAATAAAAATATATGATACAATATTAAAAAGGTTTAAGGCATAATGTTCTAAATAAAACCTAACCCAGCAATAAATTTTTTACACAATCTACAGTCGCATTCTATAGGGTGTGCTCTTAATTCTTTTTTAAATGTTGCCAATGATTGGGACTCTCTTATACTGTGAGGTAGTGTTTGCCACAGTTTTTGACCTAAATATCTCACAGTTTCTATACCATAAGAAGTTGTCCTGGCTTTTGGAATGCAAAGATTATTTTTAGTTCGCAAATCATAATGTACATTTCTTGTTTCAAAAAATCTCACTCATGAAACTAGGGTTCAGGTTATGTTTGGTTTTGTATATTTCTATCATCAAGTACTGTAGATTGCGTTGGTGAATTGATACTGCATTATCCAAAGTCAGCAATGCTTCGTAGTCAGCATGACTGTCTTTATAAACAATTCTGGTTTAAATGAGTGCTCTTTCGTGGATTTTATTTACTTTAGCATTCAGACATCTGTCATGGAACATCCAAATTAGGGGGCAGTAACTAAACTGAGCTTTTATGAAGCTGTTCATTAGGAGACGCAGTTTATCAGAACCCATAAATGGCGAAACTCTAGCAAGAGCATGCAGTTTTTGGCTGGCTCTTTTGCATAAATTTGAGACGTGACTTTTGAAATTAAGATTTTTATCTATTATCACCCCTAGCAGTTTTTCTTCAGAGCTTTCTTCAACAATGGCCTCACCGATTTTGATCTTAAGGTCATCTTGATTTGTACCAAAAGTAAGAAGATGACATTTCTCTGCATTCAATTTCATAAAGTTTTCTGGAAACCATTTTGATAAAATAAGAGCATCAGTTTCTAGCCGTTCTAAAACTTTATCTAATTGACAGTCAGCTGCAAAAATCGTAGTATCATCAGCAAAGTTACATACTGCAGTATCAGTTACCATTAAGAATAAATCATTAATATATAAATTAAAGAGAAGAGGCCCAAGGACTGATCCTTGTGGTACACCTGCAAAGGTTTCTCGCCAAGTGCTGAATGAACCATTTAATTTTACCCTTTGTCTTCTACCGGACAGGTAATTATAAATCAATAATTGAGCATCTTTACAAAAACCATAGGCATTTAATTTCGCAATTAATAGCTCATGGTCTATGCAATCAAACGCTTTTGAGAGATCCATTAGCAAGGCACCAACCACCCCTTTTTATCTAGGGAATTCTTGCAGATATCCATTAATCTCAACAGCGCATGCTGTGTGTTGAAACCTTTCCGAAAACCACATAAGTAGGGAACTAGGAACGTATCCGCGAAACTAGGGGCAGTTGCCCCTCCCTCAACGAGTTGAAGCAAGTCTAGGGCCCCTTTTTGGAAATTGTGCGCCCCTTTTGAAGAATGAGGATCAGATGAAAAAGGTTCTTGGACCGATAGGGTAATTTGCTTCATGGATTACCTCAAAGTTATGTTGTTTATTATGAGAAGGTATCTGAAGTTGTTGTACACCGCGTACTCTCGTAACCAATTTTTGAAAATTTTTCAGCGCCCCCACCACCAACGGCCCCTCCTTCAAATTTGCTCTGGATCCGCCCCTGTGTCAGTTGGTCCAATGTGTTCCTGAAAGTATAAACTGGACACTAATCTCTGATTCTGGGTAGCATAAAATGTGCCCTTTTCTCTAAATTGCCAAAATTTTGTAACCCTCTTCGCTGAGAATATTCAAGCCTGACAAAACATTCTATCCCATTTCAGGGGGAGGTTGGGATCGCGAAAATCTCCCATCCTAATGCGCGCTCCTAAAAGCATGTGCAGTAGTTGAAGGTGCGTTTGTGAAATTTATTTGTTTTTCCTGCATTTCAAAGGGGAAAGTCACCAAAAAATTTGTGATTGAATTAAATAAAGCAGAAACTTCTGGTCTGGCATTTTTGACATCAGAAGATGTGAGAGTTGCGTGAGTGGCGAGTCTCTTTGTGACAAAAAGCTCTTGTTACTTTGATGCCAACTTTGATGATTACTTTGATGTTCAGTGGCGGAGTGGCTATGTTTTCCCTGGGGTGGCCAAGTCAATATTTGCGCCCTGTCGTGGTTATAAGTGTATGAAAGCACGTGTTTCTAGAAGAGAAATCAATTTTTGCAAATCGAATTCAAAATATCATGAGAAAATTTTGACTAACAATGCGAGTATGAATGGAAAAATTATGTAATCCTAACATTTGACCTTCTCGATCGTGGTTCGGTAAAAATCCAGCAATTTCGAATGGGTTTATTTTTTAGGGTCGACCTATTTTCGATGAAATGCGATAGGCAAAAAATAAAATACTAATCAACAGACATTCTATTTAGTTACACTGATGTTTCATAAAGGCTTGGGGTTTATATAAAACTGTAACAAGTACTACTTAAAGATAACTGTATGAACAGAGCCAAAATAACAGTGTTTCGTTAGCAAACTACTTTCATTGGTCTTTCATTGGCCATTTCTCAGCCGATTTTAGCCAATTTTGCATAATTGAAAGTATTTCATGATGTTTATTTATGTTCTGTGCTTAAAATTCATAAATTCTCAAAGTAGGCTTTAATGACGTCACACTTCAGAACTCTATACCACCCGAAACCGGTATGACAGCATTCAGATTGAAGCATGATCCCTAGGAAGAGCAGTTTTGAACTTATAATTTAATTAGCAGTATGCTGTTGGTTTTGTACCCTGAGTGCCAGAGTCACCATTATTAAGTCTCTAAAATATAATTGGGAACTAGTGATAAAAATAATCATTTTTTGCCATCGCTGCCGTCTACAATACTATATTTATGGGGGTAGATCATATTTTCGCCAAAGGAAAATTCACCTGGTACAGAACTCTAAAACTAGGCAGAAGGGCACATTACCGCCCCCCTCCCCTTTGCAGTGGCTGGCACCGCCACTGCCTCACAGAGCATAACTGCCTTCTGTTGCTGATGCCTCTAACCCTACTAGATCTGAGAGTGCGCATAAGCATCATTTCAATTTACACAAAAAAGCAATGATGCAAACAATCACAGGAATAGTTATTTAATGTCATATGTAACGATTCACAATTTACGAAAATACACTTCAAGCCAAGTGACTAAATATCTCTAACTTTTCAAGTCTGACTTTTAATTACAGCAGTTTGCTAGTTCGCTTTCTTCGTCTTCTCTATCCAGGTGATGAATTCGCTCACACGTGCGAAAACAGTGTATTTATCTGCCCGATCGCAAGTTGAGGATCCCCAACTTACAACCCCTGTTAAGGTCCAGTGTTCACCGTCTTCAGTGCAGACATAAGGTCCACCGGAGTCCCCATGGCAACCACCTTGGTTCGTACCTGGCTTATTTCCAGCGCACAGCATCTTCGATGTGATATCAGCTCCCCCCCAAACATTGTTTTGCTTCTTGCATACCTCGTTAGTCACAACAGGCATCTCTGCTTCCATCAGCACATTGCTGCTTGGGCCTGGGTGCTTAGTTTTGCCCCAACCTACAAAAAAGCATTCAACGTTTATAAGCAAGGTACGCCTGAGTCCCAGAAACCAGATTACCTTTTAGTCAAGACATACTCTGATTATAGAGGCTATGCATTTAATGATAACTTAATCCTGGCCCAAAGACTAACTCTAACCCTAACCCTAACTCTAACCTTACTCAGAAATGAAAGTAAAGAAACAGGGATGTAATGACTGAAAAAAAGCTTTCTTGTCATTATTCCTGTCCCCTTCAAATAGGGCGTAGCCAAACTGGGATGCCCCAACTTTGCATTTGCCGGCAACTACAACGAAAATGTCTAGATTCTAGGTTTGGTATCTATTGCTCCTATGGTTTCATTCTGGGTACCAGACTCACTCTTTATAAAGTGAGACTGGTACCCAGGGTAATATGTTTTAACCTGTGATGGAATCTAGATTGCCATAAACAAAGTCATCCAATTCATGTACTTCATTCTTGCAGAAGAAGTGTCTGGGTTTTCACATCACCTACCACTCCTTCCTCCCTCGCTTCCATCATCCAATTTCTTCTCCGCTGCGGTGAATTCAAGCCATTTCGCATCATCCAATCAGGCTGCATATTCGCACGTTTAAAATTTATACACTCGTTGGTTACATTTACTCTGATGAAGCCCTGTATGCCGGGGCGAAATGGATTCTCTTTGTCGTGTAGCTTTGTTCCTATTTTGTAACTATTTTTCGTTTTCTTATTCTCACAAGGCTCTTCGATTAACCAAGAAGCAGCTTAACAAAGTTGTATCACTACCAACAGTACCACGTTAGAAACATCATTTTTCGACACATCTGGAAGTCTACACCCGTTTCTGTAGCTTCGCCCCTGAACAAAGTGTTTGAGTGTAAAATGGCAATGGAAAAACAAACTGCATACCTGTTATGTAACATTTCTGACCAATTTTTGCTTTCTTCATCGCCTCTGGAAGACAGACAACTCCAATTTTGTCAGGTGTATCCAGCGCCGTGAACTTCAGCTCCACCTTTTCTTTCAACTTGATCAATGCGATATCATTATTCAATGTTCGGGAATTGTAGTCTGGGTGGTTGATTATTTTTTCTATCATCACTTTCTTTTCTGACCCTTCATCCAGTGTTCTATAAAAACATTGACAATATTTTAACACTGTGTTGAATTTTTAAGATATTCTAACATCGGCAGAGATTATACAAAATGAAATCTCACAAAAAGAATCTAAAAGACAGTTTTTTCCAAACATATCTGGCCTAGGTTATGAATCCAGAGAAGAAAAGGGTGTCACGAGAGAAGTGAGAACAAAACTCTGGTTCATACATGCAGCTATGGTATGTAAGAGATGTGATCAAATGCTGTGAAGCGCCATTGGATGTAAGTTTTTCCTTTGCACTAATGCGCATGCCCATATGATGCATTTTCTCATTTGTTCAGACAAATTGATAGAATAATTGCCATAAACAATAGGAATTTAGACTCGTCTCCTCAACAATATATCAATAGAACAAACATCAAACATGTTATTCAAATTCCGGCAAGTTAGTTTTAATCAACATGACATATAGCTGTGGGGTTTGGTTTTTAAAGTTTTAGAGCATTTGACATGCAAAAGGTTCAATAAAATTCGCCTTGGAAGCTTTCATAAGCATTTTAACTTTAAATGAAAGAACTTGAGGCACAAAGAAAACCATCTATGCACACAAAGAATATTTCTCAACTTTAATCCAAAACGACGAAGCATTTCTGACCACGCCTAATCCTGTTTTTAGAAGACAGGATTGGATACACTCTACAAAAGCTTGGGGTTGGGAAAAGGAGCTGAGGGGTTGGGGGGTTGAGGATGGCCAGGGCTAACTAGGGGCTTGTGTCTTGAAAGATACCTTCTAGTAATGGTATTAGACTTTTGATCGATAAATAACGTAAGATGCACAAGTAGGAACCTTGGGGAGGGGGACAAAAGTGCCTATTTGCAGCTGACGGGGGTGTCAATTTTATTCTTATGTATCCCTCCCCACTTTAAAAATGCTTTCTACGTCTATGTCTTTAACAAAGCGAAATTACCTGTCATGCTCTCCTAGCACGACCTCCATGAAATCAGCCTGGTGCTCTCTATTGAACAAACAATGAGCCGCAGTCAGGACCCATTGGTTATCTATCAAGGAACCTCCGCAGAAGTAGGTGCCAAATTTCAGCAAAGCCACTGACCAAGGCCAAGTGTGAGGCTCAGCAACCACTCCACCGATGACTCGCCATTGCGAAAGGCCTCGCAAGCCGCACTTTTTCTGCTCTTGAACATAAGAAAGATAACGCAAGTCAAATCTGTTTAACTTAACGATAGAGTAGAAAACACAACCATCGGTATCCTAATGCCTTTACATTTATCAGCATTACATTCATATACCACTGGGATGATGACACTGAGCCAGAGTATATTAACAAATCACTGGCCGAAAACAGAATTTACTACTTGAATATTCTTACATTCGTTGATTAAATTCTGTTTGGTCTCTATACTGATAGTCTCAATGATGACATCATGGGCTTACCAATGATATTTTACCCTTCGTTCACAAGCTGGATACTCGATTGCGGTGATTTTCAGGACAGTGAAATCAATAAAGCTTGATTCTCGATGTTACAATCTCGATACAAATTGATACAAGTGTGATTGGATTGGTTTACGATGTCACCAGATTATTCCATATAAATGGGATATTCAGCTTTTGAAAATACTTATATTTCGGATCCTACATAAACAAAGATGTGGGTACATGACCTGTGTCACAAGAATAAAAACTGGCTTACCTGTTTTGCAGAACCCGCAGGTCTTTTTGCAATTATTCTGCATCCAACTGTAATACTTACTATCCTTTTTGCAGTAAGGTTTGTATAATGGGCAATTCTTTACTTGGGAAGGTTCATCCTCACACGAGGCTAAAAAAGGGTACAATCAATAATGCTAAGAGTATTGCAAACAACTAATTGCAAAAAACTACTCCCGTAAGACAGAACTCACGTCTAGATACATGAAGTAACTGTGTTTTGATTCGATTGCTTGACCCTAGCCCACTCAGAGGGGGCCATGGGGGCAATTGCCCCTGGGCCCGTAAGCAAAGAGGGAACCAATGGAAACTGTCTATATTCATAATATGACTAATAATAACATGGTAATTTCCAATCATATCTGTACTGGGAAAGTTTACCAATGATTTACGTATATAACTCAAAAGTAAATGAAAAAATTTCATGCACGTCAAATTCAAGTTAAGCGCATTTTAGCTTGATTGCATTAGATAGAAAAGGGCATAAGGCCTGCCCCTGAGTCTGTCGTGGCCTTCGGTGGACCGGCGCTGTCCACAATTTATGCCGTTTTGTAGTTTAAGTTCTCTTGAAATGACAACTAACTCAGAAGCTAGAGTGAGGTTTTATTAAGCTATCATTGCACGTGTTTTAAGCATTGTAGCTCCAGCTTTAGTTCTGTTTCAATATCCCTAATATTGAAAATGCTTAGTTAATGTGACTCGGTAAAGTATACTTTTCCTCCTATCAATTTTATTGACAAATCCAAATCAAGAGAAATCATGTGAGATGAGACAAGTCACTTTATATTAGCCAATATAGAATCAATACAAGGCATCATGGGTACTAATTCTCAGGGAATGATGTAGATTTTAATTGTCAGCATCCATATGTAATAAGAATTTTACGGTAAATCACAGCAATATCATCTATATAAACTACAAATAAAACATATCTGGTAATCTTTATAAACAAAAGCAGCGTGCCTCTGGTAGCGTACTACTGTCTTCGCAATATTTTAAGAACACCCTTCCTACTGTCCGCTATGTAAACGTAGAGATCGTCGCTTTTGCATATTCCATGACACGAAAATAAGCACAAAACAAATCAAAAAACTAAAAGTGATTTTATGTAAGTCGTTAGTGCCATGCATCATTAAAAGCCAAAAGATTTTACCGACGCAAAATCCGCAAGACTTTTTGCAGTTAGCCTTCATGTAATCATAATAACGAGAGCCTTTTTTGCAATATGTCTTCCACGTTGGACATGCGCTTCGAACTTTCGCGCTGTCTGCACATACTTCATCTTGGCCCACTGTAAGAAAAAAAGGCAAGTTAAGGTGAGAAACCGGTAACAAAGGACCCTGTGTCGAATGCAACCGCCATAATTTCAGGACTTATGACAAGTCTTAGTAACTGAAGCCAAGACTTAAAAACCAGTTATTTTTGGCAAAAATAACAAACCTAAATTTGGTTTCAGTTAAAGGATACAGCTGCAATCTCGAAGATTCTATACGGGCTAAAATCAAGATTCTGATTAGTTCTACATATCGGAATCACGTTTGCCTCTCGCCTTTAGATTTTCGCCTCTTGCCTATGGTTCACAGTTAACAAATGATACATACCAGGGCAAGATTTAGAGTTGCAAACTGCTGTTTGAGTTGATGGACCTGTGCATGGCCTGCCGTTGTTTTTAGGGGCCGGATTATTGCATTTTCTAGACCTCGTCTTGGTGCCTCCTCCGCAAGATACACTGCAAGCTCCATATGGTCCCCAAGCACTGTACCCGCCATTCACTGTTGAATCAAATAATATCGTTGATTCGTAAGATGATTTCGTGCGAATTCTTACTATATGGTCTTAAGATTGATTTTAAACCTAACTTTACAGGCTCTTAAGGTCAAAGACAGCACGACGTTTGCCTTGCATCTGTGATGCCATAACCTGCAAATGGTGTAGTTAAGGTGCAAGGCTTCTCTAAGTCAATACCAGTCGGTAACAGGTTCTAGGCCTTTAACTTGAAATCTTAAACAAGGCGAGTGATCCAGATGTTTAAAAAGGGGATAACTTTTATCAATTGTGAAATCAGCGAATGCATAATCTCACACCCAGCTAAAGGAAGTCAAATTCGTAAAAATGCATCCCCTCCCAAAAAAGTTTTTGGTTTTTGATCCCCCAGAGAGCTAATTTGAGGATATAATCAGATTTCAGGGGAGTGCCAGGGTTCTTGGCTAGGAAATTCTAAGAATAAATATTAATAACAAAGACAAAAGGATCTTTCAAGCATAGTAGACAAGACGTATAATATTTAATACATCGGTGGTATTCAAAGGCAAATGTGGTATTCATAATTGCAAAATATTGTACTGTAAACCCTCGAATAAGCGTCTCCCTTCGAATAAAGCGCCCCGCTCGAAGAAACAACCACCGTATCGGGAAAATTATCAAATAAGAGTCCACCTAGAATAAGCACCTATCACCGCCTTCTTTACAAACGGGCGTTTGGTCGAAATTTTAGCCAAAACAAGTTTCTGAGACGGAAGTGTTGGTCTTACAGGAACGGGGAAGGCAGTTAGCCAAACAGAGTAGAAAAAAACAACAAATTTGGTTCTAGTTTTAATTCTTGTCAGAATTCAGTTTCATTTTTGCGTAGCAAGGAAACGTTTTCAAAACAGTCGCAAAAATATTTATTTTGGCTATCTTCTTTATTATTTCCGAAATGCCTCTTACTTTATATCTTTGCTTTGACATCCAGAAAAATCAAATAAGCGCCCTGCTCGAATGAGCGCCCCGCTTGAATTAGCGCCCCTCTTTGAGACTTAAAATTTAGCCTTGGGCGCTTATTTGAGGATGTACGGTAAGTGGAAAGTACGGGATATTGAAATGAATCCTTGCATACTGACCTGGGCAGAAACCACATGTCTTTTTGCAGTTGATTTGCATAAAAGCGTAAAAATTGGAGCTGCTTTTACAGTAAGGAATCCAACCAGGACAGCTCCTTGCATGATTCGCTGAATCGCTGCATCCTTGGCTTTGGGCTTCTGTTGAAAAAAACAGCGACATGCAGCACTTCTGTCGAATACCTTATTACAGGAAATTAACGAATCATGAAATTAACGCGGTCTGCCCCTAAACCGCGTTAATTTCATGACGCGTTAATTTCATATACGCGTTAATTTAGTGATACATTAATTTTGTGACAGTGTTAATTTAATGAACGTTAATTTTGTGCAAAAATTGTAAAAAAAGGCAATTTTTTTTCAAGTGGAATAAGGGATGAAAATATCTTATCTGTTAGCTGGCATGACATCCCTGACGAACTAATTATAAACGTTGATCAAACCCCGTCAAAATTCGTTCCGACAGACAACGTAACAATGGCAGTTCGAGGTACTAAGCATATTCCGAGAACTGGAGCAAACGACAAAAGAGGGATAACTGTTACTCTTTCAGAGACCCTCAGTAGTATAATGTTACCATTTCAGCTTATTTACAAGGGGAAGACTAAGAGATCGCTCCCAACCGTAGAATTTCCGGAAGGATTTTTATTATCTTACAACGAAAAACATTGGAGTAATGAAAAAGAATCGTTGAAACTACTGAAAGAGATCATTAACCCCTACGTGGAAAAAGTGCGACAAGAAACGGGCTTGTCTATCGATCAAAAAGCTCTATTAATTTGGGATGCCTTCAGAGGACAACAATCGCAGCCAATAACAGATGCCCTGGAAGATTACAACCTTGTTACAGTCATGGTGCCAAAGAATTTGACCCACCTGCTCCAGCCTCTTGACCTAACAACAAACGGATCGTTCAAGAAAATGGAAAGGGCTGCCTTTAGAGATTACTTCAAAAACACGATAACAAAGGAGCTTGAATCAGATCCCGAAAAAAGTGTAACAACGATTAAAGTATGCCATTAGCATAAGAACAGAACAATTTGACAATAACTTTTGTGTTATCAGAGTATTTTTCTAGCCCTGATTTGAATAGGATGAATCCAGTCTTGACCAGAAATTTCATCTATTCTTCAATTTAGAGCGCAATCAGGTTGCGGACTCTTTGTTAGGGACGAAATCTTTTCACATTGCAATTTATCAATAAAGCTAATGTTTTAAGATAAGTAAGTGTTTAATGTTAGAACCAGGGCCGTTGAGAGCAAGTCGTGCCAAGGAGTGATTCACAAAACTACCCCCCCCCCCTCCCTAAAAATAAATTCTTTTGTGACTCTTCCTTCGCTCTCTTTAGGTACAGTTCTTGAAAGAAATTTTTCAAATATTTTCAACAATATTGTCCAAAAACATTGTTTTCTTGAATCAAGGACGTTGGCATCGTTTTTCTCTGTGGTAAAATTATGATTGTATCATAAGATATTGACTCTGTTTATGTAGCTGAAAGAAAGGCTTTCTCAGTTTTATACAGTTCTTGTAACTATGTGATAATATTGCACCTGTGTAACATGGTGTGAGATATATGCGGGCCCAATCGGAGCACGGGTCCCGAACCTATTGCCCTTCCTACCACCCCCCCCCCCCCCCACCTTCGAATCAACTGGCATGAAATGTGTCTGTTGAACAACATAATGACGATTTCGGATTTTTACAGCCCGCAATGTAATGTCACCCACTCTTCACCGCCGAATTTTTCACAGGAACATGTGTCGGCGCTAGAACTAAATTTAACTTGTTTTCATTTCATTTTCATTTTTTATTATTCATACAGCGTAACGCATTCAGTAATTGCAATAAAATTGATTTAAAATGTGCTCTATCTGAAAACTTAAGTTACTTTATATACGTACCCTACTTACAGGAAAAAAACAAAATTATTTACTTTGATTAGAAGAAGGAAAATTGTTATCGAGAGACCGTGAATATTTTCTGATAATTTTGTAAACATTAGCTGTATATAAGTAGGAGTAAGTTCGTGACAAGACTTATAAACCATTAAAGCAGTTCAAATTCAATCATTTTTTAATAGTTAACAATCCTATCCTTCAAATCCAAGGAAGATGTATTATAGGGTCTGCTAGTAACGATTCTTGCAGCACGGTTTTGCACGAAGGTTTTCCCGACAACAACTCCACACCGAGCAGCAGTTTCGAAAATGTAGTTAAACTAAACTTTTATACATGTTTTTAAAAGATTATGATGGGAGATACTTTTCAGCATATTTTAGCATTCAAAGTGCTTTGACAATCTTACTTACAGTAAAATTCATTTGTTCTCACCACTTAAGTTGCGAATCAATCTGTACGCCATTATATATATATTTTGGATCTGATCAGCCGAAAAAGAATTGCATAATTTACAGTATCGAATTCGAATTTCTTCACAAAATTATCCTTACCTCTCAAAGCTTGCAGGCCAAGAATAAGTAACAACAAGAAACGGAACATCAGGCAGGTTGCTTGCGGATTCCCAAAACAGAAAGTTTGGTAGATTTCTAAAACGAAATAATGAAATTTATTGTTTACTGGTCTGTCATTAAGTGCTCAAGGCCGTATAGGCAGGCCTGTACACAGGGTTGGAGCCCCTTTGCAAATGCCGAAATATAACCAATTTCTATATTTGCTATTGTTTTTAGCAACATTTTGTACAAGAGCCCCCCTTTTTATTTTGATAGCACTACACCACTGCCTATACATGCTTTTTGGTGTATTGAACAGGACGGTTACTCCGAGTTCTACGCTGAAAGCCCTGATTAAACGATCCAACAGTTCACCCAGCATTTCGCCCAACTTTCTATGTTGGAAAATGATCCAACGTTGGTTGTCAAACGATCAATTCGTCCCCTTGCATTTCCTTATATCTCCTTTATGTAAGAGGCTCTCCACTGACCCTTTGTCTCTTCTTGAGCACAGAATTTATTTTGTTTCGTTACATTGTTCATAATTAGAGTGTAATTTATTTTAAACAATTTCGAATGTTAAAACCAACCCGAAAAATCAGCAACGATGCGATGATTGAATTTTGGCGCTCTTTAACAAACTGCGCTTGCGCAGAGCTAGCAACGCTGGCCGCGGTGGTCAGAACAATAGAATTGTCGGGTGAAATGTGGTTTTGCGAAATGTTGGGTGAAATGCGGTTTTGCGAAATGTTGGGTGAAATGTGAATTTGCGAAATGTTGGGTGAAATGCGGTTTTGCGAAATGTCGGGTGAAATGTGGTTTTGCGAAATGTCGGGTGAAATGCTGGATCGTTTGACAAGGGCTTAACGCCATCATCAGGCAACTGTCCTGCTCTGTCTAAAATTAAATAGGTAATTTGACTTATGAACGTCACATGGAAAAAACAAGCCCATGAAATACATGTAGGCGATCCTCGCTCGCGAGTTGGTTGGGTGTTGGGTGTGAGTGTGTTTGATTAGCGTAATTATTTCCATAATATACTATGCAGCGTCATTTGTGTCTATATTACAAATGTACTTTTTGTAGAGTGTTTTATGATTTCACATGATGCTATTCTACATGGTCTTTAACTAAATTCTGATGGCATCTATCGTATTCTACGGCCTTTAAATCCTCAGTCGTGTGCCTTTTCAAATTCTCTATTACGTATCATACTCCCACTGATTATTCATTCTCGTGTTATCCGAGTGGTGTTTCATTTGCATTGTGTTACCAATTTCATATCGCGTCGTTGTCTGCCCTCTTACGCTAAGATGTTTCCAGATTCGAAAATTGCGAAAAAACTTTGAATGTAGCCGAACATAGGGGAATGGTCGCCCGAGAGAGAATTTATGGGACCAAGTGCTTTTGGTCAATTCGAGGGTGCTTATTTCAAAAATTGGTGTTATACGGAGATTTTTGGGGCAATCAGCCTCTTTTTCGCGTTTGAGGTCTCGTTTTTGCGTATATGAAGGTAATCAATGTGAAAACAGTTTGAATGGAAATAAGTCAAAGTCTTAAAGTCGATTAAGCATATTTCTTGCGCATAAATGCTCAAAATTAAATTTTGGTCTGTTAAGAGGGGCCAAAAGCCTCGTTTTCATAAGAAAATTGCGTAATCTTAAGTTTTTATCCTTAAATAGACATCTAAAAAGTTTAATACATTTCTTGATTGGACAAATTTTTGAATTGTTGTCCATAGGAACTATGCAGAGCTATCCATTACTAATTGATAAATAACACTTATGGAAAAACTACCGGATCATCTAAATAAACATAGTTTAATCGCTTCAAAGTTCCTCAAGATTGTTTTCTGAGTCGCTGCACACAACAGTCTAAGTACAGCTCTTTTTTTAGTTCAGCTTGGCTTAGCGAAAGTTCCCAGGTATGTTTTTGGTTACAAGCACCACTCTGACGATAAAATCCTTATTCGTCCCAACCATGATCTATCTACTAGGTTGCCCAACTGAAGCATCAAACTGTCATCTTGTTTTAAAACCATAGCGATATAGTTTGCTCGCAGAATATAAAACCTTGTGTTTTCTTTACATGACGGAACACGACAGATTTTTATAATCATTTTTTTCCATCGAACTTCTGAACAAACAACTTGATATGGCCAGAGGTTGTATCTAAAATGGATTTTGACTGAAGGAAAATCCGAGGCAATATATCTAAACTTTATTTTATCAATTTGTACAAGTTTAACAAAAACAGAAGAACTATCAACTAAAATAAAAGCAAATTAGGCAATTTGTATATTTGGGACATTGTTTGGTAAAATCTGATCTTAAATATTTCGGAAAAAAAGTTCATGTCCTCAAAAACTTTCTTTTCGTCAGTTTCTTTCCCTTCCATATCGCTAGCGATTTCTCTCTTTTTGTTATGTTCCTTAGAAATTTGTTGTTAACAAATAGACCTTGTGAGCCAAGTTTAGACAACAGAAAAAACGAATCTCCGCCAATTTGTGCTGGCACCAAGTTCTTTTGGATCAGGTTTCTCGATCTATTTCCTAAGCCAAGCTGTTACTGGTTGTACAACTTAAACAATGGCCGATTTCTTTGATCTTATTTCCCATATTCAAATTTATGTCTTCCCATATGTCTTCTATCGTAAAATCAAAGCAACCAAGCTAAAGCTAAACGCATATGTAAGGGATTACTAAGCACAGTTACTTACAGAATGATATACTACATTGATTTCCAATTTTGCCTCAAATTTTCCTTTAGCCCTGCAGAAATGTGGGGAGCCATGACCTCCCCCCCCCCTTCCCGCTTTCGCCGGCCCTGTCTGCCTAACTTTCGCCAACCAATGACAATTCCAAGCTGAAAAAGTACTAAATCTTATACTACTAAAGACAAGATCCCTAAGAAACCATTAAATTTTGAGTAATCTTTTGGCGGTACAGAACTTGAATTTTTTACCAGTGTATATCGTTACCGGTCCATACCAAGCCCACTTTTACCGGTCCATACCTACGCTTGAACTCTTTTTGCCCCAAACAACGCAAAGTCAACCTGGTCAAAACTTTAGTGCAAATGTAATAGTGCTAGTTTGGATTTCGTTTGTTTTGCATCCTGTAACCTTAGTAATTTCATCACCGTTCGCACATTCGATTGTTTATAATTCCTTTTGTTTTCTAATTGCACCTTTAGATTCATTAACTATTTCTTTTGGGATTTTTAGTATCATTATTCAGTTTATGTAATTAATCTTGGGACTAATATATTTTGTATTCACTATTATTATGTAAATTTACGTAGCTATGTAGCATTACAATAAGTTCTTGTTTAGTTATATTTTGGGCGTGTTACCAGGGTTGGTTTGGCTTCAGAAATTCCTTTCGGCTTAAAGTCACTTTTTGGCTTAATTTTGGCTTTTTTCCACAAGTACAGGCATAAGTACTTATTTTCTACCTTCCTTCCTTTTTCATCATTCTAACAGAAATTGACAATTAAAGCAGTTAATGCACATATTTTACTGTGATTTAGACACTTTGTTGAACATTTGTGATTTTATCCACCTTGTCCAATTGCTACGTGGTTTTCGCTTTGTTCTTCATTCCTTCTGCCTGTTGAAACAGGGTTTAATGACCGCGATGCGAAAAGGGGGGAGGGGTACTTGGAGGCGGTTGTGTCGTATGGACTGACTTTCTACTTCATCTAAATCCAATGATGAAATGTTGAGGGAAGGGTAAATATTCCGATAGTAAAAACGGCTAAGCCTAAAATTTTCTGTTTGCTCCCCTTTTGCTATGTTTTACTTTTATAAAAAATGATGTACATCATATGTAGGAATTTTATGAATATAATGAAAAAGTGTTTTCACAAAAAGTGAAAAAGAATCAGTCAGTTGAAGAATACCTAAGCATTTTCACAAAAGTGAAAATTTAAGCCGTGGGTAGAGAATTGCGTAAGGGTTAAAGGGGGTCAAGCACCCTATGGATTGAACAAAAAAAGTTACTTCTAGCCTCGTTTACTACTTGAAATTTTCTATTGTTTTGCCGCCTCGTTTACATTTTGGCTTAATTTGGCTTTTTTCCTACATTGATTTGGCTTGAAGCCCCAAAAGAATCTACCAACCCTGCGTGTTACAGATAGAGTTAGTTTTTGAGTTCGTTGGAGTTGGAGTTGAAGTTGGAAATGGAATTCGGTTAAGAGCGATTAGGTTAAGTTTAGATGTTTTGTATATTTAGGTTCTCGACGCTTTATAAATGTGGCAAGATGCTTGTGAAAGATCTTGTCGACATGAAGTATGGATTTATAGAATACGTATTTTGATTTATGGAATCGCGCGAGATAATTTATTGATTGTGCATTATTATAGTATAGTTTGAACGGACAGTGCTTGTGAAAGACTGTGCCTGTTAGAGAAACATTGTGAAGTTTATAACCTTTCGCGGAAAGATCACATGATCGGAAGATGGACGTTTGAAACATTATTTATTTGTCTCTTTGTCTCAATTCTCATTGAAGGACTAGTTTATATCGACGGTAACGATAGGGTGGATGTATTCATTTGGCAAAATAACCCTATTACAGTTACACAAAGGTGCCTTATGACCCTGCTCTTATGCAAACCAAATATTCTCCTCTATACAGAGCTTGGGTCAAGAGTATTCTGTTTGTGGTATATTGGTAAGTGCTGCTTCTATCCATTGTTTCAAGAGGAGTTTGTTTCGCCTATGAAATCCAAAAGAAGTTCTGTTTGCTTATATTTGTAGCTCTCTGTCCTCTCTCTTTCAAGTATGCACCCCGCCCCCTACCCTGTGGTAGGTTGCCCTTGTAGTTAGGTCTGATCATTTGAGCATCAATTGATTAGTTATAGTTTCTGTCGTTCTGTTTACTGGTGACTTATTTTGTATTTTGTATAGTTGTATGTTTGAGGTTTGCGTTTTCTTCTCTTTTGTTTTTTCAGGTGTTCAGCTGTTCCAAATTTGATATGATGAAATTTGTCAGAGTATTGTGATATGTTTTTTTTGTTGTCCTATGCCAATTTCTATGGTCATTAATGTGTGGTAATATTGAGGTTATCTCTATCTAATCTCAGCAGTGGTTTGTGTGAAGTAATAATAAGATGCATGTCCCTATGACGACAATTGACACAAAAGTTTTACAGTAAAGAACGAATTGAGAAAAACATAAAAGCATGGTGCCCTTCGTAAAGAGAACAATTATATTTGTTTTAAAACCCTTTTATTATGACACTAAAAGCCCAAAAAACGTTGAATGCTTCACTTTTTCTTCTTGGCAGTTTAAGAGAGATCTGTTCTAGAATAGCCTGTTTAAATTTCCATATCCTACATTTTGACGAGCTGATACTTGCAATACACTTTCACGTTTCACGTGCAGTAAAAGGGATATTATCAATGATATAAAAGATATTTCAACATGTGATGTTCTCAAACTATAACGAAAGTAACAACATTGTTGCGCATTAAACAGCTGATGTGGAAAGACTTAAGCTACGTAATCCATTGTGAATTAAGCTACGTAATCCACGCAACAACTCTCTCCATAATCAAGAACGCCTGCACAAGGTTGAGGCAGGAGGGGGCAGTTTTGGTGCTGAGGGCAAATTGTAGAATTTGTCTACTGACATGATCGAGTATTAGTGGGGGATGGGGCAACATAGAAAAAAATATTAATGGGTATGTGCCAACCATACAGCTGGGTCTTTTTACCGCAAAAGATTCTATACATGGAGAAAAGGTTGATGAAATTAAATTGGTAATAAATGGCCTTGTCACTATTTGCAATGTTTGGTTTTATCAAAATCATGGCTGTTATAAATGGGGTGATTGTAAAATTTTGATATTGCCCGTTTTAATACCGATTTATCCTCTTTAGGTATCTTTGCCGCTGTCCTTTTGCGGCCCACCTTGTCACAGACAAACGTTTCAAAATTTGATTTTTGTGCTGGTGTTAGCAGCTGCCCCTCCAGCCCCCCAGTGTAGGCACCCCTTTCCATATTTTCTATAAATGATAATTACAAGGTGTCACACAACTGATTTGACGCTGTGAAGTTGCGATGAAAAATCATGCCTCAGTGACAAAGACAGAAATCAACTGGGTCTTTTCACGAAAAAACTGCAAGACCCCGCTGCGAAACGACTCGTCTCTGTTCCGGTCAATTGTTTCATCTTCACACAAAAAACGGATCATAGAAATGGGATCTTCATGTTGAAATTAAAAACTGCCGAAGATTTGATATTGTTTGAACTGGCATGCCGCGCAATTTAGCTTTCCTTATACATTTCACTAGAATTTGTTGCTGTAGTGAAAGGTTGTCATTACAACAACAAATTCCTCGAAATTTTTTTTAAAATATCAGAATATTCAAAACGAAGTAATTTGCGACCGAAAAATCCAAACGACATCGTTTTCAGAGAAATTTAATTTCAAGATGACGTTTTCAAATCCGAAGTTCATTTTTGAGAAAGGCTTGTAGATAGCGAGACGCAATATCGACGAAATCAACCCGGAACGGAGAGGCAGCGAATGCTTAGATGCAGTTGCTTTCTTTGCGAGAAATTATTTGCTAACACGAACAGTAGATTTTAACATTTAGCTCTATTTCTAAAAAATATCAGCATTCCATGAAAACTATCTTCAAAGTAACAAAACATAGCTAAATTGTCTTCTTATGCAACCTTTTAAATCAAACTTTAATGTATCTCCTTTGTATCTAGTTTCCAGTATTAAATCGCAGGATATTTGCAAAATGGTTTAGAAACACTACAACCATTGCGAGAAGAATTCAATCCGGATAAATATGGTTGATTCAAAACAGACTTACCTTTCAGGCAGCTTTCGCTCAGCAACTGTTTGCTCGAGGCTTTTTTCGAGTTTATAAGAACCGAAGACGGAAAATACCACAGAGTATCACTGTAGGGTTGGAACCGGAAGTAAATCTTTGCGCATTTCCTTTACACCGTTGGTTGGCAATTTGAGCTCCATTTTCGGTCTGTGACGTCAAAGGTGTCTGTGGTATCACCCTCGTTGACGCTAACTCACTGATCATTGAATTTATTGCACCTCTTTGTGGGATGGCATTCTGAAATAAAATCCAAACTATATTCACAGCATCAATTTTTTAAGAAAATAAATGAAAAGCTTTGCAAAAAATTAAAGAAAGTGGATATATCATTGCTTTTTTATAAGGACCAGTAAATCGAGGTTCTTAACTTTTCCAAAACTTTGAGGCGGGATTGTTCTTAATTTGCTCTCAAAGTCTTAGGTTGTAGGCAGCAGGGCCAGCGCTACAGGAGGGCAAAGCCCCCCTCACATTTTTGCGAAGGTAAAGGTTGACATTAGCCAGAATTTTCATAAGCATGTTGATAATTACCTTAATTTCCGTGATTACTTTAATTTTCATATGAAAAATTCTTGCAGGAAGAAAAAACCATCATCAAAAATATTTTTTAGAATTTCTTAAATTTGACCACATAATCTGAAAGAACAGCATAAATAGCTTCTCAATGTGCAAAATCAGTTACACTCTTTTTTATAAGAACAATTTTATAAGAACACTACCCTGGGTACCAGACTCGCTATTTTATATATAGTGAGTCTGGTACCCAGGGTATAAGAACACGAGCCTCAAAATGGGTCAAAATATAAGAACAAATTAAGAACAAGCTGAGGCTGAGCTACTGTAAATTGAAATTTTGAACAACGTTTTATCTCAAAAACGAGGATTTTTAGCCATGTGTGGGTGCTTTTTCGGTGAATATTAAAACATGGCGGCAAATTAAGTTTGTCTCTACGCACTTTGTTGGTAGAAGAGGCCTGAACACGTCCCCAGAACGAAAAGCTAGAAATCACACTGCTTATACCCTATAAATTTAAGAACAAATTAAGAACAATCCAGCCTCAGATTTTCGGAAAAATTAAGAACAATCAGCCTGAACTCAAATTTACTGGTTCTTATAAAAAAAAGAGTGTAGTTATGCTCAAAATTGGGCGAGATATGGCAAACGGAGGTTGAAAGTTTGCTAACGGATAACTGTTATTCTGGCCTGGTTCATAAAGTTATGAACCAAGACCAAATAACAGAGGTTTGGCGGGGCAAGAGCCTGCGCTCATGTGGCCACATCCCCTCGATTTGTGACACATTCAACTGATTTTGCATACTAGAGGCATTTCATAATGCGCTTTTGGGATAAATGGTCAAAATTCTAAAGATAGATTTTGGTAACGTCATCACTTCGGTACCCTATATAATAATGAATTCGGTACCAATAAAGCTATATTGTTAAAATCACATTTTACATGTAAATTACATTAGCTCATTCTCAGTTTGATATTAATTTATTCTTCAAGTTTTGACCAGTTTGGGGCTTGTATTCTTATAAAATTGTATTTAAATAAAATAGGTAAGAGAGATGAACAGAGAATTATACAATTTCAGGGTAACAGCAACTATTGTTGAGTTGTAAGGCATGCGAGAAAACTCAAGAACACTATCTAGACACATGTCCTGTTTAAAATTGGGTAGTTTATTGAAGAAAGCAATCTAAATCTGAATTACTTTTTAAGAAATGTAGGTCTAAGACTTTCTGCGGGCGGGATGGCATGCATTCTTCAAAATGGTGTCCATTGAAGGTTCGTTCAGGAACATGCTTTCGAAACCAGACGAAGCTCTGAAATCCTGTTTTCTGTAATTCAATGCTCTCTCGGTATCATTTCTAATAGAATCAATGAAATTAAATTTCACCAAGTCTTGGTTGGCCCACCATTATCCAGAGCAGGGCCGCATTTACATCTGTTGGGTCTCTGGGCCCAAAGTTGATTAGGGCCCCTTAAAACATAAAAAAAATTGCGTTACGTAGAATGACTGCGCTTTGTTTTTTGCTCAGTTTGTCATTGACATACGGATGTTTCTCCGGTGAAAAGTTTTCACCATGCTGAAAAGGGTAATAAAAAAGAGTGACAGAAAAACGTCCACAAAGTCACAGTAGCGCATTGTTGCTTCATGTTTAATGGCAGCAGATTTTGATGTCCTGGGAGTTTGAAACTCCAATAAAATCATCGAAAAGTTTTCAGCAGCTAAGTAAAAACGAAAGACATCAGCGTCATGAACCAAGGGGCAAGGGTAGTTTTAATTGGGAATGTACTGAAATGCGAAATGGATACAAGTTTATTCGCGTCTTATAGTTTTCATCTATCAAACTATTTAGTGAATATTAACCTGGTTGGTTTTGACTATGTTTAGCCAAGTACTATATACGTAACACAATTTTATTTGGATTTGTCAATAAAGACGTTGTTTTCCGTTTTTTATGTCATGTAAAGAGTGCTTTATTGAAAATGTTTCAAAACATTCGCATTTCGAATTCAAATGTTTCAAAAACATAAGTTTCGAATTACAGAAATTTGGATGTCGAAAATACTTTTTCGTTTTGTTTTGCTTTGAACATTTGAAAGATGAGCTCGGCCTAAAGATTTCGCAGCTGCATCAAGAGTTCGTTACAGCATACAAAGAAAGGTTTGCTTGTGAGAACAAACACGCTACTGTTATAAAGTGTTCACCAATATGGTAAAAAATAAGAAAGGAATTCAAAGCTTTCCCTCAGCAAAAATCTCAAGCCCATTCTCAGATTGCAACATGGAAGCATGAAAGTAAGTCTGCTTCAACTCGAAAAGGCACCATCCTTTCGCTTTGGAAAAACTCTTCAAATAAAGGCAAATCAATTTTATTTGAAAGCCTCATTGAACAATCTTCAAATTAAAATGCCCAACCCAGGTACTAAGACTCGCATCACAGTTGTATACTTCTTCCCAATCCAGACCTCACGCACAACTACAACTTTTACTCCTGTAGCGAAAACGTAGGGCACTACAGTGTCACAGAATTTGCTTGGTTTGTTTTGAAAGCAAGTACTGTGATTGGCTAAAACCCAAACTTTTGCTTTCTGAATTGTTAATCAAGTATGTTACTACCGAAAACAACGTTCGAATTTTTTTAGAAAAGCTTTGGTTTTACTCAGTTTTTCGGTCTTTAAACCATTGTTTTTAAAATTTTCGGAATTATTTGGTATTCAGCCCTCCTTGGTACTTAGGTAGAGGTCGCACGATACCCTTTGTAGGCCTAACTCCAAATGTGTATATATCGTTTAAAAATAAAATAAAAATGCACCACATACTGTATAGGCAGGGAATTTTCCACTACAATCTAAGGATCTGGGTCACCAAAAATTTTAATGCTTAGGGCCTGATTATTTGAGAGAAAACGTCCCGCTCAGCCGGGACGGGACGTTCGTCGAGATCCTTCACTTGCAGTCGAACCATTGTAAAAACCAATTTGCAATTACATGACGAAAACATCCCGTCCCGGCTAGACGGGATAATTATCACAAGCGGGATCCCGTTGTTGATCAAGCGTTGTTGATCACGTTTTTTTCAATGTAATCAGATCATCCCGGTAAGACTGGACACTTGCCGGGACATTCAACATTAACACATGCGCAGTACACACAAGTTTGTCCAAAATGGCTTCCTCTGAAATACACTCCCCTCACAAAAGTATTGCACCACCTCGAAGGAGGGAAAATGGCGCAACAATTATCGAAAGCTATTGTTGTGCGAATTGATTGTGTTTAAGTGGCGAATGGGAGTGTGTCGGAAGTGAAACAACCACCAATCAAAACTTCAATCTTTTAAGAAAACTTTTTTCAAAATAACAGTTTCAAAACGTCTTTTAACAGTTTCAAATTTTAATATTTTGACGGGAGCTTTGAACTTTAAAACCGCTTTATGCCTACTTGAATTGGTTGCATATAATTGGGCAACGTATTATTGTGAAATTTCATTCCAAACCTGAAGAATTCTTTTAATTAACGATTATTTGGTTCTTCAAGAACCTTTAAAATCATGGTTCGGATTGTTTTTCATACGAAGCCAAACATTTTCAACGATGTACAAACCTGGACTTGAACGCACTTATCCCGCTTGGCCGGGACGTTTCTCTCATATAATCACAAACTGATCTTTTCAAAGTGTTTCACCGCGGTGACGAGATCTCGGCGAATGCCCCGTCCCGTCTGGACGGGACGTTTTCTCTCATAAAATCAGGCCCTTAGAATGAAAGTAAATATAAAAGGGATCAAGATTCCGAGTTGGGACATTTTGGAAAATTGGTTCTTGTCACGTGATAGTGACGTAATTGACCGAGCGACAAGTCACGGTCAGAAAAAAGTAAACTTTTCGAATTTTTAAATCTAAATACATTTTTGGATTACTCTTTCAAAGTTATTCCGACTTTTTTAAAGAACCATAGCCCTACAAAGTACGGTTCCAAAGTTATAGGCGTTTAAAGTTGCAGTTAATCAGGGGGTAACGTCGTATAATCTTAATGGTATGTTTGTCTGTCTCAGATGCATTGACAAAAGTGAGCCAAAAATGAATAACAAGCGTGATTTCTGCTTCTATTACAGTTATCTTAAGCACATTTTTGGCTACAAATCGTGGGCTTTAGATGAAATATTGAGCTTCATTTGATGTTGCCCCCCCCCGATTTTTCTGAATTTCAAATTTCCTTGTTGGTTTAATGTTATTTAATTTGAAGAATATACAGAAAATGTCTATATTCATTCTTTAGTGGTTTTGGCTATTCACTGAGTTGCAAGAATCACATGGGCCCCACCTACGGGTAGCACTAAGATCCGTAATAGAAACAAACTATGTAAAAACATACCTGACCAATAAAAAATGGTCTAAGGTAGCCACTCGTCAAAAGAGTCCTCGCTAGACATAAAGTCAAATACTTTCCATTCACTTTCGTCACTTGAACTGTCCCTTGCCACACAGTCATTCGTATCAGATTCTTTATCCCCTTCCTCCCCGCTGTTGATAATCGCTGTTTCTGCCATCGGGCTGTCTTCTGCTTCATCGGATATAGTTTGCTTGTTCGGCGGTAGATCATCTAAGCCTTTTCTTTTTCTTCTTCTCCATTTTTGAACCTGTTTTCGAGCCTTTTTTCTTGGGGGGCATTTTTCTGAATTACAACTGTCGTATTCACCAAAACTTCCACCTTTTGCTCTCCTTCCACGAATGCTTTTGACTGATGGCGGAAATTGATTGCCAACGAACCAGACCGGCTTCACATCTCCATCTTGAATCTTCCATCCAAATTCCTCTAAGTCAAGATGATTAATGGTCCTCTGCCCGCAACGATACCATACATAAGCCTGGCAGTGAGCTCGTTTGATAACTTGGACAACAGAATCGGGATCTGGGGGCAAAGACATCGACGACTTATTTTTCAAGCTTTTGTACAAGGGAATTCTTGTTTCCACGTAATCTTCATCATCTTTGCCAGAATAGATCACCGAACGCACAAACTCTCTGACGTTGTTTAGACCATCTTCGGCCAGCTTTCTGCCCTGCCCACGAGCAAGGTGTATCATTAAGACCCCAACACTGTTTTATAATCTTTCATTGTTAAAAAAATATTTAGATCTCCGGACCGTCAAATTTGCCGAAAAATAATCATTTATTTGCCGACAGGTTTGAAAATTTGCCGACCAGGCATCTCTTAATGGCAAAGCCTCTACGCTTTTGAAATATGATTTTTTTTCAAGGGTGTCTCACACCCCTCACGTCCCCTTTCATGCCGGCCCTGCTGCCCCCCCCCCCCTACGAAACAAAAAGTTGTATCTCGGTCCTTGAGTGGTGTTATCCTCCCCCACGACCATTTCGGTACCCATTTAGATAATAACAACAAAACTATTGACGAAGAATTGGAACTTAGAAACTTTGAATATGCAGCTGAAATTCTTGCCGAATTGTGGTCAAAATTGGTGATTGATGGTCATCCAGTTGTTGCTGAGTTTATAAATGAAGAGCCATCGGAAATTACAGTCACAAAGTCAGAGGAAGGAAAGCAAAACATGTCAGGGAATCGCAATATTTTTTACAAATCGTGAAATGCACCGATGAGGCAAGATGCTCGGCGTTTCAATCATCCTACTGAAAAATAATGATAGATCGATTCTTGCCACCTCCTGTCCCAGTAGTTTACTCTCAAAATGGTGTTATTGAATGGGCAAAAGATGATAAGGAAGCTTCATATTTATCCTTGTTTCAAAACATCGCATTGAACGCTAGCCTTATGCCCAAACATGCAATAACGAAATTTCCAAAGGGAATTCCATACGACTATTCTTGCCCTTCAACAAAGGATATTCTTGCAGACCGTATTTGCAAACACTGTGATCTTTATTTTGGAAGTATTAAGTCAAGGCAATACCACTCAGAATACTGCCGAGCAAAGGATTCGCTACCAGTTGCCAACAGAACCGAGGCGAGAAAAGTACGACCGCAACGAGTCGCAGCCCGTCGCCAAAATGAATTGTTGTGTGTGATGGCCTTTCAAGAGCTTGAATGGCACGCAATTGATGATGTTGATTTTGACGACGAGTCAGATATTCCAGAGGTTGTTCCCAAAAGTGGAACCCCTGTCCTTAATGATATGGATCCAATCTGGACAAGTGATTGATCAACTTTTATCTAAACCAAAGAAGCGATTGACTTGATATTAACATTTTGTTAATTTGTTATATATTCAAAAGAAAACTTGCATTACTCTAATTTTCATGTGTTGCATATGTACTGGAATTTTGTTAAGAGGAGAGGGGGAGCTGTCTCTTCATAGAGTGACGTCATGCAAGGGGATCTCACATGGAACCGTGACGGAGCGTGACGAGAGGGGATGGGTGGTTCTAAAAACCCAAATTTAGCGTGACGTAATTATTGAGCAGCCCCTATTGATTGATAATTACTTGAACTTGGGTGTTGCCTCAAGATTGTTACAAAGAAAGACTGCCTGTTCGGTGTCTTTATTAACGGAGAACTTGAATCGAATGAACGATGAAGCAGAACGGACTATTTACTTTGGCAGGGAGTATATTAGTCATTTCCCCTTTTTTAAGGATTGATGTTTGATAATGTTTAAGGATTGAATGCGAACTTCTATCGCTCCCTGTCTCCGAATTCTAATCGGATACCGTGGATTCGGTCCCACATCTTCAATCCTTTTGCGATCCTTTTTCCAATTCACTAGAGCTACTCAAATCTGCGTCTAGAAACGCTTCCCCAACTTCATGCGGAATCTCTTTGGTCACAATGTCACCTTTATTTCGTTGCGTTTTATCTACTTTGCATCAGAATTATCATCATTTTATTCATTCCAGGTAGCTTCTACGTGATCCGTAGGTTGCTAACCATGGTCCTCCAACAAACCCTGTCACTACACCTACTTTTCAGGATACCATAGTTCTGGGTGTTAACCCACTCTTTAATATCGTCATTCCAAGTCCTTCTTTGCCTACCGCTAGATCTTTTTCCTTCAATGTACCCCTCCACGATGTAACAAAAAACTACTCCACTTGATCCTCTTGCCACATGACCAAAGAGTGCAGCTTTTCTCTTTGCTATGATGGTAAGGAGCATAGAGGTTACATTCATTCTTCGTAGCACTTCTTCGTTGGAAACCCTATCTGTCCACCTGATCTTCAATAATCTTCTATAACACCACTTCTCGAATGCCCGAATCTTGTCCATCATTTCTTTCCCAATAGTCTATGCCTCGCATCCATAAGAAAAAACAGACCAGACATATGTTTTCAGGAGGTTCATTTTCATTTTCCTGTTGATGTTACTGTTGAACAATTCTTTATGTTGTTGGAATGCAATCTTAGCCATTGCTGTCGTTTACTTATTTCGTCTGTGCAGCGTCCATCCTCTGCGATTTGTGATCCTAGATAGCAGTAGCTTTTTACTTGTTCTAAAACAGTCTTTCCTGATGTTATTTGGATTTTTGCTCCCGGAAATTTTTCGATGACCATTACTTTGGTCTTTTTAGCATTTAATTCCATCTCGTAGATCTTGCATGTTTCATTTAATCTTATTATCATTACTTGGAGATCGTGTTCTGTTTCTGCGATGATGATCGTGCCGTCTGCATATCTTATATTAGTTATTGTGACACCATTTACTTTAATTCCTCTTGTGTCATCTAAAGCTTCCCGGATAAGTTCTTCGCTATACATATTGAAAACAATTGGCGAGAGGATGCAACCCTGTCGTACACCTTTTTTGATCTTAAAACTTCTTGACTCACCGTTGATAGTTCTGACTACTGCTGTTTGGTTCCAATATAGATTGCTGATTAACCTTTTTTCTTCTTGTGGTATGTCATATTTTTCAAAAACTTCTATTAATTTATTGTGTTTGACTCAATCGAAGGCTTTTGTGTAGTCAATGAAGCAGATAAATATTTTCTTCTTTTTTCGATCATTCTTTCCCTGAGTAGACGGAGCTGACAGATACCACCTCTTGTTCCTTTCCCTTTCCTGAATGCGAGCTGGTTCTCACCAAGTCTCCTTTCTGCTAAGGGTGTTATTCTTCTTTTCATAATCTGTAGCAGTATTTTGGAAGCATGTGATATTAAACTGATAGTACGGTGTTCGTTGCAAAGTGTTGTGTTGGGTTCTTTTGGAATAGTGACAAATGTAGATTGCAGGAAATCCTCCGTCAAAATGCCTGTATTGTAGCAGTCGTTTGTGATATTGGTGATGGAATTTAGTCCTTCTTCTCCCATATGTTGTAATAATTCCGCTGGAATTTGTTCTACTCCAGTTGCTTTACTCTTTGGTAGGTGTTTAATTACATCAATAATTTCTTCTTTTTCTATTTTGACATTTTGGTAATTGTTGTTTTTAGTTATGTATGTTGGTCTTGAGTCATTGTATAGTTCTTCTACATATTCTGCCCATCTTTCTGCCATTTCATCATTTTCTGTTAAGAGCTTGCCGTTTATGTCTTTGATACTAGTGGTTGTTGTTTTGGGTTTTTGATTTAGTTCTTTAATTTTTTTGAACATAGTTGGATTGTGTGCCTTATCCAAGAGTTCAATTTCTCTACATTTTTCTTCATAGAACTGTTCCTTTGTTTTCCTGCATTTCTTGTTTATTATTTTGCTTAAAGATTTGTACTTTGCTTTATCATCTTTCACTAGTCTTCTTTCTTCCATGATGTCATCCATTTTTGATTGGCTTCCATATGTTCTCCTTTTCCACATATTCTATCTGCAACCTCAGTTAGACATTTTTTAAGATGGTTCCATGGACTTTCTGTAATTTCTGTTTTGCTTTTGATAGTTTCATTCAGAGTTGATGCATATTCTTGGCTTACTTCTTTGTTTTTTAATTTGTTTACATTTCAAGTCTTGACATTGGTTTTTTTCTTCTGTTTTTTCTTTAGTTTTGCATAGATTTTTATCCAGACTGGGTCATGGTCTGATTCGCAGTCTGCAACTTTTGCGTGTTTTCGCATTGGTGATGACATTTCTGTATCTTTTGTCTATAAGATTGAAATTAAGTTGGTTTTGTATCATTCCATTTGGACTTCTCCATGTAGATCTTGCGCTTTTCTTCTGTCGGAACCATGTACGAAAGGGTTAGGGTATCGTATCGTATCGTATCGTATCGTATCGTATCGTATCGTATCGTATCGTATCGTATCGTATCGTATCGTAACGTATCGTTTCGTATCGTATCGTATCGTATCGTATCGTATCGTATCGTATCGTATCGTATCGTATCGTATCGTATCGTATCGTATCAATAGTCTTTTTCATTTTTATGCATATTGTTTCGTATTTACATTGTATTCATTTCTCTTTTAGATTTTTCAATTTTCTTGCAATATTGCTATTTTTATTGTAGCTTAATTAAATAATTTGTTTTTGTAGCTTTTAATGATAAATTGTATGTTTAGAATTCAAAATATGATATATGAAGTGAGAATATTTGAGAAAGACTCTGAGAATGCGCATAAGCATCATTTCAATTTACATAAAAGAGCAATGATGCAAACAATCACAGGAATAGTTATTAAATGTCATATGTAACGATTCACAATTTACGAAAATACACTTCAATCCAAGTGACTAAATATCTAAAACTTTTCAAGTCTGACTTTTAATTACAGCAGTTTGCTAGTTCGCTTTCTTCGTCTTCTCTATCCAGGTAACGAATTCGCTCACACGTGCGAAAACAGTGTATCGTTTTGCCCGATCGCAAATTGAGGACCCCCAACTTACAACCCCTGTTAGGGTCCAGTGTTCACCGTCCTCAGTGCAGACATAAGGCCCACCAGAGTCCCCATAGCAACCACTTTGGGGCGTGCCTGGCTTATTTCCAGCACACAACATCTTCGATGTGATATTGAGTCCCCCCCTATGGCTGTTTTGCGCCTTGCATACCTCGTTAGTCACAACAGGCATCTCTGCTTCCATCAGTACATTGCTGCTTGAGCCTGTGTACTTAGTTCTGCCCCAACCTACAAATGAAGCATAAATAGCGTTTATAAGTAAGCTATCACGAAGTTCTGTCTCTCCTTCTCGTTTCTCAGGGCAAATAAAATGAGTTACTTCCTGCTACTTCGCTGACCTACGCTTGGGAGTGTAATAAGACCTTCCTCCTGGAGCTCTATCAGTACCAAAGAACGATTTCTGCTAGCAGATCTATTACGCTAATATGCACTTCAGATGCTTCTTTATAAAGCATGTTGACCTCGGCTTGTGACATATGCACGCTATTTTCACCTGTATATATTGTTTCTGTACGAGGCTGAATTGTGACCTAGCACATATCACGTGCTACTCTATTTTCCCTTATTTACACGTGAGGAAATTTCTACAGTACAAAATAGAACATGAACTTCGCAGCGCAAGCAAAACATAAAACCCAACAACCAGAAATAACTTCAAATCTGAAAAAGTTACTTTGCAAAAAGTGAAAAGTTTTAATTTTTTATTGCATAGTCTCGATTAGTTGAGAAACTTTGTAAACTTTATCAAAAAATTTAAAACATGTTCTATTAAATGCGACAAGACAAAATAACAAAAACATTGGCAAGTTAATGTTTAGGTGCCGGAGAAACTAAGCTGATTATCATTGGCCTTTTAATTTGTTGGAAACTAAACTTCTACAGCCGTTTTTTATTACGACTCTTTCAATGCCGTTGAGACACTAAAGATGACGAGTTTATCTCAGAAGCGTCGATCCTTCTATTTAATGAAGAGATGGAAGAACGTTTTGAGCAATTTGCGACAGTATTATTTCCTCAAGCAACATCGCAATGGAGTTGAAAAGATAGAGTTTAAAATTTGTGATATAGTTTATTGACTGATTTCTGTAGCAACATATCACCAAATGGTCCGCTAAAAGGCAAGTTTCAGCACCAAAAATTTTCAACCAAGAAAATTAGTTTATGCTCTAAAAACAGTGAGCGAAATGAACAGTTAATGATACCCAAACTAAAACACACCCTGGTTAAGATATACAGGTGGGATTCGTTTTCAATGAATGGCAAAAGGATTTGCCGGCCATGTACTTTCCAGTCAGTCTGCAGAATGTAAATGGTAGATAGGTTTTCGACATTTAATAACGCGTGTGTTTCGGATAGGCACTCACCATATCTATTACATGGAGTAATAATATGTATGAATCACTACACAGACAATTTGGTTTGGTCTGTGTAGTGATTCATTTGGTCATTGTGTTTGGCAATCCGGACGTCCAGGTTTCAAGATATGAGAACGAGACATTTCAAGTCTCAGTTTGCATTGACCTTATCGTCAAATATTCGGACAGTCAAAAAGGAAAGATATCTTCCAGGCCTACTTCTCATAAAAATAAACTTTGAAAGTGGGCTGCAGTTGGCTAGTATAAAACCCGTAACAGCCTGTCAAAGAACAAAAGATTTACACGGGTCTTCTGCAAACCAATGGCAATATCACATCTGAAACCGGAAGGCTACGAGCAAGTTGCCTTGCCGTACGATTTGTTCTGTTCACCTATGCAAAAAAGCATGCGAAGAAAGGTGGCAGCAGATACCAGTGTGGTTTTGTGAAATGCCGGTAAAATATCACCTCTACAAAATGGCTAAAATGCACCTCGAGATAACTGGCCACAAAAGGTTGGCACTGAAGAGTGAAGAGCGGCACAGAGTGAAGCAGCAAATGAGGAAGATGAAGTAGCAGTTATCTTTTCTTATGGATATTACCACCGTTTTGAAGCAGCCATTCACAGAAACTGACTACTTAAACGAAGAGTATAACACGACTTTTGCTGCTTATATCTAATGCTTTTTTGAATACAACATCATACAAAAAACGTACTAGAAAATCAAAAATTGTTCATCAAGTCAGTTCCTGGTTGAAACAAAGAACATCTTTTTACATTCTATTTACGTATACATGTTTGAATAGCTTTCATTATGATGTTGGTGAATGTCCGAGGAAGGGGGAGGGGCTCTGAATGCGGACAATGCCGGACAATGCCGGACAAAAGGGGGAAGGGGTCAAAAAATTCATTTTTTGCTGGACGTCCTTTATGAATGTCCCCTAAAGAAGATGATAGCGGTAAAAATAACCTTTTGCGTCAATATTTATGCTCCCTTCAAATAACGTCCGGGGCGTAGCCAATGTGGGTGCTCCCTCTTTCTGTTTGCCAAATAATATCCTGAATGTCTAGATCTCAATTTACATCTATTGCTCCAATGTTTTAAACTTTGAAGTGTTACGATAGCGATAAACCAATCCATCCATGCAGGGGTTTTAAAAAGTGGGGTGGGGGCTAAAACCGAATTAAAAGGTTTATAGGTGACTTAATTCTTAATATTTGCTACGCAGTGCCTGCCATGTTATGTTCTCCATTCCTGCCGCAAAATTGTCTGTTTATGAAAAAAACAAACTGCATACCTGTTATGTAACATTTCTGACCAATTTTTGCTTTCTTCATCGCCTCTGGAAGACAGACAACTCCAATCTTGTCAGGTATACCCAGCGGCGTGAACTTCAGCTCTACCTTTTCTTTCAACTTGATCAATGCGATGTCATTATTAAATGTTTGGGAGTTGTAGTCTGGGTGATTGAATATTTTTTCTATCATTACTTTCTTTTCTGACCCTTCATCCAGTGTTCTACGAAAAGAAAACACCGGCTTCTTATAACACAGTATTAAATTTTTGAAATACGTTAAAGTTGGCATCAGGGTTAAACAAATGAAAATTCTGAGAGAAAAGATTTAGGGCTATCACAGTTTTTTCAAAACAAATTAGGCCTATGGATTCAGATGGCAAGAATTCAATAATGATGATGAATATTAAATATCATTACGGTCTGTTCAGATTACCGTAAATCCTCGAATTAGCCCCCTGGGAGCTAATTTTTTTTATATTTTTGGATAGGGGGTTATTCGAGGGGGGCTGATAGAAGAGGGCTTATTAAGTTTTAGTAGACGTTAAGAACACGTATATTTTAAGGAGAACTTTCTTTATGGATATTTAATTAATTATTACCAAAGGTATGAATTTGGATTACACTTAAACAGATTCATAACACACGCCTGCGAAGTCTTTAAAAGCAGTTTAACATTAAATGAAAAATCTTGAGGCTTAAAGGGAACCATCAAATATTTTCCAAATTTCACCCAAGAAGTCAAGAAGCCTGTTTAGCTTAAGTCCTTTTTCTATTTGAAGGCATTGCGTAGCTTCTACAACAAGGTTGGAGGCGGTAGTGAGCTGTGAGGTGTTCGAGCCTGCGCCGTGGGGAAGGATGGCCAGGGCTAACTATGGGCTTGTGTCTTGATAGATACCATCTAGTGGTTGCCTTAATGTTATGATTGGCAAATGGCTTAGACTATTAGGTAGGGATTGGATTGTGTTGGTGAACATTTGCTTACCCTATCTTAAAGAAACATAATTAAACAATTCTTTGTCTACGTGTGCCCCTCCCAACATTTAAAATACTTTCAAGGTCTATACATCAAGCAAAGCAAAATTACCTGTCATGCTCGCCTAGCACAACCTCAAGATGTTTATCATTTTCAAAACAATGTGCTGCAGATAAGACCCATTGGTTGTCTATCAAGGAACCTCCGCAATGGTGAAAGCCAAATTTCAGCAAAGCCACTGACCAGGGCCAAGTGTGAGGTTCAGCAACCACTCCACCGACAACAAAAGGCTTCCCTTTCGAAAGACCTCGCAAGCCGCACTTTTTTTGCACTTGAACATAAAATAGGTAACGCAAGTCAAATCTGTTTAACTTTACGATAGAATAGAAAACACAATTATCGGCATCCTAATGCCTTCACATTTATCAGCATTACATTCATATACCACTGGGATCATGACACTGAGCCAGTATATAGACAAGTAAAATTTTGATCTGTAACACTGACAAAAGTAAAATTTTTTTGTCATAGTCTTACGGGAAGAAATTATACGCGATGTAACTTTAATTAGGATCTAAAGTAACATACAGATATGGTTGAAGCTTCAAGAACTAAAATGGGTGTGTTCGGGAAAGAACTGGCATAGGAACACACGAGGAATATACTATAGGGGCACTCAAAACCACAATTATCGAAAAACAAAAGTATATTCAACGAAGAGGCCACAAAAGAGGCATGATGCTCTTTCAGGCTTTAGAAATCAAATTCAAAAATTTAAAAAAAGGTTTATATGACGTCATCATTCAAGAACACTGCTGTTTGGGCCCTAAATTCAAATACGGGATCCTTAATTGATGGTGATTGTCAGGACAATAAAGTTAATAAAGGCTTAATTGGATAATTGTATCATATCAGCAGATCAGCTTTTATAAAAGAAAAGTTCAGCTTTCGAAAATTCTTAAATTTTGGGTCCTACGTAAAAAATAGTTTGGGTACATGATCTGTGCCAAAGATAATAATAAAAACTGGCTTACCCGTTTTGCAGAACCCGCAGGTCTTTCTGCATTTTTTATGTAATACCAGTGATATCCAATTGTAATATTCTGCATTGATTTTGCAGAAACGTTTGTATAATGGGCAGGTCTTTGCTGCAGCAGGGTCATCTTCACATGAGCCTAAAAACATCACAGGTATTGTTAACAGTCTTGACTAATTGCAAAACTCCTGTATTAAGAAATAATTCGCGACTAGATGCATGAATTTACAAGGTAGACACGTATTACAGATTTTATTCTATGGATCAAAACAACTTTAAAGTAGAAGATAAAGAACAGATAAAGAACTGAGATAGTCTGATTCTAGCTGAAATGAAAAAAAGAAAAATTGGGTTCAATATCGAACTGTGCTTAGAATACTTAAACAAAATAAAAATACAGGATTATTCACCTCGTAAAAACTTGCCCTGCTCAATGGTAGTCTTGTTTTGGATAACAGAGCTTTTTCTACTGAGAAACAGACTACGAAAGGAGGGGGGAAGGGGGGGGGGATAGTCTAGATGTCGCTGAGATATAATTGTCCACTCTCTCGCCTTTAGATTTTCGCCTCTTGCCTATGGTTCACAGTTAACAAATGATACATACCAGGGCAAGCTTTAGAGTTGCAAACTGCTGTTTGAGTTGATGGACCTGTGCATGGCCTGCCGTTGTTTTTAGGGGCCGGATTATTGCATTTTCTAGACCTCGTCTTGGTGCCTCCTCCGCAAGATACACTGCAAGCTCCATATGGTTCCCAAGCACTGTACCCACCATTCACTGTTAAATCAAAATAATATCGTTGATTGGTTAATTGACTCTATACGCTTTCATCCTAAGATAGATTTAATACCTACGCTGTAGGCTCTTTAGGTTAGAGAAGACATGGTTCATGCCCGCAGATGTGTATCGTAACAATGACACAAGTGTTATATTTGCTGCTGTGATGCCATGATCTGCAATGGTTCAGGCATAGGGTAATTTGAAGGCCATAATCACCGGTAAAAAATTCTAGAGCCAAAAAGTATTTTAGTTGAAATTTTAAACAGTGTAACTCCCTTAACTCAAGTATTGCACCACCTCAAAGGAGGGGAAATTTCAGTTTCATATAATTTTAAAATTCCACTACATACAATCCAAAAAGAGAAATAAAAAATTTAATACAATTAAATATAACATGCTTAACTAATTAATTCAAGATAAATACTACATAAGAAATCTAAAAGAAACAATATATGTTATTACATCAAGAAGACAAAGAAATTGTATATAGGGGAATTTCTTAAGAAGGGGCTCTCTCAGTAACTAGGCTAATCGAGGAGAGAGCAGCCCCTTTTTATAATTGACTAGCTTATTCTTTCAAAATTTATTTGAACAATTTATGCATCTAACTTCGGACGGAGGCTAAATGAGGACTTTTCATGATCAGTTTATATTTTCAAAGGAAAAAAATTTTAAGTTTGCAACGAAAACCGCATGTAAATTGTGAACTTTTTATCTCCAAGGGAATGTTATTCCAGCATTTTGCTCCAAAATAACGAACTGACCTAAGACCATATTGAAGGGTATTTTTCTGATTTAGAAAAATATCATTATTAGTTGCTTGCCGTGTACGATATGAATGAACAGATTCTATTGATTCAAAAAAGGAATGAAAACAAGGGGAAGAAATTTTATTGACACAATCATAAACAAAACATAATAATTTCAGCTGAAAAAGATCATGCAGCTTTAAAATCTTCAAGTCAGAAAAGATTGGAGTGGAAGGAGAAGAAAGGTTTTGAAATGAAATTGCCTTTACAACTCTCTTCTGTAACAAGAACACAGGATTAATATAAGTCTCATAGGTAAGGCCCCAAACTAATATGCCATACTGCAGGAGAGGTGAAAGTAAAGATTTATAAAGACAAATCAAAACGTTAATTGGTAAAAAGTTTCTAATTTTGAAGAACATGCCACAAGTTCTAGCCAGTTTTTTTGAAAGTTCTGTTAAGTGATATTTCCATGAGAGATTTTCATCCAAAAGAACACCAAGAAATTTAACATAACAGGTCTTTCTGATTGGAAGGTTACCAATTTTGATACTAACTGTGACCGGGCAAAAATGCTGAGGTGACTTAAAAATAACAAAATTAGTTTTATCTATATTCAGAGCAAATTTATTTACATCAAGCCATATTTTCACATTTTTCAATTCTTTGTTTCAATTCTTTTCTATTCTTGCGAAGCAGCCGCTTATCGAGACTTCAATCTTTTGAGAGTGCTTGTTTAAAAATAACAGTAAGAAAGAAACGTCTTCTAACAGTTTCAAATTTGATATTTTGACTGGAGCCGCGAAACCGACTTCAGTCCTCTTGCATTAGTTCTTGCACTATTCTGAAATTTCATGATTTAAGTTATGTTTCGTAATTTCATTCTTACGAAGCCAAACATTTACAACGATGTGCAAATCTGCATGTGATGGACGCTATGGAAAAACTTGAATTCTTCTTGCTGGAAATTAATCGTTGTAAAAATGGTTTCCATTTCCTCAAGTTACTTTGTATTTCTTCAAGACACTCAATTCAATTGTCTGGAAAGATTTTGAGCTGAAAAACCTTGCTCAGTGTCGAGGTCTATGACCTCTAGTGCCCTTAATCGCAAATACTGTGAAGACAAATTATTTTCCCACGAATATAAATTTTTTACACGTCCACTGCTCGGTTTCTTTGCTACTGAAACACTCTTGAGAAAACATTTTAAAATTCTCACAGCTGTTGATGGCTCAATCAAACTTGCTCATTAATTTTTCGAAAATTGATGTCCTCTTTCTCGCAAATATTTTACGCAGGCAAGGCGAGCAAAGGGGACTATCTCAATTTCGAAGATGGATGTTTACGGTGAAATTCGGTACCAGGGAGCCTCTATTTCATGTTCAAACCTCGTTTTCAAATAAATTTGAAAGTTTAATAATGATTTTGTAAATTAACTGATTTATATCCATTTCGATGTGCTGATTTCAAAAGACGATGTTTTATAGACAGAAAAGGCACCAGGAAGCTTCTATTCAATGATTAACCTCATTTTTATCAAAACTTGAACGTGGAACAAAAGTAAATTAAAGGCAACAGGATTTTGAAAGATAATTAGTAGAGAGTGCGGGAAAATAACCGACCCGAGCGAGGCTAGCCTAAAAAATCTAAGACATTTAGTTATTCCTGCTGCGTGCAGATTCAAGAAATTCATGGTCCGTTTTTCTCAAGATGTTTATCTGCTGGTCAAAAATACTTTTTATAAGATCTTTCACACTTAACAAACATCCTTTGAAACTGCTCTCGAAAGAAAAGGTTTTCCTGTTCCTAAAAAGGGGGAAAAGTTTGACCAAACCAACTATCGTCAAATTGCAGTCACTTTCTGTATTTCCAAAGCAATGAAGAACATAATCACCAAACCACTACTCACGTTTCTTGAAACCGACAAACTCCCTTCTGACCACAAGTATGGTGTTCACCAGGTGAAATCTATTGATGATCTTTGGCTTATGCTACTCATGTTTGGTCCTCTGCCAGTGGCGGATCCAGACTACCGCCAAAACCGCTCGAGCGGTAGTCAGATTATTCATAAAGTTATAAAAACAAGGATCATTTTCATGATTATCCTACTACTTTAATTAAACCATAGTTAAAAATTGAAAACATTTTATCGCGCTGCAAACCAAGCATTCCTTCCTAGAAACATGCCTGGAATTTCCACAGAGACAGAAATACTTTTTAATCCTTATCGCTATGGAAATTGCGTGCCACATGTTTGCAAATAAAAGGCTAGCATGGGGGAATGATGAGATCATGGCTTGCTAGCTAGGGGGGTTGAGTCGGTGTAGAGCTGATTCGAGGTGCACTGAGCGGTAGTCAGCCTGCCTAAACCAATCAAATCATCAGAAATCACAGCCAACCTGGGGGGATGCATACAAATTTTGTTGACAACCAATGAACAACCGAGTTGACTACCGCTCAGATAGGGGGTTGATTAGTACTGCCGCTCAACACGGCTCAAACGTTACAGAAAGATGGGGGGATGCCTACATATTCTGCAAGTGGGCAAACTGCAACCTCAAAGGATGTGTATTTTGTACAATACAAAAATATTGGTAGGAATATATTTTATAACAATATTTAGACTCAAATATTCTAAAATTTAAGAAGGCATCAGGATTAAAAGTCAGGCCCACAAAAGTGCGCCAAAAGTATGACTTTTAATAATAACAAAAAGTATTTGTTTAATAAAAGTTGCTCTCAATAATTGCAAATTTTATCGGGCTTTTAAACTTGTAATTTCCAACAGGTCTGATTTTCATAAGTAATTGTCCGACTAAATGCGAGTTTTAGGCGACACTTTTTCTAATTCTATGGTGTACCTCGGCTAAATGCCGTAAATTTTTTTAGAATATCCATCCTCAAAATAATGAATAAGATTATTTATTTCTTCTCAAGCTTGTTGTAAGGATACATGAGATTTCAGTAAAGCACCGCTTGTCTCTTGAAAATGGTCTGCTTAAGAAATTACATAGAGCAATAATCATTTTTGAAAACCGGGTGTGACCAGGAAATGGGTGTGGTCTGAAGGGTGTGGTCAACCCTCTATCTCATTTCGGCGGTAGTCAGATTTTCGGCTGGATCCTCCACTGCTCTGCCCTGGAATCAATTGGCGAGAGAACCTTTCTCGACATCTCTAAAGTCTTTGCTCGTGTCTGGCACAAAGTTCTTCTTCAAAACTCTCCATGCAAAGTCTGCATGAAGCTCTTAAAATTGGATGGGCAGATTTCTCTCTGACAGTGCCATAACCATTAGCGTTGACGGATTCCTTTCAAGTCCCCACTCAATCAATGCTGGTGATCCACAGGGTTCTTTCATATCTCCTGGTCTTTTCATCTTGACCATAAATGATCTTCTAACTTCAACCGCTACAAGTATTCATTATTTTGGTGATGATAGTTATTGAGATCTCCTTTCTCCTTTTGATTCTCGAAATAATTCTGTTATCATCAGCCCTCTCAAAGAAATATTTCAGCCTAACTTCTCACCGACAACATGGCAAAAATTAAGAAGGTGGGTAAAGTTAATTCGTTAGGTTTAATCGAACAAAAACTATACAAGTTGTCAGTTAACGCAATCGCAACCATGACTTTCCTTCCGATTTTGGCATTTCTACTTTTTTGTCATAAGTAGGTCTTTCTAGTTAAGAATACCTTTGAAAAATCCCGTCCTTTCTTGAAGTATTGCCCTCGTATTTGGGGTTGTGCTCTAAAGTCTTCTTTGTGCTTCTTTGACAAAGTCTGATCCAAAGCCATTCGACATCAACAACTGCAACCTCCCAAAGTCTCTTCAGCCTTTTTTCCTCAGCGCCTTGTCGCCATCTTCCAAATTGATGATATATTTTACCAGGGAATTTGCTTTCAGAAGATAACAAATGTGATCCTAGGTCCCTTGAGATGTGTACATAATACCAGATACTCTGCCAATGCACTCCCTTTCCAATTCTCTTTGCCATATTCATGAACACTGTCCCACAACTCATTTCCTCACTACATCTTATAAACTTTTGTACGCTCTGCCGTCTTTCTGCTTCCCAGACTCTTACACAGCGCCTCCGGCGAAGGGGGCGGCCGGAGGGCCATGGTTCCCCACTTTTTGGAAAACGATAGAGCTTTTTTCAAAAATCCTTTGTTGTGATTGTTAAATTATCCCTTGGCCACCACTACCCCCCCCCCCACTTTCCAACCTGCGTCGGAGCTCATGTTACAATCTGTCTGTCTTGAAAACCAAAAATAAACAGGCTTGATCTTTAGCAAACCCATTACTCCTTTTCCTTGCACTTTGCTATAGGCCTCCTGGCCTTTCCTAACACCATAAGCTAAGAAAAAAATTAGTGCTAGACTTTATTGAGGTAAGAGTTTGCTTGACAGTGGCGGAAAGAGCAGCAAAATAGTTGATGTGACATCATAAACATTGTCTCCAATTAAAAGTTTGTTTGACTTTATGCATTTCTGGTAAACAATGTTAGAGCGCATCGAATTCATGAGCAACTTTGGAATGCTCGGAACAGATGCTCAATCCAATCCTGCTGATTCTATCGAGATCTTCGAAAAGTTTGCGTGTTTTCTTTACGGTTTTCCCACTGTCACGAAGGTCAATGACGCCTGTTTGAAGAGTTTCTGGAAGATTTTTGAAAGTAAGGGGAAAGTTGTTGACCTTAATATAATACAACATGTTTTGCTTTCTTCTTTCGCACATGGCAAGATCAGAAATGCTGTTTACATATGCAGAAATGCTGGCCTGTTACAGTGGCGGATTTCAGGGGGGGGCAACTAGGGGCAGTTGCCCCTCCCTCGCCGATTTGAAGCAAGTCTGGCGCCCTTTTTTGGAAATTGTGCACCCCTTTCGAAGAATGAGAATCAAGTTTTTTGAGACTTGAAGATTAATTTAATTCAAGGATTATCTCAAAATAAACAACAATTATTGTGAAAATTTCCTTATAAAATGAATAGAGAGCCTTCTGTCAGTAGTAAGGGTCTGAAATTATTGTATACAGCGTACACTCGTCATCAATTTCTGAAAATTTTTCAGCGCCGCCACTACTTACTGCCCCTCCTTCAAATTTGCTCTGGATCAGGTTAACATTAACAGTCCGGTTAATCATGGTCGGGGTGCAGCCGGTAACGAGTTGTAGAGTAAAGACATATCCAGATAATGTTGCCAAGCTCCTTCTTAATCAATACGAACCGTATCTTTCTCTTCTTCACTGCCACAAGTAAAGTTGAAAAGGCCGTAAGATTCTTTATATGTTTCATATATTATCATTCTTAAAGTGCAGTATAACAAAATAATATCAGGCGTCTGTGTTCCCATGTTCCCATGTTCTCTCCCCAGTTTCCAACAAGGTCTTGTTAACGAAAAAGGCTGTAGAGATTATGTCAAAATTTCCCTTTGATCCCCGTTAAAGCACGAGATGATCTCTTGATAGAAAACGGCAAGTTCTCTTGTACCCTGTAATCCTTGGTAGGGCCTCAATAACCAACTTGCTTTATACTCTATTGAATCAACACTGTCAAATATTGAGTAAAAATATGTATCACCAATTTTATAAAAATCTTTTGTTGCCAAGTCCACCGCATCGAGCTGGAGCCACTAATATTAACTGATAAAACAAGAATAGAAAGAAGATATGAGGGAAAAAAAGTAGAACTGTCGATCTTCAGCATTTCATCAGGTGTCAAGGACTGATGAAGCATGAAAAACTCTCGCACATAGAGAATTAAAAACGTTTTCAATCTTAAGAAGTCTGTCCACCAAGCCTTGTAGTTTTGCATTCTCATTTACAATATCAACGATTGTCCAAATTACAGTAGATGAAGGAGGGGGTTCGTGGGAAGTGAGTTGGCCCCCTTAAAAAAGATCCCTTAAGGACCACCCTTCCCCCCCTCATTTGAGAACAATTTCTAGCGATGGCCCTGGAAAAAAGCATTCTATTAGAAGAAATAATTTATTTGGATATTCAAGTGATCTGCAAAGAAGAACCTGTTCAAATGTTGTGGCTGCTTTGGTTATTTTTAGATGGGGGCCTAATTCAAAAAATTCAGCCAGTCGGTTCCTATTCCACGAGCTTCATCGTTACTTGAATGAGCTGCAGAAGACAAAACTTGTGCACACATAATAATCTTCAAACTGCAATACCCTCCCCCCCCCTCATTTCGAGAAAACGTCCTCCTTCGAGTAAAACTTATTGATAAACCCTCCAAAATATCCAAAATTATTAAGCCCTAGGGGGCTAATTCGAGAATTACGGTGTGTGGACCGGATATCAGGGGTGGCCAGCGTTCTTCGCTAGGATATTCTAAGAATAAAGGTAAATCATAAAGCCAGCAGAATTTCGAAAGCAAAGAAGAAACAACTTTATAGGTATAGATTATTCCCACCTGTCACGTGACTATCTTATTGCCGCCATGATGAATCACAACCTAGTCTTGAATACACACAGCAACGCGTTATTCATACCATATGGATTTGGAAACGGACAGTTATCTTCGCCTATTTCGAAACAGTATGTATCAAGAAAAGTCTGCATATGTATCTAGCCAACTTGTTTGGTGTGTCTTCTTATCTTCAAGCCCAATCTCCAGTGAGAAAAAGTATTGCGAAATTTCGCTGCGAAATACTTCAATGAAGAAAGGTGTGGGATTGTTAAATGAATTTTTGGATACTGACCTGGGCAGAGGTCGCATGACTTTTTGCAATGTATTTGCATAAAAGTGAAATCCGGCAAGCGGCTTTTACAGAAACTCTTCCAATTAAGACAGGTTCTTGCATACATCTCTGAATCGTTGCATTCTTGGCTTTGGGCTTGTGATGAAAAATAACAATGAAGTCAATTAATTTCGACTAAACATGGGTTGCCAAAACCCCTTATTCCACCCCCAGTTACAACACTATTCACCTTTCGCCATTTATTTTGTTCAAGTAACAGTATTATTGTAATAAAAATCGTATTTTGCATGCTAGGACAGTCTCACGTGCTTTATGTTCGTTCATTTCATCGTTAGGTTATGCTAGGCAGTCGCATGTTAGACCTACATGTTTTCCGGTAACGCAAAATGTTCACTATTCTCATTTCTCATCATAGTTTCTCCACGTATCTTTGTACTATGATTTACGACAGTATTGTTAGTAGATTTGTATGGGTCATCGTATCGTAGGCACTTTATAAGGTGAAAAGACTTCGAAGACACATGGAAATTTATACTACAGCACTGCACAATTTACACAATTATCACAGGAAAATGTTTCGACGTTATAACGTCGTTTGAGCGTACTTATCAAGACGCAATGTTCTTTTTTGCTTGTGCAGGGCCGCAGCTAGGCGGGGCGGGCCCCCGAACATTCAAAAACGGGACCTCAATGTGCGTAAAAAAAATTTGGGATAAGCTTCGTTCTCGCCCCTGGAAACGTCATTTCTTTGAAATTGATATGGGCTTTATACGGCGCTCTGTAGCGTGGTAACGATGTTTGTGCGTGAATTGGGACCCCATTATGGCATATGCCCTCGGACCTGTCCTGCCAACCGGCGGTCCTGGCCGTGTTCACGCCAGACCAGATTCATTTCGCTTCTTATCCGCGCAAAAAGTGTTTAATAGTTTAAAATAGGAAGGAAATATGGAAACATATCATATAAAAGTAGTTTTAGTCCACCAATCGTCAGATATAATAATTTCCACTTCTGAGGTGTCGAACTTAGCTTCAATATCCAAATGCCCCGAAAAATGGATTGGCTATGGGTACTGTGGGGAATCCAATTCCGCGTTGGAATAAGTGTTTATTCCCTGTGACACACTGAATAGATTCACAACCAAAAGTGTGTCTCTTTCAACGCTATGATAAGGTACGATTTCCAGTTTAGTAGAGGCTCTTATGGTTATTCTCCAAAGAAATCAACAATGCGTCGTGTTTATGTATCCATCAAATTTCACATAATAGGTCCTCAACTAAAAACCGAAAATGCCTACAGCAAGCTACTCTACCCTTATATACTGTTCAACAAGAAAGTTCTAGGATATACTCGTACAATATCATGTGTGCAGGACTACAATCTGGAGTAAGCAAGTTACAGCATGTTACGTAAGGCTAACTCCAGAAGTTTCCACAATTATTTTAGTCAACTTGTCTAGCGTGTTCTACTTGTTAGCATCATTAAAAAATTACTTGAAAAGGTCCAGTTCACCACAGTAGCCCCTTAGGCCCAGCATTGATGAAAATTTTCATTGGCTTTCTGAAATGTATTTTAACCAAATTCAAAAACTCTCTTTTTGACCAAATTCAAAAACAAGCGGTCTATTTTTTATATGTAGATGACACTTTTGCTATTTTAAGCTCAGAGCAGGAGGGTGACTGTTTTTGTCAAAATCTTAATATGTTGCACCGAGCTCATTAATTCATCGCTGAAAAGGAGCAAAAGCACTCCTTGAGTTTTCTAGACGTTGCAAAAATAAGGACCTTGAGTTCCCAACAGTGTCTATAAAAAACCAACATTTTCTGGGCAATATATTCGTTGGAATTCCTTTGGTCCTAAAGAAAGGAAAATCGGCCTTATAAAAAATTCAAGTTCACAGAGGACTTAAGTTTAATTGCATTAAGAGCTTGAGAAAATCAAGGAAAATCTTTGGACAATAGCTACCCCAAAGATGTCATTTCAACCTTCTTTAGGTAAAAAGTCGTTTTTTTTCTCGGCAAGGAAAAAGTTTGATCCTGAACCCTGTATATTTAAAGATACCCTGGGTTGGCAACGTTTAAATTATATTTGAAAGTCAAATTAAAACGCCTATAGCCAATTTCATTTCACTGTGAAGCCTCGTGTGATATATAGTACTAAGGCCATGCTTCCATCCATTCAAGAGGATTGCGTTCCTACCGATCAAAAAGTTTAGTCGTTTATGAGTTTTCATGTCGATGTGAAGCTCGGTATGTAGGAGACAATTTGCGACGATTAGTCGATAGGCTAAAACAACATGTTCCGGTGAACATCAAACATAAAGCTAAATGCCCAAGTACCGTAAATTCTCTTTTTAGCCCCCCGAGGGCTTATTGTCTTTCAGCACTTTAAAGGGGGCTTATAAGAGAGGGGGGCTAAATTGGGAGAGGGGGCTTAATAAATATCTTGTAATAAAAAGCCATTGATAGTGGAAAAATTTTTTTGTTATTTGCAAGATAAAAAACATCAAATCAGCCTTCTATATCAATAATATTGTCATCATCATCGTCAACAATTATTCATTCTAGAGACATGGTGTGAATTTTGATTTGATGCGAAGAATTTAACGATCAAAAAATGAAATGAAAATCTCTGTTTTTTTTCATATTTACTTATTGCAGCATCAGTGAAAATTTGGGGGGGGGGGCTAAAGTGAGGGGGGAGCTAATTAAATTTTTCCTTCTCAAAATGGGGGCTAATAAGAGAGGGGCTTAATTTAGCGAGTGGCTAAAAAGAGAATTTACGGTAAATTGTGATTTGGCCATAAGTCAAAAATTCATTTAAGAATTCAGAGTGGGCCAAAACACATGGTGACGACAATCTTAAGATCATTGGGCAAGCAAAGTCGTCTTTTAATTCATGCGTTTTTGAATCGGGCTTCATCAAAGCAAAAAAATTTGTGTAGACTGAAAGAGATAAGCGGCTGTGATTGGTCAATACAACGAACCAATCAAACGCGCTATTCTTCTCTCGTGTTACTTTCGATCCTCATGTGAACATTTACTTTTAGGCATTATTCAAACTTTAAACTCTGACGATGACACATCTTAGTAAGACGTACTTTAGTGATATGCATGAACAAATAAAGCCTTTGGTGAAGTTTTAAAACTAGGTCTACATTTCACTTTATCTAGCACTTCAGATTACGTCAGGAAACCAAGTTTCAGTTAAACAACTTGAATAGTTACAAAGTTACAGTGCACGACCCAATATAGGACTGGGTACAAGAACCATAGTTTAAAAATTGCTTTTGTGAAATTTTTAAAGCCTTTTTGCATCCCATTTTATCCAGCACGTCAAATAACGCCAGAAAAAAGTTTCAGCTTTATAACTTGCAATGTTAAGAATGTTGTAGTGCTATACCAGAAAGAGGACTGGATACCAGTACCCCAGTCCAAAAATAGCTTTTCGGGGCTTTTTTGAAGCTTGATATGAACTTCATCTTATTCAGCATATCGGATTGTGTACCTGTACCAAACTTCATGCTATTATCAAAACATGCACAATTCTACTGCTATGCGTCTGCACTATCAGGAAACTCGAGAAAGCAAGTTGTTTGACAAAACGAAAAGTTTCTAAAGCCATAACTTTTTGCTTAGAAGTCAGATCACATTGCTCTTTTTAAATCTTTTGCTCAGTTTTGCATGTTCTTTCCGATAGTATCATCAGATTTGAAAAATTCGAAAGTTGAAATTTTGCTGACCGTGCATTTTTCATGTTTCCGGAAACGCAACTTCCGGTCATTTGCCAGAATGTTCCCAAGGCTTAAAATGATCAGTGGCCTTTACTCTTATGATTTAAACTTTAAAAACTTCGGTTATCCAGTTTGCTAGAATGTTATGCAAAATTCCCTGTCTATTAGGGATTTGAAAACTAATTTTTACAATTGGGCGTAATACTTTCGACCCTTTGCGATGAAATCATTGTGGAAATAACTCCGTTCTAAAATAACAGGGTGGATACTCGCCAATGCAACATAGTTCTTACCTCCAAAAGCTTGCCGGCCGAGAATAAGTAACAGCAAGAAAGGGAACATCAGGCAGGTTGCTTGCTGATTCCCAAGTCAGAAAGATTTGTAGATCGCTAAAAGGAACAATGAAAATTAGTGCTTAACAGTGGCGGTTATTAGGGGGGGGGCGACGGAGTGCGGTTGCCATTTGGCAATATCTGGTATTTTCTATTTTGTTATTTCCAACATTTATACTTCAGTCATTTGGGGCCTTGTTTCCAACAACACTCCTTTCCACAGAAAGCAAAGTAGAATCGATGAAAGTCATCACATCACATTTTGGGAATAGTTCAGACTAATTTGAGCCACACCATTTCCAACGAGCCACACTATTCACCATGTAACAGTCGGCAAATTTTACACTGTTGCCCCTCCTGAAATTTTATGAATAACCGCCACTGCTGTTTACTGGTCTGTCATAAAATGCTCGATTCCGTATAGACAGAGCTGTACACGCTATTTGGTGTATAAAACAGGGCAATTCTAAGCTGCTACCCCAAGTTTCACGTTCAATGCGAGCATCAGGCAACTGTTCAGCTCTGTCTAGAAGGAAATAGGTAATTTGCTGCATGAACGTAACATTAAAATAAAGAAGCGCATGAAATAGAATTGCAGACGATCCTCAGTCGTGAGCTGGTTGGACATGAGTGTGTTTGATATGCATGAATCATTTCTATAATATACATGCCCAGTTAAGACCACACCTACATTTTTGTCTTGCTTTTGGATTTCAATTCACCAATGACGGTAGCAGCAATGGCTTGAGGATCCATCTGGACCCTAAAACTATTATTTGTGGTTCCAATGGGGCCTACGCACTTGCAAACTATCAGATTTGCCTTCTTCTGCTTCATCTCCGGGGTTAGGGGGCTTTGAGGTATGGGGACATGCCATTATTTAGGAATACCTATTTTCTGAAAAAGGCGGAATTATGGGTACCATTTGAAGAGACATGCAGAATTATGGGCACCATATTGGAAGAATATTGCAAAAGTATTTGGGAAAATTTAGAATTAGCAAAGTGAATGTCCAGTAAGGAATGAAAGTATTTAGTATATGGGTAGTATTGAGATTTAGGGGCAAAGGAAATGGACAATTTGTTTGATGATTTTGTTGTAGCTTGAGAAAAGTCTATTGTCTTGTGGAATTATTGGCAAAAATTTCGTAATGTTTGCGGAATTGTGTCACATTTTTCAGACATTTGCGAGATTATGGGTTTAAATTTTAAACCAAAATGGCACGTCCCCGTCCAAAGCTAGGCTTAGTCTACCCCCCCCCCCCACCCGAGGCTTCCACAAACACTACAAATGCATAAGCTTTACCGTTCATCTATTTTGGGTTCCTTGATAAAGATCTAAGCAAGACCCTGTTTCATGGGACCAGTCAGTCAGACAGAAATTGGACTACGTTTATATAAGTCTCGATCCAGGAAACTTGCATTTTGAAACAATGATAAAATGTCTTAAATATGTTAGGTTCAAATTGATGTGTTCGCTAAGCTTGTTTGATTAAGAAAACACCAAATTTATAGCTGTGAGGACTGTATAATTGATTGAATTAAACCATCTTACATTATCTCACTCATAAGACTTCTACGAGTTTACTTTGTTACTTCAATTACATCACAAGCTACTTTTATCAAGAAAACATTACGTAATGTGAATAAACAATGGCAGACTCGTGATAAGATTATAGGAAGTTCTGCTTTGTTCTGCTAGGAGAGTATAGAAAGTTCACGAGAAAAGCAATAAAATGTAGTATTTTCAAACAGTAAACAATTTGCTTTTTGTTCCTTAATGCAGGACGTAATAAATTTTAAATCGTTCTTTTTGTGTTTTCGTTGCGAACTTAACAGTTGGGAAGTTTTTGTTGAGACAATAAGAACGATAGGTAGAGCAACTTCAAGAAGAGACATATCGGTTGTATATATTTCAAGCTATGATAACCAAACAGAACCATTTACAATTTACATGCTTTTTATCACGATTGCTTTAGGGATACACCCTGAAGATAGTGTCAGCGATTTTGATCCATCTTCTCTTAAGCGTAGCGATAGTTTGTCTAGAAAAAGTGCCAATTATTTGTGCGGTGCCTACATGCGCGGGACAAGTGACCTGGAACTAGACCAATCCAACAGACTCACCTGGATCTTGACTATTCGGTTACGATTATTTAACTTTTCCGCGTGAGTTACATTTTTCCACACCACTGGCCTACGCCAGGGAATGGCTGTCTCTTTACACTACGACCTTTCTTCGTGAGCTCACTTCGTGTAACTAACTATTGCTCATGCCATCAGATCTATTACGCCCATATGTGTGTTTTTGCTAATACCTTATATGGCATAATGACCTCTGCCTATAACCTACCTATCACGAGGCTAACCCGTGACCTTGCAAAGATTGCATGCTTCCTTTTGCTCCTTCTCTTCGTATCACCTTTCATTGTCTACGTATCCACAGTAACGTGATCAACAACACTTTTGTAGCGTCCCTTTGCTTAATACGTATACACCTACTAAATAAATCAAGACGCAACGGTCACGCAACTTCCTCTCTTGCTAGCTCCGTGTTTTCTGCCCGTTAAACTAGATCATAAAGACGACAGCACATTCAACAAAAACTTTAACCTTCCTTGACCCGGGTTTTGCTTTTCGAGGCAATCATCCAATCTTAACACTCCTTCATTCAGCGGTGTAACGTTACAAAAATTGTAATGGGGGCAAAATTTTGCAAAAACACCAAAAAAAATAGCAAATAGTTATCAACAAAAACATCACAAAAAGTAGCAAATAGTTATAAACAAGCTTTGATCCTCATTCTGATCCTGACATGTGCAGTTTTCGGATCTGTATAAGATAACTAAACAGCATACTACAAATAATGCAGAAGGTTATTCCAAAAAATATGTCCGAATTTAAGGTACTACTACAATCAGGGCCTCAGTTTCTTGCTGTAGCACGCAGTTTTTGATTCCATATAAGATAGCTACATTTTAAAATGAAAATTTTACAGAAAATAAAAGATTTTAGAGTCCGTTTACACAATTTCAGTACCGGCATGAAATAATTCTAGTTTGAGAAGACTCATACATGAAATGACACCAACATGACATGACACCGACATGTAATGTACCAAAAGTATTTAAACAATAGGAAATCAAAACAAATGTTGGAATTAAGCACGCAAAACGGCCTGGAAACACAAAATCATGGCAATTTTGGCAATGCAAAAATCTATGCAAGCATTTAAACATAAACCAAAACGAATGATGGAATTTAGTATGCAAAATGATCGGGTACACAAAGGTATCACACTTCTGTTTTTGCAAAAAGGTACCAAAGCAATGAAATGATATAAAAACCAAACCATTAATTGCATGGTGTCGCAGAACTGATTTTGACCTTGTTAACCCAGCGTGTAACCATTCGATACCCAGTGAATGTTTTCAAGCAGTTGGTTTATTTGTGAGAAAGTTTTAGCGAACATTAAATTTAATTATTTGTGAAAACGAACATTAAATTTATAGGGTTAACTCTATTTACAAATTGTTAGCGATGCATGAACATTACATTTGTCTTAAATCAAATCTCTTGCACCCCATGTATCCCGTTGCAATTATTAACTGGCAGGATATTTGCAGAATGATAAAAAATTGCTTCAACCATCGCGAAAAGAATTCAAGCCAGATAGATGTGGTTGATTCATGATAGAGTTACCTTTCAAACTGCTTTTGCTCAGTGACTGCTTGCTTGAGGCTTTTGGCGAGTTTATAAGAACTAAACATGAAAAATGTGGGTCTATGACCGGAAGTAAAGCATTGAAGCTTCCTTTACTTGGCAGTTTGCTTGGCAATTTGAGCTCCATTTTCTGTCTGGCTGTCAGAAATATCACTTTTTAAAATGGTGTCAGTTAACGGTTCGCTCCAGAAGTGGCCTTCGAAGCTAGACCAGTAAAGCCCAGGATTTAAAGCTCGATAATCTCAGGACTGTGTCACTGTAACAGAGTTTATCAGTTCAGAGTCCCCAGTTTCTCTGAGTAGACATAAAAAAGTTGTAACAAGCGCAGAACCAAGTGAATCTTGTTAAGTAGACTCACATGATAAACAATCACATGATATACATCAGTTGATTGACCATCTTGATATTCGTAACGACCGCTAAGCTTAGCTATGTTATTTTTAGTGTAAACGCTTCGACGTATATATTTTGATTGCTAAACACACCGTCTCCTCTTTAAAGGCAGATTTCCATTTGACATTTTTTGTGCGCGCGGGCGTAGCGTACGTAGCATACGTAGTTAAGTGGCCGAGCGCACAAAAAAGTTGAGACCCTATCAACTTTCTGGCGCTCACAGCGGACGCAAAATCGAGACCACTTGATTTTAACTACGCATGTTCAGAAATGGGCGCTACACCTGCGCGCACAAAAAATGTTAAATGGAAATCGGCCTTTACTCCTCAACAGAATGGTGCCGTGACCAAGATCCGTATTGTTAGGGTGCGAAGGTCGAACTCTATATCAAGTGCCAGTTCACGTAGGTATTAGAGTGAAAATCGTTTTTATTGACTTTTATGCTATTTTAACTATTGTTCTGTTCTAGCTTCTAATTAGCTGCATTCATGTTCTGTTAGCACGTGGCTGCAGTTTCCCAGAGATTAAAAGTCGAAGCGTGTCTCCACTACATATAAGCAATTTAAACATAAATTAACTAATTGTTAATATAAACATAAACACTAACAATAAGAATAAGAATTATGTAGAAAATACAACTAGAAATAATTATGTGCTAAATTAAAGTAAAAAATTACAAGTGATAGATGGAAACAAACGAAGTAACAAAGTATAAGGGAATATTGTTTGCAAGAAATATCCTAGGAAAAGGAGCTCTCTAAATAGGTAAACTTATCGAGGAGAGAGCACCCCCTTTGCTAAAATCAAGATTATGGAATCAGATTAACTATGAATAAAGCTTCTATAGATAGAACAATATCAAATTTAGGTATGACTGTGCTAATGCTGGATGGATGTTTGAAGTGAAGACGGGTAGTTGGGAGTGAAGACGTTTGCTGGATATTTGAAGTTCTAGGACGATCTGTAGCTGCTCTGAGAGCTTTGACGCATTCGTCACAAAATGCCTAACTCGAAACTAGATAGGTTGACGCAGAAGAGGAGGCAGATCCACCGTTCGTTCGCAATGATCTACAGCAAAGCTTTGACGCTTTTCGGCGTACCGCGATTAAAAGAAGAGGAGATTCGCTCCTTAAAATCCTCACTTAAAAAGTTCAGAAGTCCAAATATTATGCTTGTCACTCCGATGCTCAACGCAAGGGCGCCGGAGCCACGAGGGCAGCACAGGGGTAGCACTGGGGCAGCACGTGGCCAGCACGGGGGTAACAAAGTGCCCTTTCAAGAAATTGATTTCCGAACAATATTAATTCATATAAATATTTTGTATGCTAGTAAAATCTAGGTTTCAACTATCTCTTGATACCTACATTTAAGACGAAAGTCAATACTTTCCAATTTGATGAGAACTGGAAACCGATTTGCAAAGCAACTAGACCAACAAAAATATTTTCGTTGATAAGTCCTCTTAAACTTTCATGATCATGAACAGATTTCAGAGTGCTAACAACCTTGGCTCGCATATGTTTGATATATCAGTCAAGGCATCAATAATGACATATAGCACCTAAGCAATTCAAGCAAAGGCGAAGGAACCAAGGGGAACAGTAGGTACATATCCCCCTTTTTCCAAAATTCAGTTTACCTGCCCCATTGCAGCTCACCAAGCTGCTGTTTTTGCCAACTGTATAATCGAAAAGTGCTCTTGAATTGCTTAGGTGCTATAAGAAATGAGCAAAGGGGTGACCTTTTGGGACAATGTTTATTTTCGATCTGCTTTTAGAACACCAAAAAACACGCTCATAACAAGGGTTTCCGAAAACTGATGGTGATGGGAAATTGGCCATGGTCCTTGAGATTTAGGGCGCTCCCAAGGTTTCCAGTTTGTGAACGCAATTAGTAAGACATAACAAAACTGTGCAACTCTTTGAACGATTGCAAGAAGGTGACTCCAAAAAAATTCTGAAATGAATTTTTAGATAATCGAAGGGGCATGATCGCCAAAATTTTTCTGCTCGCTTCGCTCGCAAAGGGCTCCTCTTTCAATTCTGCGGCAAGGCCACTGAAACATCTCGGCGACACTACCCATAGCTAAGCCAGAAAATTATATCTATATCATTGTAGCCAGGCTTTATGTAACAGCCTTTTTAACAATAGTATAATGATATGACTTTTTCTGCTCTCAAGATATTTGTCAAACAGTTTGAGCCAAATATGAAGTTTAGTTCAAACGAATAAGTATTCCCCAACTTTACAAAAATTAAAGAACAAATTCAGGAATTTCATTGTTCAATACTTGTGATCTTTACAAGATATACATATGCAACATCAGGCATATTTGATTAAATTATATTTAGAGTTGGTAATTTGAATTAGTTGGCTTTATTTAGCTTGAATATAGCAGCAGATTGTACCAACATTGAGAAAAAAGCAATAAGTTTAGAGAAGTTATATCTAAAAGTTATATCAAGCCATGCAGTTGGTCATCAGAATAAAATTGTGTTTTAATGTAAAGCTAGATTGGGTCCAGCCTCTCTTGATGGTTGATGTTGGGGTGAAAGAAATTTTAGAATGACGTTTGACTGTAGTGTTGATTCAAAGTATTTTCTTATGAGTGGTGCCTTTTATGAGTTTTTATGAGTGTTCATTTGTAACGTTTAGGGTTCGATAGCGAGGATAAGAAAAACGACAAACGTTCCCTTAGAAGCTCAGCGATCAACTAAATCAAATATACTATTCGTGACAATTATGCGTTAGATTCATATGTAGGCGGGACATATAATATGTCTAGTACAGCTTAAAGCAATATAAAAAGTCTGCACGTAACACATTTCCGAGTGTCTTTAGGGCGTAGCAACGCAAAGTTTGTCTAGGGCCTACGCCCCCAGAGCACCCGACCCGGTCTCCCTTAACAGGGCCTTCACCTACAACCAGGCTTCGCCACTGGCTAAACTACGGTTCACGATCTGTTTTATCAGCAAACTTTGACACCTCAAGGTGCCCTTTCTGCCAGTCCTGCCCCCGCTGCATCACGAAGCTTCTGGCGCCTCTGGCTTAACGTATCCCAGACTTTCCTTCTGTTTTCATGTAAAGCACTGACTTAGATACTTCCTTTTTACAGCTTATTAATACCGCTTCACCAGTAATCTGGCGATCTGCCTGCCCCGCCTGCCCACATCTCGGTAGACTTGGTCTGAAAAGGTTGGGCTTCTATCCTGTGTACTTGGGCTCCTCTTGCATGGGTCCCTATCTTGGGTGCTGTGGTTCCTCTCCAGGATCTCTCCAAGCTCTTGCGCATCCGCACTGTGTTGTTGACCTATGCTTCTTTTAAAGATTCTTTCATGCCATGAAAAAACTGTGATGTTATATATCGCTGTGAAAATAATAATTATTAAGAAATAATCCCTGCAAGATTTAAATGAGCCATATACCTTGGTTGAGATGAACTAAAAACTTTTGGTACCCCATCAGGATTTGGTGAACAAAATTTGATTACCCCAATTAAAACAAGGCTAAAAATTTCATTTCCCTCCAAATATCCTTCCACCCTGGTACATAAAATTAAAAATGACAACTCCCTTAATTTTTATACTTTATAGAAGCTTATTCTTCGCCCAAAAATGGTTTTGAAAAATTTACAATACAAAAAGAAACACCTCGTGAGGGAACTAAGCCTTGACAATAAGCAGAGTACCAAAATCCATTCCTCAAACTCAAAGTGTTTGCATTGAGTTTTTGTGACATTCACGACCTGAAATTTAGAATGAAATTTTAAGCTTCTGAGAAGCCAATCCACTGGCAACAATGTAATTTATCCTGTCTGATCCATCTCGTTTCCAGAAAGTTTTGGGTATGCTTCCATATCTCTTCGTTGATTGGCCCATTCATTTGATTACTGGAATGTGATTGGCCAAATCATAAAGTCATACAGAAACACCCTTCCGCCAATATATGATGAGGCGTTTGAACACCTAGCAGTTGTGTTTAGGTTTTTTGTTTGTAAACTGCAAACTGTGATGTGAAATGGCTACCACTACTGCGGTGACAGATTTCAAGGTTGAGGCAACCAAAGTAAAATGGGATCCAAAGTCAGTGGAGATCCGAACAAGGAGTGTCGAAAAGACGCTAGAGCCTTTAGTTCATCAGGTAAGTGGCCTAGGCCATTTTCTTCGAGAACAAACTAGCGATGTGAAACCAGTTTCTTACAATTCCTCAGTTAAAAATTAGGACGTAAATAAAGATTTCCACAATCTTTCTGCAATTGATTTATAACGTTATGGTAAGTCTTTCTCTTGCCAATCCCTTCTGATTTGTTGTCAAGTATGACTCATGCGCGTGTCCTTGAAAGATAATATTGTTGTTCTGATTCTTTGAAGGATCACTTTTACACTGAGACCCTTCCCAAAGCTTAAAGTTTGCTCTGTCGATTTTTGCGATTGGAAATTCATATTTTAATTACATCTTCATTATTTTTTCAAAGTAAAGGTATTTTATAGTTCATTATTTGGAAGCCGATCGTAACGTTTTATTTCATTGCCCTGAGATTAAATTATCAACATTATTTTTAGACAAATATCACAAATGTTTATTTTTTCGCAATTTGTTCAGCATATTGAAAGTTTATCGAAAAAGAGCAATGCGCTTAAAACTTCATGTTTTCTCAATCAGAATGACTCATAGTAAAAGATATGTCACCACATCTTCAGAACTTTACTTGTTTTTGTTGGAAGATTTTATTTTCAGAACATTTAGCCGGAAAAATAAGAATTTTCTTATTTGCTGAGCGTGACCGTGACCGTGAATTTCGAAAAGCAATGAGTCCCTTTTCTAATAAGGCACTTCATATTTGCATCCAAAAACCAAAATCCTATTGCAAGCATTCCAAACTTTTCTCAGATATTTCTTTTGTAATTTCTGTCAATATAGTGGTTAATCAAAGGATTTTGTTATTAAATTATTCCATTGACAATTGTTTCTATGCCATATTTGTGTTCCAGTTGCAAGAGTAATAATGCTCAACCCAGAATCCATTTTTGCTAAATAAGAGGATGATATTCCATAGAAAGATATACAGGAACAAAGCAATATGACGACGAGAATCCAATGTCACGAGATAAATTTTTCAAAATAAATTAAATTTAAAGAATATACTAATATTTCCCCCCGGCATACAGGGCTTCATCACTTCATAACAACACACATTGCAAGATTCACAGAATCCGGCGGACAGCCTATCCTGCAGTTCTTCCTTCTCACACATGATATTTCATAGGATGTCACTAAATTACAAGTTATGATACTTCTGCTCTTTGAAATATGCCAGTAATTCGCAGACCCAGTAACATCATTCAATGAGATTTTTTCTTCAATGTGTAATTCACTACCAATGAGAAATCAGTCTATCTTGAAAGAGGCCTATTATAGATTTGCACCTTCATGACCTTGACCCTATTTACCTATACTGCCTACAAATTTGGCAATTGGTTTTTTGCCAATTGCATCTTCAGTAAAGATGCAGCTTGCATCTTTCAGTTTTTATTGGTAATGGTTTATGGCTTTTAGGATGTAGTTGCATTTCTACAAAAATATGAAATCAGTAAGATGTTGACTAAAGGTTCAGTGGTTTTGACCAACTGAGATGAGATGAGCTTGTTCTGTGAAAGTGAGATGAGAACCATTGAATTTTTCCAGAGTTACTTCTATCAATGTTTCTCTTTCCTTATAAGTTTAATTGGTTTTTATAGTGCACATAATTTTGGCACCTTTGATTAATTTAATTCTAGAAACAAGATTTGCTGCTCTATGAGGTCCCCTACACTTTGAGGTCCTTAGGCAATTTTCCGCTTTGCCCCATTTTAAAAACCCTGGTTTTGACTCAGTGTGGGTTCTGGGAACATCAGAGAATAATATGGATCAATAAGCTTCAAAACCTTTACCTTGGCTCATTCTTACTCGTAGTGAATAAAAGAAGTTAGACTTGTACCTCGCCATCTACTATCTTGTGTCTTTTTTGTAGCATGAGTTTGAAAGCCATTCTGAGCATTTATTTACAAGGTGCTGGTCTGTGGTGTTTTATTGATGCATGAAATCCTAGCAAAACTAGTAACTAAGCTTTATGTTATCCTGCAACTGATAGGTTACATCACTGGTAAACCACCAAAGAAAGTCAAAAACAGGAAAATCAAAGAAAGCCACCCAGTTGGCCAAAGAGATTGATGAAGCCACTGAAAGGCTTGTTATCGTGGGTGAGAGCATTGCAAAAGACTTCCCTGAAATTAAAGAGCCAATGCTAGAAGCATGCAAAGAAGCAAGATCTGCTGGTAACTTTCATGATTTTTACTTTGCTTTGATTCTGATTTGCTTTGTTTCATGATTTTTACTTTGCTTTGCTATAATCATTGTTCTTGTCAATGTTTTTGTTTAAAATGATATTTTCAGTATATTTCCTATTAGAAAATACAATAACCTATATCTTTTACCCTCACATAATTTCCATCTTTCTACAATTTATTTCTCAAAATCCAACAAAAGTTAATCCTGTCCATATATATACATCAAATTACATATGAGCGATCCTTTATATGATATCTATGTCTTTTATATTTATTCTTAACTTTATTCTTCATTGTATGTATATATAAACATTTTCCACAACAGATTGAAAGCAGGACTGTAGGAAATTACTTAAAAATTGATGTTGGCTCCCACTTCAGACTCTGCTTGATGTTTGTTTTAATTTTGTCATTGATTTTGTTACTGTTTATTTATTTGCAATCTAAAGGAGATACAATGAGGGCAGCCTCAAATGATTTTGCTGCTGATCCATGTTCATCTGGAAAAAGAAGTGTAATGATAAGAGCTGCCAGAGCACTTCTTGCAGCAGTCACAAGGTTGCTATGTGTTGCAGACATGGCTGATATTTACAGGCTTCTTGCCACTTTGAAAATGGTGAGATCATCTTTCAGGCATTTGTATAACTTTTCAAGTAACAACATAAATGTAAGAGCTTGATTGTGAACTTATGACCTGCCATTTTAAGATGTTTTTACAGTAAGTCACACTTTCAAAAGATGTTTGCATGTCCTTCTTTTGCAGTTTTTTACCTTTGGTTTGTTATTTGCCTTTTTTATAAGATATATATCGTTAAACTGAATCAGTTATTTAGCAAAATTAAGCCTTCTAGTTTAAGTAGACCTTCTAGTTCAGATAAAATTTTTCAAAATATTTCTGCTGAACCTTATAGTGAAGTATAATTTGAGGCATTTACATGGCCAGGTTGAAAAAAGATTGAAAGAGCTTGATGGTGCAGAAAATACAGATGAGTTGTTGAAAAGCTTCAAGAATTATGGAGATGATTTGATGAAACTTGCAAAATTGTCTGGAATTAGACAAGCTGTATGTATATCATCTTAGCTAGTTTTCAGATCTATTTTCCTTTTGTTCGGTTTTTTGGGTTCTTTTTATATTGAAGTTTTTCATCCCCATAAAAAAGCAGAAGCTGAGTGTTGTACTGACTTAATGTGAAATACTTGATTAATTCTGAAAATCTATGGAAATTGTCAGAAGTCTCAATTATCAATTTTATGTTATTTGCTGTATAGAACAGGATGTTTCTATGTTGCTACTTTGAGTATCACACCTAATGTTGCATCAAGTGTGAAACTAGGAGTAGCAACTTGAAACCGCCCTGTTCTATACACCAAAATGCTTGTACAGCTCTGCCGACAGCTTTGAACACTTTTTGACAGATCAGTAAACAGTAATTTTTATTATTATTTATTTTATACCAGGGATGATCCTTTTGCTACTTAGTTCAAATTTATAATCATTTATAAATGCTCTATATGTATAAATAGTATATTAGCAATTATTATATACAGGATTTGAAAGATCCAAGAAAGAAAGATGAAATGGCTGCTGCCAGAGCAACTTTGAAGAAGTCAAGCCGAATGTTACTCACCACATCAAAGGTTTTGACATTATGAATTTTATGCTGTGTCTTAAACTAAGAAAAATGAAAATTTTATTTTATCCTGCCAAGTTCACCTATTCCGATGAAGAAGGGCCTTTTTTCCTTTGAGAATCAGACAGTTAATTTCTAAGTTTTATCTAGAAAAGCTCTTTTTGGCCAAATGATGTGCAACTGAATTCAGAAATATTTTTCAGCCCTATCTTGGTAACATTTCAAGTGACAATTGCACATCTCAAGGAATTACTTAAAAACATAAGCAACACCCACAGCCAACCTGATTTGTCTTGCCTCAGCACTTACCTTAGTCTCACACATCTTTGCACCTTTCTTTGCAATACATCGCTATCAAGAAATCTACCACCATATTATTTATATGTACATTCCAACAGGCATTTGTTCGACATCCAGAGGTGGCATCGGCAAAACACAACCGTGATTTTGTCATGAAGCAGATCAGTGATGCTGTAAAGGCAATATCAGGAGTTGCTCAAGCTGTAGGTGAAAGTACACCATCACCTTTTGAACAAGCTGGTGCCTTGGCTAAAGCCCTTACAGACTTGCTGGTAAGTCTAGTCGAAAGAGTCCCTTGACTTAATTCATCGTATTGTACTTTTTTTATATGTAGGTAAATTTAAGCCTGAATCGCTGGAAAATTCGAATGAGAACTACTACTGGCTAATATTTGAGTATTTGTTGCTGTTGCGCTGAAAAGTTGATGAAAGTAACAAAAAAGGAACATATAGAGAATATGGGAAGACTTTTTCTTCAGTTGTGACATTGGCACCTAAGTTGGAAAATAATTCTGAAGATTGAGCATGTTTTCTTTTAGGTTTTTTGTAATGGTACATATGGAGTACTTAGATGTATTTATTTTCAGCTTTGGGTAATTAATTGGGGTTTATCACAAAGAAGCGTATGTTGGATTTTTGGGGTTTCATAAAATATTTACTAAAATAGATTTAAAGAGACCACTGAGCAATATAAAAATTGTTTTTGTATTACTGTGACATGGAAATTTACCGTTTGAAGCATTGCGTCAGAAGAAAAAAATTGGCTACCTTTTCCGTCATAAAAGAAATTCACAAGTACAGAATCATCTTGTTAGAAATCGATTTGTGGGCCTTTGACCTACTGATGGCAACATCGAGTACTGGCATATCAAATTTAGTTATGAGATTCCGATTGAAATCACTTTCAACGAAATAAATTAAACAATAACAATGTCTTTGCTATAACCCAATCAGAGAGTTCTATTGTGAAGGGGGTGTCCATCAGGGCGTGTAAGCATTCCCAACCGTGCTTTTGTCTCTCTAGCCGCTGTCTTTAATTACTAGAAATACAGTTAAGCCACGACAAACCTGTTGCAGTGAACGTTTCTTGACGTTTCATAGCTACTATCTTAACAAGAGCTAAAACAAAAGGACGTTTTGATGTGCAGGCGCTGCTATAAATGTCATTAAAAATATTTAAGTACTGTTTTGTAGCCTCCAATTTTCTTCCATTAGGCAATGATTAACAGAAAGCCGGCTGATTTCAAAGAAAAGACAACACGCGTGGAGCTAGAGAAACAATTGGATGAACTTCTGGCTGCCGCAGCCCGATTGGCAGACTCTTCTTGCACACGTGACAATACACGTGACAGGTTGATTGCTGAGTGCAACAATGTCAAACAAGCTCTACAGAATCTCATGGACGAGTATATGAAACATGTCAGTTCTTATCAAATTTTTCATATTACTAATCTGTTGCCAATAGGATAAAAAGTTTTCAAGTAAAATTATAGGCAAACTTTTAAAATTCTAGAGAGGATTTTTTTATATTCATTGTATTATCATTTTGGAAAAGGACATCTTATTCACAGGAACAACTAAGTATGCATAATGCAAGGCTTTCTTTTGCCTTACACGAATATTGTAAGTTCGAGGTAGGAAAAAAGAGAACAAAACAAGTACAAGAAGAAATAATGCAAGACTAGTCATAAATTCAATGAAATTTGTATTTTATGTAATGTAATGAAACTTGTTTTGATCGAAAATATTTCGATTCAAATTTTTTGTTGTTCTTAAACAGGCCAAAGGAAAGCCCAATGACGTACCAGGTGCAAAAAATCAGTTGGAAAAGAAGGCAAGGGTTCTTGGAAAACAGGTTAGAGGAAGATTTCCATTTTTGATCTCGTGTGAATCTTTTAGCGAAAACACCTTTCTTTATTTTAACATGAGTGCAGCGAATCAGTTATTTCAAAGTTTACTACAATGTAAATTTTAAGCTCTGCTAAATATTGTTTGCTTGCGCGAAGAAAACCTCTGTCAATTTACATTTATTTGTGTATTTGTTGATAATATCTGGACTCGTTCATTCAAGGACCATGTAGCATATTAGGAACTTAGGGGCTGAATCTTGATTTTGGGGGGCTAATCTTGCTAAAACCAAGGCAAAAGCGATTTTCAAAATTATTTGGGGGGGGGCTACTCAGCCCCTAATTTCCGTGATTCCTGTGCCTAACACCATATTGTCAACATCATGATTGTAATATGGGACGTAAGCTGAATAGATTATGACATAACTAGCAAAAATGCTTTGTGAGGGTCTGCTATTTCTTCGTCTTTCCATGCCATTTGCAAGAGACAGCCTGTTGAAAAAATTGCCACTCGTACTGCTTATCTGCTGTTTGATATGTAGTGTGTATACATAAGGAAATATGTAGCAAGTCTCTGGTTTATTTAGATCATATAAGTTTTTGCGAAAAAAAGGAACCTTGCAAGTTACTTGTAGAATGTACAACTTCACCATATTTTCTTTAAAAAAGAATTGAATATGTTCTTAACATCTCTTTAACTAGTTTTCAATATTTCTTAGCTGCGGAAAGCGATTATAGATCATGTGTCAGACTCGTTCTTGGAAACCAATGTTCCATTGATGCTTTTGATCGAGGCTGCCGAAGCTGGAAATGAAAAAGAGGTTAATGAATGTGCTGTTGTCTTCACTGAACATGCTGCCAAGCTTGAGGAGGTAAATATTACATGTTTTTCTTGTTTAGTATCGCGTGTTTAGCAATCTGATTCTATTTCCAAAAGATGTAATGTATTTCTCGATGGTACAGCAGCTGATGATTGAATTTTTCTGATATTCTATAACTTTTTCGCATTGTACAGGTGGCCAATCTTGCTTGCTCAATGTCGGATAATGTTGAAGGTGTAAAGATGGTGCGCATTGCTGCCAATCAGCTTCACTCATTGTGTCCACAGGTAAGCCACGGATCTTAAGTTTTGGGTGCCAGGGACAAAGCCCCTCTCTTGCTTATGGCTATCAGTTGCTTAATTACTAGATAATACTGTTTGTAAAGTAAGAGCGCAAGATGCTTTAGTAAGTAAGATCTACAAGGATTCCATAAATATACTAAAATGCGTGCGGTACAATATGATGAATTTAAATAACGATCAATGTAAGTAAATTGTACCAGGAAAATTTTTTTTGAAATAATTAACGACATTTCGAGCAAACCCGTTATCAAGTGAGTTAGAAAAGCGACTATAGAACTAAAAAATGTTACGGGCTATGCTCGAAACGTCGTTAATTATTTTAAAAAAATTTTTCCTGGTACAATTTACTTACATTGATCGTTTTTTAAGATCTACAAGGTTCTCTATGACAGTGTTTGGCACTTTTTAAGGGTTAAGAATGAATTTTCTTAAGCAATAAATAGATTTCCCTTTCACGTAATCCATTATGTTATGTACCAAAGGTTTCGATCCTCCTCACAGTTTCTGCCTTTAATGATATTGATACACGGAATAAAAATGACGTCATGATTGTTTACAATTCACCAGGTAATAAACGCCGCCCGCACGCTAGCAGCTAGGCCTAGAAGTAAAGTTGCTAAGGAAAACATGGATGTGTTCAGAGATGCTTGGATCAATCAAGTGAAAGTGCTTACTGAAGCTGTTGATGACATTACAACAATAGACGATTTCCTCGCCGTCTCAGGTAATCTGAAGTTGCTTGGATTTTTCTTTAAAGCTTTTTGGACAGGCCGACGCACGGTCGTAGTGTCTCAGCCAAAAAAATCATTTAATAAGGAAATGTACGATTGAATCACGTTAAGTCGTACCCCGGATAAGTCGAAATTTAAATAAATCGGACAGACTTTCAGTTCCCATTAGATTTTCCTACCCTATTCTTGTCAAAAGTCGTACCCCGGATTAGTCAGACCTTTGCTAGGTCAGACCATTTCCTTAACCCCTTGAAAGTCTGACTTAACAAGATTCGACTGTATTTGTGACGTGAACAAACTGTGAGACAATAACAATTCTTACAATTTTCCTGTTCACAAATTTTCAGCATGTTGTCTACACGCAGCTGTCGTCCTAATACCCAGTTTTTGTTATTTCTTCCATGAACTATCATTTTTTCAGAGGCTCACATCCTTGAGGACGTGAATAAATGCATTGAGGCTTTGCAGCAAGGAGATCCAGAGACCCTCGACAGAACGGCAGGCGCCGTACGGGGACGCGTTGCTCGTGTTGACAACGTCGTTTCTGCGGAAATGGAGAACTATGAAGCTGGGCCGTACACGGAAACCGTCCAAAGAGCTGTTCACATAATGAGGGAAAGCAGTAAGTATTGCTAGAGAACATGGTACTTGCACGAAGTTTCTTACGTTCGAACAATTACATATGCTACAAAGTTTCCTGGAAGCCAGACTCATTGGTCATTCGCATCTTTTTTGTTGGATTCCGTCACTCATGGTCGATCATAGACATTCGTTCGACATCGATAGTAGGTCTTTAATTTAAAGCGCGAATATACCATCTCAATATCACCATATCTTAAATTTTGTTCACAAAGTTTGTTCCATAGCGTACGCAAAATAACAACAAATTAATCCTTTTAGTTATGCCGCAGTTTGCTGAATATGTTGACACTGCAGTTGATGCACTTAACCAAGACCCAAATGCTGAATTTGATGAAAATGCTTTCATTGACGCATCAAGACTGGTAAAAGACTTTCTTGATATATATTTAATTCAGCACTTGTTTTGTGTGTGTTCCTTATTCATTAAATGAGGAAGTTTCAGTTTCCAAAAAGACTTGTAATTGACCCACAGTTTTCTTAAAGTCATTAGTCGAATATATTAAACTGAACCGCTATACTAATGATGGAGCTTTTCCTTGTGGTATATATTTTCTAAGAATGATAGTATACAATAACATTCTATCTATATTATATGCAAGAGAAATATTTCCTTATATTGTTTGTAGCCTTCACAGTTGCTCTTTCAACACCCATTATCTTTAACCGCCCCCTCCCTCCTTACGACTCCCTTTTGGAGTGATAAAACTCCATTAACGTCATCAGCTTTAAATAGAAAATTTAGCATATTCTCTTTTGGTTGCTGTAGTTAAACAGTATCTTTATTATGATTACGGTAACATAATATCTTTCTCTATTCATTTCCATCCCAGGGCCCAAGCCGCGAACTTGAAAGTGGGGGGGGGGGCAAGGCTTATGAAAGTGGAGGCCAAGACTAGCAAAAGTGAAGACCAAGGCTTCTTTCACCTTTGTTTATAGCTTTGAAATTACCTGCTTTTTAAAAAGGCGGGGGGCCATGGCCACCCCGGCCTTCCTGTGGGTGGGCCCTACATCCATAGGAAGTTAAATCTCCAGCTATAATATTGAGTTTTGTGTCCAGTTGTCAAGTATTTGTTCTCTTTACTCTCTTTTCCCTCTAGATATACGAAGGCATTAGAGACATACGACGTGCTGTTATGATGAAAAAGGTAGCAGTTATGTTTCTTATCCACATAATCGCAATCATATACTGATGCTGTCAAACGTTCTTCGATTGGTATCCTTCTAAGTCTTTGTTCAACACTTCTTAATTGGTGTGGTATTTAAACGGATACTGTCACCTTTGTCTATAGTTTACGGAGTCATGCATTATCAGGTTTGAAGTTTGATGAGGGAAACAGATAAATGCACGAGTCATTTGCTAGTCTTATTATCCGGATCTTGCAATTTTGAAATATCCAATAGCAATTTTCTTTGCTTTACATTCATCTGTTTATAAGTTTGACTCTATAATTAATTTTGACACTATAGTTCCTCAGTTAGTGATTTTCCAAAGACCAGGCCCTCATGATTTCATCACAAACAGCATACATTAACTCTCTGTATGTTTCACTTCCTTTAGCTTTATCATGTAGCTTTTTTAAGCTCTTTTTTGCATTTCTTTCAACAAACAGAAACCAGGGGACGAAGACTTTGATGAAGAAGAAGAAATGGAGGAACAAGGAACACTTCTGACGTCACTTGCTGATGCTCAAACCAGACAGAGGGAAAAGGCTGCCTATGAGCAATTGAAAGCTGGAGGTAAGAGCCACTGGTGGCATTTTATGACGGGCGATGATAGTTTTTTTACAGTGGGATGACACTTGTGCAGCGTACGCTAGAAAGAATTACTAAAATGGATAGCAACTATAACACAACTCAACATTAATCTAGGTCCAGTATGTTATGTCAAGTAATCTTTGTTGCGGTTTGGTCCAAAATTGATATTTTCAATAATTAGGATTTGGCTCAATCTATTAAAGTTGCCTAGGCCTTTAGGCTCTTAGATTTGCGGATTTACCAGCAACATGAATTTTGGAGCGAGACTGTGTGGAAACAAGAAGGAATTATAAATGTGTATCAACAATCTAGGCTTTAAGGAAAGCTTGAATAATCTTCACATTTTCGAATTCTTTTTCATATTTACGTATTTTTGCCATAGGTAAAGTGCAGTTTGAGATTCACAGCGAGGGTGGTGATGACCCTGGCGTAAAAGGAGAGGCCTCCATTATCGTCAACGGAATAGAATGTTGTCCAAAGCGCAAAGGCCACAACATTGTTGTCCTTGATGAAATTGGAAATGTTGTTGCAACAAGGTCTTTCAATACAGTTGAGGCTGCGGAGGGAATGTCCATGGCTAAGTTCTTGGAAGACATTCCTGAGGAGCACATTGCTCTCATTGCAGTTCAGGATACTACAGGTTTGGGCTTGAGATAAACGCTACTGATTATTCAAGATTCATTTTAAGAGTCACTTTGAGAGACTCTTATTGAACATAAATTTGATACTGTATGTTTTGTGATGTAAATCGTACTTGATTTGTTATGCGTGCATTTATGTTGACTCGGCATCTGTCATTCGACCTTTGCTAATGCTTTATCTCATTGAAGTGAACAAACTGCATAGTTCTTAAGTTGAGTTTATTAATTCATCTCTAGGGAAAGGAGTGGAAAAGGCGGAAGCAGCCTTGAAGAAACTTGGTGCTGTTGAACCAATGGATCCAGGTTTCAAAGGATCATGGGCCTTTGCTGGATTCAAAGGAGCTCACCATACTAAAAACTGGGTAACACAGGTTACCAGACCTCGTTACCACGGACCAGCAATGGTTGCTGATATGATAAACACACCTGCGGCTGATCAAGGTACAAAGGATAACCATATGAATGATTTTTGAAACTGCAATTGAACTCGCTCTTTGTGTATTTTCAGTTCATCTGAATGTAGCAAATTAGGTGATTAATTGTCTCGTTGTTGGTGTGTTAGGCCGACGGAATTTTTTAGACGAGGTTTATTGTGATAACGAGACTACGTTGGGATGTTGACTTCTTGTTAAAAGTCCCTAGATGACATGGCAAAATTGACACACACGCATAGGTCTGCAACAGAATAGTGCAAAATGTTTGACAACCATGACTGTGTATGGATTGCTTAATAAAAGCTCGTACCTAGGATTAAAGAGATCATTTTTCTATCGAAAAGGACCCAGTGCGTGAATTTGTTTTTGTAACGATGATTAACTGATGTGTCTGAAATATGCTGAAATATACCTGCCTGTTAAATTTCCCTTTCGTATTGAATTTGTTTTGCTTCGTGATTTCACACGCTGAATGCAATATACCACTTTTTCGTTGTATTTAACACCCTTTCTCCAAAATATAGGCAAAATAAAAGTGGAGATTTCGTCAGAGGGCCTAGACGACCCCGGCTATGCCAGAATAGCGTCTATCAAAATAAACGGAATCGAACGAAGTCCCATGGTGCGTGGTATGAATGTGGTCATTCTAGACGCGGCTGGAAATTACCTCATGTCGAAGAACTTTGATACAGCCGATCCAACTCGCGGCAGATCAGAAGGACAAAAAATGGCGCAGTTCTTGGACGATTTGCCTAGTGAAAGAATGGTCTGTGTTTCATCGTTAGAAGCCACCGGTAAGTAGGCCAGTTATTAAATTTAGCATAAAACACTTAAGTAGCTGGTAGACTTACTCAATGAGCCACTGTTCCGCTACTGCCTTATTTCATTGAAGCTACAACAGATGACATTCTGTTATAGCGTTCGTGAATTGAGGCTGTAGCGAAACAGAGGCTCATGGAGTATGCTGGAATATTTGACTAAAGAAATTCTAACAAAGACCTTGATTTCGATTTCATTCACAAACATTCACGATTTATGACGATGATAAGATTAATTTCAATTTTTCAATGTTTTACTAGATTACGCTAGATATTTCATAAATGAAGCTGGCAGTGTCTATGTATTCTGCTTTAGCTTAATCAACTGCCTTTGTCTGAGTCTATTGATGAAACGTCCTGTTGCTTAACTCTTCGCAGGTGAGGGCATGGGTGAAGTCAGAGAGGCGCTCATACGAGTAGGTGCCGACGAAGACAGCGAATCTGGAACTAAAGGATCTTTCGCCCTTCTTGGTTACACCGGCCCTGAGAAGGTCGTTTGGTTAAAGCAAGTCCAAAAGCCTCGTGGGCAAGGCCCTGCCAAAATCATGACGTTCGTTATCACTCCAGAAGGTGCCGAGAGACTGAGTAAGTATCTTTTTATTGTGTCGGGAAGTTTATTTAAAAAAACAATTCAATGTCCTTACGAATTTTAGTAGAAAGTTGGATTGCCAGGTTGTTGTTATATTCTATGTTCAGATGACCATTTATTTCCACTTTTCCTACCAGCCTTCAAATTCCCTTATCCTTTTTCAGAATTAGGAGAAGAAGATGTTTTCCAAGATTACGAACCAGGTACATTCTCAGAGTATGATGATTTCCAAAAGCAAGGTGAAAAAGAATTCGACCAAAATTATGGTACGATGAACAACAAAAGCGCACGCGTGAGTTTCCTTTTGAGGGTTTTTCTTCTCCTTAGGACTGACTATTTTGCCACGATGAAAACCTTGTCCCGTTTTCTCATTCCCATTTGAAGGATTTAGTCTACTGTGAAATCCGTACTGTGAAATTCCTTACAAACTGAACAGAAATCATTTGGTCGATAAAGGTTTTAATCAAGAATTTTGAGATTTAGAAATGCACATGCATGAAAGGGCAATAGGCCTAAAAAGGTGCACTTTTCCAAATGTTCTAAAGATGAATTCTCTCAAAACGTGGATGTACATATGCCATTGGTGACCCTGGCTTCGAATCTCCCCGACTTTAATGTTGTTTTAAATCATCTTTGGGTAGTCTTTTTTCGTTAATACTGATGACGCTTGTATGCTCAAGCAAAATAATGTTCCGTGTCATCTTTTTTAAGTCCATTATGAGAGCACTACCAGCAGAAGAGAAGGCGAAAATCGCCAAGCTGAATGAAGGCCTTCGAATGGAGAAGAACAGGCTGGTAACTGAAGTGAGCAAATGGGATGACCAGAGTAATGAAATCATTGTTTTGGCAAAGAAAATGTGTATGATAATGATGGACATGTCTGATTTCACAAGGTACGTTCATCAAAGGTAGCATCGATAATGACTTTATTTTGTTATAGAGTTTCTTAATTAGGACGTAATTTATTCTCAGAGTGGTTTGATCGGTCATGTGTTTGTGTTTCGATTCCCACGCAACTTTTTATCCTTCGATAGACTTCGTTAACTTCCTTCATGCGTTTTATTAATGTCACATTTGCAAATATAATTGAGAACTTTATTTATTTTATGCTATCATATATTCATTCATTTTTTTGTTAACCAGGGGAACAGGACCGCTGAAAACAACCATGGATGTTATTAAGGGAGCAGAGGTACGTTTGAGTAAAGAATCTGATAATTATTTTTCTTAAAACATGCAGATTCTGATCCGGGAAAAAGTATTACCTGATGTAAATAGACATTTCTGCATGCGATCATAGAAATAAATCGCTAGCTTTTTTGTTACAGAGAATCGCAAAGATGGGACAAGCATTAAACAAGCTGGCTGGAGACATTGCCGAAATGGTGAGATTTGCCGAATTGTTTTTTGAAGATTGTGAACACCAGATTTTTTAATCATTATTTCTATTTGCGTTTCTGTTTGGCTGTCTGTCATTTCTCTTTTTAAACCATTTTTTGTCCTCTTATTTGATTCAAATTCATAAATAGCACTTGCTGGCTAAATGCAAAATTTCCAGCACGAGCTTGCCCATCCATAGAGAGGTTGACGTATTTTGGTTAAGACGTAGCATTAGACCAGTTTGTAATAATAGGCAGATATCTTGTTGCCAGGCAAATGTCAAGAATCGATATTGTTTATGATTTAAAGATAAAAACTTACTTTAGTTTTGGTTGTATAATATTTTGTTTTATCTCCAATTTTAGTGCCCACACAGCTCCACGAAAAACGATTTGTTGGCCTATCTTCAAAGGATCGCCCTTTACTCTCACCAGCTTACGATTACGTCACGAGTCAAGGCTGATGTACAGATGATAAGTGGAGAGCTTGTTGTCTCTGGGGTATGCCTGTTGTTTTTGGTCTTGAAATGAATGCATAAATCCATGTAAACTGAAGCACAGATCATACCAAGATTATCCTTTTTGCATCACAAATGCAATTTGTATGTTTTAAGATGCATTTTGTTGTTTTACACTTTTTTCAATGGACGTGTGTGTTTCTTGCTTATTGCACGAAACGGTTTTAGTTGCTGTATTGTCTTACTTCGATACTGAATTGAATTGATAAAATGCGTTTACATGTATCTGTTAACGCATCTCTTTGTGGGCCTGGTCTCTTTGTGATAAACACAAGCTCGAGGTTTTTATAAACTGCATTGCTCATTATTTTCCCTAGATGAATGGTTGATTGTTTACTCGCTAATTTTGTTTCGGTTTCATTCTACGTTCGGTTTTATGAATGCAGTTAATGTTGCTGATTTATAACTTAACATCACTATGCAATCGCACAAAATACAACTCGAGAATAATAGATATATGATCTAGTAAAATGCCTAGTTTTAAGTGTCACTTTTGACTTTTAAATCTCCTTTAGCTGGACAGTGCAACGTCTCTTATTCAAGCAGCAAAAAATCTTATGAATTCGGTCATTCTCACTGTCAAAACATCATATGTTGCCTCAACTAAATTCAGGAAGGCTGACGTACGTATCCTTTATATTCCTCTCTGTCCAAATTCTTTTCATTAAATTTCAAATGGCTCGACCTTTCAGCGTGCCTTTTTCTTTGGAAGTATTTGCTGTAGCCCACTCCGCGACCTATAACCATAAATCATTTAACACGAACGTTTTTTAATGCAAAAGAAAACATGATTGTCATGCTTTGATGCTTGAATTTTTTATTATTTCAGGGTGTGGTTTTCGTTAATTACCTTCTCCTAAGCTAACTGAGCACCTGTTGCTGAGAATACTGTTCATAAATTAATGCCAGTCAATTTTCAAAACATTTTTGCTAGTTTTCGGCTCTGGTCAACTTCATTTATTGTTTTGATAACATTGTCTCTTTGTGTTTTTGCCTTTTTAAGCAATCAAAAATTAAAATTGAATTATTTAATTAAAATTACTTGAAAAATAAATTGAATTCCCGGAAATCGTCAAGATGCGCAGTATAGACTAGTTTAAAGAATTTGTAAGAATTAAAAGGCAATTGTAAAACAAATTTATTTGCAGCACGGTCAAATAATTCTTAAGTATGAAGCTTTTTAAGACTTATCAATTAATATAAGTTTGAGTGGACTTCGGATCATATGTAGTAGTTTTTCTTCACTTTCTGGAGGTGATTTCTAGGTTCCTTTAAAAATATGTTTAGCTAGATAACGAATTTTACTTCACTTTGGTTAAACAAATAAATTCGCTGAACGAGTCCCTGCTTTATTGTAGAAACCAATTGTCAGCTGGAAGATGAAAGCACCAGAGAAGAAGCCGTTGATCAAAGTCGATATGTCTGACACTCGGATGACCGTCCGCGGTACGGATACCCAACAAGGCCCGTCACCAATCCAACAGCTGAGCGAGATCCAGTGAGGCTACTCAAGCCTCGTTAGTTAACCAAGAACCGTTAACTGCCATATAGAAACTGCTGTTTGTAAGCTGATAGCATAAGGATAATGGATTTTAAACAGAACGCGAAAATACAGTAGTTGTAGACCATTTACTGTCTTTGATATTTTAAAGGTCTGTTTGTATTCTATTTCAGGCAGACCATCCTCCGCAGGTACCGTTTCAGTCGGTCATATAGCATTTTTGATCAGCGTAATTTATTAGACCTCTATGATTGACGATCTTTGGTTTTCTATATGAGTATTTATTTTTGAACTTTCAATAATTTTGAAATGGTATACGGTTACTTTTTTTGATGATGACCTTTCTTGCCACAGTGATAACGAAGAGTAGCCTTGCAGGGTCAGGAAAAGTACTCACCCTACCTAACGAGTCAAATTTTTAAAACTTTCTTAAAAACAAGGAAATAGGGGCGTGGTTCAAGCCGGTTTACTCTAATTATTTCGTTTTGAAAGATATTGATTTTGCCTTGTGAACACCAGGTTTTTAGATTCTTTTATCCTTGTTTTTAAGAATTAAACCTCTAATGCCAAAGTTTGTGTTCTGTGAAGGTTTTGGTTCTGCCAAGTGAACTATCAAATGCAAATTTTGCTGTAAATACTGCTGTGAAATCTGCGCAATAGCAGGAGATGCAAAGCAGTTAGGACACAGAAAAGATTTTCTGCTGAAAAAGCCAGCATTTGGTACACAAATTGTGTTTTTATGAAAAGTATAAGGTGGTAGAAGCCACAAAATGGAGCTCACTGTGCAGTAAACTCGTCTTAATTAGGGCGGAAACTTAATTTCCTACATTTTGAAAGTACGTATTGCTGAAACAATTTTCGCTCGAAACGCCAGTTATTTGCAAAAACTTGGAAACATAGGCCAGTATGGAAAGTTGGTTTTCTATGCACCAGATGCCACATATTTCCATTGCAGTTGTGCACCAAGTACCCTTATCAGGTGTGCACCAATTTATGCATGCATGCAGTGTAATTAGCTGAACAATACAACAACACAATAAAAAGACAAAACAGATAGATACAATACGAGTTATGTTAGAAAACCTCCCGGCTTGCGTCTAATTAAAAGCAAAGTTACAAGCTAAAATACTTTCATTAGACAAATCAATGAAAATGCATTAGAAAAAGGAACCACACAGATTTTTGTTGCCGTGGGGCAAAATTGACAGAAGTGGGTCCCTGCGAACGAAGCGACCAAAAAATTTTTTTGCCCACGTCCTTTAGACTAGCTTGGAATGCATGTCAATATATTACTTGCAGCCATTTTTTAAAATTGTTTCCAAAATTTTATCATTTTTAAGAATACTTTTGTTATGTTTGATATTTCCCACCCTTCAAATGGATCTCAGAGGAGGCCCTTTTTCAGAGGCTCTTGTTGAATAGGAAGAAGAATCGTATGCTTTATTATTGTGTTTTATGTTTCTGCTTTTTCGTGCTTTTGGAATAAAAAATGTAAAACAATGTTTAATCTAATGATTTTTCTTGATGCTAATAAAGCAGCTGTCATGATTCGTGTGCTGTTTTATTCTTCCTTGCGAGGCCTTTAGTTCATTCTCAGATAAGACTCACATAGAACTTAGATGAAACGAAGTAAACAGCAACAAACGTAAAGTCGAGCCATTTTCTTGGCATTTTGAAACTGGATTCAACGGGCACTATTGTAAGGCAGAGTGTGTCGTATTTTCATTTGATCTAAAATCCTTGGCTGTGTTGAGATCTTCCACTATCTTAATCCTCTTTGATGTTCAAATATCTGTTCTCAAAATAAAAGACGCTCCAATACGAGCTTTTTAAATGACAATGACAATTAAAAATTGAGGGGGTCGGCAAGAAAGGGGTAGACGTTAGACACACATGTAGGAAATCAGCCGTGTGTTTAAGCATTTCGTTCAATACCAGTGTACAATGAATTTATTTTTGGCACATTCCTGTTCCAAGTCCCCCTCCACCCACTCCGACGGCTTTGCTTTATACAGGGCTCACGCTGCAGGGAAATTTAATTCACATGGCTGCGCAAGTCTGCTAAGGCCCTTGAGATTCTTCTTCTTAGAGCAAAATTTTAAAAAATTGAAACAAAATGGCGATTGATCAGCAAAGGAAGTAATCCACAGTAAAGCCGCATTTACACGATCAAGTTTCCCTTGACAATTTTTCTTTGAGAAGTTTATTTTGCTCGTGTAGATTGGGGTTGATTGAGGAAAAATTACAATTTTTTACTTGACAAGTGTACTTGTTCAAAAGCTGGCGTGCCAGTTTTTCAGCAAGTGCACTTGACAAGTAAAAAATTGTCATATGCAAAACTTCCCCGTGTAGATGACTTGACAAGTAAACTTGACAAATTTGACTCAACTCCAGACCCTTCTTTCCGGGTGAGTAATTGCTTTTTCTTAGCTGTCATGGCCGCCACGAGGTTAATCTGGACTGATTAAGGAACCTCAATGCCCTTGGAAGCTCTGCAAAGCCGCAAAAGCCTTTGGAATACACAACAAGTTTCAAAAATAGGTAGACCAATGAAATATGATTGCCTGCTAAGATTTCCAATGAAAATTTCAAAGACTTCAAACGCAAAATTTTAACCATTGGACTTACTGTGAGTCTGAGTTCCCCAATCAAGTTTCCTGCTAATCCTTTGATCTGTCTGCGACGATGGCTCGCCCAAGGCCGAACCCACCACTTTTCGCTGCCTTTTTTTCTTAGATTCACAGTACATTAGTAGGGCTGCGGCTGTCCCACACACGAACAAAGTTACTTCTTCGTTAAAGAGGCCATTTTGGCAAGAAAAATTTGCACAAGTACACTTTATTTTATAAGAACCAGTAAATTTAAGTTCAAGCTGACTGTTCTTAATTTTTTCGAAAATCTGAGGCTGGATGGTTCTTAATTTGTTCTTAAATTAAGAGGGTGTAAGCAGTGCTATTGCTAGCTTTTTCGCTCTAAGAAAGTGTTCAGGCCTCATTTGCCAACAGAGTGAGTGAGACAGCCTTAATTTGCTGACAAATTTGAATATTCACCGAAAAAGCACCCATCGCTAAAAATCCTCGATTTTGAGAAAAAACGTTGTTCAAAGTTGCATTTTGCAAAAGCTCAGCCTCAGCTTGTTCTTAATTTGTACTTAACTTTTGACCAGTTTTGAGGCTCGTGTTCTTATAAAAAAAATAGTGTAATGAGCCGCGTCAGAAAACCGAAGCTAACCTATAAACTCCGCTTGCCATAACACAAATAGATATTGTCAAAGAGATTTTTTATCTTTCTACGCGAAATGTGTAGAAATTGTCAAAAAAAACTTGTTTATAATCTACACGGGCAAGGAAACTTGTCATGGAAAATTGCTAAGGAAAAATTGCTCGTGTAAACGCGGCCATTTACACGAGCAATAATCTACACGGATTCAAGAACCATTTATTTCCGGTTCCATCTAAGCGAACGTGAAATCGAGGCATCGCTGTTTGATACATCTGAGAATTGAGCTTGTTCGGCAGGGAAGGTGGTGTTTGTCTGTAGTTCAGTGCTTTGTTGTAGAAATGACGAGCAAGAATCAAATTCTCCGGCTACTGCCGTTGCAGTATTCTCATATCCTCGACATGGTAAGAAAGTCTTTGTGCATTTCGTAATTGTAACTAACGTATATCTAGGACGCGATCGCATGACTGCCTACTCAGCATTTTCGACTGCTGGCATCCATTAAAATAATATCTGGGCATAAGTAGCAGAGAAAATCGCTCCACTTGGACTCCTGTCTTATTTTTTATCAAATCGTAGCTGCTGGTATCAATGTACACTTGGCCTTTACTCAACGCACTGAAAACATCGAGTTATTGCACCATCGCTCTGTCGGATTCCTCCTTACGTCATGGCGGAAGTGTCAAAGGCTGGGCCTAGGCGGGCGACCCATACCTAGTTTAGTCCAGTTTAGCTTTGAATATAACCATATCAACTTAGTTTTTAACATTGCACTGCAAATCGCAATAGGTTTTATGATAAGGCAACAGGCAATATTTAAGTTTTTTGTAAAGGAGATTTTTGACACCAGAAGCAATTTCTAATAAAAACAAAAACAGTTTAATACCCACCTGAAAATGTAGCAGAGCCAGACTGTAAAATTTGGGTATGCGCTGGGAACACATTCCCTGTGCAATGATTTTCCCTGGAATCCTGTCCGCACATATTTGCAATTTAGATTAATCTGCCAAGTTGCAGAACAGACTTTCATTCAAATTTCATGCACTGCCTCACTACAAGGCTTGATGCTATTTAAAAATAAAATAAGCTTTTTCTAGTGCCCATCAGGTATGGTCTGCAGTATTAGACATGCAAATGAATTTTTGCCTTTGGAATGACTATGCAAATACCTGTCATAAAATGTATTATGTGACAGTTGTTGTTGGGCATTCTTTTTTATTTACAATGGCCTTTGCCATTAAAACAGTACTGTATTGTTGTCCTGCAAGTTTCCTGTAAGTTTTTGTCAAGCCTTGTTAAGAAACTAGGCCAATAACAGGTCTGTCTTGCAAACATCAAAGGTTCCAGTCTGGCAAGATTGCATTTAAAGTGTACTCTGCAGTGAAGGTAGGTCATTGCAGTCATGAATGTATGTAAAAATTTATTTATCTGTGCCAAAGCAGTAGAGAGTTTATGCTATTAGACCAAAACTAATCAATGCAACATCAGCCTAATTTTTACATACATAGAGAAAGGAAGGCTAATTTTAATGTTCTAACTCCAATCTGTTTGAAAGTTATAGCTCTTCAGAAATTGGATCAAATTCCCAAAAATATTCTCGTAGCAGCTTTCTTGGATTTCACAGCTATAAAAATAGACATTATATATCTTTTTGATTTCACTGTCCTCCATCCTGAAAATTGGTAAAATTCTATTATTTTAGGAGCTAAATCCAAAAATGAAATGAAAACAGACAATTTTTCATGTTCAAATGGCAATTAACAATTTTACTTAAGTTGAAATGGGAAAATGGCTTCTTCCAGATCACTGAGACATCAGACAGATTTGTTGAAAGCTTAAAAGTAGCTTCAGTGTTGTCAAATAATATCAAACAAACCTATTTTTCAAGAATTTTTAAATAATACAAAATCATCACATATTTTTCAAAAACTATAAATTTCATCTGATACATCATGCCAAATTTATGATTTTTTCTGATTACAAATTTTCGTAAAACAAAGTAGAGGTTTGGGTTGGCTAGAGGATGATAAACCGTTGATAAGATCCACCAAGAGAATGCAAGGCCAAAGATATCAATTTTGAAAATTTAGTATCCTTATAGCACAAACAGGTTAAGTTTTTGGTTTTGGAGAAAGTAAGATGTGATTTTCCACACTTGTTCCACAGTTCCTCAAGCCTTAAAAAAACTTAGATTCACTGGCATCATTGGCCTAATATTCACAAGATTGAGCCTTATATTGGCCTTCATGGATTTGGCTCAACAAACTCCACTATTCTCAGATGAAATTGAATTTTAGATAATGCATATGATTAGCTTTTTATTCTAAGTCAGCTGTGGAAGCTTTGAATTGCACTTGATATCTTCTGAATTTCAGCAATATGCATTTGAAATCTATGGACAAAGAAGTGTTTGAATTTTTAAGACTGTTTTCTAACATAGTGCTTTGTTTCCAGAGTATTTACTACCCTTAAATGACAGTAATAAATCCTAAAGATTAAAACTATCTATCCCTTGTTTAGAATACAAATATAACCTCTTTGAGACTGGGGCCTGGCACATTTATTTTACAAGACAATGAACAAGTGGTGTTGGATCCAGTTCAGATGGTCAAAGTGCCTCCTGGACATTATTGTATCATTCAGAATCCTGCAAAGTAAGTGTAAAATGAGTTTAAACAATTAAACGTGACAAACCATTCATATGATTGCCATTTTTAAACATATGTTATTGTATAAAGCTAGATGTGGGAATACAGTAGTAAGTATTGCTATTTATTTTGTGGCATATTGACATTGATTTGAATTCCTAAAGTTGGTTTTAATATTTAGGATGTATAAAAATGTGTTTCCTTTATTAAAAGTATTGTTTTGTTTTATAAAAGTAACAATGGTTTTACCATTTTAATGAGTAAGTGGTATCCTTAAATGATGTACTTCCTCCCAGCAGATGTATTCTGCCAACAACTTGCTCAAATTTTGTTGTTCATTTGACAATGATGTGTCTATCTTTTTGCTTTCAAATTGCACTAGTTGATAACTTTTCCCCTTTTTTTACATTTGTGAAGAATAAGGTATCTTGTCAACTTGTTTTGAAGGCATAGTGATAAATTTATTGACATGTTAAGCTGTTATGTTTGATCTAAGTTTTGTTTTGGAATTTCTTTAGACTTCCCGTGCCGTCTGGAAGACAATGTGAGTTGAAATTTGGACAAACTGAAGTGCGATTCCATCAAGTAAGTCAATTTATTTTTTTTAGAGAAGTGATCTGCTTTTACTTGCAAATATTTATTCCACTCAAATGGAAAAATTTGATAGCAGGCAGTAGTTTCATTATCAGGATGATTGCTCTTACCACCTATGGCACCCCAGAAACTGGACTCTTCAGTCCTGGTAATTTTAAATTTGTCTGTGTGCTGGTAATTGCACTTCTTGAAAAGTTAAGGTGTACCTTGGCATGTGATCCATAAAGCTGAGACCTTATGATTTTATCTGGTAGCCTTTTAATGTAATATATGTATTTGAAGAGGTGTATCACTGTTTGAAAAAGCATAAGAAGTTTTTAGAATCCAAATAATTTTTAAGGAATTTTAAAATAAATTTCTTGGAAACAAAATGAGTAAACAAAAGGCATACCAGTTTTTTAGGCCCTGTAGCTAATACTCAATTTTTTATGAGAACGAATTTGAATGACTTCCCAATATTATGCACAAGAACATATTTGGAGCTAAACTGGAGTCACCTTAAAGCGCCTTTCAAACTGGAGTCCTTTGGAAAGGAAATAATTTGTAAACACATTGTTTGATTTGGAAAAAAGCTGATGCAAAGGATACAAGAACAGTTGGTAATGGAGTAACAATTTTTTTTTGCTTTGACTAAAATGGAGTTGCCTGATTAGTGGGAACAGTCCATGAAAATGCAAAATGGGGTGATCTGAAAACAGAGGCATACAAAAACAGAGTAATGGAAACAGGGCCTTAATAGTAGTTATTTCCTACTCTATCCAAAAATGCCTTACCTGGAAATTCTATCAAGGTAACTCGCACAAAAGAATTTGAAAAACTACTTTAGAGAAAATTTACAAGAAATGAAAACAAACAAAAGAGAAAAGAGGAATAGACAGGCAAAATGTGGCCCTGTGATAAAAAGCATGTCTTGGGAGTTCTTGGTGTGTGTGGAGGCGTGCATGTGGGATTGTGTGCCAAGTATTAGCAGGACTAACACTTTTAGTTTGATTTTTGTATTATTTCAAGAGTAACCTTAGCATGCACCGCCAATTAAATTACAACCTTTGCAGGCAGTACAACCTTGGCAGGCAGTACAACCTTGCTGAATTGCCAATTCTTTTTCTTAGTCTTTCTGTTCCCTTCTAGGAGCCATTTCCATTATATCCTGGAGAGGTTCTTGCTGGTGGAAGCTACAGCTGTAAGTGCTAAATTGTTTTAGTTTGTTAGGTGTAACAGGGAATCGCTTGCATCAAATTTTCCATTAGACTGAAAAGAAGACCAAGCATTTGGTCATATAAAACCAGATAGCCAATCCTGACCAAATAAAGTTATTTCTTGCATTCTATATTGCTAGAGTTATGGTTTGTATATTTAAGGTTCTTTGAGAATTTAATAAAAAATTTTCTGCCAATTTTTCTTTTTGAAAATTAGCAATTAACTCAGTACCATTCAAAAGGTGAAGATAATTTGATGAAGTTACTGTTACCTGGTCATTGGAAACTGCTATTTCCCACAGTGGAAGGGCCTGATGTTCCCATCAAGCATGAAAGGCACAGTATCTGTATTAATGGCTAGCTCTACACCAATGCATGTTTTGTAAATGTATCATGTCTTGACTTTCAAATGAACATGTTTGGATGTAATTGAATATATGCAGAGAGTTTTAACCATATCTGTGTTTCACATATAGCTCATAAAAATGCAATCAAAAAGCTACCTGTAATTCAACCAAAGCATGGACTAAGGCTTCAAGCACTTGTTGACTTTGAAAGTGGATCAGAGAAAAGAGCAGCTGGAGATGAATGGCAGCTAGAGGGACCTTTGACATATTACCCAAAGCCAGAAGAGGTATTTTAATGGACCCACTTTGATTGATTAAGTACCTAGGATGTGATTTTGCTACCATGCTACCTGTAAGATTTAGGATGCAATTTTGTCAGTTTTGTACTTCAGAAATAGTTGATCACTGCTTCCTTCAGGTCATTTTTCATAATTAGCTATTCTAAATTTCTATAGGTCATTTATCGTCTAGTCAGAATTTTAAATAATCTTTGAACAATTATGGTCTTAGTGCATGCTTAATTTTAAATCAAATTTTTTCCCTATTTTTGATGAGGTAATTGCCCTTTGGATAGTGGTAAAGACAGTAGTTAAAAAGTTGAATTGTATCAAAATTTATTTAAAGGCATCCTAACCACATTAACTTCAAACCACACTTGTCATCACAATTAAAGCCACTCAAATCAAACTGGTTATATATTATAATTCTGAGTGTCATAAAAATCATCAGTAATAATCAAACCGTCTCTAAAAATGATTTTTCTTAAAGATATTTTGAAGAGAGATATTTTGAAAATTAAGAAAGGCACATTTCAACTCAAACATGCTGTTGAGGTTTTCCAAAAAGTAAGAGTGTACATACAACTGGTGTTCTCTGGTTCACACATCCCTGCAACTTAATTTCATATTTAAAACTGTTTCAGTTACTTGCAAACTCTGAATGCAGTTATCATCACCTAATTAAGAAACAGTAGTACTAATTAAACAGTTAACTAGACTTAGGAATCATGTGTCATTTCTCCAGCGTATAATGGATGTGGTAAAGCCTCACGTAATTCAGCAAGGTGAAGCTCTCAGGTTAAAAGCAAAACAGGACCTTGAAGACCACAAAGGAGTGTAAGTAGTGGTATAACCACATATTCTACTCTTATCAGGTAACATTTTTTATAGAATATTTGGTCACTCACATATGTATCATCAATATTTACTTGGATTCTGTTACTTGCAAATCTATTAAAGGAGGGAAAGCTTTTTGAAGTCAACTGATAAAAACATCAATTTTATATATTGAGCTGTCATGCTTATAATCCAGAGCAATCTAGCTTTTCTTAAAGGTTTTCTTCTTTATCACCATAGCATTCTAGTTCAATAAGTTATCACCTTATTTTAGGCTTTGATTAAACTATCCAATTCAATTTTCAAGTTTGCTTTCTAGAGTTTCTTTTTTATCATTGTTTTGTAAGAAAATACTTTTTTAGCTTAAGAGTCACTGGAGAAGAATGGCTTGTGAAAGACTTGGGTGCCTATCTTCCTGGTATATATGAAGAGGTATGAACATACAGCTGTAACGTTTTGTTTGAATAGTAACTTTTTAGGATTTTTTTATTCATTTATACCCTCTTGAATATAAAAAATGTATTTTGTCAACAAGTCAGTTTTATAAATTCTAAATAGTCAGCATTTTCCATTCAGTTCAATTGAGAAGTGCAACAAGATCTCTTCTTCCATTTACATTACAGTTGCTGTCATTTTGTTTTCTTTGAAGATTGCATTTAGCATTTAGTTCTTTATGTAATTATAGGTGATAGGAGTAGAGCAAGGATATGTTCTTACAGAAGACAGGGCCATCCGTATGACTGCTACAATAAATTGTACTGATGCACTTGGGAAGAAAAGGTACTCTCAACATTTCACTGCTTTTGCCCGACTTTTGATTCACCCAATTTATAATGAAATACATTGGTAAACTCCTATTTGCCCAAATTAGATGTGATTTCACTTTAGGTCAATATTTTCTTAAGAATCCAGAGGACACCAAAACTTAAAATGACAAAACTTTAAAATCATCTGGCAAGCTAGGTTTTCTCTTTATTTAGGTGTTTTGAAATCTGTCTACATCAAACCAAAAAGTCTGATTTGTGAAGATAGAAATAGTTTGTTTTTCTCTTGGAGTTCTCAACTTTTTGTAAATGAGAGGAGATCAGCTGTCAATTGGTCAAAAACAAGGCATAAATCAAAATTGTCTTTCTTCCTCTCACGTTACAATAAATCCACATCTGGAAATATAATATACTGCTTTCCTTATGGTTGTAATCCGACGTTTATACTCTAAGGAGTGTTGGAAAAAGATTATACTTTAGTATGTTATGTTTCGGTATTTCTGTGCTTCTTTGAATATTGCTGCACCAACAGCTCATTTATCCTGTACTTGTTGTATATTTTCACATCTTGTAATCATAGCAGCTTATAACATGCAGCTAAATTCAAAATTAAGGCCCAATGTCCAGGTAGTAAGAGTGCTTGACTACCATGCTGAAGGCTGCATTGTTTAAGTCCAGTTTTAAAGCATTGTATCTACAATCTTGGCAAAAAATGCTGAGACACTTGCAAAAAAGAAGCTACTTACAAATCACCAACCCCCTTTCCCCCCGAATCAATGTTGTGATTGGACTGGTAACTAATGTTGTAATCCCCACTTATTCTGTGACCATCGTAATCAACATTGACCACGGGGGGAAGGGGGTTTAGGTCACCAGCGCATATTATATGAAGATATAGCACGCGAATTCCCTTTTCGATCACATGTCTCAGCTATTTTTTGCCAAGATTGTAGGTGCTTTCCACTAAGCAGTGATAAGATACCTGGCGATAAAAAAATTGTTTCCTTTGAAGTCAATCTAGGACCTTTGTAGCTTGATCGACAGCTTGAAACATAAAATACAAAACCCTTATCTTTTTTGCACAACAAATGCTTGAAACTGGCCATTAAGCATAAAAGCAAGTTGTATTCGAATTTAGACCAAGATATGTCATCAAGTTGTTTTCCGTAGAATTGCTGGGGAAGAATGGCTGGTTACTGTTAGTGACAAAGAGACATATATCCCGGAGGTTGGAGAGGTAAGCAGTTGCTAGCTTTTGAGCATATAGTAAAATATTTTACCCAGGACAAGCATTGTGAAATGTAGCAGAATTGGGCTGGAATTAACCTCTTTTGTTAATATACTAAGCTCTTCTATTGCATTATTATGTAGTACCTCAGCTTTTATGTGGAAGCTTGGGCCTATAAAGAGTAAAACATGTCAAGGCTATGCTACGAGAAAAAAATTTAGGGTAAGAGTTTAAAGCCACGAAATATCCACGTCGTTGTAATGTGGAGGTTTTGAAGAAATCGAAGTTTTTCAATAGAAATCTATGAACTTCTTTTAATAAGATGAGGTCTGTGGACTACCTTAAGTTTGTTCGAAGTTGATCTTGAAATAGCTTGTTGTCTTTTGTCTTGAAAAGGCACCAATCTAAAAGCAGCCTATCCGAATACCTTGTTTCGTGGATGCAATTCTAGCCCTAAGCACAACGCTGTCTGCATTTTGCATTTTAAATTCGTTAGCTTCCCATATCAAATAGCAAATAAAGAAATCAAGTTAATCTAAGTTTATGATTGTTTTCATTTTGACTTTTCTTTTTATATGTTTTAGAAATTGGTTATGATTGTTCGGAGAACAGTTCTGGGAAAGCACGAGTTCTGCATTATCAAGGATCCAATTGACAAAGATGGCAAACCACAGCTCGGTAAAAAAGTAATGAAAAGAGGAATAACCACCTTCTTTCTTCACCCTGGTACGTTGCCTAGTAATCATTTAATCTGATTGGTTAAGACGTAAACAGCGTATAGTCGAAAGCTTGCTACTCCTATCTGTATCTACATGTAATGGAATCTAAGAAATCTACTTCTACCATAGCTTTAGAATCTGTCCCTTCCTAATCTGGACTCGCACCTTATCTTAAGAATCTACCTCTACTTTGTCTCACAAATTTACCTAATCCTACCAAATCCTGAGAATCTACGCCTGGCTAATCTGCCTAATTCAGGACCTACTCCTGATAACCGATTTGAAAAAGATTTTTGATTTGAAAGTTTGAATTATTTCAAAACCTTGAAGGATTTTTCAATTTAATTTTTGAATTTTGGATATTGCATAAAGTTGATTGTCTCTGTGTTCTGGATATAAAAAAAGCTGTGTGTGTCTATTGAAGGAGAAATAATTGAAGCTGGAGTGCAGAAGACTTTCTTATTGAACGAAGATGAAGCTTTGATAATTTGCGCCATGGAAGGTTTCACTGATGATACTTTTGGAAAAGGTTTGTTGTATATTCAAATCCTTTAAACCAGTGTAAAATTTGCGAATTTATAGAAATATATACCTGCATGCATAGTAAAATGTTTGTATCACAAAAGCAGTAGTGCTATGTAAAAAAATTGTAGAAAAGTAATGACAAAAAATTTAATTACTTTCTTTTTAGATATCCAAGTACATCTATATGCTTATCATTTGCTGTATGAAAGTTTTCAAAACTTGAGCTATTGTAACATCTCCTCCTTTAATTAATTCACTTCTTAGATTTAATTTTGCCCCTGTGTTTATTTACACATTGTTTTGATTTTCTGTTCTCTTGATAGTCTTGTAGTTTAGTTATTTGTTGTTTGTTAAGTTGGAATTTGAATTGAATGATATTGAATCTAAAACACGAAGCTGGAACTGAACAATCAGTGACTCATCATCGAAGGTTATTTAAGCATTCATCGCCAAGCAAATGTGTTATTCATTTGAAATTTTCGATGAATTAGTTAGTGGCAAACATGAGTAGGCCACAAATTACTGAAAGATCACAAAGTTAGGTGTTATGAAAAACCAAAGAAGTAAAACGTTTTCTTTTCTCTTGGGTAAACCTTGGCTGAAATATTTGTTTGATATTTCGTCAAGGTTTCTCACAAGAGAAATGGCTTCGGTCTTAGAAAGTATGGAATCTCTTTTGAAAAAGCGGGTTATAGTTTTAATCGTTTTGTAACCAACTGTAGATGTGTACAGCCTAGGTTCTTGATCTAATTTCCGAATGGTTTTACATCATAATTTAAAGATATATTGGCAGTTATAATGTACCAATGTTTTCAAGATGGTTCTGTTTTATCTATATAATTTGGTGTATGCGTTGTGGACAGGTTTTCGATATCGCCACCAATTTCATAGGTTCATATCAATACGAGACTTCACCCCCGACAATTCTCCTCTTGCTACGGCCCTGAGTATCAATTACACACTACTTTATAGAAGTTGTAAAATTCAATCCTTTGGATTACAGATCCAATTGAAAGAAAACCCGGTGACGAGTGGTTGATCAGAGGACCAATTGAGTACGTTCCTCGTGTTGAAACTACAGTCAAGGAAAAACGGTAAGCGGCCACATTGCAAAATTTTATCTTTGCAGTAATCTGTTTTCCTACGAATTTATCATTGGTCTTATAGACGTCATCTAAATCATTAATTTTTCATTTTTCCAGGAGAGCAATTCCACTGGACAAAAACGAGGGGATATATGTCCAAGATGCAAAATCTGGCCAGGTAACTATTATCATTTGTTTATCATTTGTGGTTGCATTTATTTATTTTTTTGATGCATTGAAAAGAATGACACTTTCGGTGAGATCTCGGGTGCACCAGCAACTCCTCGGCACTAGTAGGGTGCGAAAAATTGGTCTGATTTATAATGCGCTAGCTTTGAAATCGAATGGGCGTAGTTTAGCAGTCCAGCTTTGTGACGAATACGCCGATTTGCTAAGTAAAATGAAGTATGATATACATAGCAATAACAGTGAGACCCAACTTATCATATTCAAGTACCCCAAGGTTGCTAGCGAAAGAAGTGACAATAGCCCAGGTAAAGTAGGGGCACCTCTGATCCACTTTCCAGTCACAAAGTCACAAACAATACCAATAATCGTACTAAAAGTGCAACTTTTTTCGTCTCTTCACTTTACTAACCTACTATCCAAGCAGTTTCGTAAAAATTTGCAAGTGCATTCACGAAGGCTTTTTCTTATTTCAGATAAGGACAGAAATGGGCCCTCAATCCTATTTACTCACAGAAGATGAACGTTTGTGGAAGAAAGAGCTACCGAACATTGTCGAGATTATGTTGAAGTGAGTCGAAATTCCTTACTTTTAATATCTTACGCAAATTGATTCTTCTTGCGAAAATTCTTATTACTTCTTCTTGGTTAAACTTACTTGCTTTGCTTAATTCTTGAAAAAGCTCCTCGTGATCTACGTCACAGTATCAGTGTCACCATGTATATTGTGCAAAATATATTCTTCAGTTTAAAATATGGCTAAACTGGAAACTAGCTTTGACAGAAAACTAGTTTACTATCAGAGAATCTCTTGTAATATTCCTATTCTATGTTTGCAGAAATGGAGGTTGCCATGGAGAAGGAGACATAAGGAAATTGGCCTATTTCGAATCTTCGATCGATCCAGAAGCATTGGCAGGCAGGGTGAGTCTAAAATGCAGCTTTTTGTTGACACAATGATAAATTAAAAGCCGTTTGCCCTGCTCTGCAAGTAATATATTGTCGTATTTTGTTTTTTGTCACGAGTTCCCCAACATCATTTGTTACTTTTCCGAAAGCTTTTTATCTTCTCGTTTCAATTTACCTGCAGAGAAACCAGACCAGAGTCGTTAAGTACAGGTGTCCACCTAATTCTGCTGTTCAGGTAAGAGCATACAGATTTTTTAATCTTATTTTGCAGCCTTCGATTACAGAATGCTTTAACTTTGCAGCATTAAACTTGTTTCAATATTTGATTCAAGAAAAAAGTGTCAAACAAGCTCACGAACGCTTTTTTGATTAAATGTAACTGCTGACTTGTCGGAACAAGGGGTCATTCAAAAATGCGTTTCTCTTTTTTCATCTTTTCGATTCATGCCTCTCAACGTTTAGTCATTAGCCTAAATTTTATCTCTAAAGATTTCGGACAAAGTAACATTTTCAAAGTGGTCCTTTCTTTCCAAATTTGGGATTTAGTTTGATATGAGGCGATAGCACCCGCGAAGAATCACAAATAGTTGAAAACTGTATCAAGCTAATCGTTTTAGTCGTGAAGGGTCGCAAAAGATCTCAACGAATCGCAAAAATGAATCTTTTGTATCTCAGAATCAATTAACTAGAATCAGTTGCATGAAAAACTGGAATCTGTTTCAAATGAGAACCAGGCTTTCCTCGGGAATTATGTATTTTAGAACCTGTAAATGCTTCCTTGTAGGTTTACAACCACCAAAAGCAAACAGCACGTGTTATATTCGGCCCAGACCTGGTATGTATTTTAAATCCATTTGAAAAATTTGTTGATGGAAAATTGTTGGAACTGTTTTAAAGAGCCATTTAATCGATTCTTTTTCACGCACACCTTTCGCCATGCCACTTCTATTTCTGCATGATTTGTTTCGATACTTTAAGTTGCTATATCTTTAGTATCCCTGTTTATATCAGAAAGCATCAAGCAAAATGCGACCCGCGGGCACCAAGCACAAAGTGTACCGTACGGCCCGCGGTTCACACCCGCCCCTTTAAATGTTCCTGTCCGGCCCCTGTAAGAGTGTGGTCAATTAGAATATGAACTCTTTTAGGAGTCTTTTCCCACTTGACCCACTCCACAATTTCATTTATCTATAAATATTTTGCGTTATATCTATAACTTCAATTTCACCAGTACCAGCTAAAATATAGTATAATTTATTGGTTTTACACTAAGAAAGAGTTAATATTGTGCAGTATAAATTTATCGCTGGCTCACCCCTCCAACACCCTTCAGGTTTCTCATGTGTCCCCTTGGAAAAATTAATCCCCCCTTCCTGGTGTATACTAATTATTTCTTGCTTATTTTAAAGGTTTCGCTAGGCCCAGACGAGAACTTCAATGTCTTGAGTCTGAGTGGTAAGTTTGAAAGATACATTAACTGTTTCTTGAGTATTTGCGTATATTGGTAAATTATAACCAAATCGCGAAAGATTTTGAACCGCGAAGGTGAAGATGCTCTGATGATGCAGGTTTTCGTCCGCCAGACAATTTTTTGTCTTTACTGGTCCTAAATATTTCATCGAATGGCTTTTGTTTCGTGTATTTTGCAAAGTATTTAATGAATAACCTTCTTTTCCTTCGACATGTTTTAGTAAAAGCGCAAATGTTTTTCGGTCATTTAATAATAAAGTAATAATTATAAGAATGATAATGTTAATTGATGTGCCAATTGATGACATTGTTGTTTTTTAGAAGTTTGTTAAATCCGTGTTACCAGTATGGTTACATTTTTTATTACAGCTGGTAAACCCAAGAAGAACAATGCTCTCAAAACATTGGCTGTTATGCTAGGCCCAGATTTCATAACAGATATTATTGAGGTAATGCAATCTTTTTCCAAGGATATGTTTGGTAGAAATATTTAATGTCAATCTTCTTTCTTTCGTGGAGAATCACGAAGAATTAGTTTATTTTTTTTCTTTGGAAACTTGGCTATTGTTTTATATTCCTTTCTCGTAGCATTTTGAAGAAAGTAAGATCTGGTTGTAAACAATCAATAAACAAAGTCGTATACAAGCACAAATCATTGTCGTTGAAGATTTATAGCAGGCTAAATATGTTAGTTGTGCATTGTGGTTTTTTCAATTAGGCAGCTAAAAAACTTGATATGCTGCAGCGATACCTGCCCAAGGCTTGGCAAAAACAGTTCTAGACTACCGAAACTATCTTTTCGTGTTATTCGACATACAACTCGCAACATTCAATCTAAAATTCACTCCAGTGGTTTATAGTTTTGAAAATGTCTGGGTTATAATCCAGTTTGAGCTTATAGCATTGAAATTAAGTTCCTGTCTCCTATATTCAGTTGTGTGAATTCGGGTGTGAGGTCAGCAGCTTTGCTGAAGTTCTTCATTACCTTAATTTTCTTGTTTCAGGTTGAAACACTTGATCATGCTAGGCTTCGCATTCAGTATGCTGTCAACAACAAGTTTGAGGTATGATGTATGCTTAATTATTTTCTTCTGAAGTCTGTCATTTGCCTACCCCCTTCGCTTGCACGACTTTTAGCAACAGATTTCACAACAGGGTTAAGAGGAAATTGTGATTTTGCAACCAAAAGTGTCGATTGGAATGTTGAAAATAGAATCTCTTTTACCATGACTAAATAGCGCCGATACTGTGCCTTGGATTTTTTTAGGAAATTTTCAAAGTTTTGCTTTAAAAGCTGGACGAAGTGTTGAAATTTGTAAAGTTTCATAATTGTCTGAACTGTTCCAAAATTGCACATCTATTTTTGCTCATGAACTGCTATTTTCTTATCCTCTTCTTGATAACATACCGTCCCTTGACATAACCCTGAGCAAAAATCATAGTATTAAGGAGCGCTTACCCCCCCCCCCCCCCCAAACTTCGAGCCGTATATTCGACTCTGGATTAATGTTTCAAGAAAATTTTCAGGAGAGCGAAATTTCACTTTGGCTTTTTCCTTACTCTAGCAGCATGGCGGTAGATTTAGTTTTAAAAGCCAAGTAAACTAGCCTTTTGATTTGTCAGGCCTTGTTGATATTTCATTTGATTTTCTCTTCCAGAATCACGCTCCTTTATCATTCTTTCATAGAGCTTGTCATATTCGATAACGCTTCTAGATTATTAAATTCCTTCCTTTTATATTGAAACACCTTATTTCAGTATAAAAAAGGCGATAAAGAATCCGAAGCAAGAATTTTCACCGTTCCAGATTACATAGGATTTGTATGCAACAGCAACGGTAAGTTGTTTGCGAATAACAGACCTTTTAGATCAAAAAAGAAAAATGGGGCTAACGTTACTGCATAGAAAAAGGTTGGAATGAATTACCTTACAATAGAGAGACTCCCTCTTCTCTCTGAAATAAAAGGTAAAGATCCCAAATCCGTCAATAGCTTGATCCTTTAATTAACCTACGCCCCCTTCCTTCTTTGTTTTTCATTTTCAAGCAATGTTGGAATTTTTTGTTGGTATTAGCTTTTATAATCTTAACAATTGTTATGGATCATGTTTTATATGTAATTTTATGTAAATTGCTGTTGTTTATTTTTGTTTAATATGGTTGTCTTAAAAAATGATCTAGGCATCTAATGCTCTCTGTTTGTCTCTTTAGCAAGCCGGATCAGAGGAAGAGTTGCCCGTACCCCTTTTGACGAATTTCACCGATATTCTGCTAGAATCGTGAAAGAGGCCATCTTTGGTGTCGATGAAGATGGTAATATTCGTCCATCCTTGCTGTTCAAAGAAAACAACATGGTTTGCTAATTGTTTAAAATTCATTTTGATTCTGATTTTATTAGTCCTGTTCAATAAAAATGCCATATTCAGTTTTCTGAAAGTTTACGTGGATATATTTGTTTCCGTTGGTTTGGAAGGGAACCACCTTGATATATCAAGATAATGTTGAACGAATGTCTGATATGTTTGGAAGAGGATATGTTTGTTGTGAATTTTAATGAGATTGGTAAAATATTTTTTCGATTTCTTGTAGGCTAAATATATTAACCACAAAGATTTTCCTCGTGAAAAAGTTTCGGACAAATATTTTCACGAAATTTTTTTCGAATAAAATTTAAATGAGACGAAAATTGGTCACGACGAAATTTGTTTGCTCTTTAGAAACTTTGAGAATTCGCATTAAAAACTGTTACATGTGATCAAAAATCAAATTTATGTATCCTTTTAATCAAAAATGCAAATTACGTCATTAACCTCATTTACATCATCATCATCATCATCCGTGTCATTGACTGTCCTTTAACTGCATTCATTCTCACCATCGTTCGATAAAAATGGCTCTACTTTTCTTCTGTCGCTGATTTCAAAAGACTCAATGTCTGTCATTTTATAGTTCAACTGTACTATTTCTTTCATTCGATCAAGGTATTTGAGCTCGTCAGCACAAATGTTAAACTCTAAAGACCGAAAATGCTCAGACCTTTTCGTATTAGAGACGGTCTTATACTTTGTCATTCTTCTACTTATATTCATACTTGTACTTTCAACTATGCTTGTTTATGAACTCTTATACTATATGAACTCTCAGTGAATGGAGACTCTTTGAGTGCTAGAAACATGTCTTTTGATTTACTTACATATAAACAGAGAAAATGTACCGCTTTTATTATGAATTTCCTAAAAAGCTGTTCTATGTGAAAAAGCTGTAAGGAGGTTTAAGCCAAATTGGAAGTGGGTGCTCAAGTCCCCAAGTCTCCACGGAGCTGGTCGTTTTAACTCTAAGAATATTGATAGTATTTTGTTAAAGTCACGACGAAATTCTGAAAAGTTGTCCGCCGAAAATTTATCTGACGAAATTTTTTATTTTTAGTGTAACTAAGTAATTGCATTTTTACACTTACCAATTATTTGCATTTAACTTCCAAATTTTTCCATCTGTGTTAGATTATAACCAACGTTGACATACAAAGCATTGAGCCTGTGGATAGGCAAATGAGGGACAGTTTGCTGAAATCGGTGCAACTTGCAATTGAGATCTCTACAAAGTACGTCTGTCTATACAGGCATTTGTTTGAAATAAACTCTTTTGACATGAGTAGATTTAACAAAAATTGCTTCTTCCAACTGAGGTAGATATCCAACACAAATATGTCAGCTTTAGAAGTCTGTGAATTTTTAACCAATAAATGGCAGTACATTTAAAACAAGAAATGGAAGTATTTAAACAAAAAGTATTTAAAGAAAAAAGAGCCAAAAGTGCAATAATATCAAACGAAAGATATGGTATTGAATTTAGAAACTATTTTGAGACGTTAATAGGTACATATTTTTATTTTTGAAACATTTGTTTATCTTAAAGCTTTCACCTTGTAAGTAGATGCAAATCTGATTGGTCTCTGCGCTTTGTTTAATCTTAGAGGGGATTAGTTTGATTTTTTAATATTGCTTCTTCCAGCTCCATTGAGAGGTCTGCTGCACACGAGGCTGCAAGAACAGACCAAGCTGCACGAGGCTCTTTGGAAAGGTGTAACTTGCAAAACGAGCAGGTTTGATTCAAGTTATTAACGTTGAGAAATTGTCTTTATTTTTCAACTATGAAATAACCGTTGATTAAATCCTTTCTGTTTAAGGAATTGTTTTGGTTGGGTTCGATAAGGCAGAATCAACTTAGCCAGGCTTAAAAGCAATTTTATTTATGATATCATATGTTTAAGCTAAGTTTTACATGATTTCAATATTAAAGCAAGCTTATGTGTTTTGGCTGTATTACGCTTATCTAAATATCGATGAAACTCAGGATCAACTTTTTACGTATGTAACCGTTTGGTATAAAAGACAGTTTGCAGCCAAACAGCATACAGCGCAAACATCAGTTCGCAATTATTTCTCTCTGGTATTCAGACTTGTGAAACTTGTCTTCGTATCTTCGGTGTCATAATAAGCTCGAAAGCATCCTTTTTGGAGATTTCCAACCCTGTGAAACACCATGATAACTCTTTAAAAAGCTTGGTTCCTTTATTTACTACTTAAGTCATATATTTGGGTAGACACTGGGTATGCTCTTTAGTGAAGTATGTACGCATGTTTTCGCAATAGGCCGCTGAGAAAGCCCGCAAGCATTTGTACGAGCTACGTGCAATTACGGCTGCCGTTGAGTCTTCCGGACAAGCAAAGGCCGAAGCAAAGGTAAGATGCATAGTCTCAATTCTGAATTTGAGTCATAATTAACCGCTAGATGGAAGATGCCCCAAAGTGTCATTAATCACAATTCTTTAGGCCTTTAATACAGAGCGTACTGGAAATTTTGTTTGTAAATTTCTCACTCAAGCTGTATGTGTTTGCCTTAGATCCATAATGTTTCATCGAAGTTTGAAAATTGAATACAAATAAACCAAAACAAATTGTTTTCATCTGTGAAGCTTTGTGTGATCGTGTTTCCATTTTTTCAAAAATAATATCTTTTATGTGTTTTTATGACGATGTGAAACTGGATATGTAGGAAGCACTAGCCAGCGATTAGTCGATATAACAAAACAGCATGTTTCCAGACGTATCAGGGAAAAGGCGGTTCCTAAAATATCAAAATGCCGGAATAAAATGCGTTTGAGTCGGAAACCAGAATTTACTCAGAATCCAGAGTACTCCAAAAAACTAATGTGCGGGCAATTTGTAAATCATTGGGCAAGCAAGGTCGTCTTTGCAAGCAAGATCTCTACTTGTGTAGACAGAAGGAGACTCATTTTCTCTCTTTAATTCATCTGGCTTTTTCTCTCATTTTTCATCGGGCTTTATTCTCGTTCCGCAGCTGGATATAAATTTCCGCTTGTTTTCATCATTTTGTAACTTTTAATGTTCTGAGGAATCTCAAACGAAAGTTACTTTAGTATACTATGTTTCCTTTGTTCCATGCTATTTCGATTAAGGTGGCCTCATTGGTTAAGGTTGTCTTACATTTTAGGCCAGGTCTGAGCGTCTTCTTATCGAGGGTCAAAGTGAGATTGAAGGTGTGTATCAAGTAAATCTCGTTTTTGTCTTCTCGGTTCCTGCCACTGTAATTATGTTTGTGTGATTAATTCCAAGCAAGTGTAGAAGATGTTAAGAGGCGAAGATGACAAATGCTTAGAGCGCTTGTCTGCAGTGCTATAGGTTGGGGTTGGAACCCAAGCTCCACCCATGGCGTAAAAAGACCCTCGCCTCGTGTCCATTCTGCAGCAAGTGGGTAACTTGGGGCAACACTGAAGACATTAAATAAATTTTCCATGCCCCCCCCCCCTATCATGCTATTGGCTGAGGAAAGTCCATGCCACACGTATAGATCGCTATACTACACTCTCCTTTATCTTTATCTGATGTCATTTGGGAGTCAGAGAGTTTTTGCAGCGATAAAATTAACATATGTCTGTAGTTCCATCTACTTTAAAAATTGGTTATTTTTTATTGCTAATAGGCTCGAAACTCAAAGCCGAAGCACAAGAAATTGAAGAAGAAGCCAGTCTTGAGTCACTCACTTTGGTATGAAATCTGTGCCATAATCACTTAGATGAGATCTGTTTCTGTGACTTTGAAGTGTTGTTTTGTTTATTTCTTAATATTTTTGGAAAAAGAGGCTTTGATCAGTCTATATTATCAATTCAGTGACCTTGTAAATATTTATTTATTTCTAGCCTCTTCGATTGATTGATGATTACAATGCTGTTTTGCAATGCTGAGTTTCTTTAGTATCATCACTCGCTTAGGCTATTCTTTTAATGTTAACCCATAAAAAGCTAGAAGGAAGTTACAATCATCATAACTATCCATAATACGCCAAAACGTACAAATTTTTGTTCTCTTATAGGCAAGGAATGCGGAACTCGCCTATCAAAAGCAAATGAATGCTCTTGAAATAGAGAAGGCAAAAGCGATTTCAGCAATTGAGGTGAGTCTTCAATTTCATCTCTGATTGCCAACTAAATGGACTTGACTTGTGTCAATTCCGGTCCGGCTTGTATCTCCAGTCCTCTTAAAAGTTATTCTTAGCCGACCTGACCTCTTTTTGAAGCGTCAAGATCCAACCAAATCTATCAACTGCTAACCTGGCCTAGCCTACTTTGACTGACCTTCCTTGGTCAAAAACTAATATTAACCTAACCGATCTTGCGTTACTTGATAACTTGCTACTCGACTGAATTCGATCTGACTGACTCCAAGACCTGACCTGACCTGACCTGACCTGACCTGACCTGACCTGACCTGACCTGACCTGACCTGACCTGACCTGACCTGACCTGACCTGACCCGTTTTACTGCTATGTTTTTCAAAGCACGTGTTTTGAAAATTTTTATTGAACTATACGTCTTTCGTAGATGAAGAGATTAAAAGCAATGATAAGTTCCATTGGAGCTGACACTGTTAGTACTATAGCACTGGCAGGACCGAAATCAAAGGTATTGTCCATACATACGATGCAGGCCATAAAGTTTTAAAATAAAAGCGAATTCCAAGATTTTCAGCACCTGAAATTTTTTTTCGCTGCTTAAGCCACACTTGTGTAGAAAGGAAAGTCCACATATATCTGCATTTCTGTGTCTTTCTCTAAGCTAATTTTTGATACGATTTTTGTGGATAACTGAGCTGAAATCTGGCTCCAACATTTTTATTTTTCCTTTACTATTAAAACTATTTTTTGAGATCAGTTATTTATTTTGACATTGAAAATATTAAGCCAAAAAGCTTCCAGACTTAAGTTCTTTTTCATACTCATTTTCATTTTATAGCCGCAAAAGAAATAAGTGTCTGATTTTTACCACCGAAAGTAAAATAAGATGTTTTCTACAATAATTGAATTATAAGAAAGTAAACAATTTTTCTGTGTTTTGGCGGTAGCTTTCCTAAAATCTCTTGGAATAATACCAAAGTTTTCTACTGTCTTGTCCGCGATAATGAATACAGATGTTAAAACCATGGTTATCTATCATTGAATTCATGTTCGCTTTCAGATTGAGATGCTGAAATCTCTCGGGATTCAAAGCACGCTGATTTCGGATGGGTCGACGCCGATCAATTTGTATCAAGGTGGCAATGGACCCTTTATGAGAACATGATTTGCAGCCCCAGAGACATTAATGATTTTTTACACTTATTTTGACAATTCTGCGCAAATATTTTTATTCACTGCACCATTAACTGCAAACGATTCTTGCAGTATCAAAAGATCATTGAAGCGACACATTTGTATCAAGGTTTGAAGGGGACAGACACATTGCCATAACTCGTGTATGATCATATTGCGTTTATCATTTTCAATCTGTACTCTTTGCCTATCAATGCAAATTCAACATACAAAAAACTATTTTTCTGTGCAAGTCCTTTATTTATGTAAATAAATGAAAGGCCACGGCAGAAGGCTTTACTTGACGGACTTCAAATGCTTGCGGCGAAAAATCGATAGAAATGTAGAAAATATGGCTACGCGCCGAGAACAGACAGCAATCAATACAAGCAAATAAATAGTAGCTAATATTTCGTCCTGTCATACGAGGCTTTGTCAGAGTAAAAGTCGTTTTTTTTCTTAACATTTTGTCAGACCATTCCGAAATAGCCTAACCATAATGTTACAAACAATACGTTTACGTGAACCTTCTGGCCATTCACCTAGCTCCTAAATTTCTTTATCGAAAATTTTCTTTTTCGATACTTTTTACCATTTAAGATCCATAACAATATTTCAACATTTCATACAATTACCTTAGCTTAATAAAGCAAAATAGAATTTGAACAAGTTGCTTACCCCTAAAAATCAATCCTACAAAAATCTTAAATCTAAAAGGTAGACTGATCATCGCTATCCTAAACACAGCAGAGTACCCAGCCCCTGGGAAGATAGTGTTTGGCGCACAACTTTATCACAATTCCACTACAACACAATTTATTCACGAAAGGCTCCCCAGCTTTCAGTACAAAGGTGTAGGGTCAGTGATGCCGCGGAAAGGGGCTCAGTCCGCCTTGTTAAAATTCAGGTAGATTTTTTTGGGGCTCAGCCCTCTTAACAGCCCCCTTTGATATTTGGTTGGACGATTTGTGTTGGCCATCCTATATTTTGCTACATGAATGAGCAATTTTGTATCATCAAATAGTTTGAATGACCTCTACATCCAACGGAGAGTCTTGAGCACAAATGCAAGTACGTATATTCGGTATGGTCAAGTGGTTACGGGTGTGGTCACGGGTGTGGCCTCTTGGAATTGCCTATAGCACAGCCACCCTTTCTAACTTTGTAGGAAGGCACCCCTGTATAGAGTGGAATAAAATTGTACCGCACAATGAAACGTTGGGTAGGAACAGGTGGATGCCAATTTGCGATTAGCTGGCTGGTACACAAGTCATGAGTACACCCTTTTCAGCTGAAATGCAGAGTCCAGTAGAGTTGTCAATCTTCCTCCGGCCAAGCATATCTTGCTACAAAACCTTCCTCATTTTTGATGTGTTTTAAATGGGCGTGGTCTGGAAGTTGGAGGTACTCAACATGTTTTTAACCCTTTTCTTGCAATTCTACTTTTCCAAAACATTTTAAGAATTGTAGCTTGTTTTCAATAATAGGTATTTTGGGGTCAGATAAAAAGTAACATCTCTATGTCAATTAATAACAAATGCGTGTCACATTTTGAATATATGAAATTATGAAAAGTTTGCGCCTAAATTCTACAGTGCAAAGCACTTCTGTAAGAAATCTAATATTAAAAAACAGGAGGTTTATAGATCTTATTTGATCTTTTTTATTTTTGTCTGAGTGCATTTTAAAGCCAAAAGGCAATATTTGGTCACCCTTTTCAATTTCCTTTTGTTTCTACAACCTTCCTCCGGCCAGTGGCCATGGAGCCGTAATGTTTTCTGACTCTGCTGGTGTGGACAACGGGGAAATTTACCTCAACTCTTCCTCAACTTGTTTGTGGTATGAATATTGGGTTTTTTCATCCAGAAACATTTTGATTACAGATGATCAATGGTTTTGTAATTGCGTGATAATTCACCAAATCATGTTTAGTACATGCAGGTTTTCATGGTGATAGAACCGCTCTTGCCTTGGCTTGCATCTTCAACCTTTTATCACATACTAAAGGAAAAAGTCCAGACCAAATAGACATGTCTGCTCGAGCCAAAATCACGACGCAGGATACGGCGGATTTTGTCTGCAAGGCGCGGTCAGCTGTTGATTTAGACGGAAACTTGAAAGATGGCAATCTGGCATGTCCACTTTCGAAGTGGTTTGTTTCAACCATTGAACATTGAATCTTGACAAGCGCTTCTATTGAGATTGTCTCATTTTGGTGTCTCGGATGAAGTATTCAAGACTATATTTTAATTAGTGTTTACGTCACTTTCCAGTGATCCTGAATATCAGCGGAAAATAAAGCAAATTTAAGAAATGATTTTAAAACATGACAAGGAAGCATTTGTATCACTTCATTCAATGTAATCAACTGGGCTAATCATACCAACTGTCCTGATCACATTAAAACAACACCAGCTTTAAACGAGCATTATCAAACTTGATATACCCTTTGTTGATCGTACATTGTTGATCACCCTTGTTGTTTATCATGTCACAATCTTTATTTGATCATCGTCATTATATTATCAGCTATGAGCTATACATCACTAATCGCCATTCGCCAACTTGATTGAATGAATGAACTTGAAAAATTCAAATTAATTTTAATTGGCAAAAGTTTAATAGATCATTTCATCAAAAACCCTAATTTAGACTCGTGACTCATAATATGATGACTGTTTTGAAAGATAGCTAAGCAATTTTTCAATTATCTTTTAGGTGATATATTGAAACTTGTGGTCAAAGGCAAGTTTTCATCGATCGATAGAATGACGCCGTTAAGCAATTGACGTTGCCAGTTGCTCTCCTCGTCTACACCAGGTACCTCATGTTACGTCTTACCTTCTTCGGATTTTCCCTGAAACTTGTTGGATCTTTACCTATTTACTGCATACATTAAAGGCGACTAAATTTTTTTTTAAATACTAAGGCCCAAAGCTGCTACAAAGTTTACTAGAAAGAGTGTGCACCCATTTTAACTTTGCAATTTTGAAGGGGCGTTGAAAATTTTTCAAATATCTTGTCGTATTTCTGCAGTCTGATCCTTGATGAGTCTCCAAATTTCATATCATCATAAAATCTACAGAAATGCACAAACACGATGAAACATTGTGCCCGGACTCGAAATATGCTGGCACATCGTGATTCGAGCTCAAAAACGTGATACTATCTATAGAAAGAGGCCATACTTTAAGTTTGGGGTCTGTACTCACTCTATACATTGATTCGATGTCCTTCTTAACCATTTTGATAACTAGGAAAAAAATTCATAACTTGATTGATAAAGAATTCACCAAGGCAACTTTTTGTCTTTTGTTTTTCAAGGAAATCATCCAACGGGCGTTTCACAAGGTATGGCCAATCAAGGGAAGTTAGTTCGTTAAAATTGCATAGCTTTGTAGGAGTCAGTTTTCTGGACTGCTAACTGTACTTCTTTTTATTCATTTCTCCAACTACCACCAGCCACCCATTTTCTGCCTGCAACCATTTTCGTTCTGAAGGTGAACTGAAATCGCCGACTTACTTTCACACGCTTATTTACATTTGACGGGCCTTGTGGAGGAGTGATTTGTTAATAGCTGTATGGGTGGTTTTGGCAGCCGTAGGATAAAAATAGGTTTAGTTGGCCCGTCCAACGGAAGGTATTTTCACACGAAATTTATCGAAAGTGTTTTTGATGATTAAATGACTAATGAACGGTGCTTCTGATATCAAAATCAGATTTATCTAATGTAATTAAGCCCAATTGGGAACAATTGTGACCAAAAAAGTATGGTGAGAAACCAATCAACGATTGCTCGCCTTAATGATAGGCAGATGATAAATGTCATAAACAGATCACTTACATGGCCATGTCACATCTAATGTCTATAATTTGGGTTGTTCCGGACTATAATTTATGGTAATCGGAGGTGGATGTGCGAAGAGCAAGGTCGTTTTAGCAGCCGAGGACGAGTCTTAAACAACACAGGAGTAGGACAAGTATTTTAGATTTATATCTTTTTTTAATTACGTGAATGCTTGTGTTTTTATGGCTGCAAATTTAAATGCAAAAGTCTAGAGCCTGACAAAAATGCAGGTAGAAAAAAGGCAGGCGTTTGACATAAAGTCTTTAATTGGAAGTCCAGACGAAAGCCCGAAAGAGGACAAGTGCAAACGCAGCAAGGAAGATTTCTCTCGAAGGGAGTCAGGCTTCTTGAGTGAGCAAAGATTGAAACCGTATCAAAGAGATGGTTGCGACTCAAAGAACGAAAGCTATCGTTCTAGGATTCTCCCAAAGGCAATTCGCGGAGATTATTTGCGAGGCTCTGGACAAATAAAGCCTGCATGCTTTAGAGAACATCCAGATATTGCAGCGTACTGTTCGTCAAAGACATTTCCTGTTCCCCATAACTCATGTTGCTTTAGAAATAATGAAGAACTTAGCCGCAAGTACATTGCGTTACCAAGTTATAGCAGAACTGACCCAATTCTAGCTAAACACACAATCCAGCCTTGTCAGCAGCTATTTCCAAGCCACCCTGGACCACAGGACATAAGATCATACTATTTTCTGCAGCCTGGTAAGAAAGTTTTCAATAATCTGTATCTACCTCTGTTTTTTAAGTATTACAATTGTTTTAATTCATTAGCTTAATCACTCTTCATAGCTATCCTCTTATATACTTCTTATATCTTCGTAGCTATCATACTTTCTAATACGCCATTTTATGGGTACGTTATCAAACAGTCCTCTTATATTTTTGTTGACTTATAACCATCACATTTTTTTCCAATTTATATCTTCATACCGCAAAATTAGACTATTGGTTTGTTCTGTGAAACCGTAATTATGTTCCTAATAGAAAACATGTCCATTTTTGCCGAGATTTTTGCCTTAGAAGGTTTTTTATTGTTTTTAAGTTTGCTTTTATTGCTTTGTGAATATCTAAGGGGTCTTAATTTCTATAAAGGGAAAAGTTCTCTTAATTGAAATGTTTCTTGTTGTAGAAAGAATTAACAGGAAGAGTGAGAGATTTAGATTTTTGACAAAAAACCCATAAACGTTATTTTTTTCGTAAATTTAAACATAACATAACTGCACTAGAACAGAAAAAACAGAAGATGAAATTCAATAATTTATTCAATGCTAAGTGTCAACTTATGCTACTTTAAGATTATCTGGTCTTCTCCTCTAAAAAAGGCATTTTAAGCCTGATACCTAATTGCAAAAGATTTTAAGTCTGCTTCTGAACAATGGAAGAATTCGTTTTATAAAGCTTTCGAATCTTTCCCTCAAAATGTAAAAATCATATACATAAATAGAAAACTAAGTTATATTTCCAACAAGATCAAAGGTTTTTAGACATTTAGTAGGCTAGCTTTATACGGGTTATTCGCCCCTCTGACCCCCTCTATCTACATCATAGCCAGTGGTTTGTTGTTGTCAGATATATGGTGATTGCCTAATTTTTACTAATTTACTAATTTTGTACCCATTGAAGGATAGATGTTGCATTAGATTGTGATAAAATTGAAAATGATAATTTGAGTGATAATCAACTTTATGTGGTCTGAGTGAATCCAATAAACCTTAATGATATTGAGTAATGAGTGCTAACTATGGTGATTTTCACGATTGGTTGGAAATTTGATTAATGTAATTGTCCAATTATAAATTGTTACGACCCTTTGAGGTTAGGATATTTATACTTCTAGCCATTGTGAATGCCTTCAATTTGACGTCATTGCAAGGAAAATACCAGGAACTTTTCAGTATTAACATGTTGTGCCAAATTTTTTGGTGAATCATTGACCCAAGTGTATTCTGTACCAAACCTGTTTTTGTAAAAATTGCAAAAGGTGCAAGATTTACGTAGCAGTAACTTGTAATCATCTTTGCTGATAGCTGATACCATACCATTCAATCCATGTTGGAACATATGACGAAGCTGTTTTTGTAGCACTTTAGGAACAATATCATATGCAGAGGTCAAGAATTTATTTGTTTGATAATTGAGCGACACATGTGAAAGTGCTTCACCTAGGGAAGCAACTACTGGCAAGGAAAAAACTGCATTGTTGTCCCCAATCGTCCAAAATCTGAAAATCCATGCCCTGACCTGACCTAACTTTGAAATCCGCATCAGGTCATTCTTTCTCGAGGATGCTTTTTGGAGAAAAAGTTGTTAAAAGTAACAATTGAAATGTCCAATACATCGCGCTGTAAAACAGTGAACAAGACAGTACAGAAATACTTTTAATTTATTTTAAAATTAACAAAGAATATACCGTGTAGCTATAAAACATTGCTTACTTGATTGCTTACTTCGCATTGCCCCAGAATAAAAGTAAACTTTATTTCCAATTTTAAAGAGACTTTCCTTTTGTTTTAGATCTGATCAACAATTACAGTATACCATATCCACGCCCCGACCTAATGGCAGCACAGAATACAGGTAGAAGAATTCGGACTACGTTCACCCCATCACAATTAAATGTATTAGAGAAAAGATTCAAAGCTAGTCATTACATAGTTGGGGATGAAAGAAGGGAACTTGCGCAGGAGCTTCGCCTAAACGAGTCTCAGGTAAGAACCACCTTGTCACTAGGCCCACCATGGTCCCACAATGGAGCTCTACTGTCACCTATGTTCCCATGGAATAAGCTCCTACAATTTTTGCTCGCATTGCCACTGAATTAACCTTGTGATGAGAAAGACATCGGATTACCAAACAGATACGAGACAAACCAAACTGGGCTATGAATGGCATTCTTTCTGTTTAAGATCATTCTCAAGACAATCCACCAATCGATACAGCTGGAAAGAGCGGAATGGTTATAATTAAAGTTTCTCAAGGAAAATTTAGAAATGAATATACTTGATCTTGAATGGAAAGTAAATAGTCGTTTGTTTCTCCCAAAATTAAAACATAATTTCAAGGAAGCCATCGCTAGAATATTTTCGCTGAATTTTTTCGAAATAAAAATGATTTATTTGTAATATGCTAATTTACTAACACTGCCTAAGTATTGTAGCTAATTTAGACTGATACTTTTTCAAAAACAAATTTGACCAAGAACATCCATAAGTGAAATACAACCAAACTCTTCAGGGCCTTTGCCCTGCCCCCCCCCCCACTTTTTACAAAAAATAGAGTTTTTCAAATTTTCTATTGCCCCCTCCATTTTCTAACCTATGTCGGAACCCATGCTCTTTGTTCATTGCTCAACTAAGTTATGGTTCTTTCTTTTTCAGGTAAAAATATGGTTTCAAAACAGACGAACAAAATATAAGCAAGAAAAATCTTTCGAAGAAGTGGGAACTGGTAAGGTAGGAAAACGAAAAGGAGAGCACCATGTTAAGAAATGGCAGTTGGATACAAGCTTCGTCGAAACCACAACTAAAAATGGTTTATTATAAACTTGGGGAATCGCAGATATTTCTTGTGACAATTAGGGAAAACCTAATTCATATTCATCGTTGGGCCTCGCAGCTTAAATATTGGTTTTCAGGGTTTTCATTGCTGCTAGAGAATCAAGCAGAGAGTCAAGCCATCACCAGTTGAAATTGTTTTCCTTTGTAGCTGGCATCCTTTTTGCAAAGAGTTAAGCAGTCGAATTAAAAGATGTTATAAGCAAATGTTAGTTTGATACTGTTAATTGACGTCGAATTATAAATGTCGAGATTTTACAAGATTTTTGCTCAAAATGAAATTTTTCATAAAGATCTATAGACATAAGAAATACATTTCCGTTGTACTCATCTCTGTTGAATTGTTTGTTGTACTATAGCTTTTTGGTGACAACAGTTAAGAAGCATTTCAAGGAACGTTTAAATTTCATAGAAAATAACGATAAGGCTGTTTGTCTCCTCCTCAGCGATTGGCTGATTTGACCAATGGGTTTGAGCAGAGGGGACAAGCATGTTTACAAGCTTAATCGATTAATTAATTTCAGTTGATCAGTTCCTGAAGAACCTTTTGATACATTCAATTCTGAAAATTAGCCAGAGATGGCGGCATGTTAACCAACGAAAAACTATCATATGATTCAAATTATCTAGTTAATGGGAAAACATGAAAAATTAAATCGTATTTTTGACCTTAAATTGAAAATGAGTTTTCATTTACATCAATTGTCGCCATTCCAGGATTTCAAAACCAAAGTAATTGCAAATGATGACCAATGTACCTGTGTCTCACATGGCAATCCTTAACATGGTCTTTTAAGACGTATTGCTAAGCTTGGATATCGGTACAAAGCAAGTGAAGGGGTAAAACTGAACATGGAGTCATCATTTTTCCAAACATTAAATACCTTCAATTGGCAGAAAGCAGGTGCTTGGAAGCAAAGATATTTATGACGTTTACAATGGTTTCTAGTAAACTATATTGCACGAAAAGCAAACTATTGCACACCATTATTTGATTTAAAGCAAAAGAAGAAACTTGTACTCGTTTCGAGAATAAAATTGGCACCAGTCTTAGAAACACTACAGCTATCTAGACTTGCATAGAAAGAGAATGGATACTCATAAAAACTGAAAACTCCATTAGCTTCAATAGCTTTATACAGATGTACTGTTTATGTTTAAAAACTAAGATTGATATAAAAGATTTGTATGATTAAGAGATATAAATATAATGTAGAGTTTTTCATTATGTCTAAATCGTAGTTGCGTTGCGTGTTTAATTTATTGTATTTTCACAACATGCACAATATTTCATATATTCAGATAACTTATTTCGTATGATGTCTTCTAAGCTGAAAATAAATTTAGATATGTATATGTTTAAAGCCAAATTGTATTTGTAACTACTTGTAACAGAAATATTGAAATAATTAACAATCGATGAGCAACTCTTTGCATACATTCTTTAACGCGTGCTTCTTGATTTAAAAATACGTGCAATTCATGATTGTGAGGCCTATTCTTTGCGTCAGGAACTTTAGCATAGGACCAGCAAATAATAAAAGGTGCTTTCTTGTTGTTCAAAGGATTTGTTGGGTAGTGTGATGTTTTCATCTCTATGGATGTTTTATATCCAATGACTTTTTGTTGAAGGTGTTGTAAGAGCTTCCTAGCGGACGCTTCAGCTTCAATAAATGAAGTTGATTCGCAGGTTCTTGATTACTTTATAATATATTTGTACGACGTGTCAAAAACGCACCCGAGTTGATAAACAGGACAATATTCATCATTTAATGCCCGAGAATCTCCCAAATATGTGTCTTCGTAGATCCCTCTATACATCTATGTTCTTGTAGTGGTGTCCTTTGTGAGAAAATCAGTGGCTTTACTAGTGACGCCGGAGCACTTGACTACGGGATTGCTAATGATCATCCGTAACAAGTAAGGCTAACATCTCATTACATATAAAAATGCAGAAATATAAAAAAGAAATGACCTATCATATCACCTGACATAAGATTAAAGGATAGTGGGAAATATGCATCTGCCTGAAAGTGCACCCTATTTATGTTTGTCTTCTAAGGGCGATTCACTCTGGAAAAGATGTACGAGATTTTCACCAGATAAAAGGATTTATATGGATTTACTAATGAAAACAGAGGGATTTTCACCAAAGGTGTAAGAGATTTCTACAGAGTGATTTACCCCCTGTTTCTACAGAGTGATTTACCCCCTGTTTGATGAAGAAAATTATTTAGCAACAACAACAATATGAAAAATCATCCAATTCAATCATAACAAGAGCATGTTTTCGAACAGGCTAACTCCTGAAAGAAGTAAATTGACAAGCCTGCTAAGCGAAATATAAGCAATGGATGGAAGGAAGGAGCATAAAACGGTAATTTGCAGTCATTTTTACGCTTACTCATACAATTTCGGATAAAAATTGATTGTCTATGCCAATGAAGGGTAGGCCGTGTAGGACTATTAGTGGAGGAGAAGATCAACAAAATGGCAGTATGCCAATCTACTCCAAGACTCCATCCAATAGTGCTCTAAGGGCATTCAATTCTGCATCTTCCATTCTGTGTTTAGTTTAGCAGTTCTATCTTTTACTAGCATCGTCATAATTGCATACTTGTATACCTTATAAGTATATTATATACCTAAGTTTTCGCCTGTCTTCTTTTACTTGTACTCTGAATCAATCAACTCAGAAAAACACTGTTCAGTACGGCTCACGATCTGTTCTTTTTTGTGTGCTGAATTCTGGAATAGTATTCCTACTGCTATCAAAGAATCTGTATCATTGGTTTGCTTTCGTTATAAATTGAAGTCATATCTGCTTGCAAAACATTGACAACTAACCCTTGAAACTTCACACACTGCTTTACAATCCTCACTAACAGAAATCGGAGTTTGATTTTCGGTATCGTTTATTTTGATATTTGTGAAGTGCTGAAATATCTTTGTGTATAGGGGGCCTCTCTCCTTGATTAGTTTGCTATTGGGAGAATTCCTCCTTTAAATGATTCCCCCCCCCCACCATACATATATCCCACATATAATTTGTGTTCCACACAATTATTATAATGTTTGTTTGTTATTTTAAATTGTTTTATTTTTATTTAGTATTTCGTGGAAGTGTATGTTGTGGAATTTAAAATATGATGAACCTGAATCTGAACTTATTATTTTAGAGGCTACCGAACGGTGGCTCCTCAGATGAAGACAATGAGGAATATGTACCATATGTTCCTCTCAAAGAAAGAAAAAGACAAATGGTAATTCTACCTTCTCATAGTTTCTTTGGTTCAGCAGCATTTCTTGAAACTCATCGAAAACTGCTTAATTACTGTCCTAGAATAGAAGGGGGGTCTCTCCTTGATTAGTTTACCTATTGAGAGATCTCCTCCTTTAAGAATTCCCTTCATACAATTTATTTTGTCCTGTATTTGTATTTATACTATTATGTACTTTTGTTTAATAATTTCTTTGTAATAATGATATGTAAATTGTGTGTTGATAATTTAAAAAATATTTAACTGAAATTGAACTGAATTTTCCATAACACTGAAAATATTTTTGATAATCAAGTGAACTTTAAAAGTTTTCTCTAGGAATCAGTGAGTTTTTTTATTTTTGTAGTTGCTTAAAAGACAGCAAAAGCTCCAACAAGGTAAAAAGAATTCAGCAGCTGTAGGGGAAAGTGTTCAAGAGAATGATGAGGTAGCTTTGAGGTTTTTCATGTTATTATCATACTCTTAAAATACTTAGAACATCTCTTGCTTTTAGGAGATACGTTTTAGGGATGCAGTTTACTTGGTGATCTGAGTGCTTGGTGATGGCTATCCTCCATTCTAGCTGTTTAATTTAATTGTCTAAGTAGTCAAGCAAAATGTTTTGAAAAAGCACCAGAACATCAAAGTGGCAATGTATTAAAAATGCAACATCAAACCACAAATGGCCAGTGCATCATTACATTTTGTCTTCCTTGAAACGAAGACAAAAAAATTTTAATCCAGTTTACAACACAACATTTTCTATCCTGCCTGATTCCTTGTTTGAAAGTCCATATCAATTTTAATTTATATGTTGATAGCTTCTGAAATCAGACCCTTGCTCTGGATGATGATCCATCATGGCATCTTTGTTCATAACTTGAAAAACGGGGACCTTTGGATATTTTGAAGATTTCTATTAGAAAAAGTTGAACCAAGACATATCTTTTTAAAGCTTATACATTAAGAAACATTTTAGTTCGTTTTGTAAGTCACTCAGAGTTGACAATTTTTAGACATTAGCCAATGAAAATTGATATGCTGTTTAGATACAATAGTGACAGCAAACCAAAGAATGACATGTGCCAGATTGCAACAACAGGGAGATAACATGTCTCATTGAACTGTGCAACAATGGTAGTCTTTGAGTTATATTAATTTAGAGTAGTAGCTATTTTGGAAATCACAAGAGAGAATAATTTTTATGCTTGCAGGATCACTAATTTTGTAACAGTTTAGTTTAAGTGAAAAAAGCAAAGTTGCTAGAAAGATTCTCTTTAGTCAGGCAGCTGTCAAGAGGAAGTAGGCCAGTTGTACTTCCCTTTGTCTGCCTCTTGACCTTTACACCCTTGACTTGACTTTTTGCAGCTATATGAAAACTAACGACCAGCTACTCAAAGGTAGCTGTGCCTTTAGACTATCTACTATTTGATATCTTTCTTGGATCTTCTCTATGATATTTGGAACTAATCTTTTACAAGTTCAAATACTGCTTTTACTAAGCTATCTTATTTTTAGGAGGAAGCATCAAATGTAAGTAAAAGAACAGACCAGAGTCTATTAGATCAGCATCTAGAACTGAAGAAAAAAGCAGAAGGTCAGTGTCTTGTTGTTTGCAATTTCTTCTTTAGTCATCTATTTAAACCACTTTGCCTTTATCAATCAATAGTCTTACAAACCTTCCATCTCCCCTGATATGCCCATAAAGAGGCAATTGTAACCTGAAAAACACCCAAGAAATGGCAAAAGGTTCCAAAGAAATTCCTCCCTGTTTTACATTTGAGAAGATTGGCAGGCTTTGTCTATTTACCCTTGTACCCCAATTTCTCTCTTCAAATTCAAGGTTCTCAAGACATTTCTCTCTATTTCACATTTAAAAAATTTGGTATATTTACTGCATCTCCTTGTTCTATCAACATTCTTGGTTACTAGATTGAGCATTTTTTTTTCTTAAAAACTTATCAACATCCCCCACGTGTCTCTATCTTATGCCCACTTATTGTATTATTTTCCATATTTGTTTCAGCCAATCTTTTATATCAACAATGAATTTCCTTAAGGATGAACCCCTTTGTGTTTTCCTGGATTAACCCAGTCATTACCTCATTGGCTAATAGTTTTCCTACAAGTATATTTCTACTTGTTTTCATAAAAGCCTGTTTTTTATGCCTCCTCAGTTCATGATAATTGCTGTGTGTTCCAAACACTATTACAACTGTTTTGAATTTGCAAACGCTAAAATTTTTTAACATCATTTTTACAGTAATCAAAGAGACGAAAATTGAAAAGCAGCTGAAAGAAGAAGAAAAGATTTTGGAAAGCATAGCAGAAAGAAAAGGTACCTTTAGAAGACTTTTGAAGTCAATGTTGAAAAAATAAAGATCGTTTTTTATTGTACATTGTAACTTTGTAGTAACCCAAAACAAAATAGTTTCATGTTAGCTTTGATAAAATTTTGACATTCTTTAGTAGATCACATGCCATTTCATTTGCCTCTCTTAAAGCCAAACTTGAATAAATTGAATATGATAATAAGTAAATTTCAGGAAAATCTTAATACGGGTAGGATTAACTCTTTTTCGAATCTGTTTTTATTTTGTAACCTTTCTTTTTTTCAACAGCATTAATGGCTGCAGGTGAATTAGCCAAAGGGATTGTCTACGAAAATCCTTTGATTACAGGGTATGATTGTTATAATGAATATATCAAAATTTCATATAGGCCTGTTTTTTAACATCTCAAAGTTCTTTTCTATGTTAAGAACCAATTGTTTTTGTGAAGATATTTAAAAATCTGCAACACTCTCAGTGCAAGTTTCGCTTTCCATGCACCTATGTGCTTCTTTAACTTGATACCTAGCTTGTTATGTTTTTGCATATTGAGTTTTGCACTGGCAATTTTCGCTTTTGCAAGGGTGTAATTTAAATCCATGTAACACATATTCTTTTATTTTATCTTATATGAATCAACAATTTCAAGCCATCGTTTTATCTTAATCTTTTGCAAATTGGCAAAGCACTTTGTGTTTCAATACATTTACATCAATGTGTACGGCTTTTAGTTGGAAGCCACCAAGATTTATAACTCGATATCCTGAAGCAAGGCATGAGCAGGTGCGCACAAAGAATCATATAATGGTGGATGGGGAAAATATTCCACCCCCTGTCACTAGTTTCAAGGTAAGGCTTTAGGTATACAAGCACTTCACTGAAAGAATGGCAAAGCGTTGCCTCTACGTAACTCTGTGGATCATTTTCTTTGAGACACTTACGCTTCATAGCACTCTACCCTGTCCCTTCTCTTCGCTGTCCCTTTTCTCATAGGCTACCTTTGCTGAGTTTTAAGTTCGCATTTTCTTTTGTTCTGCCTTTCTTTTTATGCTTTTCTTATGTATATTTGTCCTTGTTTCTCTACTTGTCTTTGCCCAAATAAATTTTCGAGGTATCTCCTACTATATGCTTTATTCCAGAGCTGGAAATACCATCCAGACTTGTAGCAGTATTAACGGCATTTTTGCTATTAGAAAAATTTTAGTTAAAGAGTAACTTCCAAAATTTTCAATAAGGATAAATAGAAATTGAAGTGGGAGAGAAAGGAGGGCAAGGACAGGTTGTCAGCGGGGCTGTGACAAGAAGTAATGCTTTTCCCCTGCCTGAAGCGATGCAAAGTTTTTATTCTTTCTTCAAAAAGGCAAATTTCATGGAACCTAACTATCATGTTTCATACACGTACGATTTTTACACTTTGAAATTTCTCCATTAATGAAACATGGATTTGCATCTTTTATCGTATTTTTCCTGCAAATGCTTTGCAAATTTCAATGTAATTCTACGTATGACGATTTTAAATCTCTGCCAATTTCACGTTATTTGAATGTAGAACATCAAATTTGGATACGTTGATGTTTGAGCTAATAAGCTGAAGAAATCCTACATTTACTAAATGTTCTTATTGTATAGTAAATCGCTTTTCATTAAGGAGGATGATTACAGCCTACAATCTGGGAAAAGTTAGGAATGTGGCCCAAAATTCAGACCACTTTTGTGTAAAACTTTAGTGTCATTCTGCTTCTGATAATATTAACCTTTTGACGTTTCAACCATGAGATTTCGCTACTTTCAAATAAATATTTGCTCGTTCAGTAGATTTTGGTTACAGTCACAAAATGTTGCTTGAAAATTTATGATAATAAGCGGATTGCGACTATGAACGGAGCTAGATTGAATAATTTTGCATATTTGGGTCTGAATTTTAAGTGATTGTAAATGGTAGTGTGACTTTATGCGATGTGGCTAAAAGCGGAGTCGACTGTATTAAAACAGTCTTTGCTTTTTTTGTAGGAAATGAAATTTCCAAGAGCAGTTATGAATGTAATGAAGCGGAAAGGAATCAAGCGCCCGACTCCGATTCAGATTCAAGGGATTCCATCCGTGTATGACCTGATTTTGTTCTTCATATTTTGTTATCTTGTTACTTTGATAAACTTGCCTCAAGCAGATTTATCTTGCAGGTAAACTTTTAAAAAAATAGAACTCTTTGAATATTTTATCTACAAAATTAAGCATGAGGTTTTTTCAAGGTTTGAGAATTAAGGATTTCAGCAAACAGCTTTTCAAGAGGCAAAGACAGATATGTTAGACTTTTGAAATTTATTGCTAACCCTGTCAAAAAGTTGAGTTATTTAAGCAGAATTGAATAGAAATTTAAAGGAATTTGTTAGATTCCCGCTGTTTACGTATCTTTAAGCAGCATGCTTCGTTGCCAGTTCAATGTAATTTATCTTTCAGACTGTGTGGTCGAGATATAATTGGCATTGCGTATACGGGATGTGGCAAGACCTTAGTATTTGTTTTGCCAATCATTATGTTTTGCATTGAACAGGTTAGTGTTAAATTTAATTTTTTCAGTGTTATAAACTCTAGGCCGATGATACATAGATAGTTACACAGTTAGAATTTGTGAGGCATATATTGATTTCATATTCAAACTCGTACGGGAATAATACAACATATAAATCTAAATACTTAGCAAAGCAACTAACCCAAAGTCACGTACGCCAGAGTTCAATCAAATATATGTCAGAATTTTTGTTGATGGGAACAAGGACTAGGTATAACCCTATTTCCTAAACTCGATCGTCTCAGTAGGTGTTCGTTCTTTTTTGTTCTATCAAACTATTTCATAATTAGAAAAATCTTTACGATTTATTCAGTTCAAGAATGGAATAGGCTCCAGAGAGGAGATTGTGGTGAAATCTGTACTATGCTGATGTAACTAAACTTGAAAGGAAATTGTCTCATGGTTTACTTTCAACTTCTGTCAAAGAAAGAAACCTGTGTATTCTACAACAACGCCTTTCTCAACCCATTGACAAGAGAATTTCAACCCCCAAGACAACTGTCACTAAAAGCTCAAAATACACGAAAGAGGCTCTATAATACCATATAATTTAGACATGTGCAACCTGTGGTATCTGCCTTTTCGTAATTTTTTAATTTCAAAACATTATTATTCGGTTTTAGGAGAAAGCTCTGCCTTTTCGGAAAGGAGAGGGACCTTATGGTCTCCTCATTTCCCCTTCGGTAGGTTTATTCATTCATAACCTCAATCAACTAGTTTTTGTGTATTACAATCTTTTGAAGAACCGAGTAATTTTTGCCAAGGCTCGTTGTACCAAATACACACATTTGTACATACATAAGGACAAATTGTTAGACTGGGTATGTTTCAGCGCTTTTCTTGGTTTTTGTGTGTGGAAAATCGAGCCTCAGTGTCCTTATGTGTACTTATAAAGTAAAAGAGTGTGCTGAGATAGCCTGTCGTTCTTCTGATAAATCACAGCTTGGATGACTAGACAACTAATTAGGGTTTTTTTGTATTGAACGAATCTAAATAACGAGGATGTATGGTCTTGTCACAACTAAATTTCTGAACCACATACTAAAGTTCTGAACCTCTGTAAAGGTCCAATACAGCAGTCAAGGCGCACCATAATTACACTTTTAGTGCACCCTCGATATTGGCCCCCTTATTGACGTCATTCTGAAAAACTTCTTGCAATCCCCCAGAGGTGTATAGCTTTGAATACAGAAGGTAAAAGTGCTTATCAAATCTGTTTTGCGAGTGTTCTTTCACCCAAATAAATAATATTTCTTATTTTATTTTTGCAGCGTGAATTAGCAAAGCAGACTCTGGAGGTTGTTGAAGAATTTGCTAATGAACTTGCTCACGATGGTACGTGCATTTTGAATTTTTCAGTTGTTGCTATGAGTTTTTCATCTCAAATGTACCCCAGCTTCATGTTAGGATTGTCTGCTATATATTTACGTGGATTTATATCATAGATTGATTTAATCTGAACCTCTCAATGCTTGTAGGTTTACCTCGATTGAAATGCATTTCTTGCATCGGTGGACATGCCATGAAAGACCAAATTAGTGAAATCAACAGGTCAGTATCTCAGCTAATGAACAATAGATTTCAAAAATGGTGTATCAGCTGACAAATGTTTCTCAATTTTTCCACAGTACCCGTCTCTGCATTCCGACTCTGTAAAATTGAAACTTTACTTGATTTTTGTATTTTTGTTTCCTTTTCTTTACCGCAATTATTGTGCAGTTAATTCTTGGTTTTAATTCCTCCTCCACTTTTAAAGGTTTGCCTTCTCTTTCACAACTTTCACCTGCAAATTAACAATCGCAATTTTGGAAAAAATTCTAAATACATGAACTTGGATGAAAAAAACCGTAGAAAAGTGTCAATTTGATGTCCCCATGTCTTTTCTCCTCGGGGTTGGTTTGGGGAAACTAAAGTTAAAAAAGGAACACCAGTCACATTCTAGAAATTCTTGGATTATCTCGCTTTTCAAGAAGCATTTTGAATGGTCTAAGGGATTTATTTAAAAACTCGCGTCAAATTTTCAGATATAAGAGTCATACGAGAGTTTAATTTTGCTAAAATGATCGTAGATTCTGACTCTTCCACTGATAGTTTCTTAAAAATGCTATGCAAGACAGTAAAAACCAAATAAATGTATGAGTGAGTTTCTGTAACAAGCAGTCTATATCAGGAATGTTTCTGGTATTTCAAACTCTGATTTTGATATTGAAGGTGCTTGATTAGCAAAAAGCAACCTCGGCGTTCTTGATCTGCAGTTTATGTGGGTGTTCACTGTAGTCGAATGTTTTGAGAGAACATTTAACTCCGGTTATAATCAACTCCGGTTATTATCAACTCCGGTTATAATCAACTCCGGTTATAATCAACTCCGGTCTAGAGTTTTTTATCCGGTTATAATCTGCTGGCTATCAGTATCTAGTTTCTTATATCTTAGAACCAAGCTTACAGAACTAAGGTTCGGTCACGGGCCTTTTACAGTCACGACTTTTAAAGCAGCGTTTTTCATGCCTGTATCCGGACTCTAATCTACGTGTGTTCTGATCGCGATTTGCTAAATCTATTCATATCTTATTATATAGAAATACAATTCTTTTGTAATTAGTTTTTAACAGAATGAGATAAAATAAGAATATAAAGATACCTTAGAAATATAGATGCCCTAGAAAGATTGTCTATGAATTGTATTTTACATATGACGTCTTACAATCAAGGTTTTAACCTCCCTATCATCTGCTTCAGGGGTGTGCATATTGTGGTTGGAACTCCTGGACGGCTAATGCACTTACTGGACAGTAAGATTTTGAAGTTGGACTCATGCAGGTAAGTGATGTACAGCTTTACTCAAGTATTTTTAATTATTACCTTTGGTTAGAATCGAGATATGGCTGGAAATGGTGAACAAAATTGTTAAAAGGGGGTACTATTTTTTAGAATAGTTATGTAGAAATGAGTTGTGCTTCAACATGCTAGTTTGATTTTGCTGCATCTCCTTGGAATTCAAGACGATTCCTGTTTGTTGGGTCTTGCCTCTTACGTTTTGCATTATATACAGCCAATGCTCATAAGAATAATTGTAAAATTCATTATATTGCTCACCTTGTCATTCATTAATCGCCAAAACATGTTTATGAATTGTTACTTGAAAATGTCCAAAGCATAAAATGCCTTAATAAATGTGCAAAGTCACGAAGAATTATGCCAATTGTATCATCTCAGTTTGGCTGTATATCGTAAAACATCAGTCTTAAACGGATTAAGATTGAGTTGATACTGCTTTGACTAGCAATATTTTCAAACTCTCAAGAATTTTCATTACGCCCAAAGTTTCAAGATTATTTTTCATTCCAACTTTTAGGTATGTTTGTCTTGATGAAGCGGATCGGATGATTGACATGGGCTTTGAAGACGACGTCAGAACAATATTTTCATATTTCAAGGTAAATTGCACGAGTTAGTATCAACAACGAACCGATGGTCATGGAAAGAGAGCCAGAAGTTATCAATTTTCTCTTTTCATCCATTCTTTCGTTTGTCTTCCTTTTCTAACACTAGTTTAATTATCAATGTTTTCTTTTTGTCTTTATAGTCTCAAAGGCAAACGTTGTTCTTTAGTGCCACTATGCCAAGAAAGATTCAAAATTTTGCCAAAAGTGCACTTGTCAAACCAGGTATGTTTGACGCATCAAATATGTTTTGCAGCAAGCGAAATGAGCACTGATTAAACAATGTCAGAAATCTCATAAGATCTAGCGGCGATGATGTTATTACGTCATGTAATTTGATCGTGTTATGATAAACAACAACCTAGTAGGATATAAGTAGGATCCAAAGATGGCGCGTTATTTTTCAGTTTTTCAATATCCCTTGCCATTGGGATGAGATTTGTTCTTTTTTGAATATATTGATAAGTATTCATAGGACGATGCTTGGAAAAGTTCTTGATTCTTAATTCGTGCATGTTTTACATTCTGAGAGTGATACGCAACCTTGCAGTTTTTCTGCCTAGGAATGAAGTATAATGTCTTGAAGGGAAGGAGTTTAACTTTGTTTTAATTTCATCGTTGATGTTCAAATTTACTGATCTCTTCTTGATAGTAAATCGATATCAAGTAAAGTTTCTTAAATTCCAGTGACAATTAATGTTGGTAGAGCTGGTGCTGCTAGTCTCAATATTATTCAGGTAAATGAATTTATTGTCGAAATTTTTGCGCTGCTCTAACTTTTCAAGCACAAAATGTTATTAATCAATTTTGGGCATAATCAATTTTAATAGTGAAGAGAAGCTACAAGGCAGAAGGGGTAGCAAGTAGGTACTTTTATCTACAGTTGTTAGTGTCTTGTTTGACTTGTAAATGTATGTGAAGGTTTGAGGTCGATTAAGCGAGTCTGTGATATATTGTAGGGATGGAGAAAGTATTTAAGATTGAAACCAATGTGAGACTTATGCTCCTGATAAAAAAATTGCATCTGCAATGTGTTTTGTTATATCAATGCTACGTAAAAGTGTTTTTTATGAATGCATGGGATAAAGGCATTTAAAGGTTTTATCGATCCACTCCTTGCAGAACCAACGATACAAAAGTATTGCTGCTGTTATTAAGACCAACAGTCGTAAATATTTAGATTTTTTCACTTTTCATTTATTGCAGGAAGTTGAATATATCAAACAAGAAGCTAAAATTGTGTACTTGCTTGAGTGCTTGCAAAAAAGTGCGCCCCCTGTAAGTTGATTCGACAAGCTGCCATTTCTTTCAAGTTATTTTTTGACAATCATATTCCTTCATGTCACCATGCTCGTTCATTTTTATTCTCTCATATTCCTTAAATATTTGTGTATATCGGAAAGTATGCCCCAAAAATTTATTGAAACAAAACATTTGAGTTTGGATTGAATCGGCAAAGTAAAATATTAAATGCCAGAATATACATTGGTGCATCGAAAATGTTTTGCATGTAAACTCTTTACTCTTTATTTTTAGTTTGTTTATCTTGATTCTTTCTTTAAGAGTTGTAATGTTTCCATTTAGCTCAATCAGTGTACTATAATTTGAAATGTCGATCCTGTCTATAAATTAAATACCTATTTTCAATAAGTTTTATTTTGATATACTAATCAATGAAACAAAGTTAGAATTTTTAGGTAGTTAGATGACACCTGTTCAGACTAATATTTAAAGTATTCTATGTCGGTTAATGGTGAATCTTTTCATAGCGTACATATTGTCTTTTCACCATCCCGTCATTCGTTTCTTCAAAATCGTTTCTTTCCATTTTATCGTTATGATCAACAATTTATGTTGCTTGAAAAATAATGATACTCCTGTTCTCTTTCTAGGTGCTGATATTTGCTCATAAAAAGTCAGATGTTGATGACATTCACGAATATCTTTTGTTGAAAGGAGTTGAAGCTGTGGCTATTCATGGCAATATGGGTAACAATTTGTAATTAATGTATAAGTCCATCGAGTGAAGGCAACGAAAACCTGAAAATTCTGTCGTGATATGCTTTGGATTGAAATCGTTGCAGTATTTCATAGAAAATATCATTACAGACGTTTTTTAAAACGAAGGGATCTTTAGGATGGGGGTCATGCATGTGCCTGTGAGAAAAACTAGACAGTTTATACCTGTGAGATGCCGGTAGATGCGCTCTGCAATATCCTCAGTTAAAAGTATCACAATTTATTTACCTATACCCTCGTTTGATAGAATTCACAGATTAAGTATTGTTTGGCAGTGATCTGTTTTTGTAAGAAATATTAACATCCTGTGTCACTGGAGATTGTTCAGTTTCAAATTGCGTTTTGCAGATCAAGAAGAACGGGAGCGTGCAGTGAAAGCATTTCGCGAAAGAAGAAAAGATGTTTTGGTCGCAACCGACGTGGCATCAAAAGGGCTCGATTTTCAAGGAATCAAGCATGTGATCAACTATGATATGCCTGACGACATCGAAAATTATGGTATGTTTGTGAAAATAAGGAAGATTGTGCATGATGGGCTTTTTTCGACAGCAATTCTAGGGTTTTGCAGTTATCTACTTCATAACTGATCGTGTTGCGTGATTATAAAAAAGGTACTCTTGATAAGATACTAACGAAAGTAAAACCACAAAATAAAGGAGTTAATGAAGATTCCCCTTTGGGCTTATGAAGATTCTTGTTGGAATGACTGAAGATTCCCGTTTGAATGAATGAAGATTCCCGTTGAAATGAATGAAGATTCCCGTTGAAATGAATGATGATTCCCTTTGGAGTTAATGAAGGTTCTCTTGTGCCTTCTTTCTGTTCTGTGGTAAAAGCACGTGAATGACAACCATGTCGCTTGTCACTAATGAAGCAAAGAAACAAATAAACCACCAGTAACAGCTGACTTCCGATAATAGCATTAAAGTGTTTAGTGAAAATGAGATGTGTGAAAATAAGACTAGGAAATGTCGTTTTTCTCAGGTCAAATATGAGATTTCTAGCCAGATTTGAAGTGAATGCTAATTTTTTATTTTTCTTCAAAGCAATAGTATTATTTTTTCATCATCGCATTTCTCGAAAGCATGACTTTCTGTCTATAAAATCCTTTCTCCTTGATATAATGAGCGTGAAGCAACTTTGATCTCGCGTCTTGAGCCGGAGTAGAAATGATAGTAAAGTTCGCTTTGATGAAGATTTATTTTATAATTACAATAATGACGACGAAGATACTAATTTGTAGCTGAGACTAAGACTGTATTTTCTTGCTTTGCTTAAATTTTTCTTGTAAAATTTATCGTGGAACATTCAAAAAGCAGAATAAACGACCAATTCAAATATACAAGGATATTCAGGTTTAGATAAACGCTTGATTCAGTTAATCAATGCATCAAGAACTAGATTTTCAACTTTTATTCGAATTAATACAGGGCCTTCTTTGCTTGGAAACATCTTAACAACTGCAGCCTCTGAATAACATTAATGAATGGTCAATCAATAGTACCCATTTTCTATATTCATAAACCCACTTCGTTTACTTTATGATTTTTCGGCACTTGGAAGCGAGAATTTGGATCTAAAATGTTATATAGAGTATTTTATTCAGTGCCTCTACGTTCCAAAAATGATGTTTCTTAATTTCTTTTACATCAAATTTCCTTCACTAAAGATAAGCCATTATTTTTAATTTCAATCCATTTTTATTTGGGAACACACCGACACATGACTGATGTATCTGATACTGTCTATATCGTTACATATATAAACGACATTTTAATACTAGAATGAATGGACAAAGTAAATTCTGAACCTCGATTTTTTTCAAATTTTGAAATTTCTAGCAATTTCCCTAATTTTTCCTTTCAATTTCTATTTCCTTCTTACTTTCCTTTCAAGTGAAAGCACTATACTTGCTCTATTTTTTGGTAAATTGATCTTCGTGTTCTGAAGGTCATTCTCGTTCATATGCTATCGGACCTTCGTTTGTACTCTTTTCAACTTGAAAAAAACTTTTACCTTTTTTTCATTTAGAGTTATATTTCTTAAAAGAAATTTTGCACATAAAGAGCATAATTATCAATTCTTTCTTTAGTTCACAGAATTGGACGAACAGGACGACAAGGACAAACGGGAATTGCTACAACTTTTATAAATAAAAGCTGTGGTAAGCCAAATATACACTGCTATGCATTTAGACAATATTCAAAAATCTCTATATTATGATAATATCATAGTTATATATAATATAATATAATATAATATAATATATATATATAATATAATATATAATATATATAATATAATATAATATAATATAATATAATATAATATAATATAATATAATATAATATAATATAATGTAATGTAATGTAATGTAATGTAATGTAATGTAATGTAATGTAATGTAATGTAATGTAATGTAATGAAATGTAATGTAATGTAATGTAATGTAATATCATATCATATCATATCATATCATATCATATCATATCATATCAATCATATCATTCCTTTCAGTCCTTTCAGTACAGTAAAAATGATATTTTTTTTCTCGTTCAATTTAAGAAAACTCCATTTATTGTTGTTTCGATTTCTTGTAGACGAGTCGGTTTTGATCGACTTGAAGCATCTATTAATCGAAGCCAAACAGAAGTTACCGCCATTTTTGGCCGCTCTGGAAACAGAAAACGAGGGGCTTCTTCATTTGGGTGGTGAGTTCGTTCAGAATTCCCTACTTGATTGCATTTTTCTTAGATATCAAAATTTTTTCTGTTAAGGCCTAGTTTGCTTTTATACTTAAAGGCCTAGTTGCACGCTCAGATTTTTTATCAGATATTCATCTTAGGGACGCCAGAGAAGTGGGCACGGGGGTCAACCGCTCCTATTGCCTTTTGATAGGAGGGGCAAGAGGGGCAAGAAGGGCAAGAAGGGAAACAGGGGCCAGATTGCCCTTGAAACCGGCCATTTGTAATAATCAGAGAGATTCATATAAATTCTAATCGTAGTTTCTGATTCATGACGACATTTCTCAACGCTTCTAAAATAGTTCGAACTAAAATAAACTACAGAAGATCGAACTAAAATGGCAGTTACGAAGGAATTATCAGCAGCTGAGAACTTTGTTTCAAATGCCCTTTTACCCAAGGCTGCCTTTGGTCGTTGCGGCGACCTGATTCATCTGATATTAATATTGTCAAAAAAGAAAGATATTTTTCTGCGTATTTATCACGATCTCTGCTTCAGCTATACACGAAATTGAAGAACACGTTACATCAATTGAGTATTGAACAATATTGTTATCTGATGATCAATTGATCATTTCATGAAAACATTATGCCATGTAACATGCTCTTCAGATGTATTGGTTGTTCACAGTTTCCACTTTTGGTGTCATGGTTTCCCTTGTGTTGACATTTATAGGTATGAGCTAGGAACACGGCTATAGGAAGTCAATCCAAATTATTTTTAACTTTCAGCTTTGATTTAGCTAGCGTTTGGTTCATTTCAGGAATAGTGTTTTCATCTTCATTATCCTAAGATAACTTGTATTGGTTAATAAATTTGGCTTCTTCTAGATCAACAGGGCTGTTCATACTGTGGACAATTAGGCCATCGTATAACTGCATGTCCAAAGTTGGAAGCCATGCAAAGTCGACAGCAAACAACCGTAGGCCGCAAAGATTATTTGGCCACCAATGCTGCCGATTGGTAGGCACTTTCAACACGCACTTTCAACTGACTAATGGCATGCTGGTACGTAGCTATGACTGGTGCTGCATAAATGAAGTAGAAGGACATGTCCTTCATTTCTTGTTTTTTTCAACTGAAGTAAAAGCGTCGAATGAACGGCAAACCGAACTAAATTCCCAGAATATTGACTCATGTTAAAGCAATGCGGTGTAACTCTCCATTTTAAGTAAATCAATCTCCGATGAAATCGTAATTCAGCAAGCAAAACTTATGTTGGTAACGTATCGTGGCTGTCTGTCTTTGAATACGTTTACAAATACTTGAGTAGGTTTAAAAACCAGAACCTAAGTCCAGCAAAAGCAACTTCGATACTGTATCGAAACAGTAATGACATGTTGTTGGAATAGGTATCCTTTTACGCCAAAAACCAGGATAAAGCATGGAGTCCGATGCAAGTCAGAAAGAAGGGGGGCCAAGGCCAAATCAGCGACCCATAACAAAATAAAGAAGCTCTATTGTTTTGCAAAAAAAGGTACATGGCCCTCTAACCCTAATGCTTAATCTGCTTAAACCCGGGCTTGAAAGTCTTAATATAACCGGATTGAATACACAAACTGCATGTTTGTGACCAAATCGCAGATATAGAATCGAATTTGCACCTTGGATCTAAGCCTTTGTTCAATTTTCAAAGGCTGAAATATTGACTTGACAGCAATAGGTATATCCCAATATATTTACTTTCTAATGCATATTAAATAGCCTGAAACAGAGCAAGAAAATTTTCCCGGTAATACTTTGGCCTTTTCGGTATATAACTTTCGTTCTGCTCACTTCGGATAAAAGTCTCTTAGTGGCTGGAGCAACCCTCCGTCTTGGAGTCAAAGAGCATGCGCTGTTGAAAATTTTCACTTCTTCGTGTCCACAAGCCAGGGCCATTTATCATGCGAAGTTCCAATGGAATCTCGTTCCATACCTTAATTCCATTAAACATAATCGATCGCTTTTTGAGGCTAATTTTGGCTTGGGGTATTGCAAATTTTTTATTTGTAGCTTGTCTTCTACAGTAGCTGTGCCTTGAGGAAGTTTTTTCGAACAGATTACAAAAGAATTCCATTTGAGATTCTGCATTTATATCAAACATAAATTTTGCACATTGTCTGTCTTCAAAGTTTAATATACTAATTTTACGAAAAATTGATTTGGAGCTTGCTGTATTTTTATCGAAGTTCATTATTCTTACAGCTTTTTTAAGATTTCGACTTACAGACAGGACTTGCTAGCACTTCCCCAAGTGATTAACGCATAGTTGATATGGGTCAATTAATTTGCAATTAGCCAATCAGAGACTTTGTTAAGCTCATCATTCACAATTGATTCTAATTCCTTTAGATTTTTGTGCCAAAAGAAAACATTTGTGTCATCAGCAAATAGATGAATTTTTAAGATACTTGACGCGCTCGGCATGTCGTTTATATATAAGAGAAAAAGTAGAGGTTCAAGGACGCTGCCTTGGGAGACTCCGAATTCAACATTACAAGATTCAGAGAAAGTGCCATTTATACTTACTTTCTGTGTTCGATTTGTCAAATAAGACTCAAACTATTTTAAGGCTATGCCTCTTATACCATAATATCCCAATTTATTGATTAGAATATTATGGTCAACGGTATTAAACGCTTTTGCAAAATGTAAGAAAATACAACATGAATGATTTTTGTTATCCGCTGCGTATGTTTAACAAGAAAAAATGACGCCGTTATCTCTGCAATACTTCTATCCTGCCTTCCTACGCCACTGTCCTGATCCAAGTTTGTTATTTAAATACTTGGATATGAGGTATAATTTGCCGATAATAGGACACAGAAAGGGGCAAGACAGATTTGCGATTGGCAGGCCCTGTTTCTAGCCCCCCTTTCTACAATCCCGGAAAAAAGTGATACTTTTCAAGAAAAGTTGATTTTTTCTCTTTCCTTTCGAAAATAACTCCTCCAACATTGATTCAGGAGGTGATGGGGTATTCAAATTTACCGGGGGAATCTACAGATTGCCAAAATTGCACTTTGTCTTGACAATGGTCTGGGATTGCAGGATATATGGCACTACACTGCGTGGGTTATGTGACGACAAGATTAGGGATCAAATTACCAGACAATGCCTCAGTCAGACAAAGGCGGCAAGTTGAGCAAGGCTGCAAATGTTCAATTTCTTTCCACCTGCTTGTCTTGCTTCAAAACAAGAAGGTTGACATCACCTGCCCTTTTTAAGCTGGGACCTTCTTTCAGCATAATTCCTGACTTACTCACAGATCGACATTTGTCTCCTGCTTCCAAACAAAGAAAAGAAAGCAATGGTATGTACATGCGCATATTGCGAATTACCTTTGTTGTCCTCGTGATCTTCTGATGCTGAAATTGTGCCAAAAGTTGTTCCGCTCGATTACATTTTTAACGAGAAGCACGTTAATTTTGAAGTACACTTATAACGTAATTATTTCTTTAAGACGATGTAATAATTTACGTAAATGCCTGGCATGTAATGAAAGTGCCCAGCCTATTCTTCGTTTGTATGTGTTTGGTCGAATGTCGCAATAATGAAGACATCTCTGCATTTTGTGTGAAGGAAGGTGACAGGCATAGCTGTTGCTAAGGGCCGCGAACATAATACAGACTGAGGGGGCTGAAACGTTTTAGGGGGATAAACAAGCTAAAAACCATAGAGGGCGTTTTTTTTAATTGTTTTAAGTACATTTTGAAAATAACTAATTGGCTTATAAGCCCCCGTAGCCCCCTATTTCCGCGGTCCCTGCCTATCGTTATGCGCCCACTGACTTCATCCAATCTTTTTCAAAGCGATACAAGCTTTTCTTGGGCTGTATTTATGTTCTGCGTGTCATCAAAATGAACATAGGCTATGTTCTTTTGTAGGTGTGGGGGGGGGGGCTAAAAAACTAATTGCAATTGCTAATGATGGTTGCCAACAGCACAGGGTAGAAAGAAGCCTAGCTGAGGGTTCTAAGGAAATTTTCTTTTACATGTTCCATTATCGTTGTTATTTGATCTTTATTAAATCTCTTGAGATGATTTTTATCTGTGAACCAAGAATGTAAAAAGTTAGTCTAACACAACCTCCTTAACTCCTCGATAGCCAACTTCCTTAATTCCTGGGGAGGGGAGGGGAGCTGAGCCTCCCCAGATTTTCGTCAGGAGGGGCTCAAACCCTGGAGCCCCCTAAGTATGCACCTATGAAAATGAAAATCATTTTTTGGAAGGGGAGGGGAGGGGATGAGATGGTGTGGCAAATGAGACAATTTTTAGACATCTGTAGCTTTAGTACCACTTCATTGCAACAAAAATTTCATAGTTTGGCAATTTTTGGGGTGGGGATGTGGCTGCAGCTCCCAAGAACAACACTTCAAATGTCCAATTTTTATAAATGGTGGTCTATATTTAGGCCATGGTAGCTATTGTTGTGGCAATGTTATTTGATTGAGATCACTAAACAGTAACAACAATATCTTGAAATGTATGCTATCAATGGAAGGAACAAGAATATAAAAAGTGGCATGCCATGTTGGCAGCTCTTAATGCTTTTTAAAATAACGCCTTTCAAATTTGGAATGATGAATAAGGAAACCGAGAAAGAATCTTGATCGAAATGAAAATGAAATGAAAGCGAAATGCAGTTTTGAAAATGTATAGTACTTTAAACTATTTTTTTAAAAAGGTAATCAAGGTATATATGTTTTTTATCTTTATTTGTGATGTGATGTCTGCAAACCTTCCAAGTATTGTACATTTTGTTTGACAAAATCAAAATTGTTTAGATAGAATAAGTAGCTTTTAATTTTTGAACAGGAAAAGGTAAATGATGAGCCAAATGCCAAGAAAGGGGTCAAAGGAATTCTTAAAGCTATTTTCACAGCCCCTGAATTGCTATTCTGCATGTATGTGTTTGGTTTGATGCTCCATTTGCCACTACTGCATCAGTATGTTTACATGAGGTTCAGTCAGGAAGAGAACTTTCCATACCACTATTCTGCAGCACATGGCAGCTGTGGGAATCATCAACTAAACAAAACAATGAAGGCTTTGCAAGAAAAGGTAGATTTATAACTTGTTCAGGTTTTCTCAAAATTTATCAGCCAGTTTTGCATACAGTTTTTCATTGATGAAATCAAAAGTTTACTGGATGTTTAGTGAAAACAAACATAAGTTCCTTATTTTACTATTTTTTACCTAAAAGACTGCAATATTTTGTGAAATGCTACTCCCAGCAGGGAATATTAATGTTTACTGGGTAATGTTCTAAACCATGTTTTTCTATGGAAGAGAAGGGGTGGGGTAATTTTACAGTAGCATGGTACTAGGGGCGTGTCATTTTAAACAAATACCCAGAAATATTGGTATTATTTTTTTAATAACATTACAGACCCATATATTTGAAGCAGCTAATGTGGCCAATAATACCACAAACAAAGGCAGAAGAATGCAGAAGAAAGTGAAAGACACAATCTACAGAATTCTCAATATGTGGATATATGTGACATTCAATGTTGTGCAACAGATCATTAAACTTTTGTTATTTCTTTATTAATTTAACCATTGGCCTTTTTGCGCCTTTATTCCTGGTACTTTTCTTTCGATTAGGTCCAAGGGAAGAGTGCTCGCTTTCAGATAGGTCAAAGTTTGTTTACCACCATTCCATCTTTAGTAGTGTGTCTCTATCTGGGAGCATGGTCAGACGTTGTGGGAAGAAAGCCAGTCGTTATTCTGGGTACACTTGGCACCTTGCTAGAGACAATTGTTGTCCTACTGACGATGATGTTGGATCTTCCAATCCGTGTTGTGTACATTGGGTCTTTTTTAAATGGCATGGGAGGCTATTTCACAGGTCTCATCCTTGCAGTCATGGCTTACATTGCAGACACAACATCACCAGACAAGAGAGCTCTAAGACTAGGTATGTGACTGAATTTTTCTGGAAATATTGTAAGAAATTTTCAAAATTTGAATGGCAGTAACAATGACCCCTTATGTTCTGCACAGTTTGGGCCAATTGTTCAAGTTTCTGACATGCTATCCAGGCTCTTTTTTGATGATTTGTTGGAGAGTACTTAAATTGAAAGGAGTGGTGGCTTTGACACTAGAAAGCAGGAAGAGAGGCAACCAGGAAGAGAGGCAACCAGGAAGAGAGGCAACCAGGAAGAGAGGCAACCAGGAAGAGAGGCAACCAGGAAGAGAGGCAACCAGGAAGAGAGGCAACCAGGAAGAGAGGCAACCAGGAAGAGAGGCAACCAGTCACTGCTGATAGTACCATCCAATTCATCGTTTTCCTTTAATTCTGGCAGATAAGATGTTGAATGAAATTTGGAAGCTGAAAACAATTGCAAGAAAAATTCTGAGAACGACTTGAGATGAGCAAGGGTTTAGTTACAATAACAGTTCTCAGGGGCGAAGGCATTATTTTTCTAAGGATTCTTTCTGACAAAAAATGCCAATAAGATAGAATAAGACAATTTTCTGTTCTCTTATTTTGTCTTGCTGCTACTGTAGATTGATTCTGGACTTGTAGTCGATGCATTTGGTGGAATTTTCTGCTCATACGAGCTTGTTTTACAATATAAATAGATTTTAAATGGATTACGAAGATTACAGCCATTCCATGGATTGGCTACAAAAACCACAGAATAATAAAATAGTTGAAATCATTTACTCCTCAAGTTCACCATTTTCCAATCCAGTGGCGTAGCTTTACACTGGACCCAAGACAGAGGAGGCTAGCTGGGCCCATTCTGTGGACCGTAATAATGAAATCTATTCTATAGTAATTTTCTTATTCTGGAGTCTAAGTTCATTGTCAAGCGAGAAGTCTCTGGGGCCCAGCCTCGCTCTCGGCAGTAATTTAACTTTGAGAACATAGAAAACATTTAGGTTCCTTTTCACTATCCAGTAGTCGATTTTACCGCCAAACTAAGTATTTTGTGGAGCAATTGAAGATTTACCGACCAGCCCTACCCCCCCCTCCCCCTCCCAACTAGCTACGCTACATCCTGGTTGCATCAGAGCATCATTAAACTGATTAACCATCTCTTTCGCCCAGGGTAACTACGCTTCTGACCATAGAATGTTCCTTGGTTATTCAACAATCAAACGTGCTTACAGACGAAACAAATATGGAGGCCATCGCCCTCCTACTTCTTCTTTGCTATACCTAGCTTCAGTATCATATGGTACCAATAAGCCAGCCCCTAAATTGAGTTTTTTCATTTCTTTTTAAGTTTTTGGTGTTAACCCAAAAAAATGTATTTATAAGTTGAAAGGCAAAATACAATCTTCCTGAACTTCTGAAAGTGTTAGGAGAAAGAGAAACACAAAGGTAGACCAGACCTTATTCTTATTGTTGTCAAAGTAGAGTTGCGTGAGATCACAATCAAGTGTGCTAATTCGTTAGCTGGACTGATAGCAATTCATGAAATAATGTAAGCGAAACCTTGAAGCCTAGCTTTGACATAATTCACTTCGAAGCTCCTTCAAAAAGAGTCAGACAGCAAGCAACTCTTTTATTTAAAAAAAAATTGCAAAAGTTTACAATTTGAACCTTAGCTTTTATTCCTCTCACATAAATCTCCCTAAAACGTAATTCTTGCCTTGCATTTTATTGCAAAGTTGGAAGAAATATTTATCTCAGAAGAGTACATTAATTTTTTATTCGGTTTCTAGGTATTATGGAATGTGTAGTTTTCGTAGGAGCAACATTAAGCAATTTCATCAGTGGACATCTTATCAGCAATTATGGCTTCAAAATACCGTATATTATTGTCGTCGTTGCTGTCGGTATATCTTGTCTTCTCGCTATATTTGCGATGCAAGAATCACTCAAAAACAAACCAGTTAAATCAGCCGGGTGCTTCAACATGGTATGTTTAATTCAGTTACTTTAATTAAAAATCTGGAATTTCAAACCCATTTATAACCACAAGCTATTAATGTCTGGCTAGCTACATGAAAATTTTTGATGTGTTTACACGCGTTACAACTATGAAATAGAACTTCTTTGATCATATGCTGTTTCTATAGAAGCAGAATCTAGAGAGATCTGGAAGTTTAATCAAAGTTTGGTAACACAAAGGAGGTAATTTCGCCAATATTTATGAAGGGGAAAGGAGATTGATTTAATTGGAAATCATTGGAAATGCTCTCGTGCTATTTACTAGCCTGAGCAGTACTCATGATTGAGAAATTTAAAGGACATTAATTAGAGAAGACTGGTAGAGTAGAAGGACAGTGATTGATAGAGTAGAAGGACAAGGGCAGTGACTGTAAAGTCAGGCCTTTTATTTTTTCTTGGCCAGTTGCGTTAGGGTATTACGGATCTTATTATTGTTTGTTTTTTCTAGGCCTGTCTGAAGTACCCGCTACAAGTATGGCGCACCCTTTCAATGCCACGCCCTGGAAAATGGAAGATCGTTGTTCTTATGCCTGCCACACTTTTCGTTAACATGCTCTCGATGGGCATTAGCTCGCTGATAACGCTGTACCTCATGAATTCACCTTTCTGCTTAAGCCCAATCGAAGTTGGATATTTTTCCGGCACACGCTTATTTCTCATGGGTATTGGTGCAGCTGTTGGCATTAAGTTGCTTGGCCTTTTGATGCAACCCCACTTCATCTCACTAGTGGGAATCATGTCCTATTTTGCTTTTTACACTTTGCTGGCCTTTGTAAAAGATTCGAAGACAGTATATATAGGTATGGATCAAAACTACTTGAATTACTGTTTTTAGGTTGTTTTTAAGTACACTAGAAAAACTCGATTTATTTTGACATTGTAAAGTTGCTTTGGCTTGAAAAACAATTTTTCAGGTTTATCTTGACTATTTTTTAATACTCTTTAGTAAAAAGACTATACTCATTATCATCATGATCATGATCATCACCATCATCAATTGCAAAAATCGAGTATTCGTACCAAGAATGTACCGATTCGTACCATGGTAAGAATCGGTACAGCTGTATCTTTAGGATAGTATTTCACCGCAAATCCTCTCTTTCTACAGCTTGCTTGCTTGGCGCCTTGTCTGGCACAGCTAGTCCTATTTTTCGCAGTATACTGTCAAAGACGGTCTCTTCAAACGAGCAAGGTAACTTGAAAGAAATTTCAAATATACTTATTAGTTCGTTTTCGAGCTGCAATTCCTGCCGAAATTCCTTAGAACGCCCTGTTGCTAAAGTATTCTTTTAAAAAGCAACTCCTTCCCCTCTTCCCGTTACCAATGTTGACCCTTGTAAACTATCTGATAGGAATCAAATGGACAACCCCGAAGCTCTTAACATTATATACCCAAACAACATCGTTGGAAAGGAGGGGGGGGGGAAGAAAACACTATTAGCAAAATGTGAACAATTTAATGTAGTTTGCCAAGACCTTTTAAGGAGATTGTGCATTAAAGTTCTGCCTGAAACAGACTCAAAAATGTGGAAAAAGTAGTTTCGCAAATCTCTTTTTTGCAGGTGTTCTGTTTTCAGCCGTCTCGTCTCTAGAGATGTTGGCTGTTTTTCTTGGTAACTTTCTGTTCAATGCTGTTTATCTGGTCTTAAATCGTCATGGAAAACCTGGAGCCATTTTCTTCCTGGTGGACGCTATTTTGCTGATACCATTCTTCTTGGCTTTGTAAGTAAATTCATGTAAAACCATTACTTCAGGAACTGAGGAAATATCGGCCAATTATACTTAGGGAAAATTATGTTTTACATTGAAAGATATTGTTTTGACAAAGATGATGAGCTCCTTCTGCATTTGTACAGATTTATCTTTTTCATTATTGTGTCTCTTTGAAGGTTAAAGGCAATCTGTCTCGTTGTGGATTGGTTAACGAGAACAATAGCTGGAACAATAGCCTAAACACAATTCCAGCGCTCCGCCATATTTTTTACAATGCGATAAATTAAAGGGGGACTGGAAACAATAAATAATCCCTTTGTTCTTATAATCAATCAGCGTCGTGACAACTTGCCTTTAGTATAGATATACTATAGCTGCTCTTACCTAATAAACTTCTCTGGGCCTCTACAGAAACAGTCCTGTGGCTAGTATTGCTAGTCTTTAATTAGGGGTCTGGAGAACATCTACTAATACATCTATTTTTCAAGTTAGGGGTCTGGGGCACATTCTAGATCGGAAAAGCTAGCTCATTCAAACTGTTCTGGTGATGATGAAATTGACAAAAACAATTCATTTATTTTTTTATCATGTTTTTGGCTCTTATTCGTAAATATTCTCTTTTTCAGGATCTATATAAGGAAAATACGAAGCGGTGGCAAAGGCAGAGAAGATCTTCAAGCGATTGTGAATGCTGATTTACCTAGCACTGGGAAGGAGATTGTCGATGATTACGGTTCTAGTACCTCGAATCGGCATTAATCATAAATTTCAAACAAGGTACCCTGAGAACAAAAACAAAAAGTCCTTTATCTCAAAAGAGATGTATCTATATATATATGTGTATGTATAGGATTAATTTCAACGTTGTTGATTCCTGCTAATAAGTGCAAGCTTTTTGCCAATCAATTAAAGAGGGAAGGCTGATTATTGTTAACTTATATATGAATTTATGCATAAAAAATCGTAAATGTTTTCCCTTACTGGTCCACTTTAGAAGGATGTGATGCCTTTGTATGCGCAGTACAAAAGAACATTATAAGGTTTTTTCTTTATATCATCATACATATACTATAGCGATTGAAGAAATAAAACACTAGGATGTGAGAGTTGCCCTAATATTTATTGGTACAATTGCGTATATGTGTTGGTTTACCTTAACTAAGTATAGCACGTCTATATAAACGCATTCGGCATAAAAAACAGGACGATTCTAAGTTGCTACTCCGAGTTTCACTCTATATATATATGTTTTATCTACTATGTTTCTTTTATATATATATCTTTTATATACTTTTATGTTAAAACTACATGTTTTATCTCTACATCTTCTGAAGAGTATATATATAGTTGCCTGATATATATATGTATTATATTATTATTATATTATTATCATAATATTATCATATTATAAAATATGTATCTATTGGAAGTTTCAAAATATAAGAAAATTTTAGGGTGAAAATCGACTCTTTAATACTAAGAAGAATTATCTTTTTCACCTTATCAACAAATGTACAACTATTGTCCCTTACAGTTAGTTCTGACAACACTAGTTCCAGTGCCAAACATTACATACTCCAGGTTACTCATTTTTGCTTTATGCGTCTGTCAATTATTCTAGGCCAAATAATATTGATTTCTTCTCGTCTAATTTTCCAGAATTGGATTTATTTTTTACGATTATTTTCCCAGGTGGAAACTTCGTTAATGATTAATTTCGTAAAATATTCTTTGCAATACCTTACATTCCTAGTTGATTAAAATCTTGATGTTCAATTACTGTGTATGGTGTAAGGAACTCTGTTCTGTAAGACCACGGTTTCAGTATTTAATCCCCATTGAAACGTTATACATATGATATATGTTTAAAGGAAAGCATGTATGCATTAATTCCTTTATCGAATTGCCTCTATACTATGCTCTGTACTTTTTAGCCAATACCTTTAAGATAGCAAGACCATACAGTATATGCATCAAATGAAGTATGCATCATTTACGAAAAAGGACTTTGCTGTGTTAAACATTCCATTTTCCTACATTTTCTTTGATCGGGAATCATTTTGAATCTTTTTCAGACAACCAGAAATTTGTTTACGCATTGTCATAGTCGCATTTGTTTACGTGATAGTCGCAATGAGTACTTCTTTCCATTATCCAACTCAATTGAACAAGAATTGAATACATAAATGTCAAAAAATATAAAAAACAGTATTTTCGAGCATTTTCTCAAAGCTGAGGTTGTTTAGACTCGGTTTGGCAGATATGCAGCGCTTGAATAGCGTAGGCTAAGCTTGAAGGGTCAAGGGGCTTTGCCCTTCAACGGCTGGAACAGTCCTATTTCACGTAGGAGAAATTTTTATGTCTGCACACAGGCTACAAAAGACAAAAGTACCTTATAGCACAGAATAGAAATGTACCTTATAGCATTTCTATTCTGTGCTTATAGTGATAGGTAACAAGCAATGTAATTAGGTTATATGATTAAAACTTTTCTCTGCAGCTTACAAAAGATGAAGTATTCAAGTATTCAACTCTTTGAGAACTAGAAAGATGATACCTTGCGCATTCAGAGTTGAAGGTTCATCTTCTGTCCTCGATACAGCTGTCCTTTGTCCTCTACCCATCTTTTGTCCTTTGATAAATGTCTTTTGTCTTCTATCCATATTTTGTCCTTTGGTAGGCATTCATGTTATGTGTTACTAAAAATCTGTTGTTTTCAGGCGTGTTCTACTTATTCTGGTAAAGTAGCACAAATGCAGAAATTTTCCGACCAATTGTGTGCTTTAGGCAGCCCCCAGGTCATGAGGTTTCCAGACTAATACCCCCATACTATAAAATCACTGAATTGCTCCCTGTGCAGTTTTTTACCGAGCTTCGTCTTCAAGCTTCTTCCTGCCTGGGATGCAGGTACCCTCAGAGTTTGATAAAGTCATGGTGAGTAGGTCTATGTTTTTGTATAAGTAACCAGTTAAATGTGCTCATATGAAATGCATTCGACTTCTGACTAAAAACTGTCTTAAGACAATTCATGAACAATTTGTTTTGATTTCTGCATGTGGAGGTTAACGATGGCAGACACAATCTGGACCGAAGCAATTGTTCTTCAAAAATGGAGGCATCGATGGTTTTCAAAGATTTAGGCAAAGCTGACTTTTTGAAAATCCAACTGACATACCTAGTGGAAAACGAGAAATCACCTCACCGCCTTTCACTTAAAAAATCTTTGACCTTTTCTATCATTTCTTTTTGTTATGATCAATACGAGGCTAGGCCCTTGCATACTTCTCTCAGCGGTTGATCCAAGAAAAAAATTGGGGTTGCTTGTCTGTTACTTTCAAAACCTTTGACCGAGGGTAAATTTTAACGATTCATCCAACGCCAGGGGGTGGGGCTCTGCTGCTAGTCTGTACTCCAGACCCCCAACATTCAGGGCCACAGACAATAAAGCAGCATCATCAAAATGTCTGCAAAAATTGCAGCTTGACGGGGTCAAGAGGAAGCTTTATTTACATCGCTGGCCCCTCCAGTTTAGGACCAATGGCACGGGCCCTGGAATTAGTTGGATTGTGTGTATTTCATTATTACTTTGAAAGTTATTTAAAATGAAATGTCTAAAAAATTATTTTAATGTTCTTGGACAACAGCACACATGAAATCCCAAGTTTCCAAACAATGGTAATAAAATTCCATTGTGTTCTTTGAAACAATAGTTCTTCCCACATGCATTGAATGGTTGCGTTGCTTGTCTCAGGAAAATGGAATAAAACAGCAAAGATGCAAATGCAATTACCAATTCTCATGTGCTTTCATAGCTCTGTCCTGAGTTTTTACTATGTGTCCATCGGCTAATTCAGTAAACATTATGTTTTTTTTCTTACCTACATTGTATCCTATCTTGCAATTTACATTTATTATTGACGCAATCAGCTTGATATGCTGAAAATAATTTTCAAACTTGAGTTTGAGTTTGAGCGATCTTCATTGGTTGTCTATAATTTTTAGCCTGCCTACCCGCTGGCTAAAGCTGTTTTTATTTTTAGGCAATATTCATTTCTGTCTTATATCCTCACTTTGGACTGGATTCTTGCATGTGGAAAACGTGGAAAAAGCGTTTTATTGAACAATTTTTGCAGACATTTTGCTGATGCTGCTTTATTGTGGAATTTGGTTCAATGTCATGTTTTATCTAAAGAATACTCTAGACAAATAAGTTGAGCTGACTTTAACATTTTATTTAGCGAAAAAGTGGGGAGGCCATAGCCCCTGGCCTCCTATGATGCGGGCACTGAATTCTATTTAGTGTACTTTTCATCCGACACGTTTCAGATGATGATAGTTTATAGCCAGGTTTAATTTGAACTGAATGGAAGCATGGCACCCACGTTTATCTGGCTATGAACGACCTTAACAAGACTTAGGTGTAGTCTTTGGTGCTACTGTACTGATTTACCGAAACAAATAATCAAATTTCTATATCAGCGAGTTTTCTTAGTTGCAATTGATCAGTTATACTAATAGCCTATGGAGAGCGCGACCTACCATGCTAATCATGCTCCCATTGGCATCGTCTTTGTAATCTTGTTCTTGTAAAATGCAGAGTCCAGGAAAGTTGTCAACCTTCCTCCGGCCAAGAAAATCTTACTATAAAACCTTATTTTTAATGGGTTTAAAATGGGCGTTGTCAGAAAACATGGGACTCAGCTGGTCTTGATCTCCTTTTTTGAAACTCTCTTTTTTAAACTTTTCCAAAAATTTGTAACTGGTTTTCAATTCTAAATGTTTTTAGAGACAGATGTAAAGTAAAATATATATATCGATTGCTAAAAAAAGCGTGCCATAATTCAAATAAATAAATTATAAAAAGTTAGTATCGTTTTGCGAAAATATTCATATAAAAAATGCAGGAGGATTTCGATTGGCGCTCATTTTTTATTGCTTTATTTTGAAAAACAAAGAATGTAGAATTTAGCAACTTCCACAAGTATTCAAATTTTTGGTCACCTTCTTCAATTTCTCTTTGTTTCTACAACCTTCCTCTGGCCAGTGACCGCGGGACCGAGATGTTGTCCCGACTCTGGTAAAATGTACTTTTTGAGACTGAGTGCAAAAAACATTTATCTTGTCTCTTATTTAGAAAATTGGCAGTTCAAATGCACCTTTTGAAATTTACAGGATGAAGCAGAAACTGAGCCAAAAACTAACGAAGGAATCAAAGGTATTCTCAAAGCTGTATTTACAGCCCCTGAATTGCCATTTTTCATGTATGTGTTTGGTATGATGCTCCATATGCCACTTCTGCAGCAATATGCTTACATGAGGTTCAGTCAGGAAGAGAACTTTCCATACCACTATTCTGCAGCACACAGCACCTGTGGGAATCATCAACTAAACAAAACAATGAAGGCTTTGCAAGAAAAGGTATTGTATTACAGTATGTAATGATATGAACAAGAAGGGGTTTCTAAAAATATTTCAAAAACCAATAGCACAATTTGGTATTAGTAATCTTATGATATAAGTAAGGGGGATTAATTTGGTTTTGAAATGTAAGCAGGCAATCTACAGTTTCTTTTATTTCGTTTTTATGCTTTAACATAGCACTCTAAGACCAACAATACGGCAATGCCTAAAAGACATTCTGAAGTCTTCTCTCAGGATTGATTCCAGGGGCGATGTGGACGTTGAATTTTTTAAGGGGGGGGGGGGGTGGAGGGATTTCCTGAATTGCAGATATTGGGATCACACCTTCCACTAAGAGTCTGACTAATATAGCACGAAAATTCTGTCTCTTGCGTTTAACTACACAAACAGAGCACAAGATTTCAAATGTTGCCCATGCCTAAAAGTAATTTTGATTTTGCTAGATTTTTTCAATGCTCCTTGGTTATCAACAATTTGTTATAGAAAGCTTTGGTTAAAGTTAGACTTGGGTTTTGATACAATGACATGTAGGTAGGTATGTATGCAAATTCCACCTTTATTGGTTTCTCATTACCGAGGTGTGTCTGCGCTTGAAATGCTTTCAGTTCATTTAAGCTAAAATAAAATGTGCCACAAAACATTTAAGTTGATTCTCCAGATATGCGTTGGCTCTCATAAAAGTAGAAGTCTCAATTTAATTCAAGGCTGCATAAATGTAAAGTGTTCTGAATGTCCACAAATTCAGAAGTTTTGCAACTTTTAAGCTGGGAATTATTTAACCTATAACATTGAAATTTCAGGTATTTGCTTTTTTTAGCCAGGTAGTTCTAAAGAGAATCAGTTAACAAGCTTGGTTTACTAGATATAGAGTACCCCTACAGACATATTCGATTTGTACATTGGACACCCTAATTGTTGATAAAACGAGCAAGAGGAAGTTTTGTATGCGTGAGGCAACGCTCCGCCCTGGAGTCAAAGAGCATGCGCATGACACGAAGTTATTATTAAGCATGCTCTGTGACTCCAGGACGGAGGGTTGCTTCATTCAATTGAAGACTTTCGCTCGCTCGTCTCCCCAACAACTACCTTCTTTCCTTGTCCGGCAATTCTCCATATTAGTGACCAGTGAACAAAATTTGCATATCGAAATTACCGAAATATCAAATGATAAGTTAATGTTAACCCATAATTTTCTGTTTCTATGTTTGCTAGGTAGTTCGAAAAATTGGGCCTAGATCATAAAACGTTGATACTTTATTAATTTGATCTTTTATTCGCACTACTCTATATTTAAACCATCTTTAATTCTTCTTGATAGGTGCAAGCAAAAAGTGCTTACTTCCAGATAGGCCTAACTTTGTGCAATACTATTCCATCCTTGATCGTTTGCCTATACCTTGGAGCTTGGTCAGACAATGTTGGTAGAAAGCCTGTGATAATTCTTGCAACACTTTGTAGTTTTGTAGAGACAATTTTTGTTTTACTGACAATTATGTTTGATCTTCCGATCCTGGTGGTATACATTGGGTCTTTTCTAAATGGCATGGGAGGATATTACACAAGCCTCACCTTTGCGGTAATGGCCTACATTGCTGACTCAACTCCAGCAGATAAAAGAGCCTTGAGACTAGGTATTTGTTCTTTTCATTAAATATTCTATAGAATGCTTAATACTAAATTTCTCAGTACATTTGTTTTACGATTTTAGTTGCACAGTCAATTGTTAGCATTATCAAAGTTTTCGATGATAAAGTTTTGTTAAAGTAAGATCAGTCATATCGATGACTGACGAGCTCATCATTTTTTATCGATCTTTGGCTTCAAAATGAGCACAATGGGGTTCTAACCGACGTGTCCCATTATTGAGTGTGGTCATAGTTGATATTTAGGCCCCGTTCACACGGGAACGCAATCGTTCCGTTCCGTTCTTCTCCTTTCCGAAAAGCGTAACGCTCAGGGGTTGTGTTCACACGGGAACACTTCAAATGACATCGTTCCGTTCCAAAAAGTGGAACGATAAAATAAGTGATACGAAAAGTGGAACGGTACGCAATCGTTCCGTTCTGTTTCCGTGTGAACGCGCAGAGCTGGTCCAGAAATTGGAACGATGAGAGTTTTGCCTTTGGCGCATGCGTCTGTGTTGTTGTTCTGGGAAGCAAAAGGTGACAATAATAACTCAGCGCAGAAAATGGAAGATTTCAAAAACACCATTGGCTGAATCTCGCCGTTAGTCCATTTAAAAGATTCAACACCATTCTGCAGACCTTGAAATTCCTTCCTTTTAGGGTTGGCTTCCATTTGCCCACGAGCTTGCTTATTTTGGGGCGACTTTGTATTCTTCATTTATTCAAATTGTTTGAAAAATTAGAGATAGCTCAGAGATAAATCGAAATGATGAAATCTATCTCCATTATGGACATGCGCATTAAAAATCATTTGCTTATTTTGGCGCGCAAATTGCAGAACGGGACGATTGCGTTCTCGTCTGAACATAAACAAAAATCGATAGGCAATCGTTCCGTTACCGTGTGAACAGTATACTTTTCCGTTACAGAAACTGGAACAAAAATGGAACGGAACGATTGCGTTCCCGTGTGAACGGGGCCTCAGTGTGGTCTAGAGGCAGTGTCACTATAAGTTTTGAAATCCTATCTATAGAATACCTAAGCTCAATCGAATATTTTGAAAAAGGGCCATCCCCTTACCGAATCACACAACATGTTGCACTAAAACACAGCAAATTGCTGGACCTTGCGTCGAAACGTTTAATTATTGTCAAATGAAGAATTACTGTATATTTGTAAACTTGCAAGGGCAAGTTTTTTCTCCGGCTGCGATAAGATTAAATAATCATGAACACGATTAGCTATTGTGTTTTTGATTAAGATAATGCAACAACATGACTACAAAAAATCAGCCAGCTTTCCATTCGCAATCATCCACAACAACATCCTTTCTTGAAATGCAGTACTGATTGTTGCATGAAATATAGAGAGCGAGAAATTTAATTTTGCAGTCAGAGCATGAGGTACGGTCAATAACATAATTTAGTTGAAAAGAAAATGCAAAGATATGTTTTAAAATGTGCTTGCTGCACGGAACTGGTCTAAGCCCTATTCAGTTAAAAAAGCTACTTTGCTCTTTTGAAGGGTTGAGATCAAAGACAAGCAATGTGCTGTGGCTAAAGGATCCTGCTTAGGTCCATTGCTTTTTGTATGGTTATATTTGGTTACGCTTATCGACCGCTAGAAATATAGTGACATAGTCACAAAGTCTATTTTTTTTAATCTTAAAATCACAAAGCCTGAAAAAACACAATGAAATACGTCTAAATGAGTGAAGTTATTTAGATCTATTAGAATTTCGCCTATGATGTGGCATAACAAATATTTCCTTTCCTCCACCAAACCACAGTAAAATGGCTCTGGTGATAAAACTTTTGAACCATACCAAAATAAAAACAATCCATTAGAAAAATTCTAATCTTTCATTGATTTAATTGATTCTGCACATTTTGAGGTCTTCATTTTTTGCTCATGTGGTCAAAATTGCGCTATTTTATTTCAAAAAGGCTCGGGGATTGCCTTTTTCACCAGTTATATTATAATCTGCGTTGATTGCTTTTCTAGGTATCATGGAAGCCTTGGTTTTCATAGGAGCAACAGCTAGTTATTTTGCTAGTGGACATTTTATCAGCCAATATTTCTTCAAAATTCCATCAGTTCTTCTTGTTGTTTGCCTCGGTGTGGCCTGTCTTCTTGCTATTTTTGCAATGCAAGAGTCAATTAAAAACAAAGCAGTTAGAACAGCCGGCTGTTCCACCGTGGTAAGTTCCATTCAGTTATTTCTATTAAACAATTGGAATTTTATTTCCGTTTTTAACCGTAATAGGTTGATGTTTGGCTGCGTGACAATGTCCATTTCTGGGCTTGAATTTGTAGTGACTACTCCTTACCTCCTTTTTCTTATTTTTCCTTAACCACTTGTTTTTAACTTTGCACATTTTTGCAACAATTTTTATCTCCTCCTTAATACACAATTTCAGAACCAGGAGCAAAGCATGAAAATTTGGTCTATAAAGAATTCACACTCTAGTGCAGCAACTTTTCCTTTGCCTCCTTCGTCCCTGGGAGATTTTTCTTGTAGAGAAAGGGTTTTCACAATTAAGAATACCAATTGGAAAGAAACATATTAGATATACATGTATTTCATGGAACGTATATTTTACACGTATACACCCTTATGTTTAGGCCAGAAGAAATAAAAAAGAGATGAAACATCAATCATGGGGCGTTTTTTCTTCTCTTTTAGGCGTGTTTGAAGTATCCGCTACAAGTATGGCACACCCTTTCGAAGCCAAGACCTGGAAAATGGAAGATCATTGTTTTTATGCCAGCAACTATTATTTTGAACATGCTTTCGATTGGAATTAGCCCACTTTTAATGCTGTACACCATGAATTCACCGTTTTGCTTAAGCCCAATAGAAGTCGGATATTTCATCGGGACACGTTTTTTTCTCATGGGTATTGGTACAGCACTTGGCATCAAATCTCTTGGCCTTTTAATGCAGCCTCACATTGTTTCATTGATTGGGATTATATCATACATTGCATATTATACCTTGCTGGCATTCGCACAAGACAAAAAAACTATATATATAGGTATGATTTAAAACGATTTAAAAGTTTTTTGCAACTTTTATAGCAGAACAGTGCAGTTGTCTTTGCAAATTGCAAACTTCCAAAATAACACAGCACTGTAAGCACACTTTTACGTATGCTAAGTAAGCATTTTTAGATCGCCACTAAGAGAATTCAGCAAAATTTATTGAGCAGTAGTAGTATATGATTATTTAGACTGGATAACACTGTACAATTTAAAAATTGGTATCAATACTGGTCCAGCAACCGTTCCCGTTCGCCATGGGACGAAGCAATTAAGGTAATAATCTTTTGTACAGATGTTTTGACTTTACAAAACCTCTTCTTTTACACCTAATGGGCATGCCATCGAGGGCAGAGTTGATATTAATAGGGAGTATCTAAGATCTTTCACTCAAGATTCTATATGAAAGAACATTCTTTCGAAATAATTGTGCTTAGTTGATCATTTCTATCTAACGTTTTCTTCCAACAGCTTGTTTGGCTGGGGTACTTTCCGGAACAGCTGGTCCGATTTTTCGCAGTATCTTGTCGAGGACGGTTAGCCAAACTGAGCAAGGTACATTGAACAATCATCTGGTTTTTATTTTTGCTCCTCATCATTATTATTTTGACGGCCTAAAATTGCATTTTTGGTCCTTAATGTAACAAAAACTCCCATCATTATCATCATCATCATTGTCTTTTTCATCATCATCGTCAGTCTTATCCAAGCGTCGATCATCATAATGTCGCCCCTTGCTATTTGTGACAATATATATCATGGGCTTCGACACAGGCTGGAACGTGGGGGGGTGGGAGGTGGGTCAAAGAAAAATTTAACACCATTAGTAAAAGATTTTAAGAAAAGCTCCTTTGTTTGCTGGCCTTCTAGGCCCCTTTTTTGTCGAAAGCCTTGTATGAATTTAGGTGGAGTGACTTGTGGTGTTGCACCAATGTCGAACCGTTGCCTTCTGTGATGAGGGAATTTAGCCTTATGGCCTGATTTGATGTCTTATGAGTACAAATGACAATGTCTTATGGGGAAACTATTTTTTAACACAAAACCTCCTTTTTGGTATTTCCCAAGTAAGGTATTAAATAAAGTTTTAAGCATGTATCAGTATTAATGTCAATAACATTCAGCATTGGCAATTATAAAATAGCATCGTTTGTTTTGATTTTACAAAAACTTTCCTCTATAGGTGCTCTGTTTTCAGCCGTCTCTTCTTTGGAGATGCTATTCGTTTTTCTTGGTAACTTTGCATTCGGCGCTGTTTATCCTGTTCTCAATAACCTTGGGCATCCTGGAGCCATTTTCATTTTGTTTGATTGTCTTTTGCTATTACCATTCCTCTTGAATTTGTAAGTATATTATTGGTCAGTTTTAGCCTCTCGGCTACTTAAGACATCTTTGTCTACGAAGTTATAGTGCAAATGAAGTTTGAAGACATTGAGAACTTTGGGACAAGTACGCCGGACGACAGGGGCGCACGAAGGGGGCTGCCCCATTGCCCTTCGACAAATATAGCAGTTTTCTTTAATTTCATCATGCGCCCCCATACGGAAAAAATTTACTTCATGTTCTTGATTATAATGAAAAATGAACAATTTCAATAGTGTTGCAAAGAGAATGAAGCCCCTTCTTCCGTGTAGGCCTCTTAGCGATGGATCACTGGCATGTTTTCTTCATGTCTGTAAATTTTCTGTTCAAATTTTTCTTTATCTTATCCAATATCAAAATTGTTCCTAATTTATTAGTACATAGTAAACAGAACTTACTGTAGAATTAAATTTCTTACGCTTTGTAATAAGTTATTTCTTCTTTCTTCATCTTATTTCGTGTATATGAAACCTGTTCATAATTACTATTTATCCAAGGATATATATAAAAAGAAGAAAGAATGATGAAAGCCAAGAAGACCTTGAAGAGATTTTTAAAGTGAAAGAGGTTGCCGGTTACTATGGCACTGGCGGCTCAAGTCCTCCGCAGTCTCCTAAAGACCGTTAACCTCAAGTCGATATTTGTTCCCTCTTTATTAAAAACATTATATTGCTAGTTCCCTTGTTTAATTCATATTTTCTTGTTCTGATCTACCAGTTTTCATTAAAATTATAACGTAGAAAAAAGACAATGTTTGAAAATTTTACCGGCATATGCGCATCAACATAAGGACAGAAGGGGCTGGGTCACATAAACTTAAGCAAACATTTCATGCAGGACAGTCTGCGTGAAATCTCGATGCTTGCGGCAATGCTGCCAAATCGGAATCATGCTTAAACCATTGGCTTTCAGAATTTTTTACTGTTCGTGGACCGGGGCTTTCACAGACAGATGTCTCTGTGCTGTCCTTTGACCAAACAGCCCGTTAGGACGTTCACTTCTTGTGATCCCGCTGCAGTACAAACGGCTTTTTTGTGGACTGATAAATGAAATGATGTTGAGCTATACGTCAATCAGTCAATCTTTAAGAATTTGGCAATGACAAAATAATTTTTTGTAACAAAACACGTTAAAATCTTCTCGATGCGCTGCGATTCTCTGTCCTACCGACAACATTGTCCCGCAGCCTTACACGTGACCCAAATAATCTTTAAGAAGTTTGCTCGTTTGTTGCCAAAGTTTCCAGATTGAATGGACATTTCTTTAGATACATGAAGTAGACACTATTCTTGACTTTCAACTGAGTTTCCTTTAAATGATGTTAGCAATTCTAGTCTACGAGCCGAGGGCAAGAGGAGTATAGTCGTCTCAAGCTCAAAATTTATCAAAAACTTTCGGAAGGTTCTTTGTCTTTTTGCTAATTTTGCTCTTTTTTCGATGTCGAAATTTTTCCTGCGGAAAATTTGTCGGAATCTTATATATTTAGCTCTCCTTATCTTGGCTACTGCCAAAAGACAATGGATTCAGTTGTCTCTGTACTTTTTGGACCAGTACCTTGGCTTCTGCAGGGTGACAGTGCTTTACATGGGGGCAAAGTGGGGCAGGCCTAGATCTATTGGATGGATGAGAAAAAAAAAATGCAGAATATGCTGTCCGCCGGATTCTTGACTGTATTTCCATAAAGATTTGTGAGACCATGCATACGACCATACTCCATTAAAAAAGTAAACTTCATTGGGGGAAGAAATTGAATTCAAAATGAATTAAAATCTTGACTCTGAGATTATGCTTTGAAAAAATCTTGACCCTGAGATAATGAATTAGCAGCACACCTCCAAAACTCATCTACAGTGTTCATGGCCAAAAAAGGTTTATCAATTTCAACACAACTTTTGTGTTTGACTATGAAGGCAAATGTAAAGGTCCTTTCAGCAATATCGTTTCTGTTCTATAAATGGTTTCATTTAGGATACTGAACACATTTTGCTGCTCTTCAATGCTTATGGTACAAGTCTTCTTCTTGATATTGTGAAGACGATATTGCGACTTTATGCATTAATAAACCTTGAAAGTGACGTTTTATTGCAAATTATTCTACATTGTCACAAAAAGTTACCCTCAGATTCGAATACAAAAATTCTAGAAGCAACATTAAATTATACTCGGGCAACAGAAGAGTTTCATTACTTTGTTGTTTAAAGTATTCTCTCTTCTGTAATTTGTGTTTTCTTACATTTGCTCTGGTAGTGTAAATTTTGTATTTGCAATATTTTCAATTGTGAGTGCTAGTTGTTATATATCACAAGTAATTTTGAAATGTAATTTGGAGTCTTAATGTTCAATATTCTTGTCACGGGGTTGCTATGTATTTCTGTGTTGGTGGTTGTCAATTCTATATGAATATATGAACAATAGTTTTCAATTTACAAGAAATAAGATATTGAAAAAACTGCTCTAAGAGAATCAGTGTTGATCTGCCCTTTGTTAATTGGGGTCTGATATCGTTTCTTGTTGCTAGACTTCATCTTCGAGAAAAAGCTATTCCAGTTTCAAGTACTTCTTGAGGTTTGTTCCTTTACGCAGGAGAATGCATTTCAATTCGCTTCACAGCAAGAGATGCAAAAGCTTCTTGCAGATATAGAATGTTTCCAAGAAATTGCTTTTATGAATTTTTTTTCAACCCTCTACTGCAAATGTCTCAAGGTCCAAGGGGGGCCTATTATAGGAGGACCAAAAGCCGCAGAACCGTGCAAAAATCAACTAAATGCCGCAATCCGCAATGAAATTAAGCGCGAAGACGCGACCGCGATAGCAAAAGAGGCCCTATAAGAGGTTATTGAAATATGAATTAATTAAAGTTTTCGGGGAGAAAATATGACTATTTAGATTTTTTGGTTTTGAAATAACTTTGGTTCCCAGTATTAAATATGAAATAACAAAATAACTGAATACATCTTTGAATGTTGTGTTAGAATTATCTATTTGATAACAGCATTGACTCAAGTGACTTTTGATATGTAGAGTTTTTAGGAAACCATATTACGCCTGGGTTGCTCTTTTAAATTTTCCAAACTTTTTTTGGGCATTTTCTCACAGGAGGCGCTTAAAAGAAGAGGCGGCTTTTCATACTTCATGATTAGTAAAAAAGCCAATAGCATAGAATCTACCGCAAATTGTTTTGCCTTATATTATCTCATCAAAATAGACAAAAATACCAGATAAGATCATAAAAGTGTTTTTATCTACCTTAATTGTTCCACAACTTTATACTATGAATTCTTTCTAATACAACTAAACAACAGTATTGTAAACCATTTAAGTTGCAGGATTGATTTGCTGATAAAATCTGTCTTCTAAATTTTCAAATCTCCAAACAGATATTGTCCATTTTTCAATCTTTTTTATCTGAGTCTAGTCATGTTTTCCGCGAGGTTATTCTTATTTTAAACAAAATAGACGAAGACTAGCCCCTTCAGGTTGTACCCTCCACGCAAAAGACTTCAGACTATCAGTTTTGGTACGTGTATGTTTTTCGAGTTTCTTTAGTTGTTCCCCAAAAACAAGTTGAGCAAAACAAAGATGGATTTCTCATCCAGTGTCCTTAGATTTCCCTCAAAAGTACCAAAAGTCACCACAGTTCCAAAGAGAATCAATTCCCTATTTTTACCTAAGTACGGGGCCCTTTGGCTATTCCTGAACATATTCTTTACACATTTTCAATATTTTATCTGCAAAGTTTGGTTTTGAAGACTCAGTCCATTTTGTATGTGAGTCGGTCCCATGTGTCCTGACACCTCCTAAAAACTTTCTACTTTGGGGGTAGAATGGAACATTTGACAATTTCGAAATACTTTACTTTGGTAATTTGAAATATGAATTAATTGTAAGATATCATCATGAATTATGAAATAATGTCGTCCCCTCTTATAGGGCCTCGCAAAACATCACGAGACACCAAAAGCCATCTACTTGAAAAGGGGGATAAGAAGTAACTGTTTCTAATGGTCCTCACTATATTTCGCAGCAAGCTATCGTTGTATCAATCCAAACATTTTTAAACATCTTTTGACACATCAACGTGTTTGTACCCAAGCATTTTCCACATCCCAACTTTTTTTAAAATACCTAGTTTATGCAGAGCCACAACATTTTTTAATTATTAAAACTCGCATTTTTCTTGCTTTGAACAAAACTCAAGTAAACCAAAAACTTGATTCTTGATGAAGCTTGAGCGTTGCATTATTCTTAAACTATTCTTAAATTTCAGCGATTTAAAGCCTTAATATTCCTATAGACTATTTTCTTATAAAAAGTGTGTACCCTGAATCATATGAATGGATTAAAATTCGAAAAAAGCTAGCCCTACTCAAGCTCTACTGAATAAATCGGTTATTGAACCTCACTGCGCAACCTGACTGTGCCCTGACTCTGAGCCGACAAGGAAGATAGTTAGATAGAAACCTTCTGGCATTTAAAAACAATAGAAACATGCACGGACATTGGAAAATTATCTTTGTCTGCAACAGACTACAAAGAAACAACTACTTTTCAAATTTTCTGAAGGGGTATTAACTCAACATCGACCTTTGATTGTTAACAATTTGTGTATGTAATATGTAATCTTGTGTTTTCAATTGCCACCGAGTGCCCCCCGTGTTGTTTGGCAGATTTGAAACCATAGAGTTAAGAACGCCTCTTGACTCTATGCTTGAAACCAAGAGAATACTCTGGCTAGGGCCCGTTTCCAAGCATATTCCTGGCTCGGTCGCAGTATATTTAGAGCACTCCTGTGACGAAGAATGAGATGAAACAAAACTCTACGCTCAAATTTCAAGGAAAATAAGATAAAGCCATGGTAAGTAGGCCACCTTTATTTTTCAGGGTTACCTTTATGAAAATCGATTTGATATCCACTCGATCTTTAAGCGGAGCCTGTCATTGTACAAACGATGTACGCGATCACCGTGAACCGTAACCTATGTTGAAATTGTGCCATAAACAACTCAACTACATTGTTAATGAGGTCAATTACATTGTACTTTTATAATCCAGATGTTTTCTGGAAAATGATTCGGGACGATGGGGGCTGTGGATATTCTTCTACAAGATTTAGGCAAAAAAGCTGATTTCTTTTAGATTAACCAACCAGAAAATGGTAAACTTTGCACAAAACGAGAAAACAACTTGTACTTTAAAATAATTTGATTTCGATATGTTAACGCCACCGAGAGAAAATGATAATTGGCATTACAGATACAAACTTCCGGTATTTTGTTTACATCGGATAAAAAATGCGCCCGGTGCTGGTCGGCGAAGTTCCAGGCTGAAAGCAAAGGGGTTCTTTATTTTAAGGAAATCCTGTTCAAAAAGGATTAGGAAGAGAGACGGAAATTTCATAGAAAACTACAGTTTTGTGTTTACCTAATGATAGACTGCTAGTATTTCTGTATTGCGAGAGGGCATAATTGCGTGAGCCTAAAATTTCCGTGTCACGCTCTGCTATATTGTTGTTAAGTCGGCTGACTGTTTTGGTGTGTTTAATCTAGAGATCAACCCCCTTGTTAAAATTTAGACAGTTTTAGGGTCTCAGCAAGCGCATGTGTGGTTGGGTGAATTCCTTGACAATGTAAACTAGCCCTTCATTATTTTGCTATGGATTTTCCATGTATGAGCAGTTTCTATCAGCCTTTCAGAGTTGGTGAATAGTTTGAATCATTTCATTTACGCAATAAAAAAAATTTAATACAAATGCAAGTATAGAGGGTGTTGTTTTGGGTATGGCTTCTAGAAGTTGCCTACAGGATAAACCCTCTTCCTATCCTTTTGTAACAGGCTCACTCTCTTGTCTATGTCACCAAATGCCTCTTACACTTTAGGAAGGCACCTCTGCAGATAGGCCACCCTTACATCCTATTGTTCTGGAAATAGAGCAAGGTGGACAGAGAGCTCCCTCTTATGGCACCACTTGTCGTGCCAAATGTCAGTTTTATAATGTATGACTTCCCAGTAGCTAAAATGTTTTAGGGATGCCTAAGTCTTTGTGTTTGCAAAATAGTTATCTTCAGGTATCAACTGAAAGGCCATTTTGTCTGTTCATTTGGCAGAAGTTTTATGTAACTTTTAATATTTACAGGATGATGTAAGAATTGAGCCCAAAACTAACCATGGAATTAAAGGCATTCTCAAAGCTGTATTTACAGCCCCGGAATTGCCATTTTTCATGTATGTGTTTGGTATGATGCTACATATGCCACTTCTGCAGCAATATGCTTACATGAGGTTCAGTCAGGAAGAGAACTTTCCATACCACTATTCTGCAGCACACAGCACCTGTGGGAATCATCAACTAAACAAAACAATGAAGGCTTTGCAAGAAAAGGTATTGTATTACAGTATGTAATGATATGAACAAGAAGGGGTTTCTAAAAATATTTCAAAAACCATAGTACAATTTGGTATTGGGATGAATCATAGTAATTTTATGAAATGAATTAGGGGGACTAATTAGATTGGATTCTCCAAGCCCCCAAAACCATTTGGTACTATAAACTTTTAACTCTTTAATTTGTGCCTTTGAGATTATGACACAGGTTTTTGTCATTTTTTTTGCCCAACATGTCATCACTGCCATTGTTTTTTCTGCCACAAAAAACTGTCACTGTTATTGTGCAACATTCAAGTTTGTGATGAAGTTTGATGCAAAATTATTCTAAGCATCTAAACAAAGTATTTTTTCATTCAATCTTTAATAGGCCTTTAGATATATGTTAGGTTGATTTGACCAATGATCATTACATTTCTTTGTAATCTTACCTTTGGGCAGATTTTTTATGTTACTGGCTTCAGCCTGTCATTAACTTTAAATTGTAATCATTAATGTCCATTTGGTTTGTAAACATCTGATGTTCAATTCTCATAAAGAATTTTCCTGTTTGGTTAAAAATTTTTATCTTTTTTATGCCTGAAGCAAATGTTGTAAATGTATTATAAATGCTGAATCAAAGCAGACATATCATGTAATATTTAATGATGTTCAACAGTTTATACAATCCTGGAGGGCCACTCCCATACTTGACCTTCCTCTCATTCTTTACCTGATGGGATGTGCTGTGAGACAGGGTATCCTTTTTTCAATAAAACTTATGAGACGGGGTATTATGATATGCATCAAAATTATGAGACAGGGTATTGAAATTAAGAAAAACTGCCAAGAACAATTTCAGTTACATTTGCTAATGGGAATTATCATGAGGTCTGGTATGTCTGGCAAAATTGTGCATATTTTTGGTACTCTTTTTATGGGACACTGTATGCTTTTTGGCAATTTTTTTTATAAGACAGGGTTAGGGTGCAAAAAGGTTTTCTGCACACCTTTGTCACTTTCTAGTCAAGTGCCCCCTCTTCCGGTTACACAACTTATTAAACAATCAGCCCAATGGTGTCAGCGTTCTAGCAAACTCGATAACTCCAATTTTTTCGAAGAAATCAATGCAACCATCTCTCTCGTAACGAAGGCATCGTTAGCTATGGCAAATAACCAAATTTGCCAAATTTGTCTACCCATTATTCAAACCTGAAAATGGGCATGTTTACTTTAATTTTAGAGAAAAAGTTAAAGTTTAAAATGATACGTTTTATTTTGCTGATTCTCCTTTCCTTTCTGCCAGCTTTACAGTACATCTTTCTGCCAAAACCAGCTCTTTCAGCAGCATTTCATTTTTGGAAAAGAAATTAACGATTCACACGTGTTCGAAACAATCAAATTTTGTTTCTGTTTATACAGGAACGCAATCTATCAGTTCCATTTTGTACGCGAAATGTGTTTCATATTCTGGACCAGTTCTCATGTCCACATGGAAACAGAAAGACTGCGAACCGCACCACGTTTCGTATCACTTTTTATAAAGTTCTAAATTTTTGAAACGAGATGCTCGCGCTCCTATGTGAGCGTTCTAGCTACTTTCTGGAACGGAACGCAGGGCCTTCGCTAGCTATTGTGCTGGGGTGCTCAGGTCCCATTTCCTGAAAAGGGGCTGACTCTTCCTTTAATTGCTGGCAGTTCTGAAAATTTGCATATGAAGTATCTATTCATGGCAAAAATCCTTGTTTTCACGACGGGAAGTGGCGACCTTGAAGGAACGATAACCGATAGATTTTTCATGATGGCCAGATGAATTCATAGATAAAATTTTTGCAGTCCTTTTACCCAATACAAAACTACACAAAAGGCAAGAGTTTGGGAAAAGCCAAGGAAGCCAAATTCTGCGAAAAATGGCGGATCATTTTGAGATACATTATGTCCCCTGACCGAAGCATGAAGACAAAAGACTACAATCGTGTTCAGCAATAAACTAGTGTAAATTTGCTTATTTTCTGAGATTTTTAGAAAAAATATTATTAACCATCAATATTTTTATTTATTTAAACATCGGCATTTCTCTATTTTTAGGCCTCTTTTATTTTCCTTGATAGGTGCAAGCAAAAAGTGCTGGCTTCCAGATAGGCCAAAGTTTGTGCAATACTATTCCATCCTTGGTTGTTTGCCTATACCTTGGAGTTTGGTCTGACAAAGTTGGCAGAAAGCCAGTGGTTATTCTGGGAACACTTGGTAGCCTTTTAGAAGCACTGGTTGTTCTTTCGACAATGATATTTGATCTTCCGATTCTAGTTGTCTATATTGGGTCTTTTTTAAATGGCATGGGAGGCTATTTCACCGGCCTCATCGTTGCAGTAATGGCCTACATTGCAGATACAACACAACCCGAGAAGAGAGCTCTACGACTAGGTATTTCTCCCATTTTTAAATGTTCTACAAAACAGGGCTCCCGGCGAAGCAAGGGGCAAGGGGGCCTCGATTGACTGAACACTCCAAGAACAGGCTGAATACCCCAAGAACACCCCCCAAGAACACCCCAAGAACACCCTAAGAACAAGCTATTAAGCGGCTGAACACCTTTTAAAACATATCAAAATCGGCATATCATTCGAAAAATCATTTGGTCAATCAATCAAAATTAATTTTGGGGCGGAAAATATTCATTCCGCTTGCACTAGTAAACTAACTAGCGTGCACTAGCATACCGTGACCACATAATAGTTAATTTCTATTCTATGTCGTGACCATTTGGGCAAATTAGCGGATGGGAAGAGCAATTGTTTGGAGGACAATAGGTAGTCAAATGACATGTCGTATTTTTACATTGTCACTGGATGTGAGAGGAGAGATTTGAAAACAACGGGAAATTGCTTGAATGCACCATAGTCATAAAGGGAGTCGAACTCGAATTTGCTCAGCGTGTACAAACCCCCGTTCACACTTTTGGCGCGCAAAACATCAGTTGATTGTAACAACATCAACATCATTAGACTTATCAGGCCCTTTCCCGCCCCAAAATTAATTTTGATTGATTGACCAAATGATTTTTCGAATGATATGCTGATTTTGATATGTTTTAAAGGGTGTTCAGCCGCTTAATAGTTTGTTCTTAGGGTGTTCTTGGGGTGTTCTTGGGGTGTTCTTGGGGTGTTCTTAGAGTGTTCTTGGGGTGTTCTTGGGGTGTTCTTGGGGTGTTCTTGGGGTGTTAAGCCTATTCTTGGATTGTTCAGTCTTTTAGAAACGACGGCAAGGGGGGCATGTCTCCAACTTTTTGCAAGACAGAACAGCTTTTTCGCAAAAACTTTTGCTTTAATTCTTACTTTCCAAATTTCGTCGGATGATGCAGCCAATGTTAAATGTTATGTTTTCGAGTACATATTTGTTTTACCTTTATCAAGATAAAATAATAGAAGTAGTTCTATTCTTTTATCTTGCTTTTGCTATTTGAGTTGCATCGACCATATTCAAAAATTTTAAAGTTTGCAATAATGAGCAATGTGTGACTGACTGGCTGATCATCTGTGATCGATCTTGGTAAACTTGCATGATGCCCCAAAATCATGATAATGTTGCCTGAAATTGATCCAACCCATTGTATTGTAATGTGGTCTACTTGCTTTTCTAGGTGTTATGGAAGCTGTAGTGTTTATAGGAGCAACTGCCAGTAGTTTCATCGGTGGACATTTTATCAGCAAATATGGCTTCAAAACCCCGTACATTCTTGTTGTTGTATGCCAAGGTGTTTCCTGTCTTTTTGCAATTTTTGCACTTTCAGAATCAAACAAAAACAAAACAGTAACAACAGCCGGCTGTTTCACTATGGTAAGTTCCATTCAGTTACTTCTTTTGAAAATTTGAAAATTCAGTTCCGTTTAGAGCGGTAATTGTGTAGCCCTGAGCAAATTTCTATTCTGAAAAGAATCTTATCTACTTAACAACACAAGTTTAAGGGATAGGCAATAATATTTTCAATATTTACATACTAATTCAACATTCTTGTCAAGGCCTAGCCAATTAACGATTCGCTGTCATACAAATTGACGATTTTCTTTCAAACAAATTAGCGATTCCTTGTCATACATTCCTTGACATATTTTGATACAATTTTGCCAACTCTAATCACTCATTTTTTTTATTGGGCTCTAGTGTTAAACAATTATTGATGCATATGTATCATGATTCTTTATAAAAACTTTCTGACAATTAGGCCAGAAGAAATAAGACATCGTGGATTTTAGTTATTCTTTTTTCTATTTAGGCTTTTTTGAAGTACCCTTTTCAAGTATGGCAAACTCTTTCAAAGCCAAGACCTGGAAAATGGAAGATCGTTGTTCTTATTCCTGCCACACTTTTCGTTAACATGCTTTCAATTGGCATCAGCTCTTTGATAACGCTGTACCTTATGAATGCACCGTTTTGCCTAAGCCCAATAGAAGTTGGATATTTCATCGGGACGCGTTTTTTTCTCATGGGTATTGGTGCAGCTCTTGGCATCAAATCTCTTGGCCTTTTAATGCAGCCTCACATTGTTTCATTGATTGGGATTATGTCATACTTTGCATTTTATACCTTGCTGGCATTCGCACAACACAAGCAAACAATCTACATAGGTATGATTTATAGCAATTCAAAGTTTATTTTTGTAATTTTTCCAGCAGAACTGTGAAGTTATCTTAATCTGTATAACAAAAAAGGAAATGACATCATAAAACTTATTTAGAATTTTTGAATTTTGCAAACATGACCTGAAAGAACGCCTCTAAAAGGGCAAAATCAGTTAGATCTGTTAATGATTGCCCAAGATATGGCAACATGAGCAGGGGATATTGCCCCATCAAGCCACTGTCATGTGGCCTTGGTTCTTAAACTCATAAACCGGGCAAAAACAACAGTGATCATTTAGCAAAACATTGCTCTGTCACCGACAACACATCAGCCAATTTGCAATGGATTTAACTGATATTGCACATTCAATGTATTTCACCGTGCTCTTTCAGCTTATATTGTCAAATTTTACAATTTCTAAAAATAGAGATGACGTCATCCTTTTGCCGCTGTAATTGCAACTACATCTTTATGTTGGCCATGTTAACGTTTTTACATAGCAAGTGACAGATTTCAGCAACATTTATTTATCGGTTCGCCATGGGGTGAGACCGTTCAGGAAATAATCTTCTTTAATAGATGGTAAATTTTAAGACTTTTCTTCTACAACTCTGTTTCTACAACTGTCTGATATACCATACCCTCTTCGGTAGAATCGATGTAAATGTGGAGTGGGAAGAGGGAAGGTTAAAAAAGCAAGGGGTTTAAGATTCCTCGTTCTAGATTTTATGTGAAAGAATATTCCCAAGGAATAGTGTATATCTGGCTAGATCTTTCTTTCCAACAGCTTGTGTTGCTGGGGTACTTTCCGGAACAGCTAGTCCGATTTTTCGCAGTATATTGTCGAGGGCGGTCAACCAAACTGAGCAAGGTAAATAGACCAATCATTTGTTTTTCATTTTTGCTGCTCATTATTGTCATAATCACCAAAATAATCGTTATTTTTATCGTCATCTTCATTTTAATCGTTAATCATCGTCAGCTCGAGCACATGATGCAGAGGTAAATTTCTAAACCTAGTGCTTAATTTTAAAGCATCTTCCCCAATCTTCATGGTGTATGGATAACTTTGTAGACTTTCTATATCTATATCATAAATGGGTTACGCCAAACCATAAACGGACGAGTTATGTTGAATCAATGTTAAACGATACCAGCAAATCAGATTTATCGTAGAACCAATCTGTAAGAGCAGAGCGAGCCCGTAGCCAGGCCTTCTACGTAGGGGTGGCAAATACAGGCGAAGTTTAAAGTAAAGTTTTATGTAGGGAGGGGAGGAAGGGGTGCGGAGAGTTAGTGGAAACAAAGAAGCAAAAAAGTTGTAAAATGTCTTCAGAAATTAAACAACTTTCTTCCACTTAATTTCTATTCAGCTAGAAACATTTAAATGTTATGTTTTCCATCAAGATTTCATTTTTCAAACGCAAGATGTACAAGATCGTTCTTTCTCTCTGCCTGCAAAGATCTTCCCTGAGAGGAATCTATCCTTGTTTATGCAGAAAACAAGCATTTTTCAAACCAAGTCTCTATGAGTCACAGAAAACAAGTCTCTATGTGTTGATGTGAAGCCAACAGTGATTGCAACTTTTAGAAATTAATAAAGAGCGAGTATCGGCTAGCTGAGCTCGCTTTCTGGCCACTTTAAATCTTTAAGCACTCGAGAGAAGATTAGCACACTGCTTGAAAAAAAATCACCAAGCTCCTTGAATGTTTTCTCCAGAATAAATTATTTACGCTGGATATTTGTATAGAGGTATCAAGGTCTCGTAATAAAAACTCCCAGTAAGCAATTTTCCTTCCGTCAGAGTTATCTTGACTCAAATTGTCATATCAATGAAAACGACGAAAAAGTCCATTGAGAAAATTGGAGAAAAATTCTCCGGGTGGCTCTCTTGCTCCAGGGGTGCCACCCCATGCCCCCCCTCTGGCTACGGACCTGAGCAAAAGAACAAAATAGAATAATACAAATTGGCTTTTTAAAATGGCTTAAGGATCACTTTACACAGGAATTTGAAAAAAATTGGATGTTTGTCTCAACAAACCCCCCTATACCTCATGGAAGATTTACGTGCGCTTCAGACTGAATACTATCGTCTACCAGTTAAAATTTCATAGCGGGACAAAGACTGATTATCATCTTAGGAAGCATGACATGTTTGGTAATGATAGTGAATGAAATGAATACCGCCGTGTCATATATACCAAAGTACTTGTTTATATATATTCAAATCCTCACTTGACGAAGAATATAGGGCATTTCATTAAAGAAGCCATTAATTTGCGTGCGATTTTATATAACGTGATTAAGATTTTGGCAAACTATTCTAATGAAACTTCATCACCTCCTGTTTCAAATTTTTAAGGTTCCTTCATCTTTAGAAATATGAAATGAATCTGTTACGTTGCTTTTGTCAATATTGTTGTATTTAATTCAGTAAACTGCAAATAATTGATTTTGATAATGCTATTGTCTTCGTCTTCGCCATTGGCAGCCACGTCCAATTGACAATCATCACAAGTAGCGAATGTCTATTACAATTTGTGACTGATCGATTCTTAAACACAAAATTGTTACAAACATCTCCTTTTTAGGCGCTCTGTTTTCAGTCGTCTCTTCTCTAGAGATGTTGGCCGTTTTTCTTGGTAACTTTCTTTTCAACGCTGTTTATACTGTCGTCAATGGCAGTGGGCATCCTGAATCAATTTTCTTTGTGGTTGTTGGTCTTTTGCTGTTACCGTTTCTCTTGAATTTGTAAGTATATTTATTATTGGTCAGCTCTAACTTCTCGGAAACTTAAGACATATTCGTCAATCAAATTAAAATGCAAAGGAAAGTTGATGATATTGGCAACTTTGAAGGTCAGCCAAACCGTACTCAGTTTGTGGTGTCCTTGATGATATTGCGTATTGAACTACAGTGTAACCTCCATCAACGGACACCTCTATACAACGGACACCTCCAAACAACGGACAGATTTTTGAGTCCCAAAACAAAAGTTATAAAGAGATGACACCTCCATACAGCGGACACCTCTCTACAACGGACAATAACATTGGTCCCACTGGTGTCCGTTATATGGAGGTTCCACTGTTTATCAATAGTCTTGAAAAGAGAATAAAGCCCCATATATCTTGTTTTTGTTTTCGCACATATTTTCTTATCCAATACAATAGTTTATCTTAACTTATCAATCTAGTTTAAGTGCACATATATAACTGTAGAATTTGTTTCTCACTTTTTGTGATAGATGCAAGGTTTTTTCTCTTTTTCTTGCTATATTGTGTTTATGAAACCTGTTCATACTTTTCCTCTATCGAAGAATATATATAAAAAGAAGAAAAAGTGACGAAGGCCAAGATGATCTTGAAAAGATTTGGAATGTGCAAGAGGTTGCAGGCGATTATGGTTCCGGTGCCTCAAGTCCTCCGCAGTCTCCTAAAGACGCTTGACCTCAGGTCAATGCTGGTTCCTTTTATATTCAAAATACAATGCTGTATTGCTGGCTTCCTCCACAATTCAAAACTTTCTCTTCCCTAATGGACCGATTTTCTTTCAAATCATTATAATATTTCGCGGACCTTCGGCATCGAAAAAGAGGACATATACTTCACCAGGGTTTCAGCGTCTTGTAGCCAATCATTTGTTTCATTCTATTAAATGATACAGTTTCCCGCAGTGAGACAGGTTCTCAAAATACGAAAGTCCGAACGCATCACATACAGCAACTCTGTATACATCGAAAGAGGGAATGAGGAGATTAAAAAACGTTAAATAGTCCACCCAATTAAGCGATATACATAGAGCATATGTCATCCAATCCCCTAAAAGTAAGGCAGATAAATTTACGAGTTTCTTGCTCAAGCTTCAAAACTAAACGAAATTTTTTCTTAAAAGTGTTAGTATTTTAAAATTTTTATTGAATTTTCTGTATTTGATTTTACCTAAAGTTGTCTCAGAGGCATAGAAGCAAGGGCTGGGGGAATGCTGGGGGAGTGCAGGGGGAGTGTAGCCCCCTAAAGCTCAAATTTATCAGGCACTTTTGGAAGATTTTGCTTCTTTATCGAACTTTGTAGCTTTTTTCTTGCTTCGATTTCGAAATTCTTCTCTACACATGTGTGGGAAATTTATATTTTTAGCTCCCTAGAAATTTAATCTACACTGCGCCCCTGCCAGGAGACAAGGAATTCAGCGAATATGATGTATTAATGTGTTGAATGAATACCTTATGCACGTATTCTTTTGTCTTATTGTCTTTTTGAACCAAAACCTTCGCTACTGCACGGTCGGATGGCCCCCTTTGACTAGAGAGGAGCAAAAAATTTAGAAACTTTTTTAGGGCCCCTCTTCGCTCGGGGCTCGGGCAATCTGCCCCCTCTGGGTGGGCCTTATTGGTAGGCCTAGTGTCTGTATTTGCCTTGAGCATGAGCACCATAGAAGCATTTTAAAAGTTTGGGGCACATGGATGCATAAAAGGGCTTCTCCAAAAGCTGCAAATATGTACTTTATCTCTGTTTCTGGAAGCTGAGGGCGCACGTGCCGCCCTTTGCCCTAGTTCCTACACCTATGCGTACCCCCTAATTGGCGCCTCACCGCGTAGTGTTGTAACAGTGTTTCCAACGGCGACTATGTAAACTTATGATTATAAGTTTATTATTAGGATTAATTCACTGTCACGAAAAGTTATTTATATATTAACTTTTAAAGAATAGAGCCAAAAAGGATCCTTCAATGCTCTGCTTCGTCTACCTAAACCCCCTCCCCCCTCTACTCGTTTAGTCTTCATGCTATGAGAGCTCCACCTTTAAGAATTTCCTCGCATAAAAATTCCTCTTACTATTAAATGTTGTTAAATTTTGTTGTTAAATTTCGTTATTGTAACTTTGAGTAATATAGTTAGTTATAGTGTAGTAAATTTGGTGTCATTTGTATATAGTGGATTTGAAAACAAAAGAAGCTAAATTGAGCTGAGGTTGAGATGGGTGTCCTATCTAAAAAGGGATGTCTGTTCGACGTATATTTGGCTCCTCAGAAAACCTGACTACATTTCTCTTTTGATAAAAGCCAGATAATTTTGCAGAGGTTTGAGGCTCTTTTTTGTAATATTTGATTGTAACAGTACTGTTAATTTTTCTACAACAATTTGCTATTAAATTTTTTCCAAGATTACTTGATAACAGTCTTGCAATTTTCAAAAACACATTCTTTTTTCTTATCATTTTTTATCAACAATTCTGGCAAATCGAGCCTCAGTGTCCTAATAAGAAAGAGTGTACGTGTTTGCTCAGCTGCACCAAACCTGTCAAATTTTATTTTTGAAAATAAGTGAAAGTGCTTGATGGGGGAAGGCCGGGACTGCTATTGGGGTATCAAGGGCAGGTGCGGATCTATAATTAATCCTTAGTGGCACACGGATAAAAGGGGGCTGGGGGTATAACCACCAGAAACACTACACCCTCTAGTTCTTTTGAAACCCCACTTTGAGTAAGCACCTGTTTACAGAATTTGAAGGTCTACTGCTCAATTAGCTAATTCGAATTAACATAAGAATAGAATTCGAAAGTAGATAGAAAAATGCAGGAATTTATGAAAGCCGAGTAGAAATGAATGGGTCAGAAACAAATTGGTAGCGACATTCCTGTAGATCTCGTCAAAAAAGACACTTAGCAAGCAAATTAAAACCAGCTTTTGTGAAGTCAGTACATTTCGCAGCGCATGTCACTGATTTCTCTGCCCCACGTTGGGCGCCATTTTATTTAGAACATAGCTTCGGTAAAGTGAAGACGTAAATGAAACTCCCTATCGTTTGATTTTATCCTTAAATATATAAAAACATGACTATATGCAACTATAACATGAAAATAACTCATTGGTCTATCGTAAAACTATATAGTGTATCTTTGTCATGACATCACTGCTTCACTAAAAGTCCTTCATCAAGATCTAAAAGTAGAAAAATGTTATTTTAGTTCCATAGCCAAATAACAGGAAATATTTTCATTGAATTTAGATCTGCATATTTTCACTTTTTACTGTAGCTGTAATCTGGCAGGTCTCATTTACGAAAAGAACAGTGACCACAGAAGCTAGGGGGTTTGTGGGCTGAAGTCCCTAAAAAATTTCAGAACGGCAATTAAAACAAAGTTCCACGGTGCCTGGAAAGGAACCATAAACTTTTATAGCTTCTCCAGTGCCACAGCTACCAATTCACCTGCGCTACAGCAATCCCTCGTTAGAACACTTAAATTTTGGGCACAACTGAAGAGTATTATGGATTTCAGGGTATGTGAATTTCAGACTGATCAGCTTACTAGAAAGTCGAATACAAAATGCGAAATATGTTATTACATGCAATCAAATAAAAAAAGGAAGAGCTGAAAATATTGCTTCAAAGCAAGTCTACATCTTTACCAACATCACTTGATGCTATTTACTTCTACTAATTGGCAAGGTAACGAAGTAGTTAATCTAACCTCAAAGTTTCTTACCCACCAGTGCCACGTCTCCTGTTCGTCTTTAGATGATTTGCATTGATTTCAACTGACAGAAAAAATTATACATGTAAAACATGTATTATGGTCTTCTTGTTATTTTCTAGGTATTATGGATGATGTACATTTGTTGTTGATGATTTGTTTATCTTAAATTCTGATTTACTCATTATCTAAGCACATGACAATCAAAAAATTAAAGCAAAACGTTCAACGTTTATTATGCTTTTGAAATTAATGAAAAGAATCATCTACACCCAAAGCGTCTATGTTATTTAGCAAGAAAACTATTTTGATTACTAAATGACAGCTTTAAAAATTGTTCACCTGATATCACTTTTAATAACCTGAAGGCTGATATCTTGGCCAAAATGATCTTCTCGGTAATATATTTAAAGTCAGAACAAAGGTGCACGTATTAAGTTTCAAGTTCAATTAAATTATTTTATGCTTATTAAGTTTCATCTGTACTTTGAGGAATTTTTCTATGAATCCTTCAAAAACATTTTCCAGAAATTTTCTGAAGCACCGGTCTTATGTTCCCTGACTTTTCGCCTGCAAAACAGCAAGGTAGTCTTTCAAATTTATTTTGATTCAAAAGACATTGGAATTAAGCAAAAAAAATTCGCGGCGAAGCGTTCGTTACAAAAACCACTTAGCGCTGAACTTCTGTTTTAAAAACCTGTCGGCTTAGGCCTTTGGCTTCTGTGAGCCGCCATTTTTAGCACCGTTTCCATACTTTTGTGACCCTAGTGTAGTTTGTATAGGACCAACAGCTAGTGATTTTGCCTGTGGACCTTTTATCAGCAAATATGGCTCCCGAATCCCATTCATTTTTGTCGTTGTTTGCCAAGATGTGCTCTGTCTCCTTGTTATTTTTGCACTGCCAGAATCAATTAAAAACAAAGCAGTTGAAGGCACCAAATGTTTCACAACGGTAAATAACTAAAAGTAAAAAACACTATTTTACTAAATGAAACAATCTGCTATTTGAGAATACCGACTTTGATAACGAAAAAACCTGCAAAGCAAAAATATGCGTATTCGAAGATAAAATTTTGCAATGATACTGAATACAATTTTGCTACATGATTCGATTAGACTTTAGCATTATCCTTTTATCTTTTCTTTCCATTTTGTTTTTCATTCTAAGTCTGCAAATTGACGTGTTATCATTGATGCAAGCAAGTAAACAATTCTAGTGTTTTTTGCGTTGGGTTGAAGTTACAAATTCCATTTTTTAATGCGATGTGCTGACAATGCCTAGAGAAGTATGACAAAGGCGCCATATTTTCAAACTTTATTGAAGTGCCAAAATTTTCGAATTTTTCAAGGCGTAGCCAAAGGAAGCAAAATCTTTTTTCTGGCTTTTGAGAAAATTAAACCATAATATTTTTCTTATTTTAAAGTAATTTTTCTGTTGCAATCTTTCAATCAGTCTTTCAATCGTTTGCAAAATATACATCCATAGCTTTGATGTTTCTTTCTTCAATTGCTGGCATCGATTGCCTGTTTTAGGGCGTTTCAATACTTACAGTTATTGCGGGCAAATCGTTAGAGGTCCTATCCTGCAAATTTCGTGCACTGTCACTTTTGTCGCACTCTATGCTAGTAGCTTGCAACAGTATGGGACTTCCAACTGGCACTATCTTCTGTGGCGCTTCGCAAGGCTCCTATTTAGGTCCACCACACTTTCTGAACTAAATTTATAATGATAAACTTGCCTTGAAAAATTGCAAAGTAATGATGTAGCATATCATATTCCGCTAAGAACATGGCAGGTCCTACGTTTAACGCACTTCTTAGGCTCGCAAAGAAAAAATCAATTTATTGGCAAAAATTCATTGTCATCTAAGAAGAACATTATGGAAAAGCCCTCTCATAGGGTCTCGCGACGACGGCAACCTCCCATACCATTTTTTTTGTCTTTACTTCTTCTCAATGAAATATCTTCCTGTTGCCTAGTGACTCGCGGAGACGAGGTTGTCCAGGAAACAACAAACCGCCAAAAGAGCAATGGCCTAAATCAGTGCAGATCATGAAAAGTAGTAGCAGATTAAGATAGTATTGCAAAGGGGGTGAAATATGGAGGGGGATGAAGAATTTCTGGTCCCGCAGAATTCTTTTGCTGATGAGAGAGATTTCACTAATACTCCGAAATCGCGGAAAGCGACTTTAAACTCTTTGGCAACGTCAACATCTTATAATTACTCGAAAGAAGGAAGTGATAGCAGACTAGCAAGAACACCAGCGCAGTCATTTAAATCTAGAACAAACGATACTTTGTTGCAAGAACGGTCCATCACTCAGCTAAGTGGGACTTCACTAACAGCTAACACATCTAATATTTCTCAGAAAGTCTCCTCTAACCAAATACTCTATGACATGTCAATGCTCCGTAGTGGCCATTCTGCTATGCATGAACTGAAGTCGCGTTTATATAATCGCCCAGTTGACAGTGAAGTCTTCAAAACTCTGAACAACAATGGAAGTTCAAACACAAATTTAAAAAGCAAGGTAAATTTGTCTCCCCTTGTGTATATAATGTTTTGACAGGCACCAAATTGATGATAAGATGCAGTCATTACTCCAACTGGATTGAAATTAGAAACCCAAATTAAACATACACTTAGCATCAAAATCAAACTTAGCATTTGCAGTCATTGCTGCTTTAAATACACATCCTTAAGACTTCCTTTACACATCCTTTAAATATCGCTGGATGCATTGACTAGTTATTATGCACTAGAGGGATGGAGGAAAAGGGGTCTCCAGATCCCATTTTTTGACAAAGTGGGTGAATCATTCTTATTTTCCAAATTCCAGCCCCTCTGAGGATGTCCTGGAAACCAATTTGACCTTTTTTAGGCATTTATTTTGTTTTGAGAATGTTTGATTCAGGATGCTTTGATTCTGTTGCCTTAGTAAAATTTTAAAACTTTGGTGTCACCTTGTTTTTCCCTTAAGAATAAACATTCTAGGACTTCCTTTTCCTAAAATTTGGGGCATGAAAAATTTGTTTTTGTTGAGGCAAGATCCTAAATTGTTTGCAAATTAATTTTTGAAATGTGTACTATTATATATTTCTGAAGCAAGGCAACAATTGTTTGGCCTTGGGGATTGTATTCTTGTTTCTAATGAAACCAAAATCTCTGTCAGATGGGCTCAAAGTTTAGCTGAATTGTTTGCTTTTCATCTTTTAGAGCCTACCACACCCTCCAACAAATGCATCTCCATCTAAAGTTCCATACAAAACTATGATGCTGAAGAAAAAACAAGTTAAGCCTGAGACAGTACCAGATGAACAATCAGTAGTATGCTTACTGTTATGTTTTTTGTATTTTTGATGTCCTATCTCTAACAGCCAAGATTTTTTGTATGATGTTCATGGTTGGAAAAATTTTTTTGTATGTCAATTGATGATACAGCACATGCTGGCTAATTATTGTTTACCTGGAAGAACTATGCCCTTTGTAATTTTAAATGCTCTGTGAATTACTCACAGCTGTGCATTGATATTTCAACAAGCCCTTTTCTTCAATCAATGACAGACACTTTGAATTTTTAATTAATAAACATTATTTGAGACCAAAAGATCAAACAACCATCTTATCTACAAACCCATGATGGCAATTATCCTTCATTTTTAGAAACATCTAGCTGTGTTTCTACTAAAACACTTTTTTTGTAATTTTCTACTTTTAGGAAGAAAATTTTGCTCAAACCAAACCTCTCAAAGATGAAAATAACAGAGACCCCAAACAGTGGAAGGAGGAATGTGCTGAAAATTTTCCAAATGAGATTTTACTTATCATTTATGATCTAAGAAAGCGGCTTGGCTGGCCTTGTAAAGGCATTGAACTAGGAGAAATGCCAGTAGCAAAAAAGACAATTGATACAACAGAAAAAGAGTTGAAAGACGATGGAGAATTTAGGTACTGTATTGACAGAGACCATAGAAAGCCAAAGTCAAGATACAATCCATATGATTTGGTAACCACAAAGCCAGATATAATTAAAAAGAGTGATAGATATTTCACTGTTACAGCTACCTATGTTACTATGGTATGTATTTCAACCTTTATTGATTATTTTCAAAATGTCTCAACAAATGGCTAACTGCTTCTAGAGATGACTAAAGAATCCATTCAGTGGACTCCTATTTAACCATGTTAAAAATAAACATATTATTTTTCCTCAGATTTGCACATAACTTTATAAACATTCCTTCTTGTTTTTGTATGCGAGACTTGAAAGTTTTCTTATTTTTATTTTAGGTGAGAAAGGGAGTAGAAGCAGAAGTATCACCTGTTTTAGATTGGCTTAAAGAAAGAAAGCTATTTTTCAGCATCTACAAGATACCTTTCTTCGATCAGTTCAGGTAAATTTCTTTAATCAACTAGAGAATGCCATTCAGGGCTGTTACTTCTGGGAGGGAGAGGGGGAAAGGCCTGTATTTTTGCGTATAGTTTTAACCAATAAGATTATGAAATATATTTTTCATTTTATCAAACTTTTTGCTGTAATTGAAATTTTAAATTTGGTCCCTCTTCCAATTTTTTGTGAAAATTACTGCCCTGCATTAGGTTATGCTAAAGGGACAAGCAGTTATGTCTTGTTGGAAAGAATACCAGCAGTCATAATTCAACTCTTTTAATAAGTTTGAGGATTGATCAAGTTTATCGTACCATCAAGAAACTGTGAGAATAAGAGTTATTGTAACTCTCTTGCTGGCTATGTCGAAATTGAGCTCTGTTTAAAGGGCCACTCCAGCCCAAAATTTTTTTTGCATAAATTGGTAGTTAGTCAAGAAAAAGAAGCTATCGTGAAATTTTTTTTCGAAAAGCTTAACTCGTTTTCCAGATATAGACGCTCAAAGTTGAGAATCACCGTAAAAATACGACAAAATTTTTTTCGGAAAAAGCACTTTGTGACGTGTGAAAGGGCTATTGTTTCAATATTCGGCTCTATTGTTATACGTTCGCACTGAAATTCGCACGACTCGGTAGAGGCTCGGAAGAGGCGATTCATGTCGGAATCTCGGTTGTCGTTTTATTTATTTTCCTTCTTTGCGATTGATGTTCAGCGGAGGCTTCCAGCCAACATGGACTAGTAATTCGACAAATCAAAGATGGAAGCTTCAACCTGAACGCATACCCTCATCTTGGCAACGCAGCAAGCTTTTTAATGTGGAATGCTTCACGAATTTTCAGATGTGAATGGATTTCTGACCGAAGGCATTTCTTATTGTCGTGTCATCTCAGGAATTTCCAGGGAGCTGAATAATAATTGATGTCTCACCGCATTAGAAGAAGAACCCCATTCACAAAATGGAAACTTTCCCGTAAGTCACAATTCAATCTTATTATCATTTTACTATGTTGAATGTTAGGCGAAACTGCAGGGTGTAGAGGTTTGGAGGGGGTTTGGGGATGGCGTGACACGCACCCCCTAAGCATCGCAATTTGCCGTGCTTTGAGCAAAACTTCGTCCTCTAAATACAGGTTTTCTAACAGCCAGTCTTGTGAACTGTCTCCCAAATGGTCAGAAATGTGGTAATATGAAAAGTACCACAGGGGCTCTCAAGCAAAATGTCACATAAAATATTACCAAAAGTAGAAGTTTGCTACTTTTTTGTACCAACAAGGGGGCCTGAGCCTCCTAGCACTACATCCCTGCCAATGATCTGTGCACTACACCTTTGCCCGAGGTATAGATGTGTAAAATTTCCCAGGGTTTGTCTCCTGAACCCTTCTTCTTCATGTTCTACCTTGTTCTGCCTTCAATTTTGGAATTCTGCCTATTTCATCATAAAATTGATGCACAATTTCAAAATTTTGCCAGATCAATATCCAGGGCAAAAGATCTACTACCCAAAAGGAAAAACATGGAATTTACACCCTTGGTCTTGGAAAAAAGATGTGTAATATCCTCATTCTAATGTTTTAAAGGCAGAATTGTTTATATTTGTTAAATTTACCTTTGCTATTCTAGCATTGATTCATATAAGCATGGCCTATATCATTTAAATTCATCTTTGTGTTACTTCAAGTTAATATCCTTAGATGCTATTTGCTATAGTAACAGTGGTTGCCCTTTCACCCCTAAATTTCTCTTTGATCCTTCTAAATATCTATACTCGGAATGCCCCTGAGTGTCCAAGTTTCTTTGATCATTTTATGTTTTAATATGACTCAAAAGTAAATTTCACTGGTATGTTGGTATTTATCCCTGTCAACCTTATTATTCTAGGCATAAAAAAGGTAACAAACTCTTTTATGGATCAGCAGAAAGGATCTTGCAAAAAAATGCTAGATGAAGGTTGGAGATTACATGCATCCTGTCATCTGGCTACTGGCTTTGTGGGAGTGATAACTTGCCCCTCTCTTCCATTCAAGAGTTACCACAAAGACCTCAACACATTATTCTGTTTTTGTATTAACATTTTTACAAAGGAGACTATATTTAAAATTATCAAAATTTTATATATAATTTGGTCATATATAATGTTTGCAAATTATTTAAAGCTAGTAACAACATATAGGTATTTTCTAGAAGTTTTACAATAGATTATTGTTTCATGATACTTTTATAAGAACATTTCTCATGTGCAATAGAAATTACAAATTGCTAGCTAGTTCACTGGCCTGATTGTATAATTCAATGTAGCCAAGTATTTAAATACATCAAACATGTATTTATTATTCATAAATATAGCAGGTTGAGATTCTGACAGCTTAAAGGAGCCGACAAGGCCCCTTTAATAGCTTAAAGGTTAAAAACAAATATTATATTTACAAAAGTATATTGAAAAAGTTGAATTATTAATATAATCTCAAATCCCTTTTTTGTTTGTATAAAAACAAATTCATAATTTTTGAAAAAGTTGTTTGACTCATGACTAATGGTAGGTTTTTAGTCTTGTCTTGAAAGTTGTATACTTTCTTGTCCATGTCCTCATTTGTCCTGTTTTATTTCCAATAAGTCATGTTGATATGAAGCTCTTTATCCTAATGAATATGTTGTGTCAATTCATACAGCTTTCATTCCCGGTATACTGGTTTTGTTTTCTTCTTTCCTCCCGAATTAATTGCGCGATGTTTTTTAGCTGTTGCACTAAAGGAGGGGCTGATGAAAAAGCGCGAATCTTCTTTTTAAAATCAGGGAACTGGCCTGCCAATACAAATTGCTTCAAAAGCAACATTCCATGAAAGTCTGTCAACATCCTCATGTCTATGTCTCGCTGGCCTACTTTGCCAATTCGACTTCTCTGTCAGAAAGATTCGTGGGACAAAAAACTTCCATATTCGATCAGAATATCAAGACTGATGAGCGATACTTCTCTCTTTATATCGATTCCAGATAAAAGTCTGGCCTTCTAACAAACATGCCGCTGCTAGGCCCTGTCTGCCATTTCGCAACGTTATCGTTGACCCTTTGGACAGCCGATGATACTTGCCGCGAACTTACCGAGACCGAAAATGCCTGTGACGTCAATCCGAAGATCTCCGATAACACGGTTGAAAAACAATTCAACTCAATGACCATTTTACAAACGCTAATAACTACAAAACAGTTAGAGATATGAAAAAAATAATAACAGATTCGTTTTCAGGAGGTCTGATTACATCGTGTTCTGAAATAAAAATTTTGGGCTGGAGTGGCCCTTTAAGTAAAATTTGTATACATGCCCTTCTTCATCTCACATTACTTTTGATCTACATCTGGATGTAAATTTTTGCTCACCTTTTTCCATCATCCGACGTTTATCCTCTAAGGAGAATCAGGTGGAAAGTATGTGCGCATGTCATATTTCCGCTCTTTCTTTCTATTTTCAAATTTTCCGGTACCAAAGGCTTCTTTAACATATATGTCGAAATTTTGATGTTCTAAGATGCAAGTCACTGGTGAGTTCACTCATCGTATTGTAACTATATGCAACCGTAACATTACTGGACTTAATTGATTCCTGTAATTTACAGAAACTCATTTTCAAAGTTAAAAACACAAAAAATTTAGCATGATAATTTTTGTGATGTCTTGTAGGATTCGGAAAACTTTCCTAAACTGGAAAAAAAATGTTCGATCAGCTAGAAACACAGAAAGCAAGTAAGTGTCATTTTGCTTCTTTTTTGTGGAGCCACGTAACGCATTGCCCCATCATTTCAATTTTGATTTCATTTTCTTAGATGACTGCGTTGTATTTTGAATACAAGGTGCAATATAAGGTAGATCGTTAACTGAATCGATGAATACTCTTTGTGATAATTTTGTGATATTTTGATGCACAGACATACCTGCTTGCAACAAAAACCAAAAATATTCCTTTTCTTTACTGAGAGAAATTGTGAGCGAGTGACAGGGCTAGGACAGGCCTCCAGTCTCCGACCAGCGACAACCGTTTCTCCCGACCTTTCAGTTACGATTATGTTGATTCTATCTGCTTCCAGATTGCTCAAAGCGTTGAACTTATAGCTCATTATTTGTAAATTATAACTCATCAATTTTGACCTTCAGAAATATCTCGATGGCTAATGCAGCTAATGCTTGAACGTACCTTAAAATTTAAGATATCTTACTAGCCTTTTCGGGATAATAATTTAACAATGTTGGACAATTCATTTTGGTCGGATGTCTGACAAAATTTGTCAAGCAGAGCCATTCAGAGCTTCAGAAAGATATTAACGTAAGGGTCTGGCCAATATTTCTTCAAGTCTTGGTTCTTAGCTCGGGATTATCCACTATAATTCAAAACCAAGTACTTCCCGTTTTTTGAAGGTAATAAATATTTGATCAGTATATGCTGTATCTATTCAGAGGTTTCCTTTCCTTTTTATCAATTCCAAAATTTTTATTATTCTTTAGGTTGATGATGCGTGTACCTCAAATCCTTATCTTTCTTTTAAATAGATTCTTTCTCGCTGATTCTCTGCTGATATCAAACGGCATTTTCCAAACAGCCTTGCTGCGAATAAGATCCCTCTGCGAGGACGCTTGTAGCAGTGGCAGTGGCAAATCGAATGAAGAAGATAAGATCACACTTCTAGATACCGAATGGTACAACACCATGGTCCTAGGAGCCTTTTGCGAACGACAGCGCAGTCGAGTGGTTTCATCGACTAAAAAACTGGCTGCACTTCGGAAAAAAGTCGTTGAAATCGTCACAGATGCTTGTGAGGTGAGGGTCTAACAGTACTTTTTGAATTCCATGGTGAATTTGATTTGAACTGAAACGCGTGCTATGACTCATGAAAAGGTCTAAAAAATTCTCCATTCTATTCTATTCCATTTTTCGCCCCCCCCCCTCCCTCATTAGATTCTCCAGTTTTCGAAGCCAATCAAGAGTTATGCTCGTTTATCTCTTGTGAATTCTTGATAAAATTATTTTGTTTGCTCGAGCAGTTCCATGTCACGCGAAGCTCGACCCCTTTTTCCAAACATGACTATACCATTCGTGTCCGAAGTTGTTCATTTTTAAATGGGGAAAATTGTTTCTAAAGGTCTTAGTTTGATAAGATGTCGTAGACCAGAGTTTTCAGTTAGAAGGACAAGTTTCTTTTCAAAAATGCTGTTTAGATTCAATTATTTTTTCTTGTTACAGAAAGTAGTCCAGCTGGAAAAAGAACGCATTGAAGCGACTAGAAAAGATATCGTAGACAATTCAAACAAAAAGTTCACTGGCAACACAAAAGCAAAAGCCAAATCTTTGCAGCTGACGAAAGGTATTTGTCCTTTCATTGCCTTTTGAGACTTTTTTAATGTTTCTCTACAATTTTTTTATAAATTGGTTTGAAAAAAGCAAATACTGTGAAACATACTCAAGTTTTTCGTCTGACATTCATTAGAGTATAAAACGTTAAAACATGGATCGAAAACTCTACGCTAGAAAGTAAATATACCCAGTTGTGGATCGAAATAGGCCAATCAAAAAGACGAGTACGTGACTGTTGAAGTTGCCCACTTAGTGCCGCTTCCCTATTGGAAATATTACTAACGAAGACTAAAGATGCAAATGAACTCCTTCTGTTTACACAATAGCGGCTGTTTCATGACTGTTTGGATAGATTCCAAAACTGATTTCCTATTTAAAATGTCGCAGATGTAGTTCTAAGGTGAAAACAAACTCCAGTTTTGGAACCTATCGTCACTTTTTTAAAGCCATTTTTAAATTCTCTACCACAAGAAGATTTTCTTACAACGGTTTGTGTTACTGCCTAATAACAGTTTCCTGCATCTCTTTTTTATAGCTTGTTTGAAAGCAAACGTGCCAAACGTGGTATTTTGTATTCGAATCGCTTTTATTTGTTGTGTCTTAGCTTTGCTTAAGTTCTCTTCACCTAAAAGCGAAAGTTTGAAATACTATAAAGTTATTGCTATTCATATCCATTTGTTCCATTTGTTTTCTATGTAAGAAATGTATTAGGCCTACCTAGATAGACCAATTGTTTAAAACTGCAAACGTTTACCAGTAGGCTCTTGCATTGGTTGCTGTCGTCTTAATGGGTTGATACTGCAAGCTTTATAAAAGTACCAGTTTGTTACACAAATATCTTTACAATATACAAATTGTTTTAAGGGATTGTAAGGACTAAACAAATGCAGAAGTTAGCTGGCATGGGAAAAATATGGAGTCCGTTGACATTTTAACATTTTCTATACCATGTATCAGGTTATGAGGTTTTGATCTATATATTGCCTTGTTTTTTGATAATCAGATTTATGCTAAACAATTTTTTCAGAAAAATACGGCATAGGAGACGCAACAGACAAATCCAAGAAGACCAAAGAATCTGAGAAGAACAAGAACCCGTACAAGTACACCAAATTGGCGGAATGGCGCACCGTTCGCCAAAGGCTTCGTTCGTTTATTCGCTGTGTGGATTTCATGGTAATGGAGCTGCTAAAAAGACTGGTGACTGTCTCGGTATCCAGCTTAATTGGGCAGATTGAAGCGTCCGTCAACATGAATAAACGACCGAAATCTAGGGCCATTGATTGGAATGAAAAGAAAAGAACCAGATTCAGAGATCTGGTGGATATTTTGAAAATTGAATCAAGCATAACCTCTGCCATGTTTGAGTTGGACCTTGTACTTGAAGAGAAAAGAAATTATTCCGCAAAAGCAAGATCCCCAGGTATTTTTATGACAAGATCTTTTTAGCACCATTGCCTTAGAAATCGCGTTTACTGCTTCTAAATTGACCTTTTGTCTATAAAACACCCTTTGAGAAGCATGTCAATTTTTCTATCTGTTCGTTTGTCAGTATATCTTACTGAGAGAGATTCAATATTGCACATTCTTTTAAGGCCTCTTAAGTGTCAACATTATAAAGATATATCTAGAACTAAATTTAATCGAGAGCTGTCTTCTCTGACTTGCATTTTTTTTGTGAAGATTTGCAAAAGACAGCAAGGAAAGGTGTTCACTTTTCATCGCTCTCCGATGCAGCTATTGCTGAGGAGGAGGAGTCAAGTTCTTCATTTGAAGAAGATTATGATGAAATGTCTTCACAATCTTCCTTCAACGATGGCAACGATGCGATAGAGAAAAGCCACTCTAAACTGTCAATGCGTTCAATAAAGATCTCAGTTGTGCAGCTTTCACCAAACTATCAGGTCAATATTTTTATCCTTTAGTCTCCAATTCTCTAAATGTAGCTCTCTATTTCAGCACTTATCTCAATCTATTTGCTAATTAACGCTATGGTGTATAGAGCAGGAAGGTTCTAAGTTGCAAATCGTCAGGCAACTGTTTAATTTGCCAATTTATACCGATATCTTGCATTCATTCAAGATTGGGTGATTTCGATCATCTTTACTGTTGCTCACGACAGTGTGCATTTTGCTCTTTGAAATACAGCTTCCAAACTGGATATTTTATTCATAAGGAAAGAACCTGATGTCAAGCCTATTAGCAGCTATTCTCTCTCATTACCCTTCCTTCGTTCTACCAAATGCTTTATAATGTCAGCGGGTCTGTGTTTGATGTGTTGCCTTCATAATAATCTTGCCTTTTCAGGATTTTGAATCACAACTTCTGGACGTAATATACCAGTTTGAGCAATCAATTACGTCATTCACGAGCTTACTGAAAGAGCCTGGTTTGCAACAATTTATTGATGAAAGAGAGACTATTCTTATCTTAGAATGTGATAAAGAGGCGATGGAGTTAAGCCGCTCGCATGAGAAGCCTTGGCCGAGTGTCGAACTGCTCTTTGGCTCCGATGATGAATACCAAAGATACATTGCAGATATCGTGCAGCATATTTCTGTGGAGATAAGAAATGTGGAGGAGTATGCTGATGTAAGTATATGTTTGGCTGTTAATTCCAGTTTCATCATTATTGGCTCCCAGATTTTGTATTTTCGTATATCTAGGCCTTTATGCGTAGGTATAAGCAGTTCAAACGCGCAGTATTTGAGTTAATTATCTAACATAAAAAATGTATGGTATAATTATTGCTTCAAAAAGAATGGTAGATTTTTTAATGTCAAGCTTACTTGTGAAAGACAAAATCGTCGAATGAATTAGTTTGTTGTTCTACATCTACCTTGGTTTTCATAACGATATTTTGTGCCATGTAGATGTTTGTTGATTTCTGCAATATGGTCGACACAGCAAGTAAAGTCAATGTGGAGAGGGCTCTGCAAAGGCAAGTATGGAGCGCTGATCAGTTCAATGCAGTACTTGGCCAATTCACAGATCAGGTATGCAAACATATCTGTCGGTATCTGTTACCTAAATAAAAAATAAAAATTTTGAATAAGAAACGTAACTAGTATAAACCTGTATTCATAACAAGTTCACTGTATAGCAATACATTGATAATGAATAACAGGTGATTGTAAAAATTCAGAAAACATTTTAAATGGGGAGGGGGGGATGGCGAGGATGGTGGTAGAAAAGAGGGCTATGCTGCATTGTTGATACTCGAGACAAAACACTCATCTTTCTTCAAGTTGGAAAGAGGATGATAAAGGTCTCCTCTGCTCAAATGTGCCAAAACTAAGAATTATGGAAATAGTCACAGGCAATTCCAGTCGTCTTTCGATTCTGACTTGTTTTACTCATGATCGGATTTTTCCCTTGCCTTAAGATATCTGCAATGAGCAGCATGGCTGACGAAAAGAGAGTCGGTATGTTCTTGGTGAAATCAGTGAAGTTTAGAGAATCCTGCTTGCCATACCCACAAGGAATTGTTGCTGCCGTTAGTCACCATCTTCCGCAAATATCTTGTTCAAGGAATGAGGCTCTGCTCAAAGTGATCAAGGTAGTTATTACTCGGAATTCCTTTTTATTTATATGTTTCATTTAAAATTGTTTCTCTTTCTGCCAAGACGTCAATTTTCTGATTTTTTTCCGTTCTATATTCCCCAGAGCTCTGAACTAAAACTTGAAAGGACACCGTTCACTGTCGAAGATTTCGTCGAGCATCTTGCTTTCTTGGCACGCATGTCCAACGAAGTGCCATCTTTAGACAAAGAGTTCAAAGTAGTTTCTGGATTGTTTCAAATTGCCATCAAATTCTCCCTGGATTTTAGTGCAGAAGAATGGGCTCTTTACAGAACCCTTGGTCCTAGTTTTACCCAACTCAAGGTTTGTTCGATATTCTTATTAAATTGTCCTCCGTTTTTTTTGCATTTGCTTCAATTTTCTTTTGATTAAAACCCCGAATTGTGTTGATTGATAGGTTTATTTCCAGTTGATTTGCCTGAATTTCTGCTATTGTAAGTGTTTCCCAAGCATTAGACCAGTTACTATTGCGATAACTTCCAATGTGGCACAAGATGTAACGATAAGGGCAGTGTAAAAAGGGTAAGTATCTTGGTTCAAATTATTACTCTTTCAACAGTTGTAATGCACCTTTTGGAAAGATGTACTCACTAACTTACGGTTAATTTGTACGTGAACTCGCATGATCCCCTCTGAGAAATCTTGAATATCTGTTGTCAGAATGCGTAAGGCTCCAGTAAATAATCTTCGTTTAGGCACATGTACTTCATAAGATCACTAAAGAATCTGAAAATGCCTGATTTTGTTTGATCTTTTTATCAGGCAACATATCTTTATTGACCTGTTCTATATCTCAAATTTATATTTATTAGGCAACGATTCTTTACTGCGAGGCAAAAAAAGACGAACATATACAAAAATTCATGAAAGATCTCAAGAACATGGTCGCTGAATTGAGAAAGTATTTGCACAACGTCAAGAACAAGGTGCGCTCCCCAGTGCTTCTCGATGAAGACGTGGTGCCACAAGCTGCTATGGAAAACATTACAATGTTGATGGAAGATGTTGAACTGATTGGCCAAAGATCCCGAAATTATGCAAGCTATCAAGATAGATTTGGTGATGCCCTGTCGACAGCCGTCAAAAAGAGATCGCTTATGCTAGAGTAAGTTTCATTTGCTAAGGAACTTTAGAAATGTCTGTAAGTGTAATAGGAGGCTTTTACAAGGCCCATCCGCAAAAAATAGCTATTAGAGGGCTAACTGTATAATAAAGTAAGATTATGGTGTCCTCCTCCTCCCCGCGTACCACGCAAAGCTCATAAGACCCACGAAATGTACCCAGCAATACATAGGCTCGGAATTCATCTTAATCGACGTTCTGCAAAGAAGAAAAATGTATTTTAGTTATTAGACTTCCAGTAGGCCATTCTCGGTTGATGTGTTGGGATCATTTGTCCCTTGTTTTTTTGCTTCTAATACAGTGACTTGGCCACCTCTACATACCAAAGTCATTTTTTGGACTCTGTATAAACTGGTTGGAAAAACCCATTAGGTTCTTAAGCTTTCAACTTTTAGGATATTCATGGTTCTATGTGTTTAATACTCAAAGAAGTAAATCCCGCACAGAAGAACCAAGTAATTCAAGACATAAAGGCTGCCCCTCTCTGTTTTTACATCTATTTCCCCTGAACATCTATTTTCATATGGCAACTCTGTCGTCAGGCATCATCCCCAAAGTTCAGCGCAAAATGTCCCTTTTAAATGAGAACCTTTGTAAGAAGCTTCCCCATATGCACCAGACCCAACAATAGTGGTGCACTTGAACCAGTAGATTCTTCTTTTAAGGTCTTTGCTCTAGTAGATACTGAAAACACCGAACATCGATTGTGATATTGCTCCAGTTTCATCTCAATTAAGGTTTACTCTTAAGTCTTCTTAAGTACTTTATGATGAAGTAATGATTAACCATTTAGAGTAAGTCAGAGAACCAAAATCCAAAATACATTGGTTTTGCTATTGGCAAACAACGTTGGTAATGATGATACGTGTCATATTTTTTTAGGGAGACTGGTTACGGCATTTCTGATCCGAACCTGAACTCTGCCTCAGTTTCCGCTCTTCAAAACGATTTATCAGAAGTGGAACGTGATCTGACCCTGCGAAAATTGTTATGGGAATCGATGGAAGAATGGGAGGTGCTTGTCAACCAATGGAAATCCACGCATTTTGACGCTCTAGCTGTTGATGATGTTCAGAAAGACGTCACAAGATTCGTGCAAACTGTATTCCTTTTGGAGAAAGGTCCGTTAATGACGTCACTTTACAATTTTATCCTGCTTTATCGTGGTTGAAAGGAGATTAGCATTTAACACCGTTCTACATAAGGAGGCTTGCTTGTTTATGACTAGCTGTTTGATAGCCTAGAAATGGTTCTTTCTGTAGTCATTTTGTGCCATATGTTTGTGTAAATTAACTTGCCAACTTGCTATTTTGTCCTACATGAAGATTTATTAATTGACTCCCTGGCTATTTGAGAAATTTCTTGGCCTTTCAACATGCAGTTCTATGCTAGGTCTTCCACCGAATCCAGTTGTTCCAAAATTAAAGAAGAAGGTCATGAAGTTTAAGCAGGGTATGCCCGTTATTAGTAGCTTGCGAAACACAGCCCTTCGGGAAAGGCATTGGAATGAAATACAAGAAATCATTGGCACCAAAGTAGTGAGAGACAAGTTGTTTACATTGGGTGATTTGTTACAGTTAAAGGTTAGTCTCTAAACTAATTTATATCGTATAGTTACAGTGAATGCCCACACGATATTATTATCAAAAACAATTTTATTTACTTAAGTGTGTTAATCAAAACGGTAGATGCTCGGGTGATTCAGCAATTACATTCTGTACAATCACTGCCAAAAGTCTTGGAACACTAACGTAGGTTTTCAAAGGCAAATCCAGCCATCCCCCTCTCCCCCTAGGAACAATGTTGATTTATGATAGAAAATTGAAAGGGGTTATGGAGTATGCGTCTTCTTGTGGATTTTTTGATATTTTTCTTTACTTTCAACATTGTTTTAGGGGGAACGGGGGACGGAAGTAGTAGTATTCGGTAAAACAAATGAAAAACAGAAAAGCACAGCGCAAAGTAATTTTAGCAGTGATTGTAGGTGGTTTACGTCCGCGGATTCATTTTAATTTTCTGTTGTTTGAATTCAAGTACTATAAAGATACGTAGTATATCCATAGCTACGATTTGTTTTTTATTCTTGGTAAAGAATTCTTGCAAAGGATATTAATCCAATGTCCCAGTGCTGTTTAATAGAAATGCCAGCCAAATATCAGACGGTGATGAAAAGCGAAACATTCTGTGAAAAATGTAAGACCCATGTGTGATAATTTGCTTAAAGAATAGGGGCTAATTTTGGAGGGATCATTCGAAGGAGGGGGCGTAATTGAGTATCTACGGTCTATGGGACTGTCGCCTCTAATTTGTTGATTTTCTGTTATAGCAAAACCTTGTTTCACACGTGGAAAGTTTGATTAATAGTTTTGTATGTAGAACAAGGATTTAGCAATAGTACTTGCACCAAACGGTGTTCTTTACTCTCATTTGTGAAGCCTCAATACGTAAAGGGGTGGGGCTGCTTTTGCTATCAGCCGGCTGTTACTCGTTTGCTTGTAAAATCATGAAGCATGTTCTATTGACAATTGGATAATCGACGTTTAGGGCATTTCAGATAATCCTTTTCGTACGCACAGATATTTCAATACAAAGAGAAGATTGCAGAAATATCCTCGCAAGCAAGTAACGAAGCAACTCTTGAGCAAATGTTGCAGCGGGTGAGTTACCTACACATTAATGTAACGATATTCAAATATTTTTTTACTTTTCATACTTGATGAACACTTGATCTTTTATAAAAAGCTAAGAGTATCCATTGGGCAATCTTTTATATCTAGAGAAAAATGGACTTGTTTATGATTATAATCAGGCTCCTTTCTATTTGACTTTGAATCTGTTTCGTTTTGTTATTTTACCCGAACCAACCATTTTTAATCTTTCAGCCTTACGTTTCTTAAGTTTTTTCTGCTTTGAAAGTCTATAAAAAAGTAGTATCTTGAGTGCATCATAAATAAGAATGAATAACATCATCAACTCGCATCATAAATAAGAGTGAATATTAGAAATTAACACAACGCTTTGGGTCTCCAAACATGATAATAGCGTTGGTGCCTGAATGACCTTTATTTAACTAACTGAAGAACATTCACACACACCGAAGGGGTGAGGGTAGTCATAAAAAAGATGATGTTACACGTATTTGCTATGGTAACAATATATATAGGCAGAATTTTTTTCATTATTGTGCTGGGAGAGATGTTCCAATATTGTCTACCAAAGTATGTTTTCGCTGGCATGGGTATATATTTCTTAGAAAAGGAACGATACCCAACAATTTTAATACTCAATGGCTGACTATCTGGCTAGAATCCTAATGAGATTTAGAAATGGTTCCTTTAAAAAGTGCATGGTATGGTGAACTATCAAAGATTGTACTTGCGTCTTGCGCAGTTTTGAAATCTAGGCCCTTTAGTGGCTGTTTTGCTCCAGGTTGATGAAATTCGTAAACGTTTTCAGGCTATCTACAATATCCACTAAAAGTCTTGGTTCGCTTCACTAAATTTTTTAACATTTTATGCTACCCCTTCTCTACCCCACTCCCCCCATCCCTTCTCCCTCTGAACAATGTTGTTTTACACCATGTTAAACGATGCGGTGTGGTCTGATTGATTCCTTTCAGTGGCTATGATATTTAACTCTACAAACAACATTGTTCTTGGGGAGAGGTTTTATATCAGAAATAGTTCTATTTTCAAAACAAGACAGTAGCATGTACACCAAACCTCTATTTTAAGATGTTATCACATTCCCATTTCTTCAAGGTCATCGAATACTGGAATTTCACCGATTTTCAGCTTGTTGCTCATACAAGCAGAGACATTGCAATAATTGTGAGTGCGGATGAAATTATCACTACACTTGAAGAATGTCAAGTCACACTTGGCAATATCAAAGGATCTCGATTTTCACAGCCAATCAAGGTGAATGCTTTTCTGAGATAAGTTTGAAATGAATACTTTGTAATTCTACTGCATGCTTTCCCTTTAAACACCCTTTTTCATTTCTTGCAAACAGGTTTTGGTATTAAATATCAAATTTTGATATGCAGCTGATATGCCAAATTCCATTATCTTTCTCAAATCTTCTGAATGCCATTATATCAATAAAAATGAAGGTGAAGTTATCACTTTTCATATGATACATTTAAACGTTTTCTTGCACAACTCTTTGCTTTAGGTCAAGTTTAGTGATTTCATGAAGTGGCTGACCCAGTAGCAAATACCATAACACTGTCCTAACCAATACTAAGACACTTTAGCAATGTAAATTGATACAATAATGTTCTTTGAGTAAACAAATAATCAACAATCATATTTATCATTTTACCTTTTTCAACTTGTAATAATCTTAAAATCTCAACCCTTACACTAGTTTACTATGTAAAAGATTATTTAATTCTTTTTCTTGTTCCAGGGTCTTGTCGAAGAATGGGAACGAAAACTGAATTTGTTTGGCAGAACATTTGAAGAGTGGATGCTTGTACAACGCAACTGGCTGTATCTGGAAACAATATTCTCGGCTGCAGATATCCAAAGGTAGGACACATGGTCCGTTGGCACATTTTATGCTAGGGCACGCGTTTGTTTCATTTGACTGGGATCTTCTTCAGCTTTCCCTTGTCTATTGTTGAAATTTTTTGATTTCCGAGTCTCGTGATAATTTTTTTTCGTTTTGAAGACAATTGCCAAACGAATCAAAACTATTCAATGTCGTTGACAAGAACTGGAAGGACATCATGCGCAGAGTCATTGATAATCCGAATGCTCTCAAAGCCTCAACCGCGGCAGGTAGGCTATTTTCTTTGTAAGCTGATTCCAGTTTATTAACATAGATTCAGATATAAAAAGAACCAATTTATAAAGATAACTCTAAATAGTACATAGCATGGAACTGTGATTGTTTTATTGAATTTTAAAAGTTTTTGGAAACTTTTTTACCGTTTAGCTTTTAGAAAAGCTTTAATTGGCGTGCAATAGTTTACTAGGTACACTTCCCATGCAAGACAATAAAAATCTGTCACTTCGGCTGACATTGAGGCCTCAAGCTAGCACCGCCCCACTTGGTATAACGACAAGCGTTAAGTTTGGGTCATAAGTTCGCGCTCGAATTTGTGTTGCTCTGGGTAAAGAGGTCATTAATGTAGGATAGGATAAAGTCATAACTGTGGAATTTACTTTTGTTTCAATTGTGCTGAAACGATTTTATACCGCGTTCTATTTTGTAAAGTGCTTTGTGTCTCCAGGTGTTCTTGAGATTTTACAGTCATGCAATACAAATCTTGAGAAAGTTCACAGGTCTTTGGAAGTAAGTTTTCTGGATTTGTCTTTTTTCACTCAAACACTTCAGAAACTTCAGGGTGTATTTTGTGGACCGTTACTTTCTAGATAGTAAGACCTTGATCTCCTACCTGGAACTTCTTTCTGGTCAATAACTAACCACATTATCCTTAAATTATCTTTTTTCATTTTAACTCTTTTCTACGCTATATTTTTATTTTCTTTTCCTATTGTAAAATATGATAATAGTATAATGATATTGATGTTCAATATTTTGTTTTTCTGATAATTTTGTTAACAATTTTATGCCATCTCTCTAATCATCCTTCATATAGATTCATCTATTAACTCTGAAACTTTATTCCTGAAATCGAATTAATAAAAGAATTGTCATTTCTAACTTCTTTATCAATATTGAAATTTATCGAAATTTGTTTTTTTAGGACTACCTGGAAACAAAGCGCCTCGTTTTCGCAAGATTCTACTTCCTCAGCAACGAAGAGCTTTTGGATATCCTCGCCAATACTAAGAACCCTGCAGCAGTTCAGCCTCATTTGAAGAAATGTTTCGGCAATGTACAGGCCTTGGTGTTTCACCGAGAAACGCGAGCAACGCCCACTGTTATATCTATGATCTCAGAAGAAGACGAACGCTTGCCCTTGGCGAAGTAAGAAGCATTCCAAGTATCTTGATTACTTGATTAAAGTAACTTGATACAGTGATTAAAAAGTTATGGCAATGGGGTTTGTCATATAAAATACGAAAGTATAACAAAATTGATAACAATTTTGATTTGACAAAGTCAAGCCATCACGCATTTTGTAAAATGTTAAGACTAGAATTTTACGGAAGCTCATATTTCGCTGAAAATTCTTTGAAGTCAATATTTTAAACCTCATATGGGTCGATTTTCAAGCTCCACTGAAGTCAATTTACGGCTATATTAGTATGCTTCAATTTTGTTTGGGAATCCATTTGTATCGCTCATTAGACCTGATACCAACATCAACCCTAGCCTTGTTCAAGGAATTTTATTCGTTTTCAGATTTGGTATTTGGTTAAAAAAGCGTTTTAAATTTTGCTTTTTTGTAGAAACGTGCGTGCCACAGGGCCTGTTGAGCAATGGCTGTTGAATGTGGAGCATACCATGTTCGACACTGTCAAACTGTAAGTGTGATTCTTGCCATTAACGCATTTCTTTCTTTATTGATGATTTAATGAATTTTAAACAAAGATTTTCATGAGCATTATAATATTCTAATGACAGTATGAATTATTTTCACATGTTATTCTTTGACCGTGTATTCAATTTTCAGAAGCCTTAAAAAAGCAATAACGGATTATACGAACAGTGACTACGTGGAATGGGTTCTTGACCATTCTGGCCAAGTTGATATTGCAGTGGTAAGTGAAAAATTTACATATCAATGACTTCCTTTCCTTTCCTTTATTTCATGTTGGTTAAAATGATAACTAAAGAAAAACTGATTCAACTATTAAAGGTGTAAGCTAACAGGATATATCTGACAACATTGCATCTAATTTTACGGGAATGAGTCAAAAGTGTTTTGGAAAGATGTGATAGTCCTATTTATTTTTTGCAATCATTTTGGGATATAGCATCTTTTTTTAGTGACTTTGTTTCAAATTTCTCTGCATCTTACTTTCACAGTTTCAAATATATAAATTCTATTTTTTGCCTCGTGTTTCCAAATTTTGATTTTCTTGAGCCATATTTGCATTCTGTGGAGAGAAAATGTTTTCTCCATGAAGGCTGGACTTGAACCGTTTGAAGTCCAGTATATCTAACTAGAAAAGTCTTGAAGATTTTTATGATGAGAAATTCTTTAATCGACTGTTTTGCTGGCTTCTCTCCGTTGTATTACTATTTCTATATATCGCAAGAATTGATTTTCAACTCATTTAAGAAGATAATTGAAGTTATTGCTTTCATATGTACACATTCATATGCCGTGCTAGGGAAAAATGATGCTTGTGTAGTAATGATATTCACTAGTCACTAATGTACTGAAGTAGCTCGCACAGTCGTATGCTTGATTTCAAAGCCTTTAAGACTAATTAATATTGTACAGACATATACTTTTTATTCCTACCGATGAAATCTTCCGCTTTATTTGGCTATGTATCATTTTCACGAAACTGTCTTTTTTATGAATTTGAATTTACTCATGTCAACTTTTCAATAAAGTGTTTAGTCAGTTTTGTATTTATTCATTCTTTCCTCTTTCAAATTGTAATGAATTGCAACTTTATTAGACTCAAATCATGTTCAACCGGTTAGTCACCGAAGCCTTAACGAGCGGAAGTAGCATGACGTCACTAAATGACGTTCGGACTAAGCTGGTTACGCTGCTAAACAGCCTCGCTTCTGTCGTCACGCGTGCACTGTCAACTCATTTATACCAAACTGTCGTGGCTCTCATCATAACGCTGGTTCATTCAAGAGATATAACAAGGGACCTTATCGTAGGCGACGTAACATCAGCTGACGATTTTGCTTGGACCAGGTGGGTTCATATAGTATCAAACAAGATATATTTTTCCATCTCCAATGGTATAGATCGTGTTTCATTCAGATGGAACATTTCTTAAGGCCCTGGCTCTTTACAATCGTCAAAAATACTTCGAGGCTACCAGTTTTTTAATGCGTGTTCCTCATTTACCCCGAACGTGGTTATTATTGTACACAATGTGGTTGGGTCTAGCACTCCATGAAAGTAGCAGTAAATGCAAAGTATCGTTTCTTTTTTTATTCGCGCAATTTTCCACAGAGTTTTTTACGTTTTACGTCATCATAAATTCGATCATTGCCACTCAAATACAAGCTATCGTATTCCTGCATCGTCATAGAAAAGCTCCAATTCTCCCAAACTCTTGTTTTTGCTTTTGAAAAAATTCTACTTTCTAAATTTTCAATGAATGCTAAAGGTAGCCTTTTTACTCAGTACCATGGGAGAATTTGCACTGTACAGAAAACCTTTTTCTTGCATGACTTCATCTTATGGTTTCGTAGCAGTTTGATATTTCCAGCAGTTTAGTTTCATCTTTCACTTTCTTCCAGGCACCTGCGCTACGAGTGGGACGATGAAGGGAACACTTGCAGAGTTACACAATCGCTGGCATCCTTTGTGTATGGCTATGAATACCTCGGGTGCTCTTCCCGTCTGGTCATTACCCCCTTGACAGATCGTTGCTACCTTACACTTACTGGGGCGATGCATCTTAATCTCGGGGGTGCTCCTGCAGGACCTGCAGGCACGGGCAAGACAGAGACAGTTAAAGACCTCGCAAAGGTTTGTTTGCAAGCGTTCATTGATAGAAAACTGCTTTAGGATACATTGTGTATTGTAGCTAACTTTGACATTTTAAGCTAAGCCGTGTCTTTAGTCCTTTTTAATGTTTTTTATTATCATGGGTCAGACTATCTTCCTGTGAAATGCTCCTCAAATTGCATTTTTAAGACCCTATAAATCTTTCAAGTTGTGTTTGATGTGTGTATCAACTTTGAGTCTTTGCACTGCATTTTGCAAGGGCAGATTCTTGAGATATGTCAGCTATAGTGCCGTCACTGCTTAATATTGTATCGTAATTTGGTAGCAAATTTCTAAAGGATATGTATGTTTAAATGAGCATAAAAATTGCTTTATGACTGGGAAACAAGCAACGATTGAATAAGTTGATAAATGTGTTAATGCATTCAAGTTTTTTACAATTTTTTGAATGAATTTTGTTGCATGGTTTTAGTAAGTTGAATAGGTATGATCAAGTGGAAAGTCCTACTTTGGCCATACACCATTCTACTATTCAAGTATTGTTTGCATTTTAAGGCGATGGGTAAACAATGTCTGGTATTCAACTGCTCTGAAGGCCTGGATTTCAAGGTAAAATAGACACTACTTCATTGTAATTGTAATCGTTGTTGTTGTTGTTGTTGTTATTGTTGCTGTTGTTGATGTTGTTTCCACTGATATTTCTATGGAGTCTTCGGCGATCATCAGTAGGTCTTCAAAAAAGGCCTAGAAACAAGCCGTTATTGGACAAAAGACGTTTATATCGTATGTAAAATGTTTTTAAGGAAACTGTGCTAAAAGCAATGGATCATTTTTATTTTTTCTTTGCTTCTCGTAATTAGAGTTTTGACGCCTTTGGGTATGTTCTTCCGGCAAGAGAGGCACTTGGTGAAAGATGAATTACTCTAGCCCTCAGGATTCGTCTACCGTATCTGCGTGTTATACTCTTTAACTGTGAAATATGATTGTTTCGTATGCTGGAAGGTTCCCCATTCTCAGACTGAATAAGAGTTGAATAAAGGATTTTGATCAAAACTGGCAGAGAAACAAATCTAGTGCCTCTTTTTGGAAATTGATATTTCCGGGAAATCTGTATAGAAATGTTCCGATGAATTCCTCCCTTGGAGCCAACAGAAGTTTATATCTGAAAATATGCTTGATGTTTGTTGTTTTTTGCAGATGATTGGCAAGTTTTTATCCGGACTTGCACAATCTGGCTCCTGGTGTTGCTTTGACGAGTTCAATCGAATTGACATCGAGGTCCTCTCTGTTGTCGCGCAGCAACTTCACTCTATCAAAGTGGCAAAAGATACATCAGCAGTAAGGTAGGCCATTGAACAAAATTTTCTGAGGCATGATGGCCTTTTTATACGTGGCATCACCTATCTTTATAAGGGTTTTACATGTATCTTAATTCCACGATTATCGTATGCTAAAACTACCTTGCGCCCTCATTTTATAAGCCACATGTAAGGCCTTTGATTAAGCATTCCAGCAATATCGGTGAGGCAGTGACGAAAAGCATAATTTATCTGCAGTTCCTGTCAGAGATTCTCAGAACTCCGCTTAACCAAAATTTTTTGCTTTACTATTAACATATACATATTTGTAATCACTTTGCTAAAAGCTTGTATTTTGATCCCCTGAAGTTTTGCTTTCAGTGCAAGTAGAATTTTCTCCCTCAAATAAATGTTGATTCTTCTGCTCTCGAATTTAAAGTTTCAGTTATGTATAAATATTCATAGTTGTTCTAAGAAGAATGTGGGGGTGGGTGGGGGTGGGTGGGGGTCGTGTGCCTTTTCTCCAGCCAATGATACATATTCTTAAAGCCTCCCTAAAGACAACGAAAATTGTGCTTGGCCTGTGCGTGGAAGCTAAATACTGTTGTTCCAATGAACTTCCTTGTGTCGTCAGTCTTATGGTTTGTGCCTTTGTGCCACTCTTGTCATTGACACGCTGCTCATTAGAAGCACCGTGAAATTTGCAGTAAGTTTGAAATTCCTGATGAAAAACCTTGAAATGATTATTGTTAGGACATAAATACTTTTTAAAGCCGCTAATTCTGTTTTAGATAAACTTATTTGCTTTGCTTCTTGGCTTGTTCTAGGTTTTTCTTCGAGGGACGCGATATCAAACTCAATCCATCATGTGGAGCCTTTATTACCATGAACCCTGGGTATGGCCTAAAATTTTTATTTTAAAGTTATTGACTGTTCTACAGAGTTATTGGGGTTTCTTCGTTTGAATACATCTGACGTCATTTTTAAATAAATCTCATAACAACCAATACTAGCAAATATGATGTTATGCTTTTTTGGCATTCAATGATTTGTTTGCTGACGATGGGTTTTATTTGCGTTACAAATGACGTCACAAGTGCGGTACGCTGACCTTCTCTAACCTTGAGTACGTTTTTTCCAACAGCTTAAGTTTTGCTATAGCCATTGGCTCACATATAGGTCCGCAACATTGTATTTAACTTGTCAAAATTTCGGGCAATATTAGTATGTTTAGATGTTAAAAGTTGTTTTTTTAATTCAACAATCTCTGATTTGCACCCCTGGCAAGCTGGAATTGTAGAAAGCCCCATTTTAAAGTACATAGAAAGATTTTACATTTAGAGCAAAGGAAAATTTGGCATGAATGTACTTTGGTTGTTTTATTGCAGTTATGCTGGTCGAGTTGATTTGCCAGACAACCTCAAGTCACTGTTTAGGCCAGTGGCAATGGTGGTTCCTGATGACGCATTGATTGCTGAAATCATTCTCTTTTCTGAGGGTTTTGAAGACGCAGCATCGTTATCACGGAAGTTAGTGAATATTTACCAGCTGGCGAGCAAGCAGCTTTCGCAACAGGTTTGATTTAGATATTTTTTAATTTAAAGGTTTCTTGCAAGGTAAAATTTTTGCTTCCTTCCAAGCAACATTTTGCTAAGCTTACACCACTGCATACGTGCTACGTTTTAAAACGTTCTGAAGAGTATAGAAAATGTATTGCCTATTTTGTTAATTGCGGCAATAAATATAAGCTTCGTCGTTTTGCAAGTTTCGTTGTTTTGTTTCAGGATCATTACGATTTTGGTTTGCGAGCGATAAAAGCCGTTCTCGTTATGGCAGGACAGCAAAGAAGAGCGGCAAGGTATGTGCATGGTATAAAAAAATGCAAATTGAAAGAAGTATGAAGCATTGTATTCTATGCAATGCAGAAATAAATGATGCATCTCTTCTTATCTGGTTACAAACGCGTGAATACTCTTCCTACTTGAATTTTTTGCCGATGGGGTTTGTTTTCAAATTCTTTAAGCTAGAATCTTTTTCTGTTTCAGTCTCGAACGGCACGTGTCCACAAGTGAAGAAGCCTGTGTAATGATAAACGCAATCAAAAATGCAAACATGCCGAAATTTATTTCTGATGACGTTAACTTGTTCGAAAGGATCCTGGCGGATATTTTCCCAGAAATGAAGCCCCCAGCACCAGATCACGTTGCTCTCGAGGTAAACAAAGGTTTTTTATATTTTTACATGGGTTGAATTTGTGTTGAATGTCATAAGGCCTAATAGCTTTTGAAAAACGGCCTAGAAAAACCTTATGAAACGTTTTTTGGAACGCGATTCCTTTAGTATCAACAGTGTTGAGGACAAACTATTTTTCTTCTAATTGCAAAGCAGATAAAAACTTCTACTTTTAATTACACAAATACCTCGTACCACAAGAATAGTATCTAGGCCCTCTTCTTTTCCTAATTTATATTGATGATTGACTAACGGTGCTTATAGTGCCCAATAGAATTCGAGCAACCATACATGGTGATGAACTGCTTTAGAAATAAATTAATACTGCTTTTCCCTCTTATAAGTATAATTATCTTCAATTTCTTTGAAAGTTCCACGACTCTAATTGATCAAAAGAGAGCCCATTAGGCATGCTTCTGCTCTGAATTCATCTCATCCGCATCTGGGTAAAAACCAAAATGACCGCTTGGTTTTGTTCCAACTTCTCACAAAATTTTTGGCTGAAATTAGCTTGCTTGCATTCATATCATAAAGACATGCAACATTTGTTGTATGATGGCGAAGACCTTCTTTGTGGCATTGATAGATACCCTTGATTTAGTTCTAAATGTTTTACACAAAACTGACAGATTTAGTTAAAAAATTGAAATTGTTTTAAACATTCCTTTAAGCTACGTATTAAAATAATATTTCTGTAGCTTTTTTACTTTTATACATCCATGAAAGTAAATTTTAGTTGTTTCTCTATGTTAATGACCATAGAGTTGACATGTCGTTCGCTCCCCTTGGTATCGTCCCTATATTGTCGTAAAGTGATTCGAATGTAATGTCTTTAGTAGTTTGTTATTTTAAAAGTTTTAATTGAATAGATAGAAAGAAATGATATAAAAAAGCTTCAGTGGTTGTGATATGAAATGTTGGCTTTTTGCTAAAAGTTTTTCAGTCAACTTTTGAATTAACCGAAGGAGATATATGAAATTTTCACACTAGAATACCACTGAGATAAAAATGATTTGCAAAATAGTAAGCTACTTTGGTATCGCATGCCAATGCTGAAACACTTTGAAGTGAAAGAAGTATGATGAATTGCGAGAAAACTAGCGCATTGTGTAAAAGGGCTTGAAACTAAGCCAGTGAACTGCAGAGGATTCTCATCTGATCTTAGACATTTTCCCCTGTGTTATTTTGCACTGTTGCATAAAAAATAAATTGACAATCTTTGATGTAGTATTTTTTTGAACTGTACTCTAGAAAGCCATTGGCGTAGCGCTTCGGGAACTGTCCTTTCAAAGATGGCAGTCCCAAATCGAGAAGATTATTCAATTAAATGAGACGTTGCTTGTGAGGCATGGGGTGATGCTGGTCGGGCCAACCGGAGGAGGAAAGTCAACCATACGTAAGATATTGCGCAAGTCTTTGGTGCTGTTACCAAGCTTCCATGGAAGCGAGGATGAGGAAGTTGCAACTGTAGATGGCAGCGAGATGACGTCATTAGTAGCTCAACAGGTAGGATGCCATTGTCCATTTCTGCCTCCAAATCAATTGAGTTTCTCTTGTCTCTTTGCTGTTAAATGAGTGTAGAAACATTGATTAAGTATCGATAACGGTACCAGGAAGTTATCAACCGTCAAATGATAGGGTTTCGCCCGTCTTGAACACCCAGGTCTTAAAACTTATCCCTTTTACAGCTCCTTATAAACAGGAGGGCGCCCCTTTTTATACCCACTCTTTACCTTTATTCTACTTTTCTCTTGCTAATCATGATGTTTTTGCCAGGTAAACCTTACGAAAAAAGGCACCGTTGACATGTTCTCAGTGAACCCAAAATGCATTTCTCTCGGTGAATTGTACGGTGAAGTTGACCAGATGACGATGGAGTGGTCAGACGGATTACTTGCTGCTGCTATCAGAGTGTTCGCAAAACACCGCAGCACTGCCAATAAAGACAGGGGGTCTGACAGTGCTGGTGCGGATTCAAGTTTGCCTGTGTCAAGGAACAGTTCCCGGATGTCAAAAGTATCTAATGACTTTGAAATGGATGTGGGAGGTTTGAGCTGTTCACGTTATTGGCTTAAAGGCAATCGGTAGATATGAAAATAGCTTAAGCCATCTGTAAATCTATTTTAGTCAATTAATAAGTGCGTGAGTTGAATCACGCTCACGGATTGGTCAAATTTTGATTGAATGATGACTTAAGTCCCTATAGTATCTTTCGATTGCCTTGAAATGATAAGGATAAGTCTAAGAGTTAATGCACATTTGAATTAACAAGTACACAATTTGAAGACTCTTTCACAAAAACTTATTAGATAGATCGAAACTTTGAAATCGTAACAGGTAGAATATGATTTTGATTTTTCCAAATAAAGCCTTTTGCCATGAAGATCCTACCTAAACCGTAAAGTGAATACCAAATAGACTACTTTTACTGCCTTCAAGCCTAGATCTACCTCACTATCTTTAGCATTTTTATTTGTGCTCGCCACGCCACGCCAATAATTCAGTATTTCCACAATTATGCTGTTCCAGATCTTCATCATTTTGCAAAGGCCGATAAAAGTGTTTTGAACTTCAAGGCCATTGTTAGATCCTCCTCATGTTGTTGTAGCACCACAGCTGTGTCCCTGTCTGCTCATTTCTTCATTATGATCACCACTGTTATCTGATTTGCAGATTCACAATCACAACAGGCGATCACTGATTGGCAATGGGTTGTTCTTGATGGTCCTGTTGACACCATGTGGATAGAGAACCTGAATACGGTCCTTGATGATACAAAAGTTCTTTGTCTTGCTAATGGGGAACGGATTCCATTGAAACCAACGATGCGAATGATATTTGAAGTCGATACTCTTTCCCAGGCCTCTCCAGCCACCGTAAGCCGTTGTGGTATGGTGTATTTAGATCCTTGCAATCTTGGATGGAGGCCTTTTGTCAGATCATGGCTGAATAAGCTTAGAGAGAAAAAGGTGAATATCAGATTTATTGATTTGCCAAATGTTTAGTTTTTGGTATATTGCTAGTTTCAATGCTTATCAATAGCTGACTTTTGAGACATTTCCATATTTTATTTAGTGCTTGGATTGTCAGTTCACATCTCTTTGTCAAAAGCTAGCCAGAAATTGCTTTTATCTCTGAAGTCATGTTTTCTACATAGAATAACTTAAGTATGCACATAGAAGTTACATGTTTTTCTGTGCAATGTTACCAACCTTCGGCATGGATCGTCTCTGAAAATTTATATCTATATTTGAGGTTCCTGAAAGCGGTCGTGATCATCTACACAAACTGTTTGAGAGCACCATAGACCCGGGTCTACAGTTCCTTGAAGAAAGCAGAAGTTTCGTATCAATCGCTGCTCCCCCGTTGAGCGTTGTGAGTACTCTTTGCAGTATCCTCAGTGCACTAATTGACCACGTTGCCAAGGACGGGGGTTTCGGTGAACCATCTCAAGAGAATGTACCAGAAACAAGCTCGACAATATTGTCAACAACAGACTTCGCTAAGTCAATGTCATCGAATGATTTCTTTGTCTTTCACATAAACACAAAGAAACAGTCTTACCTAGAGCGAAACCCCACTCATTTGCCGCAGTTCTTCGGAAAACTGTATGTTTTTTCATTTATCTGGGCTTTTGGTGGAAACTTCAACTGCCCCAGCGATGAATCAATGTCTGATATCGAGACTTCGTCACACAGCAACACCCTTAACGATGTACCAAATGCCCGTAACAGTTTCGACACGTTTGTGAAAGATCTCTTCGAATCGAAACCCTCGCTTGAAGTGCGCCTGCCTGCTGGCAACAACAGTCTCTATAATTATTACGTTGATTTGGACAAGGGTCAGTTCACACTTTGGGAAAATCTTGTACCCAGTAGCGATGCACTGATTGAGAAACATGTCGCCAATCAAATTGCAATTTCTGACACAATGAATTTACTTGATGATCCTATGCCTAGCATGAGCGATTTCGAGACACGGGCTTTAATTCCAACGGTAGATAGTGTTCAGTATAGTTTTATTCTAAGTCTTCTGGCTCTGAGCAGCAGGCCTGTTCTGCTCACAGGGGACACAGGTGTTGGCAAAAGTGCATTAGTACGGGACGTTTTAAAGAGATTGTCACAAGAAGGTGGAGCAGGCACGGGCCCTGGTACCATTCTTGGCTCGGTTCTTTCATCGGGTGGTTCGAGTCTGTTAGAAAGTATCGTCGAGAATTCAACGGAAAGGGATGGGCGAAGAAAGAAGACAGTGTTCATATCTCATATGCAGTTCTCTGCTCACACGTCAACACTGAGGACAAGAAGGCTGATTGAATCGAAGTTAGTCAAGAGAGGGAGAGACACTCTTGGGGCAAAGCCAGGAAAGAAGGTAAGAGATTAAGGTTGTTTGATATTTGTATCTTGTAGAGATATCAGTTTTACCTTCCTAACACAACACTGTTGGACTTTGCGTCCATTGTCCGCACTTCAATGTTGTTATCAACGTTGCGTCAATATATAAATGAATATGTGCCTCACCTTTGAATGATATGATTTCATTTGATGTATATTGTCTGCTATCCATCAGTTGTTTTGGCGCTTTTCACGGCAGCTGTATCCTGGGTTTTAGGTATACATCTTTTCATCTTGATTTAATAAAGATGGAAAAGCTTTGAGAAAATATTTGTAGGGAAAACAAGTTGATAGTAGAAATCTGATTTAGATGAAAACATATCGCAAACTGAAAAATGATGAACAATTAATTAGTTGTTGAAATTTCCGAAACAGGCATTTGCTGAAATGTAAAATTTTGTCTAAATTGGATATCTACATCTACGGAGTGGAGTTAGCAACAGGGAAGATTATTTAAATTTAAACTCCTGCAAAAAAAATTCTTTCCTGTTTTCTTGAAATAGCTCACTTGTTTCCCTCTTGCAGGTAATCGTGTTTGTTGACGACATGAATATGCCCCAGCCAGAAGTCTACGGTGCGCAGCCGCCATTGGAGTTGCTTAGAAGTTTCCTGGACTCAGGAGGATTTCACGATTCCAAGAAATTGAACTGGAAAGAAGTCCATGACGTCACCTTGTTATCAGCCTGTGCACCTCCAAGTGGTGGTCGTCATGCAATCAGTCCGAGGCTCCTTCGACATCTAAGGTTATTTCTTGCAACTGTCATTTTGATTCTATTCACGTTTCGACCAATATCATTTTTTGCATTTTACTGGTAGGTAAACATCGTGTAGAAAGCACATTCGTCTGAAATTTATTGACAAAGCGTACTAACTAGGTAGTAGGAAAAATAAAAGGAGAAGGCACAAAGTCTCTTGGTCAACCAACATGTTTCTCGGGCACATTTTCAAGCTTTTACACCTGCACTAAAAAAGGCTTTTGCTTGGCAAAGACCTCTAAAAAATTAGCTTGGCTGCAAGAAAAGAATAGAAAAAAGTAATAATTTTTGTATGCGTTCTCTGTTGTCTCCCTGTTGAAGAAATTTAAACTAGTTTACGAAATTTCAAACAAAAATCCGTTAAGAATAGAAAGGACCCACTTTTCTTAAGCTTTTTTGAAACACACGAACGCTACGAAAACACATGTTCTCTTTGTCACTCACTTAATAACATAAAGAACATCCTCGAATCCATTGTTACAATCACTCAACTCCATCAACTGTACTGAACGAAAAGATGTCTTTCCAGAAATGTCTCGCGTAATCTTGATGTGCGTCGATTTTAAATTGTCTTTAGTTTTTTAAGATTTCTTACTGCTGCAATAACCTCAATCAGTCAACGTCACATAATTTATAAAATTCTAGACAAAATTTTTTTTAATAGAAAGCTGAAATGGTTTGGTCATCCCGCTACCTCCAAAAATCCATTTTTTCAGGATTATTCCTCTTAACGGCTTAAAGTCATATCTCTTTCTATTCGTTTAGTTTCGATATTGTCTTCTTTGTCTTCAATATTTAGATTCGTTTATAGCTGAGTTTATAGCCCCCAAAAGCACGTATTTTCCGTTCGTACCATAGTGTGTTTTGCCTTCCACCACCATCCTCTCATTCACTGCATCACATATTTGGCACGATCCTCGGGCGCTTTCTGGAGCCTCAAGAATTTTCAGCGGATATCAAGTCAATGCGAAACGACATTATAATTGCCGCCATTTGGATGTACCAGCAAATCGAGGCAAGCATGCGCCCGACTCCGTCGAAATGTCATTACTTGTTCAATTTACGGGATTTGTCCAAGGTATGCAGTAAATCGATTCTTTCAAATATTTCACATACGGGTCATTTTTCAAAATCTAGCAATGTACTAACAGTTAATTGTATTCTCAGTTTTAAAGCAATGTGTTTTCGTTCCTCGATTTCATAGAAAACAGACTTCTATCTCGCATTAAATAATCTTATAATGATCAAACAAGGTACAATTGGTATAATCTACAGTTGTACCTAGAGAGACCTAGGTATGATATACCTAGACTATGATATTCATAGGTATATCATGATGAAAAAACCTAGAGAGACTTTAAGTCTCAATATTTAAGATTTCCTTAAAAGCTTTTTGTCCTATAGAAATGTTATAAATTGACCTAATCTAAGATATAAGTGAAGAACTACCGAATCGTCAATTGCAATGTGATTTCGAAGGTCATCATTAGAAAGCCGTAATTGACTGAAGAAACCTCGTGACGAATGCGAGACTCCATACCTTGCAATGCTTTCCATCTTTGTTGAGGCAATGTCCTATTCTTAAACACCTGTTCTGCCCTTGTGTTTTCAGGTAATCTATGGGCTTCTGCAAGCACATCACTCTAGTATCAAATCTCGCGAGCACTGGATCGAGCTGCTGTGCCATGAGTACGCAAGGGTCTTCTATGATCGCCTCACCGATGACAATGATCGAGGACATTTCTGTAACATAATGAATCGAGCTCTGAAAGACAATCTAAAGGTTAAATGGGCAGAAGATAAATACGGACCAGATACTTTGGTATTTGGAGACTTTCTCGACTTGAATGCAGGAGAGCATGATCGATTTTACCGTTGTGTCAGAGACCCCAAGCAGTTAGCACAGGTGCTGGAGGTAAGCTGAACATCAAGTAGGATTTTTTTTCCAATACCACTGACTCTGGGGATAAGAGTAAAAATCGCCCGTAGTAAATGCTCTGTACTCCTCAATGAGTCAAAGGGGAGACAGATAAAAGCGTCCTTGCATTTTTTTGTTTTGCGAAATTTTGGCATCTCCGTTGTTAACCTTGTCTAGTGTAAAAGAACCATGGGGAATTTCTATTTGCACAGTCAACACACATTTGATATTATGAAGCCTCGATAAAAAAAATAAAGTGTTAATGAGCAATAAATTAGGAGACCACCACCAAGCCTTTTCTCAAGTTTTCATTTTTTTATTTCAAGGACTACCGAGACCGTGCCAGCATTTCGGGGAAGTCTCTCAGCCAATCGTTGGTCTTCTTTCAGCAAACGATCCAGCATATAGCGCGGGCTGCCCGCGTTTTCAGACAGAGAGAAGGTCATATGCTTCTTGTTGGCATTGGAGGCAGCGGAAAATCAAGTGTTGCTGAATTGGCTGCGTATATTGAGTTTTGCACATTCATCAAGCCTTCCTTAACACGCAATTATAGTCACTCGGATTTTCGAGATGACATCAAGAAGGCCTATATGACTGCTGGCGTGAAAGGGCAAAAGACTGTTTTATTTTTATATGACTCACTCATTGCTAAGGTAAGGGATGAAACTGCTATGTGTTTTGGTCCCCATTTATTGCCAAACTCGAAGTCAACTTTCCTTCTTTCATTGTTTATTGTATCGTTTATAAGAAGACTCATGTGGCAAGTGACATGTGAAAATTATGCAGGTGACAACGTCAGTTCCAGCTCGTTAATAATGTCTTTAGTAAAGTCTTAAGTCCATTTGCTGAAGATTGTCGTTTTTCTTTACATCAGGAAATCTTTTTGGAAGAAGTCTGCAGCCTTCTTAATCTCAGTCAAGCTCCAGATATTTTTGACGAAGAGGACAAGGAGCGAATCTCTTTGGAACTAAAAAAAGAAGCAATTGAGCAAGGCATCCACGAATCAAAAGAACACGTGTTTGAGTTCTTCTTATCACGGGTCCGCTCGCGGTTGCATTTGGTATTTGCTACCAGCCCATCCGGATCCTTGTTCCGTCAAAGGTGTCGACTATACCCATCATTAATAAACTGTTGTACTATAGACTGGTATGATGAGTGGCCTTCTGAGGCTTTACAGGCAGTTGCGCAGGCGCATTTAGACGCCAAAGATTTCAGTGATGATGAGTCTAATGCCTTGCTCCTGCATCAGGCCATTTCAAACTCGTGTGTTTCGATACACAAGAGCGTCGAGGCAGCCTCCGCAGCATACTTGCAGGAACTACAGAGGCACTTTTATGTCACACCGCGAAGTTATATCGAATTCATACAGTTGTATCGGTCATTGCTTGAAAAGAAGCGACGAGAATATAATTTCAATCTACAAAGAATGTCAACGGGGTTGAGGAAAGTTGCAGAGTCTAAAGAAATGGTCAGTGTTATGAAGGAGGAGCTTGTTAATTTAGGCCCAGTCTTGGAACAAAGATCCAAGGTAATCTTCTGCTATTTTATCGTTTATAAGTGCAGAAAGTTTCTATCTTCTGATGTTTGATAAGACTAAGATGCTGGCTGATAGCTTTGAATGCCCATGGACAAAAAGCGCCGAGACTCTCGACCCAGTACAGTAGTTTCTTAGGTCTAGAGAGTGGCCTATGAAGATGATATCTTACCGGTCCTGACAAAATCGCCTTATGCTAAGGTTTCTGTAGTTATAATGGGAGAGGAAAATGTTAGCCTCTCGCAGCATGTGGATGTCACCTTCAATGTGTTGCCATTATAATTATAACTGCTGTTTGACAATTTATCTGATTATTTTATTCTTTCAAAATTTCTAGTTTTATTATTACAGCTTTAATAGTACTGACATCTTACTTGACTAAGTTACATTATATTTTTTGACTAAGTCGATAGAATGGCGCAAACAGTTTGAGAATAAGTAATTGTTTGTTTCCCCTACTTCAAACTTAGTTATGTTTCAGGTGCATTAAGTTTAACCAAAAAATCGAAGCGCAAAGTAATTTGTTTGGCAGTATTTGATCTAAAAGCTCCCTAGTTGTCACAAATCTATGTTGCTGCTTCACTTGTGAACATTGTATGTTGTTTGTACCAGCAAAGGCTCAACGGATAATCGATTGAAGATGTCTAATGAGTAACGATGATTGACAAACAAGATATACTGGCAGTACCTTATATTCATTAGCATCATGGGTGCATGGAATTCAGATCACAGTTACTAAGTTATTTTTCTGCTATTTGCCAGGACACTGAGAATTTGATGGCGCAGCTCGCAAAGGACAGAGAGGCTGTTGACAAGGTACGGGCTGTTGTGCAGCGCGAGGAAGACATAACTGACAAAGAGGCGAAGCGAGTAGAAGCCATTGCGGAAAGTGCCAGAAAGGATCTGGAACATGCTATGCCACAGCTGCAGATTGCCATTGAAATGCTGGATGCATTAAGTGAGTATTATGATAGCATTAGGATATTATTGCTATGTTTTTAACTTCTTTCTGCTTCATAGAGTACCGTTCATATTTCTCATCAAGTGCCCAAAGTATAATGAAATGCGTCAAGAAATGATTGTGCATAACAATTTTATCATGTTTTTATAATCTCTTATGAAATTTCTTATGAAAATCTCTTATAAAAATCGTTTTCGATCTGAAATCTGCTCTCTCTCTTTTGAATAATCTTCCTTAAAGATATTTAATTATGAATTCAAATCTTCAAGACAAAAATGACATTGTTGAGGTGCGAGCCTACACAAAGCCACCAACAATGGTGATGACAGTAATGGCCGCGGTTTGCACCCTTCTGGGGCAAAAAACAGACTGGAAGACGGCAAAGCATCTGCTGGGAGAGCAAGGCTTCCTGAAAAGACTCGTTGGCTATGATCGTAATAGCGTCACAAATCGCATTTACGACCGCGTAAAGAAGATTACGAAGAATCCTGATTTCAACCCAACAGCGATTGGCAAGATCTCGAAAGCATGCAAGAGCATGTGTGCCTGGGTATTAGCACTGCAGAATTACACTGAGGTTTATCGAATGGTGCTACCGAAACAGCAGAAATGTGAAGAAGCACAAGAGGCATTGGCTGTGGCATACGAAAATCTGCAGCAGAAGCGATCGGCATTAAAACAGGTATCCAGTTTATAGTGCATTTAGTGCATTCTGTCTCTTATGAAAAGCAAAGTATAGTGTGTATTTTCAACTATATGTGAATTTTGAAGATCAATTTTTAACAGATTAACTGAATAGATTTTTTTAAAAGCTTGAATTATTTGTTTGTTTGTCAGACTATCAATAGCTCATTGGAATAACTAATCGTCCATTTTGATAATTTCAGTACAGTAGGTGTGATACAATGCTAATCCTAGCGCAATTTCCAAAACTATTTTATCTACACGATGTTTCCATGGTATAGCTCTTCTCTTCTTCAAATAATACTGTTTGTATTGTGCATTTCAATTTATTACTATCGAATATTTATGGGGTTGGCTCTTTTACAAACACTGTTTTAGAACAGGCAAGTATGTAACTGTACACAAGACGCATACTACAATAGTAGGCAAAGTATCTCTTGCATACGTACATGAAATACGAAATGAATGTGAATTTTTGATATCACCTAAATATCAGAAACAGAATTGTTGTGAAATTTATTATACTTCCAAATAAATCTGCTTGTATTGATCATTTGTTGACAGGTTCAAGACCAGTTGGATTCCTTGCAAGCACAATATGACGACAGCTTTGCTGAGCTTGAATTTTTGGAAAACAAAAAGGAACAAAGTATTGTTCGCTTACGACGAGCTGCAATTTTGACAAAGTCTCTTGCTGATGAAGAGGTACGTCTCTGCGTTTCGCTCTGCAATATGCCTCTCTTCACATATAATACTTTTTTTCTAAACAGTAAAGTGAAATTACCTATATTAATTTTACCTTGCTTATTGGTTGTACTTGCTTTTACTGGCTACTGGCTATTTGTATTTCTAATCATTATGAAGTTATTGTTGCATTAGCAATTAAAAGAATAAATGCAATGCTTACTGTCTACATAATATTAATTGGCAAATACAACTTACACAAAGATTTGCCATGAACATCGTATTTTCATATCACAGGCAAGAACTGTTAACTTAAACCAGAAGGAGTTTTGCAGATTGCGATGATGATGTTGATGACGATGTTACTTTATTTAGAAAATTCACTTTTTGGATTGACTAGGCTATCCAATTTGATTTGCAAAATTACTTAAAAAGTGTCTTCATTTAACTGTTTGGCTGCATCTCAATTTTCTAGGTTCGCTGGGAGAAGTCGGTGGAGAGTTTAAGCACCCAATCTGACGGACTTATCGGAAACACTTTGCTGGCTTCGGCTTCCATTGCGTATACCGGTGCACTCACCGTCTCTTATCGCAATGACCTTTTGCGTCAATGGTGCAATACGTGTAAGCAACTAGGCGTTCCTCTCACCGAAAGCTACAATGTCATTGACTACCTTACCGAACCGATAACAATTCAAGACTGGCGAAACCGAGGCTTGCCTCATGATCAAGTGTCTGTAGAGAATGCTATTTTCATAACGAACACTCTACGATGGCCATACATCATTGATCCTCAGAGCCAGGCAATACGCTGGGTGCACGAGCTTGAAGCAGAGAATGGCATTAAGGTTATCAAGGCCTCTGAGATGAATTTAATGAGAGTTTTGGAGCCAGCCCTGCGGTTGGGTGAACCAGTTATTATTGAGGTGAACTATTCTAAAGTCTTGATTCATGTATATTGTATAAAAGTGTCAGTTCCTTGTTATCAAACCGATTTATTTTAGTAATGATACTTAAAAAATAGAAGTTAATGATCTTCTTCCTATGACAAAGTATGTTCTCTTTGGCAGGATGCTCCTGATACGCTTGACCCTGCACTTGATCCCATTTTAAACATGAACACAAGATCTACAGAACACAACACGACGGTCAAGATCGGCGAAACAGAAATTGAATATAATCCAAAATTTCGCTTGTATATAACAACCCAGTCAGCCAATCCACATCTTCTCCCTGAAACATGCATCAAGGTATGTGTAGTGAACTTCACTGTGACGTTGGAAGGCCTGCAAGACCAGCTATTATCAAACGTTGTTCATCAAGAAAGACCTGATTTGGAGACACAACGGTGCATGTTGCTCGAGAGTCTGGTCAACGACAAAATGAGGCTGCAGAAAATAGAGGATCGCACTCTTGATCTGCTTAGCACGTCAATAGGCAATGTGCTGGACGATGAAAACTTGATCAACACACTTGACAATAGTAAAGACATGGTTGGCACTATTCAGCGGAGGCTCAAGGATTCTAACGAAACGCAAGAAAGCATTCAAGGCAACAGGATCGTTTATAGTCCCGTTGCAGATCGCGGTGCCATTCTGTATTTTGTTATGAGCGATTTAGCTGCTATTGACGTCATGTACCAGTTTTCACTAAACTGGTTCATAGCCCTGTTTTCTAGCTGTATATCTACGTTTGAGACGTCAACCATTGATAGCACTGGGGCTTCTATAGCCAGCAAGACGTCAACAAGTACAGGCAGCAGAAAGGTTCGTTAAATCCAATGTAACCTTGTTACTGTGTTGTTTTCTTTTTATTTTAAAAATGATTGGATTTCAGAAGTTTTTAGAACCCTTGAACTATGAAAAGGTGCATCCAGAAATGAAATGTTATTACATCATATTATTTTATTTTCAGATCAGTCTGATCGAGAAGGCAAGATCGTTTGCAGCTAGGAAACAATTGAAGCATCGTCGGTCAGAAACGAATAGAACACACCTAATGAATGCTGGGATTGATCAGTACTTGAGGACCATGATCGAGTTAATCACAGAGACAGTATACAGGGTGGTGTCTCGTGCAATGTTTGCGCAACACCAGATTCTCTTTTCCTTCTACTTGTGTGCTCGAATACACATGCACAGGTCTACTGTTGGCAAGCAGCTTGTTGAAGACATTGATTGGCAATGTTTCCTTTATGGAAGCAAAACAAAGCTCTTTAGCACTGGGGATGAGAAAGAACTATCGCCTCGAAGAGGTACATCTCTAGGTTTTTCGGATACTGAAAATTGTTTAAGCATTTAACTGATTTTGTTTTAATTAGCTACAACAACAAGCAGTACTTGGTGAAAAATCTACAACATAGAACAGGATTCTACATGACTTTATTACACAAATATGGATACCAATCTCCCAAAATGATTTCAAATTCCATTCAATTCTAATAGGAACTCTGCTGTAAATTAGGGCGTAGTTGTATAGACTTTCTGTTGACAGGAGACTTTTCATTATTGGTTGCCTATTTAAAGAAGCAGCAATCGCTCCTTTCATATCCGTTGACTCTTTTCAACATAGATTATACAAAGCTTGGTTTGAAGGAATTTATGCAAAAACCAATTAACCCTTTACTTCAATAATGCTGTAATATCTCAATTAAGCTCGATTGATTGTGTTGCAGAAGGATCGAGCACATCTGTTACAGCTCAGGGATCTTTGGGTCAGTTAATAACAGCAATGACAAAACCACCGGCAAAATGGATTTCTCAAGATTCCTGGCAAGAATGTTTACAGCTATCTGACATGATCTCATCTTTCTCCGGGATTTGCAGTCATATTGTCAATAACCCACAATACTGGCTGTCATTCTATAATTCAACTGAGCCATTCAGGTACCTTGGTGAATATGATGAATCCACTGGCGACGCTAGTAAGTGAATTTTTGGCTTTAGTGTTTAGGTCAGGTTGACTCTAAGTTGCTACCCCGACATGACGTAAGCTCAATCAAAACCGAGTACTCTTATATGTCTTGAAACTTTTTTCACATTCATAATATTTGACTGGTTTCTGCTTCACAATCATATAGCGATTATTTATATTATTCCAATAGATTCGAATAAAAAAGCATCCACAGGGTGGTCACCAAACCAACTGACGAACTTCCAGCAACTAATTCTGATCAAAATCTTCCGCTCTGAGTGCCTGCTTGCTTCTGTAAGAGAATACGTTGTCTCGGAAATGGGAGCTAAGTTCGTCACGCCGGCTGGTTTTGATCTTCAAGAATTTTTCGAGGATTCAAATTGCAGAACTCCTCTTATCTTCATTTTGTCGCCAGGTATAGACGCTTTTTCTTGTAATTTCCTATTCCTTTTTCTATCTGTTCTTTGATAGTAACATTTGATTTCACAACAAGAACTTAATTTTTCGATAGGTAATTTTTCACAACAAGAACAATTTATGGTTTTTTAAAATTAGCTAAAGGCAGGTAAATAGAATAGAAAATTTTTTGTTGCTTTAGTCGTGTGAAGTATTGAAACCTTAGAAATCTTTATATTTTTACCAAGGAACAGACCTTCTGTTTAGCACTGTTTAAAATAATGTTTTATGTTTGCAGTCTTCATAATTGCTCAAAAGTTGGAGAAAATGTTCAGGAATGATTTTTGAATCCTTAGTACTAATCAGCGAGAGACCCGTGCTTTATAATTCATGTGTTCTCGTAACAGGATCCGATCCAACATCCGAATTGCTGAGGTTCGCTAAAGACGTCAGAGGCAGCACACTTCATTTGGACATGATATCGCTTGGAAGAGGTCAGGGGCCTAAAGCGGAGGAGCTCATTAAGAAAGCCTATTCCCAAAAGGGGAAGTGGGTCTTCCTGCAGAATTGTCATCTTGCTGCATCGTTTATGCCAAATCTAAGGGAAATTGTTCGCGGGTAAGAAGTTGTTTTGTCTTTCATTTCAAGGCTGCATTGTTTCATAAGTTGCGTCTCATGCCGCGTTTGTTTGCTTTAAATTTCGATGTTTATATATACGAAACTGTGTTTGGGTGTCGTGCAAAAGATTTTGATTTAAAAGTGAAGTAAAAAATATTGCACATCCTCGGTCCATCAACAGTGTTTGATGAATAGATTACTATCATACCAACCATGAAAATATTTCATTGGAAAAAGCTATAAAGCTGTGACAAGTACCAAAATAAAGGTTATAGCTCTTGAACAAATATAAAACAGCATTGTTTGAAGGGGGAGAGGGAGCTGGAAATGAAAACTCGTAAAACTCTAGTTCAGTGTTCGGGAATTTTTCACAACTCGAGTCAAATATTTGAGAGAATGGTTGGATACAAATTCAAAGCAGGCCAGTTGGACTTTAGCTCTAGCTTGTAGGATTATAAAGTGTACAATTTGGTACTTTCCCTGGATTTGTTTTATTAGTGAAGGAATTCATTTACAGTGTCGATTTCTTCCTTCTAGCATTTGTAACCCTGCAACTGACGTGGACCCTCAATTCCGGCTTTGGTTAAGTTCAAAACCTGACCTGGTATTTCCATCGCCGGTTCTTCAAGCCGGGCTGAAGGTAATTATAACCTTGCATCCCCAATTTATTTGCATAAACCTATCATTGCCTATGCAAAATAGAACTATACTGTATGTTTTAGAAAAGGGTTTTAAAAGGTTTAGTCGATTAGAAATTTGCTACCTGGCCTCCTGAATAATGCTTAAACGTTGCGGGTTGTCATTGTTGGGGAGACGAACGAGCAAAAATCTTCAAATGTATGAGGCAACCCTTCGTTCTGGAGTAAAAAAGCATAAAAATGACTTCGTTGCATGCGCATGCTCTTTCACACTAAAACGGGGGGCTGCCTCACCTTTAATTATTGCTAGTTTAAGGATGATAAGGATGTTGCAACGAATAATGCGGAGGAGATCTGATTTGATTGTCTTTGTCTTACAGATGACAGTTGAACCACCACCAGGGTTAAAAGCCAACTTGCAACGCTCGCTTGCTAATGTAACTGGTATATTGGGAGAGAAGATCAGCAAAAGTAATTTCGAATCGATTGAATGGAAACGGCTTCTTTTTGGGTTGTGTTTTTTCAATGCAGTTGTTCAGGAGAGGCGAAAATTTGGCTCTCTTGGTTGGAACATCTCCTATGAGTTTATTAATTCTGACCTCGAGGTATTCTTTTTCTAATATTTTCATTGCAGTGTTTGGTAGAGAATCTCTTTTTAAATATGCATGTTAAATTCTTCATGGCTAAAGCTGATCTGCATTTACTTGCTATTTTTATTTTTCCTTGCCTGTATAGCAATACCTTTCTTACAATGATCTACCATGCCCCTTAGAAACCAATTGTTTATACCCAGTTGCTGACAATTTGTTTTCCTAACGACTAAGAGCTTCTGAACGAGCATTGCTTCCGTCCATAGGTCTCTGTATTGACTCTGTATGATCTGTTATCGGAAAATCGAAAGGTTCCTTGGAAAGCTTTAAAACTCTTGACTGGTGAAATTATCTACGGTGGGAGAGTGACAGACACCTGGGACCAGATCCGACTTCTAAGTTTGCTGGAAGCCTTTTTCAACGAACAAATTCTAAACGATGGATATCTTTATCTGGGGCTTGAGGTCAGTTAGCTTAATGAATTTTGAAATGTTTTTTCTAAGACCACTTAATAAAAACACCGTTAATCAGCTGATAAAACCTCCATTGTTTTGTTAACGTGAGATAAAATTTCCAAAAACGCAATGTTTTTTATCATAATTTTTCTTCTGAAGCTTGGCATATTCGCAAGTTTTTTTCAGTGCAAATTTTCTTATGAAAAAGTGAATGTCAGCAAAGCATACCGCATAAACATTGTTAATAAAAGGTTATATTGCACTTGCTTATTTTAACCTTCGTTTCTTTCCAGTCTTACGAGTGCCCAGATAAGAATATTGAGTTCGATGAGCTTAAATGCTGCGTGGAGAGCTTGCCATCGATGGACCCTCCAGAGGTTTTTGGGATGCATCCAAATGCAGAGACTGAGCACTTGAAGCACAGCAGCAAGCGAATTGTGGAGTCTCTTATTTTAATGCAACCAAGAACTAGTGTCGTGCTTGGGTAGGCAGATTATAAATGTTGACATGGCTTTGTGTTGGTTTTTACATATCTTATATAAACCTTGATGTCGTTTAATTGATAAAACCTTTTTATATGGACTAGCCTTTGCAGTTTTATTGTAGTTGGATCTAGCTCAATAGCAATTTTTGTGCAGCTGCACTTTCCCCTATCATCTAGTTAGTGAGCTTTGTAAGGTTTTCTTCAGTTAACATCAATCAAACTGACATGTGCTGCTCTTTGTGAAAATAATGTCATTTTCCAGACAGGGCAAAAGTAACGACGAACGAGTTTTGGAAGCTATCGCCGACATCGACCGTGTTCTTCCAACTGAAGTGCCAGTTCATAGCGCAGGTCCGAGCAGGGCATCCACAAAAACTCCGTCAAGAAAGACCCCATCAAGATCCTCATCAAAATCGATGCCAGTGTATCATTTTCAGAAAAGAGGCAAGCTTTTGTCAAGTCTTGTTACTTTTTTGTTGTTTCCGCCATTTTATCATATGTGCCATATTAATTTAACGCCATGTAGTTCAAACACAACTCAATGTGTATTTTGGGTTTCGATATATCACAGTCGTATAACTTCATATGTGCCTGAATATTTGCTTCACTGAATTTATAAAGGATCTAGAAATGCAGTTCGTGTTTAAATATATTTTATCGACTGTGGCTAACCTGGCTCTTTAATATCAAATATCTTATTTACTACCAGCATTTTCTATCAGCTCTTTATACCTCAATACTGCTGAAACTTCTAGTACCACTTTCTCCCGCTCTCCGCTTCCATCAGTCTCTGTCCTAGCGCCATTACTTGCTACTACTTTCTTTATTTTTCTTTGACAAGCTACCCTTTAATGGCATTTGATATTACTAATGTTCAACTATTTGATCTTTTTACGTCCACAATATGATCCTTTTTGCCTCCTTTTTCTACAGAATCAGGCATTTTGACAAACGAACAAGCCAGCGCTTCTGCCCTAGTCGCCTTCTTGAGGCAAGAGCACCTTCGATACAATGAGCTGTTGCAAACTGTGCATGCTTCTCTTGATGCCCTTCAGTCCGCTGTGAGAGGTGAAATTGTCATGTCTGAAACACTGGAGGCTACCTACTCAGCACTTTTACACAATCACGTGCCCCTTGAATGGAAGGTAGGGATTCTTATCCATCATTTCATCCTATCTTTTAGGACCAACTATGTTTTGCCAACGAATATCATGCCTGTTGTCTGGTAAATCTACTTAGTTATCTTAGTCTACTTTTTATAGGTTTTTGCCCTTGTCATGTTTATTTCGTTTGTCATTATTTCTCATGCTAGGCGCTAATTTTTGCGTCATTCTCCTTTGAAAACAACTTTCAATCGTCTTGTACCTTTTGCGCATTCTAATTTATCTGTCCACGTGTTTTCAGAAAATGCTTAGTTAGGGAGTAGTGAGTTCGAGTATTTGTTTTAGGAGGTTTTCAAGAGGTTTGATTCTCAAATCATGTTTTGACAAATAAATTTTATCTCTCTTTGTGAAGAACTCAAAATCTTGGTTACTTCCTTTCATTTGGGTTGCTTTGATACATTTTTCTCTTCATCTTGTAAAATTTTTGCAATAGACTCTCGTTTTACGAAATAGCTGCTGTGCAATGCTCTCGGCGCTGCTACTTTGCCTTGTTCGCAGCGCTACATGAAGTATTTTTATTATTATCATATATGGGAACGACCATGTATGATCAAATCAAGCGAGGTGTGGTTCTCAAAGGCTTAATAATTTGACACGAAATTCTTTTTTCCCAAATGTGCCTGCAAATGAGCTGTGCTTGGAAAATATTCAACATAAAGAGGGACCTTTTCTTCGCTAATAATTTTGTCCGATTTCAAAATTCATAATTTTTCTTTTTTTTCCAGAAAATGTCATATTCTTCTGTGAAGCCCCTTGCATCTTGGATAGACAATTTGATGAAGAGAATTGATTTTATTGGACGTTGGATAGATCTGGTAAAGGCTAAAGAAAAGACTCTGTCGAGACAGCAGAGCAGAACATCTTCATCTCAGTTCAGTGTTCCTTCAGACAGTCCACGTTGCTTCTGGTTGCCGGCATTTTACTTTCCACAAGGTAACAGGAATCGTCATTAAGTTCATGTTTGCAGTTGTGTGCTCTGATTTCGTCGGGACGGGGCCTCTTCAAGATATGTTGGGTTTAAAAGTCTTAGTTCTCCAGGGCATTACATCTTCCTTTATTCAATAAGTGCAAATATTCTGTGCGCTCTTTTTTTCTCGTGGATAATTATGTTACCATCGATCTTTCATTTTTCGCATTAGCCTTCTTTTTGCCACTTTGTATCGAGATGATTTTTGCGTTGTTGCAGGTTTTCTGACTGCAGTCCTCCAATCTCACGCAAGACAAAATTCCGTGGCAGTCGATTCTTTATCATTTGAATACCAAGTCACAAACAGTTACTGGTGCCCACAAGATACTGGTAGCGACAAAGACATTGACATTAATGCTGTATCTTTTGAGGTAAATACACCACTTCTGTTTATAAAAATTCAGATTTCTTTATTGGCAACTTTGATTCTAGAGCAAGCCATTTCTTGTAATAGAATTTATTTTTTCTGATAGCGGGAATCCACTGAGGGTTTATTTTTTATGCAATTGAGGACAGCAAAATATTTTATTATTTAACTTGATAATGTGTTACCAAAAATTCACTTTTTGTGCAAACGTCTTCGGAATTTTGAATCAAGTCAGATCAACATCGAAGTAAACTTTGCATAAATGTAATAAACATAAATGTTGCATTACTAACTGCAATTTTCGCTCTGAAAACTTCAGTTCATGTCCATTGAAGTTATTCGCAAAAACCCATCCAAAATAGATCTACCTAGTTTCTAAATATTGAATCCTAAGAACCATACTTTTCATTGAAGCGAATATTCTCTCACTGGTTTCAAACCTTTCATTTCGTTCTTTGAAATAAGCCTGCATAAGTAAACAAGTCCCCAGTTGAGCAAATCTTTCCCGGTATCTATTTGGATTTATTCAAAGCATTCGGGTTTGCGTAAAATATTTATGAATCTTTTTGTTAGTATTTCTGAGGAGATGCTAACAGAGAAGTTACTCATTAGACTCTAATTTCCATCGGTATCAGAATTTAGATTGATAGTTTGGCTTATCTCTAGGCTGGCAGTTTTGTGGACAAAGGCATTCTAATCGCCGGACTGTTTCTGGATGGTGCCAAGTGGAACGTGAATGAGAACACTCTGGAGGAGTCCTCGCCTAAGCAAAGGTTTTCTCCTTTGCCTGAAGCACAGTTAGTGCCTACTCAGGTAATCACATTCGATATCCGTAAAATAGAACTTGCCCCTAATATTCAAGCCTTTTAAAGACCATTAAACAGGTTCCCTATCTATACTTTAATGTGAATGTGAAATGTAGAGTTATGTTTTGCCCGTCTGAATTTCTGTTTAAATTTGTGTTCATTGTTTGTAACAGCCCTGTAGAAGAGCAGAAAACATAGGAGAGTAATGCGAATTGCAGCTAATCTACGTCGTTTAGAAGTTCTCAGTTCTCTGAAAGGCAAGTCGATAGGGTTAGTTGTTCCATTGGGGTACTTGAGTCATGAGGGTTATTGGGGGAAACCCCATGGCATCCACCACATCGACCTCTAGCATGTGAATACCAAGCAGTCTTTTAAGTTAAGAAATATCATGTTTACAGTCAAATATTCCTTATAACCTGAGCTATGTTATTCAATTTACGCATTTATGAGACAGCTAGCCGCGAGAACTTAAATGGTAGGTAGCCAAGCAAAGCTATATATTTATTTGTCCCATTACTTTCGGGTATTGCTTCATGCTGTGTCGATTGTAATTCTTAAATATTACCTCTGCCTTGGAATCCCACATCAATTGAAGGAATAGAAGGATCTCTATCTCTGCCTGTACATTCATTAATAGGTCGAAAGAACCTCTAAGCAAGATGAAAAAGAAGACAGTGGTCGATCATACCTGTGTCCTGTGTACCAAACATCTTTGCGAACAAGTTCATTGACATCTTCACGTCATACAATGAATTTCGTTTCTTCGATTCGACTCAGAACAAGCGTACATGAAGACCATTGGATAAGGCGGGGAGTCGCACTCTTGTGTCAGACAGATGACTGATAATATCACAATGAATGGGAAGAAATTGTACTTTTGTTTTGTATTAACATTGCCTTCATATCGTTATTTTCAATAAGATTTTTATGATGTTGTGTAAATACAAGATTGTTAGCAAAATGCACCTTTAAATTATACTGTTAGTTCAAATCTTTGTTTTAGGGAGTTTAGGTCTAGAAGTAGGGCAAATGACACAAAATTCGATAAAATTAGCTACTTTTTCGTTATATGCTTATCAAAGAAACAGAAATTTCAAACAGAAAATGGTATCAGAAAATGGCCAGAGAATACCAGCAAAGTCATGAAAATAATAGCAATTAATAAAGAAAATTGTTAGTTTTAGGTCCTATGTTTCAAATCATCACAGGTTTGTTGTTTTATCAACTGAAATAGTTTAATACTCTAACTGTTTGTACATATTCTTATTATTTTATTGTCATGTACATATTGTTATTAGAGAGAATATTTTTGAATTTATATTTATTTGTGAGACATATTTTGGTTTTATTGGCTTTGAATAAATTTGCTCTAGTGCCAGAAAAGAGAGCCTTGGCTTTTATTTGTCTTTCAAACTTGTATCAGGCACCGCGCAGCCATTGGGCTAGCAGGGGCTATAGCCCACTCACTTTTTTGCAATATTAGGCTAGAAATTTTTTTGAAGGTTTACTCTAACGCAACTTTGGATAGTTTACTGCTATGAAGTAGCAGTTCTCATTGACTGGGAACTAATTTTGTTCTTTTTTTATTTATTTCATCTTGTTTAATGATATGATGTATTTTCTAACTTGGTTAGCTTCATTTTTTATTACCCTCAAGATAATTTTATCTATTTTTATAGTTATTGATATCTTCTCTGAACCAGACTCTTTTTAAAAATTCATTAGAAATAAGCGAGCATTTTCTAAAAGGGGCATTTTCCGGTGTCAAGAGGGTGTGGCCTCAAAAAATTTCGGTCACACCCATTTCAGCCCCTCCACTTTTAAAGTAGTGCGCGGTCCCTGACTTGTATGCACTTATTGCTCAAGTCCTAGAGACACATTTTAGACACTAACCAATAGCTATGAAATGATTATCATTTGACAGTGCTTGTAAAGAATTTTTACCATTTTGCAAAAATAGGCTTATGTAATTTCATTAAAGCCTAAAAACGCGTAACAAACCGTATTTTGGTGAAAGAACCTTGAATTATTTGTGCTTGTTGTGTCGTGGACGCTCACAAAAATGGCTGTTTTAGGCTTTCAGCCCTTTTTTCCCAAAATTTTGCTGATTCGGAAAATTTTCGGATCCCAATACCAATGAATGATTTGGTCGGTCGGTAAACTAAGCTAGCTTTCATGTAAACCGGATTTTAAGACCTTTTTAGACGAGATGCTGGGGTGTCAAAAGCCATTTGAATAGCAAAGCTCGTAATATATTTGTCTGATAAATTACTTGATAATGGCTACCTTTAAAGAAAATCGCAAAATGTCTCAAAATGAAGAGGGAGGATGAGGCAAGTCCTATATGACAGAACAGGACTTGCCCAGACTGAACTATGACGAAGTATGAGCTGTTCATAGAACATTCCTTTCAGTCTTATGCTTCTGAACTACGCTCTCGATTGTATTTTTATATCTCTTGATTGAACCAAAGTCTTTCAATAGAAAGAAAGGCTTTGATTGTACGATCTTGATTGTACGTCGTGCTTTTTGCACCAAAATGCCTTCATATTTTTAGCAGACTGCATATCCGGTGTTGAAAAAGCAAAATGCCTTTCAAGATGCAAGAGAAAAACTATTTTTGAGGTAATGTTGTTCGCCAAATATCCCGAAATGTTGCAACCTTAAGTACAAAAATGAAGTAACTGTCACTAATACATAATAATTTCTAATAAAGGCCTCCAAGTCTTG